GAGGTGTGGTTACTGCCCGTGATGAGTTTATTCGGCGAGAATAGGGCAGAATCTTTTCCCTGACCACGATGTCGAACTCCTGCGAGGGTAATCTGGCAGGCTGGTGTTACAATCCCCAGGCTTACATAGATTACCTTAATAACCTCGATTGAACCACTTGACACCTTTCAAATATACTCTCTCGAATGTTTTTAAGATGCAATTGAGCGATAATGGTAGGCAAGCCCGGGGATCCGGAATGACTCATTCTCTGCTTCTACCGACGCCATTTTATCTTAAATCCGTTTCAGCACCTTTCCTCTGTCATAGGTAGTCTATGTGTAGTATGGTGGGTACTGCTTACAATCACGGCACTTCACCCTTGTCGGCCCGTCGGTGATTTTGGTATCCCCACAAAATGGGCTATTGTGTTAGCTTCTCAAGATTTGTTTTGGGTATTCTTATCGTCGATATTCTCTTGGACATATGGATTATAATGTTATATATACATCCGGTATAGGGGATCCAGGGGTCAGGGTAAATCGATATAGAGAACAGCTAAGCAGCTTCAATTCAAGCGCAGGTCTTCCCGTCAAGTCCGCAGGTAAAGCAATACGTCAATTATTCTTATTCCTAAAATGGCCCATCGCCTGTCGGACACAGATTCCCTAATGCTCCACTCCCACTCCTGATATAACAGACCTTCTGCTTCGCACACGCCTCAGTGTCACACTTTTTCGTCACCACACTACTCTTTGTCTCCAGCAAGTTATACCGTTCCACCAAACTCTGGTTCCCCAACATACTATACGTCACCTTATCCCAGAAAGTCGCATTCAGCGGACTGGTGGCCGGCCACGTCTCATTCACATTATACGTATCCCGTGCATCGTATTCGAATTGCCAGATTGGCGTATGCCAGGTCAGAGATTCCGACACATTGGCGAAATACGTCTTGATGTCCATGATCTCGAAGGTCTTAGCATCCACGCTGTAGAGTTGATATCCAGCGTTGTTGCCTGTGAGGGGCGTGATAGATGGGCCGATGAACGCCATGGTTAGCGGCTTGCTGTAATCGACGTCTGTGGTGTTGCGCACGCCCTCTTTCAAACTAGACGGCGCGTAGTCGTAGTAGATCTGCAACTGGTCTTCATGAGTGTGGCCGAAGAATATCCCGGCGATGGTGTACGGCGCAAAGCGACGGACGATGCTGTAGAATAAAGCGGTAGGATTGGGGAGATTGTTGGTGCCGTCATAACCAGAAAGGACGTGTCCGATGATCCAGGCTCGTTGGTCGCGTTTCTCGCAGGCGGTGAGTTCGTCAATGACGAAGCGCAGAATGCCCGATTGGTCAGGGTTGGTGAAGTTGAAGTAATTGAAGATGTTGGCTGGGTACCAGAAGTCGGTGTTTATGGAGATGATGCGTAGACCTTCTTTCGTGGTGTGCGCATAGGCGCCGTAGTGCGTTGAGGCGTATGATGCTTCGGGCTTAGTCAGCCAACCGTCAGATTGCCACATTGAACTGAGAAGGTCGTAGTTCCAGCTGAATACGTTAGATGAACCAGAGTCATCGCCATTGATATTGTTGGGGGTGTTATAGGCTTCGGGGAATGAATCGTGGTTGCCCAGCGTGGGGTAGACTGGCACCTTACCCATTTGCGCTTTGAAGGTTTCGTAGGTGATCCGCTCTTCGTATTCGACATATGCCCGGCTTAGTTGGTCGTCGTTGTCGTGGCTGACAATATCGCCCGTAAAGATGGAGAAGCTAACCTTCTCAGGATCGAAGAACTGGCTCATGGATGCAAAGGACGACAAAGCTAGATCAGGAGGTGAGTCGCAATACAGATATCCGTAGCGTGAGGCGGGTACAGAAGCATTGTTTGCGCCCGTATGAAGCTTCGTGTTTTTAGCGTCCGGTCTGCAGCAGAGATACTCGGAGCAATTTGCTTCAGATCCAATGTCGTACCGAGGATCAAGATGCCAGTCAGAGAGATGTAGCACATCGATCGTCTTGCCGGACGGCGGTGGAACCTTGTTTGCTTTGGCAGGCTTCTCGCCAAAATACGCGCTCTCATCAATCTGAATTACCGGTGGACGATCACATGTATCCTACAAACGTTAGAGATCCGCCTTCTACTTTGGTATTGGTAGTTTCACAAAATTGTAATGACAAAAAGCTTGATAGTCACCCGTGGAGTTGGTCATCTTCGCATACCTACAGCCGTTATCTTCAGCATACAATCAATGTCTGCCAATATGTAAGACGTACAGTTGGGCCCAGTACGGTCCGAGGTCACCAATACCCGCGTATTCAGCGCTGCACGATGCCGCATATATGTGATACTTTGCCAGGTTGCCTTTAAAATGATAGGTCAATGAGAGCAATCTTGGAACCCTAGGGGTGCTTACAGAATCGAATTGCAAGGTCAGTAAATACAGAGACCGTCTGTGACTCTGCAGCGAGATGCAATATGTCAGTCTCCGCCAAGCACTTGGAGCATTTGCTAGTGCCATTATTCGAGACGATCGCCACAAGCTGGTTGTAATAGTAGTCTTCAGTTTCGTTGTTCCTACGGTTCTTGTGAGATGTCCGCCTTCGATGGCAACAGTTGGCTTACGGCTTCAATGGTGTGAACGGCTTTGGATCTGGTGAGGTTTCATTGTACCTGGCAACAACCGTCAGATCTGGTGAGAGCCATGTGTGAGCGAGGCATACGGTGGGACATCCCCTGAACCATTGTAGTAGAGTATTGGGCCTCCCTTAGCATCAAGACTGTTCGTTAGTTGAGGGTCCAGCGGATCAAGCCCTGGGCTGTGGTGCTGTCCAAGGATAGGTTGTACAGTCATCGAAAGACGCAGTAGTACCAAGCACCAAATACACAGGGATAGAGCCATGGCGAAAAAGATGGTCGCACTGAAGAGTGTAGGTAGCTCTCGATCTTTCCGGACGGATGTGACCCTGAGAGCGAGACTGTCAGCTTGTATATGAAGGAGTAATGCCGAATATGTCATATGAGGCTAACGTCATCTTCGCATGCCAGGCACCGTAGCCTGCTGTCTGCACGATGCCGGAAGCAAGTCTACCGGCCTTTCAGATGCGGGGGAAACATCAGACCAATGGGACAATTGCCTTCGAACATGAGGGTTGTAGAGCGGAGACTAGAATGCTTGTACAAGGTAAAGAGAGATGTGATAGGGAACAGTCGTACCGATCCTCGTGTGATCCCCGCATTGTCGCTGCATATATAGTACACCACGTGGGGGAAGGACCTGCCAAGGATTGGCTATCGCAATCGTTCATCCATAAGGACCTTCCATCTTCGGTCAACGGCAGCCATCACCATCATTCGCAAGTAAGGACTTGTGGGCAAGCGCAGCCCGTAGCATGGCAATGTCGTGACTTTTGTACGCGTATGTATGCTGTGATGAAATGGGGAGGGAAAATCAGATTTTGTTTTCGCGCCCGCGCGTCATCTCGTTAGAGGTTGTTGTGGACAGGACAGAGGGCTGGGATCTTTCCGTCCTACTACGAACAGGACTACTACGGATCTGACGCTTCCTCGACTCATCGCGCACAACACGTGTCATTTCGTTGCTTGTGCTTCCATAGCCCGGTACAGTTCCATTCGAGATCGCCAGTAGAAGGCTCCGCATCAATTTGGTCTTTTGATCGTTGGACGTACATCTTATAAGATGAGCAGCACTGCAGCCACAGAAGATACCCAGATACTCACGAACATGAAGCAGCTGTCATGCTCAGAAGGAGCATGCATATAGAGCAGCCTACTACTTTTTAACTCATTGATCAAAGAGACCAAAAGAATGGGCTTTACTAACGCAGTTTCCGGCGCGGGTGCGGGGATTGTTCAAATTCATCGACAAAAATCATGCATTCCATCCCAACGAAACGCAAAGGCGCTATTATTGATCAGCGTAGAACACCAGCGCTACGCCAATAGTGATGACTCTCCCGCCATCTTCTTACCCCGAAGAACGCTGTCCCATGCCTCAATCATCGGGCTCAATTATCTACCCAACGAACGCCCTCGCCATCCTCGGCACCGCAATCGGCGCAGCTCGAACCCCCAACCCCTCCCCACTCCCCACCATCGACGATCTATTCGCCACAAACCCTACCCCGACCGCCTTCTCCCCCGCCCCGGCAGGCCCAAACGTAAACTCCGCCTCCAACGTCCAAACGACCGGCCGATCCAGCGCCAACATCCGTATCGTCGTCACCACATCCGCCAACAATCCCACATCAATCATCTGATCCGTGTTCTCCCGAGCAGGCACGATATGCAACTGGACGCAGCCCGCCCCAGACACAGCGTCGCCATTACTTATATCTATAGGCGAGCAGTAGTCCGTCCACCTCGGGTCGGACGCGTTGTACGGCCCTAATCCGCCGAGATGGGATTGGAAGTCGAACGCGGTGTATGCGTAGAGCGCGTAGCTGTTTATGGGGTTGGTGCCCCAGTGGACTGTTAGGGTGTTGGACGGGTGGGAAAGGAGGGGGTATGTGTTTGTTGCGCCGGGGCGGGCGATGGGGTTTTTGGTAGGGAGGTTGGGATGCTGAGCGAGAGTTGGAGGGGTGAGGAAGGTCGTGATGAGGAGAAGGGGTAGATATCCCAGCGAGGGCATGGTGGGGTGGGTGGTCTAAGTTGTGAAGGGGCTGAAGTGAGGTAGCTGCTGGGTTGAAGATAGCGTCCGGTTGAAGGTAAATGTTTGTATCACTGGCGAGTGCTTGCTCAAACCGTGCATCTCGAGCCTTTATATCCAGCTTGAGGCGAATCGGGAGGGCTCTATTTCTGGAAGTTAATTTACACACCATCGTCTCGCGTGATGGGGTAAGGTAGATATTTTGATCAACAGCAAAGAAAGGCTGACATTAGAGTTGGCCCAACTGGGTCGCTTGCATGTTTCAGCTATGAAGCTTCTTATAACCTTAAGATACAGGTCGAGAGTTTCAGCTACATGGGTCTAAAATAAGCATTTATCCGATACGCTGGAGTGAGGACGGAAAATTCAGAATCTGCTACAGCATCAGAATGTAACACGTGCCAGCACGGAACATAACAGTAGCCGATGCTGGAAAGGGCTATGGAAAGTGTTTGGCTGACTGAGGCTCAAGCTTCTCACATGAGCTCTAAAGTCTCACTTCGCAGGGATAGCTTGGATGCTGATCCACAATACAAATGTCGTCTGAAGGTGTCAAAGTCTCAATCATCTGAGGGAAAAGCCACAGTGTGGACCATCAAGTAAAGTCAGTCAATCTGTCTTTCAAGTCCTATTCCCAGTGTTAGGCCCGGCAACAGCTGACCCCTCCAGATCATCCCACAAACGCCCTCTTCCTAAAATTGATCCCCGCCGGAATGACCGGTCCCACATACTCCGGCGGCGACGGAAACACCGTTTCACTCCCACTCGCCGCCCTCTGCGTAACGAACCCCTGACCGAGCGGCGCCCCGCCTCTGGGCCCGAACGTAAACCACGCCTCCAGGCTCCAAGTCTTTGCACCCCCCATACCCCTGATCTCAGAAACAACATCATACAACAGATGGATGTCGATTTCTGTATTTGGAGGTGCGGGAACCATATGCATGTGTACGCAGCCCGGCCCTTTGTGGTTTTTAAGTACGCACCAGTCGGTCCAGCAAGGGTTGGTCGCGTCGTAGATGTTGCCGCAGTTTGCTGCTTGCCATTCTTCGCCCGTGTCGGCGTAGAGGGAGTAGCTGTCGATTTGCTTGTAGAGCCAGTGTATGGTCAGCACGTTGATGGGGTCTCTGTCGAGTCCGATTTCGGAAGTCGTGCCTGGGACGGCGGCAAGCTGTTGGGCGAGAGGTAGGGAGGGGAGGAGTGCGCTGAGGAGGAAGATGATGTGGAGGAAGAGGGAGTGCATTATGACTGTTCAAACTTCTGTGCAATAGACACAAAAGTGTTGACAGAAGTGATCAAGGACTTAAATATGGCAATGTAGTTTAGGCTGCCGGCGCTTGCAACGCGTACACGCGACCCGGTTCTTTATTTCTGTAAATAGTATTAGTCCCTCAAACAAGTCGTTTCAACTCTTAAAAAGTCTAGATTTAAAGACACTTGTCTTGAACAAAGCCTTCAAACCGTAGTGTACGGAAATGTGATCGTCAAGCGCGAATCGCAATAAAAAGCTTCATCCATCCATGAATCGATCAGTCTTCTATATGTTATCTTTCCATCACAATTTACTATTAATTCTGCGACTTATGTACTATTATCTCTCTGATAGGTAGTACCAGAGGTCTTGGATACATACAGCGATTGAATTGCATTCGTCAAGGCTAAGAGCAGGACAATCAGGAGACTGTTTCAAATCAGTCTTGCATACTAGAAGTACAAATATGCTTGGGTACTGCTCTAACGAAGAAAAAAAGAATATTGACATTAACCCTAGAGACAACTTTCTATTTTGTGATGTGCTTTCATACATGAGTTCATCGTGATAGACGTGTTCATCCTTGTTGCTCATAGACATGGGCTTGGCTAGTCGAACGCTGTTTCTATTATTTGTCGCGATTTTTTTGAGCATCAATTTGGTATGACATTTTGACACGCCGTGGGTCATGATGAGCTAGATGACTTGTGCAGTAGAACAACTATTAGTACCTATTTCACAGAAAAGCGCGCTGAGAGAATTGACAACATCTTGGACGCAACTGATATCCTTTCCCGCTTTTTAAGCATACAGCTTATCACGTCATGTCAACCGACGCATTCGCCCAATCTCACAAGGCTGCTGGTCAAGCCTCTTCTTAGACTGCTGAAGGCCGTAAACCGGACGATGTCACCGACTCCGACCGCGACATTCTCAAGCCTGCCTATCATGATTTCATCTGCACATTATCATTGGTAATTTTCGGGGCTTATCGTAGGTTTTATTCTAGCATACGAAATTTGACGCCAACAAAGTTCTACGCATCGCTTCGCAATATCGCCAAACGACCCAAAAGATATATTTCGGAAATGATGGCAGCATGCTTGTCCTCAAATGCTTTCTTGGCGAGTTTGATGGTGATGAGGTTGCAGAGCGAAAATTGTCGGATGGGACTCGGAGACTAGGAGGTGGATTGAGTGGATAATCTTCAGGTTGAAGAAGGGAGAGGGGCTTCAGACGCGGAAAAATATGCTGGCTAATGGCTGAAGACCAAATGAATTGGCTGAACCCCTATAGAAGTAAAAGGAGAAGAGCTTAAGGACGTAAGGGAGCGATATGGTACATTTCGTGGCGAAGATCCAGAGAGTATGAGAAGAATCTCGAACGAGATTGCAGGATACAAGGTAAAGACGCTAAGAGCGCAGGCGTAGAGCTTTCGAGAGTAGGCGGATTTGCCTGGTGGAGGAGAGCGAGTAAATGCTTTGAAGGGGTAGGCTTTCTATCAAGAGGGTTTATGGCCTTACCAGAGCAAGAGAACTATGTTGCAGAATGCTTGATCCGGCAGTAGTAACGACGATCAAAGTATGCGACGGGCCTGCTGGTTTAGTCATGGTCTTTGTTGGTGCCGTGATCGTTGCCGTCAGCAGATCAAAGGTGCTAAAATGATTGAAATCTAATTTTACAAGGTTGAGTAGATGATTTTTGTCTCCCAGACTACTGCAGGAATACTTAGGGAACGCAAGTCAACATAACTCCAAGCAGCATCTTTGCAGCGAAGCTGAGGTCAAGCTGTGATTTAGGCACTAGAGATGATGCTCCAAAGTGTTGCGGAATTTATCTGATATCTGAGCGTTGTTGTATCTGATATCGTACATTGCACTTGATCCAAAGTGACACTACGTGTCGCATGGAGCTTGGCATAGATCATAATGGGTGCAGCTGACAACGCAGAGCGGTTACTTACTTGCAGGTGGTGTGTATGCAACTGTGTAGAGCGGGGTCCAATGCAGGGCAGTTACCATGCTCTTATAGGCATACTTAACCTAGAAAACACGCTATATGACAAGTCACATTGATTTTCGGGAATTTATTCACGTTTACCCGAGCTTTGCATTAGGGCAGTGCAAGGCTGAGCTCACTTCAAAAGTCGGACTTCACATCATTACTTCTACCGTCCTATCTATTCGTGACAAAGGGTTTTAAGATTTTGAGCGAACGTCTTTAGAATATGATTTCTCGATCTAGTCAGCTGACATTGGACCAGAGAGCTACAATCCATATCACCGGCCCCATAGAATCCCAGAAATCCAAGTTAGTACTCGCCTCCAAGACCGCGAAACTGAGTTGAGTGAACATAAGTAGCAGCTTTCAAATGAACGCGGAGGTGCGGTTGAGACTCACTCTCTTGAACATGATCACCAGTTGATGAGAAATATTCAAGAACTCGCGATCGTTAGGCGGCGCTCTACCAACGCGCTATCAAGGCAGGAAAACAAGACAGGGAAGGCGCTCGTCACGGAAAATGGTAATGAAGACGACAGCGCGAAGGGTCAAGAGGTGTCCATTTCAAATAGCGAGGATAGAAGAGGCATTCAAGAGTCATCCCAAGTAGCTCATCGGCGACATCCTTTTTCCGCTTCCGACTTCTATGGTAGCTGGACCTCCTCGCCCTTCCTGTCCAGTAAAAATCGGGCTTCTTCCTTTGAACGCCATGACTAGCAAGATATAGAAGGTACAAGGCAGTCGCTGAGCACCTTAGTAGAGTCTTCAAACAAGCTATATGTTATCCTCAATGACCCTAGACTAGAGCAAATGACTTCATACGAAGAGGAAGAGCAGATGAGATCTGGATTACGTTCGATATTGATGATGACTCGTCTCAATGAGAGCCACTCTGCGGAGAAAGTCGAAGAGCGGCAGGCTTGGCTGCGGACCTCACTTGATGCTTTGATAACCAAGTTCGAATCCCTCGGAGATAACCCCACGAGCCCCACGGATGATATGCATGATCTTCATTCCCGTCAGGAAGCCGGAAAACATCTGTCGTTGGGAAACATGCAACCATTGAATCATGGGACCAATGAACAAAGCAGGCTGGCGGCGGGTATGCTCGAAGAACCAACTATTACCAATTCGTTCGATCACAATGGCTCAAATCCGCAAGCGAAATCTCGGGACAGCTCATTCAAGAACCTTCTTCATCGCCTGATATCACGCCGACAAGATAGCGCCCACTCGAATACAAACCACTCTAGCAATCTGCCAAGCACCAATTCGTGTCAGATACAACAGCATCGTCAATCAAAGAGGTCTATGGCTTCTCACACTCAACGTCGATTCGCCATGGGCTTTCAGTCCGTGCGTCACAAGACTAAGGAGAGACGTTTAGATTATGAGATAGAGTGTATGTCGCCCGAACTAAGTGATTTTACAAAACATCAAACCGATTCGAGCCATACCTCCTGTGCTCACGATGTCGGAAAATCTCTTGAAAAGTCTTTCGCGTTCAGAGTCATATACATTGAGGATGATCCTGAGGCATTCCTCATGTTGATGAGAAACTATGGCTATCCCTCCAAGAATTTCGGATGTCTCCTCTGTGAATGGGCTTTACCCTGCTATCATACACAATCGAATTCATCCCTAAATCATACTATGCACATAAATGCAACGCACAGTCCTCGGCGCAACGTGACGCAGAAAGCCTTTGCAATGGATTATTTAGTGACATCCCCTTGGACTAAAAACGCTGTTGATCTTACGAAAGACGGTGGAGCGGCAACATTCCATACCAGGAGGGTCACTGTGTTTGTCCAATACCCAAGTCCCGAGACGACAAGTCGAACAACAAGGAAGGGGAATCACCAAAGCCGTATGATCAAAGCACTATTGTCGTGTTCGATACCGGGGACAATGAAATACCGCAAAATCCCTTGTTTCCAAGTCCGAGGCGGCTGCAAAAGCTGGAAGTCTGTAATCGGATTCTCGAAAACCCAGGAGCGCCTTGAGGCTACCCAAAGGAGGTGTTCGACGCTCTTAGCGATCAGATAGTCCAAAAATGGGAAGATTTTATGCTCGGTATTTCAAACGAAGTGCAGACTCTGCAAGACATAATCTACCGCAATCCTGCCAGTGACACGCACTCTGTAACCTTGTGGGACATTTCAACCAAAATTACGAAAGCTAAAAGACTACTTGAATTCCATCGACGTTTAGTGCGCCATTTAAAGGCGGACACAATGGCCATTAGTCTGCTGCTCGATGACAAAATCTATAAGGAATTCAAGTGGAATCTCGATTCCTTCGAGAAGCCGGTCGAGCAAATGGTAGACTTGATGTACAAGTCGATAAGTATACGAGACGCCCGCCGCTCAATCGAGCTGAACACTAGTCTCTGGCGCCTCAGCTGGATCACGTTCATCTTCCTCCCTCTTACATGGCTATGCGGCTTCTTCGGTATGAACGTGTCAACTTTTCAGACGGATCCCTCGGTCGGTTGGTACTTCGTAGCTGCTGTCCCATTAATGGTGCTAGTGATGTGTGCCTGGTTGAGCACGAAACGGTGGATTGGGAAGTCTGTTGAGAGACAGCATTTGCCTAGGAAGGGGGAGAAGATGAAGTATGCATGATGAGATTGTTAAGCTGCTATGACACAGGAGGCCAAAACAACTATATCACTCAGCATGGCCGTACGACCACCTCTCCAACAGTCAAGTCCGCAGCCCATGAGTCCGCCAAACCTCCACAACGCGATCCAAGAAGCCCATGACACAATCTAGGTACAACCATTCGGCCGATTACTAAAACAGACATCTCCTCCTTGGCTCCCACTCCCATCATACCCCTCACAACTCACCTCAGTCTTCCCCTGCGCCTTAACCTCATCATCGCACGTCGTCCACGTACTAGTGAAGAACCCCGCTCGCACTTTATACGTACTCCAGCTAACACAACAATTACTCTGCGCAACCTGCTGGCACTGACTGCGGGGCGCCTGATCAATCTTGACATCAAACGCACACGTCGTTCCGGAGATACATGAATAGAACGTCGCGCAAGCACCCCAGACGACCGCATGGCCTGCCCCCAGAATAAAACGCGAGCCTTGCCGAACCTCGAGGTCGCGGGTGGTGATAGCAGCGGTGGTGCCGTTGACTGCGGCGAGCAGATCGTGCACATCTTGCACCATTTCGGGGTCCGTGGGGTCATAGGGTTTGGCGTAGGCGGCGGCGGTTACCAGTTCGGCTTTCTGTTCGTCGGTGGAGCCGGTTGAGGGGTCGAGCGATGTCATCCATGATTGGACGCTGGAGTTGTAGCCGTGGAAGCGGGCGTCGACGTCGAAGCGCGAAAGGTCGCTTTTGGAGTTTGGGAAGAGAGCGCTGACGTTGTGGTAGATGTCGAAGCTGGTGCTGTCTTGTGGGGTGGGTTGAGCGGCCGTGGTAGACCAGAGTTGAGAGGCGCTGAGGCAGAGACCTGCGAGAATTGCTGCGGGAAACATTTTGTGGTGGGAGTCGAGTTGGTGTGATATGAGGGTTTTGTGGGTCTGGAGAAGGAGGCTTGATGTTTTGTGATGGTCAGAGGAGTACGTCTTCCAGTCCTACCTTTATAGCTGAACGATGCATTGCCGTCGCCACCAGACAGCCTATTCATTTGTCAAGCCGAATGTGCTTGATGGGAGGAGAGATGACCCCGCTTTCCAATCCGTCATGCTGCTCCGATATGTTTGAGCTCTTGGTGGTTTCCAACGTCGATACGTCCATATGAGCCGCTCGAGCCCGCTCTGCTCGCTCTTGTTCATTCATTCTAATAGGCAGGCTCCGCGGCTTGGATCATTAGAAAGGGGTTTGAATCTGTATAGTGGTGTGGAGACCAGCCTGGTGCTGTAAGAAATCGTCTGCTCTGAGACGGAAGGCCGATGACGCGGCTGATGAGGGTGGGGTGGGATGGGAGGGATGTGGCACGGGATGGTGAGGCTGTGCTCATATTCCATTGCGTCGGTCTCGACAAGCTCGACAGGAAATGAACCCGTCATCTGCCCTCTTCTACTTCGGGTGCCGTCGTGCAAGGCCTGTAGACTTGCGGGATTCCCTCATTCATCAAATGAAAGGCTCTATGGATGCAATGTCAATACATGGGGGTTTCAGTTGATAGCACTTTCTGGGGGGGGGCGCTGAGATAGCGTACGTTTCGATATACCAAGTCTAAGGGTCTATCCACATCCATCTTACCCAAGCATCCCACATATCCCTTTACCACGGAGGTACATTACCTTCCGGTCAAAATCGTATTCAGCTTCATCTTAGGCCCTTTCCCGATCATGTCATCTCTAGGTACGTGACGCCTGTCTTCCCTTCAATGATTTAGCAGCCTCAAGATACTGCTGATCAGCTTTCACAGATAGCCTCAGCGATAGTAATATGGCCTAGGAGATTATCGAATCATCATCACAGTAACGCAAAAGAGGACGGGGAGCCTGAAACGCTATCCATGTATCATCCACCTCCCGCGGTATTGCACCATTACGAAACACGGCTTAGCAAAGCGGCATCGGTTTGGACCATCCCGCCGATCACGGGATGTAATGTGAATGGCCCAGTCCGTTTTTGAAGATCAACTAAGCAGACACTCTTCCTGGCAAGCTTTTCCTGTGGACGTCTAATGCGTATTATTGTCGGACGCACAAGAGATATCTTGAGCCATTGGCACTGCCCTTCATGATTCGTCATCAGTTCCGTATGTATCAAGATTATACTTCATTAAGGCTGCAGACCTGGCGAATAAAGTGCCTGAAAGGACTGAAAGGGCTTAACATAAGCATCATGGATCTCCGTGGCACATGCAATGAAAAGCCGTATCCTAAAACACGAAAGCGAAAGCGGCAGGTACCTGGTGACATATTGTCTAATTCAATGTGTCAGTGTCTCTCTCACTGGGCGGACGTATGAATGCTACCCAAACCAAGAGCGCTCACAACAGAGGAAGCATCAATTCAGGCAAGACTGTCTTTGGCAGCTGCAGTTCTCGGTGGAGCTCTGTATCCTATTCCATTGACAACTCAGCTTTCAGGCTATGTCCGAGTGCTCTCATTGTGTTCAATCGAACGACTGGTGTACCGAATCTGAGGACAGTTGCAATCCGCCCCTAGACTGAGCCTGAGCTCCTGATAATGCTGACTGATCAGACTGAAGCTGGCTTTGCTCCAGCCGAGTGAGAAAAGATGGAATTAGCTCACACGCTGAAGACAATTTGCATAGATACATGCAAGCGATATTGGAAACTCGCAACCCAACGACATGAGTCTGCTATGCTGCAAGACGATTCTTGAATTTATACTTGAAAACTATTCCTAAGGTGTTTCTTGTACCAGGAAGAGCAATGTGCCTTCTGGGACAAGCTCAAGGAGAATATTGTGCCAAGAACATGCGCTTATCCCCAGCCTTGTCAAAGCTAATAACGCCGCGTTCGAGGTACCGAGATAGCAATCACAGACTCTATTTTGAATGCGAGACAAGGATAGGGGCCACTAGCTCTTAACATATTCATGCAGTGTAGCGCCTCCAGACGCATACATACATAACTAAGGAAGCATACTTATGCTAGCTCAGAGCTGGGAGATTTCCTTGGATGTAGCAGGCCCTTAGCCTTACTTCAAGATCAGCTTGCATTGCTACGCGCTTGAGATGCTGCCGAGGTGCCAAAATGCAAGAGCGAACCGAGTATGCAGCTGAACAATCGGCTTGGACGCGGCGGAAGTCCTATCCGCGGAAGATTCGCTGCCATTGAAAGGTCCCCAGCGCCATTGCGGCAGCGAAGAAGACTTTCTCTCTGTACATCAGTAGTTGATCAGTATATAGAGTGCGGTGTAGCGGTGCCCAAGCTAGAGCACATTTGTAAAATGAGGGAGCATGGCCACCCTAGGAATCTGTCTTCGAAGTAGTCGTGAGGGACTATGTGAATAAAGGATTCCGTATGGCTATTTGCAGTGAGCAGAGTCAGCCTCATGTGTCGAGATACGAAATTAGCCAGGAGGCTTTGTATACTTCAGTGGAGATCTGAGGGCATTTATGAAACATGACTGCATGTACAGGAGGCTTGTTTTAAAATCTGCATCATTGTGGCCTTGCAGTATACTGTATTGAGCTCTTGTTGGTGCGCATTGTGTTGCTCTTGGCGTCTCAGCCTCGTAGGACACTGCATTGCTTCTCGTATAGAAGATGTTGCCAAGGATATCATGCAGGTGCCTCATTTTCTTGCATATACTCTTATACGTCGAGCAGGGGCAACTTGTAATCTAAGCGCTTGAATCGAAACGCCACGATCTCATGCCCGAGGAAACATGCATTAATAAATGAACGCATATTCTGGTCCATCCATCATCATTTTGAGAGTTTTCCTGCCTTTTTTGATGAGATTTAGGAATGTCGCCTGGGTCATTTGTCTTCGCAAGATCGCGCATTTGGCGGCTAGTCGTATTCTGGCCAGCTCTAGCCTTTAGCGGAGATCCATTGGTCCTTGCAGCAAGCCAAGAATGGTAAGTCTCAATATCTACTTGAAGTTGTGGATAATCCCTTATTTTATATTTCCAAAGGGAGGGTGTTGATGGTCCATGGTCAACATTTTGGGTTCGCATTGGTTCACCACCGCAGACAGTAAGATTACTGCCGTCAACGACCGGAAATGCAGTATGGCCAGTTCTTCCGCAAGGCTGTACTGCCCGTGATCTATATAACTGTACGGAAATGCGTGGCTCAGTGTACAACCCGGCAAACTCTTCAACATGGTCGAACATAGGCCTATATCGGCTCTCTCTAGTCGACGAGAGCGCATTTGGCTACAGCGGAAATGGTCTTTTTGGATACGATGAAGTACGACTCGGAACAGGAAATGAATCATTCTCACCAAATCAAGTCATTGGGGGCTTTACGACACCGACCGAGCACTTTTACATCGGTACTTTAGGGTTGAGTCCAAATACAATGCCGCCACTCACAAACACAGGCAAAAGTTTTCTGACTAATTTAAAGGATCAAAATCGCATTCCAAGCATCAGTTGGGGCTGCACAGCTGGAGCGTATTATGTACAACCTCCAGCCTTTGGAAGTCTTACCCTTGGTGGCTTTGATAGGTCACGTTATGCGCTTCACAATGTGACCTTTCCATTTGGGCTAGATGTAGGTCGTGAATTCACCATATTCTTGAAGAGTGTCAGCACATCCTCACCGTCGGAGAATTCAGTCGATGCCGGTATATATGCTCTTGTAAACTCACTAAGCCCGGATCTTTGTCTACCCAAACGCATTTGTGATAGGCTTCAAGAAATGCTCAGTCTTGAGTACAACTCCTCGGCTAACAGATACACCGTCAACGAAACATTCTACGACTATGTTCTCGACCGCAACACTAGTACTTCATTCACCTTTGGAGGAGACCCTTCGGTTAGAGGCGACACTGTAAACATCACCATTCCATGGCGTAGCTTTGACTTGAGGGACAGGTCGTCGAACATGGGCCTCGGAGAGAAAGGGCTCATGTATTTTCCCCTCAGACGAGCAAACAGCTCGACACAGTACACGATCGGCCGAGCTTTCTTTCAAAATGCGTACGTTATTGCTGACTATGAACGACGGAGGTTTTCAATGCACCAAGCGATCCACCCGAGCCTTCAAACAAAAGCGGACATAATCCCCATACTTCCAAAAAATAATGATAGTAGTACAGTGAGTAGTACAGTACCGCACGACTCTGAGCCACATCATCACAGCAAACTTCGCAAAGGTTCAGTCATTGGCATAGCTATATCATCTGTCCTCTTTGTCGTGACGTTTCAGGGCGGTATGGTTTATTTCTTGCGAAAACGGTGAAAACCTGTACACGTAGAGAGACCTACAGTCAAAGACTATAGAGTACCAGAGCTTGATGGCCATGATACTTTCTTCAAGGCAGAGCTATCTTATGAGAGTAGAAGAGCAAGACCTGAGCTCTCTAGCCAAGAGACTGAACGGAGACTAGAGCTTTCTGCTGGAGATCTGCCAGCTGTTAGTGAATTAGCAGCAGCTGAAAGACTGGAGCGGGCAGGTGCAATGGTCGATATCGAACCTATCGTCCCAAGGCGCCAGGAGAATCTGAATCCGAGATAAGATCGCGGAGGCCGTCGCAGGTACATGTCGAGTACTGAATCTGAGAGTGGCGGCAAGCCTATCAATCATTGAGCAACTCATGTAGAAGTTTTGTAATAGACTAGTAGGTCTTCTTGATGTATAATACTGATAGCATCAACATAGGGTAGATCAGACTCTAGCCACTTGCTACGAGGGATCCAGCCTATTACATTGCTGGGTAGCGAGTAACTAAGCTACCGCTATAGCCGTCAAAGGATGAAACGCCTCTTCTAAGGGAATTTGATACTTATACCTTCTTTACTCCTCCTTACCATGGATACTCTGCAGCGCGACCCAGCTCACCATAATTCTCTCATCATTCAGCTTCTTAAATGGCGTTCCTTTCGAAACGACACTTATATCACCCCACGCAACGCTAGTACTATCATTTTTGAGGAGTATTCCCCACTGAGTCCTGCAACAGCAACAAGCCAGCGGCAATATCGCTGTACCTCGCCGATTCAGCCTTAGTCCACTGGACATCTTCATTTCAGCCGATGCCACCTATACAGAAGAGGCCCTCAAAGTAAATAGTGCTGGACTGAAACGTCCACTTGGTAGCGGGAAACGGGTACTCATAGTATGGTGACCACCAGTTGCCACTGAGGCGGCCATCATCGCCATGTTCAGCACTCGCGTTCAGCATGGTGGCTACACCGATAGTAGCCGCGCCGTAGAAGTCTGGAAGGTGGTATGTAAGGGCACCAAAAGGGTTCAGATATTGATCAAAGCATAATGATACGATCATGAATTCGAAGCTCTGGTTTTGGAGACAGCCGAGACTGTTGGGATTGTTACACCAGCTCATATCAGAGTCTGATGGGGTCCAGTGTGATGAGATGTTGGGTGACTTGTAGTTGGAGATCTGGGAGTCGATTGTCTCGGCATCTGTGAGTGGCGAATCTCTGGTGTGATTATGTATCTCGGGCAAAGATAATGAACTTGCTGCATTACAGGGCGAAAGCGAGCCAAGAATAGAGATTAATATTATCCTTGAAAGTTGCATGCTGTTGATGTCTCGAGCAAACAAGACGAGCGACTTCGTCCCATTAGGGTGTAGAAGGTATGAGGATTGATTGAATGGAATAAAAATACGCTCTTTTTTTTTCTAGCAGAAAGTCTTCCTGCAACGCCAAAGTTGCCAGAGCGGACGACTCTGCCTCACGCATGATTTGAATCCTTTGCGCCTATCACGGGATCCGAAAAGTACAACCAATGATTATCCATCTACTATCGCCATTCGAAATTTAATCCCAATATTCCTTGGAAGCACATCATGTCAGGCGGGCCGTCCGCACGGCTTTTGGGTAGCATTCCGGTAGATCCGTGTACATGCGCTCCATCAAGGATTATCTCGATATTCTACAAACGGCATGCAGTCACTCTCTGACTACTCCAATCCTTGAAGCCGACGCGAGTGACCGCCATACGTCTTCGGCGATCTCGTCGATCAGGAGCGATGATGGCCCATGTCATAAGAAAGGTGTGAGAACGCAACGTCAAGCTTCGAAGTTCGCCTCTTAATGCCTAGAGTACTAGACCACGTAACCCATCCATTCAGCCCTCCCAGATTGGCTTTCATTCGGTCTCGTGAGTTTCTTGGCTTCAAAAGAAACCGCCAGATATCCAGCGCGCATGCGATTTCGAAGATCTTCTGATTCAATACTAGTGTATCCAAATCGGAGTTTCAGAATCTAAGGCTACTCTTGTCCATCCGTACGGGATCATTGATTCCCTCCATGCCTAAAATATGGACCTGCAAGACCATACTGAATCACTGCCAGCGATTTGGCCATCCGGCCAGATCCGCACAGGTCCTCAAATCACTATTTCACCTAAACAACCTTATCAGCTCCAACAGACTAGTGAAGCCTCAAATACTGAGGCCTCGTTCACATCCATGGTATCATCGTCTTTTTCATCATCTTCCTCATCGTCTTCTTCGTCTTCCTCATCATCCTCCCCGTCACCATCTTCATCATCCTCATCCTCATCCTCAGTCTCCTCCCCCTCCATCTCCTTCCTCATATACTTATCCCACTTTTCCTCCTGATCTCCATAATCCCCCGTGCCCAAATGACACAAATACGGCATATTTCCCTCCCACAAGAACTTCACCATTGCCAGCAATTTCTTATGTCCTCCCTCCATCACCAACTTGTGATAGGAGCCGGGGATGAATTTTACATTGTTCTTGTTGACCGCGGACCCCAAGCATCCGATCCTCATCTTAAACTGCAGATTTTGGCCCAGCTTCTCAGCTAGCGGCCGCGTGAGAATGGCGAAGTCGCTCAAGATGGCATGAGCGATGGGGTGAAAATAGATGCCTAGGTAGGGCACTGGTGATGGTGCCTGCTCTGGTCGTTCGAACTTCAGATAATGTAGAAGAGGTGGTTGGTTGTAAGGGGTGATAGTGAGGGTGGTGAGATTTGGGTACTGAGCGAGTTTACCGAGGCGGCGGAAGAGGAGCTGGGCGGTCCTATTTATGGGGAGGTTGAACTCGTCACACGGGGGTGTGTAAACCGTCATGGGCTTCACGTATTCGATTCGAGAGAGAAACTCGGCTTTTGCGATTGCGGCGACTTCTTCGTCGGCCTCTGTGCTTACCTCATACTTCCCTTCCTTGGGAACGAAATTGGCTTCGTCTTCCTTACTACTACTGATCTCGAGCACAACGTTGCGAATGTATGGTCGGATATCGATCATTGGATCTTTTCTCGACCGTCCGATGATGCAGTGCGTTATGCTCGGAAGAATGGCGTTGAGTTCGAATACGTATGAGGAAAAGAATACCAAGCGAGCTTCCAGTGCAGTGCACAGGCTGGCTGCCTTGATGTCGAGGAGTCCACCCACTTTTCGGGGGAGGTGTATTCTCACGCACGCCTCTTTTGGCTTGTAGCGACTGATCATTACCTGAGGGGCCTGACAGGCGTAGGTGTAGATCATGTACCGAATTTCATAGGGGAGGGAGAGGAACGATGCCATTTTTGTCTCACTAACCAATTCTCAGGAGAGCAGATTGGTTCTGACGATCGTGCGGCGAAACTCTGAGCGGGTAGGCAATGAGATTTATCAGAAAAACTCGAAGAACAAAAGCAGGAAAAGGGCCGCGACACAAGGTCACTCCAGACGGACAAAACATATCTGGAACAATATACTCATGTATAGGTGGACTCTGGGTCAAGACGACGGATACAGAACAATGATCCGGATTGCCGCAAGTGGCAAATTCTGCACTCTGATGTCTCAACAATGACCTATCAGCCAACCCATCGACGACTCTGCATCCAGTGAGGCTCTCTATGATGATCCCCTCCATCCTGCTCCAACGCCGGCGACGGAAAGACGCCATAATCCGTCAGATTGTACGCATTACACGTCGCATTCGCATAAGTCCACGGCGCACAAGACCTGGCACCCACATTAGCCACTGCCTTCACGCAAGAATCAACAACATAGAAAACTCACACAACATCAGAGCAAAGACTTTGCAACCCTTCCTCCTGCCACGGCACCACCCTCTCACTCGGCGAACAGCGCTTGTTAAACGTATTATCCAACGCGATGCCAATACTAATCCCATCGCCGACATGGGTGACGGTATCCGCGGCCTCCACCCCCAAGCTGGTGGCCGCATCCACGATATTATGAATGAAATAGTGCACATAGGGCGCGGGCAGATCCATAAACCTATGCACTATGGTCTGCGAACTGCCTCCCCCATATCTTGGCACGCTCCCGTCCGTGCAGCCGAAGAAGTAGCCGAAGTACGCGTAGAAGGAAACGAGGAGATGGTGCTGATTGCTATGTTTATCAAACGCGGAGATATTCTGGCGAAGCGCGGCCTCGCCGCCGCCATCGAGGAAATTCAGCGCCACGGCCCTACCGTGCCTATTTGTGGAAAGGAGCGAGCCGTTGAAGTATTGGAGCAGATTGACATCGTAGACGTCGTTGCAGGGCCCGCGGTAGCGGGCGTGCGGGTCGAGGAAGCCCGTGCCTTGGTAGGTGCCGTTTGGGTCTTGGGGCCATTTGGGGCCGATGACGGGGGCGTAGTTGCCCACGAAGGCCATGTTGATTACGCGCGTGATCCAGTCGAGTTGGGTGGAGTCTTTGGGGGCGTATTTTTGGCAGAGGGTCGTGTTGGTGGGGATGAGGCTGCCGGGGGGGTAGGAGGGGAGAGGGAGGTTGACGTGCCCGGTCAGGGGGAGCTTGCCGCATGCGTCTTGGGCTGTTGAGAGGGGGAGGATGGTGAAGAGGGGAAGTAGGAGGGTGATGGGGTACTGCATGATGAAGGCTTTGTTGAGAGGGTGTAGTCGAAAACAAACGTCTGGAAGAAGAGGTCGACCCGATGTTCTTAATCCTCTGATGTGTCTCCAATGACGGTAGCGAGAAACAAAGAGCGAAGAGTAAAAGCAAGCCAAGTATAGACAAGCAGAATGTTAAATACTTGACCTGCTGACGCTAGAGAATTAACGCATAGAACATGCAATGTCCTACGGCGAGTTCGCTCCTCGAGAATTGTACCATAACCATCATAATCTTTGGAATGAAAGCGTAGACTATGCCCGGCGCTCAGACCTTGGCTATGATGTTGACCATTGTTCAAGCCCGAAGGCGACCCCATTCAGAGCCAGGCATTCACTCGGCGCCGAGACTGCTCGACCGATTGACTGGGGATCAAAAGTCCAAGCTCTCGACAGGCATATCATAGTCATCGAATCCGGCAAATGAGGGAAGCTTTGGCCTTTTTGAGGCTTGAACCTCTGACTCTCTTGCATAGTGCTTACTCTAAGGCTTAGCTTCGGTCATCTTGTTGCCGTCAATTCCAGATGAATCAGCGCTCGACAACAGTGACCTTAATCTGCTACAGTCAGATTTTTGTGCTACAACACCAAATCGAGTAATTGTGGAGAAGCTTCTCCATAAACTATGCATCATAGTGTGTCTCGGAGAAAACATAAGGTTCTTTACATAATTGTCATGCGCCTTTTGGTCGGTAGCCAAAGGAATCAGCCAGCGTTGGATTTGTGGCGAAGGTCGAAGTTCCTTGCATTGACAATGCAAGTTAGCTTCGGTAACAAAGTAAGTGGTCTAGATAAAGCTTGCTTGCATATTCCAGAAGAAGCTTGTTGGACCTGACGGTCATGCAGGGTTCGGTGGCCGGAAAAGATAAAGTCCGTATTCGTATCGACGATTAATAGAAAGATCTTGTTCTAAGCTCGGACTATTTTAATCAGCGATACAGCTCAGCAAGCGAAAGTGTCGTCAATTCTAGGCCTATGCCGACTCTATGTTGTATTTGTACGAGTAGCGCCAAACCCCAAATAGGCAGGCGACATCAGCCAGTCTGCTCTTGCGCTGCCCTCAGGTCTATCGAAGGTAGGGACAATTTCTTGGGAGCTAATTGCGATTGTATTCATAACTTGGCTGAGGGTTTTGTTTATTGACAAACAGGATCGAGATAATACCGATATACCATTACGCGTAGCTACCGACGTCGCTTTCTATACTTGTTTTAAGAAGTTTCAACCCGCCTCACCGCCATGCAGTAATCTTCTATAATCGAAAGAACGGAAGAAGGGAACGGGATACCAATCACTGGTAAGAATACGAACCATCATCCAATTACAGCCCAGCATCAATCTGATCAATAACCGCCCGCACAGTATAAGCATCCCAAGTCTTACAATTATCAAAAGAGGCCTGTGGGATCTTCTGCGCCCTGATCTTCTTCTCTTGCTCCAGAATATTTGTGTATAGGCCACCAGAAAGATGCCACCCTATGTGGCAATGGAACGGCCAGACACCAGGGTTGTCGCTGTTCCACTGCACTACAATATGTCCATTAGCAGGCAGTACTTGCGTGTCCCTTCGTTGTGGGTTCGCTTCATTGACGATGCTCCCATCCCAGTCTCCATCTCCTGAGCTTAGTACTTGCATCTCGTGCCCGTGCAAATGCCACGGATGGCTTGTTGGGGAGAGATTACGGATGATGGCCCTGATTGTTTCGTTGGTGCCTACGTCGTAGACGTTCCACTGTGGGTCGTACGGGTAGGATGTGTTGCCCTGATTAGCGAGGAGAAGAAGTGGATCGTTGTAGCTTGTTCTGAAGGCGCTGTCGTTCACTGTCCAGATCAGATGGCCGGTTGAGTTGACGGTGACGTTCACTTCCATGTGGAGGGTTGTTGAGGGCTCAAGCGCAGGAATTCGATACGCGGGAACGGCAATCGAGAGATCGCTGTTTGTACAGGGATCGGTTGTGTCGAGCTGCGTGTCGGAATCTGAGGCTGTAGGCGTCAAGGAGGTGTCGGCATGTTCGTAGTATATGGCTGCCAAGGCGAGAGATTGGTCTGTGGGCTCGGTACATTGTCCGGACGTGATGTTGGCGCGCATGAAGTACGTTCCGTTGGGATTGCCGTTGGCAGAGACTATGACATCGGTGCGCTGGCCTACCTGGAATGTAGATCTTAGTACAGCAATGATGGGTAGTGCAGAGTAGTAAGAAAGAAAAGCCTACTGCAAGCGTTACAATGTTTGTGACGTAAGGTTCAACTTGCACGAAATCATTGGCGATAACAGTCATGTTATGATGATCGATGCTGAATTTCTGCATGGCTTGGATGCCTGTATTGATAAGTCGCAGACGGTGCTGCTTTCCGCTCGCGAAGGCAAACTTTGAAATGCCTGCATTATCCGTGCAGGAGCCAGGCAAAGTACTCTTGCTGCAGTCGTAATTCATCTTCCCATTGATGAGATTGTTGTCTGAAGCGGGGCGAACTTTGAGGAGATCAGTGCCCATGACGTCCGTGAGAATGTCGAAGTAGCCTCGGTGGAAGTAGTCGCTTATTGCTACAGGTCCAAGGTCAATGTCGTACGACGCAGTCTCTGGGCCATATATCACCAGCGGTCCCCACAGTCCTTCTAAGTATTGCGCAGAAAAATGAGAGTGGTACCAAGTCGTCCCGTGAGGCGTCGCTTTGAAGCTGTAGGTAAAACTATCGCCAGGTGGGATTGGACATTGAGAGATGCCTGGCACGCCGTCCTCCCACTCAGAATCCGGATGGAGGAAGCCATGCCAGTGCATGGTAGTCCCCTCCTCTGGACCAGTAATCTTGTTGTTTACTGTGACTTGAATGGTATCTCCCCAGTTGGCCTCGATCAGTGGCTGATGACAGTCAGCAAGCGTTCGGCGGTCATGATCGCGAAAAGTCGTACTCCTGGAAAAGCGTTATTGATGAGTAAAGATTGTCTCTCAAAGCCGTCAGGCGCTATGGTCCCTCTGGTGATCGTCAGATCGTATCTTCTCACCACGCCAGTATCTGGTGCGTTAAGGTAGCCATCCGAGTTCTGCGCTGAATAGTTGCTACCCCATGGTGGCTCCGTGTTGGCCGGCTATCGCTAGTCAGTAGCTCAACTAGACATTATGAACAAGACTCTATGTCGCAATCAATATCATAAGTGCGACATTGCGAAAAGCGAAAGCCAGGTTTGAGGCAGTTTATGGGAATAGCTTACATCGCTGGAAAGGAATTTCGGTAATTGCTTCGCTGTTAGTGTTCCCAAGGTTGTTGTACCTATTTGCGCGTCAGTGGCATGTCTAGTATGTCCCATTCTCGCGCATAGGTCGATGTATGCGGCTTACCATTTGTTATGTTCGTTCCAAGTGCCGTAGTGATAGCTATAAACACCATTGGAAGGAGAACGTAGGCCATCCCGAATGTAGTCAGGACTTGAAAGGGTTGCAGTAAAGACTTCTTGTCGGCAGCGAGACTGATGCGCTCTCATGCTCTCTGGGGTTGAGGGAAGATATAAAACTCTGGGCAATTCTCATCTGTGGTTAGCGCGACAAGCCACAGGCTAGACCGAAGTGTTGCCACCATCATCCTGATGAGGCAAACGGTGATGATCAAATAGACTCATTCGGTCGCAGGTGATGAGCCTTAGACCTAAAGGCCTCGAAGGCGAGTACGGTGTAGCTCATGTTCCATGATATTACCACATTGGCACAAAGCTTGTCTATGATCTACGACCCACCTCGGCACAAGCCTTTTAGGGATGCAGATGCAGATGCATTATGCACCTTAGACACATGGCAGGATCCACAGTCGCTCTCACAAGATTTTCAAGTAGCTGACAGCTGCTCATGACCGGCTCGGTGGGTTGTCCAACAGGTGGCCGAATCTTGCATTCATCTCGCTTATCTCAAAAGAAAATTGGCCGGTGCTAAATAACCGTGGTGTCATATTCATGATATTAGTAGTATTGAGATCCAAGTTTGCTCGCAAGATTACGTGCGCTTCTTGATAAACGCATCGAGACCATCGCCGTGAGCCGTGAGCCGTTTGCAAGCAAATCGGAGGCGCACGTCAGACCTCAATCGCAAGGCGCAGAATCAGAATCTCACGAGATGGGTGCGAAGACCTTATCTCCCCCACTTTAACCCCCAAGGTTCTTGGTAGGAGAAGTTATCTGGTGCGATGACAGTATCATTCCGTGAAAGGAGCGAGCACTTTGCTTGAAGTGAAGAAAAAGGGTTTATGACGTCATTGTCTGTTCGGAGTTAGACCTTAGGGCTGCCTCATGCCTAATACGGACGCCAAGCAAATATTCAGCGGTCGCCAAGATTTAATTTCCCAGGATGAATTCTTCAGATCGACAGCTTTGAATACCTTGAACGAAGATGACTGTTGCTAGGTGGGCTGTTAAGTCTCATCAGGTATAAAATTCAAGTGATCTTATTTGCCGTGAAGTAGTAAAGAGGTTCTGATCAGCTTTGCAAGCCGCGCAGAGATGATCAATGAATCCCTGCCCGAGTACATCTTCATTAGAATATGCATCCTCCTTCTTCACTACATCGCACCCTTGAGCATCCTCTTTTCGATCCTGTTCCTCATATTCCCCGACGTGTATCACATACCGCCATGGTTGCAAACCTACCTCTTCGCAGAAGCGTTGTTCTACCTCCTCATCTACGTCCCGCAAAACAGCTATCTTCAACGCGCCGCTGTACATCCGATGGCCTTGACTCGCGACGAGCGCCGTGATCTCTTCAACAGATGTACTACCACTGCGCCTGATCTGGAACGGTACCTTTCGGGGTGGTTCAAGCACGCCCCGCTGTCTCACATTCGACGAGATAATGTCAAACAATTCTTCAGCTGGGCCTTCCTCAACAAGGACAATCATAGCGCCGAAGATGATCGAGAGCTTGATGGCTATGTGGACGGCCTGGAGCAACGCCTTGGGTGGGAGCTTGCGCCCGGTAGGGGCAGCGCGACAAGTCTGAGATTGACCGTCGACAGTGTCAATATGCTGCACAGGAGCCTGCTCTGGTACCTGATTGTCGCCTTAGTGGACACGGTCACCCATGCCCGCCTATTGATGCATTCCTTCTCCTTCTATCGTCTCCCGTTCTCGCGCTTCCTGACCGTCTTTCCTTTCCGCCCGCTCACCTTCTTCAGTCGCCACCAGACCCCGGCAAGGACACTGACGTATTGGTATCGTCCGCATACATCGAAGACCAAGTTGCCGGTCCTATTCATCCATGGCATCGGGATCGGCCTTCATCCATACGTCGATTTCCTCGCCGAACCCAACGACAGTATCCATACCGACGAAGACGAAGTCGGCATCATAGCCCTCGAAATTATGCCAATCAGCTTCCGCATCACCACCCCCATTCCGCGCAAGGAACAAATGCGCGCAGAAATCCTCTCCATCCTCAAGAAACACGAGTGGCACAAAGTCGTTCTCGTCACCCACTCCTACGGCAGCGTCATCGCCACGCATCTCTTACAGACGCCAGAAACCGCCAGCAGAATCGGTCCCATTGTTCTCATCGATCCCGTCTCTTTCTTGCTGCACATCCCCGACGTCGCGTACAATTTCACGGCCCGCCCACCTAAGAGCGCTAGTGAATGGCAGTTGTGGTATTTCGCCTCGAAGGATCCGGGCGTGGCGCACACACTGGCGAGGCAGTTCTTCTGGGCGGAGAATATTTTGTGGCGAGAGGATCTGCACGGGCGCAAAGTGACGGTCGTGCTGTGTGGGAAGGATCTGATCGTCGACACAGAAGCCGTCGGTCGGTATCTCGGCGATTCGCCGAAGTCGGATGATAGCTGGAAGACGCAGGCTTGGAGGGGAGAAGAGTTAGATATTCTTTGGTATCCAGACCTGAATCATTCGCAGGTGTTCGGTGAGAGGGATGATCGAGGTCGGATCTTGAGGGCGATTGGGTCGTATTGTCGACGTCAGCCGTGAAGACGCTGGATCGAGAGTTGGAAGCGCCAAAGAGTACAGGAGGGTCAAAGAGGCGGAATAGCTGTGTCGAAAAAGGTAACCCTGTAGCATTGAAATGCAGTGGTGTCGTCCGCTGGTGGCGATTTTGAGATCTCCTGTCCGACTCTCTGGTTCGTTGGATCGACAGCGTCTTTCGCGACCACTCACTGGATCAAATCGTCTGTACTTACCTGTCTAGGCGTGCTTGATTCGCTCTATGGTCATCTGTTCCACCGGTGAATTCATTTCATGATCCTTGGCACTTCGGTGGCGGAAATTGGCCTTTTGAAATTCACTCCAGCACTTCAGACCTCCATCCAATTTTCAACACGTTTACACTTATCTGCTCGTAGACTCCCACGCCAACTTTTCATCTTCACTCACTCTGAAAGCTCTGGTTCTTTCTGTAGCATCATCATGTATCTCTTCGTGACGCTCTCGGTCTTATTCGTCACCTACCACACGCAGGGATCCCCTCTTATCAAGAAAGCTGTCAACACCACAACTGATCCCGCACATGGTGCCGACACTGTCATCACAGCTCATCAAGCACCTAAGCTAGAACACGTCAACTTCCTGAATTGCAGCAACGACCAGATCAACATCCTCAGCGCGACCGCAACAACAGTCCACCAAGTTCACCAAGAACAACACCTTCGTCCAAGCATTCTGGCCCGCCGACTCTCTCTCCAACGACAACATCACCTACGCCAAGGAGTATTTCTCGCGCATGGCTTCAAAACTGCGCATTAACAGCCGAAACCCCGACCGCCTCAACTTCGACTGCGCGCCCACCTGTGAGGAGGGTGGAATCGCCTACACGATCACCGGCAACAACACCATCGCATTCTGCCCTTTTTTCTGGCAGCAAGAGAGGAACGTGAACGACATGCACTGCGAAGATGGGCAGGCCCTGGCGGCTTATGAATCACGAGGTACGTTCCCAATCACCCACCTATCCGTCGCTAAGGCGACTCCGCTCTGCGTGCGCAAGAGACACTGACGAAGGAAAATGCAAGAACGTACTCTGACGCACGAACTTTCGCACACGCGTATTGCGCCACGGAACGCATCGGGGAAGTATCCTTCCTTCCCTTCCTATGAAGGCCCGTGAGTCCTTCTGTTCTCTCTTGCCTATCTCTATAACCTCTCCCCCTTCCTGCCTTCTCCAAACACTTTCAGGTCATGCATGAGACGAAAGCTGACATCACCACCCCTCCCAACGCAGAGCCATCGACGTCGCATTCTTCGGCGGCGGAGCAGCCTACGGCCCAGATCAAGCTGCAGCGTTGGCGGCAGGGGAGTTCTGGGGGTTCCCGGCGGATTATGCGAGGATTAATGCTGATAATTGGGCTTTGATCGCTTGGGGTACGCCTCGGGCACATACACTCTTACTGTTCGCCCTTAGGGTTAGATGTACTGATTTGAAGACTGCAGGTAATTTCATCCAGAAAAGCTGCGCTGCGAAAACGGGGATTATGGGGTTTCGCGTTCCGCCTGTGTGAAATAGGCGAGGGGTTTTAGTTGCTTTACAGCGATAGCTGAGGGGGAGGGGGTGAGGTGAGATTTGGGAGGGGGAGGGGGTGGGAGATCACTGCGCATACAATACATACGGATGGCGGAGAAGCTGAGCTAGGGATCGACGAAGTTTGGGATGCTAGAGCATGATGGATGGGCAATTCATGCCTTTACAGGCAGATAACTTATGCAAACTTTGTGGCACTCATCAAGAGCGAACAGAGAGATACCCTTTTGCCAGGGCATGTAGCATTTTCGAGCTTCGCGTGATGACTGCCAACACAGATTCAGCTTCACAGCTTATGTCTACACGAGGATTATGGGGGGGGGAAGGGAGTCAACTCAAAGCAGTCATGCAATGTGATCTCGAGGTTTCCTTGGTCTGTCTTCGTCATGAGATCACCGAATAGCCGTTAGAGGGGCGGTGTAGTTGGGGTGGGAAGGGGTGAAAAAGCGTGATGCATGTACTGAGAGGGGTGCCATGATGGGAAGCTGCGAGGTTGAGGTATAGAGTCTGTTGTAGAGATGGGGAGGGTCTGTATGTCAGTCAGGCTTGCAATCGTTGGGGCTGGGTATGAGACATTGAGGAGAGATACAAGGCAAGAGATCTACTGGTCACACGCTTTGATTAACACACTTTGATGAGCAGACACGAACCACTTCGTCAAGGAGATTTCCTTTTCCCGAGCGCAAAAGATTGTCGATCGATTGCAGGCGGTCGAAATAATGACACAGTTGGACAACAAAGAGAGGAAGCCAGCACTTCTTCGTAAGGGAAGACTAAGCAAGTGGCCTAATCCACACTGCTGGTACCTCTGATTACCAAACACTCATGAATGTGCACTATGGCTCTAATAATGACATTGAAGGCAGATCCGCCCACCCACGTACTGATAGTTTTAAAAAGCAAAGTAAGGATTTAATTTGTAGCTTTTATGAAGATGGCCAAGGCATTAATCAACTCCTTTAAGAGGCCTTTTGCGGCCATCTCATTACTACAAAGATGATCATACCGAAATCTAAGTCCATGAAAAGACAATTGGGTTTCTTCTAAATTCGTCAACCAGCGTGATACCACCCTGCCATGTTGGCTTGTCCTGTTCTTCCAGTCCAACCAGCATGCCAGTCTTGAACCTCCATGTCGGTGCAGACATTGGTTGGAGCACCCGTTGGTGTCCTGAATGCTGCGCTGCCTGGTGAGCTGCATGTTCCGCTTGGAAAATTGAGCAGTCAACCTGACCAAACGTGACGTCAACATTGCTGGTTGAGGTATCGAGGCATTGGCGAAGTCCGAGGACAAAGGTTCACTATCACCGCATCTTTGAGCTAGATAGGAAGTGGACTTCGACCTGCGCGTAGTCACCCCAAAGTAAGAAGAAGTGCTGTTGAAGCGCTATCGTGAGTAACGGCCGTATCGAAATTTGTCCCAGGATTGATGAAGATAAGGCTTTCAAGTCGTGACATCATGTCGCCGTCGTCATGTTATGTGTCCTCTTAATCCATACCCAAGGGGTCTGTGTCGTACTCTGCAAACTGACTTGAGGCCGCGTCGTCGTACTCTGAATCTGTATCATGATCTGCAGACCCGTCTTCATTGCTATCATTTTCCGGAGGGAAAAGTAATTCAATCGGGTTGGTGTCCGTAATTCCAAGTACATAATCTGAGGCCTCAAAATCTGCATTTAGATCACTCAGTGTGATCCGCAGTGCGTCAAGAGCTGCGAAAGATATTTTGCTGATATCCCTGAGGAAATTAACCCAGATTTGTGTGCCCCCCATGATCTCATCATCAACTTCTTCGACGCACTCAATATCGATTAGTACCAATGTAGATGCGTATTGGTTAAAGAAGCCCAATAGTCCCGTGACGTCAAGCCAAGTTGCACCATCGACTCTGAATTCACGAAGTGTTTTTAGGTGTAAGTGGCTAAGCGATTTGGACAATCTTTCTTCGGCTTCTCCAAACCATGAGCGAAACGACCCTGCAAATGAAAGCATCAGGTCTTGTAGGGCAGGTGCACGCGTAACGACGCTGACCACTACTTCGTTGTAGAGAGAAACCATTGCGTCCGTATCCTCTTCATGATAGCCAACATCAAGAAAGCGCAAGTTCAGATCTTCTAGGCCTTGCCAATGTGTTGAGTCTGTGAAATCTCTAAGGCTTCGTAAACCTGTGGTTAATGGGTCTTTGTCTGCTAGATCCTCCTGTGGGCCACGCTTCTGGGCAATGTGATGACGCAGCAACCGAAAGTCGCGCAGCGGGTTAGGCAAGTCTCCGATAGCCTGTAGGAGAAGAGGGAAGGTTTTCTCAGGGTCCCAACAATAATCTTTGCCATCACTACTGCTGATGACAGATTTGACGTCATTTGCGCCAATCGCGTGACTTGAAAGAAAGAGATTCACTTGAATGACATTCGGCAAGCGGCGGAATGCTCGTCGAAGGATCTCGCACCCAATTTTCTGACCAGTCTCAGTGTCATAGAGAATGTCTAGATCACGGTAAATCTCTGAGGGCCATTCCCGATTGTCAAGGAGTTCGAACAGATGGCCAGATGAGGTTTTGCTTTCTGGGAAGTAATCCCGAAACCCCCTCCGCATTGGCTCGGGAAGACCGTCAACAGGGTCGACATGGTCAACATTGTCTAGGCGTAATGTAGAGAAATTGATGCATTGGACATACTGTGCACTACAATGACATTAGCTCTCTAGTCTAAATAGCATGAGCATTTACCTCACATCTCAGTGGTGTTAGATAAGTCCGTCAGTCTCCTGAGGCTGTCGACGCCGATCCAGACGGAGAGATAACGGAAGAGGAATGGAGCGGTCGCGTTCGCAAAATACTTATTGACCAGGCGGAGATTGCGCAGCGCAGACCTATCGATCGGATGGGCCCATATGACGTCGTCGATGATCGCATCGACGAGTTCGCATGGAAGCGCTTCCATTGAGTGTCGGAATTACGCAGGCGAAGTACTAAAGCTGGCTATTGTTGATATCGTGAGTGATGTGGAATAGGAGTGAAAAATTTACGAGATGGCTGGGCAGGCAATTTCGGATTTAAAGAGGCGGTCGATGTTTATCTCCGGGCTCCATTATGCCGTCAATCAGAGTCGCGAGAAGTTCAAATTCGGCCTTGCAGCCATATCGATACGACTAGATACTACCTAAGTACGTGAAGAGGCTCGTACGGAAGCACAGCTTTAAATTTCAGACAAAATCATTTGCCTCATTCGTGATCGTTCTCGCTCTCAGCCTCATCGAGTGCTGTTAGCGGATGGTGGTTCGTCTCTCTTCGCACGTAAGCGGTAGCATCAAAGTAAGAGCGATATGATCTAGAGTAGATTATAAAAGACTGTAAGACGTGCCAATCGATCCCCCTTTGCGACCTGAGGAAAAGCGCCCACGCCACTGTTTCGTCAAAAGTGTCCAGGTACACGGTCCGTAGTCTTGAGGATTGTCTAGCAAGCAATAATGACAGAGGCTCCTCAACATTCGTCCCTATTTCCAGCAGTTCAAGCTTGACTAGGTGCAGGAATGGTATTTCGCTCAGAAGATAGGTGAATATGCGGGATGTGTTCGCGCCGAAGTCGACGTTCGCTGGCATTTGTATTCTCACGGAATTTATATACGGCGCTTTGCCAAGAATGCTTACCGCAGCTGATCGGTAGGTTCTCAACGATTCACGATCATAGCCGCCACAATATGCAAGGTTACTCCAATTGAGCTCCAGCCGTTCGAGTTGATTAAGATCGAATTCTTTGGCGAAAGACAAGAGAGCCTCCCAACATGTGTCGTTCACAACGGATGGATAGTCGTTATCGAAGTAGTCAACGGACGGATACAGCTCATCACCATCTTCGTATCGAAAGCGAAACCTACGAAGTGGCGATGATAGACCCCGCATGGCCTTGAAGAGGATGGGTAGAGTGATTTTCAGATCCCACTTGTACTCCTCGTTGTTAAGCACACCGAAACTAGTTTCAAGTTCCTGGCCCCCTATCGAGCAGCTTGTCAAGATGATGTCAATGGCGGTGACCCTTGTCAGACGACGAAAGGCCGATATAAGAACCTCTCGAGCCACACCGGATTTTATAAGATTCTTTTGGACTTCATAGTACCTCTTCCGCTGGGCTTCTTCATCAATAAGTCGCAGTATGCTCGACGCTTGCGTCGTATCCCGAGATAGCTTCTCTCTTAAGAAGTGATAGTCTGAGAAGTGCTGGTATGCGCTCTCTTTGTGGGAAGTGATTTGGAGGGGGGAGAATCTGACTTCGTGAACATGCTGTGCACTGCCTCATCAGTCAATTGGGGGTTTCCCTTATAAGATTGCAAAATAATTCCTCACAGTTCAGAATGACTTGATAGCTCGCTTAGGCGCTGCAGCGATTTGACTCCAAGCCAGACAGAGACTGAGGCAAACAGGGTTGGTGCAGTCATCCTCGCGAAATTTTTGTTGACTAGCCGCAGGTTGCAAAGTCCATCTTTAGGTTCGTACCTTTATCATTTTCGAGTCAGCAATGCTTATTTTGACTGCGAGAAGGAGTCATGGCCATTTCTCTCAAGTCATGGATCCGAGAATATCACTCACGACCCCACATGTGTAATTATCTCCCCCAAGAGTTCGAGCGGCAAACCTTCCATTCCAATCTCAGTGGTCGGCGCGCCCAAGAGAAGGCTCCAAGCTGCTTTCTCAGTTGCACGAGATCGACGTGTCTGGGGCCAGGGGGTTGCAGGAAGGTCAAGGGTTGTATTTCACCAACGTGCAAGAGCGGATCTTTGAACGCGAAAGTCGACGTATCGCGCCAAGCCAGCTGACTCAGCAGCCTAACAGTCTCGGAGATAAGCATAAGTGCCGGATTAGGTCCGATCCCTTTGTGACGAGGACGAGAAGGAAAAGCTCTCACTCCTCGCATGTATTAGTGATACCTACACTATCTGCAAGAGTCTTCTTGCCCTCGGGGATCATGAGAAAAGATCCACCCCTTCCCTTGCATTCGACACGACTCGAAAGCCGTCTCCTCGATACAATTGCACCGCAAGCACCTCGAATGACTTCTTGGCCGCCAAAAGCTCACTCAAAGTCAAGCCCACCGTCTACACTATCCCTCTCACTCACTGTCCGGATACAGGCAAGGCAGCAACGGATTCTCCAAAACCTTCATCCGCACGAAAGCGGCCACCTCGACATCGGGTTCCTCCGTCACCAATGCATAGGAATAGAAAACCATCTTGAAAGACCGTAGGACATGCCAGCCAGGTCGTCTCTGCGCGGCCAGAAACCCCAGCCACTTTCTTGGGTTGTCTCCGACCTGCAGGAGGACGTGGCGGAGTTTAAAGAAATGTTTCGCTAGCATGGCTGACAGGGGCGCTGCGACGCTGATCGTGAGGTCTATGAGTTCAAGGCTTGTTAGATGCAGGCACGGTTCCTCGCTTAGAGCTTTCGTGAATCGGTAACGATTTTCGGCTTCTCCCTCGTCGCCCTGATGGTCTTTTCCTGGAATCTGAATCCTCATTGATTTGAGATGGGGCGCTCGATGCAAAATGGTTTTCACGCTTGCAGAGTATTGATCGAAAACGTCCTGGTTGCGCTTATCTCTCTCTATGGGCTCGGAGTAGTAATAGTTCAGTTCCAGCGTCTCAAGGTGCGTGAAATCGTGATCCTGCGAAAGCTGTAAGAGGGCTTTCATTCCGATGCTATGCCGGGTATAACTCCCTGAACTATTGCGTAAGCGTTTTTTTGGGCTCCATGTGTTATCAGTATCCTGGAAACGGAAGCAATGAAGGGGGGACGGTAAAGCCTTCAGAGCCGTGAAGAGAAGGGGCAAAGTCGTCCCCAAATCCCAGTAGTATTCGGTACCCTCGAGATCACCAAAGAACTTGCCAAGCTCTTTTGCGCCTGTCGAGCGGTCCATTAAAAGAATGTCTATCTTTTGGACACCCGGCAAGCGACAGAAGGCGGAGCGTAGGAGCTCCAGAGCCGCATGTGTTTTCAGGAGATAAACTTGCGCCGCGCGATATCTTTGGTATTGCGCATCACGTTCGATTTGCTCCAGTATCTCCGAGGCATACAGATCGTTCTTCGTCAGATTATCTCTTAAGTTAAGAAAGCCTCGACTCGAGGGTTGCTCCGTTCGCCTGATCTGGAGGGGCGAGAATCTGATTTCGTGAACGTATTGCGCCCTATGTCACAACTCAGCACTTCTTTTAACGCATAGCGGTCAGTGGATCCTTACAACTCATAGTGCCTCGATATATTAGTCAGATGTTGCAGCGACTGGACTCCAAACCAGACCGAAACCGAAGCGAAAAGTGCTGGTGCGGAGATCTTCGCCAGATACTTATTAACTAAGCGCAGGCTACGAATATCATCTTTTTCATTGAATGAGATGACGATTGCCATAATCTCATCCCATATTTCTCGAGGTAGCGTCTCCATTTTGGCGTAGGTACGTACCCACAGCAACTAGATTTGATGGTAGACTACTGCGATAAACACACACTAGCTTAACCTACTTGACGCGTCACATCACAGCCCTCTGACGCAATCGTTGATGATAAGCACGTGAACGTGGTAAACACGAGATATGACAGTTCAGAGTGTTACTGTTTTCACTAGGCTTGATGACTTAGCACGAGTGTTGCCTTCGGAGATAAGCGTTCCGAGATCTTGTGGAGCCTTAGATGTAAGGCTTTATTATCTTTAAAGACTAGATAGTGTCAGGCGCATAATTTCCAGCCATTGGATCTTTTATCCGCCTATAAAGAAGTTAAGCAGTGCTAAGATATTTTATCTAGCTATCTGTTAATAGTTTAATAAGCTTAAATATAGTAATATAATAAGTTATAAATCTAATATTAGCTATGCTAGCCTAGGGTTTAAAGGTTTAAAAACCTTATTATTAAATATTTATACTAGCTAAAAACTAACTCTCTTGCTAGTAAAACTATATAGCTACCCTTAGGCTAGCTAAACCTTTTTATTAATATAGCTTTAAAGTTTATATTTATAAATCTATATATAAAAATAATAAGTAAGTATTCTAAAAGCTTTTTAATTAATAGAAATAATTATAAAAATAATAGAATAAAAACTATTAAAATACTATATAAAAGCCTAAAAAATTAAATAACATGAGTTTTTAACTTACTAACCTTTAATCTAGCTAGATCTTTTAATAGTTTAATAAGCTTAAATATAATAATATAATAAGTTATAAATCTAATATTAGCTATATTAACCTAGGGTTTAAAGGTCGAAAAACCTTATTATTAAATATCTATATTAGCTAAAGATTAACTTTTTTACTAATAAAACTATATAGTTGCCTTTAAACTAGCTAAACCTATACCTAAACCTAGTAGTTAAATAACTACCTTAAAAAAGTGAAGCTAAGAAGTGTAGCTTTTTAATAATAGTTATATAAAGTAATAATATTATAGATTATAATGAGAGTAGGATAGGGATATCCTAATTAGGCTTAGCTTAGCCCTACTTAGCCTAGTATAAGCGTTACTTCTATTATAGCTTGTTAGATAGCTAATAATTAATTTATTATTAACTAACTATATTATATATATTACTTATTAAGGCTTGTACCTAGTGTATTTCCTTATAAATAAATTAAAATCTTTTTATAAATTAAGAAGCTATATATAATATTATATATAATATTAAATTCCTTAGAGGTTAAATCTTTTATAAATTATATAATTAGGCTATTAATAAATTTAATAAGATCTTTAGCTTAAAAAGTACTTTTTTAAACCTTTTTAATATATTTAGGATTAAGTTTAAAGATCTAACTTTTAAAATTATATTAAAGGGAAAGTTATTTACTATCTAATATGTTTATAAAATTTATATATAGCTTTTACTATATAGGAGGGCGTCTATAGAAATCCCCTACCCTATAACCTAAATAAAAAAAGTATATAAAAAAGGTATACTTAAAAGGAGGAAAAAATATAAAGTAGCTTTAATAAGAAGGGTATATAATAGTTAAAAGCTATAATAAGTTTTCTAAAAAAAATTCTATTATTATTATTTAAAAGTCTTTTACTTTTAATATTATTAATAAATTATAATTATAAATAGAAAGTACTTAAAAGATAGCTAAAAGAAGAGGAGCTAATTTTAGCTAACTTTAAAAAGCTAGGCTTTAAGTTATTTATTATTTTTATTTTAATAATAAAGTCTTTAAGGTAGTAGTATATAATAAGGTATTATAAGCTAAGAGGAGGATTATTATAATTATAGACTCTTATTACTTATAAATTTTCTAACTTTAATATTAATAATAATAAGGTTACCTGCTATTTTATAGGCTTTAAGTATTTTTTTTTCTATAAAGACAGTATAATAAGGGAGAGAAGCTCTAAATAGTGGAATTAAAAGCGAGGTATTATAATACTATATTAGTACAAAAACTAACTATACTTAAAATTGTATTCTAAAAGCCCCTTAATTAATAGAAATAATTATAGGAATAATAGAGTAAGGGCTGCTAAAATACTATATAAAAGCCTAAGGAATTAAACAAAATAAGCTCTTGGAACACTAACCCCTAGTCTAGCTAGATCCTTAATTTGAATCTGTATCTATAACGTTGGGCGAAGCAGTCACAAGTCTTCCAATAGACTGTCTTCTTCAATGCCTCGATTTTAAGATAGCTAAACTTCGAATTCCTCCTCGTCACTCTGGCCATCAAGCAAGTTCGATGAGCTCTTCCATTGGATTCTGGTCCGTCTTCATACTCACGTACGCGGTAATATTCCAGCAGATTGGCTCATGTGATGGGCAGTAGCGTGACATTTCGAAGACCTCCAGCCTTTGCCAACCGGCTCGTCTCTGGGTCGTCACAAATGCGGTCCAGTCCGATTGTTGATCACTGAATTCGAGGGACACCTTTTCCAATGCGAAGAATCGATTGTCGAGCATCTTCGATAGGGGTTGCTGGACCATGACTCGCAAGTTGATTAACTCGAGCGTTTGCAGATACGAAAAGGGTACTTGGCTAAGGGATTCGGTAAATTTGTACTGATTGTTGTGCTCTGGTTTGAGACTGGGAGGGATTTGTATCTTTACGTGCTTCAGACGTAAAGCCTTGCGAAGTATATTCTTTGTAGCGGAAAAGTAGTCGTCGAAATGATCGTGATTGCGCCAGCGTTCTGCGAAGAGATCTTGATAGTCATGACTTAACTCTAGTCGTTCAAGCTGAGCAAAGTTGAAAGTCGTCGTGAAGGGTGCGAGTGCCCCCATCTCCGAAGCACCACTCTCCCTGTGTTCCCTGATCATATCCCTATCGAAGCAATGCAGCCCTTCCTCTTCTCCATAGCGAATGCGAAAAGAGCGTACCGACCCGGGCAATGACATCATAGAGTCAAATAGGATAGGTAAAGTCTTTGCTGAATCCCACCAAGAGAGGGTTTCCTGAATCAGCTTAAACTCATTCATGAGCTCTTTCGCGCCAGTAACACTGTCCGCTAGGTCAATGTCGATTGTGTGAACGCATGGTAGTTGACGGAATGCTGATCGAAGAATTTCTAGCGCGGCTCCAGAAGTATGCAACAAGGTATTTTGCATTTCCCAGTATTTTTCATGCTGAGCTTCATCATCGATGAGTTGTAGCAGACGTAGAGCCTGCTTCTGGTTTTTCACTTTTGTCTTCCTCAATTTGTGGTAATGATCATCAGGAAAGTACGCGTACTCGCTATATTCGTATGTATCGATTTGAAGGGGAGAGAACTTGATCCTGTGGACGAGAGGCGAGCTATGTCTCGCTAAGTCATGGATGTAATTGGTGAACAGAATGCTCAAATCTTACGTTGATCGTGTCTCCGAAATCTTTGTCAGTCGCTTCAGAGACTTAGCTTCAAGCCATATAGACACTGAGTCGAAGAGTGCCTGACCAGCGACGCTTGCGCAATGTTGGTTGACGAGCCGGAGGTTACATATATCATCGCCATCGTCTGACAGAGCAACCTGCGCTACCACCTCGCCGATCAATTCTTGCGGTAATGTATTCAAAGCCATGTGCAGGTCGACGACGGCGTGGTACGAGAAGCACCGATGGGTGTGGGTAGTAGGTAGTGTCGAGCAACGCGGCCATATTGACGCTATGCCTAAAGAAGATCGACACCTCTTGGCGTTACTCTTGGCAGCAGCGTCAATGTAATTAGGAAATGAAGTGAATGTTTTATTCAACACTTAAGGTACTAGTCATATCATTACCTTTCTAAATGAAGAAACGACTGTTGCTAAGAAGGCATGTATTGAAAAGCACACAAAGACCGGCTATTGACCACCTTCATTTCGCTTTGCAAACATATCAATCCGACTCAGAGGCTATCACTGGACACATCTTAGTTACACGAATTGAGCCCCTAACTCACGAGTCTGCAATACCATCTCCGTCATCATTGATACCAGGATCCAAAGGGTTCTCTTCCGTCTGCATGCGCACATAGGACGTGACATCATAACAGCACCTCCACGACTCACCGCTAAAGAAACACATCCTGAAGGACTTCAAATCATTCCATTGGATCCGCCGCTGCGCCTCGAGAAACGAAGCCCAATACGCTGCCTCGTCGAAGCATTCAAGATAAATTGTCCGCGGTGTGAATGTTCGCTCCTTGATAAGCTTTGTCAGAAGATCCACGATCCAGATACTGAGATCTAATAGTGCGAGCGAGGTGAGGCGAGAGAGTGGTATCTCACCCATAAGCCTGTTGAATGCGTGCGAATTCCAAAGGTCAGATGCTAAGGCATTGGAGGGGACTTGCAGCCTCAAGGATTTCAGGCGCGAGGATTTGCGGAAGATATCTGCCGTTGCTGCGAGATATTGGTCGAAGCCATCCTCGTGGTTCTGGTAGTCATGTTGCGCGCGTTCACTGTAATGTAGCTCCAAGTCCTCGAGTCGCGTCCAGTCTATTTTCTTTGTGTAAAGTGCCAGCATTCTAGTTCCTAGGTAGGACGCCTCGTACGCTACCTTCTTGCGCGATCTCTTCAAATATTTGGTCTGGTGGTTCGATGTTGTGTCGTTGTCGTATCGGAAACGGAAGGTGCTCAATGGCGACGGCAGAGCGTCCAGAGCTTCGAATAGAAAGGGCAGGGGATTGTCTTGATCCCACCGATATCTATTGCAATCCAGCATGTTGAAAGTCGTCGTTAACTCGTTGGATCCTGTTATGCGGCAGTCTAACACGATGTCAATCGTGCGAACCATGTCTAAGCGTTGAAACGCCGCTTTCAGGACCCGATTCACAGCCGATGATGTGTAAAGCAATTCTTGTGCCTTTAGGAACCTTCCATGCTGGGTGTCATCGTCCACGTATTGCAATAACTGTGAGGGTTCTATTTCCCCTCGTTCAACTTGCTTTTCTAGCTCGTGATATTTAAGGGAGGACGACTGTCTTGCATCATGGGGTGTGTGGAATTGAAGAGGGGAGAATCTGATCGCTTTGACATACTGCACGCTACATCTTGAGTAAGCTCCATTTCTCCGTAACAGGCCGAATTACTTACATTCCGCGGTGTTTCGACAACTCTGCAAGCTTGCGCAGAGATTTGGACCCCAGCCAGAGGGAGATTGAGGCAAAGGTTTTTGGCGTCGTGAGGTTGTTGAATTGCTTATTGACAAGTCGGAGATTGCAGAGCCCATCTTCACGGTCGAAAATGGCCACATTTGTAATGATTTGATCCAGCAACTCCAGCGGCAGTGTCTCCATCTTCTTGTAGCAAGTCAGAGCTGCTTGGGTGGATTGCGATTTGTGAAAAGCGGGATCAGTATGCCCTGTGACTCACGCCTTAGCGCCTGACAAGTCTAGTACACTCTTGTCACTGTTCCAGAGGTGAACGCGAGAAGTCTCGGGTCATGTTGGCCGGAAGTGTCGTACAGTGTCGTACAAACAGAACTGTGTCATTGTGTTTCGCCACACTTGCTGACTCAGCAACAATGCAATCCAGGGACAAAGGGCAACAGAATCTAAGCCTTAGGTGACGACGTACTGTCAGCAAAGCGAGATATCTGCACTGACATCAGCCTGGACATACTCCGCTGCCTTGAACGTATTAAGAAGATCCGGGGGTACCTTATGCTCATTTCGAGTGTCAGATTGCCACCTAGACATGTTCATATCGTCTAGAGAAAAATGAAGGTGTCGACTTGGGTCTCATCATTATGAGAGATTCTACGTCCCTTCGAGGCTCAACACGTCGAAACGGCGATTCATTTTTCTTCCATGCAAATAATTTAGCGATTTTAGTACGACACAATATCTCTCTCGCCATTTGATCCCACCATCATTCATCTCACATTGAAGCGTCTTCGTCTGGACCCTTTAAAGTATCAAATACCTTTCGAAGATGACGACTTGCCGAGAAGCTTCGTACCCGACGCCCCTGAATGGACATGTAAATCTTAGTCTGTGGGCAGCCCAACAGCCGCAGGAGCAGACTGTTCCCAATCTCGACAAATATGCCGAACAGACGGACCAAATCTCGACGTCCTTGAGGCGTATCGATTGCCCAAAACAAGGGATCAAGAAAAAATGGGAGCCAGACTTGGTCGAGGACTGTCGAGATCCCAGTTTCAAGAGGCAAAAAGAAGGGGTCTACCTTTGCAGCCTAGAGTCTGCAATGGCATCAAAAATGGCCCATTATCAGCCTCCTCAAGAGCGTGCATTACCTTCAAGACGGCTTAGGGCCCCTCGTCGAATGTCGACACGCTCCATGCATTGCCAGCGTGTAGCGCTTGCCTCTAAGCGAAAACATGTCATGATCTGGCCCCAGAGAGATGATAAGTATTTTACCACGACCTATGATACTTACAATAGACACTACGTATGTGAATTCTCATCAGACAGGAAGTTAACGGAATACTGACCACAGAACAGGCTTCTAATAAGATCTACCCGAAATTCGCAACCGCTGGAGAAAATTTCCCAGCCATCAACGGGAAGACACTCCGGCCAACTAAGGGCGAGAGTGATGATAGATTATCAAACCAATGGCTAGCACAGCTTCAACATACCCCTTGTCAGGGCCGCTTTCCATACAGCGGCCATGATTTGGTAGACAAATCGACGAACAAAAAAACCTATTTCTGGAAATGCCAAGAGAGTATGAGTCATGAACAGAGAATCAAGAAACAGAAAGAACGTCAGTTTCAGGAAAATAGCCCGCAGACCTTGATGAGAGGAAAGCGCGAGGAAGGCATGGAGGGGAAAGTCTACCGTCACCATATCCCTGACACGGTACCTCTTCCAAAGAGGACTCGATGTGTGGAAAATGAACACCGAGACTTTGATGGATACATGGACTACGAGGTCTGCTTCTAAGACGGAGACTCTTCAATCTCCAGCAGTAATCGCCAAAATGCGAGAAATAGAAAGGATGCTTTGTGCTCTCTGATTGTATGCGACGACACTGCCAGAGCTGGGGGCTTTTTGCAGGGGAGAGGAAAAAAAGAAAGCATGAAAGCACAAAAAGCTCTAAGAATTCTGGGACGTAGAGACACGTTATGCCGACTTGGCCTGCTACACCGTTTAGTTATATGGAAATCTAGATTCGCAAAAAGAGATTCTTTAGCCTACAGCACAAACGAAAGCTGGACTGCCAGCTAGGATGACACATTTCAATACGATAGAGACACCTGGGGTAAATTGAACCGTTGGGTCGTGGCTCTCAGTGATGCTATATTTCAAGAGGCAGGCTTAGCAAAAAAAGCATCTGGGTCATGGAAAGGAATATAGGACATTAACGGGAGAATACATTGGAGAGGCACTAGCGGCAATGTTAGCCTCTAGGCCGAGAGACAAATGCAAGGTTGTAATACATGGATGGCTTGTTTGGAGAGGCGTTGAAGGCGACAGAAGCCTTTAGGCCATGGATATACATCGAAGGCGATGGTACAGGGAGGGCAGATAAGGGGACATTAAAGGCATAGTACTTTATGCCGAGGACATCATTAGGATAATGCATATACTTGAAAATCCAGTTCGCTGTCCAAGGTCACGTCTTGTGTGTAAGAGAATTATTACAAAAGAAGAATCCATAAACGGCAAAACTTCTCGAAGCCCCATATACCTATCGTGATATTTTGGTATGATAGTTTCCCATACATGCATGCTCATCTAGCTCTATCATGATCATCTTTATTAAACCCAACATTGGTCCTTCCTTTCCATAGCTAGAGTCACGTGACGCCGCGCCTTCATAGTCATCTTTTATCTCCACGCCCTGTCCCTACGACTTGATGCATCTGTACCATCGAGTTTCACAGCACTGGTCGATTACCCTGTGCTCTCGTCACAGCAGGTGAACTCGGCCTTTGACTAGTGCTGAAGGCGCGATGAGAAAGACATTGCTGATTTGTTTGTAAAAGACTTTGAGCTCGAGCACTCGCTAATGCGTATGAGATTGGCAGTATTCGCGTCTGGCTCACTCAATTCACTGTACTAGATCTCCTTTACCCGTTTGCACTTTCACTGTTTCCATTCCACTCAGTCCACATCCTGATTAGGCTTGATAGCGTGCAGCATGGGTAAGCGATTGAATTATTTCCTAGTCTGGCAGAAGTGGTATCTATTCTCCCATAAGGGCCTTCGGCAACCCTAACCCTAATTCTTGCCTTTTGTGGTAGCGAGCGCAACAATTCCGGCAAATTCCCACAACCCGCCACTCTTCTACTCTTCTCCCACCTTTCACACTTCACCTTCTCCAAGTCACTTTCCAGCCCAAGATTCACATCTCCATCGTTTCAACGCAGCTACTACAACTGCAGCTTACTCTTCACAACTCACTCTTCACAGCAAATACTTTGCAGTACACCCTCTCATCACCACCTGTGCACCAGCAGCATCTCCACGCCGCGCGTCGATCTAAACACCAGTTCTCATCTCTACCACCACCAAGCGCAGCTCCTCCACTACCCTCTTCTCGCGTGCTTTTCCTTCATCATGCAACCACACAAGTCTACCAGCGGCTCAAAGAGTGACTCGTACAAAGCGAATCGAGACCAAAAGCAACGCGAGCACCAGAAACCTGGCTCGCAAATTCAAGATGGACGCATCAGCAAGTCTCAACACCAGACCACTCAGAAGAAATGCAAGCCAGTCCAAAGCCCGCCGGCCACCAGCACCAAGCTCATCAAGGTCCACGTCAACAATCGCCTGGGCAAGAATGGCGAGGTGCTCTGTTTGCCTTCCGACAATATTGGGGATTTCAAGAAGATGGCAGCCTATCAAATGGGTATAAAGGCACAGGATGTAATGCTTAAGAGGCAGGGGCTGCGGCCCTACAGGGATCACTTGACATTGGAGGACTACGAGATCGGAACTGGTTCGTCGCTGGATTTCGAGATGGATACCGGAGACTAGGAGTACACACTGCGTTTAGAGGGATCTGGGTCGGTTCTGTCCCATGTATATACCTTTTCTGTTTGCTTTGGTGGACGACTTGGTAGTACGAGTGTTATGACGTCGTTCGATTTTCCTGAGTCTTTTTCTCACTTTGTCTCACTGCTTAGGCCGATAATTGTCACACCTCTTTCATCAAGACACTGTATGGACTGCACGACAATGGGAAGGTGGAGTTTGAGCCTTAATAGGGTCGTTTGAGGACTTTTGAGAGATATCAAGGGAAGAATAAACCGCTGAGTCAAGGATTTCAATGACGGTGGATATGCCGACTTGGCTTGCTGTGGCGTTATGTTACAGAGATTTTGGATTCGAAAAATGTTATTTTATGGACCGGATGACAGAGGAAAGATGAAGAATAAGCTTTAACAGTATATTTGGGATCTTAAAAGAGACACTGGGGGAAAAAAACCTTTGGGTTGAAATATTCAACGACGATGAATAGCGAACGGGGTGACATTTTGGAGAGATATTGAGGGCAATTAAAGTCTTCGGGTCATGACAAGGAGATCTGTGGGAGAGGCATCAAAGGCAACACAAGGCTTTAGGTCTTGGATATGAAAGGAAGGCGATGTCTTGTAAAGGATTATTGGGAAGGTACTAATGCAAAAGAGTGCAGGCCAAGGAGCGGATTCACTAGGACTATCAGCCGATGAGCAGATTTCCGCAACGTGAGCATGTATCTTTGGCGGCAGCAAGCGGGTGGATAACAAGTGCTAAGAAGGGAAAGAACAAGATAGTATTCTGAAGCTTCTCAAGTACCTTGTGTCGTTTTCTATATAAATTTGATTTGGCTTTGACAACCTTCCTTGAGCCCAAACCTCGTCTGTTTTGTAAATTCCGCATGTTGCTTCAAACCATGTCTTTGTATTTATCCTCTATCACAATATTCTTTCATCACGTTGAGAATCATATACCATGAACATCCGCTGCACCCGTCGATTATTACCGTTGGAGGAGCAATTAGTTGTTCTGTCAAAGAAATTCGATTTCGAGTAGTTCTCGTTAGGCGAATAGAGCTAGCGATGTTCACTTTCGTTCCTCTTGTCTCATCCCATATGTCTTCATTCTCCTCTACCCACTTCAGTTGTTTCCATTCCGCTCGCTCCACATCTCCTGATTAGGTTTGATAGCGTGCAGCATGTGTAAAATCTCCCAGTCCGGCAGAAGTGGTTAGTCTATTTCTCCTAAACGCCTTCGGCAGCTTTTCGATGCCAGATTCTACTTCTGGGAGATCTTCCTCAGGTGATTTCAAGGGTACATCTGGCTGCTTGCTTTTCGTTTCAGCGAACAGACACCACGCCAGATTCTATGATACATTTCTATCTTGAAATCATCATTTTCGTCTCTGTTGGCGGTTGCTAAGTCTGTCTGTACCAGTTATGTGCGTTCGAAATGGTGATCGGAAGCACGGCCAGAAGTTGCCAAAAAATGCATCTTTGAGACCTCCGTCATCGGACATGGTATACGTCCCGTACACGTATGAAGCACCTTTTTCTTACGGCTGGTGGTTGGCGCGTTGTAGCGCTGCAAGAGAATTTGTCTGCTCTGATATCTGATATATATATATTTAGCCGCAGATCGTGGTCTATTGGCTGATGTTGTCGGACCATAGTGCCTGCGAGTGTCTCGTTTGCCAAAGCCAGCAAAAGAGAAGTTTGGGTTAGGGTTCTTGAAGCTCTCTCTGGCCGGGGATACGCCTGCTTGCTTCCCACTTCTTTTCATCCCCGTTAGTTTCAACGTTGTCCGTCTCACCAGGGCTCTGAAGTCGCCCTCTGTATATGCGCTGGTGGTGTCTGCAATATTCCCTATCTTTGAGAACCTAGCATGGTTTGTCGGCTATGACACAAGGCGTGCTCACTTTTGAGTCTACATGATGTCTCTTTCGATCCTCGAGTGGGTTCGTGTCTTCTGCCAGATTCTTGGGCGCAAGCTTCGTAAGATTTAACATTGGCCGGGTTCTTGAATCTCCCTGGCGGAATTGTTTGTCTGGGATCTGGCGACAAAGCGCATGGAAGATAAGCCTTCGGCTGCCTTCTAACCGGTTTAAAATTGTTGAACGATCGTCGGCGCACAATCTACCCAAGCTGATGATGTTGTCGTGGGAAATGGGGTATCGACTTTAGTAGAGGTTCATTCATTCGGCCAGGCCTCTAAGCATGGCTGTTCGAGCGAATGTTGAGACATAATTCATGGAAGACCAAATGGCTCTATGTCCCCATGCTTTGCTAGTCTTTCATGGCCGACAGATGTCTCGCAAGGACCGAACTTAATTTTACAAGTGGATGCTGCAAGTGATACAACGACATTCTGCATCCGGCCATCAACTTCGCTGCCGCCCGTTCCAAGGATGCAAGTAACAGGTGACGAAGTTACGGCTGTGTTACTCCAAACGAATCCAAAAGATCCCGTTCTGGATTCTGGCTGATCTTGATTTTCTCTTGATCAGCTAACTGATCCTCTTCAGGAGTAGTCTTTTCTCTCTACATGGTCGTTATGCTTGTCCAGCCAACGAATTGTGTATGGTATGGTTGGAGTCTGTTGTCAACAGTCTACTTGGTGGCAAAAACTAGCTTCCAAGGCCCAGGAAAGACGAGGAGAACCAAGATATGGGAGCAGATCCATATTGGGCAATACCTAGCAAAAGTCGCCCTGTGTTGACGCTCCTGTCTGAACGTGTTCACATTTGCGTGAGAGCAGTTTGCGACACCTGCCAATCCCTCAACACCGGTAGATCCGTCTCACTGGGATACTTGACCAAGATCGTGACATCTGTTGTCTTTCATGGTCTCGACAAGGTCGTTGAACGATGTCAACTTGTCGCAAGCTCTTGTTCCTCAAGATCTTTGCGCCTTCCCCAACGACTTGACTGTCCGGTCATCACGCAGATTCTTTGAATCGAAACTCGAGTCTGTGCCACGTCGATCCGATGTTTCGAAGCTGCCTGGCTATTGGAGGCGTCTGTCACAGGTGAAACGGGAGAGAAGCTAAAGTAGTCTCCGATTAAGGGGATCGATGACGGTGTGGAACTCCACCCATTCATGAGGCCCCCATCTTATCGTTCTTAATATTATATATATATTTAGGGCCTTTTTTGCAAGGCATCCATCGTATTGACCTGTATCAGTAACGCAGGCTCCATTAGAGACTGGTTCGATGGTACTTTCAACAAGATCATGACTTCCCCACGATGCGGAGTACAGGAAAACCCCTTCAGCGCTCTGCTCGCTGTATCTCAGGCTAAAAATGCCCTACTTTCTTGTCTTTGTCGAGACTTGACGAATTCAGCGGAGTGCGAGGGGCTGCTGTCGATGGGAACCGTTATATCTCGCGTTGTTCTTTCACTCCATCATAGCTGTCCTGTGGGTCCAGCCGCCCGATTCGAATGATTCAGGCTCTTGGATTATATCCGTGGAGGTTGTCTACTTCGATGATACCGTTCGTGTCTATGGAAGGTAGTTCATAGACTTGGTCGATATCTTCGTCACTATTCGTGAAAGTTGCTTCTAGCTCCTCGCTGGTGTCCGGCTCATCCTCGCTATCATCCGAGACGTAAGGGTTTGGTGCCCTAAATATCTTTGGGGGCTCAGGGTTCTCGGGTCCCGAGCCATTATATGGGTCATTTAAGCTCATCGGTTCAACGCCTCTCGATAGTGCAGAGTCTGGCTCCCAAGGCACCCACTCCAATGTATTGGCAGGATCGGAGACAACCATAATCTGATAGACTTATCATCATAAGTCTATCAGAATCACACGCCCGATCCGCAACCCTTCGACGTGAGACAACTATCCCCTGCTGGTCGTAAAACAGCAAACAAATACAAGTCATTCCTCCAGAGCACCGCTCCCAAGGAATACCTTGGCACCGTCGCTGTCATGTTTCACGGCTGCGTTTTTTGGTAGCAACTCACGAGTGTACAGGGCTCGTCGTGGCTGTCGTGAGGAATTCTGTGAGCGAGACGGACTCCTTGGATAGCGGCTTATATATATTTAGTCGGCTTAATATGCAATTGCCAGAAGAGCAACATAGCGTTCCTTCTTGAGAGCACTTGTGAGGCTGCTCCAGGACAAGCGTTGGATTTTGCTCTCTACCGCCTTTTGTACAGGGAACACGAGCAGAGTATCAGTCGCGTGGGGTTGAAGTCATGCGTTGTGGAAACACCATGTCTATGTGTCCCATGAGATGGTCTGTAGGTCGATAGAGATATTGCCACTGATCGAGCAGGGAGTCCTGACGATGTAGGCCAGTCCACCAGCCTTCGAGTATGTGTCAGGCTTGGGGAAAGCTGCAGCTCGACCTTCGCTGCGGCTCAGTGTCAAAGCAGTTCTTTTCTTGAGGAGTGCCTCGTTCTGAATTGTCACGTTTCATCGCGATAGAGGAGCAGATCGATAATTTGGTCTCTAGGACTTCGTGATAGTAGTGATGGGTCCAGGGTTGTGCACGTCGTCTTTCACTCGGTCACTCCGTGCATCTGCCCAAGACTAGCGCGATGAAGTAGTCGAGTTTGAGTGCTAAGGTAAGAGATTGCTAAGACTCTAGACTCTAGAGTTCTCCGCCTCTACCTCCATTGGCAGGGTAGATTCTTCTTCCTCTAGAGGTAGCAACGGCCCGTTAACGCCGTATATAGCCGTGAGACGCTCTCTGACCTGACGACCAACTTCATTAAGCTTGAATTGACGAATCTTCTCCTGAAGTCCTAGTGACGCTAGGTGTCTCTTTGCTCGTTCAGAAGTGTCTTCATCTCCTATGAACGCGTCGTTCTGACAGGTCACGCAGCGAGATCTTCTCATTTGCTACCGCTCTTCTGTCCAGATTTGTCACGACTGTCCTCGAAAGTACTTTCGTGCTCCCATCCCTGGCTATCCACACGCCCTGACTTGCTGCAAGTAAAGACCCATCCTGTATGGGTCTTGTAGTAAACCTGAGGCTCTCAGCAACACTCTCGGCAGAGACCATATACCTTCTGAGTTGTGGTAGTGCAACTGGAAGATGCCGCAGTTTTGTCGGAGCGCGAAAGTTCAATCCACCCTGCGATGGCGTCTGGCTGTGAGTATATATATATTTAGAATCATGAATACTGAAGTTCTGGAAGATGAGGAGCGACTGTGGAGCGTATAGCTGTTGCACCAAAGTCTAGTGATACGTTGATGTGCTTTCCTCTGGTGTAGATGTCGACGCTTTGTCGATAGCATGCAGTATACATGGCTCCCCAGGAGGTTTCTAGTTTGAGACTCTGATTGTGATCGGTGACGCGGGTGTGGTAATCGGGATTGGACGGACGTCAGAGGATCGTGATTGCCCTGATAAAGCTGGGCGTAAAGGTTCGATCTAGATCTCTTCAGCTTCATGCTCTCCTGTCTGAGTCAGTTGCGAGAGGCTCTTCTTTCCCGCATTCGCTCTCAGCTGATCTATTCCGATATTCTATACGGTATGATCATCCTTGCCGTATGCCGCTGCTCATTCTAGCGAGAGTTGAGTAATTGTCGATTGTGCGGGTGCTTAAATATGATCAAGCTCCTGACTGGGTCGTATTGACTATACAGAATCCAACCTCGATGGAAGATGCAAGGTAGAAAGTATATTGACGACTTGGGATTGACGGGAAGGAAGTCCTCGGAGAAGTGAGAGATGTTGGTCAGGTCCGACAGTAAAGAATCTGAATTGTCGAGACAAGCTAGATCTTGTCAACAAACTTTTCTGGGATCCAACTTGGACATTCTGTTGTATGCTCTCGCAATCACGCCTTGAGTTGCGCGATGAGCACCGCAAACCCACTTGGCCAAGTTCTCGTAGCCGGGAGTGCTGATGTTCGATTTCGTCGCAGTCGTACATTGCTACGTACCCTCCATGTAGGTGCTATCGACCCAGAACTACATCCCAGGATTGATCGTTGGTGGGACTTGCTTGAAACACCTGGTGCTGATGAATCGACACTCGGCAAAGAGCGTGGGAATTTCTCAAGGATGTAATGTCCCTGATAAACTCTCCAGAGACAACGATAACAATCGAAGATGTAAGGAGCCGGTCTTCTTCTGACATGCTGTCCAGCAGGAAGCGAACCTTGACGCAGCTTGACTATTGCCGACGACGGAAGGTGAAGTCGTCTCCTATCGTTCGAAGGTGGGCCATCGCTTTCTTCAAGCTCTTCTGCATTTCGAAAGATTATCCAGAGGATACAAGAGTGCTTGCTGCTTCCTCCGACTCGACAACTAGTCTCCCATCCACGTCGATCATCTTCGTAGCGGCGAAGTGATGTCGTCTGATGAGATGTACAGCATCCCGAAAACAAGTCCTGAGTTCACCTTCAATGTGCAAGCGTCTCTGAAACTCCGCTAGAAGAAGTTCAGCTCCTGCATCGAGAAGGCGCCATTGGTCATCTGGCCAGTTCCACAAGCCCCGTGTAGGGATGGTCCGGTAGTTTCGTGCCCGTCTGAGCCAGGAAAGATGCAGAAGTTGTATGGTATATATATATTTATATAGGCATAGAAGAAGGATCTTCCTTGGCCTCAAGGGACTCTTGGTTGAGAGTCCCCTGGTTGTAAGAAGGAGGAAGATATGGGAAAGAAGGAGGTTTATATACCCACGACCTCCCATGCGTGTTAGCCTAAGGATCAGCGTCGTACAGTGTCACGAGGCTCGTCACGTAGCACATGTGTCATCAGACACCACATCTTTCGGCTTTTGTGCCCGAATTTGTAGTGAAGTGTCTCAATTGCCACGTAATGATCGTGAATTTGCAATCTCGTGAGAGGTCCAAGCGACACTGTCTTAGTGTAAACGTCACAAGATAGGCAGATCACGAGCCAGTTGAGACATCAATCTGTCACACAGTCAATATTCACTGGTTTCAGCGATAAGAAATAACGAGAGTGATTCAAGTGGCGGCAACACGTGGTACGAAGATAGTGTTGGGGGTTAGGACATTATAAAACGTAGGACAAGAGAAATTGACAGCCCTTTCCAAGGTGTTTGTGCGTGTCATTCGACTATCAAGAGTTCTGAAAGTACTCTAGCGACCACAGCATGCCTCGTATGAACAGAGCCTGTCCCAAAGATGAACTACTTACGAAAGCCCCTCCAACATCATTCCAGAAACCCCCCATAACCCCTAATGCTAGGAAGAATGCTCCCACTCACCCATGATTGCCATTCATGCCTTGTTATTCATGTCCTCAATCCTCCACCTCCCCTTCCAACTTTCCTTGCTGCTCGCCCATCTCTCGAACCGCGACCACAACCGCCAAGATCGTCTTTGCAACAGCCACGCATGCGGCAACGATCAAGACTTTGTGTATGAACTGTAGGATGGTATGTGCGAAAATGAGGAGAGCCCCCAGCAGGATCAGCAAGCCACCGAGAAAGAATATGGTGTCTTGGATGTCGACGTGAAATGCTGGTTTCGCCGGGGACCGCGTTTCATATGAGAGTGGGCGGTAATTCAGTTCGTGATTGGGAGATTGGTCGGTCGGTGTATTCGTGTTGGTGGTTGCAGCCATGTTGGGAGATTTACGGTTCGGGAGATGGGTGGTGAAGCTTTCGAAAACGATGGGCTTTTCTACAGGTGATAAGGGAAGGTAGGTGCCGAGAAGATTGCATCAGTGATTTCCAAAGCGGAGTTGAATGGTCATGGGGAACAAAGACATTGTGTCACATCAGCTCAAGGCCTTATTGTTCAGAGCTGTTGCGAACAATGAATGGAGTGCTTCCTCACACGGTCGCAAGCTGAAATCGCATGGTACGCCAGGATGATTTGCGAGTCCTTGTTCAGCTGATTATTCAGGCTAAAACCGACATGACTGCTCTTTCAACAGCCATGGGGAGCTGTGTCGTCCTTGATATTGAGTCTAGAAGACGCACTCCTGACACCCAACCGTGCCGTCTTTCGCTCCTCCCATCCCCGATGCCCCATGCTCTTTTCAAGTTTGACGTAGATGCTCCGAGCCAGCTATGCTTCATTGCTCTTAAAAGTCGTTAACTTCATTCTCTTGGGAGCTGAAGCCCTCAGACGAAAATGCCAGCTTGGGTCCACCCTCTAGCGCGTCGGCCAACAGCACTAACCCCTCCGCTTTTGCCTTTGCACTTATCCAATCTAGCTTTGAAAGGCTGTAAGCAAGCAGCTTGCATAGTATGCTGTCTGTGAGGCCCCTACGCTACCATTGAAGCCCTAGATATCTCTTCTGGGATATACTTTGGAAGGAGCTTGCAACGCTACATAGCTGTGCAACGCATTCCCTGCTGTTCTATAAACGTTCTGACGTGGTTTCGAGCAGTCAATATATTTCAGCCTAGTGCGCGAGTGCGATAGCGAACTATAAGTAGACTGTAGTATGTAAGTCTACTATTTGTCCTCCGTTAGAAGATCTCGAATTCCTGAATTGGCACTCTTTCTCTTTCGATATCCTCACCAAGATTGCCTCTGTAATACATTATGTCCTCAACATATGCTTGACCTTTGAATCTATACCCCTTTCTGAATCTTTTCCAAAGAACAAGTGGTACGTCAGAACCAAGCAGAACACAGATAAGCTCATTTCCGCCTATATTTGCCGGACCTAGCCCGAAGCGACCCCTTTCAGTGACAAAGAAATTACGACGAACGCAGCATGCGACAAACAGATGTTCCAGCTGATATTCGTTAGAACCTCCTTCTGGCAGGAGAGTAGTGTCCATTTCAATGTCGATGCTTTGAAGAGCCGGTACATGCTCGGCACCTTCATCAGGGTTGTGTACTTTACTCAAATACCACTGCTCGAGCATCTCTGGCCACTCCTCGGGTAATGAGCCCTGCCATTTGCCTGCGAACAGTGTATTTATAAACCGTCTACGTCGACTGTCCGAGAGATCTATCCATGGCCCGCCCGCGAATTTCTCCCAGCTTCTGATCGTGCTCGCTACGTGCAGCATTGAATCGAGATAGAAAGACGCGGTCTTAGCTATGCGGTCTTCTTGCCATCCTGTCAAGAAATTTGATTTCCAAGGAGGTTTTCCTTCCCGGCATCTCGCAGGGAGACTTTGAGCCGCCGTATAGTCGCTCAGGGTACCCGCACCTATCGGTTTAGTCAATCCGCCAGTCCACAGCAACTCTTTCGAGTGTAGTAATAGAGGTATGACTGAAACAACTTTCTTTTGCAGTTTGGAGGAATTTCGATTTCGCTTATTGGATAGCCCGAACCTGGCCCAATTGAGGACCCATGAGTTCCTAAGGGTAGGAAGGTCTTCTGCCAAGGCCATAAGAGCGAGGCTACCGCTGGTCATGATGTGAAGAGCGGAGAAGCAAGCAAAAAACTCATCCGGTGTCCTCGAATATGGATCTCTAGGTAAACTCGCTGAGGTTGATTCCACCAATCCAGCAAGACCAAGCAACTTATCTCTAGCATTACTTGCGCTACGCCCGCGAAGATCCCAGGCCAGGCTGACAAGTCCACGACTTCTTTCCGTGTTTTGTTCCTTCAGCTCGGCAACTAGGTCCAGGAATTGAATTGCTGCAAAGTCCATGGCGTTACTGAAGGATTTGGACAGTCGTCGAAGGCAGACTGACATGAGATCCCATGCAATCTCATGAGGCCCACTCCTGACAGATACTTGTTTAGCAACCACAACCTCTTGTACTACCCACATACGAGACCACCACCGTTTGCGCACCAAATGCTGAAGCGATGGTGACCAATTTGCGGTTAGAGCAATGTTATCATTCGTTAAGGTCGGTTCCGTCAATGCAATACTCTCAAAAGACTCGAAAGCTGACTTTGTCTCTATAGTAGCTTTGCCTAGCCAAATGATTGTCCCTTGCGCAGCGCCATAGATTGATCTCATGAGAGAAACTTGATGTCCCTTTTCTGAAAAATCACTCTGATTGATACAGATCGCGTCTATCCACAGATAGCGATCCTGGTCATCGCGCCGAAGCTCTTTGAGAGCGTTGTGTAGAGAATGAGACACTAGAAAGCGACGATTGTTGACCCAAATCAGGCGGCGCAACATGATGTGTCCTCCCCAAGCGTAGGATAATGCATCGTAAGCCTTGTGGTCGTTCTCAAGATCCAGAATATCCAGGTTTGTGCGAAGATCGCAAGAGGAGTGCCCGTGATGGATTCTCAATACACGAATATATTTTGTATCCTGGGGTAGAGATCTGTATATTCTGGAGTTCCACGCCAAATAGACAGCAGGTACCACGATCCGAAAGATAGGATCTAGTGTCTGGGCTTTGACGGCCTTGACCAGCTCTGTAGACAAGACTAGAGCAAAGAGGCTGACCCAGTGAAAGAAATGAATGCCACATAAGGGCCAGTCCAGGACACTAGTCAGTAGCACAATGCCACGCTGAAATCCCCTCCATACCAAGTAACAAACCTGTGGCGCTCTAGGCTCATCATCGACCAGCTCTTGCTCATTCAGGAAGAGCCGCTCGTAAATCCACATGGGGATGACCACGATGCAGAGTATTGGACTGAGAGGGATCAGCAGTAGTAGCCGGTATCCCATACTGCTGATAGACTTGTGACAGCAGCTTATGTCGTGTGAAGAAAGCCGGCAGCATACAGAATACTCAAAATCGCAATGAAGCCAGACAAGTCATAGGGCCCTAGATTGATTCGATCAATACTCATAGCGCTCTTAGATATCTACAAGTGAAAGATTGTGACCATACAAGACCCCGCCGCACACTAAAAGCTAGGGTAATCACAAGCGCGTCATTCTCGCGAGCTGACTAAAGCCTGTCGTATTCGTATTATAGTACACCCGCTCTCTCTCTCTCTCTCTTTTTGTCCCTCTTACTCCAAAATCAAAATCTTAAGCTATTTGTTCGGCCCCAATCTTTAGAATTCAGTACTAACCGCCCATTCGCCAAGTATTATTAATCTCAACGTCGATCTCGCTAGACTTCTAGTACTCTACTTATATACCTTACTAAATTAAAAGATATAAATATTATTAAGATTATACCTTTTTAAGAATTAAACTACAAAAAAAGAGGAATTACTAGTTTAGTGAAATCTATATGGATTAAGTTGACAACATCATCCTTAATGCTGAGTTTTGATTTACTGGTCAGATAATTAATAGCTTTTTTGGTCGTCGTCAAAGCGGTCCTCAAAGAATGTGGCGGACTCGCGTGAGCCGAATGTGTCGATTTTCATAGCGTATTGACCTAGAGAGTACTCCCTACATAGACATTGTTGACAATGTGGCGAGAATCTGCTCAAGGAGATGAAAAAGGATATGAATCAAGAGGATGACATTTTAATTGCAACAACAGGAAAGGGAATCATAAATTTGCTCTATGCTGCGATTGATGCGAGTACAGGCTTTTCCAAAGAGCCTGCGCGGAGACAGTGGCTGCATACCAAGACAGTCCACCCAACGTCGTCAATCTCGAAGCGCCAACCTTCTTAACTAACCGCCAGATTGGTGGCAAGAAAACCCATATAGACGAGCCAGACCAAAAATCCTCAACAATGCCACCCCACCCCGCATCAACCTCCAAAACCCAACCCGCCAACCCGCCAACCCTCCCTCCCCTCCCACGACCACCCCAATCAAAATCCACATCTCCAACCGGCTAGGCAAAAAATGCCATATTCTATGCCTACCAAGCGACACAATAGGCGACCTGAAGAAGATGATGGCGTATCAGCTGGGTATGAAGGCGAAGGATGTGATGCTTAAGAGGCAGGGGTTGAGGCCATATAGGGATGGGTTGACTTTGCGGGATTATGAGATTGGGGATGGGGGGGCGTGGATTTGGAGGTTGATACTGGTGATTAAGGGGGCGGGGGGTAGGGAAGGGGGGAGGGGGGTGGGGATGTGGGGCGAGAGAGAAGAGGGAGGGTTTATAGCCGGGGAAGGGGCTGGTGGGGGGGGGAGGGTGGGCTGTGTGAGTGTCTACGAGGGGTGTGAAGTAGATGGGTATGGTATGTCTTTCCAGAGCTCTGAAAAGATACCGGCCAATTTAGCGAGAAATCATCGACTCAAACGTGCAGTCACACATGCCTTCGCATGACTGGTCTACTGTCGCGGGAATGAAGAGAAAGCAGAGAGATAGAGCTGTAAGGACTGGATTCTCCGCACTAATGCACTTCGAGGCAGAATTATCTATCACCCAAGTGGCTGTTGACACCTAAATTTCAATCTTCGACATATCCTACCTCCCATCACGGTTCTCAGCTAGCATCTCCACTTGGGGGTATCTCATAAACATCATCATCATCAGCACCATCTCCAAATGTCTTCCGCTATCCCTACAACATCTACCTCAAACAGCAACAACCCTTCTATGAGTCAAGCAAGCGAAGTCTCCTGGCCAAGCATGCATCTTCTGGGCTCTGTCACCAATCGCACTCAACTCAATGACGCAGCCAACAAACAGCGTCTGGGCTGCAAGACCTGGTCTAATTGGCGTTCTCCTGCGAGTGTCCCCGGTTTTCTGGGGCGCGGATGGGGCTTTCGTCATTGGGGAATCCTTATACCTCTCTTTCAGCTTCCGCAGCGGTATTTCCAGGTTACAAATAGTCAGAAGGTTGCATCTCTCGCGAGACGTTGGTCGTGATGCGACAAATCTGCGGAAGCTTCAGGATAATCCCCTATTTCGCAGGCTTATTTTCCGCGTGGGCGTTCTTCCTCAGATTTTCAAACTGACCGCTACTTCTTGGCTTCACTGGCATTCAGCCTTCGCTTGGATGTATCTCGCACCGTTCCTGGTCATAGAGACCTTGGAGATTATGCCATCGAGGCTTCAGCACCGTAGTTCAAGTAATAGTTGGACCCGAAGTTTTGACGACGCCCATACATTAAAGGCTAAGAGTTTTGCTCTATGTGTCATGAATAGGAGGCTAGATTACATGTTTTTTTCTCTGTTCAGCACGCTCTCTTTATGCGTGCTACTCCCTGAACAGGGGAAAGACTGGTTCCAACGGTTCCTCATATTGAACATTACAGCCTCATTTTAGGATCAGCTCATTCAACGGTACAGTACCTACGGACAACAGGACTCGAATCCGTTCTTCCCTCCTGTCTCTTTGCGTTTTCACCTTCTTATGCCCTTGCATCTTCTATCGCAGCGCGTTGAACATCCCAACCCGTCCCAATGTGCAAATTTGCAGAGAAAGCTTCGCTCGACAATGTTTCCGCAAAGGCTTCAAGATCGGCATGCGTTCCGTCAATCTGGAAGTAGCGATACGTAAGCACTTCAGGTGTCGAACTATCAAAGTTTGAACATTTCATTGACATAGAGAATGTGCAATTAGTACCAAGCTCTGCTGACCAGGGGCGAGTAAGTGACACTAGTTTTTTGATGAGCGAGTTCTCATTTGCCAGGTCCTCAAGGCACAGACACCGTGGGTATGGAGCGAAGAAGTCGACACTTGAGAGGTTGGGGTATTGTTCAAGCTGCTGAATGCGCCTTGACAAGACGTGCGAGGGCGCTGTCTCCCGCCGTGAAGTTTCGTGGTTTTCTGAAGAGTCAGGAAAGCCCGCTTGTTCTTCGGCTTGTGCTTCCAGAGTTTCTGCCCTTTCCTCGTGGGAGAATTCATCATCACGATTATTGAAATAGTCAATGATTTCATAGGGCTCATTAGGCCCAAGGTAATTACTTAGCTATCCGTGAGGGGTATCGCTTGTGATCCAAAAGTCGTCCAGTGCAAATGAGATGTCGCGAATGTAAGGCCGTATGTCAATAACGGGGCTTTGCATCAAGGGGCCAACATGACAGTAGTTTAATAAGGGCATGTCTGAGTTCAAATATAGACCTTTGGAGCCAAGAAAAAGGTCTCGTACTTCCAGAGCAATGCCAAAGGTGCTGGCTTGGATTTGAAGAAGTCCGCTTTCTCTGATCGATGGCTGCAATTTGATGCACTCCCGCTTGCGCCTCAGACGTCTGGGGCTCCTAAGTCGGTGGTGAAGGTGAACTCGTAGATTTTGTGACGGATTTCGGCTGGCAAGGACAGAAAAGATGTCGGTGCCATGTCGATAGTGTGGAGAGTGCGACGAAGAAAGAAGGGAGCGAAATGGAGTTGATGGTAGTGAAGAGAGACCGAAGTCTCTCCACAGACACGTGCGAAGAGGATGATGACACTTGAAGGCCTATGACACTGTCTTGTGGTGGCGAGAAAGCCAGTGGTGAAGAATGAAGAGAAGCCGAAGTCTCTCAAGAGAAAAGCTCTTGAGGATGGTATGGAAAGCTCGAGAGAAGAAAGGAAGCGGCCACGGTGACTCTCAAGACTATTTAAAATCCAGTCGGATGCGCGGGGACGCTGTCTTTTTAACTCCCAACACGCCCCAAAACCCAATTTCAAATCAATATCCGTATTCGTCATTCCTTCTTCCCGACGAGGAGATTGAGTTGCCTGATTCGGTGGAGGATTTACTTGCTATCTGTCCAGAAGAAGGCGAGTCACGAGCCCTGACCTCGTGCCCCAATCTTCCCAAAGCGGCAAACGCGACGGGAGTTGACGACACTTCAGAGACTACGAAATCACGGCTCGAATGAAGTTCTCTTTGAGTACCTTACATGACTATTTCTCATTCTTTTACAAACCTTCATACCACAAGTGGCTTGAAGTGTGTGTGTTCACCCTCCGAAGTGCAGGGGGTGACTTGTCAACTCCACCTGAATGTCTCTGTGTGCAATGCAATCTCCAAGATGTCACCCCTCAGCACCTGCTTTTGAGCATCAGCACATGCATTTGCGACGTCAGTCATCAAGCTCTGTGGACCACAGCCTAGAAATATCAGCTGATGAGAGCGCTGAGGCAACATGAGGGACATACTAATGACGAGATTGCTTCCTTTGCTCAGGAATTCCGGTAGTAGCTTCGGTACGTAGGGTCTTTCTGCAATGCAGCTATCGATGGGCTCTGAGCTTGAACTCCAGTTTTCTTCCTGCTTCAGTGCGGGTTCTGAGCTTTCGCTCTCTTGAGTGACGAACAAGTTAATTCTGATGGTGTCGGAAGCCGCCTGCTTCGCGCGTCGCAAATCTTCGTGCACCCACTGCACGTGTTCCTTCCTTCGCACAATCCAGAGTACCTCGATCGACGCCAGTTGAGAGGTGGCTGAGGACATCCGGCTAGGCAAATACGCAAGCCATGACAAACACAGTGTGATACCAGAGCCTCCCACGATCAAGGTGGCTTTGTCATACCCGCCTTCAACACCTCGCAAAGTTGTCCCATACGGACCCTCCAACCATGAAGTAGTAGTCAAAGCTCCCTTCTCGTCCGCGATGTTCAAAAGCTTGCGTGTGAAGCCTTGATAGCCGCGGATGAAGAAGGTCATGGTACGAGACTGACTATCCTTTTCATCAATCTCGTCTATTGATGACGATGCAATGGTGAACGGATGGTTGTGAAGTATTGCCAACTGTGGAAGGCGAAGATAGCAATGCTGGCCAGGCGACCAACGGGTTTCACGAGGAACAGTCACATCAAGTCTGGTGACGTATTCAGGCAGACTGGAAATCTTTGTCGGGAACGCTGTTGGCCAAGATCTCGTCACCAGAAAAGACTGGTTTTTGAAGAACATTCTGGCAAGTATAGATACTAGCCACAGCCCTATACTGGCCCAGAGATACGCCCATGAGTCACCCTCATTGTCAAAATGCCAAAAGCAGAGCCCGAGGTACGTGACACCGAGCAAGATATGTGACCAATAAAACGATTCGTACAGGCGATGTCGTACATATGGTAAAGAGCAGATTACTATACCAAAGAGAATTGCCAATGGTGGAGTACCAGTGTACTTCGAGATATCAGCAAAAGCACTGATCGCAGACAGGCTATCTCACCTCATAGGCACCTGCCTCATAATAGGCCTGGTGTAGCGCCGCATACCCACCATCTCGCAAGGGTGCGACTATGAAGGGGATGGTATGCACAACACTTAACGCAAAGATTGCCCATCCGACCCAACGATGGATGACGTTCAGCCTCTCGTATCCAATTCCCGTCAACATCGTGACGAGGTTGAATTTGCCAGATAACGCAATCAGCAGCGGCGTCAGCGACGCTGCCATCAGTCCAGTCCTGATTGCAAGAGGTGGAGATCCGTAGCCACGATGACCTCGGTAATAGGGACGTATCGCAAACGTCATAACGGTCATCGTCAACACTCCGGCGAGCAGGAACAAAAGCATGCCAAGTGAAGGAAGACCGAGCCTGTCACCGAGCGCACCCGAGAGACGACGATAGCCCATGATACGCCAGCATGCTATGATCTTGTGCCAGAGCGTCGGCTTCTCACTTTCCGACTTACGTCTAGTCTGCCTCAAGAAGCCAAAGAGGTAGACGATCATGAAAATAAAGATAAAGCTGGCATAGTACCACGACAGCCAGTAACCATAGTCGTATTGCAGATAATAAGATACTGTAGCTTGAGAAAGATTGTGTGCCACTTCGAAAGCGAGGCAGCTGTCGTTCTTGCATCTTCGATCGGAGAGGGGGAGATCGTGAAGCGCTGCGTTGAAATGGTCGCTCTGCATCGACATATTGGAGCTGTTGACTTTGATCGGACGCTCTATGAAGGAGAAGACTGCAAAACTTGAAGTTTGAAGGAAGAGAGATCTTCAAAACATTGGGCACTGTCTGATATTGTCTAGGATGGCATCACACCCTAGGAAGATATCTCCTCGTTTGCTTCCCTCCGCTTGGCCGAATGAGTCTAGATCATGGGCCATAAGCATGACCATATATCGGCATATCGAGACTCTCAAAACAAGATGCTGCACCAGCGTTAGCACCAGCGGAGTAGTTGGCGGTGAGGTCGTTGAAGAGACCCACTTAACCTAATTAGGCCTAAAACGCTCGAAACCTTCTCAAACCCACGCATTCTCGCCCCGCGAGCCTGATGAATTTCGACGGTCACAAAACAATGAGAGCATGTGAGAGAGCTTTCAATATCGGCTTCCTTGCAACGCAGGAGCCGTTCTACCCGTGCATATTCGGCACGATTGTCAACGCGCTCCTTCTTCTATCAACCTGCTCTAACCAACTTACTTGGATCACAGTGCCTCGACTTTTAGACTCTCAAACTTCCCCATTATCTTCGACAGATAAGGGAGGACCTCCCTCCAAATAACTCTCGTTCAACGATCTGACAAGATCCACCACAGCACACAAGCAACTTCAGCAATAGTGACAATGGATATGTCATCAATGTCGTCGATGACCGCAATGAGCTCCACCGATCCAATGTCATCCACCATATCCGCTGCCAGCTCTACCGCAAGCCCAATGTCAATGGACATGGGCGGCGGCATGGATATGGGAGGAGGCGGCGAATGCAAGATTTCTGTAAGTCATCCCTCTTCAATCATGCCCTGGACCTTAGATTCTCTTATGAGCCAGTCATCAAATAAATGGGATATAAAGCACGACATCATCGCATTGACATGCTGACATAGTCTCAGATGCTCTGGAACTGGAACACCATCGACGCCTGCTTCCTCACTTCGTCATGGCAAATCACATCCGCAGGCATGTTCGCCGGCTCCTGCATCGGCGTCATTGCCCTTGTCATGATGTTAGAATTTCTGCGTCGTGTCCAACGCGAGTATGATCGCATTGTTCAGAGCCAATCGAGAAGTGTCAATACACCTCTGTCTCACCGCCACCGACATCATGTCGCACGCGACGCATCTCACGGCGGTGTTGACACTGCGAAAGTCAGCGACGACGAGAGCTCCGACTCTACCGCGCAGGACGCCGGAAAAAGCAAGATCATGAACACAACCATCGCCAGTACGGATAGCTCCTTGACACACAGCCATAGTCCTCACCCCCACACATTCATCGCGAACTCAGGCCGCCAAAGCCAATGGCGTAGTATCCTCCAGCAAACCATCCGCGCATGCATCTACACCTGCCAATTCTTCGTCGCTTACATTGTGATGTTGCTGGCTATGTACTACAATGGCTACATCATCATCAGTATCTTGATCGGAGCTTTCCTGGGCCACTTTTTCTTCGGCTGGGACTTAGCGAAGGGAGGAGAGCGGTAAGTGCACCGCCTCAGATTCTCTCTTACATGCAGATGTCGATCCCGCTCGAAGAGAGTAGCTGATTGCGAGTATTCACTGACGATAAGTGATCACCAGGGAAGGCGAGCATAGTATGGTACCTTGCTGCGCTTGAAGGAGTCTCTTCAAGGAGCCCGTATCTCGAGGACATCCAATTTGGGATCAGCATAGCTTACCTATCATGTCGCCTGAAACGGGCGCAGACATGTCATGTCATGTCAAAAACAAAGATCTGGCCCGCTTCCTCGACTTTCACAAAATGACCCGCAATCCTTCGAGGCAAAGCAGGGCAGTCTGCACAGTCTCCTCAGCTTTTCAACCACTTCTGCATCTCTTATGCCACTGAGCAGACACTTATCCATATTTGCCACATCCCAATAGTCTTTCAAAATGACCGTAGTCTATACTAGCTCACAAACACCACGCTCCATCATTGCACGCGACCCTTTCCAAATATAGCCGACCACCCACCACAATCCAACCCAAAACGTAGCTTGAACGACCTCGCTTGCGCACGAGTCGGGAGACTTGTCCCATTCCATCATTAGCACCACATGTGCCAGGCTGAAACATCTCGCGTTGCGTGCCAGGTTTGAGACGGCGATGTCTCAGTGCACAGCCTCATTCTCTCGTATCGCGCACGCATTCACCTTTCTTTCCTTGAACAAGACCATAGCTTCTAATGGTGCTGGGGCCTCGTTGCTGCCGACCCCGTCTCTCTATTTCTTCCATTGAAGATGCTGCGTCGAGGCTGAAAGTCCCTTTTTTGTGCTTCTTCTCACCCCGCCGAACTTCATCGATATCTCCCCATAATCATTTCTCTCCACCATTCCAACCCCAACCCAAACTCAAGTTAAAGCAATAAACCATGATCCCCGAGCTCGCCCTAGCAGCAGCAGGCGAATCCCTCCGCAACCGGCCACACACGCACGACCCATGGCTGAAAACGGTGCTGGTCCCCTTCTGGACGCTGCAGCTGCTGGCTCAACTCACCTTCCTGACTTTCATCATCATGGATATGATGGGGGATGACTTGACTTTGTATATCCCCCCTTTCCTTCCCCCCCTTCCCCTTCCCCTCCCTCTTCCCTTTCCCTACCCCAAACCACTTTACGCTGCGCAACCATCTTCACCAAGCCATTCCCCACGCGAGAATATCCACTGACATACCGCCGGCGGCGGGGGCGGAGAAACAGCACACTAATCATCCTCCTGATAACCTCGATCCTGCTCTCCTTCCTGCTGATCCTGGAGATCGTGCTCTTCGCCAACTATCGCTACAGTCCTAACCCGGCGCTGGGCATACAGGGGGTGAAAAGTGGCGTGTGGACTGTGGTTTTGATTGTGGTGACGACTGTGCATTTGGATTATGAGAGCGAGCCGTGGGTGGAGGCTGGGGCGGCGACGGGGGCGGGGGCAGGGACAAGGGCGGGGGGGAATAATGTCAATGGCGGGTTTTGGGTTGTCGTGCTTTGTGTGATTGAGTTGTGCGTGTTCACTTCCCTCTCCTTTTCCCCCAAATTCCTCTCCTTCCATCCCAACCCCCTCCCCTTCCCCTCTTAAGACGCAAAGAAAACCCCGCCGCGAGGCATGTTAACAGCAAACCTACAGTCTCCTCTTCAAAGGCACGCTCCTCTACGCGCTCATAATCAACATCCGACACCGACGCACGCTGCGTCGTCTGCAGCAGTGTTCGGATGAATTCCCGATTCCCATGCCCATCCCTACGACGCAGCACCATCACCACGCCTATCAGAGCACAGCCCCGCATTACGAGCTTCGCCAGACTCGCGGGGCGTGGGCAGATGATGCGCACATGCGTGCTTATGAGGAGCTTGTGACGCGGCCTATGGGTTTAGGGGCCAGGAAGGGGGTGAGGAGGGCGCCGAGTTCGGAGTATTCGGGGAGTGTGAAGATCGGGTATGTGGATTCTGAGGCAAGGACTGGGGAGGGGGAAGGGGAAGGGAAGGGGGAGGGGGGACGTATGGTGGTGCGACGGCGCGGGGGAGTTTTGATGTGAGTGATACGGTGTATGGGAGGAAGGTGGAGGAGGTGGTTGGTGGTGGTAGAGCGGGGAAAGGGAATGGGAGGGGCAGGAGGGAGTTGCTGGGCGAGGATGGAGCGGTGGAGATGAGGACGGAGAAGAGCGCTGATGGGGGGAGATGAGGGAAGATAGGGGGAAAGGTGCCTATGGTACTTTGGTTTGGGCGTTGAAGTCAAGGATGCCAGCTGAGATAGGGTTGTAGCTGATCGATGGAGTGATACTGATTCCCGGTGTAGGCCCATGGCGGCGCTAAAGCTTCAGCATGTCTTCACGTTGCAGATTGGAATTGAACTTTCGTTTGGTGCCTGATCACAAATCTCAGCTTCGAGATCACTGGGCGCTGCCTTTTGTTTTGCAACAGGGGAGAGGTCGACTACTCATTCAATCAATAGACAACCTGGGACAACTTCCGGGATATGGCAATTTCTTCCATCCCTCTGAACAGGACACTGCTTTGAGCGATCGGCTTTTGAGTTGGTAGCCTTCTGTCAGGACAGAAGTCGGTCATGGATCTCTATGAGCGCCTTCCTTCTGGATGACAATGTCAATGCTCGACGAACATATATCATGGCAAGTTGCCATGCACGGGAAAGCCTCGGATATAATTTCACGCTAAGTTTTTATCTCCGACTTGGCGCGTCTTCACCCCGCAAATTCTGACTCCGCGCATTTCGTTGCTCTCTCAAAGCGCTGAAAGTGAGGTACACACAGCTTTCAAGAGTCGCTTGGATACATATCTATTGCAAGCTGGGTCATTGACAGAACGACTTCAATCGGTCCACCCTCTCTGAACGTACAGCGCTTGTCGGAAACCCTTCCGCAAAGCCAAATCTGGCCCAATTAGGCAGCAATAGATCTGAACCTAGTCTACTCAAGTCAGCAGCTACTGGCTGACCCGACCCCCAAGGCCCTAGGATGGAACATCTACCCGAAGAGATCCTCATTGGGGTTATTGACTTACTAGAGCATTCCATATATCCCGAGCACAAAGTTGGCCTGCTCGGTCTGCGCCAAACAAGCAAAAAATTCGCTAGATTGGCTGCACCGGCAGTCTTCAAGGCAGTACCTGTATGGATAGGAGTGAAGAGTCTTCAAAGGCTCCATGATCTGTCACATAACGAAAGAGTGTCAGTGCTTAGAATTCTAGACCTGTTCGAGACTGTTGCTAAAATTCAATAGCGCTCAACATGTCCAGAAACTTCGGTTCTCTACTCTTCAAATTCAGGAACCAGTCCCGAACCATCCTGATTTGGACATTCCTGAGGAGGAACTGTGCTTAGACACGACTTCTCAGGGTTCACATCTCATGCGTGTTGCCAATTACGAGGCAAAGTATGCCCAATACTACAAAGGACAGAGCGTGCTATACGAACGTAAGATTGCCTCACAGATTTTAAGACAAGCTCTGAATCGTCTACCTCGCTTGTGTCATATTGAAGTTTACTTGTCATGCCATATCATTGGAGCCAAGGAGTTGAGATCCGATTTCGGTGCCATTACGCATGAAGAATACTTTTGGGATTCGGAAGCGACCCTGCCAATTCTTCTCGACGCTCTTGAAGACTGCTCGTCGTCAATATCGTCCTTCAGCGTCTATCCGGAAAACGAAGAAGCTCCCAGTGATCCTGATACAGATCTGGCCAAGCCCCATCCGGTGAGTACCGGTATAAACGCGCTTCAAGGTTTTCCTGCTCGACTCGATTGGGAACGACTTGAATGCCTCAATTTAGATTCCGGCGCATATAGTCCAACGCAGGACGAAGATGACCACGACAAGGCGATTTCTACGACACTTGATTACATCAGAAAGGCGCCGCTAATCAGTAAGTTGGTGCTCAGAGGAATGTTTAAGGACACGGGTTTTCCTCCGTGGAGACAGAAACTTCCACATTTAAGGCACCTAGAGATAAGTCAAGTTGAGTTCACCGACAAAAAATCTGTCGTGCGGGTCTTTGATAACCATCGTTCCACATTGGAAACAGCAGTCTTTGCCACTGGGCTCTTTGGGCTTTATGATGAGGATCATCAATTTGCCCATTGGGCAGTCATAGCGCAACATCTGAGAGAACTTGACTTAATAGCTTTGAGGGTGTTGAAACTTACCATCGGAGGTTACATGGATGCCGTGGACTTCTGTCCCTACGTGAAAAGACAGACCGGGGTGTATCCGATCGCCAAAAACAACCTAGAGAATAAGACGCAGGACAACACCGACGAAGATTCTTTGTACGTTATGTCCGACTCGGACATGGACCATACAGAGGAATATGATTCGGACTGGGACTCAGATGAAGCCAGGTCGGGGTTGGACTCAGAGACAGATAATACAATGGAATAAGACTTATTCACGACCTCATTTCCTTAAGCTCGTCTCAACAAGATCGATACATTAATGAACGACCATCTGACCCACCACTGTTCTCCCCGGAACTCGCGGATTGATGACACATCAAGAACGAGACGACATTGACCAAGTGACGAACGTGACGCACAAGTTTCATCCTGATCTTCGAATGTCGTCGGTCAGCAGCAATCACCAAAATACAAAATCGACTACCTCCGAGATCACGCAGGCGGGAAATGCGACTTCCCCTTCAGTAGATGTCACAATATGAGGCTACTCGCAACTTCTATTTTACCACGACTTGCAATCATCATTTACTCCCAGGCCATATAGCAATAATCAAGGACCAGATGGCCACCCATCTAACTCCTTTCGCCGTTCCCAGCCCCTTTCTCTCACCCGCGGTAGAGGAACAGCAGCAACGGCTCTGCCAGCACAGACTGAAAGCCAAAGGCAGCAACCTCATCTGCATCAGCTGCATTGTATCGACACCAGTGTGAGGACTTGAACATCTCGGCCCGACAACAGTTCGATCTAAATACATTAATTGGACAAACTGCAGGATCTATAACACACAGGAGTGTGTAGCTTTGGATACCTCCACCTATCGTGCTCTTGCTGTTCTTCACTACATACAAGCAGGCGCATCATTCCGTTTCCTCCCGCCCTCCCCCCAGTTTAACAATCAATCTCTTTACGCTACATTGTCAACGTCCGGACCTAGAACCCTGCGCCACTCCCATCATACAGGCCACCAGAGCCGGGGGACCATTGTCAAGTGCATCATACTCACAATCGCGAAAGACTCTCACAAAACAACCGAAATTAACATATAAAACTATGAAAGCGAAGATATACCAGGGACTTCACCACGGACATCCATTCAATTTTCCCACTTCCCTCAAGCGACCCCTCCCGCCACCCTCATCGCCCAACCACCTTGATCGCCAGCCCCGAGGTCCTGGACAACACCAACGCATAACACTCCTCATTCCCACGCGCTCTACACAACCACCCCCATCTCAATTCCCACCCGCTAGGGTCTCATCTGACATCGCCGCTAATCAGCATACCACACCGCCCCACCTTCTTCCCCCCCCTCGGCGCCCCGTCCCTTCCGGAAGCAGCAACACATCACTCAACTCGCCACCACAAGCTCAAAAGAAGCCCACAAGCAACACCCCATCCCCCCATTCCCCCATCCCCAAATGCCCAAGGACTATCAAAACAAGCAAGCCCACCAAAACCTGGCCCCGCCCCCATCTTAGGAAAGCTACACAGTCACATGGACTCGGCTCGGTGTTGGATCGATGGTAGCGGGTTGGATTTTTAGGATCAGGAGGAAAGAAGGTTCATCATCCCACTTCACCTTGAATTTCATTAAACCGAGAGGGTAGGGCAGGGGACGGATGTGGGTGCGGGACACACCCCGCTCGCGGGCCCAATCAAGAACAAAATTCTGCCACACTCAAAAGGTTAGGGGGGGGTTACGGGATACCATAAGATATATTCAATTTCAATGAGTGTGGTGGGGTTGGGTGGGTGGGTTTACCCCTTTCAGACAGGCAGGTCAACAACACGCTAGCTTAAGGTTCAAAAATGTTGGGTTCAAGCATAGCATAGCCCCCGTGGACCAACTCGGTATATAATATCTCTATCTACTTGAAAAGGGGGTTTCTGGGCTATTACATACTCCCCATACGCGCGAAATCCCATGGTGTAGCTTCAAGCGAGACTGGTTCTTGCAGTACCATACCAGCGTTTCCCCCCGACACCTTTCCCTTCGCCCTGACTCATCACCGGTCTATTTACCCATACCTATCATTCGCCGTAAAGACAGGGGTAATCCAACTCTAGACTCTATTCTCCCTTCCAACCCCTCTAAGTTCTCACTCCGCCAATATCTGATCCCGACTACTGCCCCCGCTTCTCCCCCCACCACCCCCACCTCCACCTCCTCCAAACCTCGACTCACTAGTCTGCCGTGGACTCCACTCCTCCCCACCCCCACTCCCGCCCCTACCCCCTCCCCCATCACCACCCGTATCACCCCTAGCATTAACCCTCAACCCGCTCCTCCCCCTCTCCCCCTCAGGCGCAAACGGATTGCCCGCATCATGAATCGGATGATGTCTCCTAGCATTACCTCCTTCAGCAACACACTCATGATCCCACCACTCGACGCGTCCGGCGGGTAATTCCCTCGGCTCGCTAACGACCTCGACGTGCTGCGTGCGCGCGATCTGATCTTTGCCCAACCCCTCCCCTCCCTCCCGTCCCCCCCCCCTCCCATCTTACCCTTCACCCTCCCCAACGGTAGCGGCAAAGGCGGCCACCCCCCTTCCCCCAAAACCCCCCCACCCCTTTCTTCCCCGCCTCCCGCTCGTCGTGATGAAGCTCGCCCCACGTCCGGCCCCGGCCATCATTGCGCGAGAAACTGCCGTTCCAGACCCTCCTGCTCTTCCAGCTCGCCAATTTCGGTGTATCCGCAGCGCGGGGATCGATGTCGTGGATGAGCGTGCGATTCCGCATTCCGTCTCCTCCGCGGCCGCTTCGCCAGATACCAGCGGCAGGGGTGGTGGTGGTGGTTGTGCTCGCGTTGCGGGGATACGCCGCCGCGGCGTTCGGGGCGTGGCTGGCTCCGGGGTCGCTGTTACCGCGCGCGGTGAATGAGGGGCGGGTGTTGTAGTTCTCTTCTGTGAGGCCGCGGGAGGTGAGGGACATGAGTTGGTTGAGGACTGCGAATTCGAGTTTCAGCTTGATGGCGTACAGCATGGCCTTCGCGGAGGTTTCGCCGACGTAGTTGTTGCTGTATTCGAGGGCGACGAGGACGACGTCCATGGAGAGGCAGACGAAGTTGATAATGATGAGTTCCATCATGACGGAGCGGGTTTTGGTGTGGTAGATGGATTTGAGAAGGCGGACGGTGCAGAAGATGTAGATGGTTGAGATGATGAATTCTTGGATGCAGAAGATGGCGAGTTGGATGCGCTCCATGACGTTGAAGATTGGGGCGAAATGGGCGCCTGAAGGGCCGTTGGAGCCAATAGTGAGGACGATGGTGGGTGTGTGGAGAACGACGGCGTCGATGATGATCATGGAGAGCACGAGGCGAAGAGTGCGCCGTTTGCGGACTACGAGGTGCAGACGCGAGTAGAGGACGAATGATTGGCCTGTTACCATTGCTACCCAGCCTATGACTACGTGAGTATACTCGATGTGCTAGGAACCGTGATCTCGGAATGCGCACCTATCTCAATGAATGGGAGAAAGGCGCCGGCAGGTGCTGTGGTAAGGAATTTGAGGATGAAACCAAGAGCGTGCAGTGTACAGCCCCATGAGCTGATTAGGAGCGAGTAGAAGTAGAGACCCGATCGTCGCCGGAAAGTGTAGATTGTGAGTACAGTGAGTTCGATACAGTAAGCCCATGCAACTGCTGTGCAGGCTGCCAGAATGCAGATTTGTAAACGGTCATTCCCTAGTCGGCCCACAACGCCCTGGACTCTTTTTACCAGTGGAGAGGTGTCCATATTGCGCGGTGAGTTGATCATTCGTGGTCTTGGTGATGAGGTTGTCGCCTCAGATGTTCATACCGGTCTGTGAAACGGACATGTGAGTCATTCGAGACATGCGGGAGCCTTTTCAGACATCTACCAGAGGTTGTGGGACGGAACGTCAGGGTGTTATATGGGACGGATAGCGTTGGATAGAAACAATTATGACATTCTTTTTATCATTGAGATCTAGTGGATCGCGCCGAGGGCTTTGTTGGACGATGCACCTGCATCCGCTTGTTGTGATTACCGGCGAGGGTGATGCATTGTGTGTGGCATGTCGAGCTGTTTTGAGACAGCTCGCACCCCGGTTCTGTTGCAATAGGTAGGTAAGAGAAAATACCCCAGAAGCTCATCTTTAAGCTTGGGTGTTATTGGTGCAAAGGATGAGCAGTGCCTGGCACATGGACCTTGTTTGAACGCCGAGCCCACCATCTGCCATATGGTCTACCGTTACTTTAAGTTAGCATATGCAGCCAGGCCGACCCTTCCAGCACTTATGCAGCGAAGTCCGGGCATTAAAGTTGGTCATGGAGGATGACGACTTGGGGAGTCAACCAAGGCAGCCTTATTGGCTGTGCCCCCTCCACACTCGTGGCATGAAACAAACGGAACACCAACATCTCTGCCGAGAGACTCTCCCTTGGCCATCTGTACTTCCCGTAGTTGTATCTTGATAGCAATCGGTATCTTGAACCTCCCATCTGCTGTAGTCTCAATGTTGCTGTTACGGAATCTTTTGATATCTGCTAGGGCAATAAAAGTGAGACAATGTCTCGGGAAGACAGTAGCAGCTAGGCAAAGCCTTATGGATGCTTATGTTCTTGCGAGGGAACGGAGCTCGGGCCATGGCGCGCCCGTGTGCTTGCGTGTGGGCAGGCGTTTCCAACGCTTAACCCGTCGCGGTGGCTTATGCAATCTGCACGCTCCTGCAGGTCTCTAGAAGACTACTGATCCCAGCGGGGAAACGGGAGCATGGCTTGCGAGTGTCTGAGTGGTAGGATTGGTTCGTGCAACCTAAGTCAGCTTAGGTAATGGATGGCAACTGACACGGCAATTGATCGTCGCTTGCCCATGCTGCCCCTGCCTGCACTCGAAACGACGATCTTCGAGCCAGACCTTGCATAAGCGTGACATGATATCCACCAGCTTCTGGGCATAGCTTCGCAGTGGCGTCTCTTCGATTCGTAGAGTACCTAGTCATTGCACTCCTCATCGCCAGGTTCGACCATATACCATGTCGTAAAGATATGTGACTATCAGTGTCCGCGTGCCTCAGCTGCTTACGCTCGCAAGATAACAATGTCTCATCTTATGTATTACAGTAGTTTTTGAGTATCTCGAAGGCAGTGCCTATTAGCTTACCTATCAACTTGTGCTCACGTACCTCAACGGCACCAGACGGTAGTAGAGACTGCCCTCCGCAGAATTTTCGGGGACGCAAGAAAAGATCGTCGTGATAGGGGCACAAACAGCGTTGGCGAGCTGGATTTGAGGCCCTGGGAGGGAGAATATTTGTCACATCTCTGTGTTCTCTTTGTCCACAGTCATTTCTTTCGGTCGGAAGAGTCATCTACGCGAGGCTGAATTGGAGCTTCATCTGCCGAAGCTGCTTCTACTCTTAGATTACGTTTCGTGGATGTTGTAGAGTGTTGCCTTAGAATTTCGATCATCTCATCATCACGGTTGAACTTTGCGTAATCTTGCGCTGTCCAGCCGCGACATCTCTCAGCCATATTGTCATAACCAGGTTGTTGAAGAAAAATTTCTACCATTGCGTGGCGGCTTAACAGCACGGCCAACATCCATGGTGTGAAACCTGTTCGATCTTTAGTGGCCAGATTGAGCCCCGGATGACCGAGAAGAAGTCCAGCAACCGCTTGTTCGTCACGCTGAACGGCGAAATGTAAGGCAGTGCTACCGTCCATCGACGTTAAATTCGGATCTGCTCCAGCCTCCAACAACAAGCCTACTGTAGATGCGTCACCATTCCAAGCGGCATGCGACAGAGGAGATCTATGACCCGGATATGGGCTATTGGCTGAGTAGTCTTGGTCTCGCAGTAGCCTGAAAATAATATCTTCAAGACCCCAGTATGCTGCGAGATGTTGTGGTAGCAGTCCTTGATGAAAAATCAGGGGCATTTCTCCGCCTACGGTACCGCAGAGCCGTAAGATCTGAGCCACCATGTCGACGTGCGCCTGGTCTTTCAGCCATTCGACTACCATTTCTGTCAATACATCTGCCTCGGTCTGAGCAACGTGCCGACCAAGATGGTTACAAGTGTATTTTAAAAGTGCGTAAGTCTCCAGTCTCCGCTCTAGATATTCTATGTCATGTGGCAAAGGTTGTAAAGATAAGTAGTTCAAGCAAGAGTGCGCAATAGCTAGCTGAGCATCTGGAAAAAGCTTCTCGGCATGAGACAGGAAATACTTCTGAGCCGTGAAGTGCACAAAGAGAACCTTGTTGCTCGCGTCGATGATCACAAGCCCCGCGCACATCGAGGTCAGCTCACTTGCGCTAAGGATTTCATCAACATCGATGTCATCGATTTCCGACACCAATGATGCGTCTTCTGTCGCGTTCCAGATGCTGTAAGAGGTCGTGACAGCATGTTCCATTTCTGCTGTCGTCAAAGGTCGTCGGGCATAGGTCATCCACATTAGCAGATGCATAGCATACTTGGAATCTTCCTCATTTGTGTCTTCTTTGGATGGTCTGATGCGTCGAATTGCTTGATCGTATGTGTCGTCGATGCTGTCAGGTAGTATTTCCAACGCCTTCCACACAGCACGAGGAGTCCGCTTCGGAGTGAGTGCGTCCATGTGCAGCTTGGCGAGGAGAAACCTGCCGTATCAATTAGCTCAATCTTATGTAGTAGGGATGGCAAACGTTGGGCAACTTACATTCCACCAGCGCGTTCGACAACGGTAGTGGCAATCTTCTCCCGTAGATGGCTCCTCGTTCTCACAATGTTCGACAAGGTCTCGGACCTATTGATGCGCCATTGGACAAACTTATGGATATCAGCATCCGGGGCAACGATCTCTCGTCGATATGCCCCAAAGATTCTATTCCTTGAATGACCACCATTCTCGCACGCTGGTAAGTCGCCATAGCATGCCTCACATAAGGTATTTGATTGGTCCATGCAATTTCTGCACCTGTACAAGCTGGGTGTGGCATCCTGGCATTTGTCGCATGAGCAATCGAAGTCGAAGAGAGCTTTGATGATTTCAAGAGGGCGAGAAGTGACCATAACGTTTGTGTCTTTACAGATGACCGTATCAAGAATTTCGTACCGCATGTATTCCTCAGCAACGTCGTCAAGCGCATCAACGATGATACAAGTATTCCCAACTTGCGCAAGTTGCGCTCGAAAGATTTCATGAAGTTCTTCAGTCGAGAACCGTCTGCCTTGACTCGAGTACGCTTTGTATCTTTCTTTGAGGGCATCTGCAAGTGCCGGATGTAGCTGTATCATCTGCCTGATAAGCGCCGCTAATACATTACCCTTTTTCTGGTCCTGAGGATCCATGTAGCCACAGTATATGACAAGGACCATGTTTGGTTGCACTTTCCTCAGGTGTTCAACCACAATAGAAGTCAGATAAGTTTTTCCTGCTCCAGGGATCCCGTCGCACCAAAGGGTTTTGTCGGTGCCATTGATCCACGACTTGAATTCTGACGTCTCCAAGAACCATTGCCCGGTTTTCTCGTGAACTTGGCTGCTCAACTTTTGCTTTCAATTGTTAGCTGAAGTCCCCGATGTGCTAAGTAGATGGTAGTACCTGTTGCTTGAAGAAGTCAGAATGGCAGAGCCAACTTAGTAACGCTTCGAGGTTTTGATCGAAAGTCGCCGCCTTTAAGGCCTTAGTGTCTTTTTGTACTTCGCGCAATGCTAGATATGTCGAGGAAGTCAGTGCAGAGTTGATCGTGCTTGCCAGTCGATCCAGCTGCGACACCCAACTCTCAACGTCAAGTTTTGTCATAGGCCATTTGAGATCTTGAATGACTCCCCTCAAGCCCCCTTTCGGCTCGAGACGTTCTTCCAGTTGTTTCCATACCCTTGTAGCTTGGCTGAACTCCCCATTGTCGTTGAACAGTGACTTCAGGGTTTCTGGGCAGTCCTTCACAATATCATCATCTTCGGTAGTCAGCGCCGACTGTACTGAGGTCAGCACCGTCCATAGCGAGCTGATACTGGTCAGTAGACGGAGCCTTTGCTTTCCTCCTTGCTGTATTTTATGAAGAATTTCTATCAGCTTGAACAATCCACCTGCAATTTGCCCAACATTGGCGACAGTACTGACTCCGTCCATAGCGCATGCATCACTGGAAGGTAATCAAGATGTGAAGCAGACAGAAGTGTCGCCAGAAGGGAAAATGAAGGAAGGAAATGTGCTGTGCTGCCTGCTCAGCCTTGAGCGACAAAGATGACATCAGACCGGTTCTTAACCCTAGCGCTAGTACTCAAGCATTTTAGCAGTATATATATCTACCGGAGTCGTTGTGCAAAGATGTCTTGAATGGTCTGGGCTCCACAGACTGATCAAGAATTCAATCGCACCTTCTGATATCGAAGACACGTACAAAGCGCCTATCCTGCCTCTCGGACAAAAGCCAAAGCCAGACGCATCACTTCAAATCATCAGTAAAAATCGCAGCCTCCACTTCCGCCGCCGTAATGTTATACTCTGCCGCTTTAACCGTAATCGTGTGCCCCAGGTTCGTCGGATCCGGAACGTCCACCGAGACCGGTCCACTCAAAACGGGCACTTTCTGCCCAACCGGCAGGCCCCTCAAATGATCCCACAATCCCTGCAACAAGCCCTCCACTATATCAATAACCGTAAGACGGTGATCCTCGTGCGTCCAAATGTTGTACGTGCGGATGACGATGCGTAGAAGTAGCCGGCCCACATGATACTCTTTCATCCAGGCCGTGCTCTCTGCAGTGTTCAGCGCATTTGGAAAGGGCATGTTTTCGTCGTCGAGATATTCGAAGCAGATGGAAGTATACCAAGCGGAAACTGCGGCGCTGAGGAGGGGAGGAGACACAACTACGATGACGGGGCGATTTTCGGGGCGTTCAAGCCAGACGTCGTAGGTGAAGGTGACTAAAAAACTGCCGATGAGGTAGTTGGTGAGGTTGCGCGAAGCTTCTGCTACAGCGAGGTCGTCTTGCGGAAGTTGAGGGGTTGCGGCGGGTGCGGTGGAGTTTATGAAGTTGAGGAGGGTTCGAGTGTTGATGCTGCTGGGCTCGACGTTGGCGCTGCCGTTGGGGGTGAATTGATAGACCAAAGGATTATTGTCTACGCCGCCTGATAGTTGCATTTGTTGATATGTGGGGTCAATTTCGACGTCGGGCGAGAGGGGGATGAATGCTTGTTGAGCTAGGATGGTATCGCCTCGGAGTAGATGACCGACGCGCGCGAAGGTGAGTTCGTCCGTGGCTGGATCCGGTAGGAGGACCAACAAACGATGCACGATCCCTGCGATGGAGGCGAAGGGTATAGGAGTGTCGTTGTAAGCTCGCACCTCGAATGCCCAATCCGTAAAGTTGTATTGGTAGAAAGTCGTGGAGTAGAGCTCATGGTAGCTCGCTAGATCTTGTTTCGCGTGTGTAAGGATGGCGTGGATTTGCTTCGCTGGCATGAGTGTTGCATATAGCTTCTCTCCTCGACTCCCCATAATGACGCGAGTGGAGGAGCGAAAGCGGAGAGACCTTCCATCTTGCAGCAGCCGACCGTTTGCTGCTGCAGTCTTATTCTGTATTGAGTAGTCTGGGACATCAATTGAGTCCTCTCCATCTGGTTCCGAAGGGACGACAGCAGAGTCATTCGCCTGACCCAGCACAGAAGCGACAAAGAGCAAGATTGCAAATAGTGATTTCATGTTGAACATGAGAGGAATGAAAATGGGCTTGCTCTACTGAAAAACAAAGTACTTAGCTTAAGACTGGTGCAAATGAAACGTGAAGCTTTTGTAAGATCAACTCAGTATACTAAAACTTCGTGGACTTTGCAAAATGTTTGGGGCACCGAAATTGGCAGAGCCTGGCGCAATGTGGGGAAGCGCATAGAAAGAAAGATGTGCTAAATTGGGATTTTCAGGCAAGCTGGTTGGCGAACCACAGAATGACCACCTTGAGAGACAAATACCAATGTCTTTGCAGTACTCGCATAGATTCTCCTTCGGTGTCGGCAATTGAGTAGCAGTAAGAATAGGCACGCAGCATCGCCTATTCGATCATACCAGGGCATTGGTGGACTCGAATGCCGCAACGAGACGGTAGCGTAAAGGACCTGAGTCTGCAGCGAGCATGGTCATAGTAACGCCATGTGGGTCCCACGTGCTGACTCGTCCAGCCTAGTCCTGGCACATGTATGAAGGCTTGAATGCAACTTGAGCTCTTGTAGGATGTTGAACCTCCGGGCCTACCTGCAGAGCGCAGGCGTGCTCCAAGCCAACGTCGAGCCAGCATCAGGACCCATGCATATGCAGTGACTGTAGACAACATGCTCTTGTTCATGCCCTAATCCGCGAATTGTTCCCTTGAACTGACTAGGTGTGGTGTGGGCGGTGCTCGTCTCTTTCTGCTGGCTTCCTCAACGCCTCAGGCTCGATAGCCGCCGCGGGGATTGGAGTCACCGCTGGGGTGGAGGTCTCAGATTGAGTGGGTTGCTTGGGACCCCTGCCGAAATGCAGAGCATTCTTTTGTGGGAATCATTTAGAGCTAGATGGACGAGTTTCGGCCCTCGATCGTCACGAAGGCCACGGCGCGCCATCTCAAGCACACGATGAGAGCATGGCTGAGGCATTGCTAGAAATGGTGGCCAGTGATTCAATCAACTGGCCGACAGGCTTACTTGCAATAATGCTGCGATGAAGTCGTGTCTAGGTTGGACGACACCGAGGACCGTAAGACATTTGCAACGAGAATGCCAAGTGCCAAGATTTCGGGCCGAGAGATTTCCCGGCTGTTATCGTGAGAGAAATCCTGCGATCATTTCTTGCATCCTTTGAGTTACCGTCAGCATATCCTCATACATTCGGATGCAATAGTTATTTCGATGGGTAATGTATTCTGATGTGATCTCACGCTCTCGCAACGTTCACAGGGTCTAGAGAAATTCAATAAGTTGATTTTGGGGCACATCAGACGTTCACTTGGACCTTTCATCCCTTGATTTCATTGTGGAACTCGGATGTCTCGGTGCCGCTGAATCAGAGCACCAATATTCTGGGAGTACAAACAAACAATCCATGAACGCTTTTTCGAGCCACGACTCCAATCTTCGACTCGCTCCAATGATGGCAATACTCCCCCCACATCCCTCCTTTTTACCCACCCATCCCCTCATTAACCCTCTTATGCAGATACAAGCACGCTGCAAGCGCAACAGCCATATCTATCCCCTCCGCAACACTCAAATAATTCGTCTGTTTCGCCTTCCACATAGCCTTTGAAGTCCACGCATCCTTGAACACATGCGCGACAACTTCGTCCCCAACATTCTATTCACCATAGCGAGAGAAGTACGAGGCGGACATGCACATCTCGACGGGCTGGTCGGTCGCTGAGTTTACGAAGTGGAATTTTGTTATTGCTGATGCTAGAGATGGGCGGTATTAGTATTTGAGGGATTGGAAGAAGGGCGTTGGCGAGTCATGTGTAAGGCGGGGGCTGGGCGAAGGGAAAGGTAAAAGGAGACGTACTGCTGCAGCTCCAATCGACGGTGGTGAATGATGAGATATCGCGTGCCTCGAGCCAGTACTGCTTCGGGTTCCATCTACTTTCTTTGCCAAGTGTGAAAATAGGCTGGCCCTTGCTGTCGAAGACTTCTTTACTAGCATAGCCCAAGTCGATATAGCCTCTAATTATGAAGAGTATTTGGCCGGTTTCGCTGTTGGTGATGTCGAAGTCATGGCCTGAGGCTTTTTCTGTAAGGATGAGGTTTGTGGGGTGGGTGATGATGTAGTCTGGGAGGCGGGCGATGGATGTGTGAAGAGGGGCGAAATGAGTTTCTTCAGTGCCAAGATGATAGTCTTGCAACGGTCATCTTGCACAGCTAGCAGATCACGTCTGCTACTTTTAGAAGCGATGGTCGTCGAGCAGGTAGGTCGTGTATCTTGGTGGTGGTCGAAGGTTTAGTGTGTGTGAAGCTGAATTCATCTGCAGCCAAGAGTCCTACGTCTCTTACACCACCGACAATCGGACGAAAGTCATTCCACTTCTTGGCACTATCCAATTATCTTCATGGGCGATTTAATGTAAGATAATAGATGAGTCGGTCAACACCAGGGAAGAGGTCGCTGCTACCTCTCAAATGATGGACGTACTGAGGAGACGCTCACAGCTCCTCTTTCAAGATGCTGGCAGATTGATTCAGCTCAGCACACGGACAGTTGTCTTGCATTGACTATTTACATACGGACAGACGCTGCGCGACAGCCTGATGAGTTTATTTCATGCCTGACATATCATACCATGTCGCCATCCCATCGGACATATGTACACCGCCGTCCGATTGCAAGAAGCTCATGTACGTGCCATAGATGGCGTCAGCATATGGCTGGCCAGCACTCGTATCATTGGTCCCAGCCCTGGATGAATTGTCAGCAGACATGTTTAGGCAAACCCAAACTCATTGTCATCAAAGCAAATACGAACTTACCTTTGGCGAGCGAAGAATTTGGGCAGGCCCATCGCATTCCGACACTCTTTCTGACACCTCACGCCGGTGTTGTCGTCGTTGCTAGTACAGACAGGAGTCAGTTTCGAACGTTCCACGGGGCTTCTTACGTGTTGCGTTGCAAGACGATGACTTACTGGATTTGCAAACCCAAAGAATTCCACTGGTCTGCAGATGCGCCAATGTATCCGCTGCAACATTCAGTGATCATACCCCCTGGACATCATTCCTTGTCAGCAATGACCCTTTGCCATGATCAGGCTTGCTTACAATTGTTCCTAAACAGCCCAATTTCGGCAGAATAACCCGTCTTCCCGGAGCCATCAGGATACACGCCACCGATGGCATATGCAGCAGTCAATGCGCATCCACTATGTCGATGATCAGTCACCAACTTCAATCTGATAGAGGTATACTTACTTCTCTTGCATACCAATGGCTAGATCTACAACAATCACACATTAGATAAGGCACAGACCGAATGCCAAGGGACCCACCTATAGCTTCCGCTCTACACGTATTCGTCAAATACTGCTTCTTAGACGCAACTTGGTCCGACGGTGGATCAGTGCACGTGAATGGGTGGCCCGCCCCATCCCTTACATCCAATTAAATAGCTTTAGGCACGGCCTGTGTTGGGAACGCCAAGGACGTTTGAACGATGCTTGCAAGGGCCACGAAGTTGCACAGTCTGTATGCCATGTCGAATGGTCTCAGCCTGCGAACAAGTGAGGGGCAGAGAATTTGTCGAGCGTTGGGAAGGCCGATCTACGGCCTGAGTGACGAGATGGGATCGGGATGAGGGTCCAGCCTCGCGATTTCCTTTGACCTGAAGAACGATGCTTGGAGCTGTGGGTTTTCTGCGGCTATTATAGACAACTTCAAGTCAGTCTTCATTCTGATACTTGACGACCCGCTCTTCAAGCTGTTGGTTATCCAGTTTGGTGCATCTCGGTGGACTTGAAACGGAAACACCAGCCGCCAAGCAGGCATACCTTAGAGTTCTCCCCTACGGATTCGTCACACAATGACGCGGTCTGGGGGACAAACAGGCCTGGTCTACTCAGATGCTATGTCGAACTTGCCTTTAGTGTCCGCGTATCATAATCAAGCAAGGCTTTCTTTTGAGGGACCAAGAATACTGTCAATTGAACCACTCTCTCACAATTTCGAGATCCAGGACATAGTAATGCCATGGACTCCCCAATCGCCCACATTTGCGCATAAGACTTCAAGCCTCGTCGCAGACACCGCGACTGCACCCATATTTGAGGCATTATCTGAAGCTCTACAAACCTCGCACTGCTAGTATGCAAAGAAGGGTGTCTCAGAAACAGCGACCAACAGCAAGTCCTCCGACCCGGTCAATGGTAAAGTTCGTGATAAGCCTCGCAAGGCTAAGGAGATGCGGACGACATGGATAGGTGGCCCAAGAATGCGGTTCCCCACTTCCCGACTCAGATCCACCCTCCGGATGCGAATCTCCAAGACCACGAATCGCACTGTTCGAAGATTTTGGGAGATCTAGAATGTATGCTAAGCTTTGATCCGCGCGCGGCGTTCCAGTAGGGGGAACCAGCCGAAACGTGGAGTGTGAGAGGTATACAGGCAAAAATGCGCCGGCGCGCTTGTATGTGAAATGGCGTTGGGGTGTGATTGTTTTGGCGTGTTCCAACAACCGCGGATGGTGTAAGATCTTATGAAACCTGGAGCCAAGGGAGAGACTTGTTGGGAAATGTGTAACGGGCTCTGTGTGAATATCGTGGTGCGGAGGATTTGGCTGGCGGGATGTCGTGCTGCGGTTGGGATGACGTGCGCTGTTGATATCAAGTCGTGGGGCAGGGCGTCAGGCCGCGTCGAGACGAGCTGTCACCCGCATCTTCTGTGAGTGATGCCTGAGAATAAGACATTAGGCTGATCACGAGATGTGGTCACGGTAAAAGCATTGAGGACCTCTCGAGATCGACGAATTACGGATCCCCGACGAGATTTCAGCAGACGTGGTCCACCTCGATTATGGGCAGGGATTGCACAGTACGAAGTTTTCCAGCTCCTAGTTAACCTTCAAAATTCTCGACGTATCAATCCAAGACTTGTGAAGGGAGCCGTAGGAATACTAGCAGGAACATCCCCCCTTTCAGCCTACAGCTTCTCAACCCGTGCCCCCTCGCTTTTCACGGGCTATGGAGACTCCTGCACATGAAAGTAACTTTCGATGAACCAAAGGTGCCCGGCAATCTTGTCCCACAAGTCCAGAATATGCCAGCCGAGCGGCTCGAAAGTACTCAATCTGAGATACGGAGCAGTCGTGATCTTACCTACATCTCTGCGCGCTGGTGAAGAGGAATGAGAGTCAGGCTTGGCAGACAGGTGCCGTCGCTCAGAGAGATTTTGAGGCCTGCACGAGGCCTTATCATCTTTTTGGAGGCCGAGGGTACTTCGAATAGAGGTAGCTATTGTGGCCGGTGTCAGAAACGGCGCAACAAACCGCTTAAACCAGCTATCATTGTCGTATCGAAGGGCGCATGTATTGCCTTAGCTGATTTGAGCCAGTCATGCACGATATCAACCCTGCGTCAGACATGGTGCGACCGAGGTTCATACCCAATGACTCCTTGCGTGCTTGTTAGCGTACAATCCTACTCAAGTCTTTCCTTCCTACCTACGTCATGAGCTCACGCTTCTTACACCTGCGCCTGGAAGTTCCCCTATGCCTTGCCAAACATCTATCCAATGGCCTGCTATATTGTAAGTACCTTCCAAAGCTGATTCAGAGCATCCTTTCAGCCGGCTCAGCTGGAAGAGCTCGATTGCATACCTGAATTCACCAGTACCAGAAATAAGCTTCAAAGGTTAATATTTGAACAAGACTCTGCATAACGTTTGAAGAACGAGCACAATGATCTGCGACGGGATTATAGCCGGCAATGGCATAATCTTCAAAGCATGTGGGATAAGGATGCTCCGATGATGTCTCCCTATTTGGGGACCATATACAACTTTGTCCTGTAGGTATCGAGCAGAAGCTGAATCAGTTTCATTTGTTGGCTACGATGTCGATCACGGAGCGTCTCATCGAACACGTTTTCACCTCCACAATGTGCATTGCACCCATCGATCTCCACCTCCACTCCACAATTCCCAATCCTCAATTCCATGGTGAAAAAAACTTTTCAATAATTTATCCGCAAGCGATCGACATACACTAACTTACAATCTCCTTTTCTGTCAAGGCAGAGTGCTGCCAGCCAAGCCTTTACGCTGAACGATGCGCTGTGTTGCGACGTCGTGGGTAAGGTAAGGTAAGGTCATCGCGAATCGCGTTCGTGCCGGTCTGGAGCAGACAGTGGGAATTCATTCCCGATTCCCGCCGACTGACCGGTGCAAAGAACGGGCTTTGTCATTCTCGGCAATGCGAACAGGTCGAATGGGCGTCAAAGCTTTGGCGGAGCATCATAGGCGGCATGATTCCCTTCGCCTGTGGCTGGATTTTCCACTGATGCGGCGAGACAATTGCTGGACTTCGCGGGCAATTTGTGCAACAAGCGATCAGAATTTAATTATGTTCCCTTTGTGTAAGGGTAGCGGATAAGCTTCAATGCGGCTTTCGCTGCTCCAACAGCATTAAGGGTAGATAGATTTACTCGTTCGCGTAGAATAGGCAATATCATTATTTTGCTGGCATCCATCTAATGCGTTGTCATTAGATGAAATACCTTCGATACCCACATAGTCTCTATATGAACCTGACCGAACGAGTCCCGTGCGCCAGCTTTATCCCATCCCATCCCATCCCACCCCCACCAGCCGGACGCGTCCGTCCAACTCGATATCCACTCCAATTCCCCCCTCAAAACGCACCCGTCCTATTCCCCCCGACCCCCCACCCCCACCCCCCACCCCTTCCCCCAACGACCCCAAAATCCCATTAGCAGCCCTCACCTCCCTCCCACCTTCCAACACATCCGTAACCTCCACCCTAAAACTCGGCACCATTCCATCCCTCACATACCTCTCCCACCAAGCCCCATCCTTCGCCATATCCGCCAGGGCATCCGCGAGCACGCCCCAGGTCAACGGCTTTGCGCTTGTGCCGCCGAACTCGATGAAAATGGATACCGCGTCGGAGGAGGAGGGGGAGGAATAGTCGTGGTAGGTGTTATGCGGGAGAAGGGCGTCGCGGCCGAAGAGCGCCATGGCGTTGAGCGCGATGGTGAGTTCGTGGGCGATGAAGGTTTTGTAGGTGGCGAGGGGGAAGGATAGTAAGTGGGTGGTGAGTGTGTAGGTGAATTTGCGGGTTGTGGCTGGTGGGGAGGGGGGAGAGGGGCTGAGAGGTAGTTGTTAGTGTTTGTGTTGGATTTTAGGAGGAGAATGAGGGGGGGGGGGGAAGGAGTGGAGGGGGACGGACTTTGGAGTTGGGGTGGCTTGGGGGTTGGCTGCGGAGAAGTCGGGGACAGGGTTCGATAGCGCGAGCAGGATGTGGGAGATGAAGAGGAGGACGAGGCTCGAGGAGATGGTTGGTTTCATGATCGGTGTTGTTGGGCCCGTTGACAGCTTACACTCGACAGGGTGTGCTTCCAGGAGAGTCGTCTTTGTGCGAACAAATCTGTTCTATGGCCGGCTTTCACTACTTATGATACGAGGCTCTGCAGGGACGTCTAGAAATACTGTTCCGCTCACTCGTCTCGCAATGTATGACTTCCGTCAACCTCACGACAAGAATAGAAAGACTGCGATCTGCCTGATTCATTGTTGGGAGTGCCCAGGAAGCAGGCTTCCGCCTTTCTTCATCATCGCAGCGGACTTATGGGAGAGCTGAAAACATAACGTTGGGGTTTGAGTCAATTTGCGGCATTCATAGGCGCACTCAAAGAGTCTTGGGCGAAGCCACCGAAGTGAGACAACATTGTATGCCCTCGCCATCTGTGTCTCTAAGATTATACGCGAAGGACAGAATCACCTTCCATCAGCTAGATGAAGTCATTCCTGAAGTCCGCCCTCGTTTTTCTCGGCGTTCGTGCGATGAACGCAGAACGCGGCTTTCGTGGCGACAACGCCATGGCTGCAAGTAAGAATAAGCCTCAAAGGTTCTCATTGAAGCCGTCCTTGAAACAATCATCAAGATCAGAGGCTGCTTAGGGTTAGAGCTTGACTCTCTATCAACTCAAAATCGTGCATTACGCCTAGGGCTCGTCAGAATCTCAACTTGGAGGATATTCTTTACAAAGCTTTGAGTTCGCCATTTTTTCGAAAGGGAACCAACTCCGACCATGTTAGAATTGCAGCGTAGACTGCTTCGTACGGAGCGGTATGAGACTCGGACGCTGATTAAGAAAGTCCTTGCACAATGAGGTTTCCGTTTTCTTTGTCTGACCTGACAAGTCTTACGGAGTGCGGCTTCCTGCGTTCTCTCGTTAAGGGAAAACAGATACCGAAGTCTGCGATCGACTTATGGAAAGAGTTCCTAGTCTTTCCCAACAGTCAAATAAGTTGAGATGTCCTACGCTGGAGAGTCTAAGTGCAGTAGCCCGTCGCACAAGGACGTCGGCGCAGTCTTCGCAGTAGCCGTACTCATCGTACAGATACTCGCTTTAGTCGAGTAACTGTTTGGTAGTTAACTGAAGCGAGATAGGCGCTGATGTTGCTGGTGCCGATGAGGGGGAATTCCTTGCCCGTAGCGGGGGGAGCAATGATTCACGCTTAGAGGCTCGGGGCGAGGGGAATAGGGACTGCGGTTGGAATATGACCTGCCCGGTGGACTCTGTGCGGACATGAATTGACAGTCGATTGCCAATGCCTGAAGTTGAGATGTGATGGGGGTGAGATGAGATGTGATGGGGGTGAGATGAGATGTGATGGGGGTGAGATGAGATGTGATGGGGGTGAGATGAGATGTGATGGGGGTGAGATGAGATGGAATGGTGATGGCAACAGGTACATAGGCTAGCACGCTGCGACCCGGTTAGTCAGCCCCTCAACTTGACTCTGTCGGCGTACCAACCGGCGAACCAGACTTTGATAGCACCGAAATCGTACAGTAGTCGTGGATGAATGGATAGATGAAGTCGCTGATGATAGAGAGGACGGGAAGGGGGAGGGAGGGGGTGGGGTAAATGATTCCTCCGCGCCCGCTTGTACCTTCCGTATTCGGGCGGAAGATGTGGTGCAGCCGATACCTTACTCTAAGGTACGTACTTCATCACAGACAACCAATTCTTCATTTTGAACTAGCTTTCTCTATTGTCTTATCTTTCGACCACTATCTAGCAGATTCCTACGCCTGCTCGTGCACTTTTAGAATCGTGCAACCCTAACATGCGACGGGTAGTTCTGGTATATCGGGACGGACAGGCTACGATAAGACTGTATTTGTCTGGATCGGTCCGAAAATGGGAACCAAATGGCTGGCATCGTCGTTACCCATTAACGATGGCTCACTGCGGCTCCTGTCTACTCTTGTTGCCAATGATGTCAGATTCAACGGTTCACGTCGGTGGAAATGAGAAGGTGCAGTGAGGAAGATAATGCTTGTCTGGCTGAGTTTTAAGTTCGCGATAAATTATGCTGTCAGTCATATTTAGGCAAGGCGCGTGGCTTCTTCAAGGCTGCTCACACCGATGCTTCTGCGGATGTAACCCACCCATCACGCATACTTGGAGGAGGTGAGATGTATTAACCGAGTAATGCGCATAGCGGCACTGGGTACTCTTGTGTATCAGCTCTACTTTGCAAATGGGTATATATGAAGTCCCAGAGTCAAGAGAGTGGGAGATCGTGTCAGGCTTGACCTGAAAATTGTCATGATATAAGTGAGTCTGTGTATATCGTTGCCAATTAAAAGATCATTATAGATGAAACTTGCTTAACGCCTGTCCATGGATTGGGCGTCAATCCTCACTGGCTCCTTCGATTGCAGCCAGTTCACTCCCACTCCTCTGCATGACGTGGAACAGTTGGACTTTCTGTCATCACTTCATCCGCACCGTCACAGCCTTCGCCTGCCCCACTAATCTAGTCATGATAGTGCTCAACTGCTCCGCTGTGCATTCAACCTCAATCGACGCATGCTGCGTATTCACCCCTGAGGAAAAATCGGGTATGCTGGGAGACAGTGAGCTGCGATGGATAGATATTTCCATTTCTGAGTGCGGCAAGCCATGCTGGATTGGGCTTCCCACTTGTGGACTCTGCCTCCGCGTGTCTGGGGGGGTCGGCAGCTGGTATTGAGTCTGGTGCGGCTGAAGTTTGAAGATTGTCTCTTGCGTTGGGCTGATGTAGTCGGATGAAGAGGAGGGCTGGGTTAATGTGGCCAAGGGATTGACATGACCTGGTATGGTGATTGGTTCTGGAGGTGGATTGTAGCTCCTCCTCTTCACCAAGGCATTAGCGGAAAAGTCATTGAAATTGTCTACGAGTGGTGCAGGTTCGGGAATGGTATGCGTTTGGGGTGATAAACTCGGTTGGATAGGGGGAATTCTGATTTGATTGGAGTGGTCGCGCTATGCGTCGAATAGGGTTCATCGAAGAAGGTGTGATCGCTGAATTCGAATGCCATGGGGCTGTAAAGGCCAATAGAATCGTTCAAGTCATAATTCCATGGTTCTGATGTTGTTGGTGACGATAAGTAGGGTTCACATGGGCTATTCGAGGTGTAAGAAACGATTGATGGGGGCTGTTGGGGTGTAGTGGTATCCGTTTGAGGCGCATCGGGGAGTTGCCTCGACTTAGCGCGCAAGGCTGAAAAGCGATTCTTGAGACTGAGCCTCGTTCTGTCTGGTAGGTGTGTGGATGCTATCTGCGTCCAATTGGTGCCGTGAACTTGCACTCCCTGCAGCAACTTCTCATCCTGCCATCATTGAGTAAGGTGTCACAGAATGCAAAGCAGTACGTTGGTGCCGTACCTCTTCTTTCGTCCAGTCACTGTAATTGATACCAGGGTCCAAGGTCTGACTCCAATGACTTGAGCATTGGTCAGAATTTCTGGTCCCCACAATAGAAGCCACTTGGCTCCACTTCAAACCCGGTGTCTGAACGGCCTCGCTCAATCTCTCGTCTTCGGACTCTGTCCATGAACCTTTGGCTCGGTCACTGGCAAACATGTTGCACCATCGTCTGCGACAGTCCTTGTTTGTTCGATCCGGTACACTCTTGGCAATTTCGCGCCATAGCAATGGCCGTGATTCATGAAGTGCTGTCGTGAGTGTTACCAACAAGTTCGTTCACCATCCTCCTTGATGTGCGGAAAGAGTTTTAGATGAATCGCGTTCATTTGACTGACCTTGACTGACCGCGCCTCGAAGATGTTGGTCCTCCTCTGCGGTCCACTTGCGGCGATCGCGACCCATCTTCTGTCTGGCTGGCGTTGACATCTGGTTGAAGACCTTTGAACCCTTGACGATTGAGACAAACTCATCGAGAATAGACTATCTCGGGCGAAGCATGTCGAGAGCTTATGTTTTTCTTGCCATCAATGTGGGGAAGACTTTGATTCTCCGCGCGTGCCCAAAAGGGCAGGTACAACCTGTCATATCGGTATGCGAGCTATCGCATGTTATGCTTACCGCAAATGGCCACGATAGTCGTCTACCTTGCACGTGTATGGCGACTTGGATTTGCAATCATTCAATCATGGGCAGATTGTCTTGGTTGATGTTGTTGTTCAGATGACGTACCGGCAGCGGCGCCGGAGAATTTTGCCTGACATTCTGCGCTAGACTTAAGAAGTCTTAGTGTGCCAAGGCCTCCCTCTTAAGGTACCTCAAGGTATCTCTGTGGGATCTGCCCCTTAGCACTGGTACATCATCTATCCTTCGACTCAAGGATGTCCCGCTTTTGCTGCCACACGTCATGATCGACTTAATTGGGGGTTCAATACCTATAGCCCAACAAATCGCGCCATCGACTCTCTACCAGTACTCCCGGCTTTGTTCAGAGACGACGCGCCTTACTACCGTGACCTCAATTCCGTCAATGCTTGTTATCGTTTTCTCGCTGGAATCTGTCGTCCATTGAAGCTAGATCAAATCTGGCTCATCTTGTGTCTCGACATGTCATGGAAAGGGTCAGATTGAGCTATATCCGAACCCCTTCGATTGGAAGGCAGAGATTCAAAGCTACAAAGCAATGGCTTGCTTGCAGACGAAAATTAAGCGGTAAAGTCATGATAAGACTACTTTCAAGAGGGAAGAGGGAGTCACACGTATCAGAAGTCTAAGCTGTACCTCTCTATAGCCTGGGATCTGAGTGTCACTATGGAACTCTCTGACCTTGGGCTACTCTATGACTTTGGATGGACAACGAGAATATGCGCAGAATCTTCGGCGTTCGTGGCGCGAGGACACTTCTCGAATCTACAGGCGGAACTCTTGTCATGCTTTGCATTCTGCTTCACGTAATTAGTCAATCCAAAAGTACTGCTGGCGACCACATGCTCTAGTCATGGAAGGTCCCGCAATACTTTTGAAATCTCCCTCCCACTCACAAGTCAAGCTTTTAGGCCGGACCTTAACAGACTTCGACAGTGGTTGATGTCGTCGACAGAGGCTTTGAAGATGCCTTAGAAGCACTCCTCCATCGACTCTTCGATGATTTTTACCAATTGGGCCACAGTCAAGGTAAGAAAGCACTGAACGGGAGACTCGTGTCGAAATCACTCCTAGCCCTTCATCTTCAGCATTGGGAAGCAGATGCAAACGAGAATGGCTGTTTGATCTTTGATCCTTTGAATCTCGAAACGACACCTGTGCTGAAGCCGCACCAGAACGGAAAGAGCGCGAGCAATTACATAGCGGCTTGCGATGCAAGATAGCCTAATCTAGAGTAGCATGGTAACGACGAAAGTCAGCATCAAACCAAAGGAAAGAGTCAATGAATGACAAGCGACGACGTTGAGACGGCTTTTGCTCATTTGCAGATTTCTGAAGAGGAAGAGGAAGAGATGATTTGCTGCAGTGTAGACTCCAAACAAACCAAGGTAATTTCACCTCCCTCCTCTGTCCAGTCACGACTAATTTGGTGATAGGTTTCTGAGATTGATGGTGAGCCATTGAACACAGTGACAACTTGACATGCAGCCTTGCACAGTACCTGAGGATCCGTGAATGATCATGGCCCGATGTTGCAACAAAGAACCTACATGGTTGGTGGCCTGTTGACAGCAGATCATGATGTACGCATTGAAGGTCTTATTTCACAATAATGGTACGTCGATTAAATTCGCTCCTGCATATCACCACATTCCATAAATTCAATTAGTTGCCAAAGAATTCAAGAAGGGACTTCAACTCGAGTTCATTGGGAACAACCGTGGTGCTGCCGAATATCTTGCAAACGTAACGAACGGCGAGAGTCTTCTTGGCAGACAACCTTCCACGTCCTCGCAGGTCAGCGACCAAGCACCTAAGAGGCCGAGAATCGCAATTGCGCTGGCTTATCTGACTACTGGGGAACTTCGAGAGGTGTCGGTCAATCCACCTAAAGTACCTGGTGAGGATAGCTGAAGGCAAACAAATCCGCAAGAGGGTGCGAAGTACGAGAAGGCAGCTGCGATCGACGGACGATGAAGCAGGGGAAGGACCCAACAAAAAGCACGTTCAACGGATCGTCACACCAGGTGAGCGTGTCATGGGCTTCATCTCATTTGCTGGAGAAAGACTTTTGATTTGGCTTAGCTTTACACACAGAACATTTTATCATATGGAGTTTCGATTGGATGCTGAACATTTCCTTCCACAGCACTAGCAATAACTCTTGTCCCCTTCAACAGGCCATGACCATCACCACTACCGTCGCTGAAATGATCGAAGCAATTATGCGCGCCGTCCAGGGCTTCCAATTGCTCGAGATTTAGATTTGCGATGGTGAGCTCGCGCTGTTTTGCCTTTCCTCCATTTTCTCTGTGCTGATCGCCACCTGCCAGGCTGATGTATCTGCAACGGTCCTAATGCTCAAGCACATCTTTCTATCGCCTAAAGGGAAGCCTGCCTTCTCATCGCGTACCACCTTCGACAATGTTGTACCATCCTCTGGGATAGGCAGCTGAAGTATGATGATGTCACTTGTCACCAATGCCTGGTGATGGAGTGAATAAAGACCTGAATCACAACACTTCACTTTCCCCGCATTCATCGGTCGCAATTTTCGACACTCTCCAACTTTCTTTCGTCCACCTCTTCCACTTCATCGTTCATCATATCACCTTCATTTGAGGAGCTGGTGTCAGTCTCTTATTTCCTGCATTGTCTGCGTCGATCTCACCGCTCCACCAGTAGCGCCTGCTGAGTCCATTATCCGCCTTCATTTTCACCTCATCTCTATCAATCACCAAAACCCTGATCATTCGAAGTTTTTCTAGCATGTCATAAACCTTCTCGTAGTCTCACAAGATGTCGGTAAGAGTGATAGTCATTGACCCACAGGGCGACGTCCATCTTCACCTTTACGTACAAGAGCTCATCAAAAATGACGCGGGAACCTTCAAAAGAACCATTGATGAGCTTCTCTTCCAGGTCTCAAAGGCTACGATGATGCGTTACTCTTCTAGAGTCAAGGATGCGCTCCGAACCAACTCCAACGACATCTATGCGGCCTCAAGCAAAGGTGTTGAGATCTTGCTTCGCATACTTCACGGGCAAAACCCAACGGTGGGAGTCGATATCTCAGGTGTCTGGCATGCCATCGTCTTTCGCACCGAGAACTATTTCTCTCCTACCATACTCAATGATTGGTATGCTGGATGGTACAAATTGCAGCCTATCGAACAGAATTTTCGCGAATGGATTCGCACTAAGCCTGAGGACCAGAACTGGAACCCGCGATGTTTCCTCTTCCCATCCTGGCATCTCAATGACGCTGTTGCATTCCTCGAAGTAACCCATTTCTTGGTCTACAACGTGGCACGCTATATCTCTGAGGAGCGACCTATTAAGGCGCAGGACAAGTATCGTTTGGATAATCAGGTCATTCGTGAGTACCCATTGTGTTTCGAAATCATGTAAAATGACTTACCAGGTATTCAGAGCAGTTAAACGCCGCGCGTGGCAGGCTCAGAAGTATCGCATTCAATATCCTCTTCAACCCAATGGAAAGAATCCTCGCTACCAAAAAATCCTGCTGCGAGAGTGCAGCAGGAGACTACCACCGAGCCCTCGTTGAGACAGGATCTTGGCCATGGGAAAGACTTGGCAACAGTACACCTATGAACACACTATTGAAGCAATTGGGGGATTTCAGCTATCAGGCTTTGGGGGAGACTTGCGGGAGATGTCGTCTGGACTATGAAGATGTCGTCGAAGCCTGTATCCATGAGACTAATATTTACTTCGACGGCCTGTGTCTAGATTGCATGGACGCATCGAACCCAAAGACCGAGAGCTCTGACAGAGATTACTGGAAGCACAGTACCATGAGCAAGGGGGAGTTCCTAACCGGATGTCGCGTCAAGTTGCATGGGGAGGCTACATGGTACCACTCGTTCATGGGGCGACGAGAAGATTTTGACAGACTGCGCCAAGAGGCAAAGACCGAAAATGCGAGAGAACTGGGGCAAGGAAGTCAGACTCAACCTCGTCGGAATCGAAAAGAAAACACCCAACCTAATCGCAGGGCAAAGTATCAGCATGGCGGGACTGAATACCGCGACAAGGGCGAGCCTAAATGGCATTTGAAGAAAAAAGACACTGAGAAAAGCAAGAGCGATGAATCATATGCGCGTATCATGGCGGCGTGCGGTCTATCAGCTTGAGGAAGGAGTGGTGCTCGCTTTGCCCCTACAATGAGCAAGCTTGAGCGGTATATGGCTTTGCGATGGAATAAAGCGCAAAGAAGAGGACGTCATATTATAAATACGCTGCATGTCGAACCCAAGGAGGATGTTGCTGTTACCAATACGCTACACAGACTTCAACGTTGATAGTCACAAATGAAATCTTGCTCACGCATGCTCTCCCTTTCCCTTTCCCTTTCCCCATGCCTCTCTAAGTTCACACCCACCTTCCTAACCCTCATAAAGACTCCAGTGAACGCCTCCTCCCCACTTTCCGCTCCTTTTTCTACCTTCCACCCCTTTCCCCCTTTCCCCCTTTCCCCTTCCCCCTTCCCCCTTCCCCCTTCCCCCCTCCCCCCCTTCCTCAAAGGCACCTACACCAACCTCCTATTCAAGCGAGACTTCACCCTCTCCCTCCCCCTCCCTATCCTCCTCCATCGATACCCATCGATACCGAACGCGTCGTAACCATCATAGACATCCTCTTCCTCGCTCTGTGCCTGCACATCCGCAACTTCCGACAGCTCCGCGCCTCCCTCTGCGTCAATGGCCTACCAGTGATCCCCCATCCCACTTTTGTGGTAAACCAACATCCTGCCCCTCCTGAGTCAAAAAATCTCACAACTTCTCTATGAACTCCCAGTTCTGTGGGGGAGGGAGGGGGATGGGGTTCTGAAGACAGGGCTGAGGGGTGGGGGTAGTGGGCTTGCTCGTGGCGGCTCGAAGACTCGTCATCCATGACTGCACGCACTTCCTGAATGATGCTATTAGCTTGGGTGTGCTCAGGGCGAGAATTTAATTGGGGGTGGAGGGGGTGGAGACGGAGGTGGGAGAGGATGGGCTTTGTGGTGGAATTAGGGGTGGGTATGGTGGGTATGGTGGATAGGGATGTTTCTATGTATCACGGCACGGAATGCGCTCAGGGAGAGATTGAGGGAATTGTCTACGGGGGAAAAGGGTAAGCGGGGGGAAAAGGATAGATTTCAAGTGAGTTGGTAAATGAGTGTATTGTGGTCAGTTCTGCTAGCTACATCAGGGTATAGCTCTTGCTATCTGTTGTTATCCCTTTCCCCTTGCCACCACCATCATGTAAGGGGTATGATCCATCCCTACATGCATGCATGCTCGTTCCGTCTCAACACCCTATCAGATGATCATCCATACGCCTCGCTTGAAATATCTCAATCCATATCGCTGTCGAGGAAGTGTCTTGTCGCTGTCAGTCACCCTCCGTGCCGACAACTGGTTGGAATAACTCACATCACAACATGCAACCTCCCTAACAATCAGGTTGTCCACACCCATAGCAGTTATCACGTGCGACGCGCTGTTCATCATCTGTCAAAGGACGATCGCCACCGGTATGGATGATGGACCATTCGATCAGGCAGAAGGAGATGTCGAGGGTCTGGCGCTTGAGGGTGTCCTTGTTGGCGGTCGCGGGGATCGCGTCACCGGCGTCGCGGGTGGCGAGGTTGGCTGGAAGTGTCAGTATGTTACTCGATTAGTGTGGATGGGATGGAGTTGGAAGGGCGGTTGGTGCTGACCATTGTCGATGGGTGTGGCCCCAGCGAGCGTCAAGAGGAGCCCGAGAGGGAGGACGGTGGCGAGGTAGTTGAATTTCATGATTGTGGATTTCGAGGTTTGCTTTGAGGTGGTGTTTGTGGTATATTGTATGACTTGTGGGTCGTGTTTGGTGGTAGGAGTTGCAAGATGCAGTGGATGATGAGGGAGAGTTAGGAGGAAGTTAGGTAGGTGGATGAGGAAGGAAGTTTATGAAAGAAAGGGCGTGGAAAAGGAGCAGGAAATGAAGGCGAGATTGCGAAGAGTGAAGTGTTGAATGCTATCACATGTGTGTTACGGGAAAGTATCTCATCCCAATCAGGGCAATGCTTGCAGCCTGCTTTAGAGTGAATGACCCTGCTGCCAGGTGGCAAAGGTCATGCAGAGATCGACCTTCATATTCCACGTGATGAGGCTCGTGATTCACTCAGTCTTCGACCCGTGATCTGTCTCTGGCAATGGCTTTGATTTTTGAGGTATGTTGATATTTGGTGGCAATGATCAGTGCAAGTGTGGGTTGTGGTGTAGGAGCTGCAACGTACCTTGCGCTCATTCTGGTGGTGTGGATTAGCCAAGCAAATACGATAAAATTGATTCTCGGAGTCTGTTTGTAGAGTGGTTTGGAGGACCACGACATGGTATGACATGAGCGCAGTCAGTCATCTTCCCAATCATCGTCGCCGTGCCAAACTCCTCCGCCATACGCACCCATCCTCCCGCCGCGCGAATCTTTCATCTTCCAGGTAGCTTCTGAGGTCAGCTGAATGGTCACTGCACGAGATGAATGGGATGAGAAGGGATAAGGAGAGAGGATATAAGAGTGCATAAGTTGTTATGGATGAGAGTTGGGAGGGCAAAAACCTACATACCTTCGCCACAAATCAATCCTCACACCGTTACAAGAGCAAGATAAAGCTCTGCAGAAAATGCGCGCGACCATCTTCGCAGCTTCTGTAATGTGGGCTCTTTAGGCAGGTGCGACTGATCAAGCATCATACAGGCCCCGCGACCCCTTCCCAATCCCCTTTCCCGTAGCAGCAACAGCATCAGTAGGATATACGGGGCAAGCGTATAGGAACGTGGACGAAGCCGCTGCGCTGGCTGAGTGTGACGCTGCTTGTAGAGAGAGTTGTACTGCTTGGGAGGATGAGGGGGATTGGTTGGAGGATTGTGTGTGTTAGATGGGATGGGAGGAGGGTAGAGGTGGTACCCGGCATGAAAGAAGGGGCGCGGGCAAAGATAATAGGAGGAGGGAGGGGAAATGAGAAGGCGACGACAGATACAGGGCGTCATATCATATTCTTTCGGTAGACCCATAAGATCATTTACACTCCTGACCTATCGCCTTTCCTTCCTCGTTATATAGTATATGCCATTGGTGATAACGGTGCATCTCATTCATTTCGAAGCTCACAAGTGCCGGAAGCGAGGTCGAAAATGAAGTTAGCTAACTTGAGAGCAGTAGATGGTGGGCTTTAGTCGATAGAAGATCCGAACAGTCCAAGCCCTGGTCTATGTTTTCGGGTTTAAATCTGCGTTTGGTTTGCATGAGACCCCGGCACTGCACTCACTGGATTCGAAAGTGGCCCTGTCAGGCTCTCTTAGTATTTTCGATGTGTCTGTGGTCATACTTGTACCTTCGATACTACTCATCATCTGATTCCTTTTTCGGGTGGTCCCCTGCCTCCTCCTCTGTCTCCTCCTCGGCCTTCTCCTCGGCCTCCTCTTCGAATTGCTCCTCGGACTGCTTCTCTGCCAACCCTACGGGCACCTGATCTATATTCGTCCTTCCGGTATTCGAAGTCACCACCATGCAATCGCGGTGGATTCCCTTTCCCAGGGCGCCGCAGGTGAAGTCAAGAACTTCTTCTTTGTCGTTCAGACCATTGAAATGGAAGGCACTGACAGTTCCTTCGTCGATATTTCCATCATTCATCAAGCGTTTGTCATAATCATAATGTTTGTGCCTCACCATACCCCTGATCACGCAAGCGAGGCAGTTCGTAAACGCAGAAAGAAATATGTTGTGGGTTCCATCAGATTGGAGAAGCCATTGGAGGTAGAGTACATAAGGATCACCAACGTAGAGATGACAGCCTTTGTCTTGGCGGCTTGCAGAACGCATATCTGCATCTCTTGCGGTGTACCCCAAGATAAAATGCTTTTGTGGAACGATGACTTCTCGGAGCATCCTTTGGATTCGTTCAACCTCTGGTCGCTTGTAGGTAATTTGGAGACGTTTCGAGTCCATCATTGGTTGATGTAGTGTGTTGTCATCAAGCAGACAAGCAAACGTCTGACACCATGCACCGCACTCTGCTTGATGGGTGACGGCGTTGAAAGTTTTCATCATATGCTCCAGGCCAACTTTTGCCCATTGTTCGTTGGCATGCACGCTAGGACAGTGCATCTTGTATGCGATTTCCAATTGCGAGATCTTTTCGGTCTCCTTAAGCAAGAGCCTTCTATGGATGGCGCCAGATGCTTGCGGCAGCCATGGCTTCTGATATTGTTGATTTGAGACTTGTATCTCCTTACTGGACCAGACAGAATCATAAGGATTGTCAAGTAAATCGATTAATCTTCTGTATTGTTGATGGTTGCTCGCGAGGTATCCTCTGAAATAATCATTTGCGATCTTCAGTAATATCTCCAACAAGCCTCAACTGAAAGAAATTGGGATAGAGATGGAAAAATGTCTTTTTCGAAACACAGGGGAAAGAATCGTTAACAGTAAATGAGGTTGAACCACCGATGGACTCTTGAGGTGTCACCGTAATTGGAAAGCACATACCGGACAATTTGAAGCCTCAAGGCCGTATCAAGCTCGCTAGATGGGTTTTCAATGCCAGCGCGATACACGCAAATACCTCGACCTGACTCAGCGGGAACTCCAATAACATGGTCTGCTATCTCAAGAAGTTGGCCAGTAAAGATAGCTTGGACCATTTGTACGGGACTTGTCCGATTCTTATACTTACTCGAATCCGTCGGAGAGTTAAAGAGCAGATTGCGGAGGTGAACCAGACCAAGACTAGACGGTGTGACCTCCTCATCAATATCGGACGACGCCAGAACCCGGACGAAGATGCTTATGGCGCCAAGGACTGACATCTTACACTCCCCACCCTGACAAAACGTCGAATTTGAATGCATGCAGGTAGGTGCCAGGTATAACATTTCTTTTAGCTCGTCGTCATCAGCTAGAGATGTGTCGAAAGGGCATTGCCTAAGCTCTGGTAACATCTTCAGGACATGATGAGGCATATCCCTGCTCTGTTTTGTCCCAAACGTTTGTGGAAGTGCCTCGGATAAGGTGGTAACTGTTTCGAAAAGGGGGTAATACCTTTCAGCGATTGAATTACCTGACCCTATGCGTTGAACCAAGGGGAGTAAGAAAGGTGACCACTTTTCAGATAGCCAGAAAGCAAGACTCTCGCCAAAAGCGTCTTGCAAGACCGTGTCCCAGGACGAGCGTAAACACACATTCATTATGACGTTACCATTACGTTCGATCTGCACTAGCTTATGATTGACTGGTGAAAGCGTCAATTTTTGGGTCATCGCGAAGTCTTCAATGTCATTTGCGTCACGTATGAATGTCAATTGTGGGAAGTCGCTGTGTCTTTTCTGAGACCTGTGCAGGACTGTACGGCCGGTGCCAAAGATAGAAATATCGAGGCAGAGGAACTGCTCTGCAAAGGCTGCAAGCAACGAACAATCAGCATTGCCGCAGAAAACAAGACTTTCGGTAGATCCACGGTGTACTAGAGTTGCCTCCAGCAATGCCTCAGCAAACGTTTCTGGGTCCATTTGCCGTCGACTGGCGTTCCAGACCGAATCCAAGGTCGTGAAACAAAATCCATGCAGTACGCGACTAAAGTGTGAGCCAATCAGTATCCCTGAACATATGTCGACAAGGAGCTTCCACTGTAGGATAGATGGCGTGAAGCCTTCCGGAGACTTTAGCCTGAGGCACATTTCCCGCAGAACACGAGCGACATACGCAGAATCAAAGGTCGTTAGCAAAGCCGAGCAAAGGGTGATAAAGGACAATCCCTCCTCAGTATCCGAGAAATCGGTGATGATTTGCTTGACACCAAAACCGAACCATAACACATCCTGACATAACCCGTATCTCTTTAGTGCTCGGATAGCCCTGTGCATTTCTTCCTGTACGTGAGGTGCAAGGCGGAATATCGAGCCTAAGGTTCTGCCCATCTGCACCGTAAGCGCGTCAACGCCAGCTCTAGAGAACCTGGCCAGGGCTGCGACCGAAAAATTGACAGACGAGTTGGAAAGAGCGACCCAATCCACCTGACCCTGCTGAGAGAAGGAGGGTGACGGTTGAGTCAGTTGGCCAGACATCATCAAGACGGTCGATTTTCCGATACTTCAGAGGTTCTGTATACGGATTGAGCACTGTTTGAGCTAGTCCAATGATGATTTACGTGGTCTATGCAGCTGATTTGTCGTGCAATCCGTAGGCGATGAGAGCAAGAAGGACGGCCTATATCGATCTAGAAATACCACACACGTGACCAAACAGCTAAATGAAGAAGGCCGATGGACCCAAACAGCCAAAAAGCTATCTTATCAGGCCTGTGCAAACGAGTTGGTAGATATCGTAGTCATCTCGAGACTCAGCTCAGCCTCGTGGGTAGCTTATGTTTTCCACACTCAATCCCCAGCATTCGGATACAGGCTTAGTCCATCTGAGTAAGTCCGTCTTGGTATTGAACATGACATCATCGCAGCGGTAGAATTGCATCCTATTAGTCCGGCATGTGCATACATACTTCCGTAGTCACAGAGTGTTCTCTGCTCGATCTCGCTACCTCGATCGCGATCTATGCTACCTGTTGGCAGCAATGCAGAGGAAAGAGTGTCTGCATAGAAGCTTGCCCGAAGAACACAGGCACTAAATTCGATGAGCACCTTATTACTAGATGAATATTGCTGAATCGTGTAATGAAAAAGATGGATAAGTACTGATGCCAATGACAAGGCCTAAAAGCCTTGATCCTCTGCGTCCGCCAACATATGCTAGTCGATAGCAAAGTCTTACTAAAGAAACGTGTAGGAGAAGCAAGCTAGCAGACGCTGCCAGCAAGGACTTGGTGCCAACCAAAAGAAATATAGCTGTATTTGATTCTGACACCTAGCAGTAATCCTCAAGCCATTCTTTCCTCACCGCCATCGTCGGCCCGTCCACGTCAAAAGCAATTGCATATTCCCGCATACCATCAGTATTCAAATAAATGAGAGTCACCACCACCAATGCAATCAATAGTGCAAACACCTGCATCCTCTGCAAAGTTCCGAACCTCAATCTCTACCCACACCTCATTTCACCCTCCTCCCTACTCCGTCTTCACCCCCTCCTTCACCACCACCTTCGCGTCCTCCTTGACATCACCCTTCATCTCCACCTTCTCCTTCTTATACACATAGCCCAAGACTACCCCGATGAGGACCAACAACACTAGCGGTTTGGTGAGGATCAAGTACGCGGCGTAAAGGCCCAGTCCCATAGAAAACCACATCGTGGCCAAGAGGAGATGAAGAGCGATGTCTCCAGCGGAGCCGATGACTTTAGCCAAAATCGGCAACATAATCAAGGCAAGGACATAGTATTCGGCGCCTTTGGCGGTCTTTGGACAATAGCGGTCGCGGAGATGTTCGAGGTCGTCGAGGAAATTTTTCACTTCTTGAGGCAGTGATTCGTCTTGTTTTTGGGCGGGTTGGAGGGGTGCAGACTTTTCGTTTGCAGCATATTCTTGAACGGACTGTTGATGCACTGGCTGCTGAGTCGCCGCAGACTGGGATTGGTCCGTAGTAGCAGACATGGTGGTGAAAGTTATCGAGTCTGGCAAGGATGAAAAGCGGACGGACGTCGATAGGCTTTCAGTTGCTGGATTGAGGTTAGAAGATTGTTGTCCAGAAGGTATGAGGTGGAAAACTTGTGTAGGATGGTTGGCTTTTTATACCCCGAGAGATAACATCAGTCTGCTACGTGTCACGAATAGGTCTTTGTTCCCGCGCGTGTCGTGGCTCATTGTTCGACCGTACAACACGACCACGTCACACAACAACACGACACTCGCCGCACGACGTCACGTATCAAATCAGCAAAACACACACGCAGCACGACGAGTGTTTAGCATCTTCTTCCGCTAAACCTTACAAGCAATTACAATATCGGCAAGGCAGCGATCTTCAGAGGAAATGCTTTCAATGCCATTCTATATCTACCCCTCGACCCGCGCCTCGTCCAAGGAAACCATTATTCTCAAGTGCAATTCGTGTCCTTCTCCATCCTTCCCCCTCCCCCTCACCTCCCTAACCCCCTCCTCCCTACCCCTACCCCTCCACCCCCCAAAAGAAACCCACAAACCCCTCCCATCCCCCATCAACAATCGGGCCTAGTACCCCACCAACCGCAGACTGCAACGGCTTAAGAATACAAACGCTCACAAACGTAAGAAAGGCGCCAAAGCACATGAAGAAGAGGCCTAAAACGAGGAAATGGTCTATGTCTTTCTTGAGTTCGGCGAGGTCTTCTTTTTGCTTGTGGGCGGCTTGTTCGTGATCTTGTGTGGACATGGGGAAGGGAGGAGGGTTGGGGGTGGGGGTGGACATCGTAGGACGCTGGTGAGTGAGGGGGAGTCTGATTGAGGTAGTAGATTGGGGGGAGTTGTGGGTGTGGAGATGGGTGATAAGTAGTAGTAAAAGCAGCAAAGTCGTTATGAAGGAGCTGGTAATATATACACATATTGCAAGGGGCAAGGGAACGGAACAATGGCATTGTTAGGTTTGCCAAATAGGTTTCATTGTTCGGTACTGTGTTTATTTCACACTTGTCCATCACATGACCGTTTTGCAAACATTTCCATTGTCATTGTTCTCCATCCGTCGTCACAGACTCCTCGTGATCTCCCAGCTCGCAATCCTCATTTCTCATTCCCTCCACATCCTGATCGATGGCTACTTCCAACTCGACACGCTTGTCATTATCATCCAGACCGGCAATTTGCGAATGAAAACTATGGGTAGCCTGAGGTGATATAGAGTCGTCTTTGACACCGGAGAAACACTGCCGAGGCAGAGAGGAAGCTGGTCGTATTATTCATACCCTGGATTCTTTTTCGTGACAAGTAAAGCCTGATGATCGGGAAGTTGCATCCCTAGCGCCCAGTTCGGATGCTGATCGTTATTGAAGGCCAGTAGGAGCGTAGTAAAGCGGCGATAATGGCCTTGGACGAATTCTCCATGGCGAGATTTCCGTGTAAACGCCACTAGACAATAAGTTCTCATTGTAGACTCCCATCATTGCTTGCCCTCAACCACTTCTTCGAATCAAAATACCCGTTCGCCAAGGGGAGCTGAAGTTCGAAGAGGGTTGAAATCCATTTGGATTGAAATTCCATCTCATAGTTTCCGTCCAAACAGCCTACCAATTGATCTAACGCGCCGCGGAAGTAGTTCTTGCACCTAGTAGAGGCGAGTGTTGCCGCATTGTAATCGGGGGCCGCTGAGTCTGCAAACAGTCGGAATGCTCTTAGTTCAAGGAGTCCATAGTCAGCGCAAAGAAGGAAGATCCGTTCGAGGATGTACCTCCTTGCTGCTTGACTCGCCTGAAGCCGTCCGAATGTGGGTTGCGTTGACTAGGATCGGAGCTCCGGAAGTAAGCTCGAATCCAGGTTCTTCACTTATATATATATATCTATTAACAGGTGGTCGTGGGAGGAACGTCAGATGGATTACTTGACCAGCATTTTCGTCTTCTTTCTTCTCTGCTTGACTAGCATCCTCGTCTGCCCTTTTCACAGCTTCGCCATTATTTTCTCCCTAAGCTGCAGGCTACTATAGCGGACTTAAGTTGGTAGCCGTACCTCCTGACCAACCTTCCAGCTAACCAGTTTCAGTGTTTTGTTCCTCTAACTCGTCGAGTAATAGGAATTCCGGGTTAACTTCTTTCTGCTTGCGACTAAGTAGCTTTGGGCCGACGTCTACTTTGCCTAGTGCATGAACGAAGCAGCAATCTGACACAAGTGTCCCTGTACGCCGCATTTCTGGCAGTTTCTTATCTCCTTGCCGTGACAGTCTTTGACCATGTGTCCTGTAAGAAAACATCGAAGTTGAGCGTGGGGTCCTCTAAGCTGACGACCGACCATCGTTGAAGGACTTCGTGATCAGTCTCTCTGAATCTGAATTATGAACCGACGTGTGTGGTTTTTCCTCTGCCAACGCAGATACTGGGCCCTCACGGCATCCAATGCATTTGCTGCTATCGATGATCGAGGCTTGTCACCCACAAGCTCTCTACTTAGTCGTGAAGGCAAAGGTGTTCCTGCTGAAGTTCAAAGCTTGCCGACGGCCAATCGATCAGAGCTTGGAGTTCTGCTTTCAGCTGTTCTCGTACAGCTGGATCCTTCTCTCTCATAAACGATGGACCGCGATATCACCGGCGTGTAGGTCATTTTGGCCTCCTTGTGCCGGAATTAAGGTATGAAGCGTTTGCTGCTCCAATTGCTCACCACTAGCCTCTTTCTTTTCCTCATGAAGAATCTCTTCATCTTATTTATTTATAGCTTTTTTCTCTTCTTCTTCGTGCTGTACCGCGGTATCACCCGCTAATAAATCTGTGGATCTCCTTGGGGCGGGCTTGGAGTACGTACTCTCTCCGGTAAATTCCGCGCATCCACAAGCTGAGTGCTCAAATCTTGTGTGTAATTGAAGTTTTCTCAAAGGAATTTCTATCACAAAATACCAAAGCTCCCAACTTGGAATTCTTGAGACGCGATAGGTGGTCAGTATATAAGTGGAATCTTCCTAGTAGCATTTATGGGTTCCTCACTAGCTGCTTCGCTCATCTCGGTCGATCGCCCGTCCTCTGAATCCTGTTCACTTCCTTGTGGGCTCGTGCCAGGTTTAGGGAACTTGTGGTAATCATCTCCCTGGCCTGGCTCACTTGAAGCTTCGCGATCTAGCTCTTGTTCCTTCTCGTGAGCGCTGGATGCTTCCAGTAAGCATCGTTTGTCCGTGCATGTATCGCTCGACGCGTTTCGAAGGCGAGAAGCATTCGAAGATTGCCAATGCTTCGACGGCGATAGGATTGTAGGCTTTAAGCAAAGCATTCGAAACGTCGGCGAGGTACGCTGTGCTGGGGTAACAGATCCTTAGCTCTTTTCCGGCTGAAAAGATCCCCACGCTGGCTGTGAGTTTCACCTATCTTTGGTGAAGAAGAAAGGAAGTATGGCTCGCCGGGTCGGACAGCCGCACATAAATCGATTATCTAGATCTACGGTTCCTCTCGTACTAAGATTGATGTGGTTGCCGGCGCCAACGTGATTGGTCCCAGGATTGACGTTGTTGGTAGCACCGATGATATTTCCGGTATTGATGTGGTTGCCAGACCCGCCATTGCGACGCAGTCTATTGTACCCCCTCCTCGGACGACGTTGCCACAACAGCCACTCACACTTGGCCAGTATTAGGAGCATGAGAACACCCACAGCGGCTGCAGCCATTGTTGAATAGGGATTAGCGGCGATGTACCCGAAATCGTCTAGCTCTGAAAGTTCATGTAGGGTGGACCACCACGCATCCTGATGGCCTTTCAGCTTTTCGAATTCTGCGTCCGTCTCCTTCTTCGCTTTCACAGGACACAGCGGCCTCAGTCGTCTCTGACAGTCCGAGCCCTTCAAGGCACCACTTCCATGCTCACGCTCGATAGCAAGGATCCATCTCCCCCTTACTGCATGGAAGAAGGGCTCTGGTATCTAGGTCGTCGGGTTGAACACGCCCCACCACATCCGTCATAGTGCTTTTCCTTATGGTCGTGTGGTCAATGTATTGAGATCTTAGGTAGGGTAGGACCTCTTTTGAAGAAGTTTCCAGAAGCAGATGTTGCGGCTGAATGATCGCATGAGCTGCTGAACTTCTGATGATCCCAGAGCTGGTCTGCAGCTGCCGCGAGGGTTTGAAGCTCCCAAAGTAACCACGGTTTTATATCAAGAAAGCCTCGATCGCGTCCGCCTCACCGCTTTTGTTTTCCTCGAGCTTTGCTTGGAAAGTCAACATCGCTGAATGTACTCTTCGAGTCCCCGCGTTCTCAACTTCCGCTACATACGACTTTGCTCAAATGACGGAATTTAAGGAAAGAAAGCGTGTCGACCTCAAAGTCCGAAGACGCTTCCTCAATTAGGACGGCTATTGAGCCCGTCGATTCTCCGATATATTGTCGTATGTATTCTCCGCCGAGGCTGTTACTTGTCGCGATAATGATTCGTGTTTCACTGACGACCTTATTTCTTGACTCGGTCCACATATGAGAGAAATTGCGAGAACATATCGACTTTCACGGGATCTACATTCTTCGCAGCTTCGACGCTGCTCGTGTATATCTCCATGAGTGTAATCCTCTAGTGAGGTAAAATTACGACCTGGATGTTCCGTGAGCTCAGCATCTGTTGAGGGAGTTCCCAAAGCGCGAGTTTTGCGAAATCTGAGCGATCAAGGGTTCAAGACCAGAGGCGACTGCATGGTCCACCTCCACATCGACGGTAGATCGGTGAAGGCTAACGAGGTATGGTCGATGTATATATATTTATTCACAGAGGCCCAACCTTGGAATGTGGTCGAACATCTTCGAGGTAGTTGGGCCTCTGGAGGAGCAAGGAAAGTAGGGGGGAGGAGCTGCCTTATATCTTGAAGGCGAAGTGTGTAAGCAGCCATTCTATTCGCTGTCCCTGACCGTCACGAGGACAAGTGTGACCAGAAGAGTGTTCATTTGGTGACGTGTTTACTGTATCATGCTGATTTCAGGTGTTGTGTGAATCCCGAGGTGTGAAAACTGAGAGTGGAACATGTGGTATCTTCTAGGACTTTTGACAGAGGATAATAGCTGAAGAAGTGTCAAAGTGCCATCCATCAAGCTTCGATGCTCGGTACACTCGCCGAGGGCTAGCGTTATACCGCGCATGTCTATGTCTTCGTCTTCGGTTTGGGTAGGGGTGGGGGCTTTAATGCTCTGCGTAGTAGAGAATTCCTGAGGCATTACTTCCACACTTTGTATAATAGAAGAAGATGTTTCGCCGGTGCCCTTTTTATGTTCTTGGACTTTCTCTCCTGCGGGATAATTCGTGGAAGAAGACGAAGGGGCAATGGAGCGCGTTGAAGATGTGTGGTCTGGCTCGGTGCTGGTTCTTCTGACGATCCTACAATGCAGATAATTCACACTGCTCCTGGTTTGCTGGTACGGCCATGTAAATGTCCGCTCGACGCTGGAGGTTGCTCAGCTTCTGATTCCGTTGAATGTGATGGCTGGCAATTCCTAAGCGAGTGATACCGCGTCGTTTTTTCTACTTTTCATCATTCTCATCAATCTCGTGACGATACTAAACAGAGTCCGGCATCAATTTTTAATAGAACCCCGCTTTCGAGATGTAAGTTTCATCAAGACAGGCGTCCGCCAAAGCTTCGTCTGTTATCTTGATGTTGGACTTCCCTTCTTCCGAAGATTGAAAGGTAAGGCGGAGCTAGAAACTGAGTCCCAATTCTTCGACGAGTTTCCTGTTAGACTGAGCGTCTGGGTTTCAGTGGCTCCAATGTAATCACCATTTGACTCAGGTGAACTCGTGTCATAGCCATCAAGGCTCTGGATGCCTCAATTATATATATATTTAGGATGTGCCGATCAGATGCTCGCAGCTGGACGAGCTCCCGAAGGAGCTAGTAGAATATCCACGTTGTGTTTAGGACTATCGACAACTTGCTCAAGAGATAAAGCTTCCAGAACTTAGACCACCTTGGATGCTGCCGTATTTCCCTGGTCTGGTTGGTGGCTGGTGGTAAATTATTAGTACTGCTCGACGCCTCGCCTCCCTCCTCTGACAAACGTTTTTCAGCACTGTAGGATGTCATCGCCACTCTTGATGCAGAGAGGTAACTTCGGGGCGGACGGCTGCCTGACTCCACTAAAATATCCCAGCTGGATCTGATGGTTTTTTCAATAAAGTAACGGTGTTGAGGGGTTGTGTCTTCCTCTCCTCCTGTTCCTCTTCCTCATTCTCGTCCTCCTCCTCATTCAGATGCAGACCCCAGCTCATTGTCTCACATATCCAAGTTCTTTTGTCAATGGGCAGGCTCCATAGGGCGATTGCGTTCATTTCATATTGAAGATCGGCTCTTACCTTCTTCGTCGCCGGTGGTGCATCGTCAGTATCCCTCGAGGCATCGCTATGACAGTCGATCTGGCATTGTCAGCAGCATTGTTGTAAAGGCCGCGAGACCCATAGTGGAGTTGAGGGTCAAGCGACCATTTCTGAGCCCCGGAAGACCTTCCCTGAAGGCGTCCGTTGCGCGTCATCAATATTGCGGTCTCCCTCGTAGGACCGGGGCTCTCCCACAGTATCAGTGGGTTACGCATAGCGTGAGGCGGAGGGTGGACCTCGTCTTTCTCGTTCTGTAATCGACTCATTTCGCCCTTCCTCAACTGAACTTCTTTTGCGAGCTCGGTTCCCGACGAAGGAATTCGAACGGATGGAGAGATGAAGCCGTAGATATCCCACCATTTATTGGCAAACGGTGTTCTGCTTGACCGAATGTGTTGGACTCGATTCGGCCACGGACAAATAACGCAGTGTCACTGAAGAAAAGCCGAACGACATACTTGAGGATCCAGCGCATGAGCAGACGAGGACCATCGATCACCAGCATCCTGACAGATCAGGCTGGGCCAAGGCAGATCTTGTCGACTTTTTCTGTTCTTGGTCTTTCCCGGGAGGCGTCTGGATATCACCTGAGCTCGACTTCTTGCTTGGGCGCTCCTCTGTCGGGGGATCTATGGCCTTACGAAAACCTTCAACGTCGGACACAACAAAGAACATTCTCGGGATCCCATGAACTCAAAAAGCTCTCGTCACAAGATGGTGAGGTTGTGGTGATTGTTGTAAGCCTTACTCTGGTGATCATTTCCCTAGGATTTGTTGGATCCGACTAAGGTGGAAGAGGATCTGGCTTGACTCATAGCTGATGCCGGCGAGTAGGGCTTGCTTCATGCCCTCGTCATTGAAATGACACTTGATCCGGTATAGCTTAATCGATTTATATATATTTACGAGGGCCCATTGTTGTGGAATGCCTCGAAGGTCCTTGGTCGCCAGGCCTTGCTCCTCGTCCGTATATTCCGTTGCACGGTCTAACCAGAATTCCAGGGTAGCCTTACGCATATTCAATGTCAAGGTGTCAAATCTTGTGATGATGGCTATCGAAGTCGTTGTGATACAGCCACCTTTGAGCAGGACTCTCAGTTGATCGAGGGCCGCTGAGCGCCGTTCAGCTTGATAGGCGCCTTCGTCTTCATCATTAAGGTCCCGTATTTCGGATGCATGAAGAACCGAAGCTTTTTTTCACGTGCTGTTTCACCGAGCACATTGCGTCAATGCGGTGTACTGAGAGAAACCGAATCGTGCAAGAAGATACAATATCCTTTGCCATCGCTTTGCTGTCTCCATGGTCTTTCACAGTCGAATCCGGAAGCACAGCTATATGACTCACCCTAAGGAGCCTGAGCAGAGCCCAATTGTCCAACCCTCTACCGTTCAAGAAGATTGGCCCACGCACGAGAGAGGAAGAGAGATGGTTTTGCGATCTTGCCGGACCGCTGAGCTGTCAGGCTCGTCGTTGTATCACCCCCATACATACGCTAGTAGGTACGGGCTTTTCCCACGACGTCGGCATTGGGAGCTTCTACGATGAAACCACGGTTGTAAGACGCTGGCACCCAGGATGGTCAGCTCGAATGCGCCGACTAGAGAATCTTTCGGGGACGGTGGTTGAGAAGCTGATGCTATTGTCGAAATGTTGCATGAGCTAGACGTTGAGCATGCTCCTGGCTTGGGAGCAGTGAGACTCGGGTAGAACATCAGCAGCCTTCAATGGGAGATAGCTCGGCGCCGGGAGATAGCGTGGTAAGGAATTGTTGGTATATATATATATTTAAGGAGGCCTCCCCTTCGGATGGAATTCGAAGTTATTGGAGGATGTTGGGCCTCTGGAGGAAGAAGAAGAAAAGGAAGGGGGGAGGAGCTGCCTTTTATGTTGGAGGTGCAGTGTGTAAATAGCTTCCTCATAGGCTGGTGCAATGTGCCATGAGGGAATGTGTGAATGGAAGAGTGTTCAGTTTGTGTCATTAGGGATGTCTCACATGGAGTTCACACCGCATATAGGTCTGAAGGTGTAAGACACTCAGCCAAGTCTCGTCAAAGTATTGGGGCAGTCGTGATGTGTAGTGGCGGCTTAGAAGTGGGTCAAGAGACATTCATATGAGTCTGCTGTGTTGAAACAATGTTGTGTGAATTGCTACAGAATTGTGTCTAGATAGTAGATAGAGGCTGTGGTCATGTGGTACACAAAATGAATCAGACCTTCATTTTCAGATGAGGCAAAAAATAATTCAAGATCGATGTGGCAATCCAATCGACTCAAATGCATAACCAAATCAGGCATGTTTCTTCCGTATTTGCAAGATCCGCACTGAAAGAACTCTCCCCGAATCTAAGTCATCATTCATCCCTCAGAGGGACGTCATCCCGACTGCATCCACCGGTCTTTAATATATGTAGACTTTCCAGGGCATTTGTCTTCTTTTCGTATCCTAGCGCGGCTTATAAAGTTTGCTAAATTTGTCGTCATAATGGATTTTCTGCCGTTTGTTATCTGAACTATCCTGATACAAGCCTTTCCGCTTTTTGCCCGGCTCATCTCCCTTTGCTTCACTTAACGACTTCTTGGGGTCAAAAAACGGATGTGCCAATAACTGTGAAGCCCCAGATCTATTGATTGGATTCCAGGCCAACATACTCGCCAATATGCGCCCAATCGGCGACGAGAGCGACTCCAGACGTTGTGTCAGGATAAAATTCCCGTTGAGCTGTCGGGGAACGAGCCCGTCGACTTCCTCGGGGAACCATAATTGGACCAACGCGAGCCCCAGCATACAAACATCTGCCTTGTCTGAGAAATTCCTCTCTCCAAAGGGAATGGCTTCCGGTGGATAATTCTCGTGAGTGCCAGGTAAGTAGTTGCAGGGAAGATCGACTGACAATGAGCTCAAATCGAAAAACACGGTACGGGTGGGAGAATCTAGCATATGAATCTTGGATGGCACAATTCCTCGGTGTCGAAACCCTTTCACGTGCATATCCGAAAGTCCTGTGAGTAAGTCCTTTAACATGACCTTCAATTGTTGTTCTGAGAGTGGTTCATCTAATTTGTCTATGACGTCGAACATTGTTGCTGGCTCCTCTTGGACGGTGTAATAGTCGAATGGAAGCTCTGGTCTCTGGATATTATGCTCGTTGAGTAATGTGCGCACATCAAGAAGTGCTGCCACACCAGGCGTGCTGCTTAGAGATAAGGTTGCTTCGGTGAGCTCTATCGCATGTAGGTGCTGGACATTGTTCTCTACACTGTGCTTCACGACGATACAAACATTGCCATTCCTTGTGTCAAATCCCTGAGCATATTGATTAGATCGGGGTTTTAGCTCAATTTGACGAAAGACTGCTGTCTCGAATGTCGTATCGATACGCATGGGTATTCCGGAGTGTGACGACCAGGGAATGTCAAGACCTGCGTCCACCAACCTCTTATCTCTTGTTTTGACGTACGAAACTTCCATTCTTGGAGAATCGATGGAAAATTCCAGCCAAAATTGTAACTCGCCGAGCTTGAGTAATACCTTCGGTCGACCAAGTGCCCGAGCTAGATGGGCCTCTACTAGTATTCCATCCAACTCGACTGGTGCGCGCGTCTCGAGTATCCAGGCTCCCGAGTCGCGATGCATATATATCATAACATGGTCAGCTCTGACTTTTGTCGCAAGGTGGCTACCGGGTGGGGCCACGAGAATGTCCACGTTCCGTATCAAAGACTCGCTATTGTTTGAACCTGTCCCAACTAAGAAGTGTGGCTTGCCTGAGACTGTCTCATTCTGGAGATTGAGTTTTAAGTAACCCTGGTGCAACGTAGGCTCTTCTGCTTTGTGGCCGTGTAGGGTGTCATCAAGATTCCGAATGAGCCGCTTTGGCTCTTGATTTTTGTCAATTCGAGTCAGATACTGAGCATGATGGCTGCTCAGTTTTCCGGCCTCCTGACACTCCAGGAGCTCATGGACAGATCTCTTAGCCATATCATTAGAAGGTATAAGTCGGAGAACGTCCCCGTTATATGGTTCTAGATGCTCATTCAAGTAGGATCTATCGACAATGCCTGGTCGTTCCATTGAGGTATGGGCAGAGCTTCTCAAGTCTCCTGAGGCATTGCTTTGCTGCGCTGAGAGTAATTCCCTTTCCGTGGGAGGGATGTTCTCTTTGTTGTTCTCCGATCTGCTATCCTGTGCTGCGTTGATCTGACCTGCCCCGTACTCAGAAGTCTCGTTTGACTCTCGTATGTCACTGCCGGGACTGTTAATGCCTTGATCCGGATCCGCCATAGCGTCAAAGGTGATCTCCACCCGTTCCACAAACCCTTTTCGAGACCTTTTCGATGATACGTACGTTATGTTGTCAAGATCTTTGTGTCTTGATTTCATGTAGTGCTTTCATTGCTTGCTGTCGGCTGAAGCTTTCTGAAGAAAATGGGAAGGCAGGGCATTTGCCATCAAGCGGGGTCAGGTTGACACAGCAAGACTTGCTGTGTTTGACGCGGGGTAGAATTAACACAGCAATTTTTCTAAGACAGTCGGACGCGATGTGGCAAAAGTCGGTGTAAAGGCTGGAAACCCCGCCAGATCATTCTTCCAACCATTTCGTCCACTTTCAGAGCCAAATGCGCGTGAAGTCTCAAAGGCTTCAATTTCATCAACCAAAGCGTAAGAAATCTCATTTCAACTGCAACATTGTCCTTCTGCCAAGTCGATTAGGCTGCTTTAGACAGAATCTGCAGTAACTTAGTTCTTGAAGTCTTCTCAACACCTCTCTCATCGGTCTTCAGAGGAATAGTCCCGCCTAAAAACACATCACCAACCACTTCTACGACAGTGGATTGCAGCCCACCCAACATACTGATATCTGAGCATACAACGGGATGTCATATCCTAGTCAGCGCAACCCACTCTCGGACGCGATGAGGCGGGATAAGCAGCAAGTGGGTAGATCATCTACACTAGAAGGCCATGATGATCATGGCCGGAAGAGAAAGCGCGATTTTGAGCCAGACCTAGACATCGAAGGCAATGCTACCAAGAAACAGGCAGAAAATACCATCATATACACACTGGAGGACGCCATGAGGTCGAAGTTGGAAAGAGAACCGCCCATCAAGAAGCGTCCTGTTCTTCGGCGAATGCACACGAGGTCAATGGCTGCTCAGCGCGTACGACTTGCCAACCAATGTGCAGGCAATAGCGACAAATATGCTGGGCGCGTAGCACTTGCCGACCAACGTGGAAAGGTGGCAGTCTGGTCAGGCACTAGCGACAAATACATTGTCACCAACTACAATATCTATCAGAAGTACTGGGTATGTTCGCTCGTCTCTTACTCAAAAGGAAGGTCCAATGCTGACGTGTGATGCAGGCCCCGCCTCATGAGTCTTCCGATGATGTTCCATACACTGCGTGGCCTCCACCCTACCCTAAAAATCAATACATTGACCACCGGAAAGAACGCCAGCGAAAGGATCTCCAACGAGAAATCAGCGCAAAACACAAGATGCATCAAGGCGCTTTTCCATTCAAGGACCGCCCCGAACTCGGATGGGATGATGATCATTTCGATCCCTGGGAACATAAAAAGAAGCTAGAAGAGGAGAAAAGAGAACAGAAGAAATTGAGAAAGGCGTTACATAGTGCAGGTCATAGAGTCAATCTTCAAGGAAAACGCGAAATTGAAGAACTCAGACGACGAGCAAACATCACACAGACTATTAACACGGGTGCTGGGTCCATGACAGTGACTTTTTGATTAGCGATATGCGATTGCAGCGCGGCCTTTATTGTATGCAAGCCTAGAACGAACACGATAAGCTACTCTGGATCACTCGCGGGCTATTTGGTCACGCGTCAAGGCAGCACACGACATCTGCCTCAGAAACCTTTCATCATACGTCTCTTACATCATGCGAAACAGGTCTCTTTTTCGACATCATCATGCACTGTATGCTTCAACCATTATATTTCACAGCACCATGCCATCATGAAACAAGGATTGAGGATCTTTCTTCAAACTACGGCATTCGATTTCTTCACAGATCAGCAACTCATTTTTCTATTCACGTGCGATTAAACCTGGACAAAGGCTTTCGTAAAGTCACACAGTCAGGTCAGAACAAAATGGATCAGCCTTTTTTCTAATATTTTCATCCACTTCATCAGGATCTCTCCAACCATGTTGCTTTCTGCAAGACATTCATAGCGACGCACCTCGAGCAAGCGGCCCATGAGCGACTAGTCAAACAAGACCAGCGGGGCCGAACACTACGGGATAGAAAAGTCCCTGTTCTCGAGCGACTTGTCAAATGAGACAGGCTGAACAGGCGACTGGACAAGCATATCCCGGACGGCGGAAACGCATGAACACTCACATCTACCATGGCGCGCAAGACGATTACTACCACACAGCACGGAACGATACACGATTAAGCTTCGGCTAAGACTCATAAAATTGACGAGATGACGGGGTACACTCATAAAGACAACCCCAAACCAAACCTCGCATCCTTGATCACCTAGCCCTCTCATTCCTTCCCCTTTCACACCGCAATCACCCACTCACGACACACGTCGCAATCAAGCCAGAACAAAGACTTCTGTACACTCACTTCAAAACACCAGGACGGATAATCATTCGAGCCCGGCAAAAAGCCCAAGACACTCAGACACAGAAGGATGGGCAAGAAGATCTAGATGTCGTATCTCCCTTCGCAGGACCAGCGGCCATTCGAGCTCAATCAGAGCTTATGGCCTCTGGACTCGGGGAGACGGGCGCACAGATCTGGATATGGCGATGCCAGGTAGGAAAAGGACAGCTCTTGACTTGCAAGCGGCTATGCCATCGTAGGGTGTGAGGATTGAGAGCGTGTTCAGGTCTACATGGGTGGGGAAAGAGTAGAGACAGAGAGAGACCAGAAGTGAGGTCGTGGTAGACCGGAGAGTTACTAAAGACGGGTCATAGAGATCGATTAGGATTTTATTAGAAGACACCAGAGACATGGTACCTTTGGGTCGTGGATTGCGGTTGTTTGTTGATATTATGGTGGATTTTTTATTTTTGGGAGGGGGAGGCACCAAAGACGGTGGGGCGTACTTTGGGTCGAGAAGAGGGAAGGTGGAAGGGGGGCTTTGGTGTGGATGGATGGGTGGTTGGGAGGTCGTTTGCACGGATGTTTAGTTGCATAGAAGGATGAAGCGTTGCTGCCGGCTGTGTACTGCTGTTGACATGTTTGCGCTGGCAAAAACATGCGAATGAACATGCAAATAAATACATGCTTTGATTTCCTAGAAATGAAGTATTTGATACGATGCAACGTCCAGACGGACTACGTTCCCTTGCCTTGTCTGGTCGCCGTTGTTTCCTGCACGCCTTGTTGGTGGCTAACGGGGTTTCAAAAGCAGGATTGCCAGCCGTGGTTTGCTATATCAATCGGCGGTATTGTCAACGTATGTAAAATTCCGATAGTACAGGGTCGTAGACATAGACATTGCATATCCTGATCAGTGTCGATCTGTGGATTTTGACAATAATAACAACACCATTACGGTTCCGATTGATAGCACAATTTCATCACTGCAGGCTGCCTTGAGTTGATCGAAGGCTATGGCGGCTTTGCTTCCTAGCTACGGTACACCGTATATGATACTGAGTTTACGGCGGATCCTTGGACACGCTAGAGACAGAGTGAGCGTCTTTAGAAGTTGTACTTGAGTATCCACCTTACTCTCATCAGCCATGCATTGAAAGGTACGAATGGTTTCCACAGTCTCTTCAGTTGTGACTGCACTCTTCAGTCAATCCGCTGACAGCAACAGTGGCAGTAATATGACTTACGACTGACTTCCATCTTGGTCTTGGTACGTTGTGTGCCAAAGGCTTCTCAAGGATTTTGCTTTCTGTAGATTGCGGAAATAGCGTACCAGAAGCCTTTCGGGGCTCCTGCTGTGTATTGTTAGAGTGTCAAATCTCGGAGGATTAGAAAGGATGTGCCCAAGAGCTTGTCTGCAAACATTATAGCCCAAGAGTGCAACACTAACGCATCCTGTCTTCTGACACTTCAGCAAGATTGATAGCAGTACCCCGTCTAAGCAGCTTACCAAGATCCTTCAAGGTGTAGAACAGTGTTCGTGTACTTCGGAGACCATAACCTATCCGGCCTTAACCAGTCTTTGATCTGGAAGTATGAGTCGCCCAAAACCAATTGGAGGAGCAGAAGACGAGTATGTGACGGTCTGCAATACATGGGGTCATCTCGGATGCAGCTCGAAGCCTTCCACAGTGACTTCATCCTATAAAGTAGGCTCAGGTATGTTCTCCCCCATCTGCGCGGCCTCAGCAGTCATTGCTTCGAGCACAGTAGCAGTCGCCTGCCGCTGATCAACAGTCTGCAAACGCTCTCCCACAACCACTTGCATGGTGCCAAGTTTGCCGCGCACAACTCCAGCAATTCGTACCACCTTGATTGTAAAAGCCGCGCCGTACTCAAGTTCCTCGACACCGAGATCGTCAACTGTGAAGCGCACGCTCTTTTGCGCTTTACCAACGCGACGGCGGATGAGGACGTCTGCATCTTCTTCTTCTGATTGTAGTGGTGATGTCTCTGGAGCTGCTGTGGCTATCCCTGGAGATTTCAATGGTGGGGGGCGAGAAATCGCCGTTTCCAGGAAGGAGTTGTCGTCCGTATTGAGTTCCCAACGAGCCAGGACCGCAGCGCGCAGAGCGAGAACAGAAACCACCGGAGCGACGAGGAGAGACTTAGGAAAGAGAGGTCCCATAAAAGGCTCGCCGGTGCGATCGGTGGATGTGAGAGGATCTGCAATACATACGGCGAGGGTGTAGGCGATGTTGGGGGAAGTAGGGACGACGCTCGTCAAGCGCGTAAAGTCAAACTTTGATGCGGACAGGCGGTTCTGGTCAAGGATAGTTGCTGGCTGCTTTTGTCGGTCTGACTCTGGGGAGCCTGGATGGAACACTTCGATATAAAGTTTGTAAGTTCCTTCGGTCCAGTCTAGGGATTCGGATACGACGAGATTGATTTTCTCCTTGTCAATGTCAATCTTAACGGTTACTATGGTGATGGAGGGGAGATAATTCAGCTTGACGGAGGTGGCAGAGAATACTACAAAGCTATGGTCGTTGTCATCTGGAGTCCTAGCCGCAACGATAGTCACTTCGTCGCCGTTTTTAATGGTCTTGGGAGCTGTCAGTGTTGCTTGCGATGTGCCAAAATTTCCAAAGTCGAGGTAAGTTGAGGCACAAAATGCTCATTCACGACGAAATATGAAATTATACCATTCCCAAATGGAAGTACTTCAGGATTCCAACTGAGTGTGATATCTCTGCCTTGGCTGGCTGCCCTCAGATTGACCAGGTGTTTCGAGATGGAAAAACTTGCCGATTCAAAGATGTCTGAATCTCTGTAGTCATCGCTTGGTTTCAAATTCTGAGCATAGGCTTGCATGTCTCCAGTGATGTTATTTTCCGGGTAGTTGGGTGGAGCGATGAGTTTCAGACGTTTGACAAACCTTTTAAGACCAACGGAGGGCTTGAATATATGGGAGTAGAGTTCTACAGACTTCTGCAGATTTTTGATGGATATTAAGAGTTTCGATGCAGGGCCTTCCACAGATAGGATAGCACTGTCCTCGGACAGGGTGAATTCCATCGAAGTTGGCGATTTGAGGTATGGGGAATGGCTAACGGAACTCAATGGATCACTCCAGGCGGGAGCCTCATAGATCAAGTCTTTCTTGTATGTCGCACCACCCTGGAAGCTCTTGAATAGATCAAGAGGACTCTTGGGTTTGACGACGTCGATGAACTTTAGTGTTGGACGAATTCTGACGAAGATTTCTCTAACGTTTGGCCAAACGGTAGTATTGTTGAGCGTACAGCTTCTTTGATTTACGACGGTAACTGTTGCGTCAATGACAGTAAATTTTGAATCTGAAGATGCCTCAATCTTCCATGTCGTTTGGGGAAGATAAGTTGTGAGGTTTGGTGGAACAACCTCTTTCCAATCGCAGTCAATGGTCGTCTCCCTAGAGAAATCTTTCTTCAGAATTACTGTAAATTTCTTTTTGATCTGTAAGGACATTACAAGATCTCTTTCCGCATCCAAAAGCGTCTGAAGCATTTCTTTCTGTTGTTCCTGCAATTTATCAACAAGGTCTTTTATTATCTTCTTGTCAGCATCGTTGTCGGGCAGTAGCATCAATAAAACCACAATGACAAAAATCATAACTCCAAGGATGGCAACCAAATCCCAGAATGATTCCCATGCCGCACCGAGTCCGCCTGCCGCGGTGATTGCGCCACTGGCAATAGCGGTCGCAACTTTGGCAACATCCTTAAGTGTCTCTTCGGTTTTGTCTAGCCAGTCCTTAGTTTCCCGCTTCATCACATCTTTTGCTCCTTTGTTGAGATCCGGGTCCGAGGTTGCTCCTCTGCAAAAGAAGGCTTTAATAACAATTGGGCCGATCTTGTCAAATGCCAAAAGTCCACCAATGATCGCCAGATTCTTCGGATCACCAAAGATGGCCGAAGCGACTTTGCCCATATTGTCCCCAACATTGATAGCTAGCTTGCCAAGAAGACTATCGGCACTTGGTTTGGGGTCCAGATCAATGTTGAATTTTTCCATCTCAATCTCCAATTTAACCACAGCTTCGTCGACCAAATAGATCTGTGCCCACCATCTGACTGTGATGGGTATCTTACCATTCACCATGATGCTCTTAGCTTTGCCCATTACCCCATCCCTGGCAGATGCACTCGGTGCATTATTATTATCGGGTAACTCAAGAGCAAATCTGTATCGAATCTTCACCAAGGTCCTCCAAGCAAGATCGAAAAACTTGCCACAAGCATTGTCTCCACCTTTCGATCCTTCCTCCATCAGCTTTTTGAACTTTGAAATTTTGTCCATGTAATTCAACATGTGCAGCGACTCGAACCTGAACTTGCCATCCTTATATCTGAACCATATTGGTTCCGACACTGTACCGAGAAAACCCTGTGGCAGTGTGATCGAGCCACGCATAGCTTGCTGATCTGATTCATACTGTAGCGAGAGATTTAGAGGTTGACTTTTCAGGAAAGAGATGCTTCCTTTGACACCTAGAACAAAGCCTGCGCCGGGATTTTTTTCAACAAATATCTTGGGTCCGTCCTCTTTGACCCCATCCTCCGTGAAACCTGATAGCTCGGCAAATTCTAGATCCACAGTTCTTGCAAGCATTGCAGAAAACGTCACGCCGGTTGGTGAAATCTTCATAAGCACGTCGAATGCTTCATTGAAGATGTAGACCTTGGCATCAAGATTATAATTTTGATACAATTTCTTGCCTTCGAATGTTAGAGGAGTTTTGGATCTGTTATAGTAGAGCATCATCTCTTCGAACCAGAAATTGGGGAGGTTTTTCGGCCATGATGCTGAGCTGTCATCTGGCGCTTGGATGACCTTAGATGAGCATTCCTGGACGGAAAGACGACCATCAGTACTTTTATAACGAATCAGTGCTGCTTGCGGCACCAAGCTCTTATCAAAGACTATTGCGGCCTCCAGATTGGGTTCAAGAGCACCAGTGCCAAATTTAACCCCACCCTTAATTGCGTACCATCTTTTTGTAGTATCTTTAGGTATATATCCTTCAATTCCAAGATCCACAAGTTTGACATTGAAGGCGTCATCAAAAGGACTCTTGACAGACGGTCTTTCGATAGAACTGAGAAGAGCCTTGAATGTTGTCAGTTCATTTTCGACATGATAATCTACTTCAAACTTGAGTGGATCATCTGTGAGACCAAAAAGCTTCAAGGAAGCTTGGACATCAACCTGTCGCAAAGTCTTTTTCATTCCGCCTTCGTCACGCGTACTGGTTACGTAATTACCCCATCCACTGACGACCACGGCATCACCTAGTAGACTAAGATTGTAAATACTCACGTACAAGTGTTTTGCACTTTTCTGAATAGCTCCGTAGACAAGAATGGTACACGCAGCTTTACCAGACTCTGACGCTGCCATTGCTAAAGAGTCAGTCACGGCGCCATGTCCACTTAGATTGATTTCCGTGAAGAACCATGCTCCTGGATGCAACGGCTTCCTGTCTTGAAATTTATCCAAATCAGGAATCTCACCAGTCTTTGTTAGCGCTTTCTCCACTTTTTCTTGTTCTTCTATGGTTGGCCCAGCTGGAAATGTCGGTCTTTCTTGGATTTGCTGTGGTTCCAAGTCATCAGACTTGAGGTCCATCTCAACCTTCAACACTTCATCCGCAGCGTCTGTTCTATCTTTTGTGTCAACCATTTTAGAGTCTTTAGCGACTCTCAAATTCCCTAACCCCATGGACAAGTTTGCCTGTAGATCCTTGGCCGTTGTCTCATAGGTGAGGACCTGGACGGCAAGCTTCTTGATGTCGAAGCAATTAGACACATCGTCTTTTAAGTCTGGCCAGATTGACAGGATATCAGTTGCGACTAGAGATAGAAAATAAGATCGTTTGGTGTCATCCTTTGGATGCTTTTGAGCAAGTAGCATGGCGTTTCCAACATCTTTGAGAGCGCCGGCAATGATGAACCGAGACTGGGAAAAGTCCACCAAGAAAGCAGCAGAGCTGTCAAATTGCAACTTCGTATCTTTAAATACCTGTTGCGACCACACATCAGTATCCGAATGTGTTACCGCTTTGGCGTATCTTGACACATCCGCAGACTCTGCGGTCTTTTTGCCCACAATCGCCGTGAATAGCTTCTGCCCTCCTGGTGTGACATCCAGACTTGCTCTACCACTAGTAAAGTCTCCGAGATCCAATTTCCCAAAGAGATGAATTTCACAGCCTTTCTTCTGTCCTTGTGAAGTGACCCTTATGGATCCACTGAGTTCTCTGACGGTGAAGTTCAGACCAAGAATGTCAGCTTTCCAAGCATTGGCTCCTATTGGGTCACCAGCCGCAAGAGCAGAGCATTCGATGTAGTCTCCTGGAGCGAAAACAAGTTCGACATATTTCAATGGAAATTTAGAAGGCAAGTCTTTCGCATAGTCCTTTGGCATCTCAATATTTTTGCCAGCGAGTAGTCTATCAGTAACATCCGTAAAGTCCAATCTTTGAAACCCTTTCGGAGACAGTTGAGCAGCAAAGAAAGATCCGTACTTTAGTGTCTTTAGATATACGGCATCGAGTACGAGACCTGAGATTAGCATACGCCCGTGAAGAACAACCGTCGTTTTAGACACCGTAGTAACATCGGCATCATACTGGTATCTTAGATATAAATTCTCGAGCTTGAGCAAGGGGTCCGAGAGCAATTCATATCCCTCAGATGTCTCGACGCCGATGCATAACTTGGTCAATTTGCTCTGTTTCTTGCCGTCCGTCGCGACTGCATTGATCTCCACCTCACCTTTCAAGTCTTTGATCCTCAGGCCCGTAAATGATGGAAATCCTTGCGGCTTACCATAAGGCAGGTCGTTGCCAAACCCAAAAAGGTTCAAAAGATTGTCGAGACGGACCGCATCAACATCGATTGCAATGACTCTTAAACCTAATCTTTTTGAATTCTTTGCCGAGCGAGAGAAGAATTCGATCCGAGACTTGAGATTGCTAATTGCAACAACTCCAGTGACTTTGAACACACCCCCTCAGAGTCGTTAACGGCCGATTCAGTCAACGTATCTTCCGTTGTACCAGTCTGCCTGTGATGATCTGTTCCTGCTGATTGTTCACTTGCCGGCTGACCGCTCACTATTTTGTCAGTCGCAAATTTTGCCCTTGTAAATTGTCCGCTGGGAGACTTCTCGTCACCAGAAGTTGGAACAATTCTCACCGGAGTAGAAACCCCATTATCTGTCCCGTACAGGTTTCTATCCCTAAGATCACCGCGTTGATAAGTTACCTGCAATGAAATCATTTCAAGTGCCTTTTGCTCCGTATCTTGCTTCCCCAGTCCCAAACGCAGGTTTTCCGCCTGTGCCAGCTGAAGCTCTAGAAATTCAAGCTCCTTCTTCGCCACATCGATACCTATGCTTCCATATTCAAATCCAAGGTCGCCTATGAAGCTCGATAGAACAGATGTCTTCAAGTCGTCTGGAAGTATTGAAGTGAACAGTATGGTAAGGGGAACAATCTTATCCACAAGTTTCAAAGTCGTAACGACAACTTTGTTGCCCGATTCATATCTAATACTTGCATTGACTAGACCTCCTGGTAGACTGGCGCTGGCGCAAAGAACCTTGCGATCTTCGTTGAGGGACGAGGGGTGATTGACACCCTGCCATTCAATGGAAAAGAAGCCATTTTTGAATTCGAAATTTCCAATATGGAAGTCTAGTTTGTTCAATTGTAGCATTGCACCAAGAACAGTTAGCGATTTGGAGGCCTTATTGTCGCCGCTGATCTTGGTGATGTATCCAATGCAAAGTTTGAACAGACGAAGTTCGATCGTGGCAAGATCACCGATGACTGGAATGCCGGTGATGTCTGTACCTACAAGACTTAGAAGATGATTGACAGAGATCCCCCCATTCTCGACAGTAGACTCAAACCAACCGGGCTGACCAACTTGGGGAGTGCTGAACTTGACTTTCAGTATTCTTTGGAGTTGATGAATCATAATGTCACCCGAGCCAGATGTGTAGTACGGGCCTTTCCAGAGCTTCTTTACTGTGACCTCGACGTTTCGTAGAGTGAATTGATTCTGAAGAATGACAATCTCCGTTGCTCCAAGGTTGAAAGACCAGTCATCGAACGTGAGCTTTTGAGATCGACTTCCAATTGTAGCAGACACTTCCTTGATAAAAATATTGTCGACAATACTCCCAATTACGGGGATGTCATTGACAAAGGAATCCTTGAAATTCAAATCAAGCACCATGCCGATATCCTCAATGTTGACTCTGCTACTGCAGGAGAGTCGCACTCGGTACTCATACGCATTGTTGAGACCTACTGGATCGGCAGCAAAATCGAATTGGACCCATTTCTCAGGACTCGACTTTGGAATAATTATCGAAGCAGTTGTTTCAACTCTTATCGCCCTGGTACCTACCGTTGGGTTCATGACGCTTACACGTACCTTGAGGTCTTGAATCTTGTCTAGTTTCATGGCTTCTGGAAGATAGTCTCTCCATCCGTCGTAGGATACCCCAATGAATACACTGGAGATTGTGTACTCTGATGGATCCCAGACTTCCTCGCGAATGGAGAAACCGAGCTGCAGAGCGTCAAGGTCAGAAAGCGAAGGAAGGGGCCTGTTCTCTACGATTCCAGCTTTCTGCATTGGTGATGTAAATTTGAGACTCTCAATTTTCTGCTTGTCCAAGCCAAGAATCCGAGAGAAGTCTGGCAGCCGTTGCTTCGACTCGACTTGTTGGCCAGCCTTTGTTCGCACTATAAATAGCGTGCTCAGCTCTTGCCTATTCAGGTATCGTGCCATGCTCAGTTGCACTCTATGCTCTCCTGCCACCAGACTGGCTGCCCCTGTCAGAAGAATACTTTCATTCCCCGAGTCTATCTGGTCTAATTTCATTGATATCCCATCAAACCTCAGCCTGATCGGTCCAAGATCAATGGGTGACATGAATTGATCGACTTTGAACTGAATGTCTGCTGTCACTAGAGTATCCTCCCCAGTGGTAATGGCAGGTTGGAAAATCGCCCTGGACTGATCAAGATCCGGCTGGAGAAGGAAAAGACCAGGTTCCATCAATTTTGAAGGAATACCACCGATCAGCAATTGCATGGTCTCATTTTCACTTCCGAGGATATAGTATAACAAATAAGTGAGATCTATGACATCGAGCATGCTCTTGGCTAGACCTTTCTTGATCAAGTAGGCTCTAAGGCTTGGTTTCTCTGGAGGCATTAAGAGCTTTTGTTTGGCAGTAAGAACAATCTTTTCATCTTCTGTCTCACCTGTCTCAATGATTGACTCAAAGGCTGCGAGATCCTCCTTTTCGTTTAGAGATACTTTTACCAAGGAACTTTTGACTCCGAAGCTGTCATTCCCGAAGATTACGTTCTCTGATGGTTCCACCAAAGTCTTCAACACTGCCGAACTTGTCATTGGACCCCAATTGGTCATTCTATATGTCACTTGCGAGTTTGTCAAATCGATGGGTGTCATTAATAGGAATTTTGCGTACTTCGAATTAGTGAACTTCGCTAAAGATGAATGATAATTAAAAATGGCGCGCAGGGCACTCTCTCGGGTTTGAACTTCGTTTACTTCAAGACCAAGGAGTTCGATGTATTGACGAAGTGTAAGAGTGCTCTCAGAAGGTTCATCTGCAGTTTGTGTTGGATTCTGAGGAGAGGCTCCCAGTGGGTCTCTTAGCCTTACGCTTGATGCTGCACGATGTGGCATTGAAAACTTTTCTAACGGCGCGGAGAATGAAAATTGGCTTTCATCAGACTGCTCCACACTAGTTTCTTCCAAGAAACTTCCTTCGAGGTTTGTATTTTGAATAGCATTATTTGGCATCAAGTTGTTCTGCGGAGGATTGATAAACACCAGTTGCTGATGGTGATTTGGTCCAGGAGGACCATTGACCTGTGGAGACTTGTACTTGTGGACACTGAAGCCTAGTAGCACACGCGGGCCTTCCGTTGACCAGGTAAAGTCATTGTCAGCAGGATGTGTCGGGATCTGAGTTCCAATCGGGTATTGGAGACAAAATTCACTCTGGCCTGCACCAGCCGGAAGATCTTTGGCAATGTTCCAATTTGGATGGCCGCTATGGTCCTCGAGAGTCAAATAGATGATCTGAGTTGCAGTGTCTGGCATGTGAGCATTGAAGGGGGTGTATGTCCAGGCGAGTGTCATTTGAACTTCAAGATATGGTAAAAGTAGTCCTTCGCGATACGCATAGCTTTCATGCTGGACTTTGAATAGTGTAGAATCACGGTTCTGATCGGTGATTGCCGTGTTACTCATTACTTTAAGGTCGACTCCATCATGGTATAGGTAGTACAGTTTTTCGGCAAATTTTCCAGTGATTTGATACTGAGTCGTTGCATTGGCCGGTGAATGCTTTGGACCAAGTACCTTCATGCCTTGTGAGAGATGGTGAGATAGAGTCTTTACCCATATTTTATCAAACATCAATGTTGTTACTTGTCGAGAATTAGGAGGATTACCAAGAGGTGTTCCAATTTCTCTCGGATCTGCATTATACAGACCGTTGAGACTGACGTATCCAGGAGCTTGCTCGGTCAGCACCCGAAGATCTAATCTTTGAGGTCCAAACAAAACAATTGTACTAAGGTCTATGCCTTTGACAATAATATCAAGCTTTGTTTGCCGAAGACATTCGGCTTCAGTCATGTACAAAGTTGCGCTTCGGTCATTGATGTGGAGAGAAAACGCGAGTCCAATAAGGAACTCGATGGTAGGATGCCTATGGTTCAAATAATCCCAAATACCGCTCACGGCATATGCTTTCGACCTGAATCTTCCATAGTACTTTGCGATACTGCCAATCTTCCTTGCGACGATGAAATCTGCAAAACATTCGACTTCTACGAACCTAATGTACCAATCTACCGCTCCGCCTAATTTCCATCCCGGTGGCTTTTGGCTCGGCATGGTGTTGTATATCGGAATCCCACAGGGAGCGAAATTAGTCTCGAGGGTGGCAAGGTCCACTTGCGGCTTGATTTCTTCTTCAAAGGTCTCCCAAATGGACTTGAGCTGGTCTTGTTCTTGAAACTTGAGATTATCCTTTACAGTTTCGCTGCCATCCGTCATTTCTATTCGTCCACTATCTGGAGGTCTTCTGAGAAGTGTGTCTATGTAACGTTTTCTCCTTTTCTTTAATCTCGCCCAAATGTTGTCGATCCATCCCGGACCAAGCTCATTGTTTTCATTGATGAGTCTCACCATAAATTGGCAGACCGTGACCACGTTGTCCATATCCTGTGGTCTGATGATTGAATTTTTCCAGAGTCCAGTACACGCCTCTGGAGGAAAAGCGCCAGTGGCCTCAAACGTTCTGGCTATCTGAATCATACTTGAGATTTTGACTTCACGTGCTACACTATTATCTGCAAAAAGAGTTTTAGGATCATTCACGTTGACGTCGGTAGCATCATTCCAAGACCCGTGATGCTGTACTTTGTAAATGTCGTATTCGTTGTCTTGAATGTATTTCCTGATTCTGGGCGCAGGTTGATCCCCAGTAAAGAAGATACCTTGATTTGTATCTCCATTTGCTAGACCCTGCTGCAGCGTCTTCATGAGAATGCTGCTATTGTTTGCGCTTCCAAATTCCCGAAGTTTGGGATCCAGTATGAACCTTGAGTCAGTCTTCCAATCAGACACATTGGCAGTATCCATAAATGCGATCACAGAGTCAATACTCTCTGGAAACACCATGTTGATGTGAGGGAGTAGTTCGTGTCGTTTGGTGACATTGTTTTGATCAATACCCAGCTGTCTCCCGGCATGTCCAGGACGTAGATTCATTTGAGCGAGTGTATCTGTGATAAAATTGTAGCTCTCATTGTTTTTACCTTCAAAGTTGTATGGTACGAGATAACTGAAATTCGGGTGAAGAGCGAGATCTAGACCTAGGTTGCAAGTGCGAAGGAGATAGAGCAAACCTCCAAAGTGATCATCATGAGCATGAGAATTGACAATGGCTCGCAGGGTTGGTGGGCCAGGTCTTGGGCTCCAGACCTCAACTAAGGCCTCTTTCAAATATTTGATGTAAGGTCCGTGTTCATCACCTAGAACAAATGGCTGTGTAACATCGGGAAATCTGTTTCTCATGGGATGGCGGGTCATTGGACCACCATCAACCAAAACAAGTTCATTGTCCAACTCTAGAATGAGAGTGTCGCCACGACCAGCGTAGACGAGGTGAAGTTTGATTGCCTGCGCCATGGGAAGAATTGACAGCAAAGGAAATAAAGGAACAATGGCGAGTGAGTGTAATAAATGCGAATCCGAAGCCTGAAGCCAAACAAGGCCTCCTACGTAATTAAAAGAGGCCTATGCAACATTTCCGTCGAGACCCTTATGTCCCTAGACCAATAAGAGCAATAAGAGATATAGATCGTGATTTCCGTTTCTCAGAATCGCTCTAGTGATGCAGCTTCTCTAATCTGCCAAGGATTGGGGCCTGTTAATTGAAAGTTGGTACCTATCCATGTCCTTCGGCTTTGAGCCTTCAATTACTCTATCGTGACTTCTAGCGATTCAGACCTTTAGGTAGAATATTGCAAAAATAGAATCTCCCCAAGAATCATTCTTGAGACATACGAGAAAGCTGACTCGCTGAGAGTGTCCCTACACCCGGAGACTTCTAAACGCGATATCAACACGGCAACCTCTCCCTTTCCTCGACCTCAATAAAGTGAAGCCAGTCGGAATCTCCACTTCCATTCTTCCTTTTCACAATGCCCTCCACGCCCATCACTCCTTCGCAAGAATTTTTTAATTTTTTTTGTATCCTACGCCGTTGCAGCTGGTTTAGCTATGCCGGGTTGCTATATTATATATATAATCAAGGTAGGCTTTAAAATATAATAATGATGTTAGGTATAGCAATCTACCTTGCTATTGCACCTTAAACTATAGGAATGTCCATAGCTAGGACGCTATTTAAATTAAACCCTTATTCTATACTATATAAACTAAATCTACTAAATTACTACCTCCCCTTCAAGGCTTCTTTACTATTATATATATATTATTCGCTCTTTATTATTTTATATCTTTATACTTATAGTTACTAAGCTAATAAATATATATACTCTTTATAATATTATTATAATAATAGTAGGTACTTATTAGCCTAGTATCTATTATTAAAAGTATAATAATATAATTATTCCCCCTTTTATATTTACTTACTAACCTTTATAAAAATAAATAAGATAGTTAATATCTTAAGGAAAAACTTTATTTAATAATAAGAGTAAAAACCTAAAATTGAAAAGTATATCTAAAGGCTCCTTAAAGTATATAATATAAATAGCTTTATTTATTTATTAATCCTTATCCTATCTCTTATTATTTATATAATAAGCTAGGGTAATAACTTAGTATTTTAATTGTTTAAAAGGAGGGCGTAGTTAGAAAAGCTATTTTATTATTTTAAAGTTCTATAATAGTTTAAAATTAAGCTAAATAAGGTGCTAAACACTATAGTAATAAGCTATAATAACAAATAACTCGTAATATAGTAAATTAAGATCTATTAGCTCCTTTGAATAAATCGCGAGGTTGGTGCCTTATACTAATAGGAATAATAATAGATAAAGCTATTATTTACCCCCTACTAATACCCAACAACACAATCTACTAAAGGGTTCGTAGCCTACACTACGTACAGGTTGATCTCTTTCGTGGGCCCTTCGCAAGAATAACGCATAATTTCAGTGTCTACCTTAAGCAGAATAGTCTTACTTTAAAGCCGGGGGTTTTGAGCTGGTCTCCCAACGCTGGAACATAGGAAATTCTCAATGAGGTATAATGCTTCTTGGCGTCAGGCAAAAGTCCGGTGGAACGGGAACGTTCGTCCCCATTCCAACGTGGAAGATTGCTGAAATCCTATTTTGGCATAGTGCATCCTAGTACCGCTCGAAAGTCGGCTGGTTTTGAACAGCTTTTCGATGCTGGAGGTTGTAAAATCATGTATTGGGATTAGTGTTGTTCTGGAGGCTCATTTTCGTCCCTGGATCTCGGTCAGTCTTCAACGCTGAAAGAGAAGAATGATGGATTAGGTCTAGCCCGGATCTGCCTCTTGGGAGGGTTGGTCTTTCCATCTGGTATGATTGAAGGGGGTTCTAGGGTGTAATGGTTCAATCTTAGATACAGGCGTGAGCAGAGCAAGTACCCTTACCCCGCATGTACCTGGGTTTTGTGACCAACCTTATTCGTGGCGGTTGATGTGCTGTCATACTCGATGCTCATCCTCCCATCATCGAGACGGCACCTGCAAATCTGCGTCCATTGAAGATCGAAGGCTCATTGCCGTTATCTCATCAGTGGACAGACAACTTCGAGACAGCGGAGGTATCAAATGATACCCCTCTCTCGCCTCCGCCGGATATTTGGGGATGTTCCGGGATGAGCAATCGGAACCAATCACTATCCATCCGGCCAAGGAATCGTGATCAACTTAGGTCAAGTCTTGGAATATGATGCTCTTCGCTACACATCGTGAATGCAGGAAGGTCCAGGCCTTCACTCAAACAAGGTCCAGCTGGGAAGTCTCAGCAAGACATCGACAGGGAGGATCGCGATGTGACAAGTCCATACCGCATCCAGACACGTGCCAAGTTCAAACCGCTGGTCATGCACGCTGGGAGAGTTTGGCCCCCGCGGGAACAACCCTAGGCTGCACGCTTCAGGGGCCGGCTCCCCCCCAGGCCTCATACTAACCCGTTCTCGCCGCCAAATCTGCACCTAAGCGCTAGTCTCCCTCCTCTTCTGGAAATCACTAATTTAATCCACCCCGACTCAGCCAGCCACAAACACCACCACTCATCTTCATCGACCATCCAGCCCAAGCTGTCAACTCCCACTCGGTTTCTCGTGCCGTTCGGCCCTTGCTGCTTGTCCATGTCCCGAGATGTGCCATCCTTGCTCCCATCGACTTGGGAGCGTCGACGCGTCTCATTCGCTACCACCCTCCTTTGGGTTGACATTCAACCCCCAACTGCCATACGCCACGCGTACAAATCGTGTAGCTGAATCGAACCCTTGCGACTACGGAAAATGACCTTCTACGCGCGAAAAGCGTAGGTCTGAAGAGCGAATTATGGCTGTCGCTATCGCCAGGCGCTGGTCTGGACCCACAAACCCCACCCACAGTCCTTACTTTCGGTCGTTGGTGGCACCTTGGCCTCCCAAATGGTGGACTTATGACAGATTGCACAAGGTTCTGGACCATCCGAACTTTCTACATAACGAAGTCATTAGCCCTCCCTTTACCCCTCACAGGCCCGTTGCATGGTCTGGCGGGAAACAAGATTTTCCAATCCCAGGCCCTGTAGGACTTGCTACCCTGTGCATGTCTCATTGAGTATGCTAGGACTTCGCACACCTTCTTTCCGTATGTCTGACTGAAGAAAATCGTTTGCATCGCGTACTGATTTCCTCTCTAGGTGGAAATCGTGAAGGAAAGCCCGAAGAGAAAACACCAGAGAAACCAGCACAGATGGCGACCACTCAGCGACCGACGAGTGCGGTGGACCCGAGTCTCGTGTCCCACAAAAATGCGCCCTCTACCGTCACTGTTCGAAGCAGAACTGGCGACTCAGATACAGATGAGACTGGGAGCGCCCACGAGACAAGCTACTCGGAAGATCAACAGATCCTCATAGTCAAGCAGACAATGCTCACTGTACAGCGCAAGACCATGGTCGATCTCGAAATCCAGCATTCTTATTTTGAGAATACCACAATTGAAGAATTTTTGGAGTTCATCACCCACGAGCGCCTTACTCGGCTGCCGCATCGTGGAAGTCTGTGGGATCGGATCCTGAGAAGCGCCGAGTATTTTGGTCTTCAGATTTCTGCATATGGCAATGCTGTCGGCGCTTTTGTGCCGGAGAGCCACTTTGCTGTTCAGACAGCGCTTTCATTCTGCCGTCTACTCTTGGAGGCAAGCCACAACCGATCCTGACCCGCTCATAGGAAGCTGACGAGGCCGTAGATGGGACCTCAGCAAGGCCCTGCTCTTGAGCCAGCATTTGGCGTGTTCCACAAGCTCGGCCTCACATTGTCGATCACATTGCGCAGCCAACCCTTGTACCACGTTAATGAGCATATTCGAATGGAGCTTGGATCTGTATTTTCAGGACTACTCTCGCTCGTGGCCCACGTCGCCACGTACTATCGCAAGCAACTCAGTGGTATGCTCCCTTCCTATATGCTTTGTGTCATGCTAAAGACGCAAAAATCAGGCATGTCTACTACTATGGTGCAATTTGACTTCAACAGCCTTTTCGGCAAATCCATCACCAACATCCTTCGCACCAAGGATCATATTGCGGACACAATGTGGAGCTACAGCCTTCGCAAGGCTAAGATCTGTAAGTAAGACCTTTCATCACGATGTGGGCACGCTGACGACTTCCTAGCTACTGACATCGAGATCAAGACAATCCGCAAGTGGCTTCTTGCCACTGATACCACCCTCCAGACACTTCTCTCGGATCGCAGCGCCTCCAAGACAGTCCGTACTGAGTTCACCTGCGAGTGGATTCAACGACCCCTCCTCGACTTTTTCAGGACTGATGATCAGACTTTTGCTATCACTGGCGACGTCGGTACTGGCAAGAGCGTGCTTGCAGGATGGGTTCAAGAACGACTGCAACGTCCACTTTCAAGGAAGTCGCACGAAACACTTTCCTTCACATTCGGTGAGTCGTCTCTCCAAGTGTTGCAGGCCATGCTAACAATTCGCAGAGGCCGATATTCCTAGCCAGTGCAAGTCACTGTCCCTCATCAAGAGCCTTGCTGCACAATTGCTCGATCGTAACGTTGGAAATGTGGAGATATACAAGAAGCTTGCGGCAACATATGAGCTCTCCACAAAGCCAGGGCAAGATAAGAAAGTGGAGGCTGCCCTATGGGAAGCAGTCGAAGCCAGTATCAAGAGCATCGCCTCCAAAGAAAACAACCTAGTCATCCTCGTTGACGGGCTTGATCACATCAAGGGCGGTACTGCCGTTGCCAAAGAGACATTTCAAAAAATACATCATGTGGCAATGAGACTGGCCTACGTCAGATCCATCATTTTCTGCCGACCTGAGTGTGCAGTGCCGTCTAAGTACGTCGAGCAACTCAAAATCACGCCAGACCACGTACACGACGATATTCGCCGTGTCGTGAACGCTTCGCTCGAGCATCATAAACTTCTTCAGAAATTGAGTGGTCAGACTCGGGATAATCTCCTCGACGGACTTACACATGGCTGCAAAGGTTCTTTCTTGCGCATCGTGTTGACACTGAGGACCATCGTGTCCAAGGACAATGAAAAGGCCTTCTTGCAAGCCATCGAGAAGCCGCCAAAGTCACTAGAAGATGCGGCGAAGAGACTCATCGCTGAGGTAAATTTCCATGAGGAGGATACCAAGCGTATCGTCCTTTGGACTCTTACAGCTGAGCGACCTTTCACAATCAACGAGATTACCGATCTCCTACGCATCGACGTCCGACGAAAGACTTTGCTTAGCAGAGAAACCGAGATTGCTGGTACTATAAAGAAGTTGTCCCAGAGCATTCTTATTACGACGAACGGGACCCTACGTTTCCGCCACTCCTACATCCGACATGAGCTCTTGGACATGTCTCAACATGATAGGACGCTCCTTCCTTCACGACACGTACAAACCGAGCTGTCCTTGCGGCTACTTGCTTACATCAGCATCTGCCTCGACGCAAGTTGCGAACCCTCCTTCGATGTTCTTGACGGGTCTACGATCACCGATCTATTCGGCTCTCATCGTCTGTTGGAGTACTCAGTCAGATACTGGAGCGCTCATTTCAAGTTATCCACTATGCACGGGGACAAGGGACTTGAGTTTGGAGACGATTTCAAGCATGTCTTCCCGACAACATCATACTTGGCAAGGCTCGAGTGGGCCTGTTGGGGTACCATGACATCCACTGTCAAAGTCGTGCAGTGGCATGATCTCACATTGCGCATTCGCCAAAAGGTCTTCGGAGAGAAACACGAATGCGTTCTGCAATCCGCAATCATCGTTGGCAGTATCTACAGAAGCCTCGAGCGTCACGAGCTGTCGTGCAACTTCTTTTACAGGGCTTCGCAAATCGCTAAGTCGATTCTGACTATCTCTAGTGCTGTGACTTTGACATGCGTGTCGACCTTCTTGGTTTGCGCAGAATTCATTACCATCACTACTCGCACTCAATTTGTGACGTACAAAGAAGAGATGCTGAAGGTCATCATCGACATCTATAAACATCAACACGGCAAGACCAGCGACATTGTGATCCGACACTACAAGATCCTTGCAAAGCTCTATGTAGACCTCCACGAACATTCTTCGGCAACAGTCTGCTATCATGAGCTTTATGAGATAATCTGCATTCGATATGGCAAGCACTCTGACGAGGCACGGGGCATATCGGATGAGCTCATGATCGTCTTGCGTAAAGACGATAAATGTAAAGACATCCTCAAATACACTGGCTCCATCTTCGAAACCAGCGAGGAGACGATGGAGGTCTGGGACATTCGACGCATCACCATCACCATACAGATCGCCATCGCTTATGAGCGAGAGGGTAAGATCTCCCTTGCTGAAGAGACCTATATCGAATTGTGGCAGCGAATCACAGAGGCCTGCCGTACGAAACGAGTGACCGAGATGCTCATTGCCAAATTTGACATTGCATTCGCCTATGTTGAGTTCCTCAGACGATGCCAGCGCGTCGAAGAAGCATCGAGCATCCTCATCTGCATTTGGGAAGAGCATCAACATGAGGCGCATATCTCTGAGACCTTCATCATCCACATCAAGACTCTCGGGAAGCTTATGAAGTCCTTCGGGCTCCTGCAATTTGCCATCTCCGTCTTCTCATCGGTCTGGAGTTTCTTTAAGAAGCATAACAAGTGCTCCCACGAAGAGGCTCTGTCTGTCACTGTTTTGATCTCGGAAACAGTCGAAGAGGTGATCACGACGAAGACCACGACAGTCACTACGACTACGACTACGACGCGGACTGAGACTACAACAACAGTATCAGAGACCATTCTCATTGAAATTTTCGAATCATTCCTTGCTACAATCCATACGCTCAAGGCATACACGCAGATAATCAAGACTTGCAATGCGCTTGTCACCATTTATGCACAGCTTGAGCAATGGTCTAAGGCGGTCACCATTCTGACGAAGACACTTGAGATCGTGTGGAAGCAAATTATCCACATCGAAGGAGAGATTTCTCTTCCAGGTACATGCCGTGGGGAAGCTGTCCTGATCGCCCTTCGCTATGCCCGCTGCTATCATTACCAGCACAACTTCGATGTTGCAGAGAGAATCTATATTGCCATATACAAAGCTTGCTTGACTGGCTTCCAAATTGAGGACGAGCACGTCCAGAAGACATTCTACGCGCTGATCGAGTTTTACGAATCATACCACCGTCATGACAAGGCAATCAAGCTCTACGAAGAACTCCTGGTTCGCTATCGCAAGCACTTAGGCGCGAGCCATACCCTGACTATCAGCCTCTTGTACAAGCTGGGGTCGCTCTGCCTATCTTATGGCCGTAAAGAAGGCTATAGCTACTACGTCGAGATCGTGACCGTCTTGAATAAGGACTCGCATCGCTGTCATCATGACGCATTCGAAGCTGCGATTATTCTGTCGAGATGGTACTACGAAGAGAAAAAGTGGGAGAAATGTCACCAGATTTGCAAGATCGTCTGGGAGACATACCACCACGAATGGAAGACAATCACGCTTGAGCAGACGCTACTGATCACGCTCTTCAACAGGTATCTCGATGTGTGCCGGTATCATGTCAAGGTCGAGTACTCCATCCTCCGTAAATTGGTCCTCGAATACCGCGAAGTCTGCACTCAAATATTCGGCGTCACTGCCTCAATCACGATCGAGGCCCTGATTCAAGTCGCAACGATCCTTGAACTCCGTGCAGAGTATTATGAAGAGGCATTGACGATATATGAAGAGATCATCAAGACATTGACAACCCAGAAGACAACAGTCACGACCACTACGACTGTCACTACGGTCACCACGACATCTGTGACAACGATCCGAGAACGCCTCACGAAGCTTTATGTGACAGTGATCAAGTCTTCTTCCAAGTGCTCGCACACGAGGCTTCAGCGTGCAATCACATTATGTGGAGAGCGCTACGCCGAGCTGAAGATTCAGCTTGGATGCTGGCACATCAGCACCCTCGAAATTTTGCTCGAGTTGGTTTTGCTTCACAAACGCATCCATACTACTGAGTCGCATGACATTGTCGTCTTGCTGCTTCGTACCAGCTTCCTTGAAATCATCACCCAGGTAACGACGACAACGCTGTTGTTCAGCGCTGCCGTAAAGCTGGCTTCGATCTATCTTGCTTGCGAGCTGCCAACGCATGGCATGGACCTCGTCCATCATTTGCGCCGCATCATCATTGTGCAAGATGTTTCCTTCGAGTCTCACTTTGGCTTCAAATGTACTCATGCCATCACCAAGCGGTCCTACATTTACCTGGTCGCTTTTGAGGAGACCATTCGAGGAGCAAAGACGATCAGCTACACAGAGCTCATGGCCGACATTCTGATCGAGACAGTGCTGTACGAAAAGTTCACCTCTTCTATCAAGGTCAAAGCTGAGATTGAGACTATCATTGTCGCTGGTGCGCGACTTCGGTATTTCTTGTCTATCCGCAAGCGTGAGCTCCAAGTCAAAACTCTCGACGACCAACTCTTGGCTATCTTCCTCGGCAAGTATGGATCGTCCCTCACGGTCAAGGATACCAGCAAGCGGACGCTTTACCTCAGGCTCGTTGTGAAGCTAGGCAAAAGCAAGCGCCAACTGTCCTTGACTCACATAGCTTGCATCCTCAGTGATGTGAAAGTACTGAAGTGGCTGCAGAAGGGCAGGTTCGAAGACGCATATGAGCTGGCCAATGCTTTGTTCCAATTCCTTCAGATCCACAACGCGTATCATGACGCTTCCCGCATCGGCTACGGCTTCAAGCTGGCTCGCCATACAGCATTCCAAGGTCTCAGCAAAGTGCCGGAAAAGAAGCTGCACGAAGCTTTCCTCGAGACGTCTCGTTTAGTGATTCGTGCAGTCTTCGCCGCGTGTAGAGATCACAACATTTCCATCCTGTCCTTGACAATTGAAGACATTGACTCACTCGTCAGCCTACTCGGTAGCCAGAAGAACTACTCAGACCTAGAGGTAAGCCTTCCCCTTTGCCCCTAATCGTTTACGCGTTTCAACTAACACTCATGCAGTACCTTCTGACCCAACTCTGGAACTCCCGCGAAATCCAGTCCAAATCGTGGAAATCCTCCACCACAGTTCTCACCCTCGGCCGCTCCCTCGTCCAAGCGCGCTTCCTCCTCCCCGATTCCGACAAGAAAGCCTCCGCCATCAACCTAGCCGAGGACATCGCATACAATCTCCGCCGCGCCAAAGGCTCCCTCAACCCGCTCACCCTCGAAGCTTACACCCTCCTCTCCTCCCTCTACACCGCCCAAAACCGCCATCGCGAAGCCATGGGCATCCACGAGGAAATCCTCCGCCTGGCTCTCTACGGCGACGAAAGCGACGACGACGGCGAATTCGACGGCACAGACGCCGGCGGCAAGAAACTGAAAGAGGTCGTCAAGGCACAGGTGAAGATGCTCAAAGCATGCTGGGAGCGTCTCGGCGGGTTCGATAAGAAACAGAATGTGTACGAAGAGCTGTATAATAAGTTGGAGAAGGAGTTCGGCGAGATGGGTGAGAGCCCGAAACATTGGAAGAAAGATGGCGGCGTGGGCGCCGTGTTTGAGGTGCCCAAAGCTTGGGGCGTGCTGGGTAAGGAGCAGGCGCAGGGCAAGAAGGATGGGAAGAGAGTTGTTGCGAGACGCAGCTTGACTTGGGGTGTCATTCCCGCTGGGTATGGGGGTGGGGGTGGGTTGGATTCGAGGAGGAAGAGTGGGAAGGCTTTTTGAGGATGATGGCTCTCTCTGAGGCGGAGGTGGGTTGGGGTTTCTTTTGTTATGCATTGGGGATGGGCTTTTGATTGGTACTTACTCTCGTGCCGAGGTTCTCCTTGGTTCGCATCTTGAGAGTGAGTCGATAGTGAAGGACGATCTTCTTGAAGAAGAGCTTTGAGCTAGTTAGGAATGGGCATTGCGGTATGTAATATGATTCACACGGGCATTTGAGCGATGGAATTCTAATGGGGTAATACTCCTATGGGCATGTAATACTTATGATACTTCCCTTTCATTTCAAATCTTCAGTTCATACCAAGTGTTCGCACCGAGATCCTCACCTCGCCATCTAGTTCTCCATTTCTAAGGAAAGGCCATCTTCGAAGACGAGCAGCCAATCAGAATTGATTAGTCATTCGTCTCCGCCAAGTCATCTACCTAATCTCCCGACTTTCCTTCCATTCCATTAATCCTCCTCGCTCAATCCACCCGGATCAATGAGTCAGGAAAATGACCTGCAGACTGTGGACTCGAGATGTGTATGCATATATGTGTCATAGTAGCTAGCTCATATACCCTCCACTTGGATGATGAAGCGCACGCGGGTACACAAATAGGACACGTTGGAGCAGGAGGTTAAGGATGCTGACAATATGGTAGAGAGTCTAAGTACATGTTTGCCTCGCTTGCTGATTCCTTCTAGTTCCTTCTTTGTATGGAGATCGGGGGGGGTAAGATTGGAGCATACATCGCAGATATTGGACAGCATTTGAGGATCAAAGAGTGTCTTTTGTGAAAAATGACTATCATGGCAGCTCGGCTCTCGTACACGGTAACAGTCAGGTTGCGTATATCGCATGCTATCTAGTGTTCAGAGAGTGAGTGTATTGTCGAAATACTGATCACGGCATCCCAGTTTCTTCCACGGCAACATTCAGGTGCATACATCGCATGCTATCAAGTATTTGATGAGTGTGTCTTGTCAAGATGATCCATCAGTGTCCGTTCAAGGCCATTCAGTTCCCCCAAGGTCATATTCGGGAGCATACATCGCATGATTGTTCAGCATTCGAGATTCAATGAGTGTTTTGTCAAATTGTTGTTCGGTGGTCGCTCGAGGCATTCGAATCTCCTCCACGATCATGATGGAACCAAGTCGTACACTGTCTGTAGGATAGATGATTCCGGCAATCAAGACGCGACCCTTTCAGCGGAAGTTCGCGATTTTCATGCCGCTACCAGAATTCGTCTTCTGGGTCTTGACAGGGGAGTCGGTAGTGTTTGCATCTGTAGCCTCGTCCCTCTTGCGCTTGTTCTTGATCAGCTGAGGTTCAGCTAGGTACAGCTGCTTGTCTTCCAAAGCTTTGTCAGCGGACGGGCGGTCTTCTGGCTTCCATTGAAGCATCTGCCGGAGAAGGCGAGAGAGAGGAACGGTGTGTAACTCCAAATGCGTCATCAAGATTGCGTGCTCATTCTCCTTGCGATGATCCAAGCCTTTGAAATCGTCCTCAAACCATTTCCGGGTCAGCACAAGTGCTAACATGTAGATGTCGGCGGAGGTATCGAATGGAGTTGCTTTGTCTAAGGGTATCTCATGAGGATACGCTTGAATATATCGGATGTTTCTAGTGACCAGGGTTTTGTTCTTTAGTATGTTGTCTAGGTCAAAAAAAGCCGCCCACTCTGATTCAGGGAATAATTGGATGAACTGAGACATGACGGCTCCGTGACACCATCCTTTGCCATGCATAGTTGCAAGACCGGACAGTAGGCTCTGCAAAATAGCCCGCCGTAAGCGAGAATTCGTTGCTTTAGCTTCACCGGGTGCTTCTCTATGAAGCCATAGGCGCTCAGCTAGCTTCTGGACCATGCAGAACTCGAATGGAACCTCAGCTTGGCGGAGGGTGTCGCCCGTCAACGTTTTTGCTTCTTCCATAGTGCACAGTCCTGGAAGTCCACTAAAATTCTCCAGGACCTCCAAACGATCTATCACGGCGAGGTGTTGCGTGACGGAATTGATTGTCCATTTCTTTACTAGTCGAAGATCACCAGTGACGGGGTCAAAACCCTCACTCCATCCTCCTTGTTTCACAGACTCCGAGCCGGGTAAATTTCGTATAACTGCGGTATCGAGATGGGTGTCGTGAGGAAATGGAAGCCCCGAGATGAAACGTGACAGGCTAGAATCACGTTGCTGCGACATCAGGATATCATTGCGAGTTCGTAGGTAGTTCTTTTCCTGTTCACGATTCATGATCTGGAATTCAATCCAGAATTCCATTTCATTCAATTTGAGTAAGGAGCCTGTCCGACTGAGGGCTCGAGAGGTAACGGCTCAATGGTATCAGAGTTCAATCGAACTAGAGATTTAGAAATGATCATAAACGCCCCAGACACTTCGTGGAGGGCGATACAAGCGTGTTCGGCAGCAACGGTCTTTTCGAACTCCGACCCAGGTGCTGCCAGTAATAAGTCAACGCTTGATTTCTCATTGTCTGCTTTGCCCAAGTCCGATCCTAGGGCCCAAGCTAAATGGGCCGTAGAGCGCGCGCTTGGGAGTGATATTCGAAAATAGCCGGTGTTGATCACTAGGTCTGCTTCCCCTTCGTTCTCTCCTTTGTCCTCCCCTTCTTTACCGCTTGAGACTCCTGGAGCTAGCTGAGAACACTCGAGTATACCCTCACCTGTGCTCACTATGTACTGGGCATGGTGGTTGGACAATTTCCCTTCATGGACACTCTCAATCAGGCTGTGGAAGGCCTTTTTGGCCTCTCGATTGTACGGTGTTACGCGAAGAATATCTTGAACGAACCGCTTAGGTGCTGTATCTTTCCATGCGTCCTTATCGGAAGCCACATCACTCGAATCCGCCTTAAGGTGTCCGTTCGGATGGTTTTGTTGATGAGAGTGTTTCATCGCTGGCTTCTTGAACACTGGTTCCGGCTTGCTTTTTGTCTCATCAGGTAGTTGGGCCAGGCTATCTTGCTCGCACTTTGGTCCTTCCGAGGTGGCTGAGTTAGAGGGATCTGCGGATCGATGCTGGTTTGGTGGAGTGACTAGTTGGTTCAACCCCTCATTTGCCACAGGCTTCGAAGTGGGAGCATCGGTTACAACAGTGTCTGCTGTGCCTTCAACAATGGTCTCTTGCAATCCGGACGAAACAGTTTCCACAGATTCCGTGTTTTGATGGAGACCCGCCATCTCGTTCAATCCTTTCGTGATGTCAGGAAGAAATGAGAATGTTACGTGCTCCTGATGTTCGACGATATCGGTACTTGCAGAGAATGGTTTGGTGGGACAGAGGTCAGATCGATTATCAGTCGATGTTGTTGAACAATGGAAAGTGAGAAATGTCTTGGGAAACGTCCTTCACGCGAGTATCGAAGGCTCTATGGTGTCGCCGCTGGATGTGTTCACCACCAATCTGAACTAGCGCCGGCTGACTCTTACCCAGCAATAGCCGTGCATCCAGTGAAAAAAGAGTGTCAGCCCTCGTATGATGTCACAGCGTGGTCTGTAAGCGTTACGTGTAATAGTGCTGTAGATAGTGAGTGTAACCTAACAAGGCAGGAACAAGTCACTCCAGCAGCAAGGTGTACACATGACGGAGGATAACCAATACGTTTGCCACTGTACGTGAGGTCAATCTCTCCAGACGCGACTTGTACCGGACGTGAGTGTTATCTCAGACGTCGTCCACTCTTTTCGCGCCAAGACTTAGTGAGCTTTCATTTGAGGTTCTACCTACTCCGCCGGACCTTTCTCTCTATCATTTTCATATCCGCATCACGGGAGTTGAAATTCGAATCGAACATCTTCACCCATCGAAATTACTAAACAATCAAGAACCAAATCCCATAAAAATTCCTCCATCGATCATGGATGTATTTCCGACCGGTGACCTTTCGCATCCTCCTTCAGTACCGCACAACATTCCACATCTTGGTTCTTTCCCTCCTCACCTATTCGGGTATGATGATGCAGTGTATGCATCGGGCAACCCAAATATTTATACCGCTGGGACTATGAATACCGCACACACGAATCAATTGAAGCGAAAGCGAGATTCTGAATCCAATTCAGATATTGACGATCACGTCTCTAAGAAACATGAAGGAGAGATAATTATCTACACTCTGGAAGACGCAATGAAATCAAAATTGGAGCGTTACCAGCAGGAGAAGCCACGTGTGGCGCCCCGCAGAATGATCACACGTTCGATGAAAGCCAAGCGCGAGCGCGTAGCACTGGCAGATCAAAGAAGTCGCGTTGTAATATGGCCAGAAGAACAAGATGAATACATTATCAGCAGCTTTGACACATACGAGAAATGTTTTGTAAGGATCATCATGCCCCTTAAAGAATTTCATTAATGCTATCCCTAGGCTTACGACCCTGAGGAAGAGCCAGAAGTGGACGTCGGAGCTACAAAACGTTCAGCCAGAAGAGTTATGCGAGGAGAAGTGGGTACCAAGCACCAATGCACCGCGGTGCTTTCCCATTTCGAGATCGTCCATCACGCGGCTGGAATGACCCTACATTTGAGCCCTGGCGGCTGAAGACGCAGTATCTAAAATGGAAAGCTTGGAATGAAGCATGGGGAGAACTCATTGATGACCTATCTTCTGGTCGGTCTTCTCGCCGTGAGCCAACTGACCTGGGTTATCAATTAGACAATCAAATGCAGGGGCTTGAGCAAGGTCCTTCCCATATTTCTTGACGCGCATCGTCATCCAAGTACTCAAAAATCTTGCCCACCTCTAGAAACTTCATGGGAGTACGGGCGATGTGAGTCGAAAACTACGACCGGTTTTACCCAAACAGTAGCATACATAACGTGGAAAAGTAAACGCCTGCAATACTCGCAGGACGATTGGATAGCTTGGCCTTCATACACGAATGGATCCATCTCTTTGGAAGCTAGCGCGACAAATGATATCCTTGAAGACGACCGTTCTACTACTGAGAAATGACATTTCGGAACTCAGACACCAAAACTAGTTTCTCAAGTCAGATGTATTCCCTGGACCCGATTTAAACGTTCTGGCTTTCCTGAGCATCAGCATTTACATCTTGATTTATTCGACTTTTACGCCTACCCACGCGAGCATGGGCTACACCCTCTTTCATCATGCCGTGATCGGATCTCCATCATCGCCACACAAAGGAAAAACAGCACCGCCTTTTCTACATACTCACCGCCTGCTCTCTTGGCAGGGACGTGGGCTTCTATAATTGAGAGAAAACCCATCAAGAACCCTATGTTGAGCATCGCAATCGGGTTCACAACGTACAGCCTTGTCTGGACACCATTCTACGACCTGCTACTGAAAACGCGTCTTCATAACTCTTGTCCTATTTCGACACTTCGACTACCAACAACTATCAACTATATTTTGCGCATCTTTACTTAGAATAGTAGGCTTTTGACCTGCCTCCGCCATGGCGTTTGAGGCAGTCGAGATGCCTCTACTATTGTACGAAAATTGCCAATGAGTGAGAATGGCTTCTTAGACTTGCTAGAAACTGGAAGAACGCGACGTTGTATCTCGGATCTCATTTTGTCATATCTCGATCTGTTTCGATAGACACCCTCATAACAACCATCGATTACCGACTGCGTCCTATGTGTCTCCAATTAGTGTTGCAGGCTTTCGACCTACCTCCGCTCCGGCGTTTGCAGGCGGTCGAAATGCCTCCACTATTGAATTTCAGCTTGCAGTTTGCAGGGGACACCAGGAGATCTAAGCTAAGGATGAAGATTCGAACACACGGTGCATCACAAGGGATACTTCTTTCTCGATGCTATGGCATTGAGGTCTAGACCATTTACTACGTCACGACCAGATCAAGATCGATACTTCGAAATGCGCCATATCCATAGGATCGAAGCTATGGCCAAGTCGACCCACTCCGCTAGCAGCACAGGCACATCATCACTCGCTTTGTTCCACCTCAATATGCGGCGCTCCCGAGAGCTGCATGCGCCAGGAGCGCTTAGACTTTCACTGATTCACCCACGAAACGTTCTCGCAAGGCCCATTAGCCGTGGATCATTCGCGCCTAAACAAGCTTTTCGATGAGACCATGCAGGCTGCCTATTCCAGTTCTCTTTGCACGGGTATCACAGATGGAGAGCGCTTGGCCTACAGCAAACCTCCATGAGACAGCCTCAACAACCGCGCTCACCGTCATGATCGGAGAGCGACTTCTGACGTCCTAACAAAGTTCAGTCGCAAAGCTTGGTAGAGCTTGTACTTAAAGCTACTATCATCCCACCAGTATGAATATCCCCCACGGAAAACCATCGGCATGTCTACACGGATATCGTGACGGGTCCACACACCACGCCTCATCATCACTCACTCACCTCACACCATGCTCACCAAACCCCTCTTTCTCCTCGGTCATCTCCTTTCTCTCTTTCCGCCAACATTCTCGCACCCGATAGTCAACCCTCCAACCCTCGACGCGATCTCCTCCTCCTCCCAGCCGGCATGTGACTGCACCGGCGTCGTCGGTCAAGGCCTCCCGTACATCTCTTACGTCTGCGACAACGAGAACCTTGGATATACCTCGATCCCCGCTAGTCTTCCCGCCAACCTCTTCGACTCTTACGACCGCCTAGGCGGCTCGTCGCCGCTGCAGTACATCATGCAGAACCACATCGGCGCGCCGGGCTTGGACGGTTGGTTGTGGCCATCAGGGCTAGGGTACCTAGGACCGGCTGCATACGAAATTGTGCCAGTAGGGACGGCGTTGGATTTGTTGGGTGATCCTACTTGTACGATACCCCTTCACCCCCCTCTCCTTCTTTCCTTGCTCCTATCTGTTGAATGATGCTGATACTGAGAACGCAGATGCCGACCCATACATCTCCCACCCCCAGGCCTTCCCCTCAAACACCACTTTCGCGGCACGCTCGCTCCCCCCCGCCTTCATATCTCCAAATAATTATCACAATTATACAGTCGCGCAGCCTTTCCAGGCGATCGTCGGGGTGAGGGGAGCTTTTTTCGGACAGCCGGGCGGAGGGACGCAGTATCTGCTACCTGTGGGCATTACATGGGATAGTTTGGTGAAGAATGGCACGTTAATTGAGATGGGTGTGGGTGTGGTGACTACGAGGGCTATAGCCGGGAATGGAGTGGGTGTAGGGCAGAGTACTGGGTATCAGGAGAGCGATGTGCCATTTTCAGGGACGTCACTTTGTGGATGAAGCTGATCGAGGGGGGCAGATTGGAGACTCGCAGGTTACTTTGGAAGAGGGCACGACGACGCGGGAGGAGCAAGAGTCGACAAAGCAGTATTTGGGAGGGATTGAAAACTTCGTGTTTTCAACCCGGACGATATGTTTTTGGGATTGGGAAGGGATTGGAAATTTTATTTCCAACTCGAAGGATGAATGTCTGGACTTTGAGAGAGGGAATCGAAGACTTTGCGTCTTCGACCCGAGGATTGAATGGTCATCTAGCTATGTCTACATGATTTACGGGTGCACAGGACCAGCGAAGAGATAGACAGCGAAGGCGTTGTTGGTCTTCTAAATTTTAAGCAATAGAGAAAGCATGCCATACCTGCCTACAACTATTGCTAATACATCAATGTTTACACCAGAAGTACATTTCTATCCTGCAATTTTCTTTCCAATCACTTGCTCCTTCCTCCTCATCACTGGTTCCCTGATCACAGAGTAAGAGCGTTTAACTCCTACCAACTTCCTCGCCGGCTCATCTCCCTTCCCGCTTTTTCACCATGTCCAATTGGTTTTCCATCGCATCCAGATCATTATGGCGAAGAAATTCGCGACAACCTACTCACCATTGAATTTAAATCTTTTACCCACATGCTTTGGGCGAAGGAGGGGAGTGGGGAGAGGGGGAAGGGGGGAGCTTGCTCATCTCCGAAACTCACATCGCCTTTACCATAGAATTTTCAAATACATGCACACGACAAGTTAGATACAACGCCAATCCTCCTCCTTGAGGAGGGGAAGATGTAGGTAGGAGAAGTGGTGAAAGCATTTCGTCAAGCTACCACCACATCCAAGAGGACAGAGAGGGGGCAGTGAGGAGTATGATATCGTCTAGCCACAGCGTCTGTTTAGTCGATAATTTCGATAGAGACGGTGTGAGGCTGGTCGGATTGGGTCTGAATCGCTCTTTGTAGGTATGATTTGCTGCTTGGGGAAGCGGGGAATGGAGACCTTAAGAATTAGGTAGTGAGTGTTCGTAAGTGACTTCCGCCGACGAGCGAGGCGCTCTGGGTTATTTCTCCCTGGTGGAATATCGTAAGGGGGCGTGGAGTGAGGTTCTGGAATGTTGTTTTGGGGGTTCACATGGGTAGGGAGAGATTGAGGGCTTGGTCTGGGGATGGTGGGGTGTGGTTGTGCTGGTTGGCAAAGGCTGTAGATGGGCATGGAGAATGAGAGGGGAGTGGAAAGCAGGGTGATTTATGGTCTTGGGGGATGTTTTGGCCTTGAATCACTGTCTGTATACTTGAGATGTCGTTTTTGGGAGGCCATCCCTTGACCTTGTGGCGTGGTCATTCTGGACTGAATTGGTATGGTTTTCGCTGCGATTACCAGTATCTCATATGCTTTTATTGAGATGTAGAGCGTAGTCTTGGTTAAACCTTTAATGCAGACGGATTTGGTATGGTGCTTTTATCTGAGGAACCACTTTTGCTTACGCATAGGTCTTTAGAAAGGCGAATTCCACCTTTGGCAGAGTTACATATACCATATTTAGTAATGCCATCAGTATCCAAAGCCGTTTCTGACGTAATAATTCACTTCTATCAGTCTTTACCGATAGAATACGTTACGTTGCACACCACGATGCGTATCGCACTAAGCTCATTGCAGCCAAAAGCACCTCCTTCCGTCCTCGCACCAGCCCCTTTCGCCTTGTCAACAACAACCATCTACCTGTTGCACATTGGACAGACCTACGAGTCTGTCTTCTGCACCAGTCATGGACAGCCCATACGGCATCCTGCATCCCCTCCCCCTCGAAATCCGCCGCAAGATCTACTCGCACACTCTCTCCGGCCGTGTCATCCTCCTCCGCTCCCTCACCTTTCCCCGCCCACAGCCAGGGCAGAATGAAAACGCTCTTGCCCTTCTGCGCGTCTCCAAAGCCATTCACGAGGAAGCGAAGACGTGTATCTACGAGATGATGGTAATGGAATACCAATACGACCTCGTCCTAGGCGACGGGCTAAACGGCACTGCCAAAGGACAGATATCGCAGAAGATCAGCGTTGCAGCGATAGACAACCGCTTTGAGAAATGGAAACACGAATCGTACATGTCCAAGACGTTGGTAGCGATGTCGTTGCTGTATCCTAATCTAAGGGACGTAGACGAGGAGAAGGTGAAGGATCTAGATTTCAATGTGAGGGTAGGGGATACGGAGGCGATGATGGCGGGAGAGGCCATTGGGATGGTGCTGCCGGTTGACTATTATACCAATCTGCTACGCCGGTTTGTGGGAACGGGCACGAGGAGGAGGACGTTCAAGCTGAGAGTGTGGAGCAATGAACGGGATGAGGAGAACACGCACGATGTGAGAGTGGTGTTGTCGTCGCTGGCGGATGTGCTCACCAAGTCCGCGGTCGCGGTGTTCGTGAAGGATATGGTGGGGTTCGAGAGGGTGGTGCTGGAATTTGATTGTCTGAGCACGACGGTGCGGGTGGAGGAGAATGCAGATGTTACCGCAGATGGGGAGGGGATCGGGAGGGTGACGAGACTTATCACGTTGAATTTGTATTCGTGGTTTGAGGTCGCCGTGCAGCGCGTTATGCAGCATTTTGAGCCGTGGCTGGGTGAGTGTAAGCTGACGGCGAGGTATGTGCAACGGGTGGGCTATAACAGGCAGGTGGCAAGCTTTGAGTTTCGCCCGTTGGAGCATCAGATGAAGGAGGAGACTGTGAAGTGGAATTTGGAGGCTGCGAGGCAGAGGTGGGAGGAGGAGGAGAAGTTGTTGGCGTCCTTTGAAGGGGATTGAAACCATGGATGATGTGTCTTTGATCAAGAAGCTTGTGGGGAGAGTGAGCCACTGAAGATGGCAATTTGCATAGCAAATGATATGATCTGCTAGGACGTAATCAACAAATGATGAATTCTTAAGACAAATGCATCAGTGATACTGAGACTCCTATACCGCATTTGTTCTCATTCTGCTTTTCAGCGAAGCCTTCATTGAAGCGATCTCAGCCACTTTCTAGCCCTCCTCGAAGGGTTTCTATGAGTTCGTCGTCTGCTTCAAGGGAATAGGAAATCTTTCAGGCCGCTTGTAGAGCTGATAGTGCAGTTGTAGACGAATGAAAAAGTAGACAAGTGCAACAGGGTCATAAAAGAGTCTGGCAGCAATCAAACGCGGCAGCAACTAGCTTACTATATAGATGAGATTGCTGTACTTATCCTTTTAGTGCTTACAATTGGGGCACCCGTTTGAATGAAGTCTAGTGCCAAAGGCACCCTTTCTTTTATTAATATCTTTGTTCTCTTTTAGAAGTAAAGGACAGGCTAAAATGATAGCACTTTTCTCAATGAGGTCGAGTGCTAAAGGCGCTCTTTCTTTTATCAGAGCCTTTGTTCTTTCCATAGAAGTGAAGAAAGCTTCCGCTTGCGGCATACGCATTTCAAAGACTTTTTTGTGACTACCTATCAGTAGCCTACACGCGAGTGCATCAGACTCATCGAGATGCTGGCTGCATCATATCCACTCCTTTTTCTCTCCTTCTCAGCCTGCCCTCCCCTCGCTGCCAGTGTCCTCCCTCTTTTGCATCCCTTCCCGTCCCTCTCTCCAACCAAATAGCCCCTCCCTCACCCCTCGTAGCAATCAAAACATCGTCTGCCCACGCTTCTCCCTCAACTCCCTCCTCTCCTCACTCCTGCGCTTCTGCGCCGTCCCATGAGTCCACTCCTCAGTCTCCACCTTCCTCTGATGCTCCAGCGGACGGAAAGTCAATGCTCCATGATACTCAAACGCCATCGTCGTCTCCTTAAAGTCGGCGTCAACATTCACACAGGGCCCCCAGAACGGCTCGAAATGCCGGCCAATCCTTGCAATACTCTTGGACAAGGTTTGTACCTTTCCAGGCAAGAATGCCATCTTCTGCTGCGTGAGTGTTTCCGTGAATTCCAGGGGGTTGCGTCGGTCAGAGCGTTTGAGGTCCAGAACTAGCGTATTGAAGCCTACGAGGTCCTTCATGAAGATGCCGAGGGTGGTGTTCATGGTGAAGAGAATGAGGTGCTGGAAGTTGGTGTCGGGCCCTGTGCTCATGTTGATTGTACACAGCTTTCTGGGTACCTTTGTCCCCATGAAGGGAGCAAAGCGGCCAAGCCAGAACCCAGGACGCAGGCCGTATCCGACTGACATGTCGTTCGTCATATGCGCTAAATCGAGTGTAGAAATGGTGATATCCAGCTCGATGTTCATGACGCGATCAATCTCAATTGAACGATACTCATAGTACTTGACGTATAAGGGCGCAGGCTCCCCATTGTTGTGGTGCTGGTGTCGTGTGTATTGAGGTGCAATCCTCACGTTTGTAGGGGAGCGGTGGAAGGTATGGGATGATTGGATGGAGGGCTCGTACATGAGATGGTAGCTGTAGGTGAAGGTGCTGAGGGGGTAGAGGCACTTCTGCGCTTCCTTGTTGATGGCTTTGGACGCGCGAAGGAGAGAGAGTGAATTCGTGGCTTTCGGCTTTCTTGGTGCAATGGAATCACGAGTCAGGGCGACGTGGTCCGCGAGGGCGTACTGGTAGATTTGTTGGCGGATCTCACGCGGAAGTACCTTGAGGGCACCATAGCCCTCGTCGTCGCTGCCATTTCGAGATACGAGGGTCAGTGCATCGCGCCAGTTGCGCAATAGCACAAATAGCGATGCCATGGTTAGAAGTGAATAACGGTGCGGTGAGAGGTAGAAGTTTAGAATATACAGAAAAATTCAGGTAGAATTTGATTGGCTCAACACGTTTTCCGGTATATTTTGTGTTTTCAATCTTGCAACACATCACGTAACTCTGAAATGAAACAAGGAGATACCGTTATTTCGTCTTTCTAGAATTAAATATAGCTTGCAAAACAAGCATCCAGTCTCCAGGGGGCATAAAATCTCAGAAATATCTACAGAATCGGCGAAAGTCTACCCAGATATATCCAAACTTTAGAGCTTTCCAGGTGCACTAGGCTTTCCCTTGCCTTGAGCAGGCTACTATGATGCTCTGCCAAACCACACCGAGTCCTCTCTCAGCACAAAAGGCGGGACAAGTGTGGTATTGCTGCTCCATCAAATGCCTGAGCTTTTCAACCGCAGCAGTCTCAATATCATAAAGAAAATAAGCACCAGAAGAAGTATAACGACGCTCACTAACGAACACGTGCAACGCTGCCTCTCTAACCGACGGCTACATCCTAGACCACCAATAAAATCACTCACTTTAGACTTACCATCCATCTCCCCCATCTCTCAACCAGCACATCCGTCCCCACGAGCTACGATAGCTAGCGCACCTACCACAAATCACAACTCGCAGCCCCTATTATACCAGCATCAACCTACTCTCTGACCCTCGCAGCCTCTCAAACCCACCCTCTCACGACACTAACGCCTCCTCTCCCCGTCGCTCTTCGATTCAGAGCCCCTATATCCTCTGGACCAAGCAAATGCCCAGCCAACTGAACCCTCCGCACGGGAAATGCTCGATTGATAGAAAAAGTTCCGACATCAAGACGTGCCGGGAATGCCGTCCGGTTTGAAAGCTTCAGGTCAGCGTGGAGAGTAGGTGTAAGTGCGCAAGGGGGATTGAGCACCGTTCACAGTGCAAAGAAAGGCAGCAGAAGAGGAGGAATACAGACTCTGGAACCGAGTGCGCGGACTAGAGAGAGGGAAGAAGGTAGGGCGTGAGGAGGAGGAGGAGGGAGGGTGATATGATTTTTGAAGAATGTCCAAGAGAAGTGGAGGAATTGATTTGTAAGCTCTCGAACGTAAAGGGGTGTTGAGGGCTGAGGAAAGCGCGGTGGGGACGTAATTGCTCGGTCTTGATAGGAACAGTCACAGAAGTCGTGTCCCTTCATCCTACGGCGTGTGTGAATGTGATAGACTGGAAGCAAGAGTGAGAAGATAGATAGACTTACCTCTCAATGTTGGAAGGGGTTAAATAGGAGGGTTCTCTATGCACGTCTGTCCTCAACAAACTCAGATCGGTAGCCTAAGGTAATGGAGGATTTTCCTGTGCTAAATAGGGACAGTAGACGTCATTGTCATCATATATCATCAATCGTCACGCAGATCCACCATCATACACCTCTCCTTCCCTTCCCATGCGTTTTCCCACTTCAGCACCACCTTGCCCCACGCTCACCAGCATCACGGACACTCACACTCCTCCAGACCCACATAGACATCATTCCTTGTATTACAAGCATCGCTCCTTCCGTTGAACTCATTTCCCACCCCCATTTCAATCACGTGCCTACTCAAATACCACGCAATCACCCTCTCATTATCCAACACCCTTAGCACCTCCCTCTCATCCATAGTTCTCACAGCATGCGGTCCCCCCCAGAGCAACTGCTTCATCGATCTGTCCGCCTCCCTATTAATCCCACCACCAAAGACACCAATTCCACCGACATCACCAACATCAAAACCCTTCACATTCCGCCTCTCCCCCTCGTTTCTCCTTTCAAGCTTCCTCGACTCTCTCCTCGCTTTTTTCACCTCTCTCGCTTTCTTCACCTCTCTCCCTGCTTTCTTCTTCTTGCTGCTCGTTCCGCTCTTGACCCGATGGATGTCCAAGATCCGTTCATGAATTCTCCTACGTCCATGTTTGCCGTTCCTGTAATCGGCTTTCTCATCCTCGAGCAATCGCTTCTTGCGTAGTTGTGCGCTGTGATGGAATAATCTGTCCTGCTCTTTCTGGGAAAGGGTTTTCTTGATGATGATGAAATTGCGATCGTCCTATGCCTCAACGTTAGTCTCGCTTCCAGACGAAGAAGGCATGGGGGAGGGGGCGGAGGAAGAAGGGGAAAAGGGAAAAGCACACTCACCGGCGCCCAATACCACGGCAATCTAAACGTCTTCAACGTCGTAACGCTCATATGCTTCCTGTGCACTTTCACATAAGTTGGCCGCCAGTGATCGACCCCCCTTTCTCCCTCCCCCTCTCCATCCTCCTTCTTCAGATTCGCGATCCACCCGTGAAACAATCCTTTAGCCCTAATTTCCTTCCCCCTTCCCCCTTTTTCCTTCCTTCGCGCCTCCTTTTGGCTTTCCTCTAAAAGCCCCACCGCCTCTCTTTTCCGTCCCTTCTCAGTGTAATGATCGACCAGCCGCCGCATATAACCAAACACCATCCTCCCGCCCCAGCCCTTCGCACGCGCTATATCCCACAGCAATACGCGATACCCGTCTTCGTATTCCTGGAACTTCTCCTGCCGTTTCAGCACGATGAGGAGATTTTCGCGCACGTTGCAAAGCTGGTAGAATGGCAGCTTGCCTGCTGTGGCGTGGGTGATGATTTCGCGGAAAAGGGCTTCCGCTTCGGGGAGTTTGTTTTGCTTGGAGTCGAGGTGGATGGCTATCATTGTCATTACAGAGATTGTCCTATCGTGCGAGGGGCCGTGGACGTCCTTGTGTTTCTGGATCAGACGGCCCTCCATGATCGCAAGCTTTTCGGTCTGTGGCGTGGTGCGGAGCGACCAGGTTAGTTGACTGAGGACCCAGAGACCCGCTTCGCTGGTACCTTCGATCTTTGGGGGAGAACTGTCGATCAGGGAGGACAGGTAGGCCGCGTAGTCTTCGGTTCGCGCGAAGGCGTAGTAATTACTGAGCGTGTGCATGTCGTCTGAGAATTGTTCGAACTTGTCTGGGAGGGCTTTGATGCGGGTTTCGACCACTTTCTTTAGGAGGAGCTCGGCTTCTTCGCAAGGCTCGTCCCAGGGTAGCGCAGTTGCGAGATTGTGGATTGACAGGAGGAGATCGTCATGGTCTTCGGGAAGGGCTTCTTCTCGTTCTCGGAGGACTTCGCGGAAGAGCTTGACTGCTATGTTTGCTTTGTCGTACTTTCCTTGCAGTCGGAAGGCAAAGTTATTCTTGATTGTCAGGGCATATTCGTGCTTAGGGCCCCAGAATTTTTCGAGACCACGCATGGAGCTGTATCCCATCCAAAGGTATTTGTCGCGCGCTTTGGTCTGAGATCCTGCTTCGAATAGCTTGAGCATAGCATACAAAGTCACTTTATGGTCGTCCCCATATGGTTTCTGACAACGCTCAAAAACGACCTCTCGGATACTAGTCGCCTCTTCCCATTTCTCCTGCGCTGCTAGTGTGTAGCTGAGACACCTCAACTGCTGGATTGTGCTTGGATGGAATGCCCCTTTGACCTCTGACATATTTTTGACCATTTCGCGGCGTACTTTCTCTGCTCCACCGTGGTCTTCTTGTCGCGCGAGACCCGATGCTAAGAATTCCTTAGCTTGCATGGTGCTTTCATCTGCTGGCCCTAGGTTCTCCTCAATGTCTTCCACCGCCTTACGATGAAGGTCAATAGCGCTGTCAAGTTGACCTCTCTTTCTCAAAATGTAAGCGAGGAGGTTGTTACCAGGCAAAGTCTCGTGACTTCCTTTCCCGTACACTTCTTTCGATCGTTTCATCAGTTTTCTACAGAGATCTTCTGCTTCATCCAACTTTTCCTGTTCCGTTAAGACGGTCACAAGTTGCTCATAAGATGGCAGGACATGGGATGCCAAATCAGCAGTCTCAATATTGAAACCCTCCAAGGCGTCTTCCAAGACCGCCTCGGCTTTCACCAATTGATCTCTTTGCGTAAGGGCCACGGAATGCTGGTAAATCTTCGACATGCGGAAAGCGAAGGAAACGCCTTGCGCTCTTCTCACAACATCGTAGAATTTAGTTGTGATTTGGAGGGCTTCTTCACTTTGCTCCTTTTCGCTTCTGCCATTGTCCAGGAGGATAGACACGTATTTACTTGACGTCCTAAGCGTAGACTCATGCTCGTGACCCCACTTCTCCTGCATATCAGCTGCCAAGGATTTCAGGAGCTCTACCAGGGGATCCTCCATTTCGAGATCTTCTAAAAGACCAACAAGATTCGTCTTGAAAGCCAGCGTCTTTGGGTGGAGTCTGCCAAGAACTTCCTCGCACCCGCTCACAGCCTCTTGCTGTATGGGGACAGCCTCTAGTAGCTTATCCTTGCGGCACATGGCCATCGCATAGTCATTCATAGCGCCTAAGGTGCTGGGATGAACGTTGCCGTAATACTCCTTCCTATATTCGATGACTTTGGGAAAGAGAGCCTCAGTCTCTTTGATGCCGTTTTCTCTATCGGAAAGGTACGTGACTAGATCGTCCAATGTTTCTAGAGTATCCGGATGATCTTCGCCCAAAATATCACATCGCGCCTGATGGGTCTCTTTCGCCATGGATATGGCCTCATCAACACGATGCAGGTCAAAAAGACTGTCTGAATACTCGTGCATCGCCAGGAGTGTTCGAAGATCATCCTTTCCATATTCCTCTGTTGTCCAATTCAAGAGGTCCGCCCGTATGAAAGCTGCTCTTTGCTTCTGCCCGCCATAATTTAGGCTGCAGGCATGTTCTTGATATGCAGAGATGGTTTTGTCATGTGTATAACCTAAACGGGCTTTGTAGCGTTCGGCAAGGCTTCGATGCATGCCAATCGCATTATCCGAGAACCCAGCTTCCCTGAACGTCTTTCCCATCAACTCTTTTGTGGTCATTACTTCTTGCGACTCGCGTCCAAATACCGCACGCTGGGCTTTCAGAACTCTATGTTCCCACTCGTATGCGCATCTGAAATTCCGATACCGATGAAGCGAGAATGCGTATTTATACATACAGTCGATGTATGCCTTGTCGGAGTCTTGCTCGTCATCTTTAGACTCTTCGTACGGCCTGACGAGAAACCAGTAAAGTGGGCAAGCATTTTTTATATAGCCATTGGAAAGCAAGAAGTCTCCAATGCCGCGCAAGGAGTTGTAGATATTTGTATTGTTCATTGGGGCCATAATATAGAGAACTTTGTGCGAATCGAAGACCGAGATGGCATGCGGAGCTATTTGCAGGCGGTAAGCCAGGCATTTCGAGGTGTTTGACACCGCAAAGTAGAGGAGTTGCAAAGCTAGCTCTGCATAACTTTTTTGTTGCCAGGTGTTCTGTCTTCTCCTGATCAATTTACAGACAACGGCATCGATTCTGTAGGATTTCGTTCCTGCGTACCAGTGTATGAGGGAGAGATCAGAAAGATGCCTAAGGGTTTGCGATATTGACGAGATGCTCAGAGGGTTTCGATGTGCATGGAGTAGACTTGATTGTCCAAGCCGTCGGCCGACCGTTACTGAATTTGGTGCGCCATTCAAAGCTGCCTCAACAAAGAGCTCCGCTGGCATATCGGTAGTTTCAAAGTACGCCAAACAATTCAGGACATGAAATGCTTCAGGATCTAAGCATTCAAGTGCAAGACAGCACATTTCGAATTTGGCGTCGCTTTCACTACCTTTAGTATCGAAGTCCTTTGACGACGACCAGCACATCAAGCCAAATTTGCGAACGAGTATCAACCGATACTCCGCGAGAGGTGACGTCCAATGGAGTTGCCTTGGGAATTGTCGGTCGTATACCAGCCCGCTTTCAGACGCATTCGATAATTTTATTCGCCAATGTTTGGCGGCTACTCCATTGCTCTGGTAGCTTGCGTTTCTCATTCCTAAGCCTGTCAGGCGAGCCCGGAGACATCTCACGAATGATCGGCTTTCGAATTGTTTGAGCAGCTTGCTTCGATCGTCATGACCTCTTGTCGCAATCGTTGACGTGATCAACGTTGCTTGGTTTCTTCCGCCATCCACCATGATGATGAAGCGTGTATCCTCTGCTACAAGCCTTGGAAGACATTCGTTGGCGCTGTCAATCAATGCCCTGGCTATTTTTGCTACGCTGTGCTTATCTCCGGAGTCTCCGACGGACAGGCATGAGATCAGCCATCCGTCAACCATAGATGGCCTTGCATTGGTAGTCAGAGATGACTGCAACTGGCATTGGCGTCTTTGCATGGACACGTCCTTGTCACTTGGTATTGCTCGCTTGCCGATCTTGACGTTCACCTTGGCCGCGGAACGACGTTTCTTCCTGGCACTTGCAGGCAGGCTGCAGACATCACTACCTGCCATTTCAATTTGCTCAGGCGCCTCGATATCAGCAGCATCTCCTTTCTCTGGGGAGCCTGTCCCTACACAGCGAATGGTCGCCGTCAACGTCGAGGTGGCGGCAAGCGCAGCCGAAACCTGGGTCACGTTCATACTGCTCGATCGGGTGCTTCGAATGCAAGGCACAGGCACAGTCTTGGCCTGTTGTTATTGACATAATGTGGAGAATCGGAATACATGTAGGCAATGTGAGTACAGAAGGCAGATCATGATGGATCTTCGAGTTTTCAGCTCGTGAGGCTGAAGCACCGAGTCTAGGCGTATTTGTCAGCATGAAGCTGTAGCTTGCATCCTCAGGCCGACTAGCGGCTGGCTGCCTGGAGCGGTGCATGGAGGCAAATGGGGCCAAATGGAGGCTCAAAAGAGGCTCAGAGACTCTTCTGCTGCTTTGCTATTTGCTGACTGCATGGCATGCGAGCCAGTCAATTGTGGCTGTCTCGGAGCGTACGATCACTGCATCTTGTAGGCGCTGAAGGCGATCTGATCCTGATCACAAACCTCGACCAAAGTGCGCAGATAAATCAATAAAAGATGTCCAACTATGTGAGAGGAATTTGCCATATCTTCTGCAATGGATAGCCTGGAAGAGAGGAATGTTTGATTATTGATCGCCGATAATCACGGCTAAACGTTGAACCGGCACCGAGAATTTGCGCCTTATGTCCGATTTCTGAATCATTAAATCCGCATTTCTCATTCCATTTGAGACCGTACTCGAATGCTTGAATACTACCCAAATACTGTCCATAATACTGTCCATAACATACTTCAACAACTACCATCCTACTCTACTTTCTTAATAGCCCCCCTCGCCTCGATTTGGGCCCTTCAATCCTCCCTCCCCTCGCCTTCCTCCTCAAGAACAACATACAGCCACCTCATCACCTGACAGCCCAGCATCCACTTCACCCACGCCCCGGAAGCTAGACTATTCAGCCTCAAGGGTTTGAGTAGTGTATCACCCGCGTCTCTCTCTAGCGACACAGTGTCATCATCATGGAAGTACAAATTGATATAGGAAAAGAGCCGGGGGAGGTGGAGTGTCTGTGTACGGGTGTTCGCTGGGAGGAGAGTATTAGCAGGAGCTAGCCAATGAGGTTGATGAGACTCACAATGGCTGGACAAGAGCGGAAAGGGAAAGTGCGGTTGCACAGAGAAGAAGTTAGAAGGAGTTTGGGGGGAAAGTACCTAATTCTGCTTCTTTGCGGAAGCCCAGCTTCTTGCGAGGAAGGTAGTAGTCGAGGACTTTCTTTGATTTGGGTTGTTCTGCTGGTGATGGGGATTTGATGGAAGGAGAAAAGCTCTGAGCTTCGGACGTCGAGGCGGAGGTGGAAGCCTTGGTGGGCATATCTATGAAGTGAGAGCATGAGTCAAATTTGTCGGGTGAAAGTGAGGAGGAAAAAACGGACGTGATGCCGAAATTGTCAAGACGTTTGCTTCAGTGTCGATAGCTGTGTTGTCCGTACGTACCATACGATTCATGTCCGCGCTGCAGCAACGAAACGAGATGGTGAAACGATGCAAGTCTGCCTCGTGAAGTGGTGTTTTAGCTGCCCTGTGCGCAGCGGTACTCATCATACCTGAGACGATCCAAGGACACTTCTCGATATGTCACGCTTTCCGAGGAAGACTTGGGTCCTCATCATCTTGGCTGAGCCATGGTAGATGTTGGTCGTACGTCACAAGAGGACCTTAGACTTTATTGGGACAGCAAGTATGGCTCCAAGGGGAAATTTGAGCTTCGCGGCGGTCACTTATGAAACTGCTTCCAGGATGTTGAGGCAGCTTTACCGTTCGAGAAATGATTTTTGGGGGGTAAAGTTTCCATTATCCGCAGGATCGCCAGATGCAAATTTCAGCTTCCATGGCGAAGGTCGAATGCAAAAGACAACAACGTGGTAAAAGAGCCGAACACCTGGAGACGCGGAGGAAAGTTTGAAAGATCAACCTTATTTAGACCACCAAGGCTGGACGAGGTGGTTACTCAGGGCTTTTCAAATTGCTTAGAAGAATAATCGGGACTTATCCTCATATCGTATTCCATCCAAGTGACGGGTGTAGATTACCGGGAGGCTACAGCCAGGCCACGATCGATGTGAGGCGCTGATCAAACCTTTTGAAATACTATAAAAGGAGACTTTTAAGGTTTCGACCACCGCTTGAGGACAGTGATTCCGGGCTCCAGCCCTGACAGAGACTTGGCAATGAAGACTGGGTGGTCTGCAACCTGCTGTGTCAGTCATTGGCATCCGTTTGGAGACTTTCAAAAGACGAAAGTTTCCGATGACCTCATGGGCGCATTCAATGGAGGCGCAAGCTTCGAGAAGGCAGCAGTATCGTGCCAAGGTAAGATCAGCCGCCGCAGCCGTTCATAAGAGGCCCAGGTAGAAATTTTCAGCTGGCCTTCGAGTGGAAGTGGGCATTCAAACTGGGATCAAAGCTGTTTTCCTTTACACAACAGAGGGGAATAAAGACGGCCATGCGCCAGTGAAGTGTCCTGGCATCGAAGCCCATGAACCGCAAATAAGATTATGGAGGGCAGTCTCCAGGCCTCTTTAATATCCTGTCGCATTCAAGAGAATCCGAACATCGCCATTAATGTCCGTGGATTCAACTCGGCGGATGGGGCTCTCAAGAACCACCCGAGCATCCGTGCCGTCCCTAGAATAGGAGGTATCCTCACAACGTGGTCCATTGAACTGTGAGACAAAAACCCCTTTCAAGAAAAAGGTGACGTATGGGGCCAAGTATCTACGGAGGATAGACTTGAGATGCCTCGCCCAAAGATTAGCTGGGATTTTAAATGTGCTCAGCCTTTGCAAACAACAAGGAAAAGGGCTGGTTTATAGAGTTGTATTGACGCAAGTGGCCTCTCTGTCGCACCTTTGCGTGGAAGCAATCAGCAAAACTTCAGATATGGTGCTAGCAAGCCTTGATCCGCATCCGCTTCCGGAGGCTCAGCTCGCAAATCCAGAGTAAATGACGATTTGCGCCCTCAATCTCAAGAGATCTCGTTCTGGGGGCCAATGGTGGATTTATCCTATGTCCCAAGCACCGTGTAATACTCTCAAAAGCCAACGGAATGTCGACCGGTCCGCGAAGTATTGTGACCTGACGGCTTTGGATCTTCTCGTAAACATTTGTAACAGTCGTCGGGCCTTAATTGTATTGAGAACCCACATGCTGCAAGTCTTCCCCAGAGCTCTCTTCCATTCTCCTCCGCTTTCTGGAGGGTTCTCCAATTTCATTACCCAGGGTTTCCGGTAGAGGTGTCATTGGAGCAGTACTTGGCTCCGAAATAAGTGCTTGTTGGCTTTTATTCAAGGAATCTGGAGAGTATGGTGAGGTCAGCGGACCAGTATTGGGCGTTAGTAGCCGCAGAGCTGCACGACGCTGCTCCGGACTACCACTGTCGAAGCTGGATTTCTTCCGGCGCATTTCATGTAACCGTTCTCTTACCATGCCGACTGGTCCTGGTCTCATGCCTCCCCAGCGGACGTTGTTCACCCCTAGAAAGTGGTGATCGAAAATACCATTGAGTTGGTCACCAAAAATACCTAGGACGTCGAAGTTCATTTTCTTTGCGAGATCGAAATGTAATGTCATGGTGTGCTTTTCTGCATGTTCGAGAAGAATATCCTGCTCATTTGCTAGTGGTGGCTCTGTGGTTTCTTTGGGATTGAGTGGGTGGAGCATTATGCGGCCAGGGTTCTTGTCTGTGATTCGATTAAGCAGTCTTGGGAACTGGGATTTTGAAAAGTGGGGCGCTCGATTCCTTATTGTATCAAGAATATCGACAGCAGTGAATCGACTTTCCGGCAGTTTCTCTTCATACAGTGTTATCAGGGCATATATCAAGGCTGAGGTGAAGGAATTCTTTCCCGGAACGGCCGTGGCTTCTTTTGCTCTTGTTGCCGCGATATATTCAAACGATCTGACAGTATCGGTCAGCTTCACCTCTAAGGTGTGGATTTGATCGTGGCACTGACCTATGGCTACCTCTGGTGAGCCCCAGGGTTTCGGCGTGACAGCTTTGGGGGTCAAATTCTTTCCCTGTAATTTGATAGACGGAACATACCAATCGAAGATCTCTAGTACATCTGCGTCGGCGTCCTTCAAGAGCTTCTCAACACCATTCCAAATAAGATAGTTTCTCTCTTGCTCCGCTTCGTTCGGATCATTCGGGTTGGACTGTCTTCAATAGGTGAGTATTAACATAATCAGCAAGGACAGGTGACTGACCCAAATAGTTTGATCTCACCGTGAACCGACCCTGGCTTGCCATGGCCCGCGTAGTAGACGATGAACAATGTATTTATATTGGGCCCGTTGTGAGCTGCGACCCAGCTAGCGACGACTAAATTGATACCAACCCTGTTGTTATCCTGGTTATCGAGACACTCAATCGTTGTATGGTACCCAAATCGGGTCTTGAAAACATCAGCTAGAGCTTCGACTTCATCCTTGGTGCCAAGGTCATCGCAATGATCGCTCCACCGCAGCAGAAGGACCGCGACCTTTTTGTAAGACAGGGGGCTGCGATATTGTCGTTTGCTCATGATATTTGTCCAATGTACCTGGTAATCAGAATCAGCCTTCTCAGAATCTGACCCATAATTGATTGCTGTGAGGTTAGATCGTGACACTGGCTCGGTCATCTTGTCGCTCCTCGGGTACATGCGTTCTCAATTGGTTTGTTATCGGAGGAGGGCAACAAATGGAGTTTCAGGCGTGGGGTTTATGTATGAAATCGGTCGTCGTAAAGCATGTCACGGTTGATTGCCTCAAACTGCGTTGCAGCCAGGCAGTGTCTGCAGTGGCTGATTGAGCTAAGTGCAGAATCACCTGGCTTTCTGGCAGGCAGACACAACGATAATTGAGAATCAAGAAAAACCCGAACAAAGTCATAACAGCGCCTTCACTGGCTCGGGTTGAATCCGCCAGGACATCCGAAATGGAGGTAATTCTTTTAGGGTGCGCCCTGTTTGCCTTCTTCTGCGACTAGGGGCGCGGATCCCCCAGAGGTAGGGCAACGTCTGGCGAATCAGGCCGAATCTTCTACTTACAATCCGCCGATCGGCAGTAGTACCTTCCTCAGTGAGCCCACCTATGCAATCCAGTGCATATTGCATTCTCGGTGTGATGGCTGGTGGTGTGCACGCAGAGCCGCAGTTCGCTCTGTCGCATAATATGGGCGCTGCCTTGACTTGGCGGATTCTCCGCCCTCATAAATGGGTGATTTTGCTCATTGGCTTTCATAGTGAAAAGTCAAAGCGCTTGGCTTTCTCCAAGGCATTTTTTGGCTCACAAACCCACTATGAATCCACAAGGCCCAGTATGTCACCCTCAGGTAGAAGAAAATGATACAAGGCTAATGTGGCGAAGGAAAGACCTAAGGATCGTGCCAATACTGATAGAAAATGGTCTTTGACACAGCAGCAAGTCGGTCTCCCGGGTCCCACAGGATCAATCTGCGGGTCGAATGGCTGACCTTGCTTAGGCGTCCCGAAAATACGCTGACGGAAGAAAGCTGTTCAAGAAAAATGATTACGACATGTATACTGATGTCGTCACAATTATCAGTGGAAGATACGATTCGGACCAGCAAGAATGGGTGTACAAATTGAATAATGGAAAGGGGGAAAGCATTGAAGGAGAGACACGGGAAAAAGATCTCCAGTAGTTGAAAGTTGAATGAGGGGGTATCATGTAGGCGCTTGTTTAGCGTATTTTGGGTCACCTCCGGCGTGGAGTAAGGCCACTGCGAAGGGTACTTGCGTTTTATTGCAAGGCTGTATTGTTCGTATTCAGCCCCCACTTATCAATTAAAAGCAATTTAGTCCTTCTTAAGACCGTCTCTTTCCCCACTATGCAAGGCAGTCGGAGAGGTCATGGCAGCTTACGATTCTGCAAACCGCTTGGAGAAAGGGGATCCTGTATCTCCCTCCCACACCGAACATACGACTATTACAGAATCGTCCTTAGAAAAGGGCAAGGACTTAGACCACGTAAACAATCCAGAGCAGTCACGCTGTAAGTAGCTTTGTCTCGCGTTTTGGCACTGCTAATCCCGGCATATAGCTCCGATCATTGTTCGATTCTATCGCTGGTTCCGACAACGATGGATTGTAGGAGTTCCATCCGGAATGCATCGACATGGTCGCATGGCCCCTACCATAACTCGTAAGCGTGAGTATCAGCATTCTGGTTGATTTGTCTCTTGCTGAATCGACTAGTGAAAGATCATCCGACGGGGTATCCTAGAGTTGCTTGTTTTCTTGATAGCGATGATGCTTTCATGGTATACCGAAGATTTGGCTATCTGTTCTCTCGCCTGCTCCTTTCGAAGCAAGAGGAGATCAGTATGCTGGAATCTTCGTTGGCTGGAATGGACAAGCAAGACAAGGCCGAGGATAACGAGAGGTATATCAAATCTCATTTTGAGGATGCGAATCGCGAGAATAGACCTGAGGCATGGCCCGAGTCTCGCACCGAGCTTTTGGTCAGACTGGAGGCAAAAGTAAAAGAGTACGGTGAGTGAGGACCGTAGCATTTCGTTCTCGACTGTACAGCAAGCTCATAATACTACAGCCGATCTCTTGCTCAAGGCACAGCAACTTAAATCGCTCGACCAGCCATCTCGTCGAGACTACAAGAGCGTGTTACACTTCATGGAGAACGATGGTGGACCACTCTATACGAAGGAGGCCGGGTTCATCTATAACAGGGAAGATCTTGTGACTTTACGGCCTGGTCGAGATCATGCCTGGCTTGATGGGATCCTTGAGCGGACTTTGAAGGCATTGAGAAGTCGACCGATCATAGTAGGTGACCTTTGCCTTGGCCGGGCTTGGATACTAACCAGTTGCAACAGTATCTCTTCTGCTCAAAAGTCAGTCTAGTGTCACAATTGATATTTTGAGTCCTGACGTCTGAACAGGAGACCAGAGAGAAGAGTGACGAGGAGGTTATTCATTACTATGATCGCGATCGTATCTCGATCTGTGTGACTTTGATCCTGACAATCATGATTTTGGCTCTGCTCGTAGTACCTGTCTGGATCCTGTACCGGCTCTGTGTTGCTGGGACCATTGCTACCAGTCCGAACACCCTATGTGTGATAGCTATATTCACATTGCTTTGTACTGCAATACTTGCGTGCTTCACAAAAGCCAAGCGCCACGAGATTGTGGCTGCCTCTGCTGCGTAAGTACCCTGCTTCTCCCATCAGAGATAGAGCTCTAAGATAGGGTGTCTGACTGAAACTGATATAGCTACTGTGCAGTATTGGTCGTATTTCTTGGAAACGTCAATAATAATGGTCTCTAATCCAGGTGAGAAGTAATGACAGTACTTAAAATGCCTTCATTATACTGAGATGAGCAACAGCAACTAAAGAAAGGGTGAAAGCTTCTCACTTGCCAAAAATCGTAAGATGAGGCCATGAATCAACTGCCTGATTTGTCTCTCAGCCGGGCTAGTGCCGAGGGCGAAATTGCAGATACACGCCAGTGATTTGGCAGTTCCTCACAATCAGATTGAAAGTCTTCTAGAGCTCGCCGACTAACGACTGTCTTTCAAAGCAACTTCGTTCGAGCTGCAGGGGAAGAAAATGGATGTTCCAGTATAGAAGTATATTAAATTATATACCTTTTGCGTTAGAGAGCGGACAAGGTTGTTGACTTCACGTCTTTGCTTACCAATTTCCTCCGTCTCTGTGCGTATTTCCATGATCTCTGGGGCGGAAAGGAGCTTTAGAGCGACTGTTCTGCTGGGATTGTCTAGGTGATCGTGGAATGTGTAACCTAATGCAGCCAACGCCTCAGGACTAATGTCGACTTTGCGAAGCATGATGGTTTACCTCGGCCGTGGCTTCATATAGCTGGCAAACACTGTTGTGCCTTTATGATGTTTCTCCTGCTTTGGAGCGTTGCGTCCTTCCTGCATTGACGTAGACGAGACTCGGAAGTTGAGTTCGACTAATGATGCATATGAAACATGTAGTGCATCGCCGTGGGATGTACTGATAAAGGCCTTAAATACCGATGCTCGATCTCCCTTCTGCATGTCGATGGAGCTTGCGGACTGGATTTGATAGATGATCTAGGCACATGATGTAGTAAGCCATGCTCGCCGTCGTCCTCTTGGCTCAGCAGGAAAGGGTCGATAGCACTGAACACTCCCGCTTCCTTATCTCCAATCGCAGTGAACGGAGGTGAAGGCGTTGCCGCAGTTGCCGAGTCGCGCCACCAATACTTCACAGCAAGCCATAATCACTGTGTACAGCAGCCGAGCCGTCAAGATTGGTATTGACGACGGAGGCAAGCCCAACGTCTCGTCCCTCCCTAACAAGGCGCTTTATGATTTGAAATTCCTCGGTTGAGGCAGATCCATTGATGATCAGCCGATTTTCATGCCTTGTAAGATTGTTAGCAAAGTTAGAGTTGGTTATTCCATACAATTGCACAACAGCTACTGCCGCCGCAAGCATTGACTGCGAACTGACAAGCTTTCGCTGCAGGGATTGAATACTCTTTTCTCTGTAGTTAAATAGGAAAGCTGAGAATGTTGACCTCCCTTTGCTGGCGCCTGTGTCACCAAATACCTTCACATATGGTCTAATCTCACGATCCACGCCAACAAGAATTCTCGTGGAGTGGTTCAGTGGCACTTGCAGCTTCGGCAAGTACTTCAAGAGCGCAGTATTTCGTAGGCTATCGGTCTTGCTGAGCAGCGCTTCCAGAGTCTTCAAATTCTCACTCGGGATTGCAATGACCCCTCATAGCTTAGCTACAGCTTCGGCGGCCCCTTTATGTCTTTGATGAAATCCTCCGTGACTCGGCAAATCTTCAGAGCAGCTCCTACAACCGTGACGGCACCTGTTATAATTGAAAATGGGTCTACCATGTCACACACGTATTCTCATAGAACAGACCGGCATTTGGACATCCAGATAATTCTGACAATGATCCATTCACCCACAAATCTGTCTCATTGGCCATGAATTGTATGTGAGCCTTCTGATTGTGAACTGATAGCCAAGTTTGAAGCCCGTATCGGACTCGTCCAAACGGTCCGTCGAGTCAATTGTACCGCTCTTCAGGCGCCACAGCATATTGGATAGACACGAAAAGCATAAAGTTATTTTTATCGTTCCTGAACCTGAGGACGCTAATGCTCTCTTGGGACTCCCACTGCGTCATGTCTCCACCTGAAGCTAGATAGTCGTTATGCAGAACGCCGCTTCCGGTTTTGTATACGTTCCGCTACTAATTGGGAAGACTCGCTCTTGCTTTGTAGGTTGCAATGGCAGCCAGAGGGTTGCCATTCAGAGTGCCACTGCCGGTTACTTTACTTCTGGCTTGCAAATTTTATGCCTCTCTTTTTCTTCTTTTTACTCCGGCGGGGCCAATATTTTTAAACACTGAAGCTTGCTAATCCGTGTTTGTATAGGTCACCTTCTAATTGATCCAGTATGTCATCCTTCTCGAGACTGGTACCGGTCCCGAAGGATCCGGCGAATGAGCTCGCCATCCCCTCTCGACTAAGGAACCTGCCGGTCCTTGACGAGTATCGATGAGCCTACCCCTTGCAAGAGCCTCATTCCCTCAAGCCTGCTTCTGCAAGATCCACTTTACCCCAAAGCATAGCTCTGCAAAGGCCACACTCATATATATCTAATAATATAGCTGACGTCCTTCACTGCAGTCCAACTTCGATCGGCCACTCTAGCGTCACAACTGATCAGTAATTGGTAGCAGAGATCGGCGACGAGATGCAAGCGGTCATCCACAGATACACAGCATGCATCAGAGACCACATCTCCCGAAGATCTCATCTGCCAGAGGCTACACCTGGCGGGGAAGACGCTTGGCAGAGACCGCATTTGGAGGAACCCATATTCGAAATTGTCCATATCCAGACAATGCGATGTTTAGCGGAGGCTATATCAGAGAAGATTGTCGCTGGAGGTTTTCGCTGGAGGGGATTGTCACGGGAGGAGACTGTGCTTGAAAGTCTAGGATCGGTGCGATCATATTTGGAGAAGGCTGTGCTACGCTGGGCGCGCTTTATGATATATAGCTGTCGCCTTGAAAAGAAGACCTGCGGAAGTAATACGACTGGGGAATTCTTCTTTCGTCGCTGAGTCCTGCAGTGGGGTTTTAGCCTATCAATTGTTTAAGCTGTTATCTTGCGAGCAGAGTATGTAATCATTCATATTCCAAAGGCATTTCAGCAGAATACAAATCCCATGGAATCCAGCCTGTCGGTTCAGGGAATGCATATTTCGTCCAGAGACCTTTATATCCCACTTTGTCAAAGTTTGGTGTCCATTTAGCTTTAAACTCTTTCCATTCTCTCCACGTCAATTTGTTTTTGCCATACTCAGTCATCATATCCAACTTTCCCCTACATATATCCGCTTGCACTTTTTCTAATCGGAGCTCGCATTCCTCCTCGAATCCGTTCATATACCGAATCGAGGCACCGTCATTCTCATCATAGATTTCTCTGTACGGCGTCTCACCAATCATGACACGACATACATCCGATAAGCCGTATTCCAACTCCTCTCGATCATCTGCATCAATCGTAGACGGAGAAGAAATTCTGAATATAGGTCGATCGGCTCGAATAGCGGACAACAACTCCATAATTGATACGATATCATTGTCTTCGAACGATTTCAGAAGCCGTGGTACTTTGCCATTTGACGTCCATGAGGCAATCTTGTTATTCTGAAAGTAGAAGAGAATTTTCAGTAGAGGAGGCCTTTGGACAAGCTTCGAGCGCAATTGGCGAAGTTCTCTCCATATGCCGACGATATCTGCTGGTCGATCGGGATGAGGAGGCCATATGACTACCCTAAGTGTAGTGATCATGCTGAATTCAATCTTCAGATTGTTTGCGACCAAGGTAGTCAGCGTCACACCACTGAACCGTGTTCCGCGGGGTGTGATGTAAAGCTCGATCAAGCCATCTGCTTTCAACATCTCGAGGACTTCATCACGAATTTGTGTATTCACGTGAATGAGTGGGGTAAGTTTTGGTCTGAGCTCACGACTATCTTGGCTGAAATACAAGGCCTCTGAGCTTAATGAGAGCACGGTCCTGAGGTGATAAAGGTATATGCAATGGCGCATTTCAAGTGGAAGGCCAAGGAAGGAGCTCCTTCGATAGGCTGATGAGTTTCCGATCTCCATTACAATATCGTATACCTTCCGTTGTCTGCCTAAGACAGTGATTGGACAGAAGCGGAGTCGGGGATTGTGAGGTTCGATGCTTGTAAAACTGGCAATGGAAACGTTGGTGGGCTTTGCCAGTAGGTCAGGTCGTCTCTTGACCTAAATATTGTACACTGGTAAGGGAAGGATGGATAGAAATAGGTGTATGTATGCTTCGAGCAAAGAGTGTTCGCCTTTTGTGCGGAAAAGGTGACTCATCAGAGTGAAGGCAAAGGTTGTGGCGCCGGCTTTTCGACACGTTGAGTCGATGTGGTGAAGCGCCTCAGAGCATAATAGATGGGTCTTGAGGCTCACTCAACCATGATGATACTGATCACGGGTCCAAGAAAGGCAGAGCATCTTCAAGCTCCTCCAGATCACGTCCACCGATCAGGCGTGTAATCCCTCGAGCAGGAGCAAGGTTGGTAATGCCCTCATTGCTAGGATTCGCGAACCGACTTGATACCTCACGATCGAAAGCCTAATCTAGCCTCTTCAAATCGACTCGGATAGCTTGTTGCGATACGTGTAGAGGGTTGCTCGAACTTGTCTGACCCCTCGGACGCGACCAATCAATTGTGCGCGAATGTTCCGCACTTCAGCTTAGTCAGCAATCGAAGGATCGAAGGGCCCATGCGGAAACTACGCTGAAGTGATGGAAAAGTACGCGACGCTTCCTTCCCAATAATACTTAGATCGTACAGCAGATACCTTCGTGCTGATGTCCAACCTAACCCCAACTGAAGAACGCACTATCATATAGGCTTTCCCCAAGCTCTCGCTCAAACCCCCCTCACTCTTGACTTTCAAGCAGCACAGTCCCGCACTAAACCACATCAGTAATTCCCCAAGTCTAACGTCGGAATGCGCACAGACTTCCTTATGCACAGCATATGCACAGCATAAAAACAGAGCTACACCCAATCCATCATTTCCCCACCTCTAGCATCGAAGACCGGGTTGTGATCCCCCTTGCTTCTAAGCTCAAGGGGAGGACGGGGAGGGGAGGGGGAAAAAGGGGGCGATACCCCATACAGCTTTTCACAAAGTCCAACATCGAATACCGGACTACGCACGGTGAGTGAGATAAGATCTAGCCTAAGCCGAATAGCGGATTAGCAGGAGTCTGGGCGTTGGAGTGCAGGACCATCAATGCAGTAGCTAGAGCACCATGTGTCAACCGCAATTATATGTAGATACAACGCAGACTTCCCCAGCCGTTGACTCTGATAATCCATCACGAATCCGCACAGTCCAAGAAAGTTCATTCGATTCTATTTTTATGAAAGACCTCCCTCCCCCAACCCTCCCATCAATTCCCCGTATAATAAACCCTAAAAAACGCCGCCACACACCCATCCTCCGTATGGACTCTATCCCCCAAATAAAACAAATTCCCACTCCCACACTTCTGCAACGTCATCAGCGTCCCCAACGCGCCATCCGTACACTGCAGGGAATAAACCGGCCCATCACCCGCATCGAACCCGGGCGGTATCCTACAAACAATCGGCGCATACCCTGCCATAATCTCCCCATACATCATCGCAATGGGGCCAAACGTGCTGCCGATCTGGAACGTGGCTGCGTAGGCGACATTGCCAGCCACACCCTGGGGCGCGGGCCCAACACCGACGAGATGGCCGTCCGCGTCTAAAGACAGCGGCGCGCCGTGGTAGAAGATCGAGAACGCGAAGCCAGTGAGGCCGCCGCTGTTGGGGAGGGAAGCGTACCCGCCATAGAACTGCACGGTGTCTGGTTGGCTGGCGAAATCGGGGTTTGCTTGAAGGGAGAACATTTGGGAAGGGGCGCCGTTTGCGCGGGTGGGGGTGTTGGTGGTAGCGGAGGGTGAGTCCGGGGGGATGGCGGCCAGGACGAGGGGTTGGCATTCTGCTGGTGCGGGGCCGAGGTAGAAGCCTGTTCCGCAGGCTTGTTGGAGCAGGGCGGCGTCCGCGCCGCATTGGATGAGGGGGCGCCAGTGCCGTCAGCGGCGGTGACGATGCATGTGAGTGGTTCTGGAGCGGCTTGTCTCGATTCGAGGAGGGAGCGTTTGGAGAGGTCGCAGGCGGAGGAGACGAATTGGACTTGGGAGGTTGTGCCTGGGACGATTTGGGCGTATTTGGAGGCGTGGATTAGGTGGTTAGTCGTGGAGAGGGAGAATTTGGCGGCGTCGTTGGGGGAGGCGGCGGTGAAGACTATGGCACCTGCGGGGCTTATGACGGCGTATTGGCCTTGGGATATCAATTGAGGTGTGGTGGCACGGAGGTAGAACTCGTTTGTTGGTGGAGTGGAACAGCCATCGTTGCCGCCGTTGGCTGGGGTGGAAGATGATGGTGAGGGGAGAGTCAATGAATTTGTGGATGCTGAAGATGATCGGTTAGAGGTTGGTGAAGTGGTAAGGTGGTTCTGAGAGGATGTTGTCGATCTTGAAGTCGAGGAACCTGTAGCGGACGATCCATTGGTAGTTGATGAAATGGTAGGGTGGCTCTGGGGGGATGTTGATTGTTTTGGGGTCGACGAACTTGTCGCAGTCTTTGGAGTGTTGGTTCCAGACCTTGGCGTCGAGGTGCTAGTCTTTCGAGAGGTGGATGATAATGAGGAGCTTGTTGAATGGATCGATGGCTTTGAGGTATTGCTTCTCGACGATGTTGATGATGTCGTTGTAGAGCTTCTGCTTAAGCTACTTGCAGTCGAACTCTTGGATGTTGTAGAGGGTGTTTTGGGCGAAGCTGTTGATAGTGTTGTAAATCTTTGGCTTACGCTATTGGAAGTTGAAGTCTTGGAGGTTGTGGTGGGGCCCTTGGTGGATGTAGTAGAGATATGTTTTGAGGTGCAAGGGAGAGTAGAACCCTTCAGAGTGGTAGTGGGTTGTCTAGTGGAGATTGAAGAGGTAGCCTTTGTTTGTGGCTTTGACGTAGTGGAGGTGCATGACACGGATCCAAAAGATGAGCATTTCTGCGTGCATTGCTTTACAGTCTGGGTCTGTGTATGAGTGACTGTGACAGTATGTGTCTTCCACCACCAATGGGCATCAGCGAAAGACGCGTAAAGAGCAAGTAAGGCAATAGAATTCAAATGCATATTTGCAGCGAAGAAAAGCAAACACCAAACGAGTGACTGGATGCTGAGGGACTTGGTCAGGCAGAAAGGAACAAAAAGCAGAAAGATTTCGCACCACGCTGACGACATGGCGAAGGAGACGGCGGGCGAATTTTGCGCACTAGAGTCATAATAACGATCCAATTCCTTCGAATCCGGATAGCTGCAGACGATGGGAGCAATACCAAACCATGATTGGAGCATGAAGATTGAAGCCTCCAACGGCGTGTCGATGCCATTAAGCTGTAGACCAGATGTGGCTAGCGACTTGATAGATTTGAGATTTCCGAGATGAAAAGATCCAGAAGCGTCGTTAGAGTTTGATGAGATGGCCGAATGTGGAAGACAGCCTCACGCTAGGGTCTAGCGTTCTGTGGAGACGGGACGTCTAGAATACTGACATCGATTTTTCCTTTCTTTTTGAGATATGACATGCAATTGAAGAGTGTGGAGTGAGCGGCGGTGATGACGATGCAGGCTCTGAAAGGATTTCCCAAGGTATGAATATGGCATGTTGTTGAGCTATTGCATTGTCAATGAGAGACGGATTAAATCGACATTACCTCTGCCATCGCCTCCTTCATTTCCCTCAGCTTCTTTCAGTGTCCATTTGTTACCTTCAGGTGAGATTTCCAGCGTTTAATCTTCACGCTCTCCTTTCCTCATCTCAAACATCTTGACAGCCTCTTCCGCAGCCTTGACACCACTAAGTACCATGGCTCCAAATGTCGGGCCCATGCGGTTTGCGCCATCGATCTCACTCAATTCCATACCACCGACGATCAAGCCAGGAACCACTTCCCTCGTCTTCTTGACAATCGCGTCCTCTGCGGTGTTCATATCCAATCCCCTCATACCTCCCAGCTCTTTCACCGCACCCATCTGTACCAATCTCTTGACGGAGAATGCGCCGCTTGGGCCATCGTGACCGGTCGTGCTGACCACAACGGGTGCATTGATGGTGTTGGGATCCATGCAAGACTGATCATCATGATGTTGTGTTACGAGCGTCCAGTTGGTGACAGCGCCTGCAATGCGCACGCCGCCATTAGGGTCTGGGCGAGTGATGAGGTCCTCGACACTGGTGGCATTGAAGAGCTTGATATTCGGGAAGGCGAGGACTTTCGAGAGGAGGGTCGAGGTGAAGAGAGCCGCGTGCTTGACCACCACATAATGACCTTCGTCGGCGTAAGGGACACCGAGCTCGGAGAGGAAGGCGTCTGCCGGCTTGCGGAGGATCATCGCAGAAAAGAGCTGGCCGCCTAGCCAGGCGCCGCCACCTATAAGCATGAATATAAGTTGATTGTTCCATCATCTAGATAATGGACTCGAGCTATCGAAAGAGATGACCAATCCTCGAACACAATGAAAATTTGTATGCCAACGTACCTGGTGAGACATTGGCCTCAATGATGGCAATCTTCAGATCAGGCCGGGACTTCCCCAGCATGTATGCAGCGCTCAAACCGCAAGATCCCGCGCCCACGATGACGATATCGCTCTCTGCATACTTGTCCAAGTCTTCGAAGTAACGTCGGGTCATGGCACGGGAGACCTGGGACTCGCGGATTGGCTCGAAAGCGAAGGTGTCCCATTTGCTTTCCATTTCCTCGAGTGTCTTTGCTTTGACATTGCCATTGCTTTTCACAGCGCCATTCAATCCGATGCTGTTCTTCAATGCTTTGATGTTTGCGGATTCACTGTCTGGAAAGGGAGTTGTGGCAGCAGGTGGTGCCATTGTCTCGGTGAGTCTGCCTCATGTTAGGTATAAAGGACCCTCTGGCAAGCAGGGGCGTGGAAGAGCATGATCCTTTCGCTGGTATTATCCAGATCAAGTTTGACCGTTTAATCTCAGATCGTTGCCATGGGTTGCTCCGTGCCGCCTGCATCTCCTTCTCCAGCATGAGAAGGGTGGATGCAAGAGCCACGAAGACCCAAAGCACGAACACCGGTCCATGCTACAGATGCGTTACCTGAAGGTACTTGATCATGATGACAACATGATCCCAACGAGAGCGATTGTGCCTCCATGCTGGAAGGTATTACTTTGATGGGTATGCTTGATATCTGCAGCTCGTCAGCATAGAAACGACCATGGGATTGGGGATCTCGACACTGTTGCTGTAAATGCTCCGCCCGTAATCTATTTCGGTTGCGTTGAACGAGTTCGCTGTGGTGCAGGAAGCAGCAGGGCAGTGATTGATATGAATAGTCGAAGTGGGGCGTCGTGGGATATCTTCGTGCCGGTGCTACCCGGTTGGAATCCGCGACAATCTATTCCCCTCGACGCCAGACCAAAAAATTACAGCTTAGGCTTAGTGAAGATCTTATCTCACTCACCGTGCATAGACCCGTCTTCAACGCTGGACTTTCCCAAAGTCAGATGAAGTATAGTCATTGTCAGGCTTACCTTACATAAGCTGGTCCAATCATAAATTTTGTCCTAGTTTACTCTCTCACATCGTGTCCCAACGCCAGACATTCCAAATTCACGAATTAGGCTAGCCCACATCTTATCTCACTCACCGTGCATAGTCCCCCTTCCAACGCCAGACTCACATTTTCAGCACATCAGGCCTAGCGGACCAAAGCTAGGCCAATCGTTTGGTTTTGTCCTCTCACGCCCGCGTTCGACGCCAGACACCGTGAAAACCCCAGCTAGGCTTAGCCTTCCTTCTGAGCAGCTCGAGAGCTGTCAAGCGATTTCAATGGTAGAGTTGAGAAATGACGAGATAGGTTAGGGGTCGTGGGTCATTATTCGGTGAAACATCCCCGGGTTCGACGCTGGATTTGCGGAAAGAGGGCATAGGGTTAGTGCGTATAGTGGTCTGCAGGAGACAGGGATTGTATAGTCTGGGGACGAGCGCCTGCCAGATTCGGGCGTCTGGTCAAAGATAGCAGAACCGAATAATTATGGAATCTCATAATGTCATTAACAATACAAACAAAGTAGGCGCCATGCCTTATCAATCTGGTATCCAGGCGCTGCATTTTCGCGTAGCCCAAGTCAGACTAAAGAATCTTCGCTCATCCCGTAGCCAACTTCTGCAAATTCGACAAAGCCCCATTGAAGATATCATTATCGCCACCCCACGGACTACTATCACTATTCTGCCAAATAGTCTGGAATGGCCAACCGCCCGGAATAGTCCCCGGCCCAGCAGTCGAGTACCTCGCCAGCACCAACGGACTGTTAGAGCTAAAAGCCTTGGTATTCCCCGTACATGTATTCCACCAATCATTCGTCGAATAGATCAGCGGGTACCGACTGGTCTTGCTGTGGTACGTGGAGACAAAATCGCTGATCCAGCTCACCATGGCGGAGGTAGAAAGGCCGTAGCAGGTGCTGCTGGGTCCGTATTCGATGTCAAGCATACCGGGTAGGGTGATTCCGTCGCCGGACCAGCCACCACCGTTGGCGACGAAAAAGTTGGCTTGGCTGGCACCGGAGCCGCCATCGGGGCGGGCGAAGTGATAGCCACCTCGAATTAGCCCTGCGGATGTCGCTCCGCCGTAGTGGCTCGAGAATGAGGGGTCTTTATAGGTGGTTCCTTCTGTTGCCTATCGAAACAGATGACTTAGTGATGATGCAGGAGAGAGAGACGGGGGATGGTCAGGCTGCTTCATCAAGTGATGAAGAGCAGGAGATGGTGTGTGGTGCTATGTATGAGTTGTTCGAGAGGATGAGAAATAACTCACCTTGATGATAACGAATCGAGCGCCGCCAGAATATGCCGCGTTGAAGTCGACACTTGTTTGATAATGAGAAATGTCGAAGCCCTTCACTGTTGCACGCTTCTCAAGTTCCCCCGAAGGAGCTGCACTTGCCAGTGCAGAGGCACATACTGTAAGCAAAGTAGAGGCCTTCATCTTCGAGCTTTCAGTGATATTAAATGTTTTGACCGGATCAATGCCAAAATCTTGTACAAACGAAACAACGAGAAACGGAAACCCAAGCCTTCTTATATTCGACAACCATCCAAGCACGCAGAACACCCTCACTATCCTCTGATGTCATTTCTCATTGCCAATCCTCCAATCTCGCCCCCTATCGCTAGTTGAAACAGGCCCCCGCAGCTCGCCGTTGACGGTAGGCGGCAAGGCCGAAGCCATGATCCGCACGTTGACAATGCTTAGCATCAATTTCATGCATGAAGCGTAGCACTCAGGGTAGTGTGGGTAGCAGACGAAGGGTCTCGAGGCGAAGGCCGACGATTGAGTAGTATTCTGATAGCGAAATGCGTGCAGAACGAGGAGACATGATTGGTGTCAAAGGGAATGCCAGTCTTTGAAATGCATGAGCTTTAGGGTTCAAGCCGAAGACAGAAGGTGCCTTGCAGAAACATCATGTTGATCCCAATCACCTGCGCGTAACCTTCATGCAGGGAAGAGGCATGGTGCAGCCGCTTGGGCAGCGCATGGGGGGGCAACTGGAGGCCACGTTGGGGCCTTTTGCAATAGGATTGGTAACATTAGGCGGGTATGTATATTCCTCGCTATTGGAAGTACGCGCTGCGAATGACGCTGGTATTGTCGAGGAAGATGGAGAGTTGTGGAAGAAGAAGAGTGATAGCCCATGATTATGCTAAGGAATATTACGTACAGGGAAGGAATGACGTCGATTGGCCCATGCGGAAGGCTTGAGACCATACGTTTATGCATCAGACCAGCACCGCTGAAGAATGCCCACAATACTGAGGTCAATAGAGGATAATGGACATGGCTATTTTCACCTATATTACACAAAGTGCATAGCACAGAGCCTTCTTATTGAATCCACATCCCTCGATAGCGCCCAGCATGAGCTCTGAAGCTCGTATATCATCTCTCTGCTCACTAACAAAGCTCCGAAAGTACCACCGCCCAGCTATCCATCTATGTCACCAATGAACCCTCTTTCCCATCCTCACAACCTCGTTCCCTGTCCCAAACGCTTCACTGCTCTCATGCATCCCACTACTACTTTTCCTTTCCCAATCATAGCGCACACCGTCCCAATCCCACCCCTTCCCGCACCCCGCACAAACCACGTATGGACATCCCCCATTCTTCTGCGCATAATAGGCACACTCCTCATTCGGACATTTCTTCGCCTTTCTTTTGATCTTGTCCTCGTGGCTGACGTTCGCACCATCCCTCTCCGTTGCTGGGATTTTATCGTACTGGGAACACGTGTAGCCGGCGTGCCAAGCGATATCGTGGTTGCCGCAGTATGTGGCAGAACAGTCGATGCAGGTCGTTTTGCCGTTCTTGGGGTGGTGTTGGACACCACCCCAGTCACAGGTTGGCTCGATGCATGAGCGGTAGGTGGGGAGCGAGGAGAGCTTAGCCAGAGTCGAGAGTTCGTGAAGGCTGCTGATGTTAGTAAGAATGAAGAGAAGGTGGGTGTGCAAAGCATGAAAGCGAAAGAATATATAAGCCCTCGGCAAATGTTGAAGCAGCTAACATGAGGAACTGGACTTGACTCACCGTGTCATCTGTTCCTTTGGCAATACCTTTGCTAAGTCGGCTTCGGTAAGATCGCGTACGCATTCGAGGCAGTCAATATCCTTCCATTCTCCGCGCATGCTAAGTTCCCTTTCCGCGTGAATGAACGTGCACTCTTTGCACACGTTGGTGCTGTGCGAAGGACACATGTCCACTGGGAAGCGACGACTAGGGGGCTTGAATTAGCCGATCTGCATTGTGCAGCGGTAGGTAGCTAGGGTCAGAATCACTGACAAGCTTTTGGCCTCTGCGCAGATCGAACATTCCTTCGTTCGTTCCGACAGAGCCGAAGCGTCCGAAAAATCGTCGACCTTTGTGCGTTTGCGTTGAGGTGTCATTTTCACGAGTTCAGGTTGATAGCGGACGTCATGTAGGAGGTGAGTAAGCAGGTACAGAGCTCAGCGAGTCTAAACGTAAGGTATCAGGATGTCATGTGACGTGTCAGGTATAGACAGTCGAGTAGTGTTGAGCCGTAGGGTATGGCTGATATGTGACACCATTAGCGTCACACAATCCGCATTGGCTTGCCACCTCCCATTCCACCCTATAAGTGGTTAGACTGAGCTAGAATCGACGCCAGTTGGCCGACCATGGATCAAATATCATTGAAGCAAGGCGACGATGAAGAGGTGAAGTAGTGTTCTTTGACAGAACGAACGTCCCACCCCATATTCTGAAGATCGGGTTCACGTCCTATGCCACGAAGCTGGCAATCAAACCTTGCGTATCAGCAGCATCACAACTTGGGTTGCTATTAATGTACTGTAGAGAAGACGCAAAGCAAAGGGTCAAGTGAGCCACGGCAATATCCCCAAGGCCAGAAAGGACTCTTCTTCGGAAAAGAAACCAGAGTCCCAGCAATGCAAACGCTCTGCTGTACTTTTCCCTTCCTCCATATCTATGCTTGCATCTCATTATTCTCCAACAGCCCTTAAGAATCTCCCCTCTAATATCCCGACCTCCTTCTTGAACTGATCGACCTCCTTCCAACAATCCAATGGTCTCCGGTCATTTACCCTTAAGCACTGTACCAATTCCTTCTTCGCTCTTTCCACCCCTTTGCCTCCATTTTCACCTCCATCTTCACCACCACCCCTGACTCCCTCTTCCCTCAGCCTCCTTGCCCCTAATTTCTTTTTCAGATTTTCAATCTCTGCCTGTACTTTCTCTCTGCTCAAGTCATCCTCTTTCATTTGTCGCTTCGCTGTGATTGCAAGAGCGTCTGCCCCTTCTCCACCTTCAACGGTCGGAGGGGTAGGCGCGACGGGAGGAGGGGATTCGGAAAGTGATTCTAGCAGGTCTTTCAATTTTTGGACTGTTTCGTCTGAAAGGCGGGTGAGCTCGGAGTGGACGCGTTGTTGGACTATGAGGTCTTGGGAGAGGGAGCGCGTCGTGTCGGACTGCAGACGAAAGCATTAGTCATGTATCCGTCTTGTGGTGATGTTTCCTGAAGTTCCTCCAAGGGATGAGAGGGTTGGGAGAGCAAAGCAGGTCTAGGGTTCTTACTTCGGGAGAGTCTTCGAGTGATTGGAGGAGTTCGGGAGAGAAACGGACGGGGGTTTCACTGGAGGAATCGATATCAATAAGACTCATCCAATTGCAATCAGAACAGGAGTGACGTACGCGGTGAAGACATGTTCATTTGCTTGCGCGGGTTTAGAATTGTTGGAACCCATTGTGTGGTCGACGGGGAAAATGGGAGCTTGCGGTGATTATTGCCTGTCCATTATCGTAGCAGCATCCTCTTAGTGTGCTCTCCGTGTGCCGTTTGCTGAGTGTTGATTCGTAAACTTCTTGGAAAGAAAAAGATGAAGTTGCGAAACTGGAGAGTTGAGCTGCAGTCCGCTCGTAGGGCTGAGTCTCCGCCCCAAAGACCAGATGAGACGAAAGCTCCAACAAAGCTCGGCTTGATCATGTATAGTTCATGAATACTCGACGTCGATAGCACCATGATGACCATTTGATCGATCAATTTAATTTTCTCTTCGGAGCAGCCATCAATCAGTGCACAAGCCTCGATGTTAAGGGGTCCAGGAGCCAGAATTCCCCCTGTCTGGCTTGACCTTTCATCCCACCTCTTGCTGTTCGCTTCAGCAGAGAAACGGGCGGCGTACTATGTCCTTGAGGAGTCTTGAGGGTTCACTGAAAGGCAGACGATTCTCATGAAGCATCTATACCCAATTGAATTCAATTGAGCCCTAGGCTTGGGCCCTAACCCCTCAATCCGAGTCCCTCTTACCCCACACGACCGCCATATTGGCTTCCTACAGGGCACCAACTCCTCCTGTCTTCGAGGCTTCAGCTGTACCATTACGGTTCTTGCACTCAGACGTTGCCTTCCTCAAGAAGACAGGACGCGGATCCTCCTTCTCTCGCGCTCACGTCCTCTCCTTTGTCGTCTTGTTGGCCGTGCTGTTCCTACAGCTGTTCAACCCTGACGTAACAGAATACAAGCCAGCTTGGAGCCCAAACACTGAACTTCCAGACGTACTATATCCTTCACCTATCTCTCCAAACACACCAATCTTCTCCGAGCCATATCCAATTTCACGGCCTGCTAAAATGACGTTGCTAGACGAAGCTAGGAAGGTAACGGAGGAGTTTGCGTATTCAGCAGAAGATGTGAACAGAGGAGTGAAGGCATTTATCAGCCAGATGGGTAAGGGCAACTACCAAACCTACTGTGGAGATGTCATGCTCAATTACGCACAGACGAGGGTCTTCAAAAGACGGGGGCAACGATGTCACAGATACCCAGCTATGTAACAGCAGTGCCAAATGGAACAGAGAAGGTATACATGAATGTGTACTGCTTGCGTGAGCTTGACCTGACGAGCTGCTAGGGTCTCTACCTTGCCGTTGATCTCGGCGGCACCAACTTTCGCGTCTGCTCCATTCAACTCCACGGCAACACAACCTTCTCCCTCACGCAATCAAAAGTCGCCATCCCAAGAGACCTAATGATAGCCAAAACCTCCCAAGAACTCTTCTCCTTCCTCGCGAAACAAATCGAAACCTTCCTCCAAACTCATCATAACGACCACTATACCGCTCACCTCGAGCGTCGAAAAGCCAGCTCCTCAACCACAACCGCGGAGATCTTCCAACTAGGCTTCACGTTCTCGTTCCCCGTAAATCAAGTTGGTCTAAACAAAGGCACCCTTATCCGCTGGAGCAAAGGTTTCGACATTTCCGACGCCATCGACCAAGACGTCTGCCAGCTCCTCCAAACCGAGATCGACGCCCTCCACCTCCCCGTCAAAGTAGCTGCCCTTGTCAACGATACCGTCGGCACACTGATGGCGCGCTCCTACACTTCCCCTGGCAAGACCGGCACCCTCCTAGGCGCCATCTTTGGCACCGGCACAAACGGCGCTTACGTCGAAAAGCTCTCTAAAATAAGGAAACTCACCTCCACATCCTCCTCTGCTAGCGCCTACGACACCTCCACCGGCGAGATGATCGTAAACACTGAATGGGGTTCTTTCGACAACACCATGACAGTCCTGCCCAACACACCCTACGATATCGCCCTCGACGCCGAAAGCGTAAACCCTGGAGTCCAAATGTTCGAAAAACGCGTGTCCGGGATGTTCCTCGGCGAAATCCTCCGGCGCGTCCTCCTCTCCCTCGTCAAGAGCTCCACCGCCCAGCTCTTCTCAGACGTGGATTCTAGCACCAACGACGGGCACTCCACCACCACCATCGCGGCGGACTCGGCGCTATATAAGCAATGGGGTGTCGACACCAGTTTCCTGAGTATTTGCCAAGCAGACTCCTCGCCAGGGTTACGTGCTATACGGCAATCGCTATCTAAAGACCTGGGCGTCGACGCCGCGAGCACTGAGGATGCCGAGGCGGTGAAACTTCTTGTCAACGCAATTGGGAAACGAAGCGCTAGGTTGAGCGCTGTGGCTATCGCCGCCGTCGTCATCAACACCGGTAACAACGTTCAAAAGGGCGCGTCAGAAGATGACGTAGTGGACATAGGCGTCGACGGCAGCCTGGTCGAGTACTACCCCGGTTTTGAAGACTACATCCGCGAAGCGCTGAGGGAGGTGAAGGATCTGGGCGAAAGCGGGGAGAAGAGAATCAGGATTGGCATTGCGAAGGACGGGAGTGGGGTCGGCGCTGCGCTGATTGCGCTTGTGGCTGCGAAGATGGAAGAGGGGTCGGGATCTGGGGCGGGGACGGAGTCAGGGGCAGGGGTGAGGAAGGAGGACGGGGCAGATCCGAAGAATTATGAGCCCGAGGGGCAGGACTGGTTTGGTTGAGGGTTAGAGGTCGGGAGAGCGTAAAGGGATAGAGATGGCATATTTTACGACCTTTTGGATCTAGGACTTTGCGACGTTGGCATGTATGTATGTGTATAGTCTGGAAATGTATACGATAATGTACAGTCTGAATGGGATTCTTGGTTCATATTCCCTAATACAATGTAGTATCCAATCATTCATTCCGGTGTCTGCGTCGACATGTCTATTCTAAGCATCTTGATCCTCGTCATATCTTATTCTCATAACCCATCTCTAAGGCTTCTAACCATTACATGTGAACGTTTCAATCGTTTGTTCTTCCACCCTACTCTTACAGCTCTTCAGACCCATCATCCGATCACAGTACATCCCGTACTCCCTTCCTCAAAGCGCACCCCGATCCGAATACCCAAACGGCATATTCGAGAAATACATATCACCAACCACATCGCCGTAGCTCTTATCATCGACACAGTACCCGCCGCCCGAGGGACCGATATGGGGGCAATGTACCGTAGGGCGGAAGGGTACCATGTTCTGGTGTACCATGCGGCAGAGGAGGGTATTGCGGCCTAATTCACACGAGGTGGAGAGTCAGCGATGGGCTTGGAGGTTGGGGTGGGAATTGGAAGCAGGGAATGGGGATGGGGCAGGGAAGGGAAAGGTGAAGGGTGCAACGGAAAGGGACCTGGCGTACCCAGTTGGTAAGATTTGCCAAAAGCAACCTTCTTCGTCAAGAAGTCCTCGCACTGCTGCATACTCTCGTACTGCGCGTTGGTGCCATTGCAATGCTTGATCGCGATGTCACAGATACTGCCTGCGATCTTTTGGGTTGCGAGTTGCACTGTTTGAAGTAGAGTGGCATTGTACTTTTGGGAGAGCGAGGCGAAGAGCGAGTCCACAGCCCAGTCCCACCATTTAAATGTCGCGTCATACATGGAAATTTGGCCTTGGGCGTTGAAGACGTTCCAGGTGTCGATGACGAGAGGGACGGGGGTGGGGAGGATGGGGAAGGTAAATTGGAATCTGTGGCGGAGAGGTGGGAGTCAGCGAACGAGCGTTAGGGCAGGAGAAGGGGGTACTGGGGGCGAGGGGATGGAGAGGAGATGTTGGAGCCCACAACGTACATTGTAGATGCGGAAGCAATGTTCTGACTGGCAGCGAAATGGAGGATCTTGTAGGATGTTGCGTAGCCCAACAGGGAGAACGCATTTGTGTCGTTTGAGGAGGCAGCTAGGTTCGAGAAAAGACCGAAGATGTACTCGGTATTCAGCTCGCGGCCGGAGAAGGTACGTGTGATATCGACGCGACCTTGGACGTCCTCTGAGAAGATGGTTGAGTTGATCTTCTTGGCCTGGATGTGGTGATTAGATCTTGGTTCCTTGCTTGTGGGGTTTGAAAGGGGCGGACCTCTTTCTGGTTTGCAGGATATATGAATGCATCGAGGAACTTCTTCTGCATTCGATAGAGCTCTTTGAATGTGAAATTGGCCGCTCCTTGCTCTTGCGCTCGCGGTCGTAATGAGCTGGAAAGCACGCTGTTCGGGATTACATTGTCTAGGGTCTGGTCTTGTGCGATTGAGCGTCGACTCTGTGATGGCTGAGAGGAGTATGGGATGTATGCGATGCCCGAGGCGAGCAGTAGGAGGATAATTGAGAGGAGCCTGTTTTGTCTCATCCTCTGACGTTCTTTACGATCGCTGAGGGCGCTGAGATGATCGAAGGGCTATCCAACGGTTCGTACCCCCTAAAATCTTTGCTGGCTCCTCCCAATTGATATATATACGAAGCCGCTCATGCAGCTTATCATTACGTCTCAGTCATCAGGTCGTGGAATGCCTCGGCGCAAGTTGTTGTGGGTAAAGGCATGTAAACAGGCGGCGCTGGAACATGCCACTGGGTATGAACAACGAGAGAGCATCATTATTGGAGGCGAGGAGGTACGAAGAGATGTAGACGACAGATGGCGCATATCTTGACCGCAGCGGCACACGTAATGAGCTATCATAGTTGATCTTGCCGCGAGAGGTGGTCGAATCTTGTTGGGTTGATAGGGAAAGTGCCACCCACGGGCATACAAAAAACAAATTAAGGAAGCACCAGAACCTCTTTAGGGCTGGCTCTAAAGGCGTAGCTTGAAGAATCTTGCCGCTCCCATTTTTCCCACCCAATTGGCTTCTCTTCCACTCATTCTCCCCTGAAACCACCCTCCATAAGACGCAAAACGAGATCTTTCCAGCGACGGCCCAGGCCGTCACCGCATCGTTGGTGTGGAGGTTCTCTCTTCTGACCCATCTCGAGCCTGAATTCAGTGACCATCTCCGCTCAGGCTGAGGAAAAAGACGCACAATCTCACCTGCAACGACAGTCTGCTTCTCGATATCCAAGCATATTCTCCACTCGACCCATACAGATCCAATCAGCTACGCCAGACAAGAATTTCGCAAATCGTACGTTGCAACATGACGGTGAAACGGTCGGGATATCACACCTTCTTTGATCATGGCAGTGGAAGTATGGGCTCCAGACGAGCTGACATTATTTATTGATGTGCAGACGTTGACAGGCAAAGCTCTCCCTCAGCCTGTCGAGCATCGGAGCTCCAAAATTGAATCACTGTGACGTGAGGCATACGACTTGGGGGGAAACGCCAGGACACGCCTTGATCTCTGGGTTCTGTATGTGCCATACTCGAGAACATGACTATTGTACACAAAATCTTCTCGGTCCTATTCAGCCTTGCACGCAATGACCCCTAGAACTAGCCAAGAGACTCGAGTCTATAGGCGGCTTGGCCTCCACAACTCCATCCGTGCCATTGGTCTGGCCTAGGCGACGCGAACGCTAAGGGTCCCCTGCAGTTGATAACGAGCCGTGCAAGAGCTTCTAAACAATGCGGGGAAAACACCGGCTCGAAGGATACCGTCACCTTCCCAGTATGGCTCGAGTTGAATGGCCTTGGCCTCTGTCATCGGGCAGCTACATTATGGACATGCCTACCTGCAGATCAACCATCAAATCGCCTTTCGAGTCCCTCTCTCAGTCAAGCATACCGGGAGCAAGTCTCCAACCTAAATCTGAGCCTATCAATCGACCTCAGTCATGGCAGACAACGAAAAGATCACGATGGCGCGACAACACGAAGACTCCGACTCGAGCTCTCCTACTCGTCACGAGAAAGAAGCTTCTGCGACAGCCGAGTACGTCCCTCCAGACACGTCCAATGTCAATCCGAAAGCGGTCCTGTTGAAGATGGACCTACACCTCATTCCAATGCTCGCCCTCCTCTATCTCCTCTCTTTCCTCGATCGCGGCAATATTGGCAATGCGAAGATTGAGGGACTAGTAGAGTCGTTACACATGTCAGGCCCACAGTACAACTGGACTCTCACCGTCTTCTTCTTCACCTACGCCGCCTTCGAAGTGCCCTCCAATCTCCTCCTCAAGCGCCTCCGTCCCTCAATCTGGTTGCCTACAATTATGGTAGCATGGGGTACGGTCATGACCCTGATGGGCATTGTACAGAATTTCAAGGGCTTGCTTATTGCGAGACTATTCCTCGGCGTTACGGAAGCTGGGCTTTACCCTGGCGTTGCATACTACATCACCCTCTGGTATGTGCGAACGGAAGCGCAATTCAGGCAAGCATTGTTCTTCAGCGCAGCCAGTGTCGCAGGCGCATTCTCTGGTCTCCTCGCTTTCGGCATCGCGAAGATGGATGGAGTAGGCGGGTACGATGGCTGGAGATGGATCTTCATCCTCGAGGGAATCTTGACAGTCTTGGTTGCCATCATAGGATACTTTACGATCTACGATTTTCCGGAGACTGCAAAGTTCCTGACTCCGGAAGAAAAAGAATGGGTCATACACAGATTGAAATATCAAGGAAGTCAGCAGTCAGACAAGCTGGTAGCGGAAGCAGCAGAGTTCAAATGGCGATACGTACTGGACGCCTTCTCAGACTGGCAAATATACTTGGGCATATGGATGTACTGGGGCATCGTGGCTCCCCTTTATGGAACGTCCCTCTTCCTCCCGAGTATCATTAAAGAGCTCGGATACGAGAGCTCCACCGCTCAACTCCTCACAGTCCCCATCTACATTACCGCCGCCGTCCTCGCCATCGGGGTAGCATGGACATCCGATCGCACTGGCCAACGATCGCCCTACATATTTACATGCATGTGCGCGATTCTCATCGGCTTTATCATCTGCATCTCTGCGTCCGCTCACGGCGGCGTGCCAGGCGTTGTCTACGCGGGCATCTTCATCGCTGTCTGTGGGATCTACCCAGCTTTTCCGGGCAATGTTACGTGGATCTCGAATAATCTCGCGGGGAGCTACAAGCGCTCGGCGGGGATGGCGATGCATATTGGGATTGGGAATTTGGCTGGAGGTGAGACGTTCCCTTTCGCTCCCCCTTTACTCTCCTTCTGTTCCACCCCTGCGTATACTGACACGACCGCTAGCAATGTCATCGAACTTCTACCGCTCCAAAGACATGCCGAAATACGTGCTTGGCCATGGGCTGGAGATCGCATTCGTATCAGTTGGATTGTGCGCGGTGGTGTGTTTGAGGCTGAACTATCAGAGGATCAATAGGAAGAGAGATGAGTTGCTGCAGAATAGTGGGGTGGAGGCAGTGAAGGAGGGGGATATGAGTGATAAGGGAGATCGGGCGGTCACTTTTAGATATGTACTGTGATTACCAGTTCTACGGTCATGAAAGTGGGAATGAGGACTTCTCTTTCACGTCTTTTGCCTTCACGCATGAAGTACAAGGGTAGGGTCGCAATCACGTTGGGGTGGCTGGAGGGTTTGGTAATGTGCGCTCCACTGTGCTTTCCGTTTCTTCAAAATTCCCTCTATCCGTTTCATTTTCGGTTCCCTTTCCTTCTCTTTCAACGCCATGAATGGGCCTCATGATGCCATTCTCTGCTAAATATATACAGGACGCTAACATTTCACACCATGCTATTCGTTTCTGTCATCAGCACGGCTGTATCAGCGAACCTTTACAAAGTCATATCGTATGTTTTATGAAATGAGGCTTGTGATACTTTGATCTTCCCTCTTTGAGTCCGATCAAGATCAAATAATCTCGCTGTTGCAGCCTTGCCAGCACATCTCCCCCTTCTTCGTTCTTCAACGCTGCTCTCAGCTCCCCGGCTTTGAACACGACCAGAATCAAGCTTCTCATTGACTACCTGCACGATCACAGCTCTAGCAGTGAAATGATCAAAGGCTCTTTATGTCTCTTCTCAAGTGAAGGAAGGTTGTACTTTGATCTAAAATAGTTCGTGCGTGGTTTGCGATCTTGCCATATCGCCGCTGGGCTCTCTTACTAAGATCCTAGACCGACCCTGATATGTAGGCGAGTGATCGAGCATGCACACAGCTCACGTTTGTGGTGGAGTTGTCGAGAAATTCATAATAATGAAGCATCATTGCGGAGGCTTAAGAAAGACATAACAGCGCTATCCTCCTTACGGAATTGACCAGCCTCTACCGTTGGAGGCCGGCTGAAATTCCAAGATGCGCTAATGTCAGACGATCGATTGACGTGCGCTATCCTTCTTTCGCTCATTTCTCATGTCTGGCATCGAAAATTGAGATCAGACGAATGCCTCGTGCGTACGGGCACTAGGGTAGAGTAAGGGTTTACCCTTGTCTTCAAGTTAGACTGCGTTAGGGACCGGTGTCGACTCACTGAGTAGTAGGTTAGTAAAGGGGCTCGGTCTCTTACCCTTTGGCACGAAGCTTCAGCAAGGTTCTCCGGTCGACGATGATGAGGTTTGCACCAGTCACCACCCTGATATCTGCTCCCAGGAGTAAGAAAGAGCCAGTCCTACAGTCGTGTGCAATGTGTGATACCTCGAATGCCACTTCCGATGCCGGGAATCACCTCTTGGGCTTTCAGTCTTCTCGATCGTCGATTCACTGGCATTCATTGTTCCGTTGGACGGACTGTACGACACAAATGTCGTACAGTATGCATTGTTTACTGTGTCTTTGGGGACAATGACACTGTGTAACACAAAGCACCTTCGTCTTTTGCCTATATTTCAGGGCCTTCTTCTCCAAACATCGTCCAATCGCAGGACCTACTACCTCATGCAAATCCAACCCCTACTTCTCCTCACTAGTATTCTGGGAACGTCTTGAGCTCTGCCCGCCGTGTCCAACATGTTATCGCGACTCCTCGATCTGCCATTCGAGCTGCGGGAACAAGTGTACAGCCACGTTATCGAAACCCACGAAGATCGCGTCATAAGACCTTTCAGACATTATAGATCTGACAATTGGCCACGCTGCCCAAATTATTACATACGAAATGCATGGCCACTTTTACTAGTATGCCGAGGGATGACCAGCCAAGTTACCAGATACCTCTACAGTTCCTTCAGCTTCTACTTCAGTGATCATGGGCATCCACTCAGGAAAGAAGAAGAGCATCTCCAACAGGATCTGACCAAGTATTGCGATTGGTGCACGGACTATTTCCGAATCAAGAGCCTGGGTGGGACAAGATACAAAGAACATTGGTCTCAATGCTGGCAAATGGATTTCGCCAAGGAGAAACACATTGACAAAGTACCGCCTAGCGACCTCCTCGAAATGAAAGAATGGCTCGATCAGATCGGGCCTCAAAATCGCTCTTATGTCAAGAAATTGAGCCTGCTGATTGCATTCAGGGACACCACAAGATTTCCGCCGCCCCAGAGAGTCAGAGCCAGCCGTCAAGACTGGGTTAAGCCGGTGCGCTGCAACGGAACGTACTTGCTGCAGAATCTCAGATACTTGTCCGATCACGTTTCGAATCTAACGGAGATCAAAATCCTGATTGATCACGAAGAGGTTCAAGGGTACTCCCGATTCAAGAATCAGGAACGCGATAGGTATGACACAGTCGACAATCTCTATAATATCACGAGGCCAGGGTCTCGTCTTCGAACGGCGTTGTGCAAAATCAAGAGCCTTCGGAAGCTTGGATTCCAGGAGATGCCACCAGAATACTTTGACAGCCTGGATCCGTACGTGTGGAATGCATGGATGTCAGTCTCTGACGTAAGAAAAGACATTGCCGACGTCGAGAGCATCATATCTGGCAGATTGACATAAATATCGCACCTTCCTCATGAGACAGAGAGCATGGGAAATCTTCATAATGATTCGATAACTAGACCAATAATAGGTTGGAGTGCAACAGACACTTAAGCGTTCAGGATTCTGCTTTGCAATTAACTACCCATAGACTAAGTCAAGCAGAGTCTTCCTTCGTCTTTACTTGGTTGAATATCATAGTCATGATATGTCTCAAAATCTAGCTGCATTACAAAGACTGCCTGAGCGGGAGCTTCACGCATCATCTTTATCGTATTCGGGCTCATAATGCTCATAATATATTCTCAAAGTTCTCCCGCGCAAGTCGGCACGCTTTCACCACCATAACCCATTGAGACGTATAAATCTAGCTCATTAACCTTCCAACACACGCACCCCTCAAATCGCCCAGCAGACACCAAGTGAAACGACATACAACAAAGTCGTGAACAACCCAAACGTCACCTTCGCGTCCCCAAGCTTGTCCGCTACATCAATACGATGCCCCTTCGCATCCTTTTCAATCCATGTTTGCAGGCAAAAGCTCTGTGTAGTCTCATATCTCCCGGGAAGGCGGTACCTGGCGCCGTTCCAATCGCATAAATACCAGATGACCTCCTGTACGATCCAGCCGATCGCTAAAAGGAGATGTGTCAAGGTGCAGTAATAGCGATTGAGGCGTCGGAGGTAGATGAGGAGGATTTCTAGAGTAGCGGCGAGGATGGACAAGACGGGGAGGGTACCAGCGTAGAAGATAAGATGTCTGGATGATCTGTTAGCCTGCTGACTTGGACGTGAAGGAGAAACGAGAGTAACGGATGGGGTAGAGATGCCGGTATGCAAACTTACGTCTTCGACCACCTGTGATGAAGAATGATGGGCGCCGTGTAGAGGTGTGCAGCATATGGCGCGCTGAGACTCAGAGTAATGGCGGAGAAGAGGATCAGAATAGCGAACGCGAGAGCGACTATGATATCCACGGGCTCGAGTTGTCTGGAGAATGTTGTTGGCATTGCGAAGTCCTTTGAATGTGAATTTTCGTGAAAGAACGGGGTAGTAGAAGAAGAAAGAGGAATGACGGAAGTGTGTTGGAGCAAGCTATAACAAAGAGCGGAGGAAAATGTCGTTGGGCCTTTGCTTTGTTTGAGTATGCTTCGCGGCACGGCGTCTTTGCGATGCTAGAGGTGGACTGCTGTTGTTTCAAGATTGCGTGGAGTATCATCGAAGTTCGAAATGAATTGGTGGATGACTTGAGCCAGTCACCAAGGAATGCCGTTGACATTGGAGGCTATATGGAAAAGTGCACGCTGAAAGATGGTTGATGTAGGAGTAGTTAATTCGCCTGTTGAAGCCATGCATTAGAACAAGATCCGAGTAGGTTTTCTCCAAGATCTAACGTCAACTAGCTAGGAACTCTCTATGGAAACAATCCAGAGCCGGACTTTATTTCGCACGCCTTTCCGTCAACAGAATGTGCAAGCGACCAACCATATCGCTCACTACATTTCTGTACCACCACACTCAAACCCTCTCTCCTCCCCTCCACCATCGAAGACCTCGCCACTGAGCTCCTCCAGACAATCATCGACCATACCTCCTCATTTTCGCCCAACGCGCTAGTAGACCAATTCAACCTATCCACACCAACCACCGACCCCGCACCATCGTCGTCCCATTCCTATCCCATCAAATCCACCTCCTCATCTCCCTCTCACTCGTTTCAGAGCCCCTCACCCCGCTAGTCAGGTGCCCAAAGCCAGTGAGTACCTGAGAGACAATCTTCTCATGGAGGTATGACGACACACATCGAGACTGGAGCGTATTGAACTTGTGACACATTCATCAACACGTAACCTCCTACTCAGTTAACTACATAGGAGCTCGGCACGAATTTTGATGTGTCCAACGTCAATTGTACAACGCGGGACTCTGGTTTACCTGATCCGTCACTTACTACGTTCACTACCTCACATCGAACCATATCTTTTCATCAACCCCAGAGTCTTCATCTACGGGCACTAGAGGCTGAAGTTGCTTTTGTGGCTTCCAGATGAGCATGACCTCAAGCTTCTTGCAGCTACCGTTTGAGCTGCGTCAGCAAATCTACCGCTACGCGTTCGATCCGAAGGATGACTCCATTAAGCCTTTGAAAGCCAGAACTCGCAACGTATCTCAATCTATCAAGGCTTTACAGTCTACAAGTCAAGAAAGACAAGACGGATGGCAAATTCCTGGCTATCCAGTCTCCAGCGTTCCGGCTTTGCTTCAAACATGCCAGCAGGTGTACGACGAAGCGATCAAAATCTTGTATGGCGGCTATATTTTCGTCTTCAGCAATAGTGACGAAACTGGAACTAACAATTCTGTCCTACTCGGTTTCCCTGCTATGACGGACGGGTGCGATGAGTGCAAGGGCTTTGGAAACCAAGCTCACCCTTGGATGCTGGGCATTCATAGTCCAGCATTGCCGCTAGACCACAAGAAGACCTTGGGGTGGATTCCTTATTCTGATTTTACGTACATGATCCACTGGCTGGAGATTATTGGAACACACAATCGCACTCTAATACGTAAGGTTCGACTCCAAATTACTGAGGATGTGTATCCCGAATCTAGATGGCATTGGGATACATTACAAATGGCACAGCTACCCACCACTTGCTTTGGCGGCAACATGGTTGCAGGTATTCTTAGCTATCTGGATAGATTCCTGGAGATCCACGAACTCTCTTTCTTCTGTGATACGCCCCCTGGTGAGTCAGCGATACGTGGACAGGCGCGACGTATCAAAGCCATGAAGAACATATTTGTAGCTCCGTCACCTTCTCGGAACGTCATTTTAAAGATGAAGAGCCTAAAGCGACTTCTATTGCAAGACTCTCCTCCCATTCCCCTCGAAATCTCAAACCTTCGCCTCAAAGGGTATAGAGATGAGCTTTTGCAAGACTATTCAGACATACGAAAGGCGTTCATGGAAATGGGAGGCGAGATTCTTCCATCTTTGAGGCATACGGGCATCCAAAAGGTAGAACCTCAAAAGAAGATTGAGGTTGAATTTGACGCAAGCTGAGACGATGCTGCTCAGCGACGAGAGCAACATAACGCAGGTCTGCGGAGGAACATGGTGTGATGGCCAAATTGCATGTTTTGTTCGAGACTTGAATAATCGAAAGAGTCATCAGGCGTGAATTCTAAGTAGCAAAACTCCTGCCGTCCTACTGGCCCCGTAACACTGCGTTGTGACTGAATTACATCCGTGTGATCGATTTAGCATTCATCGGATTACCGCTTACAATGAGTGAGAATTTGCCACTTTGTAATACGTCATGCCGCAATGGAGCATTCAGCTGCGTAGCTGACGGTCCCCGTCAACTTTCTAGCCGTCTAATTACTTTGGTTGCAACGTAGCCATGGCTTCGACTCTCCTGCAGCTCCCTCTGGAACTACGTCAACGAATCTACCACTACGCCTTCGGGATTGAGAATAACTCCATCAAACCGATAAAACCGAGGAGTCACAACAAGAGACGCGAATGGTTAAGATCCACGTACCCCCTCTTCAGCGCTGTGTCTCTGCTCCAAACAAGTCGGCAGGTCTACGAAGAAAGCACAAGCATCCTCTACGGCGACTACTCTTTTGTCTTCGATGACATTCACGATCCTGAGACCGAAGGCTCCAAGACTGACACTCATATCATAGTCAGGGAGCCTGAAGAGAGTAGTACATGCGATGACTGCGAGATCTACAGGCGCAAAGGGGACCGCCCCTACGTTCCTGCCCTTCATTTCTCTGTGAACTTCGAGCCACCTGATTTGCAAGGTTACATACATCTGCCTCGTTGTGATATTACAGAAATCACCGATTGGCTGGAACAAATAGGGACGCGCAACCGATCTCTGATTCGCAGAGTTCACTTCAAAATCATCGAGGGCATATACGATGTACCTTTACCTCACGAAATCTACGTGGAAATGGCAAGGCTTCAGGGACGAGAAAATACACGATGTCTCGGCGGCAATCCAATTGCGGCAGCCCTTCATTACTTCGACGAGCACCTTGAAGTAAGAGAAATCGAGTTTTCGTGTGACCCCCTACCTGATGATACTCCGAACCCTCCATACGCACGGGATTGGTACGACAGACGTTCAGAAAGAGTCATTGTCGCTATGCAAAATCTTTTCGATGAGTCGTCTGCCACTCGAGATATCATTTCAAGCATGAAGAGTCTGAAGAAGCTTGTGTGGAAAGACTTTCCGCCTGACATGGAAAAGGTGATGCGGAGTATACATGAGGCTGCGCCGTGCTACTTTCCGAGGACGGAGGATCTGATAGGGCAGATACCTGGCATAAGAAAGGCTTTTGCAGAGCTCGGAGGTCAAATAAAGTGAAGTCGCTTCCAGGATGCGCAGCTAAAAGGAGATGACCCTGGGGTTCAGCAAGAGTGAGCTGGTGTGCATTCAAGAAGAGCAATTTTTGACTGCCGAATTAGGGAGTGTGCAACATCTTGACATGAATCTAATAACCCTTTGTCGAATCCCTGCTGAGTTCTACCTTCATCGATTCACGACTTCAATTGCTTACATCATTATACACCGCCTGCAATTTCAGTGCTCGGCGGATTGCCGCATATGAACAAAGGAACCTTGCCACTCTCTTAGTACATCATCCCATGACGAGCTATACAGCTTGACATTCCCCGTCCATCCTTGAAAAAGATTGCATGCAAGTCTTTTGCCCTGGCCTCCAAACTTGTTGGCAGGGTCTTTCGCTAGGCACAAAGGTGACATATTCTTGATACCCTCATGCAATTATAAATACATATATGCAGTCCACTTCATTCAACTGGACTATAGCTTCTGTCGCCCCATCCGAAGGGCTTGAATGGGCTTTCACGGCACGTCGCAACATTAAAATAATGAGAACAAGTCCAAGGGTTCAGCTTGTACTCGTTTGTTCCCACACGTCTACTGATGAGATTCCTGGTCGTCTCGAGTAGCTTGTCGCAGGCGGAAGCACCCTTACTGCGTGCCACAAACTATAGAGCCAAGATGTGGTGTCAAGAGCTATGTATCACGGTTGTCGTTAGGCAGACACGTTCGCGAAGTTTCACGCATTGTTGCCTAGTTTGATTGTGAGGTATCACAAGGGAATGTGGGGCTGGTACCAATGGGAAAGTTTGAATGCCATACCGAATTAGGCTGGCCATGTCATTGTACCCTACACAACAAAGTCATTGTACGACACAAAGGTTGGGGCGCATTATGTCCCGAGAGGATTTAATTCGGCTACCCTTCATCGTACTTTTGCCATCCTTCAGCATCGGCCTCATAGAATCGCAGTATCACTCCCCTGGCTCCGACAATCATTATCCTACGGCTTTCAGATCAACTTATCTTCGGTGTCGCGGAGATTTGAAAAATGAAGGTAATCAATCACCGACGTAATGCCGTACTCTGGAAGTTTCCCTTTCTCGACTTTCCCTTAGAGGTGCGCGACATCATTTACAAGTATGCTTTCGATGCTGAGGAAGGAACCATCAGCCCATTTCAGACCATGCCTCACCATTGGCCCAGCAGGAGCATAGAGAATCGACGCCTATATCCGGCCAGCACGGTGGTCGCTTTACTCCTCACCTGCCGGCAAATCTATGACGAAGCAACTAGGGTTCTTTATGGTGATCACACTTTTACTTCGACGACGATGTAGAAGGTTATCACCAGAGAGATCCATACCCCTGCGCTGAGATTGATGTCTCATCTATATGCTGGTTTTGTCATCACACAAGAGAGAACGAAGCTGAAGCACGTCGTACTGGGTATAATCCATACGAGTGCTGGTCAGTAATGCCTGGTAGAGGACACACCATGAGGCTCGACCTCTGTCCCATGATTGACTTGCCACGCTGGATGGACCAGATTGGGCCGCGAAATCGCTCGATGGTGCAGAGAATAAGATTCAATATAACTGGCAACAAATATACGCACCAAATTCCTCCATGGACGGAGTATGATATTGGGCACAAACAAAAGCCAGGGCGGGTATTTGGTGGTACCCTGTTCGAAGCGAGCCTCAGTTACATCGCCAAATATCTCACTGTGAGAAATCTTCAGGTTACATTCGAGACTTTCAGACATAGAAGACTCAGATGCATGCGAGCAGCCTTTAACCGAGACGCGGAAACCATGATGGAGAGAAACATGGTGGACGAGGAATGGCTCATCGGTCATGAGGAGGCAAAAGACTGTGTTTATATGGATCTTGAATGGGGTAAAGTAGTGCTTGCACTAAGAGACACGTTCACGTCGCCGTCTCCTCTAAGAAAGGCGATCTGCAATATTCCAAGCCTCAAGGTTTTGGAATGGGGAACCCTGCCACAGGACATTGAAGACACGATCCACCGCTTGCGCGTCGAATGGGGGAATTATGTTCCTCATTGTGATCTTGATCTGGGCAAGGTGCATGAGCTTTTACCTCTACTTGGAGTTGCAGCCGACGAGCTTGTGGCGCAGATAAGAGCGAGGCAGAAAGGATCCGAATACTTGTCACAGCTTAGCAAGATGTTAGAATCTCCGAATACTTGCGAGTAAAAGAGCTGATCCTCGCTAGTCAACAATCGACACAACTTTGGGTCTCAATCAACGGCATCATGATTCTGGCTACGGTGCTCAATCATATCTCAGATTTCTTCGGAGGATTACTGTCGGCCTGTAGGTTTAGTGCGCACGCCCCGCACAAGACACATCATGAAGCGTTAGCATAGTGCGTAGTTCGAGCAAGTCTTCATCTGGTAGCATTAGCATTTTCGAATCATTGGCATATTTATTTGTTTCCGCTGCAATATTCGGTATCTAATGTATGAAAAAATCCATTTAATTCCACTAGCACAGCTTTCATTTCTAAAGAGCAGTCTTTGCGTCCTAATTATCACGATGTAGGGTCTTTCCTTGTCTAATAACTTGTGCTTCCCAAAACACGCTGCCCTTTCTTAGGCAGCTTACACCCAGATTCAGGGGTAATGTGCGATCCGATCTGACAGATAAGCGAGCCTTGGCGATCTGCCGGATCTGGGGCGCGTTACGTCATTACAGATCCTCCAGCCTTCGCGTGCCTTGTTCTGCATTGCGAAACCATCAATGCGTGTCTGCCAACGAAGCCTGCACACCATTGCTACAGCTCATACGTTTCTGTCCACGCCTTCAAAAATTCCTCTGCAGTCTCAATTGCCCATCGTCGCCCGGGCTCGCTTCCCATCGAGTCATCGGCACCCTTTCGCCACCCGTACGCAATCTTCGAAGACATCAAGCCAATCCTCCACCACGATGTCAAAACGTGACCAGCCAGACCATCCCGAGTTGAAACATCCTTCAACAAAACGGGCCAAAGAGATAGACGCGAACCTGCCCTATGACATCTTGCGCGAGAAATTGGAAGGTCAGGACAAGAAAGATGAAGTGACCGTGGTTGCCCATTGGTTCAGGAGCAAGGATCTTCGTATACAGGACAATAAAGCGCTCTATGCAGCTGCTACCCTAGCCAAAGACCAAGGGAAGCCACTTGTTGGGCTATATGTCTTCTGCGGTGCCGAGTTCGAGTGGCATGGGACCAGTCCTGCTCGGACGGACTTCATCATAGAGAACCTACGATTGATGCAGGAGGAGCTGAAAGAGTTGAATATACCACTGGTGGTAGCAAATGCAGAAGAGCGCAAAGACATTGTACCTACTGCTGTCAAATTTATGACCGACAATTCAGTCTCTCATGTGTTTGGCGACTATGAGTACGAGGTCGACGAATTGCGACGTGATACCAAATTCATCAAGGAAATTGGTGACAAGGCCTTGTTTTCTCTTCACCATGATCAAACAGTCGTCGAGCCTGGGACAATGACCAACAATCAAGGCGGTCCCATGAGAGTCTTCACTCCGTATCACAAAGTCTGGCTCGCCGTTGTCAAAGACTCACCCGATCTCATTGACACGGTCCCCGTCCCCGAAAAGGTCGACCAAAAGCTTTCAAAAGAAGTCTCCTCCCTCTTCGGCAGTAAACTCCCCACCGCACCCAAAAACAAAGAATTCGCCTCCACCGCCGAACGCGATCGAATCCGTAAACTCTGGCCCGCCGGCCACACCGCCGGTCTCCAACGCATGGACACCTTCATCAAAAAGCACCTGGATGACTACGCCGCCACGCGCTCGAATCCCGCCAAAGACTCCACCTCGCGCATGTCCCCCTACTTCTCCGCCGGCGTCGTCTCCATGCGTGAAGCCCTTTCCGCCATCCGCGAGAAAGCCAATTCTGGCAGCGCGGATTTCAGCAGCAATGGTTCCGACCCGGGTGTCGCCGGCTGGGTACGTGAAATTGTGTTTCGCGAGCTGTACCGGCAAACGACGATGACCACGCCGCACACGGTGATGAATCTGCCACAGAATTTGAAGTTCGATTTTGTGAATTGGGAGGAAGATGAAGAGGGCTGGAAGAAGTGGTGTGAAGGCAAAACGGGCATGCCGCTTGTGGATGCGGGCATGAGGCAGATCAACCATGAGGCGTACATGCACAATCGCGCGCGCATGAATGTGAGCTCTTATTTGTATTGTAACCTCCTCATTGACTACCGGCGGGGAGAACGGTATTTTGCGGAACACCTCATTGATTGGGATCTTTCGAACAATACGCAGGGGTGGGAGCCGTCGTATACGGTTTTCAATCCGGTGAGTCAGGCGGAGAAGAATGATCCTGAGGGCAAGTATATCCGGAAATGGGTGCCGGAATTGAAGGGCGTAGAGGGAAAGGCGGTGTTTGATCCGGCGGGGAGGTTGGGGAAGAAGGAGTTTGAGAAGTTGGGGTATCCGAGGCCGCATGTGGATTGGAAGGAGACGAAGCAGAGGTGTATGGAGAGGTTCAAGAGTGATATGAAGGACGCTGAGCCTTGAATTTCATTGAGTGGTATGGGGTATTGTGATGTACATATGGTGCGGGTACAAAAGTTGGATGATGTTTATATGGGAGGTCTGTGATCTATGAGGCATATATGTTTGGCCGCGTTGGTTGAGGGAGGTATCGTCGTCAATGGGGTAGGGACATTCATTATCTTTTCATCACTCTTTTTCCATGCGCTTTCTTTCATAAGAGCCATTCCACTGAGCTTTCTATTCACGGTTGTGGTAAGCTCCAATCATCTTCCGCTAAGGAAGAGCATCAAATACTGAGGCGAGTGACCGTCTTGGCAACAGCTTCAGCTGGCCTACTTTGTGGACTGTCGAGCTTCGTTGGTAGCAGTCTGCCGACTCATGCATCATAAATTAGTAAGTGAACGCCCACTCCGCTCGACGACGCATTATTTATCTTCTACAAGCTTCACACCTTCAGTACAGTCATCTCTCACACCATCCACCTCGCACTACCACCGTGATATACCAATCTATCCCAATACTCCTTCAGTCCCCCTCTGCACTGGTACGAATTACCTCCTCACATCAAACTCCGTCACCAGCGCTTCTTCGGCCAATGAAAGTGATCACTTCACTGATATGTCGACGCAGCCGTCAGAGTGACGTTGTCACCTTAGCGCCAGACGCGATGGCGCTAGTAGTGTCATTTGCCTCTTGTTTACCTCTTCAACTTCTCTCTCTCACACTCCCCTGATCACCTCACTACCTACTTGCCTGCATCTACTATTTCCAACTCATCAGCCGCATCCATTCGTTCACGACTCATTTATCGCCACCTTGACTCACTTTCTTTCACTTGGTACGTCTGTTGACACCGTATGAAATGCCGCTGACATACGCAGAAGCTCTCCAATCTGGTAATCGGGGTGTTCAGCAGCCATCGCAAACGATGGTAGCTCCCCACCTACGACCACCTAAACCCCGCACCTTTGTTGCAGAACCGTCCCAACCGCTACCACAAACCCTAGATGGCGCCAGTGATCTGCCTGTGAAACCCACCGCTGTTAAGAAACTTAGCACGACAGAACTCGAAGATGAACAGCTTGAGGTGTTGCTCCAGCGCCAACTCAAGATTGTCGACGCCAACTCAGACGGTTCCTCAATATGTAGACCAGCATACGGGGCTAATGGGTCCCCAGTGGACCTGGACAGCAATCACTTTGTTCTCCATTTGACAGGCGACAGCGACCTTGAAGTCCACCGATACCATATTGAAATCACTTCAACGGACAACAAGATAGTTCGCGCGGATGAGTATTGTCAACTCGTCAGGATTTTCCTGGATGATCATATCTCAGCTCCTCTTTCGGAGACAATCGTCAGTGATTTCAGGTCCAATCTTTACTGCTTGACCAAGCCTGCGCCTAGTCAAGGTCAATGGCAAATAAAATACAAGAACGAGTACGAGCGGACACCGTCTGAAAAGGCTAAGACTTTCACCCTTAACTTAACATACGTGGCTACTTTACCTGTGAGCAAGTACTTACGATCCCTCGAGAACGTTGAGCTCCCTTTTGATGAAAACCTAAAAGAGGATATCAAGGCTTTTCTCAATATCTTTATTGACCACTACGCGAGGTCTCAGCCGCTGAAATTTGCCACATTTAAGTCTAGCTGCTTCGACTTAATAGCTGTAGCGAATCAGATGAAGCCTTCAGGAGGGCTTGAGATCCGGAAAGGCTATTTCGCAGCTTTGCGGGTAGCAGCTGGACGTTTTCTCGTCAACCTAAACCCTCGTACCAAAGTCTTCTATCGGGCAATATTTGTCGACGTCAGCATATCGGAGTGGGGTGAGGCACACACACCAGTCTTTTTTCTCAATGATGACGCGAAGAGGAGGCTTTCGCTTCAGCAATTTTTAGCTGGACTTCGCGTTGTGCCCGTTCAGGGGCAGCAAAGGTTTGATGGTATTGCTGACGATCATCCGCGAATCAAGAGCGTCTCTGGATTGGCGGATCCGACTGATGGCTACAGAAGTGTTGTAGATGATCAAGGAGTCAAAAGCCTCGAGCCTATTGAAGATTTTCCTCCTAGAGTTCGCACATTTGGCGCTGGCCCACAAGACGTGGAATTCTATGACAAAAAAGCAGGGGACTACATTTCAGTCTTGAATTACTTCAAGAAACGTAAGATCAACCTGCTTTTGGCGTTAGTTTCAAACGCTGACTTTCGTAGATTATCCAATTTTCGCACAAGAGCGCCTTCAAGATGTACAAATGCCGGTCATCAATGTCGGTAATAAAAGTCATCCGGTCTATCTGCCTTGTCAAGCGTGCTTCATTATTCCCGGCCAATCTTTTCCGGAACCATTGGTGAATTTGACAACTGAGCAGCAGCCTCATTTCACAAGGGCATCCGTGAGGCCTCCGGACGAGAACGCAAGATCGATAGTGGCTTCTGGCGCTTTAAGTGTGGGGCTTCGTTCGGATATAAATCCACGAATGGTACATCACCGCTGTTCTGTTATCCCATTACGTGCTCTGATGCTAATAAAGGCAGAAAACGTTTGGGTTAGAACTCGACAAGTCATTGGTACCAATCAAAGCAAGACGCCATGAGCCTCCTACCTTATATGGCGCTTACAAAAAGAATCCAAAAATGGGAGAAGGAGTATGGTCTATGTCAGGAGTCAAGTTCTTCAAGGGAGCGCAAATGAAACGCTGGAAGGTCTTGAGAATCCTGGAGGCCGGAGACAGTAATGCCACTACGAATAGTGTCCGACTAATCAACGACACGAAGCGTGTAGTTGTGACATTCAAGTCGAAGATGAACCAAATGGGGCTCGAAGTTCGCAGTGAACCCGTCGCCACATGCCTGTTACGTCCTCAAGAGACAACAAACTTAGGCCTGACCAACTGGTTCGACAAAGAAGTACGGGGCAAGGACCTGCATTTTCTCTTAGTCATCAAGACTACCGATGCGGCTCCGCTTTACAACCAAATCAAGCATCTTTGTGATCAAAGGTACGGAATACACAGTTCAATTATGACCTACGATACATTCTTCGGACCCAACCCTTCGGGTGCGATAGCGACCAATTCTCCAAAAATCAATTCAAAGCTGGGAGGAATCAATCTACAGCTGGAATCTGGGAGCCTCGATTTCATTGAAACGGACACTATGGTCGTGGGTCTTGATGTCACCCACCCGCCTCAAGATGCCAATAACACGAAGCCATCGAATCGTCCATTGATTGCCGCAATGGTAGCAAGTATTGAGCCCAATCTCGCGCAGTGGCGAACTGAATTGAGGGTGCAGGGAGCAGCCAAGACACTCAAAGGTGGAGCAGTCGAAATGGCGACTCTAAATGTAAGGAGCATGTTTGTCAATTTTCTTACCATCTACGAACGACACAACAAGACTCTACCAAAGCGAATTCTGATATATCGTGATGGGCTGGGCGTCGGCCAACTCGACGAGGTCGTGCACGAAGAATTGCGTGAAATGCAGAATGGATGTCCAGTCAAATATCAACCCGGAGCGCTACCACAATTCACCCTCGTCCTCTGCACAAAGCGCCACAACGTCCGCGCCTACGACAAGATCTCCAAACCCGGCAAATTAGATAGCCCTGGTGCCGACAATTTCACCTACATAAACCCCAAGAACGGCACTGTCATTGACCGTGACATCGTAGAGACTCAGCGCTGGAACTGCTGGATGCAAACCCACCGCGCCATCAGTTCTAAGAGCACTGCACGCCCTGGCTCCTACGAGATCCTTTACGATGAGATCTTGCGCCCTCTAGCTAGAGACGGCATGAACGCGCAAGACTTGTTCGAGAAAGTGACGAATAATATGTGCTACCTTTTCCCCCGATCCACCACCGCTGTTAGCATCCCGCCCGCCACTTACCTGGCGCATCTGGCTTGTGCGAGAGCAAAGCTCTATCTGGATGTCAAGTGGAATATATCGCTCGTGCCACCGGCGGACACTTACCCCCCGCTCATCAAGGGAGGTAACAAGGGAAAGGGGACAGGGAGTAGCGTTCTGGTGGACAGGGCTAGGGCAAGATTGGATGCGTGGTACCAGAGCACTGTTCAGCCGGCCATTGAAGTGCATGATGCGCTGAAGGGGAGTATGTGGTATTTGTGATATAAAGCACGACTAGAGATATGGAGAAGAGAAAATGGAGGAGATAGGACATCGTGACAGAGTTGGAGATATGAGAGCTCACTGATTTGGCTTATGTTGATTGATGGCCGTGGTCTGGATTCTATGGAAGAGGAGGGGGGTGGTAATCATGATTAAGTGCTTGATAAGCTGGCATATAGGTAATGCAATACCCGTTCCTTATGACTTGCAGCACCAGAGCGCCTTCCTACTTCAATGAGGTGCGTGTAGATGTGAGCGACGACCAATGTGTTTTAAAAGGTCGATAGCGCGTGATCGCCTTCCTCCTCAATCGTCCTGGGCGGTCTCAATGTTCTTTCCGAATACCACCTTCGTCCCTTGTACTTTCCTCATTGTCTACCTGCTCTGGCCCCCAACCATCCCCTTGACTGCCTCTATAGTATTCACTTCTGCAAGCCTCTTACTCCTGAAATTCTTTTCCCTTTCTTTTCACTGCACCCATTCTCTTCCCCTCGTATACGACTGCCTCGTTTCTTTTCTCCAATTCTCCACGCTCCCAATTCTCATCTATCCTCATCTCGTCCTCCCCTTCTATAACGTCCCGTCCACTTTATTTCCCCTATTCCCTCCACCCTCTCTTTTACTCCCTCCCATTCATCTCAACATCACGACCCCCCCCTCTCTACCCCTCCATCTCCTCCTCCCCTATTCCCTTCCTCCTCTCCTACCCCACCTCATTACCCCCCCCCTTCATCCCCTTCATCCTCTTCATCCCCCCCAACCTCAACCCTAACCCACCCCCTCTCCCCACCCGCAACTCTGCCCCCCCTCCCCACTGTTTTGCCCCCGCCATACGTCCACGGACACCGCCCTATGATCTGTCGCGCGGCTTCGGCTATCGCGTTCCAGGTGCTGTGGTCGGATGTTGGATCGTCGTCTTTCAGTGCTGGTGCTGATGAGGGTGGGGAAAGAGTGGTGTTTGCATCGGATGCTCTTTTCTGGATTGTGGTGGAGGAGATGGAGAGAGGGTTGGGGGAGATTGAGGAGGGGGAGGAAGAATTGGTGAGGGAAGAGATGGCAGGGACGGGGGAGGAGGTAAGAATGGACTCGCCCTGCCACGTCAGTCTCACGATGCAGTTCCCCTCTTTCATCTGGATGGGTAGGGTGATGCTTGGTGCTAAATATCCCACACGTCAGCATTGTATTCTTATCCTCAACCCCCCTCAATCCTACCCCGAATCCCTGCATCACTCTGCCCCTCCCCTTCTTTTCTTCCTTCTCAAACCTCATATCCACTGCCCTGCATATCAAAATTCCGTTCCCGCCCCTCCTCCATTTCCTACCTCCCCGCTATACTAAGCAAATCAAGAACAAGACAAGGCAAATGAAACTGACTCACATAAGCGCCGCTTTATCGGCGAAAACTCCAAAACCTCCTCCGGCTTATCGACCTCACAAATCTTGCGGATCAGATCAGTGCAGTCGAAGAGGTTCGCGGGCGGGTGAGAAGAAGAGTGGGGGTAGCAGCCTATTGGTTTTTCTGGTATCTGAAGTGATAGTATGGCAAGGGGTACTGGTAGTTCGGAGGGTGAGATAGAGGGGGAAAGTAGAGTTACGGAGGAGACGCGGGTCAAGGAAGCCGGAAGGTTGGTGGGTGAGTTGGTGAGAGCAGAGGGAATGGTCGGCGCTGCGACGGTTGTGGTGATGAGGTAAGTGAGGAGGGCGAGGACTAGTAAGAAGGCTTTAGGAGCTGTGAAGAGGGTGCAGGTGGGAGCGCAACGCGTTTGTTTGGTCGTAGTGAGCGAACAGAGGATGAGGAGGAATGGGAGGTAAGCGTATGGGAGGGCTTCATGATCGCTGGAGAAGGGCGCCGTCGTCGTTGTGAGTACTACTTCTTCCGAAATATTGAGAAGGCACATGGAATGAAAAGACCGAAGGACGTGAGTCGCATGGGGGGGATGTATGGAGAGCCGAGCTAGTGGGCATGGTGGAGAAGGTTCTATGCTTGAGACTCGGAACAGACACACGAGTTTGTGAGAGAGATTATCGACGTGTTTCGGGTAAGAGCTGCTGCTGCGCTTGTGCACGTCATGAGGTGGAAGAGGAGGAAAATGAGAGGCGCGTTTCGAGGAGGGGAGGGGGTTGGGCACGTGATGCGGCGTGCAGGTACGTCGGTGTCTTTTGGAGATCTTGAGACCAGAGAGACTTATGGCTCAATTTGTATTTGCATTGCATGCTGTACTCGTGATGCTGAATGTATGAATGCTCTTGCAAACCAGGGGAAGCGTAATATTTCAATACTGATATTGTGTTTTGTAATTAATCTGCTAGTTCAATTCCTCAGGATGTTGGGACAGTGAAGTCGCCGCTGCTGCTTGTTGTCATTTGGTAGCACAATGACGACTCACATTTCCTGCACTCTCTCGTTCAGCTTCGCAGACGTCGCCACTTGTAAGTATATGGCTGTCGGAAAGTCAAGCATTGGAGAACGCCAGGAAATACCTAGCTTCATACAATGCTACGCTTCCAACAAACCGCGAATCTTACCTGGACGTCCATCTACGCATTCTCTCGACGAACCTCGTACCCTCTTGGCCTCTGCGCAGGACGTGGGCAGAATATTGGACTGGAGGTCTGACGAGGCGAGGAAGACATTCGCTGCGTTGAACATCCACCTTGGCAACGGTATTGCCCTGCTGAGTGCAAGCGCTCTATCACGACGATTTTCAGTGGCGTACAAGGAACGATGGAGGAGGCAGATGATCTGTGCAGGTGCATTGGCTGATTAAGGGACAGAGTGGTTCGTCAAAGTGGATGACTGTGCGGCCTTGAGCCACTGAATCATGGGGCAACGAGAGAGGTAAGAGAGATTGACATGCAGGTGGGACAAGGAGACGACGGGATCGAGAGCATTCATTCTGAAAAAGGAAACACCGATGACCAGGATGGTCAACGAATGGATATTTGCAGCCGCAGTCTGTGAGTTGGGTCTATTGATTGATTTCTTCGGAGAAGGACAAAGACTGACCTTTTATCTTCAACTTACAGAGGGTCAAAGAAGGGACGTTGAGGACTTCGAACTCCGACGCTTTTACCGCACTGCCACCAAGGGATGACCACCTCACAGACCCTCCCTTCAACCGGTTCGATTCCTGTATCAAGCAAGGCCGACGATTTCCTGTGCATGTGAAAGACAGAAAAGTAGAAATATTGCCGTACAACAAAAGGCCCTCTGTCTCTCGGAGGCAACAATCTCCAAAGCATGAGCTTGTCATTGAGTCCAATGAGGCAAGAGCCACCGAGCCTTTCGACGCGAACGAATTGTTACCGTGGACAAAGTATGGAACCAACCGAGTCTTTGCGACTGCGCACAAAGCAAGGCGCGGAGTTCGGAGGATTTATCATCAAGCTCGCACATCTCCATTTGCGGACTGTTTTCAAGCTCGTCGCCTCCGAGCATGATACCACGGCCAGAATGCTGGTCGGGAGTATTAAGTGATGCTGCCGAGACCTGAAGTCCCGGCTTAAATTGACCACGCAAATCAATCTGAACAAGAGCGTTGACAAAGATATTGAATTTGGGCTGAGCACCGGAACTATGCTGGGCGAGTCAAAATTTAAGACCGTCCAAAGTTGGTATATTGGCCGCTACCGTCAAGATACTATCGTGTCCGGTTGGAACAACGATTCTGTGTCGAACTGAGACGCATGCGGCTATCCAGTCAAAGCGGGCTGAGATGTCTCTGTCATGTCTTTGTGGGACCGTTGGTCGGGTTGAATCCGTACACGCGCATGAGACAATGTCCGCTGAACTCTTGGTAGAAGCGCGGAGTGTTTCTGCGCACAGTCAGATACTGCTTTGAAGATTGAAAGTCGGAGCTTTTGACTTGCTCTAAGTTCTCATTGGTCTTCGTATGTTTATGTTACTAAATCCAGCGCCCTGCATCCCATTATTCCCGGGACGCCGTGCTGCCTGCTATTTACTGTACCCCAAGTCTCATGATGTCGCGACACTCGAAGGTAGCACCACCGCAGGTTGCTGGCTTGTCGCAGCTGTTGAATTACCAGCTGTCGCAGTAGGTGCATTATCTGCGGTGTTGCAGATTTTGCCTTCAAGTAAGGTGTAGGATAGACAGCCAGCTCCTACGACTTGCCAATCGGTGTCTCCTGCCGTGCGAACGTGGATTGTCAATCGAGATTCAACCAAGCTGTTTTTATCAAATGTCTGTTGCAGCAATGCCAATGTTTTAGCCAACACGCTCAGAGTGAATTCATTCGTTGCCTTCCCTGGCTGCCAGAAATTAAGACGGAAGTCTGAGGGCCAGAGTGACGCTGCGCGAAAGCCAGGCTTGTTGAACGATGAGTCTCGTGGCAGTTGATGGTCTCCTCCCTCTTCCTTTATCAGAGGAATCATCATCCACATCATTTGCACGGCCGCGTCTGCAAAGTTCCAATGCTGTACTGGAACGCCGTTTGCGTCATTCGTCACGTCGATTTTGACGCCTACCGCGTCGCTCAGGATAGTCCAGGATTCACTTTTCGTTGATCCGACCTGAGGTTGGTTCGTTACAGGGGCCGCAAGCTCGTATGGTTGTGTATTGGTCGATTGCATTTGGGTTCCATCAGAGCAGTCATAAGCTAAGCATCCTTCGGCAAAAATGGGCTGGTCATCTTTGGTCAAATCGAACACACCATAGATCGTCTCCTCGACCGTCATCAGATGTGTCATCTCCTGGAAACCTTTGAAGATGTCTGCGACTGTTTGGAGATTTGCGACGTCCGCAGCTTTTTCATCTGAGCCAAGTACAAATTCCAGCAGCGAGGGTGGGTAGTTCTTCTCAAATCCTCCTACTCTCTTTTCGACATCTGGCAATATGAGGGAGCCTTTTCCAGCTATAGTAAGAGCTACCACATCCGACAATCCAATGACAGTCATGTTGTACACCATTTCCGGCAATATACCTGCTGAGCTGCCATGGTGTGTAAATACTATCTTGATATTGGTGCCGCTCGGCTGGTAAGAGAACGGATTCTCTTGGAATTGCGCTTCCCATGACTGGGCGTTGTTAGGACTACGTGATTGTACAATCAGTATTTGTAATGGCTTTTGTAGGACCTAGATTTACTCTTTTTGGACATCCTGATTCCCAGGAGCAGTCAGGGCTTTAACAGTCGTGGCATCCGAGGTATTTGCTGTGCTGCCATTGCGACCCAAGAGAAGATGGCTAGCTGGCAGGGCGAGGACGTGGGAGAAGCTGAGCAGTGATAGAGCAACACAATTTTGCAGTACCGCGGTGGCCAACATCATTACTCGTAGGAGGTGAAGAGGTTCACAATCCTGAACTGGCAGTTGAAGCCGGATAGATAAAGGGACCTGCACAAGGTCCAAGTCAGTGGCTATGTCTAGAGCTAGCAAAATAGCAATCTGATGCGCGGCTGAGGGTGGACGGACCTATTAAGACGTGGGATCCCAAAGGCGCCATGCGCCGTTGGCGAAGCGTAGATGCGCGACACAAGATAATGCTCCAAGCTTTGAATTTCTATCGCGTTATGAATACCAACAGACGACTGCAGGCAGAATAGTCTCGAATGGTCTCGGAGTGCAGCCAAATCGAGTTCAGCTATAGGTGAGCGGCGGAATTCTTTAGTCAAAATAAACGGACTTTGCTTTGTGTGCACATATTTTCCCAGAATTACTCTTGAGTACAATTGTAGGATCATTCTTGCTGGCTTTGAACGATTTTCCCTCGACGCTTTTGCTCTCGCGTGTTATTTCAACGACGGTACCTTCGACCCAGCCCGGCATTGATCTCCAAGTCACTGTCTGATCTTTCTTTGGCAAGCGATCGTTGGTAGCTTGCTTGGCTGGAGGCGTGGCCTTGTCATGCTTCGATCCCATCGTTTCCGGCTCTTTTGCTTTTCCGCTGTTGCTCTTCTGCTTTTTCGTGGCACCCTTGGCTGCACCTCTACCACGCTTCAGGCCAGTCTTAGGCTTGGACTCGTCTTTCTTTTCTTCATCCTCATCGGCCGAAGCTGCTTCGTCATTACCATTAGCTTTCTGCTTCTCGTCTTCCTTCTTCTCCTCGTAAGCAGCAGCTTCCTCCTCATTGGTCTTCTTCCTTGAGCCCTTGGCTTTGGTTGTGTTGCCAACAAACTGTTTGCCCTTTTGACTACCTGCTAATTTCTTATCTTCGGTCTCTTTCTTCTCTTGACCATCCATCTGCTCCCAGGCCTTCTTGGGAAGATAACGTTGCTGCGTGCCATCTTCGTTTTTGGCATTGCCGCTACCTTCTTTGGTCTGCCATTCTTCCTCCGACCATTTGCTTAAATTCTTCTGAGAGTCATCTTGGTCCTTCTTCTCCGTAGTGTAGTTTCCGCCGCGTTTTTTGTACTCAGAGGCCATGAATTGAGCCTTGGTCAACAGTCAGCGGAGGCCAGCCATTGGGGGCGAGAAGGCGCAAACCTTGCGGGCTGACCACTGTCCTGGAGCACCGCCCTTGTCGCTTTCCTGGACATCCTTCTTGACCTGATCTCGGAGTTTTGGGTCTGTATAGTTCTTCTTTGGCGGCATATTGGTCTGAAAGGTGCGATTTGTCCTTAATGGTTGAGCAATAGAATTGCAGGTGTGCTGGAGAAGAGGGTTGACTCGAGAAGCTATACGGAATAGTGGACGCGACGGCAGTAGATGGGAAAGGCGCATGCGGCGACTCAGGGAGCTGAACCAGAGTAGTTGCCATTTTTAGATGAAGTCGAACGGGGTAGCTACCCCTGAAAGGTAATGCCTTGACATCATGACTTTCAATGGATCTTTTTTCATATGTATAGAGGCTGAAGCTAGGCCGAAAACGTCCAAGTCCAGAATGCCTTTCATTTGGCCCCCAATGCCGTTTGCTCCTTCCACTCCATGATTCGATTCATGTTCTCCTAGCTTGCAACGACGTAGGATTGGATCTGGCCGTCATTTGCTACACAAGAGCGAGGGTTGCTAGGATATCCATTGCCAAATGACAGACGCAGACGAAGTTGAAGAGACAGGTAACGAGCTTTCTTACCGCCCCTCGCCAGGCTCTACTAATTCAAGGTGCGGCTATCTCATTTAAAGTCATGAATCATTTGCTACAAATGCATACGTACAAATTCAATCTCTCCGTCACCTTCGTGTATCTACCGACCTGTCACCACGATATTCTACCTGCAAGCCAACAACAGCCTCCGCCGGACCTTACCTGCTCCTCTTAATAAGGCCGTCATTTGAGAGCCTCCATGTGGCTCTTGCCTGCTCAATGCAATGCGTAATTCTCGATATTCCATGCAGTATCTTTCTGCAGCCGGATTGAAACGGACCAAGCACACATCGTCTCCATCACTGTGCTTTTCAAAATTTCCTACTCTTCCTCGCTCGGAAATGTAGGAGAATCTCAGACCTTCTCCAGCATTACCTGCTCACGAACTTGTTTCAAGCCACGGCGGGCTACCTTCATGAGATCTTGACGCGGCCTCCCCTCTGTCCAATGTGTCCCCGGCATGTCTGTGCAGTCTGGGAAGTAGGTGAGATATTTCGTGCCAACGAGTCCAAATTCAAATGAGGTGAGGCCGCGGAACCTACCAAATGCTCTCTGCATGGACGTATTGGGTAAAAAGAGGTTGCGAAAAGCCTTTTGCGTAGATTGAATGATAAGCCCGGGGATTACGCTGTGTTGCACACCTTGATCTGTAAAAGGATTGTGTGGTTCGGCCATCGTGATTTTCAGCTTCTTCAAGTGACCTCCGTTCTTGGAAAGGAGAGCTACAGCCTTCTGTAGGTCAGCACCTGCCTGCGGGTCAAGGCCCTTGTCATGGTGATGAAAAGTCTCATTGAGACTACGGGCCTTGGTATACCGAGCGCCAATGAAATACATTTGCACCGAGCGGATCAGGTCTCGGTTACGTTGGCCTATTGCTTGAAGCCATTCGTGAATGCCTAGGTAATCACTTTGCAGGACCAAGATCTGGTGAGGACCCCTCTTGCACCTCCGGCAAGGATGTTGTGCTTCAACTCTGCGAGCCGCGCCGTACAGCTCGTCGTTGAAGTAGAATGTTGTGGTACTGTAAAGGACTTGGACCGCTTCTTCATGAATTTGTCTGTTTAGCAGAAGTATCGTGATGCTGACGTTCACGAAGAAAGCCTGCGAGCTGTATGGTCCCCTCAGATAACGCGGACGCGGACGCACACCTAGGGGATTGGGTCGGATTACTCCACGCTTTTCATATAGGTCGAAATATTCTTTGTAGATCATATCCCTGATTTCTCGTGGGAGGCTACCGAAGCGAAATGCCATCGTAGCTACGCACAAATGAAGGTACAGTGTTGGAATTGGTTGTTGTGTATTTTCCGTGACTGTTTTCACCCGCTGACCCGATCTTCGATGTCGTGATTCAGAAAGATGTAATCTGTGAGTACGTGCTACAGCTTTCAGCCTAAATGATTGTGCTCGATAGAGCCATGGGGGAGACTTGATATGATGTAAGGAAAGGAGAGGAAGAATTAGTGAGGTGGATGAGTCAAGCCGGTGTAGGGTGTTGCAGTTCTACTTTGATCATCAGTGTCTATTGGCTAGGCCACTTATCGAAAACTTTTGCTGCCCCCAGCCTTTCATTTCTAGTCTCGAGAAAGCTAGGATCTATGGCAGAGAAACGCAGGGCTACAGTCTCCTCGGTGTCAATACAGGTACCTGTCTGTGCCCTCATCGTTGTCACAATTCTTCTCTTCAATTTTCATGGCCATGAATACTGGTAACTCGCAAGATTATCCCCCTTTTCCACCCAAATCAGGTCTGATTCAACGAGTAGCTCTCTTGGTCTTCTTGCTGACGCATGCATGTCGGAGCTGATCCAACCGTCCGCAGTTGACTGGCTGATAGCTAGTACGTTAGTCTGGTAAAGCATCCACCATTTTCGTCTCTTTCAAAAAGTTTCCCAATGCTCCTCAACCTCTTCAAGAGTCGACATTCCCTGTCCCCTCAGCACCGGATGCAAATGCACAAGCTGCGCCCCAAAGCAGCTAAACCCTGTGCAGAGAATCCTTCGTTTCTCCACCTCCCCACCAAGCTTCTTCTCCAACTCCTTCAGACCCTTCCTCGCCGGCTCCAATGCATCAAACACCTGCTTCTGCTCCCTCATCCTCCCAGCCCCCGCCGCATCCCCACAATTCCCCGGCATATCGCCCACAGCATCATACACCCCCTTCTCCATCCCCGGCACACGAACGCCAAACTCAAACCCCTCCTTCAACTTCCCAAAACTGCACAACCCCGCCTTCACCTGGCTCCCCGGCCCGAACAGCCCATAGTATGCTTTCTGCATACGGACGCTCGGCGCCAGCTCGTTCACGGAGAACTTATCAAAGCCCTCATCGGGCCTCCACATCGTGATGGTCAATTTCTGCAACGAATGCTCACCGCCCGCCAACATCCTCAACGCCTTCACCAAGACCGCGCCATCAAACGGATACTTCGGGAACGGACGTCCCCCATTCACAGCCCTCATGCTCGCTCTCCCATCGACGAAATGTCCCAGCAAATCTCCACCAAACGGATCATCCGAAGGCACATTCGTGAACTGCTTCCCCCCAAAATGGAGGTGCACCTTGGTGATGAGTCCGCGGTTCCTGGCCCCGATCTGTTTCAGCCAGATATGCATGAATAGAATCTCACAAGCCAGGATCCCCGTGTGCATCGTCCTCTCGTAGAAGTCCCAATAGGCATAATTGCCATCTCCGACGCGTCGGAGCTCGTTGACAAGGCGCTCATGCATGAGGCAGGCTTGGCAGGGGGCGGCAAAGGCATTGTAATGCCTGCAGGGACGATTGGCTAGGTTCACCCACTGGTCCGAAAAGTAGAATGTGCGGGTGCCGTATAGGACTTTGGTGGCTTCGTCATGGATGCGGCGGTTGGTTTGGAGGAGGGAGACGGCGGTGGAGATGGTGCAAGTGCCTGGCGAGCACTTGGTCGAGCGGCGTTGCATCCGTGCGAGATCGGGAGTCGTGGTGTTGCAGGCGCAGGAGGAGAAGTAGTGGGCGTAGATGCGGTTTCGCACCTGGAGGGGGAGGGAGGAAAGAGGGAAGGACATCGTGATGATTCACTATGTATTTGGTTAGAAGTGAAGGAAGGACGAAATCAAGTCGTATATATCTAGAGCAAGTATAGAAAAAGGGGGAGGTTGGCGTGCTAGCCTGATGCCACGCCAATTTGGGAAGGAGTAACACTTGAAAAATATCTGAATTAGGCTAATCAGTCACTTTTAAGGTATATAAACACTTAAGATATTGAGGAAAAAGGGCACATTAACCATATGCGAGATTGGGAGATGGTACTGCGAATCAGAGGAGGAACGCTAGATTGGCACTGCTAAAGCCGCTATTAAGAAGGAGCAATTATTCAAGACATGGAATAATAGGTTTGTACCACTTTTGTCCTGATACAAATTAGATAAAGATAGTATTCAATACCTCGGGCGTAAATCTTTGCCTTTCAAGAATAAGCAGCGTATTTAAATGCGCCTTTCGAATCTGGGGTATTAATAAATATAAAGCATGAGAGTAAAGCTAGCTCGTAATAAAGGCTGCAAGGTAAGAAATACAGCTATAGAGGCGTTCTTAAGAGGCTTTCATGACGTTTCGCCTACCAGGATGCACCATGTAGTCTTTCAAAGATGCCTATCAGGTATCTTATCACATGGTTTGTCGACGGCGATACTTGACAGCCAAGTCTGGCAATGTCTTGATGATAACTGTCTGGATGCCTGTCCTGTCAGCAAGGCTGGTCCCGGAAATCGCCATTGCCTGCTGCTCAATTGAATTCGTGACCTTCATGACACCCTGCCAGGCCTCTTTCCAGGGCTGCAAGTCGACTGCAAGACCTGCAAAATCTTCGAAAACACCCTCTGGTACGTGAAAAGTGAACTTTTCAACACCCTTAATGCTGTTGAGCGCCCACCTCATTCTTGAGCTTGGATGAAAGAAATCTTTGAAGGCGTATACCAGCGCTTCAGTCCGATTTGCGGCTCTCTCATATGGTCTCGTGTAGTCATTGGGGTCACTGTACCCCAGCTCCGGCCCAGCGAAGGTAACGGTGAGCGTTTGGAGTCCATGGCCACGAGCTAGGAGGTGAAAAGCGCTTTCAAGAAGGTGACCGCCGAGTGCCGTGTGGTACGAGCTACCATTCATCCATTGACGGCCAAGGTCATATGTGATGTTGTCTTTGCCTCCGCGAAAGTGAGTGAAGCGAGCCCCCGAGAGTGACAACTCGATGTTCCTTATCATCAAGCGGTTACGTGTGCCGATCGTCTGGAGCCACTTATTCAAGGTGGTGATGTCACATTTTGGCATTCTAACAAAATCTCCCTTCTTGTGGTATCTCTTTGCCTTCGATTGTGTGCATTGAATATGACTATCATATTTGTCTCGGTGGCATAGGCTCTTTTCACCAAACTCTGACAGTCGAACTTTCATTGTAGCGACGCCATGATGGGTGTCATCGAAGTAGAACTTATGTTTGCTATACAGCAGGAGAGTTGCCTCGTCGTGGATTTGCCGACAACTACGGAGCAATGGGTTGACGTTGGCAATGGGGCCAGCCGGTCCAAAGGGGCCGAGGTAGGGACGCTTGTTTAGTGATGGCTGGACCGTCCGATTTTTTGGCAGTGTATCGAACGCCCAGAAGTAAACCTCATCTCGGAGTTCTCGAGGGAGATCCAAGAAATTTGTACGGCTTGTGGAGGTGCCTTGTATCACAAAAGTCGAGGTACTCTGCATTGTGCAAGTAAGCTGACTGTCAAGCAAAAATGATGTTGTTGAGAAGGGTATAGGTAGTGGAGACACAGATGCTTGATCATACAAAAGATTGAGAGGTCTGTACGAGGAGTCTCGAGAGATTGGAAGTAATCAAAGTAACAATGAAGGGAGCAGTAGAAGTATATACACACCGATACTGTGTCAATTCAGGATACACAGAAAGGAATAGGAACCTATACCCGAGCAGAACGTCACACGATCAGGTGTCATGATATACGGTGTTTCAACAGCCGAACCCCATAATTAGCCATTACTCACGGTCATCGAGTGTCTGTAAATTGAAACACTCGAAACCAGTGTCATAATAGTAGAGCTTCATGTGATGCAATCACCTGGCAGAGTATATATAGTCACCTATCCAACTTGGCAAGCTGAAGCGATAATGAAGGCTCAGCCTGATCAAATAATCAGGAAGATGAGAGAAAAGAGGATTCAAAGCGGAGGGGAGTGCAGCTTTTGTACCACTTGCTGACTATTGACTCACCAGACTTTGCTGTGATTGCCTAGGGTGAATAGCATATTGGTTGTCGCGCCTTCCATTGTTCCTGCGTACATTCATCGATCCTTGACCTCACTAGATTCTTCACCAAATTAGAGCTCGAATCTAAGACATGTGCTTCACTTACTTCATCTGTGAATGTGCTGCTAGAAACGCTGCGTCAATGTCTTCCTCCCAAACCCACTTCATCCTTTCCTTCATCAAACCTGGAAAGAGCGACACACAGGCTTCATATGATTGGTCAGTCATATCAGCTGACTCAAGCCCAAAAATCTTGCCTGATTCACGTGAAGCTTGTTGCGCCTTCTGTGCCCTGGGTCTACGGACATCTTGGTATAGGTTAGCGTAGCCCTGTAATGGAGGCCTATTTCCGTCGCCAGTGGAGTTGCTGCCGGCTTCCAGGTATGCCTCAAGAGATTTCGCAAGAATATAACCATCTTCGATTGATTGTCCTGCTCCAGTGGCTATCAAAGGATGAGCGATGTCAACAATTTAATATGCAAAGAGAAGAAGTATCTACCTCCGTACGGCAGCGTAGCATGAGCGGCGTCACCCAGCAGTATCACTTTTCCATTTGCGTATGTCCACTGATCCAAAGGGTTCCTATCATTCAGAACCCATTTTGAAGGTTTCTCAGGCATCAGCTCGATTATCTTCTGGACAATGTCATTGAAACCCTCAAAGTCATTGCGTAGTTCCGATTTTGACCCGGAGGATGACCAGCTTTCTTTCAGGTCGCCAAGGCTCTCTTGAGGGGTAGCGCGGAACGTGAGTGCATTCATGATCTTGTTGCTGCTGCCAATGGGGTACGTAAGGAAGATACGGCCTTTAGAGAGAAACATTGCTGCTTTCGATGGTAGAGGCCACCATGGTGATATTTGATCCATTGGTATGAGAGCTCGATAGGCCAAGCGACCACTGTAAACTGCTTCTTCTGGGGCGTACTGAGCGCGCACAGCGGAGTTTATCCCATCGCTGGCTATGACGAGGTCTGCACTTGCTGAAGTACCATCATCGAAGTGTATATGTACCATGCGGTCACGGTCCTGGAACATATTCAATTAGCAGGCGAGCATACGAGGAGATCTCAGAGAAATGGAGCCATGCCTCGAGTTTCTTGCATCTCTTGCCTATATGTAGAGTAGCAGCGTTCCTTGACTGCACTTCTTTGGCAAGAAGCTCTAGAAGTTCAGCACGGTGAACGCCCAGCTGTCCAGTCTTCTGCGCGTTGTCCGCAGGCACGGTCAAGATATCTTCGCCGTTGTCATGTCTACGGAATGACATCCATATCCCTTCTCTGGTGCCGCCGATAGCTCTCAATGCATCCTCGAGCCCTAGTTGGGCGAATAACTTGACCGCATTTGCACCAATGCCTACTCCAGCCCCAATCTCACTATATTTCGCCGCCTGTTCGTAGATGTCGATGATGACATTACGTGCTTTGACACAATGGTGGTGTAATTGAAGAGCACAACTGAGGCCACCGATTCCTCCTCCGATTATAGCTATTCGTAACGCTGTGATTCTGTTTGCCGAAGGCATTTTGGAGGGTCTGATAGCATGTGTATTGGAGCAGTCCATACTTCTTGCATGCTTCTCTTTTAGAAAACCAGGAGCTTCTGTCGAAAGGAATGCCGCACATGTAAATGAGATCGAGCTGGTAAATCACTGTCAGTCCCAATTTACACAAGGAAGAGTAGAAGACCCTTGCCCCGATGGTCGACGTCATCAAACCTTAGACCATGGTCGCTCTTGCTCGGGCGGGTACGTACGTAGACAGGCTTGAGTCCTAGCCGCAGACAAAACACGCCCATTCACTGGCTGACTCGATCCGTCTAATGCACAATGATCCGACTTTGCATGGGAAGTTGCGTCAGAACATCTATGGTTTCCTTCTGGTGGGCGGCAATTTCCAGCCTGCTTGATGTGAGTATGCAAGGGAGACACAGGGAGGAGGAGGGACCTAGACATACTTGACGCTTTTCAATGCCAGCACGATTATGCAAGATATTACTGTACCGACTCATGTACGCAAGGTCTAGACATTCAAGACGTCCTAGAGATAGATGCTCCAAATTTGTTGACGCGGTAAAACTTAGCAACCGACGAGACGCGCTGCTCGACTCATCTGCGATTAGGTTGAGAAGGCAATCCAGGAGGATCATCGGATCAGTGGACCTTTTTATTACTTTTCGATTGTAGTACGAGCGATCCTGAAAGATGCACCACCACTGCAGAGCGTTTTGTAGAGCCAAAAATGTCGTTGACTCGAGGACGAGCGCTGAACGTAGCGTGGTCTCGGGGACAGGATATAGGAATCATCTGAATATGGCTAAGGCGACAGTCAGCAAGAGCCGCAGAACTTTGAGCTCTAGGTCCACTTCACTATTGAGGAAAAATATTCGAGCTTCGTTACGCGATGCAACGTACTGTAGAAGCGCTTGATGCATTACATACTCGTTTTGAGGCGGCCGCCATTAATTGTGATGGATTGAAAAATGGATAGACGGATATAATTTCCTGCAGCAGGGATGTCATGACTTCTGAGAGGAATGTAAGTACATGATCGACTGCTGTGCATGAAAGTGCTCAAACCAAGTGAATGCCATATCTCCTGGCTAGGAGGGCAGTCAAAGCAGCTGAATGCATGACATTTCTCTCGAGACAACATGGAGCGATGGTCCGAGACCTGAAGACTGTGATCCTGAGTTTCGACTACGTGCAGAACGACTTGATCTGAACGTAAGAGGCGATTGATTCTGGAGTGGAAAATTCAGGGGCTTGGGGTCGATGGCAAATCGTCGGGGCTAGAATCAAAACAAGAGATGATGTTAGTGTTTGTAGTGCGTTGTTGAAGGATGACTGGACTGTCCCAAAGAGATCTCGTAATGGTCAAAGCTGACTTGCCTTCTGAAAGACCGTTTGCGGCCTGACTTACTCGTCATATATTACGGCGCTAATTGCGCTAGTGTTGCGAGACGATTGTCATGTTTTTCCTTGCAAAGTGTTTCGGTGTATGATCAATCCATACTGAATGCATGCCTACTGCATCTCATGTACCTTCACTGCATATGCAGTAGTGATGGCCGCAGTACTAGCCTCGCACCAAAAGAAGCCTACCACGCGTAGCTCCAAGCCCAGCAACGCCCTCCTCCTCATCAAGCTTTCTTAGCCACCGCTCCCTAGACACGGCATTGAACGCTCAACTCCACTGCCTCCATTAACGCTGCCAGTTGACGCCTGTCTACCTGTCCTTGTTGACATCAAAGACATACCCGAAACTGACAGGACTACTGCACCCAGTCCTTCTGTGGTAGATGAAGTTCCATTGGCGACCACCACCTCCAATGCACAGAGCCTACGGCATATTGCTGGCGGCAAATGTGTTACGACCGGGTTGCAGGATTAAGATGTTGCTCATTGTCAGGGCTGCGGGAAGGACTGGTCTTCTTGGGATGGTTTCAGAGCCCAAGCTAAGACTTTTGGCCGCGAAGGGATCGGCAAAGATAGAAGTACTATTGATCATTAGCTCTGAGCCTTCAGCTAGTCGATGGAGAGAGATGACTATACTGTGATCGATGATGGCAATTGCAGGTACCAGAGTTTCCCCATCGAAGACAATTGAAAAAGGTGGAGTTGATATGGATTTCAACGATTTGAACGGATTCGGAATACTTGAAGGAGATCTCCCGCTCAATATCAGTACTATAGAGAGCTGTCTTTGATGGTGTCAAAGCCAGGGCGCTCTAGGCTCCTAGAATAGCGTGTGATTCTGGCACTCGACTCAGGAATTTTCATCTCAAATAGTCGAAAAGGTGCCCGATCAAGCGGGCTCTCGCCGAGTGAAGTGCGGCTTCGCAGGTGTAACCGTCGCTGTGACTTTGACCACGTTCATTCAAGAAGCTTGATGACAAAAGCTTCCGCCGCTGGAGACAAACTTATTCGCGGCCGGTGCATTTAGTTCTTCCTCCTGCTTGCAGGTAGGATGCAGAGGCCGTGTTTGATTAAAATACCAAATCTTTATTCTGCAATCAGGCCTTAATTCTTGAAGAACTACGTAGTGTGGCTGATACAAGGCTTTAATTCAATGGCATGTACCTATAATCCAAGGTGACTAGTGACAGCTCTATCTTGACGATGTAATTAGGCTTCACGCTGGGTAATACAGCTTCTTTTGGTCGTTGAGAGAGACCCAATCTTGAGGTCGTCTATTAAGAGCACAAGTCAATACAAGAAAGTCGGTCTCATGCGAATATCAATCGGTCATGTCAAAGAGTTCATGACAGAGCGCCGTATGCAGGATGTGTCTCTTGATTACAGAGGAATTTCGAATCGTATCGAGGGTGGTCTTCTCCTCTCCAGCCCCAAGACGCAGACCTGATATGTACGCAGCAATATTCGAGGCTATATAGCGGCTAAGTCTTCCGGCTTCAGCAAACGAACAACCAACATATGCTGCGTGGCGTATTTGACTCTATCCTTCGCTAAATGCAGGAGAGTTGACTTGAATGTACCTTGTACGCTGCCCACGCGTTTGCGGCACAACATTCTGGTCGGGCGTCGAGAACAGAGACAACTTGTTTTCGAGCTCGTAAGACAGATACCAGAACATTGCGGGCTGGCCCTAGAATGCCATTTGCTTAGATGATGCCAAGTTGAGGAGATTTCTACCGCTCATAGCTTTCAAAGCCAGAACCCGCGTCTTTCCGTGATGGGGCATCTCGTGCCCCATCACCACACGCTATGTTTTCTTCCATATCTTCTGTCATCTTCGGGCCCTTTTCACATCTTCGTTCATCCGTTGCCTGTAAATGATCCCTTACACCAATCCCTCTCTTGACAACCCGAGCGCCACTTGGTCTCAGCTTGCGATAGTATCCCTCCACTTTTTCAGGCAAGACCTCGAAGCCACGATTCTGATACCATTCAAGCGCATCGACATTGCTCTCCCAGACATGCGCGTATACCATCGTGATCTTGTTCCCAGAGGTTGATGGGGAGACGTTCAAAGGGCTGGGCTCGCTCCATGTGCTGAGAGCAGTAAAGATGAGCTGGGCGAGGAGTGTGGTGGCCATGGAAAGTGTTCGATGGGAGGGAGCTGTTGTCAGGGTCTGTACGTATATCGCGTATTCGCCGTCATATTCTGTTTGTGTTGTGGTTTTGAATGATTGGCATGGAGGCTGAGGCTGTAGCCCCGGCTGTGGAGGGTGGGGTCGCTGGGAAGATGGCCCACTGGCGGCGTGGGTGCCAATACTTGTCTTGTGCCCCAAGGATGGAGGATGGATCGGTTCAAGACGCGCTTGTATGCATGCGATGACTTGCGGACCTTGTGATAGACTATATACATCTTCTTTCCGTTTATTGGTTGTCGAGGGTTCTGGTGGGGGACTGTGGACTGCGCAAAGAGCTATGGTACCCGAATCGATGGGCTCGGTCGTCGAAAGGGCAAAGAATTTGTCTGGATACTTGATGGGAAGCGATGTGCCTATCAAGCGTCTGTACGATGGAAGGTGTTCGGGTTTTACTCGTGAGATAATCGTATCAGGTGGAAGGGTGACTTTTGGACATAGAGGTGAGGAGGACGAGATTTGAGATGCGCCTGAGAGAGGCATCGAGAGCAGCGATTTAAGAATGGTATCACTGCGGGCTTTGGGGAGCTCTACAAGTTGTGTTTGATGGAACCCTCTGCAAAGGGAACCCCGCGAGGTTCGGATTCCATTGGACTCGGAAATCGCGGTCTGGGCGCGCTGCACGTGACCAAAATCTGAGAATCAAGGACGCACCCTCCTTCACTCGTTCTACTTCTGCATTGGAGCAATGGAGCTTGATATCGAAGGGTTTTCATTAATTCTATCTATCGCTCTAATTATTTCAGTACATAATCCAAAAAGTTGACTTCACGTGTGCCAAAAAATCCCCATTTCACAATGGCCAACGTCCAGGCCCGCGAGAATTTGCCGATGGGGTAACCCTGCCTCTGGTTGATGGCCATCTCAGCGGCAGGCTGTGAAGCGTCCCCAGGCAGTACCCCTGCATCTGGTTGATTGCCATCTCGGCGGTATGTCGACAAGCCAGACGCTCAGGCAATAGCCTTGCATCTGGTTGATCCCAGCAAATCTTTCTTTCTTTCCTTGGCACAATACATGTATGGCATCGTTCAGGGCGGAATCGTGACATATGTGATCTCGCCAAAGCCTTGGAGAATGTGCGACCCCTGGATGTTCCTACTTGTCCATGCAAGGATCAGCATCTCCCAGCGTGGTCAAAAAAGATGAGCTATGTGGTCGCCAAGATCTAGCTCAAAACATCTCGCTCGATGGTATTTTGTGACATATCCTGACAAGCCACCGAGACATCCTAACAGCCCAAAAATGTATATCGGCAAACACTGCGGTGAGATCGGCTTCTTTTCCAAGCCTCCCGCACTTTGTAAGAGGTGAAGTGGACCTTGCAACCTCCCAGCCTCGCCTGCGGACACATAGCCTTGCAACCCTGCCTCAACGGGCAAGTCACAGGAATGGCGCTGCAAGACCCATTCAATAGCCGCCGCACCTTCAATGGCATCATCCTTTGGTGTGGTGATCTTTTTGACCTATTCCTTGACATCCACCGTTGGTGTCACCAAGCCGGCTTAACTGCCAGAATGAGATACGTGGGTGTTAGAAGTCTCTGGTTTGATTGCACTGTTGCAAAGACTGAAACGCCTGATGAAGGTCCATTTAGTCTTCAATCGTCCAGCGCTGTTTGCAAAATCAACAAAACAGTGACCGACGTTGCTACTGGGATTAGGACACGTTGGCTGGAGTCCTCGAAGCTTTGCAAGGAGCCCTGTTCCCAGAAAATTTGTCTCGAATCGTCTAGACAGTAAGGCTCGACGTCATGTTGTACCAGACTGTGTGGATGAAGTTTTCTCTGCGAAGGAATGACCATCACTTTGCTGAAGATGTCTAGACGATTCCAGACGCGAGTCGAAGGCACGACATCAGAGCCAAAACGAGGTGTCGAGTCTGCAAAGCGTTGTCTTTGCTTCCCCATCTTGACATTGACCACTTGCAGGTGAGGGAATAGTTTGGGGGATGCACAAAACTCTACCATGAGAGTCAGAAGCCCATTTCCAGAACTTTCACATTGTCCACTAGCGCTCCCAGACATTTACGCCTGCTGATTTGGAGGTCAGATGTGCCTCGCAACTCTTTTGAAGTCCCTGGTGCAATATTGTCGCCGTCATCATGAGTCTTCGTGATTCTTCTACCGTTATACATCGAGCCTTTATCAGAATGATTCATCGCCAAGATCCACAAGCTACGGTTCGGAGGTTCTGGCCATTACACATTCGAGAGGAAGAGATCAAAATCGACCATTAAAGCAGCTCCATCCATCCATGGCTCAAGCTCACCCATCCAGAGGGTCGTCTTTGCTTCCCCGTCTTGTATGTGGCTACCTGCGGAAGTGGCTGTCCATTTCCAGATCCCTGATATTGTCCGCCTGCGTTTCCAGGTATTTAATCCTGCTCTGAGGGAGCTCATCAACAGTGTCATGCTGGCTCAAAATTGCTTAATCGAAGCAGAGAAGCTTTATGAGTCGAATGTTACCATTACAAGCAAAGTAAAGCACTTCTGCGGCACCAGGATCTGAGCCGACAGCACAGTCTCATTCATCCAAGGCTCAAGCTCACCCATTCAAAGCGTCGTCTTTGCTTCTCCATCTTGTGGTTGACCACCTGCACACGATGGCTGCCCTTTTCCAGAGCTCTCATACTCTCCGCTTCCAAGCTTCGGCCGCAAGAATATGTCAGGGAATTGGGATCACAAAGAGATTAACAAACGTAGCCCAAGCACCCATAGATCCACCTCGGCCGACCATAGGTACTGCCAGAGTTCCCAGAGCTCCCCACGCAACCGATTTGGCTCTCGGTGCCACGAAAAAGTTCCAATGGTAAGGAGGCCGACGCACCCGATCTTCTTCCGATCTTGCATTCCAACGAAGATTGTAGCGCTTTATGAATTACAAAAGTCTTCCGAGCATCTTGCTATTAGCACCATGACCTTCGCCGCTGTCAGCCGACAAAGCCAGCACACCTATTTTTGACTCGAGCACACCCACTCAAATAGGCGAGAGGGCAAGGAGCGCAGCAGAATGCGGTGAGGCCAACGGTGGCAGTGCTTCTGAGGGTGTCGTTGCCTGTTGGGTAGAGCTCGGGACCTGGTGTCTTGGTGAGATCCAAGGGCTGAGGTATGTGGTTGGTGGTGGGGTGAAGGGTTTTTGAGGTGTCCATCTTTGCATCCCCGTCTTGTGGTTGGCCACCTGTAAGAAGAGCCTCGTCTTCTTTGTGATGAAGCCACTCAAGCTCAAGCAGGCTTTGCTCCATGAAATCTTTTATGTGCTCTTCAGGAACACCAACCGAGTAAGCTCATCCACGGCTCAAACCCAACTACTTAAAGGTCGTCTTTGCTTTCCCTTCTTGTGGTTGACTACCTGCAGATGATTGCTGCCTATTCTGCTCTTCGGGCCGCAGGGAGTAGAGAAGAAGAGCGTTCAAGGGTCTAGTCACCGCAGGTATGACGATGACGCGACGAACTCTGACGACTCATGATCTAGGAGAATGGGCCGAGCAGAGGACCACCCGCGCTTCCAGGTATTTGCTCCTGTTGAGGCCTTCGGCTGCGACACCAGGATCTTGGCCACTGTTGGCCAACAGAGCAAGCACACCCAATCAGGCTCAAGTTCACCCAGTGGAAGCGTTGTCTTTGCTTTCCCATCTTGTGGCTGGAACTGGATTAGAACACAGGAAAATGCTTCTTTCAACGCGAGACCCATCATCTCGATCCTGACAAGTGAAAATCTGCAGATGGTGGCTATTTATTTCCAGAACTCTCATATTGTCCGCCGGCGCTTCCAGGTATTTGCTCCTGTTGAGGAGGAGGTCCCCCGGTTGAGGAGGAGGTCCCCCGGTTGAGGAGGAGGTCCCCCGGTTGAGGAGGAGGTCCCCCGGTTGCGACACCAGGATCTACGACCTCCCGGTACGCTTCGTATCGCCGTAGCTCTAAACCCCTTCGACGCTACAACGGGCGTTTCTGCATCTCTCTGTTCCGATTTGGGTTGGTGCTGCTGTTCGGCGTAGTCGGCAGGATCTGACATCAATCGGATCCGTGCTACAATGTTCATAAGTGAGGTGATTGCTTGTGGGAGAAGTCTTTGTCGGCTACGTGTTGTGGGCGGTCACCAGGATTTCGCTAACCGCATCCGGAAGCACTCTTTCAGCAGGATTACATCATGAATATACGGCGATATTGCTTTTGAACGGGAGCTACAAGGTCTTCGGACACTCCTCAAATTACACCAAGCCTAATAATATACTACTGGGTTTCTACTATGAGTTCTAGTTCAATGTAGGTCCACGCAAGGCAAGCAAGCGATATTTCATTCTTCAGCTGTACATAATTTCTTTGACAAGATGTCTGCGAACGAATTTAGCCTTTTGCATTCCCTTTCATCTCGCTGAGAGTCTCGTTGTGTCAAGATCTAATTCTCTTTGATGGGAAGACGATATTTAATTCAACTTTCGTGGACAAAGCGAACAAATGTAGACCATTTCCGGTAATCCTTCCACTTAAGTATCATATTGCCTTGCTCCTGTATTTACCCACTAGAAGAAATGTCCCCACAACGCAATGTCGACAAATTCCGGGTATGATGCACTTGGAGGGCAGATTGTACGTGGAAAGGTCAGCTCACTCGCGTTGCGTAGCAACATAAAGCCATCGCAAAGGCCAAATGCTGTAAGGATCAACGTCGAAGAGCGTGCGATCCTCACCGATCTCTTGAAAGTATGAGGGCCCAAATCGCTCTCTGAAGTTTCTCAGGACTTCCAGAATATCCACTCCAGAAACCCGTGCATGATCTGTGCAAGGTTGTAGCGGGAGCTCTTTCGCTTTCTCGGTGACTCGAATCTTTTGATGTACAGGGATATGGTTAAGATGCTTGTATGAAATGTGTCGGTCTTTGAACAAAGCTGGCGGCGTCCGAGGACCGACGCTTGGTGATATGCCAGGTCTGATCAAGTCGACTCTTTTCGAATCTCGCAGGAGGTAGTGTTCAAGGTCGGAGAACTCTTCGAAATAGTTTCGAAAGCTGAGTTGGAGCCAGCACGCCGCGGGCCCGATATGTCTTGGGTGGAAGAGATGTTCTTCTGGGCTTTCGGCTTGACAGAACTAGGCGAAAGGGGTGATTTGTGTCTTGCCTCAACTGCTCACGAATCAGTTTGTCATCGCAATCACCTTCTCATGAAAATCTTACTTCGTCGACTTTTCAATATTATGGACAATGTTGTAGACTGTGAGAGCTACGGAGCAATGTGTCAACTTTGACGCGCTCACGGATTTTCACGCTAGTAATGGAACGGCAATATCGTATTGTATTATATTTCTACCAACACGAATAACAAGAGCAAAGGCTCTCCTGGCCCATTCCAGCCATCTCAAAATAGGGTGTACTTTTTGTCGAGATTTGTATGCTGTATACGGTCAGAGTATCCGATCAGGGCCGTTGAGATATAGCTTCTCAAAACTCGCATTGGCGAATGGATAGCAACGCTTCCAGTTGAATCTTGCAAAGCTGGCAACGTTATCGTCCATCGTATTGACGACTCGCCCTTCAGCTTTCGTGCTAAGTCCGTGACTGTCGTATAACGCTACGCTCGAAATCATGTGGAACAAGAGAATCACACATTGCCGTACCATCCGCCACTCTGGCGCCCCTACCACGAGGTAGATATCTCATGTGCAAGCCCGCGTTTTCAATCAGTATCGGCCAGAGGGCGTGACTCCAGGATAGACCCTTGAAAGAAATTCTTGTACTTTGCGTCCCCAGGAGCCATTTCGAATTGGTTTCGTAAGAGCAAATGATTATCAGCAGCGTCGCGGGGGTTTAAGGTTACTTGCTTATGGCGGAGAGGTGCTATGAGCTGAATATTCTTCACCGCCCGCAGAGCAATTGGATGGGAATCATTTCGAACACGTGCTTCTTGTCTTTCGACAGCTTTGTTGGCTTTGCTGTGCCGTGGACACCTCCTCAGAGCTTCCAGAAAGAAATAGGTTGCTGTAGTGTCGTCTCCCTTGAGTATCAAAGCTTCTCCAAAGCTATAGCATATCGTCGCCGCGAGTCGATTTGGGAATGGAGTCAACGAGGGCAGACTTCCCAGAGCCGCGTGTATTTCATTGGTTGTGTCCTGCTTGATCAAAATGTGTCTTGGAGCGCCTTGCAGTTTACGTATGGCTGCGAGGACACTATCAGCATCTCCAACTCTGAGAAACCATTGGGCGCCCCGGCTAAGATATTGAAACATTCTCGCGACTGTGGCAAGGTACTCTGGTGTGCGTGGGGTCCTTGGTGCAAAGCAGACGACAAAATCGTACAGTTTACACCCCATTAAATCGTACAAATCGACGTATCTGTATGCCAATTCTCGATAACGGTGCTCAGCTTTGAGCTGGTCTCTGCCTTGCTGCTCAATCCTATCTGCCATTTCATTGATCTTGAGAATCGAATCCATAGGATCGTTCATGTTCGCTTTGATGTGGCTGATCGCCAAGGTGTCCATTTGTGGGCTTGCTGATAAGAAGAAGCACTCTGATGCTCCGCGGCAAACCAAGAGGGTTCTACGGATCGTGTCGAGGTGTGTGGTAGCTTGCGTGAACGCACTCGTAAACTCCAGGTACATCTTCGTACCCTCCCATAAAACTCCCTCATATCCATACATACAGAGAACGCGAAATCGGTAGATATCGAGCAAGAAGTGCTGCGCTTTTGCGAGCATTTTAGGGCTCATAGCACGTTTGGTGACGTGCATTGTTAACGGCGGGGCGAACTCTGCTTGGATCTCTCCGGGTGGCTTGATGCATAGTCGAGCCATGGTTGGTAGCTCCATAGGCCCTTTGCAGAGCACACTAACCAATAGATTGTCCTGATAAAGAATAGGACACGCTTCGTTATAGACCCTTTTACAAACCCGGAGGATTGCAACAGTCAGGAATAGGTGGCCATCCAAGTGAATATCCCAGTCGCCAAATTGGCAGCGGAATGGATCTATTACGAGCAAGAGACGGTATATTTGCAAGCGGATCTCGCATGGTAGTCGGAAGAAAGGGGAGGCAGTCTGAGCTGCTGGTTCTTGTGAAGGCGACGTTTTCCGTGATCTGAACAGCGAAAGACGGCTTTTCAGCTCTTTGAGCATCTTGATTGGAGGCATCTCGAGCTGTCTCTGATATCTGTATGTGGCTGCAAAGGGGTAAGGCATATTCCCTGCCACCCGTATTAATCAACAACTGTGCGTTTTATAACAATACGGGACTAAACCTAATTTAGGTCAGCCTCGCCAAAATATCAAAACGCCTTGTCATGCCACTAGAAGATTATACAATCCTTTATTTGGCTGCAAGGTCTTATTTACTTACCGCTGTGGCCTCTTGCACATTCAACGTAGGCCAAAGATGGCTCGATTTGCTATTATAATACTTAAAGCAGCCTTCTTTCATCAGACTATCGTTATACATTAAGGTCCTCAATCTTAGGAAATGCCAAATACGGCTCTCGCTTCTCTCGCGCAGATACAAGAAGCTCAACAACGTCATCACGCCCCGCACGCCTAGCACAGACAGATACACTCCAGCCATCTCCCGTGCGAGCCTCGGTATCAGCACCGCGGTGCAAGAGGCTTTCTACCGTAGCCAAGGAACCATTAGTAGCAGCCTTGTGGAGCGGCCGCCAGCCCCAATAATCCTGAGCCTCTATATCGGCACCATACGCGAGTAGAATACTGATTGTTTCAGGACTACCAATTCTAGCGGTCCTGTGGAGAGCTGTCTGTCCATTTGTCAAGGGTGACCTTGCATCGGCTCCAGATTCGAGGCATAGGCGGATAAGATTGGAGTTGTCGACCATTGAGGCACAGTGAATCGGTTGTCTTCCACCAACTCCCCGGCTATTGATATCAATATCCTTCTCCAAAAGGATCTGCCTGACGGAATCTTCGTCGTTCAAGAGTAAGGCAACGTGCAATGAGCTGTCAAGGGTACTGAGTTCCGAGTAAGGATCGAGGTACTTCTTCAATGAAGAAAATGAGTGCTCAGTATGAAGATCAGAATCTGGTCCTGCCGAAAGTGAACCTAGACGTTTGATGTCTTCCATTTGCGGCAAATGTTCCGTCTGAAGGGCTGCCGGGTTGGTCGACTTTCCTCTTTTTGTTAAGAGAGCATACACATCCCACTGAGCCCAAGATAAAGCCCCCTGTGCCGGAGTCTGGTTGCCTTTGTGCTTGAGTGTCAACTGTGCGTCTACGCAATCCTGTGACTGGTTCAATAGAGCTTCCACGACATCCATGAAACCCCTTTTAGAAGCTATGTACAATGGTATGGCTCCGCGAGAGTCCTTCACAAGCGGGTTTGCTCCGTACTCTAGTAGCACTGACACAACTTGTGAGTGCCCTGACTTACAAGCTAGATGAAGGGCTGTCTGGCCGCCCTCGTTTGCCTTGTCAATGTCTCCATCGTTGATATTGAGAAGGAAGCGTACAGCTTCATCTTGACCGGCGACACTTGCGCCATGAATAGGTGTCCAACCGTCGATGGTGCTGGTGTCGCTGGGCGAGCCGGAATCGACCAGTAATTTCATGATCTCCACATGGCCCTTTCCAGCCGCTCTATGGAGCGGAATCAAACCCCGAGCGCTTGCTGTATGCACTGAAGCACCAGAATCTAAAAGAAGCCTAGTGGTTTCTGTGTCTCCATTATCTGCCGCCTTATGGAGTGGACTCCACCCATTCAAGCCCCGTGTTTCGACTTTGGCGCCGGATAGAAGCAATTCCATCACGGCCTCGGAGTAGGAACCACTCACGGCAAGGTCAAGAGGCAAAAGATTATTGAAATTTGTCACGTTAGGGTCAGCACCGCGTTTGATGAGAAAGGCTACCGCAGCTGCTTGACCTTTCTCAGCTGCATCGTGGAGGGCAGTGTTTCCATAATGATCGACCACGTCTATGGAAACCCCATCGTCAAGTAGTATTGCGATAAGTTGGCATAGTCCAGCGCCAGCGATGATGTGCAGACCAGTGTGCTTTCGGTCCTTGATTCTGAGATCCTCATATGTATGGCTTTGTATTTTGTAGAATGTGAGCCGTCGACGCGCTCGATTGACTTTCGTTAAGTTCTTCAAGAAGGCAAGCGCAAGATCTTTGATGTCGTCGGTTGACGCTTGCCCTGCATGACTAGACCAGTGCTCGGCAGCGTAACGATCAAAAGAAGTATAGGCACATGACATCTTCGTAGATTTCCGAGAGTGTGGTGAGGAGTCCTTTAGATGCCCTGGATGATCTAAGTCGTCGAAGCAAAGCCAGGTCAAAAGTATGTTTGTGATGTAGCTTTCTTCATTAAAATTTGCTGGTATCGATCTTGATGGCCTTTGTAAATAATCCTGAAGGGCTGAATGGACAAGTCTAGTCGTATTGGTTTGCTCATCAGTGACAACGAGGCCAAAGCAGCATTCAATGATCATCTTCGGGTTAATGAGATTGTCTTGGTCAACTTCTGCATCTCCATTACTTGTAGCCAAGGCCTGGCAAAGCTCTTCCAATCTGAGGGGCCGACGTGCACGGGAGATCCACATCAAAGACCTCATCGCTATGTCTCGCCGTTTCTGAGTTTGCGTATTGATACGATCAAAAGTGTCTGCGAAAGCTTGATCCAGGTTTGAGGACAGATTTTTTATGTATCCGCGAACTTCAGATCTTGTCATTGCTTCAAGGACTGCTTGGAGGTGTAGGACAGGCAGCAAAAACCTGCGACACATGTCAGCACTTTGTCTTTGGCTCATTGTTCCATGGGTATTGAGAGACATTGAACCTACATCCCCCGTGCCTGATTAGCAATAGTCTCCACAACCTGTTCTTTTAGCTCTTCATCGATATGGTCAAGGCCAGCCTCATGCTTCTCCAATACCAGCCTGCAATAGACTTTGATGTCACCTTCATTTGCTGCAATAGCTATCTGGGTGGCTTTTGCAAAATGATGATCTATCTCAGGTAGATGGGGTCGACATGTGACAAATATTTGAAGTGCGCTCGACTTGATGTTGAAAAGGGTTCTAAGTATAGCCTGCCTTTGACTTCTATCCGGACATTCGTCCAGAGCGTCAATCACAATGACGCACCGATTAAGGTCACTGAGTGTTGCGACGAACGTACTGACAAGGTCCGACAGCAACGCCTGGGTATGATCTTGTTGGGCGGTCTCGTAGAGATTCTGGACAGCTTGGGGTATTGCAGGTTGACGAGACACAACCTGTCGAAGAAGACTACCGTATAGGGCTTCTTGAGGCTTGCGATCCTGCCGTTGATGGTCAAAGTAGTAATATGCTATAACGTCTTGGGATGATCTAAAGGTTTCCTTGAGATGATCGATGACCAAGGAGCTGCGGTAGTCAGTATCATGTCATGGCATTGGACGCCCTGACATACGTCAGGACAGACTTTCCAACCCCAGGATTTCCCGTGCAGCATAGAGCGGGCTGGCACTGATCGATCCATGCTTGAAAGGTGCCACATTCAAGTAGCCAATTTCCAGTACCTTGTACTCTCTTGCCGCAAACTTCGCGATGTCTTTCGGAGTACTTGTTGGAAGATAGCCAATCTAGAACCTCGATTCGGTGTCGGTCTACACCCCATACATGTCAGCGAAAGCGCAAGTCATTCATCGGAAGACATGTACTCTGTGCCCTTGTACTCAGGACTTTGACATCGTCTGTAAGATGCCTTACGTCATTCGAGATCTCCTCCATCTCATTAGCGAATGCCAATATCTCTTTGACTTGAATTGACATCTTTAAAGCTTCTTTCGCAATCCCCGACATCGTGCCAATTGATTGAGCTAATTCGGCTACCTTGGTTGAAGTGTCCAGCTGGACCTGTAAACCTTTTGTCGCCGTATCAAGCGTCTGTTTGAGAACATTACTGTGGTGCAATCAGCGGAAGGTACCCTGAAACCTTGCGAACGATCCTACCATCCTTCAACAGTCAAAGCAAATTGAAAAGTAGCAGCACACTTTCTTAGTCTTTCTAGAGACTTGATGATCTCTTTCTCAGTAAACGGCCATTTCAACCTTCCTCCAAGCGCATTCATCTTGCCCTCTGTCAGCCCCGGCAGCTTCATTGATAATGCAGTCATGCTTTGATGGCAGAGCCTTAGCGCTTCGGAAAGAATTGAATCAGGCACGACATCATTATTAGGGTGCAAAGAAATGAAGTCTTGCAGACTGGAAAGGCTGCTCTCAAGCAGAGAAAGTTCGTCAGCAAGCTCTTGAGCGAGCTTTGGGGCATCCTTCACGGAACCAACATAACGACTCGTCGATGCAGAGACCTGATTAGCCAGAGTGATAAGGCCCGCGACACCTGCCATAATGGATAGTGGATCCATACTGTCCTGCCTTCAGCTATTACTCGCCAGAAAAGTTGCAGATAGATGTCCTTTTTAGTCAAGCGATATGGTGAGCCGGCCGGTCATCTTCGATACTTGAATTATGTCTCTTTGACCCGTGATAGAGCATTTTCAAGTGTACTCCGGTGCTTGCAATATCTGCGCTCAGCGACAGTGGCGCTTTTTTGCAAGATGAGAATTGCCAGAATCGTCGAGTATATCCCATCGCAGATTGATATAAGAGAATTCGTGTCATTGACTCAAGCCCGTATGCATTTCCCAATACATCACAACCATCACTACATATACATTGACCTTTTCGGAAGAGAGCCCCCTCATAAAAAGATTCTTGTAAGATCGATTCAGCCTGATCGGAATCGGCGGGAGCCAAGCATACGTTGAGATAATACACTAAGAGTAAATTACATATATATCTTACGGCTACAATCAACTAGTCAAGCTGGTGGACCATACGAGGATGCTACGTCGAGATTTTGCCCCAGAGACATCCCAGACCCTCCAGCAGATAGTAAGTCCCATATTTTCAATAGCAGAAGACAATGAATTTTCGGACGAGAACACTTATCAGTCCGCCAATGGTCTCCGCAGCAGGAACTCGATATAGTTTAGCACTTTCAGACTTCTAAATTTCTCGCTCGTATGGACGCTTCTTTGCCTACGCTGCACCTGGGATCATTGACATGTGTTCTTGCATTCCTGAAGCCTGGGCCCATACATTGACATGTGTTCTTGCATTCCTGAAGCCTGGGCCCATAGTCCCCGAACACAGGTAGCCTTCGTGTCTTCGTTCTCAAGAAACCCTTCTGATCAAGCGAGCACGATAGTCAAAGGTCAATTGACTTATCAGGAGATAATGCTTCGATTCACCTGACAAGCTCAATGTGGAGAAGGACCACGTAAGGCTCTCTCGCAGTCAAATTCCCCATCGAGCACTCACATTTCTTCCACAGCCTGTGCCTTAACTCGAAGCATCAGGGTCCAAGGAATACTTCAAGGCGCGATCGCTCTTCCTTACTGTCTCCGTACACAGATAGTTCTCCTCCAATTCTGGCTCTTTAGGATGGACGGTTCACCACATTTGGAGTGAGTCATGCGAACGTTTTCCGTTTGGCCTACGGTGAGGCCCTCTAGTTCGACTACCCGATCAACCGGAAGAAGCCCCTCAATTCCTTTCTTTCTCACGACGAGAAGCAACGTCAAGCAAGCAGCCATCGATCTTCCAGTGACATTTTCTCCAACATAATTAGCAATGAACAGCATACTCAGAAGAATTTGCTTGATCAAATGGAGAATGGAAGCCTTGATGTGATACAAACCTTCGAGTAGCCTCATCATGTTCCCCAGCTGCCTGACTTCGTAGGAACATACGAGTGGACAGAAATTTACCTCCATCGGCAATGAAAACGAAAGACTTTATCTACCTTGCCTACCGACAACTCACCTACACCGTCACTCAAACCTACCCGAAGCTCGTCTTTCACCACCAGTCGGGCGGTCGAAACAAATCTCGATGGCTACCCAGCTGCCTCCCTCAAAACATTCCACCCCCTGTCGACCAGCCAAACCCTCTGGAACTCCTCTCACTGATAGTGAAGAAAAAAGTCCGACATACCTTGAGCTCGATTTCCAACGTCCATAATCAGCCAGGAATCAGAGAGTCAGCAGGTGAGCTCCCCATTTTATATACCCCGACTGAGTTCAACTAACCCTTCTCCCTCAAATCTTCTTCAAGCCATGGACCTACCGACCCAAAACTACCACTACCACCATACCACGTACAACAATCTCGCTCTCTCCATCCACCCTTCGTCCTACACAATATCCCACTTGCTTGATGAACCTTGAGGCGTACTCAGTCACCTTCACCCTCCATAATCCCAATGCACTCACCTCTCAACGCTCATCCTCTCACACGTCGAAAAGCACGGTCCACCTCAACCAACCTTCCTCGCCCTCGCCCTCAGCCTCCCCCGCCCCCTCAAGAAGGAAGTACATCACTGCCAAGTTCGCTCCAAAGACGAGTAACGGGACAAGAGCAAGGGACAAGAACATAGGCAATAAGAAGGAAAGGGGGATGCAGATAAATATGTTTCAAGAATTCGATACTAGCAAGTTCCAGATCGGTCCAGCAACTATCAATATTATCTTTCCCTTCCATTGCCCCTGCCCCTGCATCATTCCTGCAAACACCACATTCACGCACGTTTCGTTCGCCTTAAGAAGCGAGAATAAGAATGCACGTCTCCCCTCCCCTCCCCATCCCTCTCCTCTCCATCGAAATACAACTGCCCCCTGCCTCGTCCATAATTATCTCAAACAAACAATCCCATTGCCCCTCCTCAACCCCTCTCGTCCCCCACGATCGCTACCCGCACACGCCTTCTTCCTTGGCACATTCTCCACCACCGATACTGATTTCGTCGGTTTCTTATTCGCCTCCCTAACCGCATGACGGTTCTCCTTCCTCAACAAAAAGGAGTCCGCTACGTCCTCATCCTCTAACACCGCACTACCATTGCCGCTGATATTCACATTATCGACGTTGGTCACGTCCGCGAGCGATCTGGGTGCGATGGTTGCGTGCACGGCGTCCTCGAGGCTGAAGTCCATACTTTGTGGACGTGCGCGTTTGGCGGAGTTAGTGCGTGGGAGAAAGAAAGGGGTGGGGAGGGTGGTGTGATCATGGTTGAAACTCATGGTGGGGTTGGAGGGTTGGTGATTATGTTGCTGGAGGTGCTGCTGACGCTGGTTGCCCAGCGCAAGAGATTGCAGCGCTGATGCTGCTTCTCGCGTGTCGGAGGTTGGTGGGGGAGTAAAGCCCATGAAAGTTGCGAATGTTTTGCGAGCGTCGATTTGATTCATGCGGTCTGGGTTGCGAGGAAAAGGTTCACTGTCAAACTTGTTAAAGTTTGATGCTCTCGAGTGTTCATTGCATCGTGGCAAATTCTGGTCGTCTTCCATAAAACTATCAGAGAGCCTAGTATTTTCTCTGAGAGGGGAGGTTGAAGTCGGAGTAATCGCGGTCGGGGATGAGTTGTCGTTCGAGCATTTCGGAGGTCGCGGTGTCCTATTTTGTGGTGATCGTGAGATCTCGCTGGGTGACAGACATGTCTGCGTAAGGCCCTTCAAACCGCCCAATTGCATGTTCGCACATCGTCGCGTCGCTTGTACTGCCAGTTTGACTGGCTGTGCTGGCGCGCAGACCGATGAAGCTACTGATGAAATTGAGGATGATCGGGAAGGACGAGATGAGGCGTCAGAGTATTGAGTGGAGACGTCTGAGATTTGCGTGTCTGGAGATGACATCGAAGAAGCTGATGTTGCGAGAGATGACCGGCGAGCTAGGGTCGGAAAGCCTTCCGGTACCCTGGGCCTCCAATCTGTAGTACGATCGAGAGTACATCTGGCGATAGATGCGTCTTGAACATGACTCATAGCTCTACTCATTGATGATCGTCGAGAAAACGTTCTCGAAGCACTCACAGCAGGAGTACAGAAAGAACCAACTTGAGGTGTAAGCTGAGGAGTCGGTAGGAGTTGGGGATGAGGCTGCATGGGAGGTAACATGGGCCTCGTAGATTCCATGCCGATAGGGACGTGTGCTGTTGGTGTCTGCTCAAGCCACTGAGGTATCGATGCCGTTGCCGGTGTTGGTGTGGGCTCATGCGCTGGCGGAGTGAGAACACCACTATTCGGGACAGGCGGAGGGCTCATCGATGACTCTGGTGAGTCTGGAGAATCGTAGCCCGAATCGTCGGACAGCTCAGCATTGCCAAATTCGGCGGCGTCGAGATCTGGGGTCAAGCGTTCGACAACCTGCTTCCAAGAGAGCCTTGATCTCGCCGGTGAACGCGGCGCCGTGCTTGTTGAGGATGATGGCGAGAATTGGAGAACAATGTCTGTCCATCTATTGAAGACCTTTTCCGGAATATGAAGCTTCCAATTAATGGCGGAAACAAAAGCCAACTCATTGACATTCAAATCCCAAGTGCTCAATCCAGATATTTTGCTCCATGCGTTGGCCGAAAAGTTCCGATCTTGTAGATATTTCGAAGCGAGTATCAGTGCCGCGATGAACATCCGACGCCCGCATTGAAGCGAAAAGGATGAGGCTGAATCGTCAGGCTGCTCCTGCGTAAAGTCGACGGTTGGTACGTGAGGCTGGATTAAGACCAGGTAGTAGAGCGCTACTTGCAGCGTCGAGTAGCTTGTCTTTGATCGCCTTAACACTTCTTGTATGAAGTAACGCAATGCCATTTTGCTTGGTTGCCGTGAGCAGGTTGGGGAGGGCCTAGACTGTATGTGAGCGGCTAGGGGCCATATTGTTTCCACCATTTGAGTGGTAGTATCTTATCATATCGTCAGTCCTTACTTCAATCCTCAAGTATCCTATTAGCTTACCAACTAGGCTGTCCACAAAAGTGACCTTCCGATCGCTCTGGCGAACTAGGGCAGGAGGGGCTCGGGCTGAGTTATCTCCATTTTGCGAGTCTTGCGAATATAAGCGCTGGGTGCGTCTTGGGTTCTGGCGCGCTTCCACCGCAACAGCGGCCGAGGACGACTGCTGGAACGGATTCTGTGTTGCATTTTTGGAGGCTGCAGGTTGAGTTCCTGCAGTATGTTGACAGCAAGGGGTACCTTCAGTATGCTGAATCCAGCTTGGACCCGACCAGCCAATAGAGGCTGATGACACTGAGCTTGTGACTGAGGGTGCATCGATCGAGAATATTGATGGTGCTGAGGAGGATGCTGAGGAACTTGTATTTGACTGAATCGAGATACCCGAAGGACTGATGGTGTACTGGTTGAGGGCGTGGTTGTTCCACGACCGTTGTCTAGTCAAGTCTGGATCCGAAGCCATGCGAAAGGGTATGTACAAAAGAGAGATGTAAAAGTGGTGGTATCAAGAATGTTTCTTCGTTAGCTTGGCTGAGAGGCAAATGACTCAGACAAGCAATACGATCGTCAGGTGCAACGACGGGTCTTCTTCGATGAAATTCGAAACCGTGCTGTTGCACTTTAGTAGAGCTTGGATGTTTGATTGTCAAGGGAAAGAATCCTCTTTCACGACAGAAAAGACTTTAGTTTATCCGCGCTCTTGCTATGTGTGACGAGGCCAGGAGGTGAGGTTGTGAATGGTGAAGGTAATATTTCCTGTTCCTTTCAAACCACCGGTATGCAGTTCCAATAGATATTGACCGTGGAGAGGCTGTGGTACCGTGAAGCCGAGTGAGATCGAGTGACTCCCAAGACGAAGCTGTCTCAAGAGCTACTTTGAGTCAGTCAGCACTTCAAGACAGCGAGCCCTCTGGGACTCCAAGGTCAATACTGTATGATGAATTGGATTCTGCAATACCGGTGGCATGAGGTGTGAGTTTGGGTGTTTGATACATTGTGACTGAGTTCCTCAAAGCTGACAGCTCAAGTGTGTGAGTTGTTGGCTTCTCTGCTCAAGAGCTCTGTGAGGGAGCTCTTGACGGTCGACTCAATGTAGTAAACAGATACAAGCTCCGGTATCGGAAATCTGATGGTCAGGAGGTGAGCAGCGGGGAAGAGATGGAATATTTGAATGGGATGGTGGAGGCGTGGCCGGAAGTAGGTGGCGGGAATAGCAGGGGGATGAGTCTTCAGTGGCAAAGTCCAGTGAATCAAAGAAAGAGGAAGAGCTGGTGACTTGTTCTGAGTAGGCATCCGTCAGTATATCGTGGCCTCTTGTTCCTCTCATTTTGACACTTCCGTGTGCAACAGTCGCTTCCATTGTTACTCACAAGGTAAGGGTGCTTGGGCTTGCTGGCGCAATCCAGGCAGGCGGAACAGCTTGGGGAGAAAGAAAATGAGCCTAATAGTACAAGATCGAACGCCGAAGAAGAGTGGAGAGGGTGAGTGTGATGGTTCCCTTGATCACAGGCTATTCCAGAGTGAAGTCGCACTGCTGTTAATCCAGATAGTGAGGATTGTTCATCTTGGCTGGGGATATGGGGGAAAAGGGAAATGTGAGAAGTGGCCAGCTGCTCGGTTTTGTTCTGGCGCGACTTCCGAGCGAAGCCTGAGAATGAGAGACTTGGGGGCTTGACTCACCACCCAAATGCTTGCACCCACCACGTACCCTTACCAACCCCTCTTGGGTGCTCTTATTATTATTAACAGACCAATGTTGCTTGTTGGCCACTACGGCGGCAAATTCTACATCATATCGCTTCCTACGTTGCAACAAGACCGCATTTACTCTACTTGCATGGATGTATATACAGACATGAGGATTCGGTCCATCCTTTGGCTTCCCACATGAACGCTCGTGGCCATCCTCAACATGCGAGTACTCTCGCAAAGGATTGTTGTTCCACCGGAGAAGACTTGCCCAAGATCTAATGGATGAGGCGTTGCTCGCGGCCTCTAGTGGCTACCAAGTGCTGACCTGGGCAAATCACAACCTCGTTGAATAATCTAGGCAACCATAGCTTGGTCGCAAATCATTGCCCTGAAACCCGGCTTTTGCCACACCTCTTGCGACAGTGGCTGGTGCTTTCTCCAGTCCTTCTTCCCGATCGATGCTCGTTGCCCATGCAATGGCTTTCCCTTATCCAATTGTGATATACTATGCAGAGATACGAAGCCCGCAGCGCGCAGTCATGTAAAGATTGCTGGCAGAAGGTACAAGTCGCAGACCCCACTTCGAAGGCAGAGTTGGTCTAATCATGCGTCCTGCCATCGCGATCGGCCCCGTCGTTGATGATTGGGTGTATTTTTAGTTGCCGTCGGCAAATCACCAGACGATGACTCAAAGGTCTTGACAGCAACGCACCAAGTCGGGCTGATCACGAAACCCTCAAATTTTCTCAATCCTTTCGCTCTCCGTCTGCTCTGCACATGACTATCAGCCTAGATCATTCTAGGCTCCTAGCAACGCCTCTTGATCCATGTTTCAGCGACGATGTGAGGTCTTAGTTGATTCCCTCTGCAGGGGGGAGGCTGAGCAGGCAGTTGCCTACTCGCCACATCCAAGCTCGTTCAGTGGACCCTACGCTCGATATGGAGATGATGACCTCCTCCCGAAGCTGCAGCGCCTGATCGCTCGGCATCGTCAGGCGGAGAAAGGCAGATTTGCCTCTGGTAGGTAGAACAAGGAGCCTCAGCTAAGCAAGCTCCACAATTGCGCTAGCCAGCCACGAGGACCACGAATTGAGAGCAACAGAGATGACGAGTGCGATTGAGGCCTGCACAGCTCCCTGGTCCTGAAGTTAGAAGCTTAAATCTGATAGCATAGCTCAGCAATGGGATAGAACCATAAGACCTTGTATACAGCGCACTTAGTAGTTGGAAGACCGTCTTTCTGCCAGGCCTGAAGGCAGCGTACGGCCTGCTGAGGCACACGTGACGCAAGCTGAAGTCCTCACGTCCATGAACCACGGTCCGCCGCCGCTGACTGCAGGCCGTAAAGTATGCGCGTCCCACTCGTGATGTGTGATGAGTCAAGTTGTAGAATTAACCGCTCGCTTTGATTGCGCTGAGGATATCGGAGTTTGAGCATACCCGTGCTCCTCATGATTGCGGAGAAGCTTCCCTCAAATCATTGGGTCGTCCGGTCCTTACTTGTAAGGCCGCAGCTGACAAAGATGTGTAATACAAGACGTAAGTCCCCAGGCGTTCGCGAGATGAAGTAAGAATATAGATTGAAAGCACATGCGGCTGACGGGGACAATCCTCGCAAGCCGTAGGCTTCATTATGCCTTTAAATTCACATCGATATCCCCGACTCAGCTATGTCCGATCTTGCCATTGAAATTCTTTGAGCATCTGCCAATAGGATGATGACCATGCTCTGTGACTTTAATGGATCAATCCTTGACACCTGAAGCATCGATGCCTGACGAAGCGTTGGACCTATCGAGGGCAATCCTTTCACAAAAGGGGGTTATTTCTCGATGATAGTTGTACAGCGGGAGGTACTGATTGAAGTGATTAATCTTTGGCTATTGAAGATGTCAGCACAGAGCTGTTCGATCTTTGGCAAGACTTACGTTAACACCTCGACCCCAAAGGATCGGGGGGCTATGGCAGGAATCGCACAGTCCATAGCTCTATCAAGCATTTCCAGACGCTTGCTATCTGTGACTTTTGTCCATGCTCGTCGACCTAGTGCAAAGTCCGAGCAGCTCAAGCCCTCGTATTTACGTTGGCCAGCTCTGCTAGCCTAAGCATTCAAGGCATCTTCTCTCCCTTCTTGCTCCTCTCTATTCTCTCGAGTCTCTCGGTTTCATGCTTCGCCTGCCGTGCATGGAGGCTCTCGATCTTCTCCTCTAGGGAGCGTTTCTGAACTAAGATCTTGTGCTTCGTCTGCTCTAGTATCTCGATTTTCTCGGAAGGAGAGGCTTCCCTCATTTGTTTGGCATTCTGCAACAGACGCCTGATCAGTCCAAACTGTTGCTCAAATGAAGCTGGCAGGCGATCAGGAACTCAGGCCAAACTTCGCAAGGGTAGAACTCTGGAAAGGCTAGGGAGGCCTGCGTACCTTAACTGCTTGCTGCTCAGTCTTGAGCTGCGCACCGAGTAGCGCGCCAGTAACGGTAATAACTACACTTGCAAAGGCCAGAAATAGAGGTTTAGCCTTGAGCTGGCTAGCCATAAGAGTATGCTCGGCGTTGAAGCTTTGTGGAGAATTCTTGGAAAGAGTGAGGAGTGACGGCGCTAGCAGCTTCAGCCTAGAATCTCGGTTTTTATGCAGCCTTCAGCGCTGGACTTGTAAAATGACGCATTCAGTATAGTGCCAAATCCCGAGTACACGCTTGTTTGAGGTTGGGTCTTTCTTTCTTATCATTACTATAGCTTTCTGCAATGACCTGAATCTCCGAGGCTGTTCGCGCAATCCGAGAGTCACTCGATAAGGGGTTGCATTAGCAATTCTCGAGTCAGTCGTCCGAGCGCCGAAGCCTCTAGCTGGGAGACGGTCTCTGTCTGCTAGGATTGCCGCAGATCGATTAAAAAATTACAACTGAGAAGACTCTTTCATTTCCGTGGTATTATCTTCGGCTTCATCTTCGACTTCGACTGTGCTCAATCTCGCATGCGTACCTCCTCTGCCAATTGTTCAGTACCGCTACCTTCCTACCACGGAACAACCGTTTCTCTTAATTCTCCTCGACCTGTTTCTTCCAAAGCTTCGTTCATTGCTACTTCCCCATGCCACCTTTGGTCGCCGACTTCATGGTTGATCAGGTTATACAAGCCGCACTTGAATAGGGAGTCGAACATCCGCACAGCTCCACAATCGAGAGCTCTTATGCGCGGTCCTCCATTCCTCCTTGCCAGAATGTTACGTGCTATGTCAAAGGAGCAGGATTGATGCATATTGCGGGACAATGGGGGTCCAATGAGGTTTTCTATACTATCGAACGAGGAACAGTGCACAGTTTGTGACGGGCTACGGTTGGTCGAATTGGCGGCAAAAGTTGGGATCGTCGAGTGCTAGCAAGATGGAGCTTCCACATTCTTCGCAATGTCGATAGCAGCGACGACTAGGAGCCCCAGACCAGTACACTATAATGCAAGAGTAGGGGTTTCACGAAGAGATGGGTGTTGCCGCTGAGGCTTGAGATCGTGGGAGGGCGTCGAGAAGGCGCATAAGGTGTTTTTCAGAAACAACCTGTATAAGAGCAGACAGACACGCAATTGTACAAAGGTGGAAACGGAGGAAGCAGCTTCAAGGAAAGTGGGACGGTTTCTGTTGTCAATGCTGGGTCGAAGGAGGAGACCGCTCGAAGATGCAAAAGGAAGACTCGACAGATAATTGAGGTGTTGATTGCCTTGAAAACAGTCCCGTATTGTTGATTGCTAAGGGTTCGTCGATACTCTTATGGCTACTCTGCCAGAAAGAAGGCGCCGGGGGCATGTACGAGCACCCAATTCCAAGCAATGATTACTGACCAAAAGCAGAACTAATTGAGAACGACAGACAGATCTCAAGACTCCAGTGATCATCCAAGCTCGGTCTCCACCCTTTGCACGACACGCTGATTCACCCCAAAACGTGATAATCGTTCAAATTCGACCCTGTGGCGCCAACTACGGACTGCAGAGCGATACAAAACAGTCTCGGGGCTATATGAGAAGGGAGTCTAGAGTCACGTCTACATTTTACTCCGTGAATAGTAGACGTGAAGGGAACGATCAGCCAGTATCTGAATGTGCATTCATACCCAGGCCAAAGAGTCTCAGGACTTGCGCCAAGAACATGGGCCTCGACCATTTCAGCATACGTCATGATCGAGATGACGTGCAAGCTATGTCTAAGTAAACATTCAATTATACATGCTCGTACTTACTTTGAACATGCTCACTTCCTCCATTTACCGTGCAACTACCAGAGCATCTCTTTGCCATTCTCTTAAGCCTCTCAACGCGAGTCGATCGGTTCCAGCGCCCTTCCCATCCACCGTCCTCAATTCATCTACTTCTAAGAATTTCTTCACCACCTCGACCCGCAAAACAGCCAAAGATTCCAAGATGCCTTCCGGACCACCGAAACATGAAATGGCCTACTTCCCTCAGATGACCTCTTCCCTCCCATCCACCTCCGCAGAATTCCGACGCGTCCTTTGGTAATTATCTCCTCATCTGCTCACCTTTCTACGCCTTCATTTACCGCTTTACCTTTCAGGAAATAACCCTAATACTAAACATGACCTGGTACTCAATACCAAGTTACCAGAGCTAATCAGAGACCGGAACATCGCAGGACAGGACTCTACTCCCAAGTCGTCCTCATGACCGTCCCCGTAGACGGCGATATTGGAGATGAAGTACACACGGTCGACCAGGCACTGACATTCACAAGCGGAGTGGGCAAAGCAATCATTGCAGGCAAGGAGCAGGATGTCAAGGCTGGAGACTTGATGGTCGTGCCTGTAAGCATTACCCTGGCTGCCGAGCTCTAGCCTATCCAATGAAGGCGGGATGGCAAGGAAACGAGTGCAGGCAGGCGTAATGCAGAGAGACTGACATGATGGGATGTAGGCAGGCACGCAGCATCAATTCGTGAACACGGGCCCAACGCCATTGGTATGTACAATTTTCCTCTTTCCTTCTTTCCCCCTTTACCCCTATCGCCATCTCCATCTGCTTTGCTCCTTTTCCCTCACTTCCCAGCTTTCTCAATATAGAACTGACGAGTGCTCATAGATCCTCTACACAATCTACTCGCCGGCCGAGCACTCGCCGCAAAGCGTACACAAGACGAAGGAGGAAGGTGACGACGAGGAGGATAAGGGTATCGATGAGGCGCCGGACTGGGCGAGGAAAAGCCAGGCGGAAAATGAGAAGGCTGGGTTGGTGAGAACGGATGGGAAATATTAGGCAGGTCAGCTCGGAGGGCGGATTGTATCTGGTGGATTCGGAAAGTTGTGAGATAGTAATTTGTAGTCATAACATGGATGAAATTCTGGATTGAGTTATGTTATTGTACTATATTGAAATGATCTTGCTTGCTTCCTTTCCGCATGCCGTTTTCCGCTCGCCTCGTTGTCGAAAGTCAATGATCTACGAGAGAGGAGGTCGTGCTGTCAATATGAATGCAAGTTGATTGAATTGGAAGGTCGTTGCTGCCCGTCGTACGTCGATACGACCGATAATTAGAGGTAAGCGCATATTCACTGTCGAGAGACCCTTGAAGGAAAAGCATGAGTCAAGACGCTGTTTACGGTCAGTGAAGAGGTGATATCACGGGAAATTCAAGAGTTGACTGCATCTGGAGAAGCGAAGCAATGGAGCACTGCCGTGTGCTCATGCATATACCCCGAGCTTCGACAGATGAAAAGAGAAACAGACACCTAGGATCCAGGGTCCAAAGACATGGGAACAGAAGTTTATGGGTTGAAGTACATTACGAAGTCCATCGTATGTCGATCCTCCAAAAAGTGCCCCATATATGTTCTCCACATATGGAGAAAGAAACACCAAGGGCTGGCAAAAAGAAAAAAATATATTTTTGCAGACTTTGTACCAGACCCGGTGCTTGAAATTTCAATTTCAATTTCAACTTACTTTAACTTCTTTCCCTCCCCTTCACTTGGGGCAGCGATAGTAGTACCGCCACCCCCAGGACCTGGAGTGCTCCGGTCCGCGGTCGTTACTCCCTCGTTGTTGCATCCCCGAGGGTGAGGACCCAGATTGCTCAGGTCCTCAGTCGTTACTTCGTCGTTAGTGGTTCCTCGAACTTTTTTTGGTTTTTTTTTTGGGTTTTAATATTTTTTTTTGTTATTTTAAATGTATGTCTCCCCAGAGACACGAACCCACGATGGGACCCCTTAGGGTAATTCTGCGTTGAGGTAGAACGTTAGCGTGGGTTTTTTTGAGGCTTTTGCGAAGCACCAAAGTCGGCCAGTGTCTGCTTGATATTTGAGAAATGCGTATCAGAAGTTATATACTTTTTCTTTAGGAAATTGGATATTTTGGCAAAAAACATGCAGCAAGCTTTCCACATGATCATGCACTCTGAAATAGGTGCACACGTTGTAGAGCATGCTTTTCGTGTGTGCGTAGGCTTTTCTGCATCATATTGGTGGTATAGGGCGTCGAAGTGTCGGTCCGGGTGTAGATTTTGGCTGCTTTGCCCAACACCAAACGACTCAAACATGTTCCATCATACAACAACATGACGCGAGTGCTCCGAGATCATCGAGCAACTGATATTCCTGCAGAAAATCGAAAGGCGGTTGCATATATTGATATCCAAGCAATGGACATGCTTCCTGGAATGAAAGCCTTTCTTGCCCGACAGCAGCAGTCAAAGCAAATGTCAGCGCAGTGGCTGCGCAGCATCTTAAGCAGTCGGCCGCATCCCAAACATTTAAACTTGGGCGACTGTAGCCCAACCGAGCAGGTAGTCGGCTTTCGCAATGTCGCCACCGTCACGGATAGTGGAATCCTGTCATGTTTTGCTGTGGGCACGGCTTCACGATCAGCAGAGGCACAGATCATTCGGGTCGTCTGGTATTTGATATATCAGTAATGTCACTCTGCCTTCTTGCAATTGACTCAATGACTAATGCGACTGTGCCTCGAAGGCGACTCCATTTCACGATCCCTCGCTCCTCCTTGACCTCCCCAATACGGAACTAACGCCATTGTCAGGGCGCCTGATCACAAGAGCAAATTGCCGTAAATCACATCACTAGATCCTAAGGTTCTAGAACTCAGATCGTTCTGGGGTAATGTCCGAAAAGAGAGATGATCAAAGGAAAGGAGTAACTCTAGTCTGGGCAGGTGGCGAGCTTTTGACAAGATCTCCTTTCCTAGACGCCGAGATACTGTCACTTAGGCGCTGCACATCCTTTGGGGACCATCTCGAGCCTCTGGAACAACCGAGGAAGGCACAACTCATAGGTATGTCACAACGGATGCAGTGAAGCACGCGAAAACCGAAGAGGCAGGCACGACCCAGAGGGTACATCCCTTGCGCCTCTCGTGCCTCACGCCACGAAACCACAGGAATGTTTCACGGGACACCCTAAAGACAGGAATACATCGTCGCCGTAATCCTCCCGCATGGTGTACTACTACATGATGCACATGAGGTGCTGCAACAAGGGTCCAAGATGTGGAGATGATGTCGTCGAGGGTACAGCCCATCAGAGTTTGTCCAACCGCCGCCCCAAGCCAGACTAATGCCTGGCACGGGGCGTCACGCTCATCCTCCTCCATCATTCGCCAGAGAGCTGCCTTAGGCAAGCTTGAATCAATCACATCCCGCTCCCGTCACAAGGAACACAGCAAATCATCGCCCGGATCATGCAGGTCAAGACATAGACTAGACCCGCTGGGGGGTCCTCCTCCCTGATTTGACAGCTTCCCCCAAGTCCTCTCGAATCATCCCACCAATCTGCGTAACGGATGGCGCGCTGATGGGGAGCAGCTATGTCCTCCACGACTTCGAGCATGGGTGCTCTCTCTGGCCCGTGTTCGAGTCTGCCCCCATTTCTCTGGTGGATCGATCTAGCCAGCCTGCATCGGGAACAGGGTTCGCCTAAGCGCAGGATGTGCTCTGCCATCACATCCGGCAAGCTCCAATGGCGGTGGAGTGCAGGTACAATCGCCCATTGTGCAATGGATATTCTCCGCCCTAGCTTGGAACATATACTCGGCGGGGCCCACAGGTCTGCAGGATCCTAACTACACACCGTTGCGTGAAGCAAAGAGTTCCTGTCTTTTACGTTGCGCCTTCGAACCCTCCTAATCGCGACAAGGAGCTGGTATCCTGTTGAACCGCTAGATCTCATTTTCCTAGACATTTTAGGATAGAACGACAGGTGTCGCCCGAAGGGTGGTCATACAAGATATCGCAACGGCATAGCGAGAAGAAGCAAGCAGCATACCTCAACCCTACACTGAGCGTCTACATGGGCAAGACTTGAGGATCAGACGCTGGAGGTCCAAGAACGTCATTAAAAAGACCCTTCTGCACGCTACTTTGGTCAAGCATCGCATGAGTACAATCGAAAGGCACAGTTGAAGAGCTTGTCTTCGCACCGCTTCTCAACGTCACCGAACGCTCAGCATGCCTTCGATACAAAACCTCCTCTCGCGCTCTTCCATCGCCTCAGTCTCGCACTCACTAATCAAGCGAGTCAAAATATCAACCAACAAGAACAGCCCTCAAGCTCTCAAAGACTCACTGAAGCAAGATCCATGGGGTAAATCAGGAAAATATGCGCTCGGCTGGGTATACTTCTGCGTTGTGCTGTTCGTATTCACGTTTGGGCTACATTGGTACCATTACTGGAACGACAAGATCGGGCGAGCGACATACAAGGAGGAGATTGCAAAATCGTCAAAAACCTCTTCACCGGACACAGATTATGAGCTAGCAAACATGCCGACCAACTGCTCACACCGAAGATTCTTTCCAAGAGAGGGTGATCTCAAGCAGCATACCACCACCACTACATATACAGAGGAGGAATCAACGCTGTCATTTGGACCTCTCAACAAAATGATTGCTTTGGTCCGCTTCCTTGTCTACAGACCGTTGCCAATCATCCGATACTACAAGAAACGGGAGTTCAGCTTTCCCGGGGTTGGCGCTATTATTGTGATCTTCGCTGCCACAGCGTTCGTCACACTATACACCTTCCTTCCCAAACCTCTCTACTACGCTACTATCGCCTTCGGCTCCCCTCCCCTAGCAATCAGAGCTGGCATGCTCGCAGTTGCTATGATGCCATGGATTATCGCCCTCAGCATGAAGTCGAACGCAATCTCATGGATGACGGGTATTGGACATGAAAGACTCAACGTGCTTCACCGATGGGGCGCCTACATCATGCTTTTCCTCAGTTTGGTCCACACAATACCCTTCTACGTCACACCTATCTGGGATCAAGGAGGCTTACAGACTTTCAAGAACCTATTTCAACAGCAATTCTACATATATGGTACGGGCCTGGCGGCTCTAGTACCTTTGTGTGTGCTTTGTATCCATTCACTGCCGTTCTTGAGATCATGGGCGTACGAGCTCTTTGTGACGCTGCATGTTCCCATATCGATCGTGTACCTGGGAATGCTCTTTTGGCACTGCCACAACTACCTTACATCCTGGAATTATCTTTGGGCCACAGTTGGCATCTGGCTTGCATCTTGGCTCACTCGTTTCTTCTACTTCAACTGGACGAATCCTCGGCGGATGTCATGGCTCATTGGAGAAGAGTCAGCCATCTCCATACTGCCGGAGAATGCTGTAAAAGTGACAATAGCGACTGAAATGAAGTGGAGACCGGGTCAATACGTATACATCAGAATGCCTGGAATCTCAGTCTTCGAGAGCCATCCATTCACCATCGCATCATTATGCAGTGAAGACTTCCCATCAGAATACGGTGAGAATTACAAAGATATGGCGCTTGTCTTCCGGCCGTTTGGAGGGTTTACGCGCAAGGTGCTGGATCGGGCCCTTGTAGATGGTCCAGAGAAGACATACCGAGCATTCATTGACGGACCGTACGGTGGTATGCGCAGAGACATTGCGTCATTTGATACTGTCGTCTTCTTCGCCGGTGGCAGCGGTATTACAGCGATCGTCTCACAGCTCCTCAACCTCATCAAGAAAATGCGGGACAATAAGGCAATGACCACAAAGATTCATGTCATCTGGGCCCTAAAGCGACCCGAGACGATGGAGTGGTTCAAGGAAGAGCTCAGGATATGTAAAGAATTTGCACCTCCTGAATCGGTTCATTGCCAATTCTACGTCACTGCTGCAAAGCGTATACTCCCAGGCCAGCAGAAGATCCCTCCGTCGCCAAGTCGTCCCCTTCAGGACGCCATTCACAAACAGATCGACCATACTTTCCAAGGCATAGCATCGAAGCGCAACTCTGCCCTTATCACGGAGGCAGCAGGAGGAGATCCAGAGAAAGAGAAGAACCTCAAAGAAGAAAATGAAGACTCAATATCCGGACTCCCTCATCCTACCTTCCTCCCGCAGCCGAAGAAGGCGCATATGAAGCACAAGCCCAACCTCTCCCTGACCACAAACCTAAAGGTGCCTGAAGCTAGAGATTCGGGTGTCAATGGCTTTGACTTTGGGTTTCCCTCGACGCCCACCATGCTTCAGAAGAACATCATGCGATTTGCATTCCTCCCCTCTATGAACCCAAAGAAGAGCAGTTGGAGCACAGAATATGGGCGACCAGATATACCCTACATGCTGAAGGATCTTGAGCGCGATTTCGGAAAGAAGACATGCGTCTTCGTCTGCGGGCCACCGAGTATGCGTGTGGATGTGCAGAAATGCGTCGCCAATCTGCAGACAACCGTTTGGTCGAAGGGGAGGGAAGAGATCTACCTACATACCGAGAACTATGCATTATGAGGGGAAACGTTCGGCTTGTCCACGATTTTGGCGTCGTACGGGAAACCTGGAGCGCTGCATATATGGGCGGCGTTTGTTGGAAGAATTTGGAGATGGATATACCCTATGCTTGAGGAAAGGAGAATCTTCCTCAGCTTGCTCAGACGAGCTTTTTCGTAGCCGATATTGTGAACAAGAGCGTTCGCTAGCGACGTACTCAAATAATTAATTCAAAATCACTAAAAACTCACTCTCTCCCGCTTTGCTATACTTGACTTCTCACATAAATCTTCCAGCCCTTCAATCAATTCAGACTTAAAGACTTTGACTTTTGTAAAGCCATGACGCAATACGTGATGTCTGCCCAAGCGGATGCTTGCGTCGCCCCAAAATGTCAATGGTCACCTTTTCTTTCCATATCACTTCACTCTTCTCACCCCACCAGCTTCTTCCCCCGACATACCTTGAAGCCTCTCGGTCATGGCAACCTCGGACTGGGCCGTGAAAGAGCTCGAAAAGCTACTCCCGCTTGACCATGACTCCCTCATCCAAATACTAGAGTATACATCCAGCCTCTCCAAATCCGACTCCGCCGAGCATTTGAAGAATCTCCTCGGCGATACTCCCAAAGCTTTAGAGTTCATCAGCTCCTACAATGCAAGAAGACAAGATACAGCGTCCTCGGTGACCTCCAACGCCGCTGCACAAACCGAGCAAAGACAAGATATCGATCAAAGCGTCCCCAAGAGCACCCGCAAAGGCCAGAAAAAGAAGCACCCCCTCCACGCGCTTCCCTCTCGCCAGATTGAAGGTCAAGGCAACGTCACAGGCGGCTACAAGAAAGGCTCAGGCGATGACTACATCTCCTCCAACAAACCTCGGCGTGACCCCGAGCACGATGCAGAGCAAGCATCTACATTCGCCCTCTCCTCAACACCAGACGCTCGCCAGCTGCCCAAGAAAACGCTCGGCAAGCTTCCCCTTCAGCAGCAGGCACGTTCATCTCGGATCTGCCAAACGTAAAGTCCAAGAGCCAGATGAGTTCGCGGAACGCAAGCCCAGCGCCTTCGAAGACAAAGGTGACGGTACAAGGCGGCGTGGCAGGCAAGGGCGCGAGCAGTACGCTTGAAGATCTTGTATAGTTCCCCTACCTCCCTTACTCTCCTGTTGCTCCTTTCTCCTCCTGGTCCCCAAACCTGCATCGCCTCCCAACTCACATCTCTACAGGACGCAGCTATCCGCGCCCTCGAATTCCAAACCAATCCAACTCTCTCCACCACCTCCTCTTCGTCTTCTTCCTCCGCCGATCGCACCTGCACCTGCAACGCAACCCGTCACCCTCTCTCCACCGTAGCCCCCAACTGCCTCAACTGCGGCAAAATAATTTGCCTGAAAGAGGGTATCGGACCCTGCACGTTCTGCTCCACCCCGCTCCTCTCCTCCGCGCAAATCGTCGACATGCTTGACTCCCTGAAACAGGAGCGCGGGGCCGAGAGGATGAGGGTGAATAATGCAGGGCACGCGCGCCCTGCCACCACCACCATCGCTAGCTCTTCCTCCACTCTTGCCCCTGCACACTCATCCTCGTCTTCCGCTGCAGCAGGGGTAGGGAAGGCAGATGAAACGCTCAACAAAGCCGAAGAGCATCGAAATCGTTTATTGGCTTTTCAGCGGGAAAATGCGAAGAGGACGACTGTGCATGATGAGGCGGCTGATTATGAGACCACAACGAGTTCGTGGGCGTCCCCCGCGGAGCGGGCGAGGCAATTGCAACGACAATTGAAGGTTAAGAGGGAGCAGGACTGGGCGGCACGGCCGGAGTGGGAGAAGAGGGGGAAGGTGCTGAGTATTAATTTGGGGAAGGGGGGAAGGTCAGTAGGACTGTGGGGGTGGAGATGGGGGCGAGGGATATGGGGAAAGAAGACGAAGGCCTTGAGGAGGGAGAAGTGGTGGAGGAGGATGGGGGAGGAGGGGGAACGGGGCACGGGTTGGGACATAATCCGCTCATGGGCGCGGGCATGATTAGACCTATATGGACGGGGAAGGGGAAGGGGAGGGAGATTGGCGGTGGAGATGGGGATGAAGGGAGGGAGAAGAGGAAAGGCTGGAGGAGAGTGCAGGATGATTGGGAGGATAATGAGGGTGTTATTCTCGATGGGGGCGTGTATGGTGGGCAGGAGGAGAGAGATGAAGGTTGGTAAAAGGTAGATATGGAGTTAGCAGCTTTATAAAGAGGTGGTTATATAGCTAGAGAAGCTTAAATCAGACGATTGCAGCTTATATCATAGACAAATGTGGCTGCAATTTTGATTGATTAATGCTATAAAGTCGTCTCTACGACTATCAACTACTCGCTGCCCCCCTGCCCCTCCCCTTCCCCCTCCCACCGCCCCTCTCTATCCTTGAAGCACAAGAATTCCGCCGTCTCCTCCTCCTCCTCCACCAGCGCCCGCCACGCATCTCGCACCCCATCCAGCATCTCGTCTTCCATCACAAACGTCGGCGCCACCTCCGGCGTCTCCACCGCCAGGGACCCCGCTGCAATGGCGCCCGGGGGCGTGGGGCAACGCTGCAAGTACCTCATTTGCCAGAGGATTTCCACTGGCGCAGCCCCCTTGTCGAAGCGGATGAGGCGGGCGATGGCGGCGTCGAGCCACCGGAAGGGCGGGGCGAACTGGGCGGTGGCGGCGGGGAGGGTGATGAGGGCATAGATGACACCTGCGCGTGATAAAAGGGGCGGGTCAGCGAGGTGCGGATGGTAAAAGGGGCGGGATTAGCAGAACGGGAGGGCGGGGAGGGTTGTAAAGATTTCAGACTGTCAGAGGTGTGGTTGCAATCAGTCCCGCGCCGTTAAGGCGGGTCAGGCAATGTAGATAAGTATTCGGATTGTGTCATCATTTGAGAGTGCGAGGTTGTGAGAAGGTAGGAATAGAGGGAGCTTACTTTGATCGCGGGGGCATTCGCCTGTCTCAGCGGAGCGGACTTGGAGGTAGATGGGCACGGGGTTTCTCGGTGCTGGCGGGGGCGGTGAGGGCAGTGGTACGTCTGAGGTCGGCGGTGTCTCTGAAGTGGGCGATTCGTCTGAACTTGGTGAGATGGTTGTGTCAGGAAGACTGAGGCTACCAGTTGGAAAGATGACCATCACGGCCGCTGGATTATGTACAGCAGCTTTTGCTGGGGGAAACATCTCAGGGAGTGACGAGGTGACGATGGCGATGCTTCGGACTGCAATTTTGGGTGGATCTTCTGGATTCGGGTCTGGTCTGGTGGTGGCTGAGGGGTAGTCGTATTTTGAGCCGACGGCGCGACGGGTGTAGATCGTTTCTTCAAGAGTGAGTCCGAGTGCTAGGAATTTATCGTTCTGGTCAGGGTGGTTGGGTGGAGCGGTGCTGTCTGGGAAACCCCCGATGCCTTTGTTTAGAACGTATACGCCTCCTCCTACTGCTCCTGCGCGGCAGCCGACTTGGGCGATCTCTGCTAGTCCGCCCCATCTGGGTATTACTGCGCAGAAGCCAGGACCGTACGCGCCCATTGAGGATAGGTGTCGGTGAAGACGAGTGAGGGCATACTCCGTGGTCGTGTCTTCTGGTGCATTTGGGGATAGCGTGAGGGCGTGGAAAGGTGCTTGCAATCTCCTATCCAATTGGTATTGTGCTGTCAGGAAGTAGGTAAATGGTAGTGTCTTATTTTCTGCTATGGCTTGTTTTCGTGATTCGTCATCTTTAATCATGAGTAGCAATTGCGTCAAACTGCGTTTGTTGGCGAAATCAATGGTCTTATCTTTCACGATACCTTCTCGGCCATTGGGAATCCTACGAAGGCAAGGCCTACTTGCTGGTTCAAGAGCATTTTGCTGTACACTTCCGCCAAGTGAGAAACTATCGTTGACTCCAGGATCGAAGATGAACCAATTGCCCACGGCAAGGAATTCGAGTTGTTTGTAGACTTTCGATGCGACTAGAGCGGGAAGTAGATTTGTACGGCTGTATATGATTTGCGGTGCAAGGCAAAGATTGTAGGCGCGAGAAAACGAGAGTCTTGGTACGGCCGATACATATTCTTCGAGTTTTGTTATGGACGCCTGCTGGAAAGGACTGCGAGTTGCTTCTTCACTCAAGTCAGACTTTCGTACAGCATATGTGTGCGATCTCGCTTACCATGGTTGATTCTTTCCACCCAGACTTCTGCTTCTTCCAAGCTTAAGGCAGCTTCAGATCCACCGTAGAACTCATGTTCGTCGTGATGCAAGACTTTTTTGCCGGATCGTGAGAGTGCTCTTGATCCGCTTCATTAGAGACATGTTCCTATGTCTCGAAATTGTGCTTACAGAGCTAGGAGGGAGTTTGGAAGACCAGTTCCAGAAAGGACGATATCCCAAGTCGTGTTATTGAGCGACTCCATCATCACATCATACTTTTGGCTTGAAGCGTATAGCTAGCTGTTGATCTAGATTCCGCCAAAGGGAGTCAAAGCCAAGGGCTGATGGGTGTGGTTACATGACAGCCCTAAAGCTAGCCTGCTACAGAAACCTTTCTTGTGCCCATTTTCGTCACCTTGCATGCGGCTTCGAAAAATCAACAACCACGACTTCAAAACATGCTTGCGCCAGACATCGCTTACATGTTAGATCTGGGGTCCTTGTGACCTTCTAGAGCTCGTCGTGGAAGATTGAATCTCCTGCGTTTATCTGCTGGTCTGGATTTCATGTGAAAGGCTAGTTCGTTTCTGCAGGTACATATTCTTCGTACACATGTGACTACAGCGCAGCGTCTGGGGAGACCGCCATGGGTAGTCCGTTTAGGACGCTTGATTTCAAATTGTATCAATGGCATTGTCTGAATTATTCTACCGAGTACACTTTGTTTGGGCCTGAAGGATAGCTGCAGATTGCTGCACGCGCCTTGGACTACATAGCCAGCGCAGCAGTCACCAGCCACTAGATCCCCACGATTCTCCTATCCATCGAGTCTCAAGTCACTTGGCCTTCCTTTCTACAAGCAACCAAGCTTGGTGCTGTCTTCTGGTACGGCTATCTTTCTCCTTCAAAATTGCATGTACCACCTCGATGGGACAATTTGGCTGTTGCGTCTGCAAGCACAGCTTGTATAGTTTCTTATTCCATATCCTAGCTCTGCACCATTTATTCACCACCCTCCATGACCCTCATACTCCTGATGACCACCGCCTCAATCGGCTTATCTCCCTCCCCTGTCCTCACCAAGCCCATCCTCTTCACCACACTCAGCCCGTTCTTGACACGTCCGAAGATCGTATGTTTCCCGTCCAACCACGGCGTCGGCGCCAACGTTATAAAGAATTGGCTGCCATTCGTATCTGGCCCACTATTCGCCATGCTTAAGACTCCTGCGCCCGTGTGCTTTAGGGAAGGGTGAATCTCATCGGCGAATGTAGGACCGTATATGGAAGAACCACCTCGGCCTGTCCCCGTCGGATCGCCGGTCTGGATCATGAAGGAGGGGATTATGCGGTGTACTGGGATATTGGTGTAGTAGCCTCGTGAGGCGAGGGTCGAGAAGTTCTTGCAGGTCTTGGAAGGCGAATCAGCTAGTCTGTCGAAGAGAGGCATGAGCCGGGCAAAGGAAGCGTACCTTCGGGGCGTGTTCGTTGTAAAGCTCGACTGTAATGGAACCCTGTAGTTGTGAGCAATCTTGAGCGAGTCGGGAAGAAGGGGAAGGCTGACCATAGAGGTATCAAGGACTACGTCTGTAGCCATGCTGATCGTAGCTGTAGTCGAAGACCAGAGAGATATGAATTTTGTAAAGAGATGGTTGGAGAAATGCGTTCCTGGTTGCGCCGGAAAGGCCGCGCGCCCAAACCTCGAGTTTTAGGCTCTCCAAACATTTCTTCCTTCACACCACACCCATGATTTGCTCAATCATTGTACCTTGCAGGCACAGCTCGCTTCGACTATTATCATCTGCAGCAATATCTCCAAAGACTCCCGGATCGTTGTGAAGATTTCCGAGCTCAATCCCGTTCAAGGCAATAGTGGAATCGGCTCTTCACCAGGGCGGGCTTGTCGTGCATCTCCATGCAAGCCAGAGCTGGCTTCGCGAACTCGAACATACGATGCTCCAGTAAATATCAAGCTCGTGACCGCCTCAATGCAGACCTGGTGCTCGCAACATTCGGCTCGAAGTCATCTCGAGGGCCAACATTTGAGCCCTCAAATCTCCCGCAAGCCGTACTCTGTCAGGCACAGACACCATGGCAGTCGTGCGGTCTGGAAGATGGACACAAGCGTGTATCATTGGCTCACGTTGCGCTTGCTGAATTGCCTGGATATGTTCGCCTGGCCTTTCTTGTCAATGAGAACCCGCTGTTTACCATGCATCTGCGATACTCGTGTGCCCTTTCGAGGCCATCTATAACTCCACGCCTGCGTTACGTCTACATTTGATGATGCGCTTGCAAATTGACTCCCTGATGACATGGACCTTGACGCTATCATAGGGTTCATAAATTCGTTGATATGTTTTTGATCAGGGTCGCTAACATATTCTCTGATCCGTTAGACGGATCTCGGGAAAGATCTACTCATGCTGAAGGGCGGCCTCAAACTGCAGGCTAGCTGCTCTTCGTCTGCGGAGTTTCTATCTGCTCCTTCCTTTCCTTCGTTGCACGCTGTGTTGGGAGAGCATATGCCTTAGCGCAAGGGTCGATCTGACAATGATACCGTTGCTGTGGACCGACGGTGCGCCTTCTCCTTTCGACTGTTGACATGCTCGAAGGGAAGGAGCCTTTAGACTTTCCCATAAAACAGGTTTGCACCTAAAAGATTCCTTTCTTCAACATCACTCACATTACCATCATACAGACTCATCCAACATCGTTTCATCCCAACTGATCCTGACTTGCTCCATCATACACATTCACTTGCAGCAGTCGCCAGACAAGTAACGCTACGACCATGCATTCATCACTCTTCAAGCTGGCAGTAGCCAGTTTCGTCCTCATCCAGCCCTCTGCAGCTGCTCCACATCAACACAACTCGGATCTTGCTGGTCTCATTCGAGGCTCGCATCTCGCTGAACGATCTCAACAAGTCCTGAGCACCCTTTTGTTTGCACCAGCTCTGTCTTCTGTGGGAGAGAATTTGACTCTCGACAAATACCCTATGACTGATGGAGAATGCTCTCCGCTACCGCCAGGTACCGGTCCGAATATCACTCCCGACACACCTGAGGACTTCCAAAAATCCGACATTTGGGAAGTAAGACCATCCCATTGCTTTAGAATTGAAGTTTCCCATACTAAGACAAGAACGATAGGAGATAGCAGAGGATGCTGAAACGCCTGAGGGCTACTACCTCATGTTCGGAAATTTGGATGCTATCGTGGATTCCGGAAATGAGCTACTCGCAGTCTTGATTCTGAATACCTATGATACACTGTCTTGCGCAATTGCTTGTGATGAGATTGATGGGTGCGAGTCATTCAATATAGCTGTCATCAGGTCACCAAGCCTGTACGTGGACGGTGAACAATGTCCCAATCCTCCAAGCGTCAGCCGGTATGCCTGCGGCCTACTTGGAGAGGCCTTAATTGAAGATCCACCGACCGATGATGGTGTATGGTGGGCAGACTTTCATATCGTTGCTGCTGGCTCCAATGGTATGAATCTTCAGCTGCTTTGAAGCTTACTATCAACTGATCAAGAGAACAGTGTACAACAAGGTCAACGCAACCGAGGCAGAAGACCTCGAGGACTCAGAAGACCCAGAGTATCCCGATGATGGTGACGAAGACAACAACAAGACGAAGGCAGCCCTCTCCAGACGTGACTGCAACGGTGCACCCATCATTCGCAATGGCGGTTTTGAGCAAGATGACCCATCTCGTACAACAACACCTACCAGCTGGAACATCACCAACATTCATCCTGCAGTTACATTCGGCTTTACCAAGCCCGGTAGCACCAACAACGGTGGCACTTACGCCTTCCTCGCCAACATGCTTGCACCTGATCCATCTGTCGAAGACCCCATGACAGGCTTCATTTTATCCCAGGAATTGAACACATGTGCAGGGCACAATTACACGGTCATCTTGGACTTCAGGTACGACGACCCTGCTGACGGAAACTGTACCGCGGTGGTCTTGATCGACCCTCAAGTTGACGGCAAGAAATATCCACTACTGCCTTGTCCTGTCGCCAAACATGAGCCGCATAAATGGAATACAGTGGGGTTGGATTGGACGAGCACAACACCGAACGATCTGCTCTCTTTGGTCTTCCAGTGTCATGGACATGTTTGGAACAACTGGAGCATTGACAACGTGGTTGTGGACATGACTGACTCCTAGCTCCACAAGTCTTGCTAAGGAAATAGTGGTCGTCCACATGGAGGCTCAGGAGCGGAAAGGCTAGTGATGATGGAATTATGATGAGCACAGAACAGGAACGGGATGGAGTCTTGGATACACGGTTTTGGTTACTGTGATTATTGTTTCCTGTTGTATGGTAGTTGCTCCTTATACGAATGATCATGCGTGCAAAGCGTGTTGTTGATAAAGTACATTGGTTACAAACTTGCCTCATACGCTTCGTCTTTCTCGCAGCTCCCTTTTCATTACTGATCCTTGACCTGCCCTTGATTTTCAATTCATGACGTTGATTCAAGACTTACGGCGTCTGTGTCCCAGATGCAGAGCTCTCATAACCACAACAGTTTGCCCGGTACCTATGTAAGGATGATCTCGGGGTCCCACGAGGGAGCACTCCAAAACGATCCGTCTCTCCAACCATGTCCTCGATTTCTGGGACAGCGGTTATTTGTCTTACACATCTCGAATATCGATGGCTTTGTTTCGGCTCCATGCCAGAAGTTTATTATCGTGAAAGCTTGGGCACAGACTAGTGCGGTCGTAGCATAACTCTACATATCCGGCAAGGCGCTGGGCGAAATGGATCATTGGGCTGATCGGGGCGAGAGGTGAGCGTAGGGGTGGGTCAAGATTGCATGGTTCTGTAAGTGTTGTTGGTACGATGGTTTCGGGTTCTTGGAATAGTTTCGCCGGGGCGAGGGGGGGGGGGGGGAGGGTTTAGGAGAGGTGGAGGGTTTGGAGTATGAGTGGGACAGGGGAATGGGGGGAAGTGTAAAAGGGTGGAGGGTGGAGGATGTAGGAGGGGGGTAGAAGGGAGGAGAGGCAGCTAATGGGGATATAGCCGGCCGGGGTGAGGTGGGAGATGTGGTAGGGGAGCAGGGCTAGATCTGAGAGTAGAGGGATGGAATTGAGGTATGGGGGAACAGATTTGGGTTGGTGGGAAGGATAGCAAGGAGGGTGGAAGACAGTGTGATGAATATGAGCGTGGAGACGATAGGAGGGAAAGGTATGAAGGAAGATAGCGATGGTTGAGCTGGAATTGGAGGGGAGGCTGAGGGGAACAGGGCGTGGATAACGTTCGACATTGGTGGTAGGTTGCGATCTGTGCCGGAGGCTCTTGTGAGTATGTCAGGACCGGCATCAGAGTCGTTTGCGACTGTTCATGCATGTAGGTACGTGTGAGCAGTGGACATGGTCTGTAAGACGAATATCTGCAGGGGCAGTCTGCCTGTCTTTGATTGTTGATGCTCAAAGCGTTGTCGTCTAAGTTACTATCAAAAGCCTCGTCGTTGTTTAAGACGTTCGCCGTTGACTGATGGGCTTCTTCTTGCTTCCAACCGACTTGGTAGTTGTTCGAAATTCTCAAACCACTTGTCGACATTGTGAAGGATGCTTGCGGCAGCCAAAGTTTGCATGGTAATTGACTCATTGAACGGGTACGACTCTCGTGTAGTCTTTGTATGCTATGTTGAGACTGTCTTCTTCGTGCTTCTGTCATTGTCGACTGCGCCAGTAGATATCGAGATGGCGTAATAAATTTTCACAGTTTGCGCAAATCCTGGGAAAGGCTGATCTCGACCAATCAGCTCCTTCAAAATGTATTACTAAGCGCAAATTCCCAAGGAAACGACAGACGATGCGATTTCCTTGTCATCATTCATGATGCATCACAGTTTGTGTAGAAGCCTTCGTTGGTGAGCAGATACTGCGGTATGCAATTTGAAGAATACAGGTATGTTGGAAAGAGGTGGAGCGAGCAATTGCTCAATGTTCTGCAAAGGTGAGATTGCATGAGCTTCTGAAGCGACGACGACGACGAGGTAGGACCATACGGCCTGAAAAAGGTGTCTTTATGGCTCTTATTAAAGTTTGTGATATCTTGCATTCATTGTTGTGAAATTATTGCATTGTCGTCGATTGCTGCGTTGCGCTGTGTTGCGAATTACACCAGAGTCAAAAACCAAGATGCATAGGTGTGCAATGTGAACAAGTCAATTAATGGTATATGTTTTGAAATATGCGAGGATTCTTTCGCCCCCCGCCGGTCCGTAGCAGGTAGATGGGTGGTGGTGTATTCGTAAATCCAGGTTTACCTGCGGAGTAGACGAGTCCTTCAGGTCAGCCGGGGGGAAGTGTAAGTCGCGAGTATTGAGGGAAGTGGTTATCTGAGGGATCGGGTGTTCGAGCCCATACACTGTCCTTTCCTTGAACTTGATCAAATGGCTAACATCTTACTAGAAGCATAAGCAAATCAAACAATATCATGAAATCTTTTTTTCTCCATCGTCCTCTCTTTTTTAACCCCCTCAGATCTATCATATTCTACAACTATGTTCTGGAAGCACAGTCTTGGCAACATCGCGATAGCTAGAGGAGGCGGGAATGGGTGGCGAGTCCTCGTCATCCATTGGGCAGTTCGACACCTGAACACATTCACTTCGGAAATCCGACACTTGAAATCAGAGGTTTCTCCCGCAGCATTCCTCCATCCTTCATCCTCCATCCTTCCTAGCTCTCAAGAAGAATCACAATATCATCTTCATCACAATAGTGTTTATCATTCTCAAAATCGTCGTCTCAACGGAAGTCCTCAACTTGAGATCAGAGTCTTTTCGCTCAGAATCCCCTCAACCTTCACCCTTCCTACTTGTTGACATACCTCACAAGATCAGCTGTATCATACTCTTTACTGTCGATACCATTCGCATCATATCAACGCACCATAATCATCGCACCAATCCAACAGCACCATCTATTGTCCGACAAAATGTCAAACTCCAATACAAGCGACCATAACGCCGCCAGCCCCGAAAATTGCGACGCAGAAACTTTTGAATCTACAGACCATCGGTCCGGTAGACAAGAAGCATTATTTGTCAAGGTCTACATAGATCAAGATCAAGGTAATTACTCCAGCAAATCCGCTAAGGCAAAGTTGGGGCCCTAATTAAGAGAAAAGAGGCTTCACGCAAGATCGATTTCAGTGAAAGTGTCAATGCCCTTGGCACCCTCTATCGCAGTCTTAATGACAAGGAGAACCACAAAGCTCTCCGGGAAATCATCAAGTTTTACCAAAGTTGCCTAAAAGCCAACAGATTGCTTGACCTGAGTTCCTTGTCTGTAGGGGCAAAAAAGCACCATTACGGACATCAAAAGCAAGAGGCAAGTAGAAGAGTGTATGCGGACAAGGTGCAACTCGAAGAATGGTTGGCAGAGGATAAAAAGTTTCGAAATTGGGCACTCAATGCCTGGTACGATAGATTCCCAACCTCAGACCCACCATTCCGCAACATCTCCCGACTACAAAAGAAGAGGTATGTAGAGACTCAACCACCCATGGATGCTCCAGACAATATAGTCGACTTGACTGCTGACAATACGCCTCTCCGTACCGAGTTGTCTGCTAATACCGGCTCGCCGCAAACCTCAGATCAACCTTTGGGTCACAGTTATGGGGACGCCACACTTGAAAAACCACTTAGTGCAGGCTCTGAGGGAGCTAGTGAGAAAGCATCCCTAGAACAACGAGTCAAGGATCTTGAGCACCAAATACACGATCAGCAGGCTACAATAGCCGAGAGCACTAGCCGATATGAGGCCCTAGAAGAGCAGGTCAAATCGCTTATGGACGAACGAGCTGCAGAATACCAACACTCCCAGTCGCTCAAGGACCAGCTCCAGGAGTCTGGAGCTGAAATTCGACGATTAGCGCAAACGATGCAGGCGATGGAGCAGACACTGACGCGAAAAGTCCACGCTGTCGCCTGGAACACCCATATTAGTCTGAGGAGCTTTGCCGCCGAGCAGCAAGCAGAGCAGCAAAGAGCAGAGCAAAGCCGTCTCCTCAGGCAGATGGCAGTACAAGCTCCAGCGGCGGCGGACTATAGTGTCCGAGCAGCAAGACACTGGAACTCTCGGCTCGAGGCGGCTCAGACACTCGCAGCTATGAAGCAAGATAGGCGCGATATATGAATTGGGTAAGTGACGAAGGGACATTTTTCAATACGTTGACAAATGAGCGTCATTTGGAGGTAATGTTGAGTAAGACACCTCTTGGGAAAATTCTTTGGTGATTGGAGAGCCTTTTTACATACTCATGTTTGCTGCGCTATGTTTATGGTGTGATGAATGTCTGAATGCCCTTAATATGCAGATGTGTGTAAAGTATCGCCATAGGGATGCAAATCGAAGATCAAAGCCTCATGGGCTTTTGTGTGATAGGGCTGCTCTGTACGTGTTTGCTTCTATTTGTCTATTCCTTTTCTGTGTAAATACCCTCGATCCTTCTGCGCGTCTTCATTCTTCACTCAATCTTTATGAAACTAGTGTAATGCCGATTTACGCCTCGGGAAAATGTGAGAAAGCCTACTGTGAGTGGCAAGCGCTGGCTTTCCACAAACCATTCTTGTGTTTCACACTCCACCAGATTATGTGAAGGCTGACACTAGAGTCACATGAACCTCCTGTGGAAGTCTTCATTCTCCCTTCACTCCACTCGATTGAGCTTCACACTCCTAGATGAAGGAAATGTCGGTCAACTCGATACTGTGTATGCCTAAGACACAGTCCCAAGAGAGACATTCACACAGCCTCGATTGTCTATATAAGATTGGTTCTCCCCCGAGTAATCCTTCCTTCCTTAACGCAACTTCCTCCAATTTGCAAGTCCTATAACCAGCCCCTAGTGCTGGATCCCATCTGGGATATCGAGCCATCATCTATGTTGCTGATTGAGCGCAGCTTCTAAGGCGTTGGTACATGACCCAGAAACATCTGGTGTCTTTCCATTCAATCAACAGGTCGCCAAAGTGACTTAGCATTCGCTAGGCAAGCAAGAGGTCGTTGCCTATATATAAAAATATATATTCACAACAATAAGGTCTCGATGCTTTATCAGCGGAGTACTAGTAACTAACGAGTAGTCATGGGTGGACAAAAGCCTCTCTTTCGACTAACTAAATATATATAATAGTGAGCCCTTTATCAGGGTCTTAGCTGGACGACAGGGTACCAACGAATTGTCGTGGAGGAAAGTGGCCGGCTTTCGACCGAGACACAGTTCTGAGACTGGGTCAATGCCCGCTGGTACAGGTGCCACCTGAATAAATGTCCCCCCTTCGGCTCCTTCGGAAGCCTACCTTGGCTGATCTTCGGCACTTCCAAGATAAAGTCCACGAATGCAAGAGACAGATATAAGAATTCACAAGATCACATGATGACTGAAAGACCGTTCCTGACAAATGCATCCGAACCTTCGAACAAACCTGACCCATGGATAGAAGACACGTTCACACATCAGCAGAAGTCCTTACCACTGTTTCAAGCAATATAGTTGACTTGATCGCCTCCGATGTGAACGTCGTTCTAGAGGCAAGAATGAGGACGACTAAGGTCGCTACCGCAAAAGGTAATATGATTACCAGAGGTGGCCTCCAAGCTAGGCATAATTCATCTTACCAGGTCAATCTGCCGCCAAAAAGGAGGTTTTCAAGTCTCGAATCGAACGAAGACCAGCATGCGTCTTGTCTTCGGAAGCTCAAAAAATTAGAAACGATAATGAAGAGCGAATTTCGAAGCTCGAGAGAGGCTTAGAAGACTCGAACAATGACCATAAAGCTGAGCTCGGCCGCTATCAAGTACAGATGGATGCTTTCAAATCCGAGAATACTTCCTTTCAGCGGCGCGTCGCTACTATGGAGTATGAGCTTCAAGATAGACAAGCCAAGTCGAACTTTTGGAAACATCATTGACACAGAAAGTTCATGCTGTAACATGGGACTCACATTTCAGTTTGAGGGCCTTTGAAGCTCGACAGGAAACTGAGCAGCGAAAGGCAGAGTAGGGCCGTATGTTGAGGGATATTGCATCTCGAGCCACTGAGACAGCGGGTTACAACGCCCAAGCAGCGCAATACTGGAGTATTCGCCTGGAAGCCGTGCAGACTCTTACATCTTTAAAGCAAAGTAGACGTACCAGATGATTTAGTTACTTCATATGGAGCTGTCAGGAGCGTGAGATCGCTCCTTGATGATTTATGTATTTCTATTTTCGTAACATCAGTTTGCACATAGCATTTGACATAACCAATGTTGGGTTAGGGGATTGTTGGGAAGTCTGGGAGGACTGAAATGGCCAGGGGAGGTCCGCTTGTGATTGGGGTGCAAATTACCATATAGCTACCAACATTATCATTTGGCAGCTTCCAGGCAAAGTCTTCCACTCCAATACAATGTACGCAGTCCTGAGGAGTTTCTTCGTCTCCTCCTATGATTGAAATTCCATTATCATTCTCCACGCAAACCTTGTCCATCGCCATATAGAAAGCTTCACATCCATGGCCTTCATCCTGACACAAGCAACTGTAAGGTCACTACGATCCTATAAGCTGACATAGACACTCGCAAATATTCCGTGTGATGTGCTGTGCCTACGTATGTGACCTGTTGCCCCTGACTAGTAATAGCGCGATACGTATTGCAAAATTGCCTGTAATTAATAACACAAGCGCCATGTTACATAACCCAAATACCTTCAACCTGTTCACTTCTAAATCTCCCACAGGTCATTTTCCTTGGAGCAAGGGCAAGGGCCTAGCTTTGAAGTATGGATTTCCTTGCTGCCGTATTACAGCATGTTGGCTATTATATCACTTTGCTCTACCCTCATGTACCCACTGAGATCCTCACAATCGCATTTGCTGTCACACCAATTTTTGCAGGTGCTCATGCTGGGCTGAAAGCTCCAACATCGGCAGCGAAACGACGAAAAGTCATAAAGACTACAGATGATACCGACACTGAGAGCGAGGAATCAATCTTGATTCCGGAAGCACAGAGTCTCAGTCTGACGGATGCTGCGCTGTTTCCCATTGGAGCTGGCCTCACACTTACCGGCCTATATTACTTGATAACGCATTTCGATCCAGCCCTTATCAGTAAGATCTTGAATTGGCAATTCATTATCATGGGCACTTTGGCAGTTTCTACTATGAGCACCGATTTCCTAGGTCTTCTCTTCGATATGGCATTCCCGAAGGCGTACTACTATGACAACATCACTTGGTACGTGCAGACTCACAAACGCAATCACAAGGCGCCAGATGGTCGAATGAATGAGTCTCCATTGCCTGGACTTTTCTCAGCCCTCCCTCTACCTGAATCACTCACCCAATTTCTCTGGTCACTTCGAGAGAAGGCTACAGGCAAAGTCATGGTCAAAGTCTACATTTGGAAATTCTTACGGATATCTACTCGCTTGAACCTTCAGACTCTTCTCGCTACTATGTTTGCTGTAGGTCTTCAGACTTACATGCTTCTCGTCGAAACTCCTTGGTATCTCAACAATGTTGCTGGTATGGCATTCGTCTATACCATGCTTCAGGTGATTTCCCCATCGACCCCATCAGTCGGCTCACTTCTACTCGCCGTACTATTCTTCTATGACATCTACTTTGTGTTCTACACACCTATAATGGTAGCAGTCGCAACAAAATTGGATATCCCAGCGAAGATATTGATTCCGAGACCTGGTGGTATGGGCCTGCTTGGGCTTGGGGACATTTTCGTGCCAGGTATACAGATTTGCTTCGCACTGAAATTTGATCTGTGGCTACACTATTTCTATCAACAGCGGGAACGCACGAAAGCCGATCGTGATACTCCAGCGATAAGTGATGAGGAGCCCGATGACAAGTCCGAATCCAAAGGCAAGCAACTCGTCAAATCGAAGTACGAACCGGCCACAGGTAACTGGGGCACGCGATTTTGGACGGGATCGAGACTTGCGCAACAGCCCAAAATTATTTGGGGAACGAGTTTTTCCAAACCTTATTTCAACGCAACTCTTACTGGATACATACTGGGTATGCTGTGTACGCTTGTCGCCATGGTTGTAAGTGGTCGTGGTCAACCCGCTCTGCTCTATCTTTCACCCAGCGTCCTTGGTGCATTATATTTGACTGCGCTCAAGCGAGGAGAGCTAAAGCTCCTTTGGAATTACTCCCCCGACGAGGAGAAAGACGACAAGAAGCAGAACGACGAGTCAAAAGAAAAGCCGAAGGAAAAAAAGCCACAAAAGGATAAAATGGAAGAGGCCTCAAGTAAGGGGACTCGATTCTTCTACATTTCACTCAGCTTTGCAAACAAACCATCAAAGACAAATGCCCTTCCAGCTGTGGGTCGATCTGAGTCACCACCCGCCCGTACGCCTCGAAGTAGCAAAGCGAAGACCCTGCCCAAAGGATGGACGATGGTGGAAGAACCGGCCACACCAACAAAAAATCCCAAAGTAGAGCCAGCAGCTGCTTCATCGGTCAAACGCGCTGAGCGGGCACGCAGGAGGGAGACCTTGAAGGGCAGCGAGTCTTGAGACTGACTGTATATTGGTGACATTGACGAAAGGACATTGACGAAGGGAGTGGATTGGAAACCATGTCATTGGTCTAGGAGGCTGGAGGACAGCCCAGGGGTAGGGAGAGAAAGCATGCATTAGATCATGCAAATCCCTATTTGTTACATAGATGGTCCATGCAATACAGTGGATTTTCAACATTCATGCGCTCTTGCCATGCGCCTCATGGTTGTAAGCGGAGGCTTGAGTCGTTCGTTCTAGGCCTCCGCCCATCTTGTTCGCCAAGAGACGTAATGCTGTATTTTGTAGTGCTTTGCGGTCGGCCATGTGTGGGTCAGCTCCCGGAATACGCATAGCCTTGGGTGATAAGACCAAGCAAACTGGTACTATGATCTGATCTGTCACCGCTCCCTTCTCACCCCTTCCCCTCCAGCACACCCAAGCACTCCCCTCTCCTCTCCTCCGCCCTCTTCACCAACTCCCTCACCCCCTCCACCCCCAACGCCTCCCCTCCGCTCTTCTCAATCCTCACCACCCTCCCCTTCCCTCCCACAATCACCGTCCCCACCTCAGCACAAAGCTCCTCCTCAAACGCATCCAAATCGCTCAGCAGCCACCTCTCCCCCTTTTCCTGCCCACCAGCATATCGCCCTAATCCTCTATCCGCATGAAAAACCCCACACGTCAACGCAACGGGTGTATCCTCCCTCAACACCAGCTTTGTCCCTTGCTCAAAGTCTGGGTCGCAGAGTACGGCTTCTTGGTCGGCATCCCACCATGCTTTCGGAAATACAGTGTCTTTGAGGGCGGCGATCACGCTGAGCCAGATTGCGTCGAAGGCGCCTTGGGGGCCGTGGTCGAGGGAGAGGAGGAGGACGTCGATGTAGAGGGTCCAGAACGCTTTTAGTTCTTTCCTTCTTCCTTCTGTTTTTTCGTCTTCTGGGGTCGCTCCTGGTGCTAGCGTGACGCCGCCGTCTTCGGTGTCTATATCCATGCCTTCTCCCTCTCTGTCCCCCTCGTCTTCTATATCCGACGATGCGCCCCATATCCTCAAATCGTCGATGTCAACTAGATCTGTGACATGTAGCCCTGTCAAGAGCCTCTGACTCAACACCTGTGCCGCTCCGCTTGGCGGTCCTCCAGGGAGATAGTCAGGCGAACATCCCGTGTTGAGCTCGATATTCGGCACCAGCAGTCCCAGTTCCATCAACTCCTCCCTACCCTGCTTATCTCCACGCTTCCTCTTTTCCCCCCTTCCACTCCTCTCCCCTCCACCCCCCTCATCTCCGCCTAAAGGTTTAGCGCTCGCTACTGAAGAAGCGAGCAGCACCTCCCCCCTCACCCCCGTAACGACAGCCGTATCACCCATCCGCAAAACGCTGGAGCCGTGTGCGTGGGTCAGGCTGCCGGTGTGGAGGGCTATAGGGCGCGAGGAGGTGGGTGAGCGTCCTGATGGCCGGGTTGGGGGCGAGGAGGTGAGGTGCGCGGTCAGGTAGGTGTGCGGGGAGAGTTTGGCGTGTGTGTGGGGGAAGAAGGTTGGGGGGGCGGGGAGAGGTGCCATGGGTAAGTGACGCGTAAGCTGAGGACTGGAGGGAGGGAGGGTGGAGGTGGAGGTGGAGAGGTACAGGATCTATGGTGGTTGTTGATCGAGGATAGAAGGAGAGCTATGTCATGGTTGAGTGGGTGTGAAACATTCTCGGGATGATTGCAGTTGAGAGCAATTCCAAATACTTTCGGCGATCTGTAATTCCTTTACAGCTGCTGAATTGCTCTTCAATTATTGACGATACAACCGCCAATTGATTGCATGAGACCCTCGATGAGAATAATACTGGCTTATCGATAAGGATGTCGGAATGCTTGGCGCTGGCATTTTGGGGGCGGGATGAAAGGCCGCATGACCTCGAAGCTTTCGAGGTTTTTGATCCAAGCTCTTTTCAACAAGCTACAAGCTTCACGATGTGTCCGAGTCTTGCGAGTGTAAGGCTGGTGACCACTACTGTTCGCATCTTGATCTGCTGGCCTGCTGACTATGATGTCCAATCAGGGACCTGGAGAAGCGAGGAAGGAGGCGGTCAGCAATAAGAGCTAAGGCGCAGTGGAGGTTGGGTGGTATTTGCGCCGTCGTGGCCGTGCATTTAGAACTAATGCTGACAGCAAGATCGCGTTCCCCCTTCCCCACCAATGTACTGCCTCCACCAGCCATGTACGTGCCTCCAGAGTACGTTGCAGTATCTGGCATCGTCCGGGTCTAGATTGCCCGCCTGCTCACCTCTAGGCTGCTTAAAGGATGGCCTATGCATTTCCTGAGTGGCCTAAGGATTTGCAGGATGGCCTTCATGCACGTCAGATCAGCACTCTATCTTCCTCCTCCACCTGATGCACGAAACAATGCAAATCTATAGGTCAAGAGTTGGAGGGGAATCACCCATCTTCTGCATGTATGAGGCCCAGATGCCTTCGCTGCGACCCACGCGTTGGGGCAAAAGTATCAAATGTATGACCGGATTGTTATATCTCCGTATGACACCTTTACACTCTGCTCTTTATCACGAATGTTGCCGAATCTCTTCAATGCGAAGAAACACTCAATTTCTGACGCGTGCGACCCTATTCTCATGATGCATCTGTCGGGCAATTTCTATCCATAACCATTTCCACCCAGAAGAACTGCTTGACCTCCAAGATGAAGGCAGCTCACGCGCTCAGTACAGCGCTGATACACGACCTTGAAATCATAGAACGCGTTGCCTCTTGCCTGTCGGTCATAGGTACCACCTTTGTCTTTACGACCTTCATATACTCCCCGGCCTTCCGGAAGCCCATCAATCGTCTGATATTCTACGCATCATGGGGCAACATGCTCTGCAACATCGCCACACTGATCGCCCAGAGTGGCATTCGTGCTGGGAGGAATTCTCATCTTTGCCAGTTTCAAGGCTTCTTGATTCAAATGTAAATCCCAAACGACCCCATGAAGGCGGTGGGCTGACTTGTCCAAGGTTTCTCCCAGCTGATGCACTTTGGAACCTGGCAATGGCTATCAACGTCTACTTGACCATCTTTCACAAGTACACTGCCAACAGGCTGAAGAAATTGGAATGGGCTTACTTACTCATGTGCTACGGCATCACCTTTATTATCGCATTTGTTTGCCTGTTCATTTCGACCTCGTCACGAGGCAAAATATACGGACCCAATGTTCTTTGGTGCTCTATCGACATCAACTGGGTCTTCATGCGTATCGCCATTGTGTATGGACCTGCCTGGATCTGCATCGCCGCCTCCCTTTTCCTCTACGTAATTTCTGGGGTCGAAATCTTTAGAAAGCGTGCTCAGCTTATAGCATTCAAGGTGCCTCAATATAACGATAAAGATACCAGGCCGAGCTCTACTGAGAACCTCGTCACCGATTTCAAGACCACGCAGATTCAGTATTTCAGCGAGCCTGCACTACTCCGACCACCAAGCGAAGGCTCTCATGATACAAATACAACGACTGAGAGCACTACCCAAGCATCAATGACTAGCCAAAGAGAACCAGCCTATGGCGTGACAACCATCATTTCCACCCCTAAACGATCACAGTCCGACAATTCAATATTTGTGCTTCCACAAAGCTCCAAAGCAAACCAGCAACGCAAACAAAAACGAGCAGCCATAGAGTTCAACAGAGCAGCACTCGCCTACACCAAAGTGGCAGTCCTCTTCTTTTGCTCCATGCTCATCACATGGATTCCTCCCTCTGTCAACAGATTCAACTCATTTCTGCATCCGCACCAGGTCAACATCCCTTCGAGCTATGCTACTAGCTTTGTTCTGCCTATGATGGGCGCTTGGAACTCTGTAATCTATATCGTCACCTCATGGAAGGCAGTGCAGGATCTTTTCGCTGGGAAACTGGGAAGGCCGAAGTGGAGCAAAGTAAAGCCCGCAGCTATCAATCTACGGCCTGGTGCGCACAATAGCAGTCGGAAAGCGAGTGCACACGAGGTGAAACCGGTAATCTACATCAGTGAATTTGAAAGACCTGGGAAGGAGGCCATGTCTATCGGTGAAGAGGAGATTCGCTAGACTATCACCAGTCCGTCGTTCTCAAACGAAAAGCATTGACCACGTAGATACAATACCTCGTCTCCGTCTAGCTCGTTGGCATTTCAGCCTGCCAGGGAGCACTGGCTCCGACGCACCGCCTCCAAGGTCAATTATAAGCGCGAAGCGCTGAGTATTACAAGAGATCGGAAACATCGCTCAGTCGCAATAGGCAGTCCAGTGAGACTCATGCGCAGGTCTCAGGCCTCTCCACCTAAATCTCAGTCGTCAAACCTAGTCACCTGTGGAACTCTAGTGACTCTTGCCTATATTGAGGCTCAGACCACATCAAGTAGGACCATATTTAGGAAATACCACAGCCATCTTCGCTTGGCTGACTCAAAATCCTAGCTAGGATAACTCGTGGTTGATATGAGGGGACGAAAAATCACCGGCCTTCTGCCTTGGTCTTCAGCGCTTGTCACCACGCGATGCTAAAAGAAGTAGCTCAAGGTCATGGCAACAACGCCGACCTAAGATAGACTTTAAGTGGTATTAATTGAAAGATCGCCTTGAAAGCCCATCGGTCATGATTCTGCTTAACATGCTGAATTTGCAGAGCCAACCCTTATTGCTCCTGCTGCTTGGTCTACTCGCAGTCTTCACTGAAGCCCAGAACAATGCCAGTACGAACTCATCCGGCCTCCAAGATCCCACCGTCCCCGAGCAAATCATCGTCGCCCAGACAAATCTCGGCATGGAAGTGACCTGCCCGCGCCACGAATCCGACCTAATCCCGATCGCCGACTGTTCCCGCGCTATGTTGAAATTCCCCCAAAACCTCGACACCCACATCTTCAGCCCCGGCGATCCAGCTGGCAGCCCCAGGGACATCTACAAACTCCCCTCCGAACGCTCTTATGGTGAATGCCTGATGCGTGTCGACTTGGTCAGTGTGCAGCAGGATCTTTCGTCCTGGCTGGCGGTTGGGACGGTGGCGTTGCAGTTGACGATGGCGTGTGCGAACCAGAGGCAGCAGTGGGGGTTTGGGAAGACGGGCGGGACGACAACGACGGGTGAGGGGGGAAGATCAAGATTACGCTTTCGAAGTCTAGATCTTCGATGATGGCAGGCGAGGGGGTTGGGCAGGGCGGGGGTGGGTATGGGAGTGCTGTTGACTCTGGTGGGATGGGTGGAGAGGGGGCCGATACTGCTTAGGAAGTGCGAGATTGGTTCTCAGACATCTGCAACTCTCACCATTAAGAGCTCCACAATGTGATTTCCTGTTCTGATTTCCCATCATTCAAACATGGTGCCAACTATCACCAAGTGCATAGCAAAATCCGCAATGATGACAGGGAAGAACACAAGTCTTCATGCTATGCAATCCACCCCACTCAATTTCAGCCCCAGTTGCTCAGCTACTTCAAGCTCTTTAAGCTCCTCCGTGCACAATACGTAAGCCTGCAGACTATTCAAAGTAAGAGGGTCTTCCATACCAAACAATGAGACTCTCGTAATCAAGACCCCCAGTTGCATACGCTTGGCCTCTGGGAATCGTCCTTGCTTTCCAACAATTGACGCTAAGATTTGTCCCAATCGTAAAGATATGGTGTTTTCGTCTCGAAGAACATGCTTAAGATCATTGATCTCTCTGCTTGCATATCTCTCGGCCATTGCTAGTTTGTTGGGCACTTGAAATTGGTCAAGGAGCCCTATTGGGTATGTATGCCCTTTAGTCCTTAAATTTTTGTAGACAGCTCCAGACTGGGTTGGTACTTCTGGGGTGTTTACAAGCTCTTCAATTCCTATGTCTCTCAAATCGAATCGCTGCACAAGATACTCGTATTCATCGTCGTCTCGCAAGCATCCAAATCCAATTTTGTAACAAAGAGCTAGCTGAGCAGTAGTATTCGGGTCGGCACCTATTGTAGATGATTGAACCCGAAACTGCAGGCAATTCTTCATGAAGAAGCGCAACCTGAAATCAGCGCTGTAGAATGCAGTGAGCGAAATGGATATCTAAACGTGTCAGCCGTTAGTCACCGTCTAGCATCCGCAAACCTTGAATTCAGTATATTCTGCTACACAAATATCGTCCTGGTCGGAGACTGCGGCTGAAGATGGTGACCTTCCGAACTTATTTCTGTCCCTCAGATCGGCGAAAGGCTCTCACCATGACTTGTCGGGCTGACGCGTACATTCGGCCATGTCACTTGTTCGACGGCGTAGATCATAGTTGAAAACGTCACCCAATATCAGCTTTTCTTCCGACGATAGATCCACTTCCGTATATAGCAATTGCTGAGCCAGTCTTATTAAGCATTCCTTTGGCTTTACCTTGCCTTGACCTGGCATCATGTGTCCTGATGGACCGCTGTTCTCTCTGCTCATGTTTTTGAGCCGTCCAAATATGTCTTCAGGCGAAGTATCGTCACCTTTAAAGCACGACATCGCCCATTCAGCTTCGGTAGGAAGTGGTCTTCTACGAGGGAAATAAGGTTCAAAGAGGAGCCATAGAAGACCAGACCAAATGGGAAGACATCCGTCTTGCGCGCTTGTGCTGGCTTTATCCTGCACTCAACGTACTCCGGAGCTTGCCAACCCTCTGATTTGGGAAGCTTGACGAGATCATCTTCGCTCTTATAAGAGGCTGAGTAGCCGAAGCCATGCACCTTAGCTTTGATAGCGCCCGTACCGTGACTACTGTCCTTAAATATAAATAATGTGTTTGGGTTTGATATCTCCATGAATTAGACCTATTCATGTGTATGAACTTGAGAAATCTGCATCAATTCAAGACACCCTCCCAAGACAGCAGCGTACCTCACGGCAATATAGCTTGCAGATGTGATGTTCTTATTTTGAGAGCTTGTGCTCGCTATTGGCATGAAGATATGAGCTATGCTTCGACTTTTCAAGGTTTGACTGAAGCAAGCAAAGAATGTAACTCGGTCGTGACATGCGATGAGTACCGAAATCCACCCTTCATGCCATTGTCTGATCATGGTCATTATAAGTTCGAGTATCGCAATATTTTGGTTAATCAAAACCCACCCTCAACCACTTGATTCCCAACATGCTTGCAAAGACCATCGGGCGAAAGTACTTCAATGCTCATCGGAGGGTGTCGATACCCTCTAGAGTTCATGCTGAAGCGGTCGTAATAGGTCTATACCCTTGAGATCTCTGGCGAATCATTCTTAAAACCCAGAATGCTGTAAGTGTAAGAAGCATGAAGCCAAGTGTCACCACAATAAAAATCCAAGACTAGTCAGAGAGAGCTAAATGGGAACCAATTGCTTCATCTTCGTTATTGGACATTACGCGAATGAAATTAGAGTTGAATATGGTCTACATCGTATCTCAGCGTCAGCCATGCTCTAATGAGATACCACTTACGGATTCATACCGCAACTAAGGTGGCTGGAAGGTAGACTGTTGCTACGAATAGCAATGATTTAGAGGTCATTGAACCATTTTGGGGGTCTTTCGCAATATTTGCTAGTGAAAGTGTTGTCTTGCTATTGTTTGAAGAGATATCTTGTATTTCGAGCATACTCCGTTCGACGGCTCGATGCATTTTGGACGTTTTATCTACCTCTCGAAAGTCAAGAAGCTCCGCAAGCTATCTGTTAGTCTGATTTTTCGAGTGCTTAATGAAACGATTACCAGACAACCAGTGCTATTAGGGCACTCTAGCATGACCTCAATGTTTCTCCGATGTGATACTGATTCGGCCTTGGCAATACTGAGGTCCATCAGTCCTTCGCGGGATATGATGTTGTAATCGCAGACTTTTTTTTGTCCCACTATGCTGTCCACTGCAAGCCAATTGTCATGAAGGCCCTGTGCAAGGTTTATCAAGAATTCCACAGCTCTCTGAGTTTTTTCTTATTCTTGTTTGTAGGGCCTGAAGCTCCTGGCAATCGGCAAATGTCACGGAATGATCAACATTGTTGGTGATCTCAAGATCTGAGTAGCATGCCTTCTCATTTTCAAATCAAATTAGGAATTGCGCCAATATTTCAATATCTTCGTGGTGCCCACTAACGACTCAATTTTGGAGCTCAGCAAGTCAATGTATTCGGGGCAATTGACAGAAAATGAGCGTAAAACAACGACATGAAGATACAGAGGACTCAAATTAGCATGATCCTGCAATTGCTTCTGGAACGAGCTTGCTGCTTGTCCTGTTTGGATAAATATCCACCTAGATTGTCGAGTCCCATAGTGAAGTTTGTGATAGACTCCAAATTCTCTTAAGGAGAAGTCAGCTTAAGGCATGGGTAGACTCCACCGTGTCAAGAAGATACTCCAAGGTAAGGCTTTCAGTGCCCAACTAGGCGCGAAGATGAGACTACATTCGGTATGAGCCAACTATAGCTTAATTCTCGATCCATTAGACCACATTCAATCAGCGACTATTTCTTCAAGGCCTTCCGTCCAAGGGCGTGGCGGAGCAGGTCGGGGGCACCTCTCGAAATCCCTCCAAAGTCCCAGCCCCTTAACCCACATACCTTTAGCCTAATCTTGCAAAGGCGGTGAGACCTACTCTTCAACGCACAAGCTTCAGCAATTGCCTTCGCAGCCGGCCGCGTCTTTTGTGCAATGCATGACTGTGGTCAGCGCTTGGCGGGTTCCGGGAGGGGAGTCAGCGTAAGGCTGGGGGGTGCTAAACGAGTAAACGAGGGACACCCGAGGCAGACAGGGTAAGTGATGTATATATTGCATTGAAAGCAGTCCCTTCAAGCTCAAAGAAATTTCATCTTGTTTTGTTTGTGATTTTGGCAGTTATTGAGCTTTCTCTGAACCTGGGTTTCTGCGCAAATCTTTCGAGCTATTCATATCAGCAGCGTTCGTCTTTGATCTTGGCCCCCTATTCACGAAGAGGGTTTTGGGGTCTCGAACTCTTCAATTGCCTCCTCACCGCCTCATAATCTTATTAGTATTGCAAGCATGGGCTCCCTAATGAAGACCATCGCATCGGGTGTCGGCCTCGCCGCCGAAGCAATCGCCTCCCACAAGGAGAAATCTCGTCTACAATCGCACGCAAAACCCTCAACGCAAAGCCCACCATATTCTCAACAAGGCTTCAGGGACGAACCGCCTTCATACGACGACGCAGTCTCCCCCAGCACTCACAGCAGATCCGCCACCCCAGCAGAGAAGCCGCCCAGATCGCGCGAGAAATCGCCCGCCACGGAAGACCATCTGTACCGGTCAGATGATCCGGACGAAACAGCCTGGGCACTCGACGAGACCGTTCCGGAAACCTCATCCGCAGAGCACTCCACGAAGCAGAAGTCTCACCTCGGTTTAGACGCCCAGCCCACGCTCTCCTCCCTCGCAGACATCGTCATGGCGGCCTGCGCTACTCCTCTCCACCCGGCTCAACCCCTTCCTCTCCCCGTTATCATCCCCCAACGCCGCCCCGGCAACAAAGACCGCGGTTTCGTCCGTGCGTACGCGCCCTCCCTCGCCCCGGCAGGCATCTCAGAAGAAACCTTCTTGTTGTTCTTGACAACCTTCCACACAGCGGCCAAAGCCAGTCCGGTATTGAATGTGGTTATGCTGGGTAGTGCGGTCGCCGGCTTTATGCCGAGTATTGCGGCGAATGTGACGGGTATGGTTGTAGGGGCTGCGGCGCGCATGGCAGCGGAGAGCCAGAAACAGGGGAGGAGGAAGGGGTTTTTGGAGGTGATGAATGAGCGGCTGTTTGAGCCGAGGGGGTTGCTTGCTGTGGTGGTGATGATTGGAGAGGATGGTCAGGAGGAGGGGCAAGTGGGGGCTGGGGGCGTGAAGGGAGTGATGATGGATTTGGGCAAGAGGAGACTGACGACGGGGAGGGGGAGTGGTGGGGAGGTGGAGTTGATGGATTCGGCGCCGCTGATTTTTCCACAGTCTGAGCTGGGAGGGGAGATGGTTGAAGGCCAAGGAGAGGGAGAAGGAGAAAGCAAGCTGAAACGAAGCTGGAGATTCGTGGGCGACTATTATGACCAGCGCGCCCGCGCTGCGTATGCGAGTGAACATCCGGGCTCGAAGATGGTGCCGATGGGGATGGAACCTAGCTTCAAGTCGAAGCTGAGTGATCCGAATCATCCGGCATTTCAGGGAGGCTTGTTGACGTTGGCGACGGGCGGGCTCATTCCTGGCCGCGGAAATTCGGGCAGAGAAGAGCGGAGGGAAGGAAATGGAATGGAACGTGAAGGATGTAGGGGGAGAGATGGGCCATCAAGAAGGCCTGGGGGACCCATTGGAATGCTGAAGGAGAAGAAGAGGAAGATGAAAGCTGGGATGCTGTACCTGATGATTGTGAATTTGCCTAGTGAAGAGGAGATGGCTGCTGCGAGGGGGGCGTTAGAGGAAGCTGAGAGGAAAGCGAAGGGGAGAGGAGGATGGGGTGGACGTGAGTTTTGGTAGTCGAAGAGGCTGTGAACAATTCTGAATCCTGACCTGTCTTCGCTGTATTAGGTGTAGATTTGGATAGAACATTGTACCAACGTGTCCCGCCAGAGCAACCATTTCAATACAGTCTTGAAATGGGTGCTTGAACCAAGGAATGTCATAGATAGAAATGGTCATAGCTGGCTGAAGTAATTGCGACTTCCACTAGGGTATTTTGCCAACAGCAGAAAGTTCTTCGGGAAAAAGTCTAGAGAATTCCGATCGAGAACTCTGGACTGCGCTTTCTTGCTGTCGCTCTCAAAGTATTCCTCATGGTTTACCATTTGATACATACCATTGGGTGCAATCTACTAGAAAGGGAAGGTCAATGAAGATCGGATATCATCCATATGACCTGAAATACAGAAGCAAAACATCATATGGGGAGCAGGGACCGGATTATTGATAATCCGTCCCGAGTGACGTCAAGATAGAAGAGAGAAAAACTGTTAACTCTACGAAGCAGCTTAGACTTATGGTCGCCGTAGCCAGATAAACGAAATGCCGGGACTGCGGACAGGAAGTGTGAAGAGCATGTGCGAGATGAATGCCCGAAGAGTAATATGTCGCTCATGTCTCACTACGTCCAACATACCTCATCGGCCTGGACGACAGAATGTCTCGGATGCACTTGGCGCTTTCGGTCGCAGGCAGGGCTACTGCCTGTCAGAAAAGTAGAGGACAATCCAGTCTACTGGGTGTCTTTTCGCAGTATGAGGAACTGGACTCTATGGAATGCGTATGGACTTTCCGTCCAACCCGATGCAGTTTTTTGCTTGCCTTCCGCAAATCGAAAGTCTCGATCTCCAACATGACGTCGAACAACCATCGTCAGGACCAACAACCAATAAGCCTCTTTACATGCGCTGATAGCGTAGCATACATACTTGAAATGTGAGGACCTATCCTCAGCGTGGGTATAAGACATGATGTTCGCCCACTGTTTCCACGATACCCATGTGGTTGTCCGTTGCCGTGTTTCCTTCTTCACACAGGCAGGATCTGTACAACAATCATGCGCCACTGTTTTTGTGTCATAGCGATTTTGCAAACTGCTTGGTTCCTTCTTCGCTCAAGTGCCACACCATTTAGTCAACCATTGAGCCCTCAGCTACCTGCGCAAGACACTACAGGGATTGCCCAGATCATTCAGGGCAAGGCTATCAAAGGTGAATATAGTGCAAGAACCCTCTCAAGAAGGTTCTGACTGTGAATCTGAAGGCATCACCCTCGAAAAATCCAACAGTAATGTGTCTCAGCCATTTTGTGATCGCCCTGCACCCCCAGGTTCGACACTCATACATGAAGAAGTAGGCTTCACCGTAAGTCCCTCCAACTTTCTATTTCTCTGAATTCTGTAGCCTCCAGGAGGTGATTGCTTATTCAACATTCTCCTACAGTTCTTTGGCTGGTGGAAGCCCTTGACCTCGACTGTTTGTATCGATATCTTTGACGTAGCGTATCAGATCCGGGTTGGGCAATTCAAGAGAGACAATTTTACTCGAGAGCAATCCCCATTTGACGTGGATTATGAGGACTTGCCAGCATACGACGTAAATATCTTGTATAGTGTTGTTTTCAGTCATCTGAAGGCGTCTTACTTCCTGCGTGTCTCCATTCATGGGGTGATAGCCGGTCAAAGAGTTGCGCATACTTTTACTGTATACGAGGATAAGCCGAACAGCGTCTCCTCCACTCCGAGTAATGGCGCGGAGGTCAATTTCTCAGCACCAACGCACGAAGAGCTTCTAAAACGATCAGCATCGGCGTCCGGATGGGGCCTTGCTTTGTCAGCTAGACATGTGGCAAATGCCAATGATGCCAGATCTGTATCAAATGTTTGCAGTGAGGGGTTTAGGGGCTCCACTCCATTCGATCTAAATTGCAACAGACTCAAAGTTTGTCTCTCATCCACGAAGAAAAGATAGTGAACCATCGGCGCTGACTGTACCATCCAATAGATTATCGGATATTGGCATCCTCAGTCAACAAGGCTATGTTTTGACGTCTGCACGAATGATGGCACACAAATAGCCCACAACTTAATAGACAATTTCTCATGGGGTGGAGAGCAGCCAATTATTTATTGGACTGTCCCCGACTACAGAATCCGTCTCGGTTTTTATTTCAAGTCAGAAGCCGAGGCAGCCGAAGCATTCCATGTCGACTTTGATGGTACAATTTATGGAGAGCATGTGGTGAACAACTGGTTCATCAAACGTTCGGCTATCTTGCCATCTTCGATCAATCCTATGCTGCTAGCAGTACCTGATCCACCAGGAGTGGCAACATCTCGTCGGAGTACGGAACTGTCAACAGAAGCCAAAACAAAGCGTGATAGCAACACTGCATCTGCCAATGGCATCGACACTGCTCAAAATCGTGATTGCGGCCAAGGCCCCGAAGGATCCACCGCCATTAATGAGAATCGCTTTCAAGGACGTATGACGGTGAGAATCCCAAAGGTCCTCCCAGTAACCCAACTGACAACACTTCACTTCCCAGATGACAGGCTACTGGCATCCGCCAACTTCATTTCTGTGCGTTGATTTTTGGGACAGCGCTCGCCGAAAGCTTGTGCAGTATGGGAGTAATCGCTTTAATTTCAATCATGGGGGCCAGTATTCGGTCAGAATCTACCGTGGCGTCTACCGTATATCGGCCGATATGTGGTTTCAACGCCCGCAGGACGTGAACCAAGGCTTCATCATGGGACTTAATGGGTATATTAATGGAGCCTTCTATAACGATCATTGGACCATTTCCCGGAGCTCTGAGGCCTCGTTGAGTGCGACTTCGTCGGGCCTGGCGTCCCCACTAGGAAGTCAAGCACCTTCTACATCGAATTATACAGGTGGTATAATATTAACAACTTTCAACGGTACGAATGGCACCATGGCAAATTCGGGAGCTTGTGGTAGCGGCCCCGAAGGCTCAACTCCAATAGACACCAACTACGGCTTCAGACTCAAAGGTTACTGGAGTCCCACAAGCACAACACTCTGCCTCGACGCCTCAGATGATAGTGAACCAAACATTGGCCACTTCGAAACGAACAAATTTGACTTCGCAGGCACCCCTTTCATTCCATCTGTCCACGAGAAAGGCTACGAGGTCGACTTACGGTTCTGGTTCGCCCAGCCAACTGAGGTCAATCAGATATTCCACGCCTCTCTTGTCGGCATTATACGTGGGGACAAAGTCGCTTTCAACTGGGAGATTCAGCGGAACGAAGGGGTTCTCACCGCTGTTGATTCCGGGATTGCGACCTCACGGCGACGACGGAATCTGCAGCTCTACACCGGCGCTGAAGCCACGGCAAATCAAGGTTCAAACGTTACTGTTGGTATACCCAAAGAATGTGGTGCAGGATGGCCTGGTTCCATACAGTTTGAGTCGAATGATCTTGGATTTAAGGTAATTCCCCAACCCTTTACGTACCCTTGCCTTTGCAGAGGACTAAAATCCACTGCCATCTAGTTGAATGGCTTCTGGCATATCCGACGCCACACCCTCTGTATCGACGCCTCTGATCTTGAGACCCAGAGATGGCTTTTCAAACGATGGAACGAAGATTTTGGCACCAATGGTCCACGTGGGAGGCGCGATGCGTTCTTCTACACCGACCTTAAAACTCCTCCGGATTACCATTTACAGATCACGATCTTCTTCAAATCGAGCCAAGACCTTGGACAGAGATTCAATGTGTTTGTGCAGGGGACAGTTCGAGGGCTTGCGCAGATTCATGAAGTGACTATCAATAGCGACGGGACGGTCGAGCCTCAGATGGCAGAGACGGAGAACATTGACAGTGCAGCTATCTCGATATCTTGAATATCAAGCGATCCGCTGTCTCAGATGCCAACAAGGCCCAACTCTGTCTTCAAATTCTTCCCCACGCTTGCCGTCCACCGCCCCGCCTAGATTTCTAGTACAGGCAACAAATAAGACTCCCACTGCACAAGCTCTCGTCCCGTCAGGGTTCCGCCACCTCACCGCACCGTGACCCTGATCTCAAAATGCATAACCAGAAGAGGTGGTTTTCCAGAAGGAATTTGGTGACCGACTTGCCATACCACTTGTCTCTATCCTCATCGCCGTCGTCGCTTCAGAAGCGCATACACCCTCACCCTGGCAGTATTTAGGTTGTGTACCTCTACTCAGCTGAATTATTATCAGCCATGAAATAATGGAAGCGCGGGTGAAGTGCAGTAAAGCTTAGGTTTAACATAGTCCAAGTCTTAAATATAATTTTCATATGACATTAGACCGCACAAATTTCCAGAGGGCTGTGAGAACATCATGTTGCTATGCGGAGATCAATGCGCCGGTCCTGATCACTCGTCGACCGCCCAATCAATCATGTGCGACAAACCCCTGTTTAGATATGACTGGCACGCTCACCTATACTGGTACCCAAGACCAAGGCCAAGGACTTTGTTCAGGGCATAGAACCCCTCTCGAGAAGAAGCGATATAAATCAGTAACTGCTTTTCAAATTGGACATCAGTTCTCAAGAAGCAAGGTCGACGACGAACGCGCCGCCGAGCAATATAGCTGGCTCATCGATACTATGGTGCTCGTAGCTCAGGGTCCCGACACCACCTGCTTCCAGAATCAGATTGACCCCTTCTGTGAACTCCTTGCCAATCCATCTCATTGCAAATGCTCTCAATATGTGCCCATGTGCTACGACCAGTACATCTTGCTTCTGCGCAGTCTCATCGCTCGTAGGCTTCCCAATAGCCTGTTTATGATACTGTTCTCGAATGTCACCGATCAATCGGTCTAGTCTGTGGATGATATCGTCCGGTGACTCTCCGCCCGGACAGCCATCTCTCCAAATATCCCAATCGCCCTCACCTTTCTCTTTTCTCTGCTCCTTTATTTGCTTGCTTGTCAAGCCTTCGTAGTCCCCATAGTCCCACTCTCGTATATCTTGTGTGACCTGTACTTTTGCATCACAACGGATTGCGTCTTTATCAGGAGGAGGTTGTGAGGGATCGTGCCAAGGCAAGGTGTCTTTGCAACCCATGTTCAGAAGCTCGAGAGTACGTTTGGCACGGTTTCGAGGAGACACATAGATGTGGGCAACCCTGGAAGGGACAATCAAGCGATCGTCTCCTACCAATGCTTTTCCTGTTGCTCGAATACGAGCTTCTCCATTCTTAGTCAAAGATAGTTCTGTAGTGCCGGTATGACGACCGTTGAGCGACCATTCGGTCTCGCCGTGGCGAGCAATGAAAGCGCGAGGAGTTGTCATCGTGGGTAAAAGAGTGGGCGTTTTGCGAGGATGCGCAGAGGGGGAAGATGAAGATTCTGGCTAAACCGACAGGCTACTGTCAATTTATAGAGGAAATGGACGTCCACAATGCAGAGGAATTGGGGTCGATGTCAATTGGCAATTGGCTTTCTCCTCATCCGGCCGATCCGGACGATCCGGTGCCTGTCTTCCAGGTCTGCCGCTCCGTGTGACGCCAATGGAAAGTGTTTGATAGCGAGCAGCTACGTCTTTCTAGTCTCGTGGCGTTACACAATGATATGGTAATCTGGGATAGGCAAAAGGCAGTGCGGCTGAATGGTGGTACCGACTGCCAGACGCAAAATATCCAGGCCTGCCCTTCCGTTACCCGGCCTTCGGACTGACTAAGCCGTAGAACAGCTTCTTGCTTGATGCCGAGGACCAATGTTCAAGACCGTCAGGACTTGAGTGGAAACTGCCATAGCGGGCGCCTTGCCCGATATATATTGTTTCCCAAGGAACATATTGCCTCGGTCCACAATGCTGGCTCGGAGAACCTCTGCCTACTCCAAAGTCTTCCAAATCTTCCCAAAGACAATCCCGAAACGAGCGATATATTCGCCGCAACCATCCTTACGGCATCCAGCATTCCAATTGGCGAAGATGGTGAGCCACATCCATAGAATACTAGCGTTGTCTGGATGCTGAACGATTACGCCAATAGTCTACACGGGCAGAGACCGATGCCTTCGGCGAGGTCAAAGTCGATTCATCCAAATACTGGGGCGCTCAGACCGAGCGTTCTCTGGGAAACTTCAACATCAACCAACCTCAAGACCGTATGCCTCCACCCATAATACGAGCTTTCGGCATCCTCAAGGGAGCTGCAGCGACAGTGAACATGGAATTTGGGCTCGGTAAGCCCGCCAAGACCAAGAGACAGGTTTGAGACTGAAAGTTACAAGATCCAAAAATTGGAAAAGCGATACAGCAGGCTGCAGATGAGGTTACTTCACTCAAGCTTATCGATCACTTTCCTCTGGTAGTATGGCAGACAGGGTCCGGAACCCAGTCCAACATGAACGCGAACGAGGTGATATCGAATCGGGCGATTGAAATTCTAGGCGGGACTATGGGATCCAAGAAACCTGTCCATCCCAATGATCACGTCAACATGTCAGCTTCCTCAAATGACAGCTTCCCCACGGTCATGCATATCGCCGGCGTGCTAGAATTAGAAGAGAACCTCATCCCCGCAATGAAGAGCTTGCGAGAAGCTCTGGAGAAGAAACGACAGCAATTCGAGCACATTATCAAGATCGGCCGCACCCATCTTCAAGATGCTACACCTCTCACCCTCGGCCAAGAATTCTCCGGCTACGTCGCACAATTAGACAGAGGCCTCGAACGCGTAGAAAGTGCGCTGCCACACCTACGACTTCTAGCTCAAGGCGGTACAGCTGTCGGAACGGGGATCAACACGTTCAAAGGCTTCGCTGAAGCCGTAGCCGCCGAGATCAGCAAGATGACACAGACGGAGTTCTCCACAGCGCCAAATAAGTTCGAGGCACTCGCTGCGCACGACGCGGTTGTTGAGGCTTCAGGTGCACTCAATACTATCGCAACATCCCTTTTCAAAATCGCGCAGGATATCAGGTATCTGGGCTCTGGCCCGCGATGCGGGCTGGGAGAGCTCGTCCTCCCGGAAAATGAACCCGGTTCTTCGATCATGCCTGGCAAAGTCAACCCTACGCAATGCGAAGCCTTGACCATGATATGCGCGCAAGTCATCGGGAATCATACTGCGGCTACAGTGTCAAATATGAATGGGCAATTCGAGCTGAACGTGTTCAAGCCCGTTATCATTCGGAATCTACTGCATAGTATCAGGATCTTGAGTGATGGTATGAGAAGCTTTGAGAAGAATCTCGTTGCTGGGCTGGGCGCGGATGAGGAGAGGATTGGGAAATTGTTGCATGAAAGGTATGTCACTTCCTGATATGTCACGGGAACGGCTGACAATGTGATAGTCTCATGCTAGTGACATGTCTAAATCCTGTCATCGGATACGACATGGCTTCCAAAGTCGCAAAGAACGCGCACAAGAAAGGCCTGACGCTGAAAGAGAGCGCAATGGAGTTGAAAGCACTCAGCGAGGAGGACTTTGACACGCATGTCCGGCCTGAATTGATGATTAGTCCGAAGGAAAAGTAGTAATCCTGACATGTGGTTGGATTGAGTTTTGGAGCGTTCTTTCTATTCTTCGTCACTGTGTATATACAAACAAATCTGGGCGTGAGTCTCTTCCCCTTTACTCTGTTCCATCACCAGCTCAGGGGCAAACAAGATGTACGGGATCGGCCCGGGCGCCGGGTGCCTAGCGTGGAGATGGGGGATCTCATCTCATCGAGATCTGAATTTCAAGGCAGTGGCAAGCCAGAACATACGGATATGAGGCTGCTTCTTGCTTCAGCTGACGTACAAGAGCCACTTGCACATTAGTTCGGTCGTGTTACTGACTGAAACGCCTTGCAATGGAGTAGCAGACGGCTTGTTTCTAAAGTAGTTTTATCCAAATAGGTCCAAATCCGTTCGGGACCACTTATGCGTGCCTGTGGCACTGTCAACATACTCTGTAAACGGATGAAGTATCAAGGGAGGAGCTAAAAGACGACGGGAGGTAGATGAATCAAGGCACCTAGTGCCTGCTTTGTACTACTACGGAATAAAAAAACAACATAAAAAAACACGAAAACACCGGCAACAGGCACAAATCAGCCTCTCCTTCTCCCCAACAGCCGCAAACAAACCCCGCCCCCTCACATAACAACCGCCACATGGTCGTCCATGTACTTCTTCATGTCTGGCAGGGCCAGACTCGCCACCACCGCCACCACGCCAAACGCAATGCTCGCCAGGTAAACCCAGCGATAGCTCTCCGCAAAGGCCAATTGGCCCGCTTGCACCACCACCTGGTAGGCCGTCTCATTCCCGGCGATGCCGGGAACGGCTTGCAGTTGGTTCAGCAAGCCGGCGCCGGTGAGCTCGATGGCTGCTTCGATGCTGTAATACATTAAACCAGGTTAGTAAGGCTTTGGAGCGGTGGAAGAGAAGCCAGGCACTTACGCTTTGGGGGAGGTGATGTGGAGGACTTCCGTCATCGCTCCACCAACGTAGACGATCGCATTGGCTTTGAATTTGCTGATGAACACGTTGTAGTAAACCGTATAGCCGATGCTACCTCCGATGACGCGGATGGCGAGCGTAAGAGCCGCGACCGTTGCGATGAATTCCTATTTATACCAGATTTATCAGCTTTTCGTTGGAGAGAAGGCAGAATATAACTTCGCTAAAGAGAAAGCTACCCGAAATAAGCTAGAATAACTTACGTTCGGACAGACTATCACCGTCATGATTGATGCGGGAACCACGATTCCTCCGATGCCGAGGCCAGCGAGGCAGAGAAGCCCGTAGGCGATGTGTAGATTGTCCACGCGCAAGCTCGCGAGCGAGGCGATCCCTAGCTTTCTGTCAGTGAGCACGGGATGAGAAGGCAGGTTTTTACGCACCAGCTGTCATTAGAACCGAGCATACTGTCAGCAGCTCGCGATTGCGGCCATCAAGAAGGGTGAGCAGCCACAGCACGACGAATGCGCCAATGAGAATGCTGAAACCGACCGGGAGTCCTCGGATTCCAACGCCAATTGGGTCGTGTCCATACACATTGTAAGCTTGCGTCGGCCAGAACAAGAGAACCGAGAAGAAGTTAGCGCCAGATATGAAGGTGATGAGCATTGTTAGCCAGAAGATACGAGGGGCTTCGATCATGTGTAGCGGAACCATTGGATGCTCGGCGCCTATCATCTCCCACACAATGAACAACACGAGTAGAAGAGCACCAATGAAGAGTGGAACTAGAACATGAGCTGACGTCCAAGGATACTGAATACTATATCAACAAGCTGCCCATGGTATTGACTGTTAGATATCTTACCTGATAGCCACCCCATTGCAGCCCTGCGAGGAACGAGATCATACCAGAGATACTGAGAAAACCGCCGAGATAATCGATCTTCTTTAGTACTTGGAGTCTTGAAAGGCCATCTGAGTTCACACGAGGAGGTGGGAAATAGAAAATTAATGTCATCAACAAGCCAACAGCAGCCCATCCTCCACAGAGCGCACCACAGTATCTCCATCCGGCGTGAGATGCAATAAGTTGGGCCCAGAGGACACTTGGACAGAATGGAATAATGGTGAAAACGAGAATTGCAACGTATTGGCCACGTTTGCGGGTGGGGGCTAGTTCTGATGTTACAGCCAGTGCAGTGAGTTCGTTTATGCCGGCTCCGGCTCCTGCGAGTGCAAATCCAGCTACGACAACTTAGTTGAAAACAGCAGAGAATTCTCGACAATCTTACCGATGAAGATGTTCATGGTATGTGCTGTGCTAGCGACAATCATGCCGATGATGATCAAGAGTGCACCAATGATTGCGACCCAGCGACGGCCAATGAGATCAGAGAGAGAACCCACGAAAGGACACACAGCTGCTAAGCTCAGAAGATTTGCCAATACGAACCAGATCCAGCGATCAGCCCCGCCTATGTCTCCATAGATGTAGGGTGGAATGCCTCCGAAGATGTAGACTGGAATCTGAGAGCCGGTCCAGAGAAAGGCCATGGCAATGAGGGACATCACGCGATTAAATGTCATCTACGCGAAGCGGTCAGTATCTCAAAGGATCAACACAAGAGTGACTCAGGCGTACGGGATGATCGTGCCTCTGGATAGATACAACGGAGTCTTCTGGAGAGAACGAAGGTGGACCATTCTCCCCGTTGCTATCCTCCTTGTTGTGGCGCGACATTTTCTTTAGTGCGTACATGTTAGACGTGTTTTCTCAGGAATTACTGGACTCTATGGTGCAAGGAAATGATAACGAACGACGGCAGGCAGTCAGGAATATGAGATATTGCAGGCACTGAAGACGTTTGTTTTGGTAATGAGGTAGTCCGACAACACGGTGATTTTGGAGCTAAGAAAGGGGACACATGCCAAGACTTACCTTAGGTAGTTCAACGATGAAGAGCTCGAGTCTTGCAAAGATTGCACTACACAGACATGAAGCATTTGACCGCAGTATGAAGTGAGGTGAAGTTCACGGAATCCTTCAGTCATGCGTGTATTCTCTCGTCGAGTCTTGTGAGGGGAAGATCGACATGACGTGCAGCTCGCTACTGCACGAGGGAAAAAGCGCAAGAGAAGGGACCTTTACCATGCATTTCAGAGGCTCTCCCACGCACGGGCCACGTATGTGCGAAATAGCTGCATGGGACTGACTGCAAGCTAAGTATAGGACCAGATCTCGTTGTCAAAGCCCTTTATCTGCATTTTCACGTGAGAGCAGAGTAGGTGGGTTCACAGAGCAGTTCACCGGCTCAAGCGAGCATCTCCACTGTACGATTAATCTCCGCATCGTCATTACATTCACACTCGATCTCAGTGAAGCTTGGAATTCGCCACCCCGTCGCCACCCCATCCTCCATGTCAAAGAAACACCTATGGATGCAAGGACCGACCCGAGCCTCCGACTCAATGCCGAAGGGGAAGGTGGAGGAGTAGGAGAGCCGAGGTACTCATGATCTGCCAATCATTTACAGGTACGGTCAGTCAGAGCTGATCCAGAGCATCCTTCCTTTGTTCATATCCTGTTGGTCATTTCCTAATCGCTATTTAGTTTGATAATCTTGAGAGGGTTGCAGACGCGCGATATTGGCCAACTCTGGTTCAAGCACCAAATGTGTGTATATTTCCCGCGAGATCAGTAAAACACTGGCCATCGAGCAACGGATCGAAATCTTCAAATTTGAGCACGCGAAAAACCGGAAGAAGGTGCTTGAGCGACAGACAGCAAGGGCCAATGCTCTAGAAGCGATGATAGTGCGTAAAAGGGAGGAACTTGAGATGAGAGACGTTCGCATCAAGGAGTTGGAGGCCGAGAACGAAGATTTGCGTGGTTTAGAAGGGTCGAAGAGGGACAAGCAAGGTATTGACTGGTCACCTTACAAGTGGTTAGAATGATAGAGAAATATGATGCTGTCTTGCAAGAGAACGATCTCCAGCTCCACACAATGATGACTAGTACTGAAAATCCACGGCAGAATCAATGGCCGCGTCGATTGGTAGATCGAAGCAGTGGTCCAGGAGGCCAGTGAGTTTTCAGCTTTTCTTTGCGCTCGTCCGCGGTCTGGCGAGCGATGCTGAAGAATCTGAGGCAAAAGAAGCACAGTATCTGTGCTGAGCCTAGAGCCTATCTATTTCGGTACATTGCAGCACTTTCTCGGGTTGATATCACAATAGCGAGTGAGTATAGCCGTGAGCCAGATATCGACGTTTTTGAACCCTTTTTGTCTTTTGGGAACTCAAAAGCTTGATAATCAAGTTGGGAAGGAGCTACTTCAGTGCATCACCTATAGGTTCAAACTTGTTGGATATTTGAGAGTAAGCAGTCAGCATTATTTCGCACACGGACTGTGCGCTGGACGGGAACATCATATGAGATCATCCTATGGTACAAATTTGTCTGTGGGCAGTATGCCCCTCTAACCTCCGTATACACGTCACGTCAAGCAAGTAACCGTTTGGAGCAAACAAACCATCCATCTTCAGGCAACAGTTCTCTTACTCAATGTCACTTCTCTTCTACTCAATTTCCCTACATCCGTCATTTTAATATCTCCGGATATCTGACCGTCAGCAAAAGCCGCGAAACGCAACAAAGAATCAGGTTCTCGCTGTCAACTCAAACATGACGACCACTCCACCTTCCAGACATCCTAGCATGACTAGCACTGGCATTCACACCCCACCAAACACAGACATGGACGTCACCAGCCTTCAAAACCACATCACAGCCCTCCAAGCGGACAAAGCCGAACTCGAAGCTAGACTTCGAGAAGAAACCTTTCGGTATAACGCCCTCAAAGACGCTGTGAATCAGCTCCGCCCAAGATTTGAACAAATGTCCAATGATCGTTTTGAGCATACTTCACTCCCGGAAGGCTCTATGAGCAGCTCGTTGGAGCACAGGGGTGAAGAGCGCCATGCCCTGGGAACGGCGATTGAAACGATGGAGAAGCTTTTGGATGAAAAGAATATGAAAATTGAGAAGTTGGAGATTGAGAACAAAGTCTTGCGGGAGGCGAATGAAGGTCGTGACACGGGCCGGAACTGAAGGTTGGAGAGGAGCAATGAATGGTACGGAGATTTGCATCCTGTTCATGTTCCCCTGTACTAAGGCGTCGCAGAGAACGAGACAGGCTTGACGAGGAGAGACCACTGTGGGAGGCTGCTCGAGATTTTGGTTTTGTCATATTCATTTCGGACTTACAAAAAACAACTACAACAGAGACAGAAGAACTTTTTCGGGAAGGGGCGACCTTACTGCGCTACCTTGGTTTACAGGAAACGGCCATCATGAGGAGAGAGGTGTTAGTGGGGAAAGCGAGTCACTCATTTCATCTCCATCCAATCAACTGAAATACATAAGACAGACATTTCTGTTAAACATTTCCTCAACAGACCCCAATGGAGACCACAAAGGAGACTAATTCTCTCTTACCTCCCTCATCTACTTCCCAGCTTCACTCCCACTCATATCCCCAGTAAGTGTGCGTCTCAAGCTCCAAGCCCATGTCCCCTTCCCTCACATCCCTAACCCAGCAGTCCCAATCTCAGCATCCGCCTTCTACCCTAGCCATCAACCCCATGCCCTCCCTCATCCACTAAAGTAGCGCCTACCTCAACACTCAATGTTATCAACTCGGCCGTGACTACCGTTCCATGTCTCAGCGTCCACGCGAACAAAGACGCCTTCACCCGCGCGCTTCCTTTACATGTCCCACATGCGGTGGGTGAAATGAGGTGATTATTGTGTGCAAAGCTCAGACTCCTCGATTTACAAGACGTATCTAGACTCTCTTTTGAGGGGGGCAGGAGGCAACCTTGCCCCGAAAACGCTCGTTGCGCTCTTTCACTGATACGGACGCCACTCTCGCGAGGATCTCCGAGTGGAAGGAAGCGTTCATGTTCTCTGTTGTCACGATGGTATTGGAGGTGTGGTATGTTATCTGTAGCTCTTTCCTCCTGTTCGTTGGCCTTTTGGTCCTGTTCGTAGAACGTGATCATGCTGAAGTTGGCAGATCCACGGGAGGATGGGCTCGGAAGAAAGTTGAAGTTTCCATATGAAGATAGTGGGTATAATGTGAGGCAATAGTCTGCTTTAAAGAGGAAGTACGAATGTTCAATCTTCCCTAAGGGGAGCTTTCCCGCCTAGGCACGCAGCTTTCGCAACGATCGTGATTTTAGAAATGGATCGTCAATTTTGTAATAAATCATCTGAACCTAATTATGGTCTTCAGAACTTGAGTCCTCGATCGAACTCATTACTCAGCGAGAGCCTACGTGTGCGCGGCGTGGTTTCCATGTCCGTCTTCTTGGTCATCATTGATTCGGCACCCATGGCACCTGACCCTGCGTCTGGCCATTTCTGGGCAAGCCAATAGATTAGCGCTAGCCTACCAAGATGGCCTGCGTCACATCGACCAAGGTACCGGACGCGATCCAATTTCATGTTTGCCAAATCATTTTCTTTATCGCTGATATGACCCAAGAATAGCAAGAGTGAAATACTCGCGGCAATGGCATCGTTATATCGTGTGTCAAACACGGCTTCGTAATTTGTTGGGACCATCCATCGATCGAGCTTTTTCACGGCAGTGTTAGTACTCTGCACATGGTTTTTCATCGATGTGTGCCATTCTCCGTGGGTAGGATCGGAGAGAACTGTGTCGACCTGGTTGAGGGTAGTGCTAGAATGGACACGAACATCCTCCGCTTCATATGGGACGGTGGGCGGTAGCCAGGGAACAGCCTGAGCTTTATCGCAGACGTCTTCGGCAGCGAAGCACTGAAGCAGCCTCGACGCCTCATGAAGCGCCTTCTTCCACTCTTGCAAATTCATAGACATTGTCAGGCTTGCAAGCTCGAAGCTTGTCCCATCCATGTAATTTCTATGATATGGCGGCCGCTTCCTGACTTTATGATACAGGTTCTTCAGATCCATTGCAATCTCAGCTCCCCAGGTTCTCTCAGACAAAGCTAGAGTCTCGATGCATTGGTGGCTGTCGCGTCTTGCGATCCAAGGCAGCCTAGGCGACGTGATATCGATGGAGACTTCGAGTACTATGCTCCAAATGTAATCGATCGGCTCAACAAGATCTGTAGACTCTGTGTGTGTAGTGTAGGTCCTACCACTGGGTGTCGCAAAGTGCGTCACACCAGACTCTCGACCGAAGGAGTTCCCAAGATAGAAAGTCTCAGACCAAATTTGCTGCCAGCGATCTCTCCCTTCTTCTTGCTCCCTTTCATCCAAGAGACTTTTCCAAAGCTGGCGTGTGATCTGGAATAGGCATTTAATTCGATCGAAGTCCTTCGGTCCGTCAATTTCCCAAAACCTCTTTGCTATGAGGCTAAGATAGTCACCTTGCTGCTGAACTGATAGAAATGCCAAGCTTGCGCGATCTAATAGCTGCTTCATGTTAAACTCGCTGAGCACCTTGAACCTTTGTGGGGTCGCGTTGAGGACCATCTGCCGCAGAATAAGGAATTCCAGCAATGGACCTAGCGGTGCAGTGATTGGGATCTGAAGCGATTGGGATGGGATGGCCCATAAGGCTGTAAAGAGACGGGACTTCGTTTGTGAGATTGACCCCAGATCTCTCATGAATTCATCTCCGTGGTGATTCTTCACTGCTTCTGCGGAGATGTGTGATGGAGCCTGGAGTTGATGAGTTTGTACCCAGTCTGCGAATCTATCCGCTAGGTCAAAAGTGACAGTCATGAGAAGCATCAGCAGTGTGGATATCGAGTCGCTTGTTGGCAGAGAGAATTGCAAAGTTTGAAGGTTCGTCAGTGTTTCCAAGATGATGCCTCGATTATGTTGCATGTCTTCTAAGTAGCCGTGTCCGTCTACGAATGATGAGTAGTGGATAAGTTTTGCGATTTCCCTGCACTCCACTGGCAGCTGTGGGATGATACTGCGAATGGCAGATGCCAGAGTTTGCAATACGTCTTTTGTTATACTACAAGCAGGTATTCGATACCCTGGAGAATCCTTTTGGCATCCCAAAAACCACGTCTCGCAGAGGAGGTAGCATTCTAGCCCCCGGCTTCCAATGCCGTATTCGCGTATGTTCATCAAGGTACTTGGCAAGTGGCTTTTGACACAATCTGCGCGAAGTCGGTTCTGCTCAGAGAGCTGCACGCGGTAAGATGTGTCTCCAAAGTTCATGACAAGCTCGCCGGGAAAGTGATGAAACAAGATGTGACATGCACTCGTCGTCAGAGTCTTCTGCTGCTCAGGGAAAGGGTTCAATCGAACTCTGATCCATTCATGCACAAGGGGGTGAACGGTCAACGTCCCACGTTCGACGCTCCTCTGCACTAAAGATAGAGATGCCAAAGTACCGATTGCGATCCGAAATTTAACGTCATCTTTAAGGTATGTGAGCTCGGTGATGATATCTGCAGGAAGCTGCTTCGCGCCGAGCTTCAACTTCAGTTCCCACGGTATTTGACACAAAGCATTTGTCAATAATACTTCAGACACTTCGTTGTTCAAGAACCCTAGGAGCTGCAGGATTTGGGAGGCTTGAGGACGGACTCGATTCAAATAATCAAGAGATATTTCCCATGTAGTCATCACCGATTCCGGATAGTCTGGATTTGCCTGTTTGAATCTTAACAATTGCTCTCGGTTTTCGCTACGAGGCTGGAGATATCTGCAATATTCCTGCAACGACATTGGCGCATTCTCTCGAACGAAACACGCGGCTTGATCGATGGCAAGCGGAAAGTATTGTAAATCATCTAGTATTTGATCCAAGGCTTCATTCTCACGATCTTCTAGTAATGTGTCAAACGTAGGCTCGACGAAAGGGTTACTAAGACTGAGGAACAGCATGCGAGCATTTTGGTAGTCCATGGCCCGAAGGTCGATGCCAGCCGATGCTGAAAGTCCGATGATGTTCCGATCTCGCGTTGTAAATATTACCCTCCCTGTTGCTTCCCTTGGAATATGGTGATGAAAATTAATCTTCAAATCATCGAAATTGTCAAATACCATTAGCCAGTCCCCGCTTGATTTCAAACACATCCACTCCTTAAGCTTCGCTCGGTTTTGTTCCTCAGTGTTTTCGTGAGAAGAAAGAAAAGGTCTGGCTGATTTCGCATCGTAGGAGGTCTCGTCCTCAGTCGAACCTGCTATCGTCTTATTAAGCAATTGGAAAACTGACAGCAAGCCAGCAGCAATTTCTTCGTTCCCGCGGGCTGAAATCCAGAATATTGATAATTCCGCCGATTCTGCTCGCGCCTTGTGAACATATTGGATTGCTAATTGTGTCTTTCTGAAATACGATTAGGAGTGAACGATAACACGAAAACTCACCCGCAACTCACCCAACTCCACCAAGGCCGTAGATGGCAACTGTCTTTGCCGATCCTGACGTGGTATTGCTTCCATTCTTGAGAAGGCTGTCTAGCCTTTCTAATTCAGACTCTCTGCCCCGGAAGTTGGGATTCTTTGCATGTGGGACGTCAAATATGCCACATCGCCAGAGCTTTTGCTGGATAATTGCATTGCGTCGTCCATCTTCAGGCCTCGTAAATTTCAGTGCCAATGGATGTCAATCGAAACTCACCATGCAATATGCTCGGACGAGCAAAATGCTGTGCTTTGTCTGATGTTCTCTCCCTATCAATTGACTCCAAGCGGCCAGTGCTACTTTGAGACTTGATTGCTCTCTTCTCCGAAAGCCTTACTGAGCGCTTGAGGTGACCTAAGACAATGGTGAAATTTGGGTCGGATGGCCCACGAAATTTGCAAATTTGGCTGTGGGTTGCATCTATAGGCACAAGCACTTCATTCGGCATTTCCAAGCAAGAAGAATCCTCGTCGACTATCTTCTACCAATCAGCTATTATCGAGGCCTGCAGATATGTGGCTCAGACCAATGCATTGACCATTGAAGTCTTTCTTCGCTCATAGAAATTGACAATTTCAAAACGGGATTGAATAGCTCGAAATTCGCCCGTTAGCTTTGTTACGATCTCTGAATCGTATTCAAGAGCATTAAGTAGCTGCGTCGGAGGTTTCTGGAAGGCTATTTTTGCTACGTTGGATAGCAGTGCCCCAGCTTTTGCTGTATGACTACCTCGGTGAGGCGTCGCGAGAAATAAAATCGCTTGGACACTATTAATGACCCGGCCATAGATTTGTTGATCTGTGTTAGCTGCAATGAGAGCCTTTGTAATCAGCTACGATGGCAGAAGCCGTGGGACAAAAATTATTTTACCTGCTTCACTACTAATCCTCCTAGCGAGTGGCATACGAAAACCAATGGTCTCGAAGGCTCCTGGGTTTCTTTTAGCGACCTGACAGAAGTATCTGGTCCTTACCAACCGTATGAGTATAACATTCCTCCGTGTAGATCAATATACGTTGAAGGAGATCTCTTGCAAAGTCTTGAACCGTGCTCACAGATGTATTTGATCCTAATAAAGTGGAATTGTATCCATAGATACCGATTCGGCAAGATTGAAGCTCATTTGGAAGCAAGTCTCGAAGCCACATGAATTCTTGGCCTCCTTTACCCTCGCGGGCGGAAGTCCACGTTCCATAACCGTGTCCATTGAGACCATGCACTGCAATGATGCTTGACAGTGTTGTCAGTAGCCATCGTAAATGAGGACATTCCACTATGATTAAGTGTTTCGGGGTTTCGGTAACACATACTCAAGCGCGTGTGTCGCTGGAGAAGAAATGGTGGTGAGGCCATAGAAGTCCCGGTCCACCCTGATGCTCTTGCCGCCAAGGCTCTCGCCATCGCAACTCAGTGCTTTCTTCGCATCCGCTGGTGTCTCAAATGTCACAGTTGCGACGAGGTTAGCGTCTCGAGCCGCAGTGCTTGTACACAGCGAGGAGCGAAGAGTTTGTTTCAGTCCACGGGCTTCGAAAAATCGGAAAATATCGACGATTTGAGTCGTACGTGCAAGATTGGACAAGCGGACGGTGGCCACATCTTTCGATAGCATGGCCAAGTCATTCTAAAGGGGACGCCGGAGGATCATATGTGGCACCGTCGTTGACCGTCACACTCCGTCGAAAGGCTGAAGCTGAAAGACTGATGACGTCACTGAGGGATTTTCTACTCATCAGAAAATGCAAGGCCATTCTTCCAGTCCAGACCCTAGACCCCCCATCACGATAAGGAGACCAATCTTTACATCAATGGTCACCTTACGATACCTTGACTACCTTTCTTCCGATGCCTGCCTTGAAGTTTCCAAGACTACCGCTTGGCATAAGAGGCAGAATGTACGCAGGTGATTGTACGACATAGGACGGGCATAGTGATAGCCACCTTCATCATCAAAGAAAGCCTTGAGAAAGGTGAAGTATATAAGCGAAAAAAAACCATAAAGTAACACTAGACGCGTAAAGCACCATGACCACCCCGCTCGCCCCGAGACTTCATGCTTTTCTTTCGCTTTGTCACTTCATCCAGCAGCAACACCAACCCTCCCCACCCCTGTCCCACCAACTCCCATCAAGCTCTTTCTCCTATCCACACACGACCTAAAATCCACCTTCGTCTCCTGGTACTGCTCCATATATTCTCCACTCGCAATACAGAGCACTTGCATACCCCTTGCGTACTCGAGATCCTGCAGCAACTTGGGCGTGATGAGGAAGTACTGGCTTCCTTGGTGCTCGCCACCTTCATCATCTTCGTCACTGGAGGAGTGGGGGCCTACGGGGGTAATGCCACAAGCGATGTCGACCATACGTTTGTGAACCAGGCGCTCATTGCGTGGATCCATACCCTGGTTGATCTCGTCAACGACGCGGAAGGGAGAGGGTGTGAGAGATTGGAGGGACATAAGGTAGAAGATTGTGGAGACCGCGCGCTCGCCACCGGACTGGCGGTGAGAGTTGAGTGTTGATAGGGGTTCGTTTTCTCTGTGCGTGCTGTCAGCAAAGTATTTGGGTGTGATGAGGGCTAGAGATGAAAGGGACAGTTGACTTGATGTAGCCATGAGGAAAGGGAAGGAGAGCAGAGGTAGCGTACCTGAATTTGACTCGAATCAGAATGCTCCACTCGTCAAAGTCTTCTTCCTTTCCGACAGCGACCTCTCCAACACAGCTGATCTGTTCCATATTGTAAGAAAACGAATCCGAAATCCTCTTGACAAGACGATCGAGCTCAGGCTCCCATTGGCTCCTTAGCTGGTCGATGTGCATGCTTAATTCGGCAAAGGCATGATTTTCTTCCGTCAGTTGGGCGGTGAGAGCCTCGATCTTCTTTTGTCGGGTTTCAAATTCTCGGATAGTGTTGCCATTTCCTTCGTGCATAAGCTCTAGACGCGCTCTTTCACTCTGTATGTCCTCCTCCAATTCCTCCACTGTCTGCTCAGGCCGAAGCGTTTGAAGGAATGCACGGAGCGGTCCTTCCTCTTGATCATCCTTTCTGAGCAATTGCTGAACCTTATTGAGAAAACGCTTGGCTACATTGCTTGAGTCTTTAACCACATCGTTGAGTTCATCAATCTGTGTTCTCTTTGAGTTTAGAAGTTCCACGACAGATCTGTTGCGGTCTTCCAAGATTTTCAGGTCCGAACTTGCTTCGATGAGGACAAGTTCCACTTCATGCAGGGATTGATGAGCCGCTCGAAGTGATGCAACGGCATCAGAGTACTTGACAGCTAAGCGTGCACGATCCATTGCGAGATCGTTTTGCTTCTCGCTAAATCCATGCAGTTGGTCCGACAGACCATTCAACTGTTCTCGAAGTGACACCAACTTTGTTTCATGGCCCTCTGGTTTGCATTAGTATTGCTGTGCACGCGGAAACAAATAGACTACTTACCAATCTTTGTTGGCAAGCCTTTGAAGTCTGCTAAAGCTTTCTGCTTCGTGGCCTTCTCCTCGGATAAATCTTTCTGTTAATTATTCAGCAAATTGTCTAGTGGTAAGAGAGAAAGCTGTACTCACAGCTTCCGCTTTGTTAGTACGGTACACATCTTGCCACTCGCTCATCTTAGCTTTTACCTCATCAAGCTGGGTCCGGTATCCAGCCAGCTCTTCCTTTGCATCACTGATCTTTTCTTGCAGCTCTCTTTTCGCCGTCAAATCCACGGGCTGGTCTGTCCATACTCTCGCGGGCCTGAAGGATTTTGACTGTGTTGACGTAGCGTCAGGACCATACTCCTTTCTACGAGCAATCCTGTAAGTGGCTTTTGGTGTCACCCAGTTTGAGACTGCGCTGTTTTTGATTGCTTCAAATTGCTGTGGGGTTGAGTCTCTGAGTGCTACTGCCGTTTCGTGAACCTTCATTTCTCCGCAGAGCATGGCCAGGAGAGGTTCTGGGCCACTTATATGACCCATTGCCCAACTATCAAAGCCGTAGCGCCGCATCTCATCCGCTTCTAATTCAAGCGATTTGAAGTGCCCTAGTTCGAAGACTACGGTCTTGAAGTTGACCTCCGCGAGGTTCAAACGATCATGGGCAATCCTTGACAAAGTCGCGCCGTCATTGCGCGTTTGTACGGTAAAAGAAAGAAGTATATTTCTCTGGAAGAGCGCTTCGATCATATCCACGTATTTGGGATCTTTAATGGAGCACTCGACAACCGGGGGTCCAAATACTGGCTTTTCAAACGCTTCAGGATGCTGCTGCACCCAGTCCCAAAGTCTTGCGGTATCTTGCGATAACATGTGAAGTTTGTTTTTCTGTTTGCCAGCTTGGGAGTCGAGATCGTTTAGTCTTTCCTCAGCAGCAACGGCCCGTTGATTGCACTCTCGACCTCGACTGGTTATATCACGCTGTTGCTGTTGAGCTTCTTTGATGTCTGTTTCAGCTTTTTCCCAAATTCTTTGCTTTTCGCGCTGTAGAGCTGTGAGTAAAGTTACCGGGGATTGGGGAGACTGGAACTTACACATTTTTCATTGTATGCGGCAGTATCGACATCGGGTGGTCGATGCGAAAGCTCGACTTTCAATTGTTGGACGATGCCTTCGATCCTTGATATTTCCGACCTTTTCTTCTTTGCCGCATCCTTCTCGGCCTGGATGGCATGGTCTATCTCGCGTGATTTGTCTTGCGAGGCGCGAAACTGGCTGTAAATTGTATCTGCGGTGCCTTCCGAGGTCTTCACTGCTTCCCGTCTTTGCTGATTGACCGCTTCTACTTGCCTCTTATAGCCTTTCTTTTCATTCACAGCTCGCAGTGCTGGCTCTATCTCTTCTTGCAAATCCTTTAGTTCTTCCTGAGCATCTTGTCGGGAAGCTTTAGCTGCTCGAAATTTATCTGTCGCCATGCGATATCCAACTGTGGGTCTTGCTAATTCCAACATCTCAACGTGCTTCACAACCTGCTCACGTTCCCGCATCCTTTCTACATCGGCTTCTTGCAGACGTTGGCGACCCTCAAGATTATTTAGAGTGTCTTGATCTGCGTCGACTTTAGTTTGTACCTCTTTCTGCTTTTTGCGAAACTCTTTGAGTTGCTCGTGAGTATCAATCATTTCCTGAGTGGCAACAGCTCGTTGTGTTGAATGCAGAAGTTCAATTGGCGTCATGGCAGCAAATTCCACGACTTTATCTTGCGGTAAGAATTGACATAGATTGTCAATTTGTATCGAGAGCGATCGCGCAAGGTTGAGCACGTATTTCTTATTCTGAGGTTTGCCATTCACAGAGAAGGACGATTTGTTTCCCTCTCGTTTGATAGAGCATCGGATGACGATATTTGACTTAAACTTCACACCATCTTTTGCAAGTTCAATCTCGATCAAAGCCTCACGAGTACCGTGCTTGACGAAATCTCCGAGGTCCTTAGCTCGTCCAAGGTGCTGAGGCAAAATTAGATTGTGCCACAGGTGGATATGATATGTCTCTTACTTTTGTTTCCCAACCTAGCCCTAAACATATTGCACAGACGAGTGTGCTTTTGCCCGTCCCATTTGGCCCGATCACCATGTTCAAGCTTGGCCCCGGGAAGAATTCGACGGCGGTGTAAGTCACAAAATTCGAAAGCTTGACCCGGACGATAGAACCTGGCTGATGCTTCTTTCTTGAAGATCTGGCTCGCAGCGTCTCTTGCTGTAACGCTGTAGACAGCCTTGGGTCTCCATCTCCATTGGGTAATTCAGGAGAGGGTGATGTGAGAGTTGTCTCATTACTCAACCGTGCTCGTTTCCGGCTTGTTGAGGCATGGGCAGGATTGCTCGACGTTGATGAGTCATCGCTAGCATTATCACTGTCGAAGTCATCATGCGAACGCCGCGACCGTGACGGTAGAAGAGGCATGGCAACCGTTTTCTATAGTCGACAAGTTTGATTCTGCGATGTAGAAAATGACGCGCCAGAACGCGAGGCCGCTAGCGCATGCTTGGCAAAGCTTCAAGCCCCGGGGCCAGCCGCAAGGCGCGATGTAAAAATGGTGGGACACTCAGGACAGCACATCATCATACATGCAACTACGCTTCCAAACTCAACACTCAGATGCGCGCGACGATCAATATTTTATCCTTCAGATGAAGAGGCCAGTGTTCAACCCAACCAAGGGCTATGTGGTATCAATCATTATTGGAATGCATTGGGCGTCAAACCCCATTTCGGAGAAAATGTTAGAATCAATGAAATGCTTCTCGTGCAGTTGGGATGCATCGTTAGTACCACGTCCATCTTTAGATCTCAATCAGTAGATTAGCAGAACAAAGAGAAGTCAATGTGAGGGGCTCGCAGCTTGACAGTGGGACGAATTCAGGTAAAGTCTTTCTTGCATGAAGACTATATCTTGAACCTATCGTCTGACATGAAGTTGCGGCACCAGGGATAGACTGGTTCTACATAGGTGAAAGCAATGACATGGCGCGCTCAGAGCAAATGCTCTGCATTTGCACGACTGTATTTATTGCACTTGCTAGGATAGAATTAAGCTCTCATGACAGCGAATTTGTTATCAAGTTCCTGATCATTGCCATGGCCTACAAATCAGCCGTTGACTAGGCGTGCGAACGTAAGCCGAGGTGTAGCCAGTGGACGGCGCAACAGATGAAGTACCTTGCTGGACATCACTGTTACGCCTTGGCTCAGGTGCGCGGGAAGTCACGAGAGACGTGGACTGTTCCTCCGGTTCCAGCATTCTGTGAGAAGCTCGACTGCGCCTTCTTTTCTGTAAAAGGCCACTTTTCGACTGAGTTGCTAGAGAAGCAGGGAATGTGAGGTGCCCGTAACTTCGCTAGCTATAGATACTCTCATTCTTGCCGTTCATTTCAAGTGATGCTGCCATCAATCCGATGAGGGTATGTATGATGGGCCGTCTCGTGAGCAGCAATGGTCTTGCAAGAAAACAAGATCTGCCAGCTTTGGTTGCGGGTCTGCAATGCCTCCTTCGTGGCTTCTGTCAGACCTTTCGTTTTGAGGCAGGTGTGCCTGCTCTTGTCGATGCGGGGGTTTTCGATGAGATCAAAGAAGATAATGTGTTGGTAACGTTGGTTGTTAGGAGCGTGCCATAGCTGAGAAAAGGCCTTAATTTGTTCCCAAGGCGAAACAGGCTTTACGTTTTCCAACATTGGCCCATAACCAAGCGTTCCTGAGATTTACATATTCCCAAGGTGACTGTACGGCGGAGTCTACCTCCCCAGAGTGGCATTCGAGCTCAATTAGCCATCAGCTCTCCAACGACTTTTGCCGTTGCGTTTACGATCAGCTCGTGTTCGCGAACATGAAACTTTTGCTCCAGCTGGTGCAAATCCTCGTCTTTGGAGCACTCAATCTCCTCGACTAGGATTGGCTCGCCTCTGTCGACCTCTTCAATGACGTAGTGTATCATGAGGCCAGTCCGATTATCCTTGAGCTTGCCCTCCTGAAAATCTCGGAAAGCGCGCTCGATAGCGTCTGCACCGTCATACATGCCTGCATCGTCATTAGGCACGGTCAGGTCATTCTTCTACACATTCATAGTATGGCAGAGGCAACAAATCACCCATTGCTGTGGGAGGGGAGTTATTACCTGGTAGAGCAGGATGCAAATTAATCACACGGACGCCTTTGACACGCATCGGTTGCAAAAATGAAGGGCTGTAGTCACCGTAAGCAATCGCACTGAATCGTCCAAATTTAGTGGTATGGAAACTTCGTACGAAAACACGTGCATCCACCCAGCCAAGACCACCAGAGATGGTCTGTCCTGTAGCACTACCTCCGCCAACACAGCATCATACCTCGAGCGCGCTTCCTTCAGCTTCTTTGGATCTACTTCTCCCTTTCCCTGGAAACCCTGGGAAATCATATTGAAGTAGGTGGACGGAATGCCCACACTCTCGGCGCGGGTCACAGCATACGCCTTCTTCCGATTTACGAAGAGCCGCACGATCTGTGCATTGCTGATTCTCTGTGATATGACAGCGTCGATGAGAGCTTGAAAGTTCGAGCCATTTCCACTCGCCATCACCACGATACGGCAGGGTTCTGCCATTTGCAGGACAAAATTCAAATCTTCAGGAAGGTTTGGGCAAGTACAGAATTTTACCAAATCGGTTTGCTGAGCAGCTTTATGGAAAGCGTTCTGGATTTGACCCCTTTCATTGAGCGGGAAAAGGGTATACCAGAAGTGTCCGACCGGCATACATCATCCAAACACCCATAAAGTCGGCTGAGGTCCAAAAGCCTGTCGAATGAACTCGGTCTATAGTCAAGGGAGGATTCAAGCGCTGATGGCACGGTCATTTGCGGGCGGGCCGAGGGGGCCGAGATGCCATGAGTGCCCGGGACACTAGCTTCATTGGGTATCGATCCAAAACCCTAAAGCTAGCCATTTTGGGGGACAGGTTAATCGCATGAAGGCATCACAGTCAGCTCCGGTACACGAATTGCACCATAACCTGCGATTGTGAATTATTTTACTTACTTTCGTAAGTATTACTGTACGAATACAGCATTCAAAGGCTTGATATCTATCGATAGTCGCTAAAGGATGGCGGTGTTAGCCCAACCTTCCCTTCCAGAAGCCGTAGCATAGGTATTCTCATTGTATCCTTGGTTGGTTTCTGAGCAGCTGAGAATGTTCGCCCAAACTTTCGAGTCTTGAGCTACCGAGATGAGATGGTAGTGCTGCTGCCTTGTGGCGTGTACAGCATCCAAAGTCTTACTTACCAGTATGTTGAAATGGTCATACTTTCTACCTGAAGCATCTCATATACTCTACTGCACACCCACTGGGTATGGCAGAATTGCGCACATCTACTGCGTAGACTTCGCGAATGCTAGACATTTTCTTCGCTTCTTTGCAATGTCGTGGACATTGACTTTTGCCTTGCAAGAGAGATGCGTTGTCTCGATTTCGTTTCGGTTGAGTGTGCTTGCAACTCCAAGCCTCGCGTCCAGAATTTCTCGGAAGCGAATCCGTCTGCATCATAATCTAGAAGAGTAGTTGATCGGCAAAGGATGTTGTCCGAACCAGGTGGCTATGTGCCTTGCTACTGTTGGCAATACTGTGACGGAGTCCGGTGTTTCTTTATATCGTCACCATATCAGAAACCACACATTGAGTTCCAGAAAAAATTTGGTTTGCTTATAGATTCCACGCCGAGTCTTGGGCAACCAAACGTGTCAGACATGACTTCTCAGTGCGAAAATAAGAGAACACGTATGCTTGGGCACGACTGGGAATTTGGAAGCAAAGTCAGCTAACATGAACAGGATGAAAAAGCTTACCGCTACTCAGTCAAAAGCAGCCCAGAGTGCGGTTATGATCTTCCACATAGCGATTTGCAGAAACTAAATTAATCACAGCCAAAAGCGAAAAGGGCGAGGGAGACCAAATTGTCCAGTCTTCGAGATGCCCAAGAATGCCAGAGGCTCATCCAGATGGTAAGGTATAGATGGACCCACCACGTGTAAAGGCAGGTGTATCCGACTTTCGACCTATTCGAAGGCAAAGGACCGCACATTCATTTGCCTGGGGCGACCTGTGCTTTATCGTTGGACCATGGTGAGATGCGAGATTCAGGAAGCGACGTCAATTGTGGCTACCTCGTCTGATACAGTGGTGTAGAGCGCAGCTCACTAGCTCTCGCTTTCGCAAAGTGACCCACAAAGCACTCAAATGCATACGACGCTCAATTGATGATGATATTGGACAAGCGATGTTTCATCACCGGCATGTCAACGCCACTTCAACTTCAATAGACCAGGCCAATGCCTTCTCAACAATACCTCCGGATGCCGCACTTGTGAGGGGGCTGCTGAGATCGATACTGCGCGTTAGTCAAAGTACTTTCTTTGCCCCTTGAGTGCGTTCGTAAAATGCGAGGCGTTGGCTCCCGGAGAGCAGGTTCCGGAGCTTTGCCTTACATGCAGGCGACAGATCCGTCCATAGCCTATCGTTATTGTACAGATCGAAATCTATGCAACGCTCAGTCAGGATCCAATTTCTCGCGAAGGTACAAGGAACAGTCTTCTCGGCGTAGCTCTCGCCCTCGCAACTCGATTATTTCTCGCACCTCATTGTGAATTTGATTTTTCAATCGCTGTCCTGACTCCAAGTTTCCCAAGCCTCGATGGTTTCCCTGTTGCTCCTCATCTCATTTATTTTGCTCGTGCTTTGTCATGAAGAGTTTTTCGAGCCTCAAGGGTCTGGTGGATGTTCGAAAGGCAATGCTGCTACAGATTGCGGTGGCTATCCGTACTCCTGCGCTTATGCTTCCGATAAGAATATGGTGTGGTGTTGCCCAACGGCTAACCCGTATGTATGCTTTACTACTCCATGGGCTCTAGGTCTCTGTTCTATCATGCTGACAGCGCTCGCGATATCGAGGGTGTGCTGGGGCTTCGCTAGCGCCTGTACGGGTGGCTCTTCGACATCTCCAGGTGAAGGCCAGATCCCATGCTCAAATGACGGCTCCCGTATGTACCCTTCTCCTCCTCTAATCTTCGACGTCAGCTCAATCAACGGGTGATAGAATGGTGTTGCGTCGATGAGTACGAGGTATGCACTCTGATCGAGGGCAAGATCAATGTCTGCAATACTTCATTTGCCAACGCAAGGGCGGAGAGCAACGCATTCGAGTCTTGGTCGCCTTCGTGGAGCTCTTCCTTGTATACACCGACAACATCATCTTCGATAACCAATGACCCGAATAGCTTCGTAATGACATCGAGCAGTAGCTCTTTTGCACCGAAATCCTCACCAACAATCATTAGTAGCTCACACAAAATGTCATCATCATCATCGACAACAAACATTGATCCAAGTGTGAACTCGGTCACCAAATCCTCATCGATAGCCGGTACCTATCGAGGTACAACATCCTCACCAACCTCCTTAGCGACTACAACGTCGTCCACCACTCCAGCTCCGAGTTCGACCGCCAGCCCAAGTACAGCAAAGTCGTCGAATCTAGGCTCCGGCGTCGTTGCAGCTATCGTTCTCGGCGCAATAGTCACGGTCTGCTTGATCATAAAGCTCCTCATCCATAAAATCAAGCAAGCCAGAAATAAAGTTGGCACAAAAGCGATGCGACATACACAAGATCGCGGCTCTCTTGGAGCCCTGGGACTGGGTATTCGTTCCCGGCCTCTGGAGCTTGATGGCAGAAGAATAGACAGGGAACTCCCAGCGGCAGAAATGAGACATGAGATGAAGGCTTGATTAGCACCTTAGTCAAGAGAGAAAGAGGTGCTTAAGTCATCTTTCATAAATTTCATCATGAGCTCATGTACATATTTATGGTGTCATATTACTTTAACAATGCCGCCCGAATCTCTTAGTGCGCTTACCAGCCTCACTGATAGCTGTAAGCAAGCAAGTCGGGCAAATCTCGAGATATGGTTGCTGACGAAGAGGAGCAGACCTCCTTATCATTTCATAAAACCTCATTCGATTAAATTGATGTTTCACAAGAGCGCAATCCAACGGATCTTGCACTCTCGCCTCAGATTTGTACTCACGTAGCCGTCGGCATTTCGCTGATAATACTGACGCTAAGATATATGCTCTGCTTAGAGCATAGATCAAAGATCGCTGCTAGGTTTTACATATTGCGTAGGAGGACAATATAGAATCCATCCTATTTAATCTGCGATGCGCCATGTAGCAAGCCGCGAGAATAGTAGCAGATCCACGGACTAACCATCGCTTCAATAGATCATGTCCTTATCCAATTGACTTAGTAATTTCTTTCCTTCTCTTTGATAGGGTGATTTTAGTCCAACCCATATTTGAATCCGTATAAAACCTTGCATTGCATGATTCTGTATGTCCCAACCAAAAATCACGCTATGCATGCAAAGAATCCCATCCAAATCACTTTTCGTAGCACGTAGAACAGACACACAACGTATGAATATCAGAAACGGGGGTCTTCCACTCCTCTGGCTCATGCACGGTGTCCCGGCCCCGGACTCGGAACATCAGGATCATCAAACCCTCTCTCCTTCTCACAAATCACACTCCAGAAGAACTCCGTCGCATACCAACCATAACTATCAGCGTTAAACAGCGCAAGATTCTTATTCAGTGCTCTCGCCTGCTTCCATCCGTACCCGTTTGGCTGATCAATGACTTCCCCGTTGTGAATGCTGCCCAGGAACCAGTCCCAGTGCGCGTATTCATGGAGCAGGATGCTGCCGAGCAGATACATATCTTGAGTCATGCCGCCCTCTGATTCAAAATGCGCGCAGGCGTCACCTTGATCATCACGATTAGGGTAGACGCTGTCACTTGTTAGAAATTGGGGCTTGTAACAGTTGAGTTGAGGATGGAAATGGGTATGGGTATGGGTACGTACAAGGCATCATCAGTGAGCAGCAAACTTGGGTCTGGATTGTCAAAGTCCACCAGCTCACCAGGCGCAGGATTCCCATCAGCCGGATGCTCGTCTCCTGCCTTGACTTTGATGTTGCCCAGGGCGGGAGCCCCATCGGTGCCATCGCCCAACAGTCGTTTGAAGATGCGTTGGACTTTGTCTTTATCACCAGGGTTGAAGTATTTGTGGAACACTGCATCATTCTTGTCGCCTGGCTCGCTGACCGCATAGCTCATGAGCTCGAGAGCGTTCTGGAAAGCGCCGGTACTTTGGCCAGATGGAGAGGTCAACTTTCCCCCTCGATGTGGATCTTTTGGGTCGATACCAACGCCAATCTGAGGGTCGGCACGCTTTGAGAGGGTCGTTGGACTGGATATAGTAGGGTCGGTACGCTTACTCAGAACATTGATGAGGTCATTTGGAGCTGGAAAGGCGGATGACAATGCCGCCAGATAGAGCGCACTTAGATATGTGGTAGAGAAATGCATGGCGAAGGGTGTTGGCGATCCTGAAGTCCTCTTTGGACGGAGTGATGTCGTATGTTCTCTGATATTGTTCCTCGCCTGTATATGGAACAGGAAGCAGCTTGATGGATATCGAATCCGATTTGAGCATCATGGTCTGACTTATACCTGCTTGAGCAAACCGCCAATCCGCCAGTCTCTGCGCAACCGCTTCCTCGCGAAGAAGGCTCTTGTCGAGCTCCATGTCGGATCACCGATGAAACAGCTTCGCCTTGTAAAGATGGAATTCTCGTCGTCGTCTGACCTCTGAGTCGTACCAATGGCATCCAGAGAATCACACTGCTAGGTAAATGGTGAGGCTTAGAGCAAGACTGTTTCATCCATCAGATCGATAGCTGGCAGTCTTGTCCAGTGATATAGTATTCAACGGGCTGAAGGAGAAGGCACTGTGATTGTGGCAGAGTATTTGCGTCGCAAGAGTCTTCAGACAGTCATTGACAGCTCATGAGGCACAGAATCCTCAGGAGGTGAAACATCTTCTTGTTGAAAACGAAGGAAGCTTGGCATGGGGCACAGTCTGAAGAACACGGTGCTCAGCCTCCGTTGGTGGCTGTACGAACTGCTCGTCGGCTATTGCGCAATAATCCTGCAGTAGCCTCGCCGTCTGACGATAATCATGTAACTGATCCATAGACTCGTAGTGCAATGCGCCTTGACTTGTAGGTATTCCGAGATTTGAACATTGGTGAAGATATGCACTATCAATAGAGAGCACTCCCTTGACGTAAACTCAAGACTTTAGGTTGAGTTTCTTAATCTAAACATAACACCCAGAGCCACAAATGCATGTCAGCAATATCGTCTGCGGATGCGCCTTTCCGATCTTCTTGTCAAAGCTGTTTCAGGATATCAAGGTGATCAGAAGCTTATTTTGAGCCATGCGGCAGTGACGCAAAAGTGGTGTGCTGTTCGCGTCTTAAATGTCTCAAGTCGCCATCAGCCTCGTGGGCAAAGATCCGGAGTCAACGAAGATGACGATTAAAATCCTTTGATGACGTCGAATGCATCCGTCATTCAGTGCAACTAAAAGCAACGGCTTTCACACCACTCGTATCGACCGTGATTGGCTCGTGTGGACCTGGATCAAACTTGACTTTGCGCGCATCAAGGTCCATCCTCAAGACCTCTTCCTTCGTGCCATACTCCCACCAACGGACAAACGTCCAAGCAACACGAGGGGTTTCAGCTAGAGTCAGCGCATAGGTGTCCCCTGGCTCAAGGCCATCTACTCCAAGAGCGCCAGATGTTGAGTAGCGATGGTTTGAGTAGTCCGGGTGGCTTGCTGGAAGTGGTTTGCCATCATTGTTGTCACGCTTGCGAGTGAAGGGCGCGGAGAAGGTGACGGGTACATTCGGGTAAAGCGTATAGAAGCTAGCCTCATCATATGAGACTTTCACCTTCGTGGGCGGAGGAAATCGACAGTGGGTTGATACTGTTTGCTTGAATTCGGCTCCAGATGTTAAAGAAATAATCTTGAAAGCGCCACACTTGAGCATGAGCGCCGGAGAGAGATCATCGGCGTAGATGGTGATCGGCCTGTCGTAATGAGATATAATGCTGAGAATCAAGGAAGGCGCCACATAGTTTGCGTATGAATGACATCTTGGATTCAGGGCAAGGGACGCTGATACTAGAGGTGGCCCCATGCTGTCTACCACAAAAGTTTGGAAATGGCCAATGATGTTATATTTGACCTTTTCAAGGACTTGAAGCTGGTAAGGGTGATCTGAATGATTGCAGAAAGAGAAATGCTTGCTGCTGATTAGATCCTTGACCGAGAATGCAGACGAGTGATGGAGAGGAGAACGAAAGAAGAACAAATAGGCAGTGAACTACGGAAGCTCAGTCAATTGTCGAAAAGACTTGTCGAATGCCGTATTTATGCTCCCGCTAGAACGAGTCATCGGATCGGAATTATAATTATCCGGCAAGATTCTTCATCCCCATTCCCACATGTTCAATGCTGAATTGTGAGCATCTACATGCTTCTGGGCTCTTCTTCCCTTTATCGCCTCCTTCTCCTGCTCACTATAGGCTACATAACATACCTACACCTCTCATTTACCAAGATCACCTCTCCGCAACCTGTTCCTGCTCAAGATGAATCCTCCAAACTCTCGACCCCTGGAGCGCGCATTCCGCAGAAGATCTGGCAGACCTCGCCCTCGACAATCCCCGCCTTAAATGCCTCGCATGCTTCTCGTATCCAGACGTGGACGAGCCTCAATCCTTCCTGGCGCTACGAATGCCTCAGCGATCAAGCCGCAGAATCTTGGGTCCGTTCAACCTTCACAGCGACCTCGCCAGAACCTGATCTAGTGAGCCTCAGCTGGTTGGGCGATATCTACCTCTCTCTGACCGACCGGATTCTCCGCGCCGATTTCCTCCGTTACCTCCTCGTCTATGCTGAAGGTGGCGTGTATACAGATCTTGACACCTCTTGCCTAGTGCCAATCAAGCAATGGGCGGGTGTCAACGCTACATTGATGGAGCAAGCAGAAGTGGTGATTGGTGTAGAAGCCGACAGGAAGCCTGTGGAGAATGATTGGCGGTTGTACCAGGACTATAGAGACTGGATCTGGGGGGTTGAGAATTGGACGTTTGGCGCAAAGGCGCGGCATCCGCTTTTCAAAGCTGTGCTGGAGAACGTGGGAAAGAAGTTACAAGACTTGCTGAAATCTCCAGAAGGAGACAAGGCTGTGCTGTATCATGAAGTCATCGCTACGACTGGCCCGAGAGCGTTTAGCGAGGCTTTCCTAGAATACATCTCAAGCACGCAGGAAAAGCAGATCTCTTACAAGGAGTTCAGTATGCTCGAGCAGCCGAAGCTAGTGGGTGGTGTACTAGTGCTACCAATACGAGCAATGAGTGTGATGGAGGCAGACCGCGCTGATGGGGAGGGTGCGAGAAGCTTAGGGCTAGAGCCTGTGGTGAGGCACTGGAGTGAGGGCAGCTGGAAGGGGTCTCATATTGCTGTATTGGGAGACAAGCCGGACGGCTGGAAGGGTGAAGGATAAGGTGAGAGTGGGTAACCCAGACCTATTGTATAAAGTTGGCCGTTACTCTCCATGGCCCTTGAGCCGTGGCACTCTAGGGGAATTTGCCCTTACCGGTGTCTACTTCCTCAACAACTGCAACTTCAAAGATTGTTACGTTGCAATCAAATTCATAGACGTGATGTTCGACAATGCGTCTTCGTCTGCGTTCAAACTTCGCCGAAAGTCTTTGAAGATATCATCCACTGCCTGAGATGCTGGACGCGGGCATGCGATACCCGGTGCACACGATGTGCAACAAAACTCAGATATATCGCAATGGAAAAATGACCCTTGCAGCCGGTCAGAGAACGATTCTTGGGCGGTATCGTACCAACACCGAGCTTTTATGATGCCAAGAGTCGCCGGACCCCTTTTACCTAATCTAGAGACTTCCCCTGAGCTAGTGTCAACGAACGACAGAACACTCCACTTGCGCCTATTTGCAGATATTAATTCGAGGTGTTTCCTTGACGCGAAAACGTCACTTTTCTCTCTCTCTCTCTCTCTCTCTCTCTCTTTCTCTGAGCAAAAGCTAGCTGCCAGTGTGCTCGCTCGGTATCAATCCTTACCACAGCGTCGACGCTTGAGAGAACATCACTGGGAGGAGTAGAATAACAAATCTGTATGTATGCCAATGTAAATGAGGATCTGCAGAGGCAGGTACAAGAGACTTGCAAGAGGCAGCTAGAGAGGGAGGAGAAGCTTTCAACGGAGGAGGCAAAAGCGAAGAAGGAAAGGAAGGCGGAGAAGAAAATAGTGAAGAAAGAGAAGGCTGAGAGGAGAAAGGAAAAGAAGGACAGGAGAGAGAAGAAAATGGACAAGAAAATGGACAAGAAAATGGCGAAGCAATTGAAAGCCGTCATGAGGGGGGAGTAATGATCCGCTGCAGGCTTTCTCTCAGATGACGCGCCCCCTCCCCTTCTTTCCCTCCTCACAAATGTTTCCAGCGCACTTTCTCTAAACCCGCAACCAGCTTCCTTCCCAATAGTCGTACTCCTTTCAAAAGCAACTCGCCAACCAATTCCCACCGATCAACTCAGAATCACACACACCTCCCCTGCTATGAGCACGACATTCTACCTACTTCACAGCCGGAACCACCTTCCATTGTGCGATCACATACAGCAGCACCTCGAGCTCGACTCAGGCACAATACCGTCGTCTTTCCACTGCCCCGCATTTCCTACCTCTCCTTCCTCTAGAGATTGCAATTCCTTCCTTCGTTCTTCAGGTTCGCTCCCGCTCTGTATAGACTGGCCTTCAGATATCGACAGTGCCGGTGCCCCTACTGATCCCCCTTCCTGTTCAGATCGTACATCATATCTTCCAGCTTCGGCTTCAGGTTGCGCCATGAGCGTACATCCAGAGGCGAGTAGATGGCTAGCTATCGATATCCACGTTGAAGGGACGGGGTGTCGCTGAGTTGACAAACGTCATTCAACTATGATTTATCGAAGTCTCCATACCCTTAATTCGTCGGGGCAATATCTCACGTCATACGCAATGCGTTGCCTTAGTGCTTACATTCTCTCGCATCATGGAACATCGAATGTGGAAAGCGATCACTTATCAGACCGAGCAACTGCATGGATATTTTAGAGGCAGGATGCGTATCTCCTCTGCTAACCTTCCTTCGTAGCCGCTTTCTTCCTCTCATTAATTGCTATCCACATTTCCGCCATCAAAACAGTGCTTATACAATCAACCCTCCCCCCACCCCCCGCCTTCTCGTTCATTGTGCAAACCACTCCCCCTTCCCCCCGGCAACCCTGCTTCTTCAGCCCCTCCTAGCCTCTAGTAAAACAACAGCTCTACAACTCCTGACTCGCCCAGCAACTCTGCGATACGCAGAAGCCTGAACGTCAATATGTCCCGCATAACGCTTCACACGATAGGTTTCCGTATTGACCCAACTATCGGCAGACATCCAAACTTCTCTTACTCTTTAACACGCTCCCTCTCGCTTCCATAGACTTCACACAACAAAGCCTTATTTCAAACGCGCTGAATACTGCTGACTCGACTCTCTGGCCAAAGGCAACCAATAATGAGCTGGGAAAAAAACGCACTCCTTCACCAAAAACCATTAGATCTGAACATTCGTGCTTTTTAAGAAAAAAAAGTCTGTCATCATAGTTTAATATGTAAAGACATCATAACGTTCAGAGCCAACTGACCTTTTCCCCCTGCACCATTATTCTCGTCAGGGGCTCTTCACCACACAAAGAAACAAAATCGCCTGCATACAAAGATATGTGTACACCCCTCAAAGATCGCAGTAGCCCCATATTACCTTTTCAGCCCCCTCCATTGTTGTGTTTTCATCAGTCACCATGCCCCATCCGTCCTTTCCCATCGTAAATACGCCCTCAAAAGCCAACCCCCCTCCTCACCTCTTCAACCAAACCCACATCCTCCACCAAAACACCCTTCCCCCTCAGCACCTCCTCCAAAGCATCCAACACCCTCAGAAAGCTACTCTTAGCGCCCTTCTCCTGCACTAGTCTCGCGATACTCAAATTCGCCTTGCCACCCCTGAAAAGGACTGTATGTACCTCACAAGCCAGTCTCATAGGGGGGATGTTCAAAGAATTCTCAGCATCAACACGAGCCCAGATGCGAGATGCAGGCTTGTCAATCACGATATTACGCAGGCCGTACTTCTTCCACGAGTGAAAAAGGGTGGAGATCTCGCGGCGAGCGCGCATGCGAGAGATCTGGAAGCATAAGACGCGTGTTGCGGGCTTGATGCCTAGGAGACGAGCGAGCCAATTCTGGGGCTGAGGAATAATCTCGCGGGGTGATGTGAGGGATGATTTGCTGACGTCTGGTTTGGGTTTCTTGTGCTGGACAACAGTCGATGAGCTTATATTTCTTCGTTGAGGATCACGTGAAGATGGGCGGTCAGTTGATGAGGTATCGCTCTCTTGACCATCCGAGTCCTTGATACCAAAGTCTGTTGGCTTAGTCAATGCGAGGTAGGCCTTACTTTTGTTCTTTTGCGTGAACAGCTTAAGCAAGCTCTTCTTAGGGTTAAGCTTTCGTGGCTTTGTTTCTTCTTTGCTTAGGCCAAGAATCTGAGAGTTTCCGGGGAGTTGTGATGGATCGGAAAGTGGTCGCTCATCTTTCGGCACCAGCGGTGGTGCGAAGTCGGTGTCTCTAGAGGGTTGATATTGATGTCGACGGAACCAATGGCGCTTCTTGGACGTATTACCAGGATAGCTATTCCGTGTTACTGGATCGAAATTCTCCTTATCTTCTTCATCAATTGCATCAAGATTTTGGCTCTCAAGCACACGAGATCCCAAATACCGCTGCTCGTCTGAAGCAATGTTTCGCAGTGACGGACTTTTTGACCCAGAGCTTGACGACCGCGTGGACGCGTTGCTTTTCTTTCGAATGGCCAAAGGTTTGATAGGCGAGAGCCCTTTGTAGTCCGTCCCATCGTCCACGATTCGTATTGTCGATTTTCGTTTACAGTCCTGATGCTTTTGTGTAGGCTCCGATCTCGTGCGATAGCCGATATGGGTTCCGATTAACTTCTCAAAGGTATCCTTACGCGGTATGCCGTCTTCTGCCTCCGGAGTGGAGACAGCTCTTCGTTGTTCTTCGGCAAGTCTCACAGTGCTTGGTTGCATCAACCTATCGAGGTGCTCGATCACTGCATCAAGATAGCCTGGAGGAATTGACGAGTCTCTAGCACGCCTCCTCAGTACTTCTCTAGTTCGCGCGATGTCAAGTCTTGTATTGGGCGTGAGGATGTCATTTTCTACAGACTTCTCGGGCGGCGAAGGGGGCAGTGAGCGGTCTTTGTATTCCTTTGGTGGAAGATTCACGGAAGTCCTGAGTCCGGAGGGTTGCAACGACGTCCTCGCTAGACCGCTTATGGATATCGACGTTGCAGGTGACGCATAGCTGCTTTGTTGGGAGCCTCGTAAGCCAGTTACAGGGGTAGATTCAGTCACTGCAGAGGTCATTGAATCTCGGTTCCATGTCTCATCAATCAATTGAGCAAGTTCGTAACTGACCTTGCGGGCATCACTTATCGAGCTTTGACTAGACATTCTTATTCGCCCTGGATATCGCACCTTTGCGTGTTTTCGTGGGCCCCTGCGAGGGGATGTGTGGATGCCGATTTGACCGGTTTCTTCATCTACTATTGGAGCCTTCGCAGCTTTTGCGTCAGTAGTCTCCCCTTGTAGATACTGTTGATGTAATGAGAATGGCGAGCGTTGGCTTCCAGCGCTTCGGAGTCTTCGCTGGCCTGGGCCACTCAGCTGGCGCCTTTGCTGGTGCGGAAACGTGACATTTCGTCTTGTTGAGCTTATCGATTTGCGGAACACTGTAACTGTGGAGCCTGTTGTGGCAGATCCTTTTGACATGATAGAAACTCGAGAGTGTCCATGAGAGATGCGCCGTTGATTGCTGGCCATGCGTTGGAAATAATCGTGGCCTGAAGTTCCCCCAGCACTAGGAAGGCTTCCCACACTTGCACTGTCTTCCTCTTGCAGTTTGTCTAGCACTGGGTTGCGCATTGAAGACTTGCGAGAAGACGGAACACGGGAGGACGCTTGAGAAGCATTTCTAAGAACAGTGATACGAGCATAGTCTGCACTTGCAGTCTTTGCGATGCGAGTCCGCGATGGTCGAAAGGGATCATAACTCTCCTCTGTTCCCTCAGTTCTTGCAATACTAGTCCTTCTAGAGTGCTCTTTTTAATGTTGGCTCTGGGCCTTCTTCGGTACGTAGGTCCCCGGCTGAAGGAGCGAGAATCGAGAGGCATGTTGCGGGTTCTCCCCAAGTGTGGGCATTGTTGATGAGTATCGCTTTGGTGGCTGCGTCACATGGTGGTAGTCACTTGTCGAGTAGTCAACTTCCGTCGATTGATAGTTCTCTAGCAGCCGATCTTGAAACTGTTGTAACTTAGCATACAGGACCCTCTCGTGGTTTGGTCTGACTGCGTTAGCTCAGGGTTTTCTTACAGGTCAAGAAACGTACTCTTTGCTCAGCAAGCGTTGAGCCAACTCAGTTTCAGGCACACTATGCCACAAGTTCCGCATGTTTCGTAATATTTCATTGTCGATCTGACTTCTGTACCTCATTGTCGATCCACATTCGAGGAGTGACAAATGAGGAGCGGTACCAATGTATGGCTTCCCATTACTGGCCATTGGGTCAAGCCCTTCGTACTTTTTGACAAGTGGGTGCCTCCACATATCACGAATGCGCATTCGCTCACCTGGATCGGGCTGCAATATGCGGATGATAAGATCCTCAGCTTGCTCTGATAGTAAACCTTCGGGGAAATCGTAATCGCAATCCAGTACTTTCGAGATGACTTCAGTGAAATTCTGTTCTCCGTCCGCAAGGTCGCTGCAAAAGGGGAGGGAGCCGGTGAGCATAGCGTACAAAACTACGCCGGCGGACCAGATATCTGCCAGGTCACCACGATACGGCTGTTGTGAGATGACTTCTGGACAGGCGTAATGTGGGCTACCGCAAGAAGTCTGAAGCCATTCGTGCTGAGGTTGTAAGGCCGCCATTCCAAAATCGACTATCTTGATATTACCATCCCCATCCATTAGAATGTTTTCAGGTTTCAAATCTCTATGACATATGTGAAAGCTGTGACAGTACGAAAGGCCGGCGATGATTTGACGAAATATGCGAATTGCTTCATGCTCAGGAAGGCGTCCATGGGTTTGAATGTAATTAAAGAGTTCGCCGCCTTCGACATACTCAAGGACGAGGTATCTCCCCGAAGTCAGTGACAAGAGCGCGGTCTGGTCATGTTGATCGAGCTTACAATTCGCCCCTATTCTCCCACATATCGTACAGCTTAATGATATTTGGGTGATCAATCAATTTCATGATCACGCATTCTCTTTCAATACCAAATGGAATCAATTTCCTCCCGTGCGTGTTCTGTGTCCTCGAAGTAACAGTATCCATGGCCATGATACTCGCACTTTTGAGCATCTCTGCACTCTTCTTGCTGATAATTTTGACGGCTGCATCTTGCCCTGAGAGTTGATGCCTAGCCTTTCGCACTCTGCCCGTTGCGCCCTTGCCAATTGTTGCTCCTAATCTCCATGGTCCGACGGACTTCTTGGTTCGTGGCTTGCCAGACGTATTCGTTGAGGATGTCGATATCTGGCTGTCTCTGTTCGCGCCCTTCGTAGCTTCGTTAGATATTTCTGACACTCTTTTGTCTTCTGGCTTCGTGTGTTGTGAAGATACATTCGAGCTGTTCCGTACTTGGAGTGTACCGCGTGGAGCAAGCGATGTGTGATGAGGGAGGTGTGATATTGCCTGTGGAGAAGACAGTCGAGAGATCGCAGGTGGAGGAGGCTGGCTGTTGACCCAATCGGTCGTTTCCTTACGAGGAGATCGGGGTTTCTGATGAGCTGTGCGACTTTCCCGTGCGCCTTTTGGTTCAACTCTGTGAACTGCGTTCTCCATTGTTTGCTGATCGTCGCGCAACAGCAATGACGCGTCTCGGGGTGCAAGAGCTAGTGCTTTATTGACAATTGCGTGTCAATGTTGAATACAAATACCAGGTTGATGAAATTCCGGTAGCAGTACAAACATTACGGCGATTGCGATGGGGCTCTTTCCGAATTGGTATATCAGCGAATGTCCAAAAGAGGAGCGCGCTTTCCTCAAAGAAACGTCAGAGCATGCCCTGGTAACCACAAGAAAGATATTCCTGGTCCGCGTGCTCGAGGATTCTCGTCAGGCGGATCGCATACTACAAGAATCAAGAGGAGAGTGATCAGCCAGAAGAGCAATATTAGCATTGTGGCCTCCTATCAAGCGGGCAATAGCACAGAAATAAACAAAGCGGCTAGCGCGGGCGACAGCGGGGCTGGTGGTAAACAACACCACGAGATGATGACAGTAATAAATCTTCAGCAAACATGTTCCGTTCCGAATCTGGAAGATATTTAGGGTATCGGTGCCGTGGCCTTACTTATACCGGGTGTACAGCGCTAAACTTACATTGGAAGATTGCTCTGCACCTCGTTGTACAATGTCTGGTAGGGGAAACAAATAGGCCGCATTCACTCCTCATTCTCGTCGTCCTCGTTATCGTCTTCTTCCTCAACGCCATTCGCCTCGTCTTCGTCATCGTCGTCGTCATCGGAACTCGGGGCTTCATCTGGCATCACAACGCTATTAAGGTATGTTACCTGCATAAACATCATCAGCTCATTGCAATTCAAACGTGGAGCTATCCAGCAAGCTCACAAATGGCGTCAAAACACCAAGCAAGTCCGCGATCCTACTCAGCCCATCTTTCCCAAGCACTTCTTCGTCCTTCAATTTCTTACCAATCGTGTAATTCCTCAACCTTAGTAGCGCAATTTCTGGGTGATCGGCACTGTAGTCCTACCTTACCGTCAGCATTATCCATCGACTACTCACACTCGAGAATTTACCCTTGGTTTAGTCTTCAGCGCACTTTCTCCATTGATCTCTACGAACTTCTTCACGACCTCCTTGTCATCCTTCTTAGCGCCCTTCAGGAACTCCTTCCGCATTCTCTCCTCCTTGAGCACTTCCTTCAGCAATCTACTTTTCTTATCGACGTTCCTTCTCAACAGCGCTAAGGGCGCTGCCTCTGGATGCCACACCCCAGCGCCCACGAAGCTTCCCTTTGGTTGGATCTGTACATAATATCCAGCATAGGGGCCTTTCCTGCCCGTCCTCGACCACGCGGCTGAGAAGTGTGTTTTGTATGGTGTAGGATCGGGGGAGAATCTGATATCCCTGTAGATCCTGAATGTCAGATCTTTGGGTGGTAATTCTGGTATCGTCTCGTCATTCTCGATGATTTTCTCCGTCAATGATTCGACAAAGCTGTCCCAGTCCTTCTTGGCTTGTCTATAGTCTGCATCATGCATCTTCAGCCATTCGCGATCATTGTTCTTTGCTAAATCGCCCATGAAGAGTAGTGTGTTCGGGTGAACCGTATATTCTTCGTAGGGAGTATTGCCAGGGCTTCGAGGTTTCGGGAGAGGGATGAAGACTGCTTCCCCAGCTTCCATGTCGACCTTCACACCGGGCCGCCATAGCTCTTGGCCTTTTTTGCCTGTAACAACGGTGCCATTCGTTTTGCCTTTGACTATGATTTTGCGCCCTGGCTTCTTGGCAGGTTTTTCATCTTCGGAGGAATTGTACTCTTCATTTCCTTCCTCTTCCTCGCTCTCGCTTTCAGGGGGTGAAGAAGCTGCACTTGCGTCCTCATCTTCGTAGCCAGATTCTTCGTTTTCCACCGACTCAGATTCTGATTCTGATGTTGGATGCTCAAAATATGGACTTTTCTTGGCAGTAATTTTGGTCGTAGGATCAACTGGCGAGGACTTGACACGCTTCGATCTTCGTGACCCTGGCGTTGATGATGCTGCGGGCGACAGTGCACGCTTCTGTTTTAATGGTGTTGCGCTCGACGAAGCGCCTGGAAAATGTGAACGTCTCTGCGGCATGGTAGTACAGTATTTTAGTTCTTGATGTAACAAGCATGTACGGTGCAAACACTCTGGGAGATATCCGAATATTGAAGGCCTTTGCTACAACGCGCGGTTGCCATTTCACCAAAAGGACGGACTCCGATCTGAACGCGTCGCGTGAATGACGTCATTTCAATTTAGGGGCTGATTCCTCAGTTCCTACCCGCCTTTCAAGAAGAGATGGATGTATTTGAGATATTGGCTCGTCTAGCCACAATCGGGGATATGAGAGACCTCAGAGCATTCCAAACTATACTTTGGGCTGGTAAGAGGAGTATATCAGAGTCTTGGGGTGTTGCATAATGTATTGCGACTTAACTGATTTTTTTCGATTCAATTCAAGATAGTTCATCGAAAACTAATAGCAAAACGCAGCATCAGAGGTGAGCGCTCAACCTTCAAGATCTGTGCTATCGAATCCAAACATTGAACGCAAATTCTAAGACGAGCAAGAGAGCATTGCTTGGACAAGCATATTCAACTAATCTTGCAATCTCTTCTCTCGCTATAGCTATCGATTTTAAGTCACTATCTACTTCTCCTGAGCAGCATCTGCCTTCACAAAGTCGGCAGCCCGTTCCGCTACAGCATACACAAGAGTCTGTAAGTTCCCCCTCACAGCCAATGGAAAGACGCTTGCATCAACGACCCTAACATTCTTCGTACCATATACTTGCAACCGCTCATTCACCACCCCTCCCTGATCCCTTGGCAACATGCTACACGAACCCATTGGATGGTACTCGCTCGCAGAATGGCTCTTTACGAAGTCTTCTACATTGCTTTCATCAAGCTTGTAGAAGTCTGGCTGGTAGACGGTGCCGCCGTTCTTTAGATGGTTAGAGAAAGGCGCTGTCTGGGCGACTTGCTGGATGTGTAATAAGCCTTGCCCGACTACATAGGTATCGAGGGGGTTTGAGAGGTAGTTTGGATCGATGGCTGGGTATGTAAACGGGTCTGAACTTGTGATGTGAACGCTGCCTCGCGAGAAGGGATGCTCGAGAACGGAGAAGAACGTGAAGTAATTGTTGGGATAGGTTGTGCTGAAGATGACGCTCGTATTGTATGGCTGTGAGGGTGTAGAGCCACCGGGAAGGTAGACCTCCTGAATCGAGGCTTCGGTGGGTGATAATAGTTTCTCAAGAGTCAAAACTTCTTGAAGACCTTTGCTGCCTCTCTGTCGTGCCGAATCAAGAGACTGCGGAGTCTTGTAATTCCCTAAAGTTTCATCAGGGCAAAAGTAGAAGACTGTAGCCTATTTGACTTACCACCATGATTGGCCTTCAACAATTGCGCGAAAGAGATATATGCATTAGCAGTGTTCGATGCGAGTGGACCAGTATGATTGACAGCGTATTCCTCGCTCGCTGCAGCGGCGATGGTTGCGTTTCGGAAGCTCTCAAACGTACCTTCGCCTTCTGCAGCTTCGTACGTCAAGGGTACGAGAAGATGCTCCTGTAGATTTTCGCCGACATTTGGATTGTCAAGAAGAACATCGATGCCATGGGACTTCAACAGCTTTGCATCACCAATGCCAGAGAGCTCGAGTAGATGCGGCGATTGAAACGAGCCTGCACTTATAATGACTTCTCCTTTGACCTTTGCTGTATATTTTCGACCGTCTACAACGAAGTTAACGCCTGTAGCTGTTAAAGGCTTATGTCGAGTATCAAAGACCAGCTTTGTAGCCTGAGCATTCGTCAAGACATGATAGTTTGGGCGAGACGTATTCGGTTTCCAATAAGCATTGGCAGAATAGCTCCGAGATGCGTTCTTAGGCTCCTGAGAAACGAGCGTAGAATAAGCACCTATTGCTAGTCCGCCTCGAGGATCACCGGTGGGACCAAGGCCCAGATTCTTGTATGTTGGCTCCCAAGATTTGTAGAAGTTGTCGAAGAAAGGTGGGAAAGAATCCTGGACGGGGCCACTGGTTCCATGGGCAGAAGGCACGATGAACGTGGTATCAGTCTGACTAGAAATATCCGCAGATGGAGGGTTGTATGTCTCTGACTTGGAAAAATAGGGGTTTAGCTCATCCCATGACCAGCCTTTGTTCCCAAGCTTTCCCCAGTCATCGATATCGAGGCGAGATGCGTGGGTCCAATAGAGGTAGTTGATGGCACTTGAGCCTCCAAGCTGCTTTCCGCGGGGGTGTCCAATCACTCGTCCGTTTGCATGGACCTGAGGTGTCGTCTCAAATGCCCAGTCGTAGAGAGGATTGTTGAGAGTAGACAAGGCCAGACCTGGTGTTAGTATCAAAGGGTCTTCCGTGTGGTCACCGCCGGCTTCGATGACACCAACTTGGAAGTTGGCATTCTCGGAGAGACGAGTTGCAATGGTAAGACCAGCAGTGCCTCCGCCAACGATGAGATAGTCAAAGTTGATTGCTGCAAATGCAGCCGGAGCAATTAGAGCGACCATGATGTCGATCCTGCCAACCCCACATCGGAAGACGACGCATCATATACCGTCCAAGCTTGACTATGCGCAGCCCTGGCAGTTCCGATGGCGACATCTCCGACAAAGGTGTGCAGCCCCAGGACAAGCTTTGGGTGCAGAGGGCTTACTTATGGATTACTTCGCTGAATTTGTACATAAAAGTCTCCACTTCAAGTCCAAGGCTTTGGTATTGGTAATGGAAGTGTGCATGTCCTCGCAAGTTATTCAGGTACGGAGAATTTCACGCGACCTCGTGCATATGCACGAATCTAGTCAGCATGTTATTCTCCCCGCACTCTCGCATGCAAACGAATGAGACCGCAAACGAAGCGAGAGTGTTTACTGATCGTTAGGTCACCATGTCCCGTGAGGTCCGTGTTGCCAAATTGACTTGCTTCAGAGCGAGAAGAGGCAGATTTTACTACGGTGAGGACGCTGCATTCTGTCATCACCGTATCAATCCCAATACCTCCAAATCAGTTTCAATTTCTCTCCTTTAAACACCTCTCTTCCTTATTCCCCCATCTTTACTACCATGCCACCGCCCCATTCCCTTCCTCCAATACCCGCCCTCTTCCACACCCGCAAATCCGCCATCCTCTCCCACCTCTCCACTCCAGCTGAGACCTATACGGACGCGTCCCCCAAAGGCTCTGTTGATGCTGGGATAGTCGGATTGATAGATAGGATCAATGCTATTGAGGGGCTGGTGACGACTAGTAGCTGTGCTGGACGGATCAGTGTATTTGTCGAGGGCAGGAAAGGGACTGGGAAGAAGAGCGGGCGGAAGTTGAGGAATGGAAGAAATGAAGTGAGAGAAAGCCAGAAGCCGGAGAGCGAGAACGACAGGGTGGATGAGAAGAGCACTGATGGATATCTGGAAACGAGTGGGAAGGAGGATAGGCATCAAAGTCGTCCTGAACAAAATTCGACTTTAGTGCAGCATGGAAATGGCAGTGGTGTGGACATAGAAGGTGTTCCAGTGGATACTGAACGTGGCCAGGACATTAATGGCAAGGCGGATAAGAAGGGTTTGAGTAAGGAAAGGAAGGGAGTGCCTGGAGGCAAAGGCAATGGCGGGCGCTGGCTCTTCGTCTCCCACGAGGCATTAAGCAAAGAGAAGATCGAAGGTAACCTGGCTCAATTGCTTGGTCTACCAGAATTAGACCGGAGTGATAAAAAAGAGGGATTGGATGAAAATATGGAAGAGAGAAGATTAGTGAGATTTCAATTCGAGCCTATGGTCCGTAGAATCAATAAAATCCGTCATCAAAGTCATAAACTAATGCATATTCACGTAGATCCTCCACGTAATGTGTGCTTCTCTGCACCATGCACAGCATATCTTAAGCTCTGCCATTAATGCTGGATTTCGAGAGAGCGGTGTCCAGAGCCTCAAAAATCTAAATGATGAGAATGCATTTCCCATGGTCGCTCTAAGGACTTCCGGGTTAGCATTCGAATCTTTGGTTGCATACGTCGGAGAAGATGAGATTGAGCAGGAGACCATCCGAAGCCTCGTTGATGAAACGTATCTACGAATTTTGGTGCAGATCGCTAATGAACGATTCGGGACTAACGCTGAGAGAAGACGTAGGTTTGAATCATTACTGGCCTCCTCTAAGGGCGTTTTACGAGTCTCTGATCCAGCTGAAAGACAAATGCTTAAAAAAGCCGAGGGTTTAAAAAGACAAGTTGAAGTTCGTAACGGTCGTCATAGTGGAATTGAAAGTTATACCGGCAAGGCAGACGTCATTCTCATGGATCTTATGAGCTTGGATGGAGATTGTCAATGTTGAAAAGCCATATCATGGTGCGCCTCCCAAGCTCCAAGCCGTGCATGGGCGTACCTTTCGTTTGGGCCGTGAATCTTGTCTAAGCCTACGTTTCGACGAATACATTTCTAGTCCAGCCAAACGCCCGTTCCAGGCGGCCAGCCATTCGGCGACAAATGTTTCGCGGTATCTTAGGATCTTTATGTGGCTCATGAAATATGATACTTTTTCGTGGATTGCCTTCATTCCGTTCGAATAACCAAGCCGATCCGTACAATTTTTGGTTGCTGAAACCTGCCGCAGTCATTGCGAACAAGAATTCAGTCCATCGCAGCTCTCTTGCCAGGCTTTCGCCATGCTGGATATAGAAAAGGGTCGCAAACGCTTGGAGACCGCGTTTGTTTAGCTTAACACGTGGGATAGCAGCTTCTTGCGTAGGCGGTTCCGTAGCCTTCGAGATTTCAGGTGGCATTTCTCCGACTGTCAAAGCCCGGGCTTTGAGCTTTTCTCGCGCAATAGGCTGAGAAGTGCCGTTCATTGTGCGCTCCGTTCGCAACTCGAGCATTGCAAGCGCCTGGAGAGGGTCTTCGTCGGCCTTTCTCTGGGGTCTTGGTCTCCGAAATTCCGGTTCTTTCCACACAGGAGTTCTCCTCAATTGTCTTGGTTCGATTATACTATGCAAGGGGGCTTGCTCATGTAAGGTTCTGCCAGTATGTTTGAGGAAATGACTGTCGATCTTCTGCCAGAAGAGGTCCAGATTTTGCTCTGCCGCGCGCATCTGCAGGGACGTCGCTGTATTGCGCTTTTTCTCGGCAGGATAGGGAAAACGTGTCATATTCGCACCGTAGTCAGCGACGCCCATGTCCTGTGATAGTAGTTGGCGTACAGCCATTATTGGTCTTGATCTCTCCTGAGACTTAGTTGCGGCGATGCGCGTGGCTGCGGAGGACAAAAAACCACTTCCACCAGGAAGACGGCACAAGTGGCACGCCAGCTCGGTGACAACAGACAATTCCGAATACCATCTAGCAAGTTGGGGAGACAGACGTTCCCGCTCATTTGGATCAGTCGAGGTCAATCTCTCAACCTCGTTGATCAAGTCGGGCAGAATCCAAAACTTCACACTATCGGGATTGGACAGGTTTGACAAAAGCCACCACAAATGATCCCTCTTATCAAACACAGTAGTAAGACGCCATTGAGCACCTTTCGTATTTGATCTTTGAAAGCTGAAGCTATGCCGAAAAGCTCTAGCAGCTGCGATAATCGAAAGCAGCGCTTTGCTGAAGTTCGCTTCTTTGTCAGCAAAGCGGTATTGGATAGAACCGAGAAGGTCTTCGTATTCCTTAGGCATGTCCTGACCAGATTTGATCTGGTCGCTGTGGTATTGCGATAAAATTTCAAGTTGTTGTAGATCGTCGCGAAGGCTGACCCAGCTTGTTGAGTGAATGTAAGCGAATCGCAGAACCTGCGTAATGACTTCATTCCAATGACCTTGTTGACTTAGGAGTGGATTGATACCACTCCCTGTCCAGGCGAGACTCTCATATTGGCAATCACTACATTCTTGCAAGACCTCATACACATATCCTGGGTCCTCATGAAGCGCCCAAAGATGATCCTGTAATTCGGCGCATTTAGCGCTCACGAGTGTTTGGATGCGCGCGAAATCGGACGCCTTAGGAAGCCTGTATGGAGCGAATAGAAGCCGAAGAGCAAGGTCCTCAGGCTCTTCATCATCAATCATAGGCTTTATGTTCATCGGAATCGGTGGCGACATTGTCTCCTCAAGGATTTGATCATGGAGAATCGTACGACAGCAATTGATCAGAAACCCCAAAAGTCGAGCTTGTGATTTCAAAACCAAAAGTGCATCTCCCGGCATGATCAAAGTTTGAGAGCCTGAGGATAAAGCTTGAAAAGGCAACATGGTTCCATAAGTTGAACGAGTCTCTTGACCGATCAGACTGATCAAAACCCCACTAAGCTGCTCATCTTTCAAAGACTTAAGCTGCTTCCCGATCTTCATTGTTTCCCTATCTTCGAGAACAAAACGTGAAGGTGCGGCTTGACTACGAGCATCCATTAGCAGTAGAAGCGTTTCCCTTTTAACCAAGTCTTCTAAGTTGATTTGGGGTAGCATCATGGCATCCTCAGATGCTATCAGCTGTTGGTCACCAAAACTCGGCATGAGAGTCTTCGAAGGCACCTCTTTTCTTTTGGGCAACATGCTGGTCTTTTCTATGTGGAAGTCGTATTGCATCTCTTTCAGGGCGTCGAGATCGGGCCGATGATTGTTCGAGATTTCCGGTCCAAAGGCATTCAAGAGGATCTTTTTGCGCTTGTCGCTATTCTTTCCGGACCACCTCTTTTCCAATTTCAACCCATGTTGATGGACATATTTTCTGAGGTCTTCCCAGTCGTCGAATATCGAACACACGAGAGCCTTGATTTGACTCTGCAGCTCTTGGGGTGTGATAGTGTCGATCGGTCGCACTCCATCTTCATCGAAAATCCCAGCTTCCTTCAGCACGTGAAACAAGTGATCGGAGTGAGGATCGTCCTTCAGTTGTTTTACGACCCTTTTCAGCCGCTCCTCCCCTGCCATAGCTACCAGACTAGTTGTGAGTTGTTTGAGGATGCCGTGGATGCGGGTGAGGTAGAGAGGAATGAGTATTGTGATTACAACACAGAAGAAGGAACAGTGTTGCAATTATCCTTAACAAAGACAATCGGGACATTTGCCGTTGCTCCGAAGTGTCAGTCTACTCGATTAGAGCTAGGCTGCTTTGAATGCCAAAGGGAAGTGCTGATCCGGGGGCGTATGCTCGAGGCATTTCAATGCATCGGTCCTTGCCCTTTGACCAAGCCGTGTGCACGATCCATCCATACTTTGCCATCTGCTTTCTCCTCCTTGACTATCTGTATGACACGCTCCATCTTAGCTTCTAGCGTCAAGCCCTTGAAGCCCTCTCGCGGATGCCTTCCAACAATACCCAGATTCCTAGTGCTAGGCAGCCTCAGCATCTCCTTCTCAACATCATACCCAACTCGCATCGAAAGCTCAGTCACCCAGTCGCAAAGGCTTGCGTAGGCCGAAGGCTGCTTCTTCCTCTCCGAAGCCTTAAGCGCCTTTAAGTCGCCTTGCTCAGCTGCTTGATTTGGTGCATACATCTCCTCGTTGTCGGTATGAGCAGTGACGATGGGGACACCTTTACCCCTCTTGACCTGATCCGCAAAGTATAATGGAGCAAGACCATCAGCTGAGTTGCCATTGAAGACAGAAGGAGCGCGGAAGCGCTGGCCAGAAAGATTATGTGAGCAGCAGGGGATGCAAAGGAAGGGTGAGGATGAGAGTGAAGCCAACAGTGGCGTCCAAGGAGTGAGCTCATCTGCATGATTGGAGATGATGAAAGTGCCAATGGGGAATATACCGTCATGATACGCTGGTGTATCTGCAGACTTACAGTGCTTCAGCGCTGAGGAAATGGACCACCTGTGTGAAGCTTGGTGGCCGTCAGCCTGATCGGCAGGTCTCATCTGCGGTGAATTGTGCGTGAATGGCTTAGGAACGAGAATCAGCTCTTTCAGATTCTTTCGGATACGGGAATCAAACGTGGCCCACGTCTTCCGTTTTCGGGCATCAAATCCCCAGCCAGAGTATCCTTCTCGGATGAGAATGTCAACCAGGACGCCGTTGCCGCAGCCGATGTCGACAAAGCCGGGAAATACTGGCTTTTGGCTTTTGCTAGCATGATCATCAATCTTCAGCCAGTCATCATCTGAAGTATACGTGTCTTTCCACAGCTCAATCAAGAACGCTGCGATCCCGAGATCCTCAAACACATGTTTGCTAGGCTCTGTCTGCTCAACCCAATTGTCACAAAGTCTCTTGGCATGCGTCTTCTTCAATTCAGAATACTTATCCTGCACTCGCTGTTGCGAGATGATCTGGTCATGATTCACTTGTTTCTGGTAGCCGGCCAAGAGACCCTGTCCATGCTTGTGGACTGTAGAGAGGAGATGTTGGGCAGTCCGCTGAAGACGTGAGGAAAGAGGTAAGGTCTCAAAAGAATAAAGACGAAAGTGAAGTGAGACAGAGCCTGAGCGATCTTTTTGCGTCGAGTGAGACCAATCGTGCATGTACGCAAGTGCTTGAACGCGCGGATGATACCACGGTATCTCGTCAATGGAAGAAGCATGAGGGATGTATACAACGAGGGTTCTTTCTGCATGTGAAGCTGGTGTCGATTTGAGGAATACACATGTCTGAAGCATGGGCTTGTCCAACTGCGGATTGCGAGGTATCATTCTCCGAAGAAGTGTCCTTCCCAACTCAAAGCCATGGAATCCTCCATCCAATATCTTATATGCTTCCAATGCTTGTCTCTTCTCTTCCCGTGATAGTGAATCATCTGTGGCTTCATCATCTTTGCTGTCGTAGAGAATGTCAGCACGAAAAAGCAAGCTTGAATTGATATTTGGATTCTTCAGCAGATTGAGAGAAACACTTTCGAAGACGGTAGGATCAAAGTCACACGGATGTTGGAGGATGGGCAGCCAGGACTCGTGGGGCAGCTGAAGAAGTTGCTTCAACTGTTCATGAGGATGAGAAGATACCGTTAAATCCTTCGCCTCAATCAATTTTCCCGGCATAGCGTCTGGTCGTACTACGTTATCTTAGTAGATGGCGACGTGCATAAGCCTGCCAAAACTGGGGAAGTCATCACACTCCTGCATCACCTTTCCAGCCTAAAGCCACTAAAAGCAGCCCGGAAGCTTCCCCGGAAATCAATTTGTGCAGCGCCAAGAGTCTGCCCTGACTGCCGCTCCCCGTCATTCCATCCTCCAGAGGAAACAATTGGCGCCAAATACCACAGCTGTCAACTCAGTAGCGACAATCGCTCGACCTCTCCATCGAGCCATTGACAGACCTCTCAATTGCGCTGCAGCTCCAGCAAGCATTGCGACCTACTCAACCCTCGAGCATCGAATCCGCGACAACCCGCAGCCCACATCCACCTTTACCGCATCAACCTGCCAACCAACCGCCCCCATCTCCTTCTCCTCCATACAATCTCAAAATGCCCCTCTGGACCCCCGAAACAGGTGGCCACATCGACTTCACCCCTTCACGCCCCAAACGGCGCGACACAGCCACTCACCCTCCAATCCCCACCCATCCCGTGAAACCACGAGTGCAGCACACGCACCACGCCTCCTCCTCGCTGAAGAATGAATCGATCCCTGAATCCACCTCGCCAACACCACCCTCCAATCCCACCTCTGCGCCCTCCCACCCACCTGCCTCTGCGCCATCAACCGCCAATGGCGTCCCAGGCGGCTACAAACCCTCCACCACCCTCTTCCCGCCCTCCCTCCTACCCTCAGCTGTAATTAAGCAACTCCCAGAAAAATACACAATGCGGCCCCTGCAGCCCTCAGACTACAGCAAGGGCCACCTGGACGTGCTCAAGAACCTCACGTCTGTGGGAGAAATCAGTGAAGCGGCGTGGTTGGCAAGATGGAGCTGGATGAAGAGACGGAATGACGATGGATTTCCTGACGGAGGCGCGGAGCCAGAGGAGAAAGGGGATAGGGGCGGAGGTGGAGGGTTGTGGAAGAAGGCTGGTAGCGAAGGGGGAAAGAGGGGGGAGTATTTTGTGATTGTGATTTTGGATGGGGAGGGGAGGGTTGTGGGGACTGGGGCTGTGGTGGTGGAGAGGAAATTGTATGTGTCCTAACTAGCTTAATGGCGGGGATGAGGCAGCGTTAACGATAGAAACAAAACAGCATACACAATCTCGGCCTAGTCGGACACATCGAAGACATAGTAGTGAGCAAAGACCAGCAGGGCAAGAAGCTAGGATTACGGATAATCGAAGCGCTGGATGCGGTCGCGAAGGAGGTTGGATGTTACAAGGTATGTTGCCCCAACTCTTTTCCCCCACCCCTTTCCCAACCCCTCCTCCAAGACATGAGATCTATAGATGTAACGAGAAGCGAGCTCGGAAAGAGCCCCACCAGCAAAGAGAGGCCCCCCTTTCCCCAAAGATCAGAACAAGATCACACCAAAGGTGAACAAGCTAATTCGTTCATGATCTAAACAGACGATCCTCGACTGCTCCGAAGCCAACGAAGGATTCTACGTGAAATGCGGGTACAAGCGAGCCGGGTTGGAAATGGCGCATTACTACAACAAATGACTGGCGGGGAGCAAGAGGACGATTGTTGCAAAGTTCTGAAGCCGAAAAACTAAGGGATGGGAGGAGTGACGTGCAAGCTACCTTGTGGGTCGAAGATACCGAGTGTGGATTTGGCGTGCAATGTTCTATCATATGAGAACCATGAGCGTGCACTGAAGATAGTCAGGGCATGTAGACGATTTATGGAGGGCTAGAGAAGCGATTGAGCGAACTTTGATGAATGAGGGTTGCCCATACCATGCTTGACTCATCTAGAGCCAGCAAATTGTCTACAGCTGAGGATTTCAATTACATTAATGTCCAGTAACCTCTTCTCTTTTCTAAAACTCCGTGAATTTTGTATTCCAATAGCAAATCCAGCAAACTCCAGGCACAAAGGTCCGAAATAGGTATCTCAACTCTTGGGTACTCCATCCTCTGTTTCAAGCCTTCCAGTCCAGCGCCAATTATTCTTTAGTCGTAGGAATCTCAGTGGATTCTATCAGCGCAGTCTGTAAAGCTGGCTGCAAAAAGCTAGATCCAATGTTCAAGGTAAAATTTGTTCTTCTTCGAGGAGAAGCAATATATGTGCAAGAAGCGAATGAAGGTCTTCGGGTGAGGTGAAGATGATTTGGTCGTCTGTCGACCTCAAGAATGGCAAATCGAGAAGGTGACGTTTACATGCGTCAAGTTTAGAACAAGTTGACCCCCGGGATAGCGACGAAGATGCCGACACAGACCGCAGAGATCAGGAGTGCTCCACCCATAGCTTGCAGGAAGATGGTGTCCTGGATCTGGCGGAGAGCAGGTTCTTGAATCCAGACTTCGCGGTCGAAGACCTTGCGGACAAGGTTGCGCTTGTCGTACCGGGCGACCCATGGCTCGTCTTCGTAGCTATTGGAGGTGCCGAGAGTGTCAAAGGAAGACTGGGACATATCGTAGGAAGTAGATGATTCATCATCTGGGCTAGCGAACAACTCCCATGGGCGGAGATGGCGATGATGCATACCGTGGAGAACCTGTCAATTATCAGTCTCTGTGTCGGTTGAGAATTCAATAGGACTGTCGACCTACCACACACATCCCTTTCCAAGCTGCAATGAGAGTTGCGATACCAATGACGAACAAAATTGCGGTAAACGCTCTCCACGCCCGTCCAGCACCACTCAGAATGATGATGATGGCTGCAATGATACCTAGTGAAATTGTGGCAACACCAAGTCCCCGAGCAAAGACGACACGAGGCCGATTACCATTGCAGATGGTCCACCGAATGAAGTTAGGATGAGCTTGGTGGCGAAGTGACCATTCGACAGTGTGAACAACTTTTCGGAAGGCGGAAGGATGGGTCGTGTTGGTGAGAGCGTGCAGCAAAGCCTGACGTTCTTTGGACGAAAGATTGAGCTGTCGTGGTCCTCCATCTGCAACGTAGCTGGCGATGATGCGGGCGATCTCTTCTCGGAATGGCTGAATTGTGACTGGTGATTCATCAATATACCTTTCGAAGAAGCAGTAGCTCGAGTACACTTACATGGCTGCCACTTCAAGTCGGCCGTCTCAAAGGCGTCCGCCGCTTGTTTGTGATGAGACTGCTGACCGGTAGTCCGGCTCACATTCAATGTCGAAGCCCCCTCGCTCCAGGCCGCTTCCGAAGCAGCCATGCTCTCATTGTCACCCCTAGGTGTCCGTGGTGGTGTGTTGAAGGGGTTCTTGCCAACCTCATTCACGCTTGTCACGGGGGCGAAGTCGGTTCCTTTGAATACAGCGGCGGTCTCCGGGCTGATGTTCTGCTTTGGCTTGTGCTCCTTGTTCTCGGTCTCGTCCTCAGTCCACATAGGGGCCAGAGATTGCTCGCTCGAAGGCAGAGAAGTGAAACGTTTAGCGTAATCCTTGTACCAAAGGAAGAATTGTAGGTTCTCAGCCGCATGCTCGATGTAGATGAGATAGTTCATGAAATCTCGAGTCGTGCATGGCTGGATGCCACTGTCAGTTCCATTGGCGCTTGTTGGAATTCAGGAGGCGTAAACACTCACTGGGCAAGTACCGCCTGAGATGATACGATCGAACGACAATGCCTCTGGAATGCCAGAAATGACACCAGAGCCCTGCGAGCCAATTGTGGACTCGCCGACGGATTTTGGTTTCTCATCCCCGTAGAGTGACGCACGGGCTGAGTCGGCCGTGACGTGAGGAGGTCGACGATAACCGAGTGAGTAGACCATTGCGAGTCGAAGAGCGGTAGCTTTGAATTACTGGATGAATCAAAGAATGGACGCCTGAGGATAGGCAAGAGTTGTAGGAAATAATCAAAAATGAATGAGAGTTGAAGAAAGTAGGGATGCGTAGGAGGACCGAAGAATAATGGATGATGAGTGTTGAATGTTCAGGCTCGGAAGGTTCACGCACGGTCCCACCTTCCGCGTGGATTCCAGACTCTTGGATGATCTAACACCCCGATTGAGTTCTTGCTCCCACTACTCGCCCGGTGACAGGCTTGTACATGAATTTGTCACGACTCAAGAGACTAGGGAAAGAGTCTATCGTAGACCGAAAGTGAAATGAAAATGCTTCAGGGGGCATCAGACTCGGGTGGAGCTTGGAAGATAAAGATCTTACACACACAGCACAAGGCACGTATGTGTGCCCCTTTTGCGACATCCATGATTGTTATTCCGCCGTCACAACAGTGCTAAGACGCTTGGAAGATCTCGATGAGGAAAAACATACCGCCTGACACAACGACGGTCAGGTACAAGCGTCGAATGAGCACTCGCCACCGCAGGGGTCTTGGGATTAGATGCAACGCCAGATGGTGTACTAGCAAAATCTTAGATCATGATGCGGCACAGTGCTAGGGATCCAAAGCAAAGAATGCAGGCTGATGAAGCGCAGTGCGAGGTTCCCACGCGACCCATTGATTTGTCGAACTCCCCTGGTTCGTGCCTGAGACAGGGTCATGTGTGGTTCAGCAAGAGGTAGCATGCAGCATGCAGCATGCAGCATGACCTCGTCAGCATGCAGAGTGAGGGTGGGATGTGAGGTTGAGGTCAAGACAAGATCGGAGGATTAACGTGGAAAAGGCGGCCCATCGCTTGGTGGCGTGCACGAAGGTAAGCTGAGCTTCCTTGTCGTTCCTTGGGCTCTCGTGGCGCACCAGTCGAGCTAGAACTAGAGGGCGGGCGATCTTGCCGGTACCGCTTTAGTGGGTGTGCAATCTGGCATCTCGATCCCATCATTGGACGAAGAGCCCAAGAAAGAGATTATGATTGGGAGCGTAGGTGGAAATCGCAACATGGTCGGTGCCTTGGACCCTGGAGAGCTCTCCTGAGTTCAACCCCGCGCCGCCGTTGGAGGTTGCGAACTCACTACTTGCTGACTCGGATTGCTGCTTCAACATATGCTGGACATTCTTACGCGACAGCGTCCATCCCGCAGATAGTGGGAACTTCTGCGTCCGTGCTTCCAGCCGCGAAGAGGATTCACCAGCGCCTTTATAGCCCGCAGATCTCCCTGTTGCTTACCCCATGTCTCAACTCTAATCGATGCTTCATATCTGACTTCCGGCGGGCGTTCTGCTACTGCGCAAAACCATTTGACTTTTGAGATGCACAACTCGCTGCGAGACAAACGGAAATTGCGTCTTTATCGGAAGCTCCACCGTCTGCTTTTCAAATCTCTTGCTCCGGCTCAACCTGCCTTTCATCCTGCATGCAAGTGATATCCTGGCTGTTGATCACAATCAAGATTCGAAGCTAGTGAGCTAGCGATCTAGCAGCCTTAATTTCCGACTTGGCAGGGGTGAGGCATCGCCGAACATCTCCGGGCGGAGTCTCCTTTTTCAATGACTAACATTTAGTGACGAGATGAAGTTCAAGGAAGCTATCGCTGTTTGAGTTTCTGAGTGTGTCTCAATGTGGACCGTCGAATCCTCTATAGTGGTCACTGGGTCTCTGAAAGCCTATCGCCGGCTCATGCTGCGTCGGTTGTTGCAATGGTGACCTGACATGTTGTTCTTGCTCGCTCTGTCAATGGGTACAAATTGGGCTTAGTGAAGGACTACACGCGCTGTCAAACTACCCTGGGGACAGCGTAAGCCCCAAATCCAAACGCGTTCCTCTCCACCACCTCTTCCCCTCCATCCCCTCCCCGAATGATCGGATTCTGCCCCGCCTGGTACCCCTTCGTCACCCGACTGAGAGCCAAAGTCTCCGTGATACTGCTTCTCCATTTCTCATCCCCTTGCAATACACTCCACGCTAACCCAATAGGCATCAGGAAGAAGAGGGAAGATACGCGGTGGCCCCGGATATTCCGCATTTGGAAGTCGAAAACGTGGTAGATCTCTATTGCCACCTCTTTGAGCTTGGTCGCCGAACCGGGTAGGTGGAGGCAGTTGGGGTTCTCGGACGATGGGGAGAGAATGGATAGTTTTGTACGCGAAGCTGAATCCTCCACAGCGAGTGGGGCGAGGCAGGGGTTGAGCTTCCAGAGGAGACCGAGGAGCCAGATGAGGGCCGAGTCGTAGGTGAGAATGTCGACGGCGTGAAGTAGGCTGGTGAAATGGAGAGCCAGCTTCTGTCTGCGATTATCTTTGATGATGTTCTCCTCCACCACTTGGGGATTTTGATGGTGCCATTGCCAGCGCCACGTGAAAAGCAGGTCTAGTTGAGCGACGATACGTTGCCAAAGCGCTTTGCATGCTTCGATGCTGACGTCTTGGTCCAATTTGGCGTCGTCCTCTAAGAAACCTGGGACAAAGATCATGATGCTGACAAGGCGGCTTTGGGAATTTTGTGCTGAAGAATCGAGGGTCCAGGGAATAGTTCGCCAACTTTCTTGCTCCAGAAAGCTTCGCTTGCGCGTGATGAGGCTAGTTGTAAGCTATCCATCCTTGGATTAGCGTACGGTTCTGGATGTCTTATGGAGAGAATGACAGGTACCAGTGTGGCGCGACAGGACTCAAAAACTTGCCGAAGGCATCCTGATTGGAAACGCTGCGGCCCGCATACAAGGAGCAATTGGGTTAACCCCGTAAGATGCGATATGGCGCCTTGCCGATCGGCTTGGGAAGACTAGAATGGACAAGTCAGTCCACTTAGGTCAGATCAGGGTGACTATCGAGTCATGGCTCCTTACAGCATGGATTAACATGATAAGGATCGGGAGTATCAGGCGCTCGAAACCTGGCCTTGAGACATCTGGTAATTGAAGAGCGACTTTCTTCATCAAGCTTCCATATACGATGTCACCCTCAAGTTTCGTTGCACCATCATAGTGCGAACAGCCAAAATTGCTTAGTGCAAGCGCTTGGCAAGCATTGAATGGCAACACACCCATCTCGCCCTTTGCCGCTATCTCTAGCCATGGATCTCCGTACGTACGCCACACGAAATTACTAAACAAGAACGATTGGCAGATGTCATCCCGAAAAGCGACCAGGCTGAGCTCCTTCGGCGGCGAATCGATTTGCTTTCGGCATACAGCAAGGGTGGGCTCGTCATGCGGGGAGGTAGCTGTCACTTTCAGCAATTGGGTACTGTTGACTCCGGATAGCGATGCAGCTGTTGTATGCCTGAACTCAAGCGGTCTATTGTACCCGCTACAAGTGTAGCCGGATTTGTTGCAGCGTTGGCACGATGGCTTGGCCTCGTCTGCATAACCCTCAGATGTTATTCGACAGCTTGGTTTTGGACCCCGCATACTGCAGAGTTTTGTACTTACCACATTTGATACGGCGCTTGCGACATGTGTGGCATCCTTTGCTACGACCTGGAACAGCGACCATTCTTTATACAGATTCACACTGAAAGACACGCGTTCAAATCATACAACTGATCTGGAGAACAGAAAACTGAGCAAGATGTCTACAACTCAAAGACAAAATGCTGGCACTCTTCGCCTGTTCTTATCTGCCACCATGATTTGGAATTGAGAGCGCACAATCGCACAGCTGTGATTCTCCATTCAGCCACTAGAGACTCTCAACGGTCCGATAAGTGATATACCTCGGTAGCCTTGAGCTCGGTGATGCCGATTGCTGAGGTGGCTTGAAGTCATGCAATCAGCAATGGTAGTCAGCCGCACCACGCTACGAATATACGCTAGCCGGAAGCGGAAGCATCGGACGAGATGCATATTGTGCTCGCAAGCTTTGCTATAAGGCGAGGGAAGAAGCTTATACTTGCGATTAAGTGAGCTGAGGTGATTGTTCAATGTAATGTTGCCATTTAGAAGACCATGTGAACAGGCACAACATGATTTCGAGCCTTCTCTTTCTCTTTATGATGCAGACTCGGGTCAAGACAAGGTTGGGATGGAAGATTATTCAGTCTATGTACTTATGATGACGTACCTTACTATATAGAGAAACGCAATGAAACAGAAGGAATAGTAAATCACAGCACGAAGATTAAGGAATGTCAAAAATAAAAGCACCGCTGGAAGCCCCTCGTTTGTCTCCATTTCTTTCCTCCGAGTACCTGATCCATAGTTTTTGGTCTTTGAATTGAAGTAGCCTTCTCGTACCATTTCATCTCCTACCTCACAAGCCACTCCTTTCCAAAAACCCCGTGATCACCTCATACGCGCCGGTGGCATTCTTGTGGAAATTCAAGTTATGGCTCGCACCCGGATGCAACGCGAGCTCTAATTTTGCATTCTTATATATCGTCTTAGCTGGTTCCTCGAAGATACCAGGACAGTAACCGTCGCAGAAGATGTAATCGTCTTCGCCCGTTAGATGCAGCGCTGGGCCTTTGTAGCCATCGACATTCTGCGGGCCGCTCAATAGCGTCAAAAACTCAGTCACTGCGTATGGCTCCTTGCCTGCCTCGGCGTACTCGATGGCTGTGGTGTCGTAGTTGGGGGCTTTTAAGTAATTCATAATTTGTGCGTATTTGTCGACCCAGGTTAGATAGCCAGTGTCCCTATCGCCGTAGGTGGCGGGGGACTGCTGGGCGGCGATTCGGTTCGCGTAGCTCCGTACCAGACCATTGACATTGAGACCGGTTTTGTTGAAGCCGATGGCGGTAAGAATGACGGCGTCGGCGAGGTCTGGAGATAGGGAGACTGCGCCATGGGTGGTGTAAGAGCCGAAAGAGAAGCCCATCAAGGCGACTTTGCTGGGGACGCCGATGCGGCCGGTATAGGCGCCCGACTTGACAAGACGAGTAAGGGATTGGAGCACGGAGATTGCGGTATTAATTTGCGCTTCGTAGCCAGAGATTCTATGTGGTCGATGGATTAGTCCGGTTGTTTTGAGAAGCGAGGGAGGGCTTACTTCTGGGATGCTCCGCATCCTACACGGTCGTAGAAGAAGACTGAGTAACCTTTAGAGACTGCGTGCTGTACAAAATTGTAGTCGTCTGGTCGGTAGGCGGAGTTCCAGTGCTGTCTAGCCAGCGCGATGCCATGGGTGGCTACGATCACAGTCTTTTCTTTCGGTGATGACACCTTGGGACTGCAGAAGGACGCAGCAATCTGATATGTTGTGTTGACTTTGGTGATGGGCCCAAGCGGGCTGGGGTAATTTGGGCCTGGCTCTCTGGTAGTAGCCACAGATAGGAAGTCTTCGAGGTCGTAATCGTTCTGAAACTTGGTACCATTGAATTGGAGTTTGTCCCATACCACAGCGACGGGTATCATGTAGTCTTGACAGTCGGCATTTGGGGGATAATATGGCAGGTGCAGGTCCTTGAAGCTGTAGTCTACCTGCTGCGTGGTGTTTGAATATGCTGAAGGCAATGCAGAAACACTCATTATCTGATTAAGAACCGCAGATATGCCTGCAAATAAGACGCGCTGTGACTGATGCATCATGTGCTAAAGATGGAACTTGCTTTTGATGGACGTTGTAGGAGGAGGCGAGGGACGGACTGGTGCTAGATTGCATCTTCAAGAAGAGGAAGGACGGATGTACTTATACACAACTCTAACACTGGGTACATTTGAAATAGAGCTCACTCATGATGGTCTAACTCGCTAATTCGCAAGCGTGTTGAAGGGCATCAAATGAAATGAACGTGCATGTCTGACTTCGCCTCAGCTAGAAAGTAACTTCTTATGGCAAATAGTGAAATAATTGAAATATGCTTCATGACATTCGCCGACGATGCTGACATTGCTCAGAGACAGTCTGCGGAGCTTGCTTCGAATGAGGAAATGGCATGAGAGCTGAGTTGAAAACACTGAGGTAAAACAACGCGAACGTGGCCTACGTGAGCCGTAAAATCATGTTGAGATGCGGAATATCGAGTTTCTGGGGCTCATGAGGCAGATACAGAGCGCCACAGATGAAGCTTCCGACAAGGGAGTCAGCACTGCTCGGTTTGTAAGGGTTGAAAAGTCAATTCAGCTAGGCGAACGCAAGAGCATCGAAACCATTGGAAGTCTTGTGATGAAGCGAGGTCGAAGCCACAGCTTACAAAGGCCTAATTGCGTATGGGATTGTGGAGCGTGGCATATCAGCTGTCGTTCTATGCATTTGACTCTGCGGCAAGAATTTAGGCTCCTGGTAGGACGAACATGACTGGGTCTGGGGGATTCCATATGAAGCCTTCTAGCGAGGGAATAGAAGCTGCAAATGCAAATTATCACTGAATGCTGTGAGAGCTCCGTTTTGGTGACAGACCCCGGGATAGGAGATCTAAGCCTCCGCCGCTTTATGCGCTAACCCTTTTTGGAATCGTCGCGCGAGATGCGTCAAAGCTGTAAATAGGCCAGTAAGGAGTCTAGGCTGCATGTGAATTTTTATCAGGAAGTGTGTTCTGTGTTATATTTGTCTACAACACATAATGCAAGCTGTCTTGCATGATGTGATAGTAAAGAGTACTTCTGATGTCAAATTACATGTAATCCACCCAATCCTCTCGCCTGCAGAACACCAATATATGCAAGCACATATCAGTCCTGCTCCATCTCATCCCCATTGTCATCTTCTTTACCATAAGCATCGAGAATTTCCTCCCAGTTACTCTCTAAGTCATCCTCTCCGACATACCAGTGCTCTGGCCCTTCTTCGGCGTTTACACTTCCTTCTCCCTGCCGAGTTTTCTCTTCCCTCCTTTTCCGCCTCTCCTCATTCCGTTCTTCTCTCTCTTTGTACACCTCCATCCACTTATCATGATTCCTCAACCACTCCACCGCGAGCGCATTCTTGATCTTCAATTCATCGACCACCTGCTTTCCCCATCCCTCTTTTCCGTCTCTGCAGATAACTTTTCCCATTTTTCCTTCCATCCATACCCGTTCCGCCCAGTCGGCATCTGTGCCCAGTCCATCTGGATGATCCTGGATGACTTTCAGTACTTGTTTTGCGGCGGATGTGAGCTCTTTCCATTGGCGTTGAGGACCGTACTTCTTGCGGCCAAAGTAGGCGAAGAGTTCCTTTGCAACAGGAGGAGCGAGAATACATCCGGTGCTATAATTGACAGGAGAGGCAGTAGGAGAGATGGTGTTAGTGCCGTAAATGGGCATGGCGGGCTGGGTGACGGGGAGGAAAAGCTCAGGGGGTCGGCGCATGCGAATGGCAGCTGCGATCCAGCGGCGATAGTCATGGTAGCGAGAGGACCAGAGGGTGGCTAAATGGGCGTAATTGATTAGTGGCAATGGCTGAGTTTTGGCCTTCTTCTTGATCTTAGAGTGTCGAGGAGGCTTCGTGACACGTAGACGGTTTTGCTGAAGGTTGTTGCCGTGTTGGCGGTGTCGTCGGTTTTGACGGAGAGGATGAGAGGGGGCAAGAGATGCTGCTCTACTAGGTCTTGTAGTATCCGGACGTGCGTGGGTGGTATGTCGGGTAAGAGGCTTGCTGTGCTGGCGGGGTAGATGTGCTGGCCTTGAATGAAAAGATAGCTCATCAAGTTGACGATGACGCAAACTCTGGGAAAGGGATATATCATTGATAGGACGAATATTGGAGGCATGGTGGTAGACGGGAATGTTGTTTGGATAGGAAGCGTTCTTTCCTGGATGATCCATTGCTGTAGATGATGATTCTTGAAAATGAGGTCGGTAAGTGCAGGAGTGAAGGTGGAGATGTCTTGCGTAAGGGCTCACATACCGGGCCGTGCTGTGTCAATGTCGGCATCAACACGTGGTATGCTTGAGACGCAGCGCGTCATGTTATTCCTTGAAGCGCAGAGGAAGAGTCATCTCTTCCGTCTGCGTGGCCTCCTCCTGCCGCTCTGAAGACGTGTCTAGCGGGATTCCGCCCTCATCGTCGTCAACTGCTATTTTCTGAACCCCGGATTCTCGGGTTCCACTGTCACTCCTGCCGTGACTACTCACGGAGGGGCTCCTCCCGCCCTTCTTACCGTAAGATCTGCCCGGTCGGTCGGTCCCAAATCTAGCGATTCTCTGTTGCGTCACCCGCTCTCCAAGCTGATTACGCTTTTCTTGCTCCACATTCACCAAATGCGCAACACATTCCTGGTGCAATCTGCATGCACCTTGGCTCAATGTTGCCACGGGCAGCTGCATATCGCCTTCTGTGAGGCGTGCTTTGTTGTAGAACTGGCGGAGTTCTACCTTGAGATCGTTGCTGATCTGGCGCGCAGCATCCTTAAGCAGCATTTCGAAGTGCTTTCTACACCTATTCTTATGCTGCTTTATCTTCAAGAGGGCTATTTCTGGCGCTGAACTATTTATCAGCTGCTATATCTTGCCTATCTGAATGGTTTGGCAAGGCGCAAACGCTATAATGCTGACTTACTTTCGGTATTGCGCCCATCCAAACGTCTTAGATCTTTACGGAACTTGTTTCGCGAACGGCCCTCGACGACGTCTTTCTTTCTTGCGCAAGTCATTCTGAGACGCAAAGAGATACAGAGATATTTGCTTCACTTTTATAGAGCTAATAGAATGAATGTTGTTAATGCACCAGGTAGAGATGCGTGTAAAAGTGTAGTAAATTTAACGCGAGAAATGATCACAACAAGTTTGCGTAGGCAGGCGGGATTCGAAAGTGCATGTGGTGCGAAAGAATAGAAACAAGGTATATAAATGGTTTAACGACTTTTAGTTCTCAAGCAGTTTCAGAGGCCTCTTGGCGCAGTGGTTTCAATCACTTCGCCAATATAAAGCCCAGCCAGTCTTCTTTCGACTCCGGCCACTCCCATTGGGAATCACTCCGGGGTCAACGCCTGGTATCACTAACCCTAGCCAGTCTTCTCTCGACGCCGGCGACTCCCTTCTAGGGAGTCCCCCCGGTATCAACGACTGACTAGGAGTGATGGAATTGACGAAATAATAGCTGCGGCGGGAAGCGTAATAGCCCCCATTGAGAGGTTCTCTGAGAGAATCTCCCAGAGGGGGTTGGGGGTTCAAATCCCTCAACAATAATTTCTTTTCTCTTTTTTTTCTTTTTTTCCCAAGGTGAACTTAGGTCACAGGGCACTCAACGTAAGAGCCTGGTTGTGTGAATCGATGTCAGACTTTTATTCAAAACAAATGCGTCCATTACACTTGTTGTCGATGGATCTAGTCTTTCTGGTATCTTGTCGCACAATGGAAGACTGCTGAGGCCAGCGCGAAAGCTTGGCGGAGGCGAAAGTGTTGGCCACATCGTCTGACTTTGTTCCTGTTCTGCGAACATCTCACCCCAAAAACCTTGAAGTGCGCTTGAATTATGTTTATTGAAGGAGTCAAGTATCTGAGGGGGAGCCTGTACTAAGTGAGGATATTCAGTTCAATTTGCGCATTTGAAATGATGTGTCTTGTCGCGATGATTTGCGACGACTTCTTGTGAAAATGATGAAACAATGCGTCACAACAAAGGCCAAATTACTACATTCACGGGCGCAGAGACCATTTGATACAGCAGAGAGAGCTCGTGAGCCTCTTCTCGCCCTTCGAGGTAACACTTGACGCGTACCTACCATTATGCGACTCACCTGTGACTTACCTGTGGCTTACCTGTACCACTACGTGACGGCTCACCTCACCTCAAAAGCAGATTTGAGAGTAAATGACTCTTTCACCGTCGAAACCATTACTTAACAAAGCGAGAAAAACCTGCGGCTCAACGGGCAATTGCACATAACCAGAGCGTACAAGAGACCAGCAAGTAATCCTGACAAGTACCCACCGTTTCCCAAACCTCGCGGTATCCTTCCTACCTGCACGGCGAAGAAGCGCATTCGACATGTGCGACGCCGGAAAACCAGCAGCGCTCGCCGCTTTCAGGTTTGAGCCCAGTCTCTTCTCCAGCACAGATGGCTTCTCATGAATCTGCACAACAAGAACCGACTCTTCCTGATACTTGTGCCTTCTCATCTCACAGCCCATTCATATATCACTCTTTCTCCTGAACCCTCATCGATAGTCATCGGCCAAGCGGCTCCTTCCCCTGCCAAGCTCTCTCTCATCTCAAACGTACAGTACAGCAGCTCCTACGCCCATCCCAACACATCTCCCACCATCAAAAAGAAGCAAAAGGAGCAGCAACAAAGAAACAGGACATGCAAAAAGGCGAGGTGAGGTGCCCTTATGCTTTGCAGAACGCCAAGCGAGCCGAATCCTTGGTGCCGGAATTCACCGCTTGGGTTGAGCTGACAAGGGTAAGCCCATCGGAAGTTTTACCCGCTGGGGTTGGGGGCTAATTGGTATCACGGAATGAGGGTGCTGGGGGTTGCGATTGGTGAGGAGGAACTGGTGGGATACGTGAGTGAATGACGGTCTGTGTAGGTGAGTGTACGGGTGCGAGGATGGAGAAATAGTCTGGGGCAGGTGACTTGGGGACGATGCTGAGAGATTTGCGGGTTGACAACAGTCTAATTCGAAAGAAGAACTGACTATCCTAATATTTATGAGGTACAAACGCTGTATGGGGTATCTTCTCTCCATCCATATGCAACAAGCCTTCGAACAAACCAAAATCCAACATACCCAATCAATGATACCTGAGACGCGCCAGAACCAAGCGGATATTAGCATCATCTTCCTACTTTTTCCACCTCCTTTCATCCAAAGACCTTCCGCTACAGCCGTCTCTGTACGTGAACCCACGTCTTCTTTCCAACGTACAGATCAGCCACCCCTCCAGATCTGACTAGCACTCTTCCTCAACCCCTGCGACAGCAACCCATCCTGCTTCTTCCCCCTACCCAAGGCGCGCGTAAGACGCAAGAACACCTCATCATCAGCCGCCAGCCTCTTTCCATCCCCGTCGCCTCCAGCGCTCTTTCCACCCTTACCACTGACTCCAGCACCCACTCCACCGCGTTCGCTCATGCTCATGCTCCTCTTCCCTGCCGTTCCCTCACCAGGAGGAACAGTCAAAGCAGAATGAAAGTTCTGTCCACTTGAAACGCTTCTCCCATGTGTTGGCAGAGACGGTCTTGAGCTTTGCATGGGCATTTCGAATGTTTCATGCTCGCTGCATGTGCAGCCGCAGCCTGTGAGGCACTCATCACTCATCTTCACGTCTGCGAGTACAGAGATGCGGCAGTTGAAGTGCAAGGAATGTCCGCAGTTGAGGCACGGGGAGGCGAGACCGTGAATGTAATTATTGCAATAAGTGCAGAGGGCAGGCCGAAGAATGCGACTACAGTGCTGACACTTCCTTCGTTTGTGGTTAGATTGCAAAGAAGAGCAGTAGGGACAACGTGTCGTAAGTGCTATGAGTGTATTCGCTGACACGTTGGTAGGAGCAAATTTGGTTATCAAATCCTCGGACGCAGTAGTCGTGGTCTGCGGGAGACTTTGGTTGAAGTTCAAAATCTCTGTTCTCTGGACGGGTAAATCCCAAGCAAGTAGCAAGTTGGCATATTCCTGGCGCCACATCTGGTACTTTGCTTCGTGCGCAGGGTCGAGAAGCGAAGCGGCTTCGTAAGCATCTTCTCTAAATTTGTCCTCATTCAATAATTTGAGAGACAACTTCAGAGGTAGGTCGCCTTCCGGAATCAGAGTACTATTGTTATTCTGTTTCTCTGATTTTGTCGGCGAGATCTCAGGCTTGGACACTTCGGTAAGCGTCGAGCTTCGACTCATCCAACTAGGCGCGGTCCAATTGCTGCTAGGCTGTGTGGAAGCCATATAACTACCGGTAGGGCTTGGGCGCTTTTTGAGCATCTGATTAGGCGGCGAAGAAGATGCCGAATGAAAATGAACGGGCTTTGTGAGGGGAGATGTTAAAGCATCGAAATTGGCGCCAGTACGATGGACGGCTTTGCTCGGATCTGGTGATGTTGAAACGATCGTAGGGTCAGATGCCTTCCTTTCGTGGCCAAGTCTCAATGGTTTGAACCCAGGTGGCGTGGCACTCGCTGAAAGAGAGGGTTTGGCCGATCTTGTCGGGATACGTATTGAAGTGGTACCTTCCCGGGTCGGTTTGGAATGACTCCAAGAATCTTGTCGTACGGGAAGCTTGGCAGCATCCTTCACAGAAATCTTGAAGCTATCCACTGCAGCCTCGGAATTGACCATAGGTGCATTAGCTGGTGTTGCGCTGGATGACCCATCTCTCTGCAGAAGCACCGATCTCTCTTCGGTTGTTCTAGAACTTGGTCGTCGACTGAGAACGCAGGTAAGCATTGCTAAAGCCTGGATATCCCCGGCGCGTTCTAGACGGCTCAGTCTGTGCAAAGTCAGTATCATTCTCACGCCATCCGGAATTCTGCTTCAATCTTACATGTCATCCACAAGCCACTGTTTACCCACGCTAGTGACAGCTTGCATTGGAAAACTTGACTGCCCATGTTTGAAGTCCTGAGAAAGGTCGATCGCGCTGTCTCTCCCGCGAAGCTTGACGGACTCGTCTTCAGTATCTGCGCTTGTCTCTTTTTGAGCGGCGGCTGAGCCGACCGTGTCTGAGGACGGTTGTGGTAGGAGATGGCTGCAGAGCGTCCATGTTTCTGCTAGATCAAGCAGTCCTTGCTCTCGTGCAACCACAATATTATGTTCTGCTGCATGACGGCCAGGCTCAACGAGATATTGCTGAGCAAGGATTTGTTTCGCAGGAAAAAGGCCGTCGAATCGAAAGATTGATACAGACGTATCGATTTTTGTCGCTGTAGTGGATGGAAAGCCAGTCTCGCCGCCCGACTTTTGGGAAGAGTTGAATGCAGTGTCCCGTTTCGATCCAATGTTCCAAGGCACAGCCGGAAGAAATGGCAAATTAAGTAATTCGTAACCTGTTGATGAGGATGAAGAGCTTGATGATGATAGCTCAAAGTCATCGCTGTTAGTGGCGGTCTTTGATTCAACGGTCGAAGTCGTGTTATTTCGGCGTCGTGCACCCTGCTGTAGATTGCCAAAGCTTTCGAAGAGCTCCTTGCTGTTGACAGGGAACGAAAGTTCGGACAACCGATTTTGACCGATAAGAGAATTGTTCTTCTGCTTTGGCGGGAAGAAGCAGACTAGAGCACCAGTGCACGCCCAGACAGCCCCACAGCTTCGTGGTATGGGAACATTATAATGAGCGTTATTTACAGCAGCAGTAGACTCGCCAATTCCCACTACGTCCATTGGTGACCTGACTTGACCAAAATCAGCGTCTTCGTCACTACTGGAGTCTAGGTCTTGTATTTGTATTGCATCTTCCGCTTCATTCTCTTTGTTCAGCCAGCGAAGGCTTTCTTGCAGAGTTTGCTCTCCAATGAGATAGCGTAATATGGCCTCTAGAGAGTGCCTTTTCTGACTCAAAAATCCATCAGTGAGTTTGAGTATGTCTGCCGAGATGCCGTTCACGACGTTACGATCTAGGGAAGATGGGTTCTCGACCGTGACAAGTGGGCTAGCTTCTTGTGGATACGAAGATGGGAAGCTGATGCGCGCTTGCAGTTGCTTTGGGACTACCTCACTTGCCCAAGAACGAGATAGGGAGACAACCATCATTCGATCGTGGACGTCAATCTTAATGAAGTCAGCATTCATGATGCTATTATTGCTACCTTTTGCAAACATCATGGCCTACCTCATCGACGCTGAGCTTCGGAAATTTGTCTAAGGACGTTGTGATCTCTTCTCCTAACGACTCGAATGTCTCCCAAGCCGCGGTTGCCTTCGCAAGAGATGTCACTGCATTCGTTACGTCCACAGGTCCAGGAGAAGTCGAACGCTTCCCAATCTTGACACCTCGCATCCAAGATATCGGACCCTTGTCCGTGACCGAGGCGGTTTTGTCATGTTCGACCGCGCTCATAAAACCTTGACTCCCAAAGCCACTCGAGAGCTTCAAGGAGACATTGCTGATGCCGTGAGTTACAGGCTTTGGAAATTGCAAGTAGTGAGATTCTTCGCTCTCCAAGGGTTCATCGCGAAATGTCCTGTACTTCGCCCCTCGTCGAGTGAAGTTGGTGGTACGCTTCACCTTCATTCCCTGCCTATACCCTACTTTGTCTAGATTTTCCGCTCTTACTTCATGAAGCCGTAGATGTCGATCCAATCCCCAAGATACGAGCTGATATTCTCGATAATCGACCTCGCTTGTGACGTTGCCCCTTGTTCTCCACAGAAATTCTTTTACTCTGTTTTGATGACCACCGAATTTATAGACGGGTTTCGCGAGGCCTTCATCGCTTTGGTCGTACTTCTCATTCAGATCATACAAATGCAGGGCATAATCCTTCCGTTGAGGCAAGGCCATGAGTCCGTGTCCGAATGGTGTGTATCGTGCTCTCCAGACTGGAAATGGGGTACGAAGGACTTTCTCTGGAGAGGTTTCTGTTTTCTTATAGTCCCAAATCTTAATGGTTGAATCCAGAGAGCTTGTTGCTACCTTCTGCGTGTTCATTCGGTCCCAGTCAACTCCATAGACCTTGGTGGCATGGGCGTCGATTTTCTTGAGCGGAGTTGCGCCCTTTCTAGTGTCCCAGATCTTCAAGTATTTGTCGTGAGACGACGCCACAATATGTGAATCTTGTCTATTCCACTTGACCTGTGTTCCTCCAGCATACCAATCGGCAAAGGTCATTGCTGGCTTGATGGGGTTTCGAAGATCCCAACAATGGATATAGCTGTCAATAGAGGTCGTGGCAAGTATGTCTGGATGATGGGCTGAGAAATTCATATCCGTAATGGCGCGGCTGTGAGCATGGAGTACATATTCGACTGAAGATCGTGCATTGACGAGGCCAACATTCCAGACGAGAGCTTTCTGATTTGAGACGCTGACAATCCAATATGATCTTGAAGCAAATGGGGACCACTGTACATCGGGGACCTCCCATGGTGTCTTATGAGGTAGGTAGCGAGGGGGAGCGTAGGGGGAGTCAAGATCGATTATGTGAAGTCCTTCCTTCCTGGGAAAAGTTAGATGTAGGGTATCGATATGAAACATCAAACATACGAAGCAAGAACGATGTCTCTCCCACATGGCGAAATGGAGGCGGAGCCAACGGGTTTGTCAAGACGAAATGAGCAATCCCTGCCAAACGTCTCGCTGTCAAACGCCGTTCTCATCTCGCTTGACTTTGCCATTGGTGCTCAAGATTTACAGATCTCCAGTCTCGGAGTCTTGAGGGACTAAGGATGATGCGATTCGTTCGAAAGGCCCCTCGCACATGCTGAATGGCACATGACATGTATGAAGAGGTTTGCCAGAAGTCAGCCCTTGCGAGACGAGAGAATTGCAACTGACATGATTGTACATGACGGTGCGGCTGCAAAATCAGCCTCAGCCGGCAATACAACACGTCGTAGATCAACTTGTTATGACCTTTTGTCGACCATGAGCGACTGATGGTGAAATCTTTTACATTCGAATGGAGTGAAGCCTCGAGTACTTTATCCGCTTTCTTAATTTTGACCCATAGGATGGTTTGGACTGCCGGACCAGAGCCCTTCCATTTTCTCGGCAGCCAGCCATCTATCATATGCTTCACTGTTGTGCACAAAATTCCACAAAGATGGTTGTGTATAACCATGTGCCTCTCTCTAGTCCCCGCTCAATCCGCATCCTCACGCTTCATCCTGCTGCTGATCGTAGTGCTATCATATCATGTGATCTGAACGAGGTCTCTATGGATGAAAAGCCCCGTTACAGCGCTCTCTCCTATACCTGGGGAGGAGAGTCATTGATTTTCCCCGTCCACTGCGCTGGAGCTCTCTTACTGACGACTCGGAACTGCCTTGATGCTTTAATACAATTAAGAGGGCATGAAACGCCGAAAGTGCTGTGGATCGATAGCCTTTGTATTGATCAGACATCGACGACAGAGGCAATAGCAGAGCGAAGCCAGCAGATTATAATGATGGGTGAGATATACAAGAATGCGTACTCCGTCATTGCTTGGTTAGGGGCGAGCGACGGACCTGTTATCAATGCAATGTTGCTCATAGAACATTTGATGACCAGAGTCGACGTCATTCACGCAGTGGATAGATTGAAACAAAGTGAGCGATCTAGTACTCCTCCGCTGGTACATGGCCCAAACGGCTTGATACAAGTGAAGACCTAATTGTTTCGAAGCCACCAGAACTCTAGCAGAAGATCAGATCGGCCCTTTCTTTGCGCGTAGTTGGTTCTCTCGTCTTTGGACGCTACAGGAAGTCTGTTTGCCTCGCGTTGAAGATGTAATTATGCAATCTGGAGATCATACTCTCCCTTTGTGGGTCCTCTTATTTTCAAAATCTCCTCATCCTAAGAAACAAGTTCAGGAAGAGTCCGGTCAGACCTTACACACAAGTCGGTGTTGGTAGAATCTTTATCATTATTCCAAGGTACAGTGGGAAACAGTTACTGACGCTCGAAAACGACTGACAGTGCGCTTGTCATCGAAGCTATAGGTGCGCTAGGTTCTGGAAGCTACTACTTTGGAGGTTGGAAAGAAGCAATGCTGTTGCAATTCTATCTCACGGGCTTGTTGAGCGCCGAGCGAGACCTCTCGATCCGTGAATCCTTCTCGAGTATAGGAGATGGCACGCCCACGAAACCCCGCGCTTCTCATGTTCTCGGATTTGCGCGACAGAAAGGAGCAAAGTGTGATAAGGACAGAGTTTTCGCACTTTTGAGCATTCTCAAGGAATTGAAGTATGAAACCTTCAAGCCTGATTATAACATGTCTACCGAAGAGATATATAGGAAATCAGCTTTAATGGCGATTGAGAATGACCACGACCTAATGATACTCTTCCAGGTCCCAAGCGATAGTCGAAGACCCGGACTGTGTTCTTGGGTACCTGACTGGACTGATTTAGGATACCAAGACTCAGACCTAAGAACAGCCATCGAACGTGGTCAATTTGCTGCTGCGGGGCCATCGAATAGTTCCTGGAGTTTCTCCGAAGATCACCTTTGCCTTAACCTATCTGGGAAGCTCATCGACTCAATCGCACACAGGAGTGGTGTAATCAACATGATGCGAGGCAAAGAGCTTTTCACAGCGCATTCCACAGCTGTCAACGTAGGGGTAGATCACGATGGTCCCGGCCTCGCCGCGGGTACTACCATTCTGCGGGAGACCAACAGGGCGATTGAGATCTTGAAAAGTTGGATAGAGATTGCTTCGCGACATGCAGAGTACCCTACTGGCGAACCTATCAGGACAGCTTTGCGACGAACTATGACTTATGACATCCCTCAGGAGAACGGAGTGGAGAACATTGGGGAAATCTTTGATGCGTGGTACAACATCATGACGGCGGATGAACTCGACGTCGGGGCTATGGCACTTGGCATAGTCCGGACGGGAGGAGGGATTCTCCCAAAAATGGTCAAGGACGCTTACCTGAGGAAACGCATGCAGCGTGTTCCAGAGGAGCAAAGGATCCTTAGGGCACTTATGTATGATGATCGTGTGATAAGGTATACCTCGATCGCTGCAACGGCTTCAAAGGGGAAATGCTTTTTCACTACAGAAAGAGCGTATATGGGCACAGCTCCTGATTTCGTACAAGTAGGTGATCGAATCGCGCTTGTGGCGGGTTTGAGTATGCCACTGATTTTGCGACCTGTGTATGGAGGATATCAACTCATCACTCATGCTTATGTCCATGGCATGATGTACGGAGAAACTTGGCCTGAAAACCCCGCTGAGCTCAGCTACATCACGCTAGTTTGACGTTACGATGGCTTCTGCAAGAGTTGTGACGGCGAGGCGAATAGGTATCATGATTATATCTTCATCTAGAAAACGATCTCACAATAAAGAGCTTCTTTCTGATGCACAGGGAGATAGGTACATGAATGCGATTTTCTGCCCAACCGGTTGCTTTGTGGAACAAATACTCCCCAATATTCTCATGGTCTTCATTTCATCCCTCCCCCCACACTCCTTCTTACATCATGCCGTCTCCGTATTCGTCCGAAAATCTCTTCTCGCGTATTACTATTGCATCAAGTGGCGATGGCCGAACACCATCCAATTGTGCTTTTCTCCCTTCTTTTCTCCCTCCTAATCTCGAAATTTTCTTGTGTGTCGAAAGCCGTCTAGGCCAGAATTGGACTGTCACTAAGATTGAACGCGACTTCGCAAAACGGCAGAAGCAGAAGCAGAATGTCTACGCCGAGGTTCAAATGCTGATGTCTCTGAATGCTAATGGATCGTCTGCATCGGGTTTGTTTCCGTATTCTGGATGTAGCAAGCTCAGCTGCTTCATGTGCAATAGCTTTATTGAGTCGTATGGGCAGTTCACGACAAGAGGGTGCCATGGACGCCTCTTCAAAACATGGACCGTGGCAAGTGTAGATCGACTTCTGCCTGGTCAGGCCAATCGGACAGCAAAGGCTCTCGTATTAGTGCAAAAGGGGGTTGAGAAGAAATTGAAGGCCTCAGTCGAGGGCCATATTCGGCACGAACGAACTTCGGGCATTGGAGAAAGCAGTGTCTCAGGTGGTCGGCAGGAGGAGCGCTCACAGAGACAGTTGCAGATGGACCGGCTAAGGATGAAAGTAGAACGCGACAGGGCTGCAGAAATGTTCAGAAGGTGGGCGAGGTTCGGATATAATTAGCTTATTTTCACTTACTCTCACCGAATTATTTGTGCTAAAGGTCGAAAGGCAAATGGAGAACACGATCGGTTCAGCCCGGCGCACCTATTCAATTCTAGAAGGAGATCACCCGGAATATGACTGCGATATATGGATGGGACCGACGACGAGAAGGTGCAACTTTTGCAGCAGAGGATTCTTCTGCAGCGATTCGTGCCAGGAGAAAAGATCCGGAAGTCATTTGTTCACGTGCTCTAAACGTCCCCTCAATTCCGCTGATTGTCTCTGGCAGTCCGCGGCGGGGGATCTCATGCCTGAAGATGAGGATATTCTTGAAGTTTTCGGATTTAAAAACGTCGTTTCTTGCAGGGACATGTCTTACCTTCTGGGGATCTACAGAGGCCTCCATCTCTCCGGCAAGCTCTCAGCGGAGGACATACATGAGAGGTGTGTTGGGGAATCCTGTTCGATAGGATCAAGGAGTTCTATTACAGCATCCCCGAGAATTCCCGTGGGCAGTACTTTCCCTGGTTCCTGAAGAATTTCAATGTGTCCTGGAGCGCCCTATGACTAAAGATGAAGCGCAACAGAAGTTGATAGCGACCTTCTATGACAAGGCCAGGCCATACTTAGATATGAAGGATCGCAACAAGACGGCTACGGATCTAGAGCCAAAGTCCAAAGCAAATAGTTACTCATCCCGTTCACACAATTTTGGAAAGCATACGAAGCGGGAATACTTATCCAGCTCATGGATTCGAAGGGGCTAAGGGAGCTACGATCCAGAATCCCACTCCTAGAGAGCTTTTTATCTGTGCCGTCGGCCGGTCCCCGTCCGTTTGTATGGGACCTGAAGCAGTTTCTTGAAATCAATGATCCGATGGACCATCCGCCCATTCTATCGGTCAACATTGACTATGAGGTTGTCAAATGCCGCAGTTTTGAGGACACTTGTACACTGATGGAAATTTACGGACAGGTTCTGAACACCGCCAACCCACTGGAACTCCGCCAGGCGTAAGTAGCTGATGATCTGTTTCAATTTTCAAGTAGTTATATCCGGATGAAGGAGCGGTAGAGGTCGTTGATGAGGAATCCTTATTCTTTGGAAGAAGTGGTGGAGTCGGAGTTGGGGCCAAGCTGAGGTCAGCAATAGTATAGGGGTACAATTTTGATATCTCTGTATTGCCAAGACTTGATAAAGTCGGGTTATCAAGCTATTCCGGATCAGGATTGGGTCAAAAAGTGACGTGCAGCTCTCGTGCCCACTCTTCGAGATACCTCAAGAGCAGATCAACCTACCTCCCTTGTTCCCACGCGTTGAACGAAGTTGTGTAGCTCAAGGATTTGCACTGGTGTTCTCGGAACAATCGCGAAATCTTCCACATCTTACGCCCACGCTTATTTCTATACCCTCCGAGCTTCTCGTCTCCTACCAAAGCTTCAGCCTTTCTCGAAGTGCATGAATTCTCCTATGATCGCAGCCTTCGGCGTGCAATAAAGGACCTAGCATCTACCATTATTATCAGACCCATTGGCGAACTTTCTCTATGGCGGCCCCACCGCCTCTTCCGAAGAGGATCGTGAAGGAAACTGAGAGGCTGATGGCCGAACCGTATGTTATGCCTAGTCCTGCACTACTTCAAGCACCACCTGCTGACAATTTTGTATCACAGTGTCCCTGGTATCAGCGCAATTCCTCATGAAGACAATTTACGATATTTCGATGTAAAGGTGCATGGGCCATATCAATCGCCGTACGAAGGTAATCGTTGGAATCGCAGCTTGAGAGGACTATACTTACACCCCTCAAGGCGGTATTTTTAAGCTTGAGCTCTTTCTCCCTGATGACTACCCTATGACACCACCAAAGATCCGATTTCTTACCAAGATATACCATCCAAACATTGACAAGCTTGGCCGGATATGTTTAGATGTGCTGAAGAGTAGGTCCCTACAGTCTATAGAAGACTCTTGCTAATATTTGGGCTAGGCAACTGGTCACCGGCGTTGCAAATTAGAACGATCCTTCTGTCAATCCAAGCATTGCTAGGCGCTCCAAATCCAGACGACCCGCTGGCGAACGATGTGGCTCAGAGATGGAAAGAGGACGAGCCTGCTGCTATAAAAACAGCGAAGGAATGGACGCGACAATACGCTTCGGGATGAAATAACGATATGCTGTCATATGTAAGCGTGAAAGAAGGACGATCTGTATCAGACGTCAAAAACTGCTTGCAATTACCTATGACGTCGAACAATCCAAGAACTTGATGAAAGATGTTTCATGCGACACATGCGGTGGACTGGTTTCCTGGTTTATAGAGCAGATTTCGTTAGGAGAGATCTCTTGAAGAATAAAAGATGGGGGATTTCAAAGTCATGCTGAGCGAGAATCAACATATTGTGTCGATGTAGATTACTACTCAGGCTGGGTAACACTTTGTATCTCATAGAACTTAAATAAAGTCCTGCCCTGGTTGTGCATCCAAAATCAAATCACCTCTTTCGGCGGTGATTTTTTATGCGGTCTTATCGATAAAATCAAGCGAGCCTTAGCGCCGGATTGCCAACACCATTGACGGCTCCACGCCGATACCTAAAGACAGATCATTCCATCAGTACGCATCAATTAGGAACGCCACAATGCGTACTTACGACGATACCTTCAGTGGCGAGAAGATCTATCCTGGAAAGGTGTGTCCGCGATCGTCCTCGTCCAATAGCCCACACGAACCGCTCGCCATGACCCTGTAACAGACAGTCGACCACTCCGGCCTGCTCATCCCTGATAATGTTGGGAAAGTGCTAATGAGATCATGGAAATGATAGGGTAAGCTCTACGTCCGCGGGGACAGCAAGATCTTCCGCTTCCAGAACGGCAAAACCGAATCCCTCTTCCTCCAGCGAAAGAACCCGAGACGGATAGCATGGACGGTATTATTTAGGAGGCAGCATAAGAAGGGTATTTCAGAAGTCAGTCTACATCTCCTAAAAATTCAGCGGCACAAAAGCCTCGACATGTTTCCTGTATTCCTTTCTTTCGAAATAACTACGTAACTCCCTCCCTGGACGCGCAAATTATCTCCACCCCTAGCATCACCTTGCATACACATCGACCAAACTCGTATTAACCGTCTCCAACATACAGGAAGTAGCCAAAAAACGCAGCCGCCGCACCGTAAAACAACAGCGCGGCATCGTAGGCGCCAGTCTTGACGTAATCAAAGAACGCCGCACGCAGCGACCCGCCGAGCGTGAGGCCGCACGCAAAGCCGCCATCGAGAAGGGCAAGGAGCAAAAGAAGGAGAGCGAGAGCAAGAAGAAGCAGGATAAAGCCAAGAGCGCGAAAAGTGCGGCTCAGGGACAGCCGGGCAGGATCCAGAGTAAGATGGGCGCGAAGGGGCCGGCGAGTAAGGTCAGTGCGAAGAGTCGTTAGGAGGATGAATGGGGACAGAGTCGAGGGCGAGGGCGGGGATGGAGAGGGATGAAGTGAGCGGTGGAGGTGTCGATGACGGTCTAGCTAATATCAAGGAAGCAAGACTATCAATTTCCATGGATTGAATCAATGGCTTTGTTCACACGTTTTATTGCTGACTTACCGCGGATGGCGCTCGTTATGCTTGACCGCAGTTAATACATCATTGCAAAAATCGCTCGAACCAACAGACAATGCAATGGACAAGGCAGAACACCAGGTTGCCGTGACAGATAAAAGGACCTTGAGATTCGAAGCACTTGCCACGCCAATAGATCTCCCGCGAAAATCCCCGATTCTACTTTCCTTTCGCCTTGGAAAAACCCACTTTCATTCATCTTTTGCCTACATTCACCAAAATCTGCCCCACTCCCATTCAGGAATGCTTCTCGAAATCCCAATAGAATGTAGGAAGTTCCGCATTCCAGCAAACCCACATGTTCGAGACGTCATCTCCGGCCAGCGTGGCTCCGAGACACTGATGGTCATCGAGAGATCTAGGGCATTGCTCGATGGAATGCTTGATGCAAGGGGATTTGGCCAGCGGCGTCTGGTCTGATGACATCGTTGTGAGGATGTCGCTGAGGTACACGGATGGAGTCTGCGCCATTAGATCCTAGTCAAGCTAGCTTCAGCAAAGCAATGCAGGCGAGGCCAAAGCTATTGTCGCCCAAAAGAAAAAAGAAGGGGGGGAAACCAATCACTCGATGCTGAACAAAGGCAAGAAATGGTGTCGACGACAGAAAGTGGGTATCATTTGTATTGACGAGGACGTCTACTATAAATAGAAGGTTCCTGCTTCAAGGAATCGTGCAACCAGCCCTCCTTCCTTATTTGCTCCGCGCTTTTTCCCATAGTCATCAAAAGTCAGAGTTTCCCAGCCAGATTTTTCCAAGCCCATGCCCGCCCACGACATAAGTATACCCTCGTTCCTCGTCCCTTCGCAGAAAGCATGAAAACCCTCGTAGCCAAAGCCAAAGCCGTACCGTAAGCCAAATTGAAGCCAGAACTGATGTAGATTACAATGGTACCGTACGTGAAGAAATAAATAGACTGTCTGAAAGCGCCGATAACACCGTGCTCTTCTGCGTCCATCGTCGAAATTCTGAATGTCAATGTCCTGTCTGCCCTACACCCAAGAGAGGTGTGTCCGATTAAGTGATTACTGCTTTATATTATCGTATCCATCGTATGTGCTTCTCATGAAGAGGGAAGGTCGTAAGTTGCAGCAGCATTTGACGGTCACGTTTCTATTGGGGATGCCTCATCGCCTAGTTCTGTAGAATCCTCACGGCGGCTGGTGCGCTCAGTCTTCTGGTCGGACCCATTCTTTCCACAGCCCTTGACCAGAATATGCCTCTAGAGGTACGTTAGCTCCGCCATGGTAACCATGTTCAGGAGGAAAGTCACATACTTTGAGTGCGTCTTTGCGTGAGAAGGTTTTGTCACAGTGTGTGCATGGGAAAGGCTTCACAGCAAGATGAATTCGTTTGTGCCTTTTGAGATCATGGTTTCTGTTGAACGACTGAGGACATCCATCGCACCTGAACGGTCGATCTTGGTGAGGATTCGGCGGATTGTGTGAGTACACACCCGCAATGAAGCCGCTGCTGTATGGAATTTGCGGCACGCCGCCATGCACGTTCACAAGAGTCATGGGATTTCCAGGATGGCCCACATTGGCCATAATTGGGGCGCTGTATTGGCCTTGCGCAGGAGGCATTTGTACCTGGTAATTGCCTGGGTATGGTTGGTACCCATAGTTGTGCCTAGGTGGCATATTGAAAGCACCTTGTGAACCAGCGGAAGGTGAGGAGCCTGGCAGAGGTGCACTCATGGGACTTTGCAGTGGTGGAGACGACGTCGGGTACATAGAGAAGTTGTTAGCCTGCGCAGAATTTGGCTGCGAAATGCTTCCTTGAAAGGCTGATGGAGTTGAAGCTGGTCTCTCATTATATGATTCTTGGGCTACATTCGTTGGAGGAACGTCGGTGTCATTGGCAGAGGCGTTCTGTGCGAATGCATGCTGATTTGTAATGTGCGTAGGTATATTTGTAGGTATATTTTGGCCATATGGGCTTGCGTCGTGAAAGCTTGGTGGAGGAGGAGGAAGACTCGTGGAAAGATTATCTTGTGATGTTGGAGAATCTGCGATTGGTCGCTGTAGAGTATCTGCGATAGAAGGTGAGAAGAGTCCTTTTGCATTGGGAGTCCATGATTGCGGTGTAGTACCCATTCTCAAATTATACCAAGGTGAGGCTTGTGGAAAGGTCTGAGGCGCCTGGTTTGTGGCCGAGATGGCACTGTTGGTGAAACCGTCCGTTGGCAATGTGGTCGGAGGAGTCAATAGGTTGGTGGTGGGATTCACGACCGCGCCTCCGGTCTGAGCGGCTTGATTTAGGTCAAAGGCAAATCCCACTGGTTTGGCTGGTGTGCTGTTTCGAAAGGGAAGAGGAGGCAGTTCCATGTTCGGGAGGTTGCCAGCAGCAGGGCGTCGTGCAGTCAGACTTCCAGGAGTCGCAGTGGAATCCATCATGGAACCCATGGCGGATGATTGATTTTGCGTGGCATCAGCCGGGCTCGTTGAGGCGTGCCCAGGAAGCTTGTAGCCGTCTCCTGCGTCACTTGGAGGCGTCGGCAGCGTATTTTGAGCGTTCAAGGCCGTACCTATCACACCCTGCCAGTGGATACCGGCGGGTGCTGTGTGGAAAGCCAGTGAGGGCAATCTGTTCGGCGTCACCGTGTGGGCAGTGTTATTCTTTGCTGTAGAAATATTATGAGACTTGTATTTCGACAAGTCAAGACTGGGGAGGTGGAAGTAATCTCGCTGCAGTGGCGGCGAAAAGGAAGCCAGTTCTTTGTATGTGGCGCTTGGGCAGTGGAGAGAGCCACTGCGCAGCGTCTTTCTGCAGGTGTGTACTGCTGGGGCTTGAATAGGTCTGTGGGGCGCCCTGACGTATGTGTAGGAAGAATATGGTGAGGATCTGACTCGAATCTCAAGGGTGACAGGTATAGAGGGTACGTGGAAGGCTCTGGCGTCGCGGTACCGTGATTTCGAGCGGAGTAAAAGGCTTGGTTCGGTGGACTCGTCGCGCACTGATTGGGAGTGAGGTGATTGAATTGGGTGGAGAACAATTGGAGGTGAAGATGTGTATAGTCCAAGGCAAGACAAATTGATCGCTGGGAAGAATGGTCCTTTCTTTGTTTCTTGCTGGTGTTTGTTGAAGATATTCTGAAGGTGGAAGGAAGAATGCTGATCACGCTTGTTTTCCTTTTTCTCGGCGGGATTGGCGGGAGGTGCAGCTGCAGCAGCTGCTGCAGTCAGTCTGAATTAAAATGCCAATCCAAATCCTTATTCCTTATTCATATTTTAGTGGAAGCTTCCGAGTTCGAGGGACACCGGGCAAATACTGGGAGACAGGTAGGAGACAAGGGAGAGACTGGGCGGGAGACTGAAGGACTGGGCCCAGGCTTTGCGGCCCTGTCGATCGCTTCGATGATCAGCCAACCCTCAAGTCCAAGTAAGACAACTAAGACAGCCTGTCAAATCCTGCCTTGCCGGATTAGGTACAGTTGAATCTATAACTCCATAGTGGTGGCCACAGATGTTCGTCGGTGAGCTAGGCTTATTGCGCAATCCTCACTCTCGCACGAACTACCGATAGGCCGCGAGATAGTCGAGATCGTGGAGGTGAGGGTCTCTGGTAGGAACATACAATGAGACAAGCACTGGAGAAGCACGGGCGCGGCGGGGGAGGGTGGTCAAGTATTAGTTGAGTGCCCCAATTGTTGGCCTCGTCCTCCACCTGCGTGGGATCTCCTTCTCCCTTTTGGTCCAAGCTCGAGGGAGAAAGAGCTCTTCCTTTCTTCTGGGGGCGGGTCAACGGCCGGATTCAAGTCGAAACGGGTATGATGGACAGATCTGGTGCCGTCTAGTGCTCTCCTAATCCGAGCAAGTTGGCTGCTTTGCATGCACGGAATGGGGCAAAACGGTTTAGTCGCACTGGGGCCAACCTTTTAGACCGCTCAGCTATCTGTGTTGGCAATCAAATCATGTGTTTGAAGCTAAAGCGGGATTCACTTCTCTCTCTTCGCTTGTCCAATGTCCACGATACTTTCAGGCAGCGCCGGAATCGCAGGGGAAGCGGTGGGGAAGGAGAGGGGGAAAGGGGACCGGGGACAGGTTCAGCTCGTCAGGTTGAAGCCTCATGATGATCTTCTGAAGGCCAGGTACTTCGATACCCTATCCTACATGATCCCTTCCCGCACGTGTGTGTGCGTGTGTGTGGGATGATTATGAATGATTATTTCCTTGTCAACCTATCGATCCTCTGCGCATTACTTCTCTCCATTTGCTTTGAATAATCTCGCCGACCCAGATGCAATAGCAATTTCCTCGAGCCTTGTGCATATATCTGGAGCGCTAGCCTACGTCATGGTTCAAGAGCCTCTGCCTGGCCAACAGCGCTGCAACAATGCAACTCCATGCACATATAAGCATTGAGATGCATCGGCAATGGCTCCACGGATGGCTGGAGGGCTTTTTTACGCTTGAAATGCGATGCGCTGCGACATGGGGAACCGAATGCTGTGCCTCTTCCCGGGCATGAGCTGCTGCTTCATGTCTCTCGTGAAACAGAGACATTATTACTATTCGAGGTCCCGGGAGGGAAACAAGAGACGACGCGGCGAGGCGCTTGAACGTTTGCCTTCTGACCAGCGGGAGCTTTCGATCTTTAGCTGCATTCTTGAAGCGGAAGATTGACAGGGGTGCATCTTGCGCAAAGCAGCTTCGGGGCAGGGATACAAGATCGAGACCATCCAGTCCAGAATTCGGGTCAAAGTCTAGAACGAGCCATCGGCCCTTACGATGTGCCCGAGTCGTGCCAAGAGATCTCTCTCGTGCGTAGGAGAGCATAAGGTATTGCCCATATGGCCCTATGGGAGAGCACTCGTGAGTCGTGGAGAAAGATCCCATTTGCAATTCCAGCATTATTGCGTCTTTGTAAACTTCGTGATGCTGACGTCTTGTCTCAGGGGCTTGAGACGTGGTGCTCAAGCCTCCCAGGCGCTCCCTTTCGGCTGGCTGCGGATGGCGACCTATGTGGACCGCCAACCTGCTGTGACGAGGTCAAGTGGCCCTGTCATTGGGAAGCTTTATCATGCCTTGTGGGGCAGTCCCAGGGATGATCAGGCTCTAGGGTAACAGTCTTCTGAACCAGCGAAGACGTGAAGACCACAATTATTGTTGCCAAGTGCGTTGGCAGAACCTGCGTCTTTTCCTACTCGCCTGGAACTTCCTTCCTGCAGAATCCCGCCAGAGAGTTGCATGCTCACGACCTGATGATTGATCCGTCGTATGACCTTTGCCAAAAGCTTATGTGTGTCGGTATTCGGTAATGCAGTTCCTCTTAGGCGATTTTCTTGACCCAGAAACCCGTCACGACGGTGCAGCTGGACGCCTCTCTGCAGCCAATGAAGAGGTCTGACAAGCGAGAAATCCTTGCTCAGATCGAGACTCGCGCATAATCAAGGTGGTGCACAATTCATCCGGTTCATAAGGGCCCCCAACCCAGGTGGGCTAACCGCCGTGGAGTCTTCGTATCATCGGTATCCCAATCAAAAAAGGTGTGACTGTGACTCTGTGAGCAGTCCTGCGCTTATGCTGCTGCAAGCCTGCAAGACCTCTTGCATTCGGATCCCGACTAGCCACGAGACACTAGCTCTGCTGCGAGGGTGTCGCATGAAGCTATGAACGACTCCAGATCCTCGGGTCGAAAAGGTTAGTCCACTCTTCGGACCGCATTGCCCTTTCTCGTAGATGGGCTTGTCGTTGCCTTTCCCGAACGGCCGTGTTCAGAATTAATCAGGTCATCCGTGACAGCTTTCAGCCAGCCACTTGCATGTGGCGCCTAATCCAAGCCCAGTGCTCTGGTATCGGGGGTGGTCCGTCTTTCGTGACGCTAACCTAGAGCACGTCCAATAATGTACTCATAGACAAACAGTCGATGATGCGGAGTTGCTGCATAGCTAAACCCGTTGGTGTGTCTTTGTACACACACTTTGGCCCTTGTATATAGCCTATACTCATTTGGAAACCCTCTGGGAGCAAGTAGCCGCTTGAGGAGAAGTTGAAGACGTTTACGTACGGGAGGGACTGTCTAGGTACCATCTCCGGCTACTTGATCTTGCGATTCTTTGGTGATTGTATTTCTTGGTGATCATGTTGTACTTGTGTATATCAAAGCTCTTGTCCTAATAAGGCTCGAAGTATACGAATACTGTATAGGGCATTCCACACTGGTATCGAAGCAAAATGCCACTTGCCGAGGATACGGGAGACCGTCAGCTTCTCTCCCTGCAACTTAGGTTGCATTGTGCTGGTACCTGTTGCTCCGTCGTTGTTGGCCGATGCATAATTTTGCCACCTGTAGAGAACGTGAACCTTTGAATCGAGTTGTTGGCTCGCATAGATTATGCAAGGTCCTCCTCTGCTACGCGATGTCGTTTCCATGACAAATATGCAAATTCCTTGTTGGCATATCGCAATTATGTATCTGGAGGATTTGATCTAACTCGTCTCAATGTTCAAAATTCTAGTCTGCTGTCTGCCAGGAGATCAGTCTCGAGCGAGGGAGGGGTTTTGCAGCATAGATGTCTCTCGTGTCAAGCTAGCTTCCAGCAATGCCCATAAGGTTGGAGTGATTTGTGCCGCAAAAAAGCAGGACGATATCGACGTTTTGCAAGGTCGAAGGTTATTGCCCCAGCCTTGACACAGTCACTGTAATGATGGATTGCACCGACCACAACGTAGAGTTACCTTAGACACATACGAACCCTTTTAATTTGCATAACTACCTATGTTGGCTATTCGCACTCATGCGCTCGCTGCTCATCATATAGTCCTATTCATCATGATGTGGCCTCAGCCGTTTCCATAAACACATTTCATAAAGTATCCCCCTTCTGCTTGATCAAAAATCCTCCCAAGCGTCATCCAAGCTTCTGTATGAATTGACCCATCCTCACCCAATTCAATGGACCAATTACGGTCAGATCACGAAAGGGATGCAGACAAATGTCATTATATTCCACCAATAACTCACTTCACGGCCGTTCCCGTTTGTCAATTGCTTTTGTTCAAGCGCCTAGGGTGTCTCATTCACAATTGAGCCATACTGATTACACTGGTCCATAAGGACCCTTGTCATGAACTCCCACTCTTTATGACCCGCCTCATCAGTAGTAGTATTATCGTTAAGGTCCTGAAAGTTATGCTCTAGGTTTCCGAACGGGGACCCAACGGTCGAGGGCTGCACGAGGGGATGGTGGGCAATGAGTTGTGCATACCACTACGCCCGAAATTATCAGTATCCTAATTCCTTTGTCGTTACCCTAACAAGGAGTAAGACTCACCTCGACTACATCCTCTTCGAAGCCCCTCCTTCTCCCCAAAACCTCGAAAGGCCACCATTCTGATAATGGGCTGATCAAGAAGCCACGATTGACCCCTCCGTCGCTGGCGGCCTGATGAAGTTCCCACCGCTGCCTCTCAGAGAAACCTGTCGCATTGAGTGCAGCCGACAGCAACTCTCTCAGCACAACCACATTGGGGGAATTGACGCTGTTTGCTGTTCCAGGGGCAGCTCGTCGTGTATACCCGCGACTAGCCCCACCAGTATCATGGCGGTACCCAATTCCATATCCACCCTGAGTGGGCAAAGGCGGAAAGTTCGCTCCCGGTGGTGCTGGAAAAACGGGCGGGTTCGGGTTCGAGAGATTCGTAGGGGAGGCATTTTGCGAGTTGGCGCGGCGAATTTGAGTGCTTAAGATCTGCATCATTTTGATTGCGGCGTCGAAGATCTTGTTGCGCGTGCCTAAACTATAAAGCGAGGTCGCCTGCCAGGGGAACTTGGAGAGAAGCGAGATCATGGCTTCGTAAGGGCGATTTGGGCATTTGAGTGTATAGTTAGACTGGGTATAATGCTAGTCTCAGCAATGAAACTATGCATTCGCTTTTGGATACTTAGGGAGCTGGGAGCGAATGGGGATCAGACTTACGCGATGAGGTTGTTCAGCATGCCTGACGAGGATCTGCAGCTCTTCAGTCGAAACAAAAGTCTTGAAGCCAGTGTTGTATGGATCGTCGGATTGCACAATGAGAGGCTGCCCGTCACGCCAATCTATATTCTTCGCTCGAGGGAAAAGCTCCTTCATGAGCTGGTCTTGGCTACTAAGTTCAACCTCGAGCACTCGATCTTCGAGCCGATTCGCTGCGTTGCTGCGGTATTTAATTACGTCTACCCAAGCCTTAGCATCTGGGGTAGAGAAGAACTCTACGAAGCAGTCTTGTGTCTTTCCCGTTGCACGCTCCATGATTATGTGTACTGACGGTCCAAGTTCTGGGGTAATGACTTTGGCATGATTACCAAGGAAGCTGACAATCTGGGCTTTGCAAATGTTGTAAGGAATCTGAGTAGTGTAATGGATTAGCTCTGTTCTGTTCCGACGAAAAGAGAGTTGAGGTTTCGATAAGACATCAGCATTATGACTATGTGAGTGCATGTACTGGAACAATGAACAAAACTGAAATCCTTTGAAGGTCTGGTCTCCTTCTATCGACACCAACACTGATCACACAGTAGAAACAATACTCTCTCGATCGGACAACGCCTGTAGGGTTGGCCAATGATGCAGCAAGCTCTTACCCAACCACCTTCTCACGTCTCGTGTTCACATCATGATATCTTCCGTACATCAACGCCGTGAGTTCTCGCAATATAAATCAAAGTGAAATAAGGTTTCATTTCTTACTCACATTGCCAATTTTCATGACTCCCCACTCAGCAGGCTTCGCCGCCCGTGCAGTCTCCGTGAAAGGAAGGTTTCTCTCATCTAGGACAATGGCAGGATCGGGTACCTGGGTACGGGCTAAACTCTGGTAGCGAACACTTGCTCCACCATTAAGAGGCAGTCGAGGGGACATCTCGTCTGATCCTTCGAGATAGGCTAATTTGCGACTGTCCCGGGGTACAGTATTTATTGGCGGTCCAAAACGATTCTGCCATTCACTAGGCTGGGCCATTTGCGGGCTATAGCGACGTTGATTTGCATGCCAGGCTCCAGTCTGAGCAAAGAGTGGGGCGATACGGTTCGTTGCAGCAGGACGTATATTCCGGTCAACAGGCAAAGAGATTCCGTTAGGAGAATAAATGCCTGTGCCCGCCATTTGAGGTAAAAATTGCTGGCTATACACGGGTGGTATCATTTGCCCCGCATAGTGCACTGATTGATTAAGGTATTGCATTTGCGCTGGGGAGATGCTGTTACCAAACTGGGCGAGAGGAAACTGCTGACCATTGTTGCCAGCAAACCCTCGCTTTTCAAGAGTATTGTATGGCGTCATTGGAACCGGATTGTACGGCATGCTCCATTGTTGGCTATTAGCCATGTTGTAAGGCGACTGCTCGCTAGCTGTGAATGATCCAGAGACTGCATCCGCTGCCTGGCAAAGATCATTTGAAGGCGATGGATTCGCGAAGTTCAAAGATGCTCCTTCATTGATTTGTTGCAGATTTGGTTGACTGAATGTTGGGGCGAGACTGTGTTGTGAGCGAGCAGGCATAGCCCTCGACGAAGCCTGTCGAAATTCCCTTAAATGATCTTCCGAAGATTTGTTATCAACAGTTGAGCTATTCGAGGATTTGGTGTCAAAACTCGCTGGTGCTGACATTGAGATGTTGGGCTTGACTTCGTCGTGTATTCGTTGCAGATCTGAGAGAGCCCTATCCCGACGTACTATGGCGTTTTGGGGGCTTGAGCTGTAATGTTCCTGCTGTTGACGCAAGGGAGTAGAAGCTCGACGCTGCGTTGTAGATGCTTCAGTCTTTGCGTTACGTTCATTGAGTTTAAGTTGGTTCAAGCGGTGATCTAGTTCGCGTGTAGCTGAGGCGTCGCCAGACAAGAAGGAACGACCCCGAGGTAGTACTTGACTACCTGAGTGTAGGTCAAGCTCTTCCTTGGGCTTGAGCCAGCCTTGTCCGACTGGAGAGGTAAGGTAGAGGACGAGATCTTCGATGATGTCGAGCAGCTCGTCACGCAACTGCTTGAGTGTCTTTGGACATCGACGATGCCATGTCATCATGTTAGCATCTCGCTCATCCAGTGGCTCTGGCCCACCACCGTTGTTGAACACGCGTTGGTAAAAGTGACTACGGATGAGTCTTGGACTATAGGGTAGACCGGTCAGACCTCCGCCCTCTTGTAGGTCCTTGACGAGCGCATCAAGGCGCCCAGCGTCCGGTGGTAAAGGAACGTATCTATGTATACAGTAAGCTCATGGACTGAAACAACTCATGAGATCATACTTTGTGTCCTCTGAAATTTCACTACGGTCTCTCTTCTGAAGATTATCAGTCATTTCACTCCAATTGACTGTAACACCACCATCCGACAGAGATTCGCCAGAAGGCACTGCGCATGTTTCTTCGCGATTAAGGCGGTATCTTGACATCTCATCTGACTGAAGCAACCAGCGATCATCAAGATTGCGATGATCCCATCTACGCAATCCTTTTTCCTGGGTCAATTGGGGAAAGGTCTTTGTTTGTTCGCCCGGGCCTTGAGATGAATTGTGCGCAGAATTGAGAAGGTCATGATCAAGCTCAGCAAATTCGGGAACCTTGTTCTTGCTGCGAGAAGGCGTCACAAGAAGAGACTTTTCACTTGATCTGTGTCGAGCTGAGCTAGGCGTAAATGGCGCATCACTTGTGTTATCTGTTGAGCTTCCCTCTCGATTGAAGCTGCTTGCCTGAGAAGGTAAAGACGATTGGTATGATGTGCCATACAACGTGAGGTTTCCGATCTGATTCGACCCAACAGGGATCCCTGTATAGCCATCCTGAATGGAACTCGTTTGGTAAGCCTAGAATTTGTTAAATTGATGCGTCATGGGGTGGGAAAGTGAATGAACCTGATGCGGCAAGAGATCTTGGCTGCGCTTAGTGTCTTTTGTCATTTTAGCGCATAGAGACGTAGCCGGCGTAGATGAAGTAGATGGGCGCCCCTGATGAGCAGGAGGACCTGCAATGGTTGAATGCTGCACTTGGTGTTGTGGCGGATGCGTGCCCCCCTCCCCAAAAGGCTCGAGGGCGTTAGGTGTGGCATTGGAATTAGAATTGAAAGGCGATGCTAGAGGATTGAGAGCAGGTGGGCTTGACGTCGTCGAGGCAGCATCTCCCAGCTCGTACAAGCGGTACTTTTTTAGCGGCTGATATGATGGCATCGTAGATCGCATTGTGCGGTCCGAGTCTGGTGTGGATGGCTCGTCGGCCATTACAGTCAACAACTCAGCTCAACGCTCGAGTATGTGTCAGGCAACACACTACCACAATAGAGGCTGGCGACTAGGTAAAAAAAGTTCCTGGTCGAGAGCAGTGCGGGCTAATTCAAACCCCCACATTTGTAAGTGAGCACGTTTCTGATAAGAGCAAATAGTCTGAGGAAGTGTGATGGAATAGAGCAGCCGGGCTCACCACTCACTGCGATAGCTATGTCAATGATTATTCCGTTCAAGAGTGTGTGGAGGCCCTACCTGAAGCGGGCCTTCATAACAGCAGACCTGACTGAGCTTGGAAATACTTATATGAAATGATAGGTATTCGTTATATTGTATTCTATACAGTCAGAGTATATCAAGCCAGTGAGGGTTGTAGATGGTGGAGTACGCCAATGTAAGAAGAGGTGAGGTGAGGTGATTGAGTTTTGAGTGTTTACCACCCAAAAGGGGAATCGTCACCACTCCGTGATGATGGGTATCTAGCCTTTTAATGTAAATCGCCACCATAGGGCAGCCGTCCAGCATGTCCAGCTTTGGTAGTAAGACGCTTTCACATTGTTCAAGATGGGTGATAAAGATTCAGCGTCGTCATACAATATATTGATATCAAGAGCTAGGGGCACAAGGATGATGAAAGGTGTCTTAAGTTAGACCTTTGCGCGTGAAGATTTACGATTAACAGAAGATTGAAGGAATCAGAATTCAGAATGTGATGAGTCTCATACATTGTCATTGACTTCTAGAATTTCGTCGCAGTCATGACTCCAATTGCTAAAGGCTAATCAAACTATGACTTTTGTCAGCAAATTTAGAGGCAGGAATTCTGTCCCAACGTACGGGAGTAAGGAAAGATTCTGCAACGAATCTTGCTCTTGCGTTCAACTAGACATACAGTTAGTATGCCATTTTATTTTCGAAGCCGGTTTGCGCCTTTTGGATTCGAAAGCTGGGAAGAGAAGGAGGTCGACTCACAAAGAGCTTCATCTCCGAGATCTCCTTATCGACTTCCTCCATGAATTGTATTATAAAGTCAACGAGTTTATGCTTCAACATTTCCTCTGTGTTGACATTTGTGATCAAGAAAGAAATATCATAGCCCTAGTAATCGGTCAATGTCTCGACCATTGCCGTAAAGGTGGTGATCAAAGACCGACCTTGACAGGTTTCCTCCGCAGTATAAAGAAAGCTTCGGCTCGTTGAGTTAGAAACCTGGTGAATTTATGCACCAATATGTTCTCGATTTCATCTGCTTGCTTGATCTTTATACTGACGCGTGTGCTGTTGACGCTGGGCTCGATGAAGACCTTCTCGTTCTCATTGCGGGAGACCGTTAAAGGATTTAGGAGGACTTCTGGAGAGCTTGCAGCTTCTATCTCCGGAACATTGTGCCGTTCTGACGCCTGAGAAGCAAAGTTCGAGAGTGACAGGGCTGCTATGAGTGAAGAGCGGACGCATTGGAGATATGGGCGAAGTGATTGCGACTGGGGCTCATTAGTTGCCTGCTTGCTAGATCCACCGCATAGCTTGCCATTGTCCAAGCTAATCTCTTCAATCTCAATTAGTGACCATACGCTGATTGAATCAATCTCTGTGCGGTCGATAAAAGGGTTTGGCGGTGCAAGATCATCATTACGCCGTTGCAAGAAGCGTCAGAAGCAGCTTGCCTTCATGCTGAATGTCGGATCGGGCCGAGATTTTCTCCGCGACTTTGATATCATTCTGCATAATTATCTCGTTCCCCGAGTTCTGTCCAGTTGCTCATTCTACGACGACGCCAGTCCAGAATGTCGGAGATTCAAGGCATGTGATCAGTATCAATCAAACTGCTTCTAGAATTGCTGACGTTTGCTCTAGTCTTCGTGAAGCATCAAGGCAAAAAATATGAAGTTGAATTGGATCCAAGCTCCACAGGCGAAACTTTCAAATACCAATTATATTCACTCACTGGGGTCGAACCAGATCGGCAGAAGATCTTGGTAAAAGGTGGACAGCTCAAGGATGATACAGACCTTTCCAAACTGGGGGCCAAGCCCGGTCAAACCTTTATGATGATGGGTACGCCTTCTACAAACGATGGAGTACCCGAGCTCTCGAGACCCAAAGAGAAGATTAAGTTCATGGAAGACATGACAGAAGCCGAAGTTGCTCAGCAAGAGGGTGCAACACCCGCTGGGCTACAGAATCTGGGTAATACATGTTACATGAACTCAACGCTTCAGACATTACGGGCTGTGCCAGAGCTGCAGGACCAGCTGAAGAAGTATAGCAGCAGTGGAACCAATTCATCTCAGAGCTTTGACCCAAGTCAATACGGCCTGCCAGGATCATCTTCTTCTGTGGATCTTGCTGGATCCCTACGGGACCTCTACAAGCAGATGTCTGAGACTCAAGAGGGCTTTCCCCCTATCATGTTCCTACACGCATTGCAGACTGTGTATCCACAATTTGCTGAAAGGGCAAGAACTGGTCATGGCTACGCGCAGCAAGACGCCGAAGAAGCTTGGTCACAGATATTGTCACAGCTAAGGTCTAAATTGAAGATCGTAAATCCAAATTCCTCAACCTCCTCCGCGGGGAGCCAGAGCAACGCGGAAGATGTCCCATTTATAGACAAGTTTCTTGCAGGCCGCTTTTTCTCAACTACATCTCTCACAGATCCCGCCGCCTCATCAGATGCTCCAGAAGAAGCAAAGCTCGAAGAGGATACTTTCCTTAAACTTGATTGCCATATCGAGGTCACCACAAACCATCTACGCGACGGCATGCTTGCCGCTCTGTCCGAGAAGATAGAAAAGAACTCTCCAAGTCTTGGTCGTGACGCAGAGTACACAAAAGCATCTCGAATAACCCGTCTACCCAAGTACCTCACCGTCCACTTCGTCCGCTTCTTCTGGCGGAAGGACATTCGCAAGAAGACAAAGATCATGCGCAAGGTCACCTTTCCCATGGAGCTTGACGTGGTAGAGTTCTGCTCCGATGATCTCAAGAAACTCCTGATTCCCGTCCGAGACAAAATGCGAGAAATCAAAAAAGATGAAGAGGACATGTCACGAGCGCGAAAACGGCAGAAACTTGCACGAAAACAAGAAGAGGACCGCCGAGCAGATGAGTTGAAGGGGAAAAGTCCCGCTGATGAGAAGAAGCTTGTGAAGGACAAAGCACCTGAGGGTAAGGGCAACGATAAGGAGATAGCAGATGCAGTCTACAAGACTGATGCCGAATATGACGCCGAGAGGTCTGCTCAATTACTCACTATGAAGAAAGACCTGTTCTCGAAGATTAGTCCTGAGTTGATGGGAGACGAAGGGTCGAATAAATCAGGATTATACGAGCTGAGAGGCGTCGTTACGCATCAGGGCGCCAGTGCTGATAGTGGACATTACACTTCTTATGTGAAAAAGCAAGGGAACATCGGTCCGGACGGCAAGAGAAAAGAGGAGGATGGGAAGTGGTGGTGGTTCAATGATGACAAGGTGTCTGAAGTTGAGCAGGAGAAAGTTGAGTCGCTAAGTGGCGGCGGTATGTTAAATGCTCCCAATCCAAAGCCATTCTACTGACTTACGACAAAGGCGAGGCGCACTCGGCACTAATATTACTTTACAAGGCGATTGATCTCCCCACCGCTGAGGAGGTGAAGGAATAATGACGAGACCATGCAAGGCAATTGACGGCCAAAATAAGGTGGACAGCTTGTACCATATGCGAAAAGTGATGCATAGCATGGAGAAAACAGGCACAGTGACCGGAATGCTTATGAATGCAAATGCTCCATTGACGATCAAACTTGTGTGATGTTCTCGCTCTACGTCATCAATGAACAGCACATGCATGCCGTCTGTCGTCAATTTCGATCGTCGTCATGATCGTCGTCACAGGCCGTGAACAATAAGACGGCATCATGGCCTATTGTATTGACCTTCTCACAATATCCTGCCCTTCCGGAATCCCTCCTTCCAAACTTCAACCGCTCGTGGCACCCTCAAAGGCAGTCCTCCGGCCTCTCAATCTCCCCTCCCCATTCTAACATCCATACTCCTCCACTCATTCCCATCTGCCCTCCCCAACACACCTCCAACCTCGCCCAGGCTCAACTTCCACCCCTCCCCATTCCCTTCTACCCTCCTAATTTGACCCATACCAAAGGGCCACATATTCTCATAGATCGTCTCCCAGTGTCCTGGGGGCACAACATAGGTCTCATGAAAGATTCCAATATGCGGCCACTGCTGTCGAGTGCGTTCCCACCATTTCCTCCCCTCGGCGTGGACGGAGTGGGCGGCGAAATCGCGGAGGTGGTCGAGGCTTTTCCAGTAGGAGAGGACGACGAGAAAGTTGCCGCGGTTGGGGCCTTGGGATACGAGGGGAGCGGTGTGGGAGAGATCTGGTGAGGTGAGTCAGTACAGATGCCATGTCAGATGAAGGCGAGGGGTGTGCTAGGAGTAGAGCTGGGGGAGCACTTACATCCCCATCTCTCACGGTTCTCTGCTGCATCCTTCCACATGTCCATGAACCAGGTAGCCGTCTCCTTCAGGCCAGGGGCAAATAACCCCAACGGACTGTGGCCATGATTAGTCTCTGTCCAAATGCTGGCCTAGAGTATACAGTACTGGTTGCACTGGTTCCCAACCACGAAGCAAACAACCCCGTTCGACCCGGCTTTTTCGGGCATCGTCCCATTGTGATTGGGGACAGTAGCGCTCCATTTCCCCAGCCTAGCATGCTTGAGGTTCCAGTTCGCTTCCACGCCTTTGGGACGCGTGTATGACAATTTGTAAATTAAGAGCAGCGCAGCAGGCGCAACTGAGAGATAGCTAGGCAAGAGCACGAAAATCAGGCCTTGTAAACACATGCCGATTGCAAGCAGCGTGGGGAGTTCGAAGTTGGCTTGTATGACGGGGAGTCGGCTCCTGATAAACACCCATTTTGCTTGAGCGCGAGCAGGGAAGCTGGAGGGTACTTTCTCGCTCTGGGACGACATGGCTGATGAAGGACTGAAGGTGGATTGAAGAAGATGGACCCGGCTCGTTTGCCTGTACTTTATGTATTCCAAGTGATAGTCTCCGGCAGCCAACGGGGCTTTCTACGGCTTCAGCTCAGAGTGCAACCGGAGTGAATCATAGAGCCGGTTGTCCACGCTGAAGGAATACTCTTCGCATCATCGCGACGATGAGGACGACAAGCGGTGCCACCACATAGGCTGCTCCACCATCCTACACATACAGGGAGACTTGTAAGACGCTTTACGTACGAAACGGAGGACGATTTGGCCGCCGATCTCACTTTACTGCCAAGACATTTATTAAAATGTTACCGCCCGAGGGTTGGTGTGTTTGAACGTGGCCACGCCAAATTCAATTTTAGGGGGCATCTTAGGGAGGGTACCTGGGAGAGATGCCTATAGGGGGGCCACATAAGGCTGCTTTCCCCCTAATTCGCGCCTGTAATTTAGCGTGGCCACGTTCAAACACACCAACCCTCGGCCCCCTAGAAAGTGAAAATGCCTATAAACAGACCTATTTGCCAACACGCTGCTTCGAGGTCATAACGATGTGAAGTCTCCCAGCATTGAGCCGGGAAATGTAATGGCTTCAACATTCAAGACAAAACATATCAATGAAGTCCGGGTGGTCTAATGACGCACGTCATGTTTGTGCATGATTCGAATTCGCATTACAGCCAACGCTCTTTTACGTATCACCCTGTATTGTATGCCCAGCTGTTCTCACGTTAAATTGTCCGCTGAACCTCTTCCTTTTCCTCCTATAGACATACAATCCTATCAGTATATCTGACGGGCATGGTTGAAAGATGAAGATGCCCGGGGTACTCACGTCCGTCAGGATCCTAGGAGCAGTCAATCGGAGCCACTCTCCTTGCTCCTGATTACGTGCATTAGTATGAATGTTCTACAAGACCTTCCATCGCCAATTATGTCGATCTCCCCCTTGAACATATCGTACCTCAGATTCGACTTCGAAGTTGTCTTCCCCGAACTTCTTCTTAAGTAGCCGGAGGAGTTTGCCCATGTCAATATATCGAGCGTCAATGATCTGGACTTTCATTCTCATCAATTTTGGCGGCGTCTGCTGAAATACTCGTTCTTGATAGCTTTCGAGACTGCAAGTAGGGCCGGTAGATGCTCGCTCCTTTCGAGGTGCTTCGCAGTGAACCTGAAGCGCCGTCGCTGAACAGAGCCCTGCAAGGGTACCGTCTATTGACTGAAGCGGATTGGTTGGTAGGCATTGCGTAAGCCGGATCGCATATTCGACCCCGCGAACAAAATGCATCGGAGCTCACCGCACACTGATGCTTTGCTTATGCAGCCTGGTCGATCGTCGTCTAGGCGCAAGAACAGTGGAGGCAAGTGATGAACATGTGAGACCCGTTTCTAGGAACGACTGGATGGGATCAACTGTCATCAGATTCTGCTAGACAGACTTCATGCTTGTGACGGACTCAATCGTAAGTGGTATGGAAAACTCGCACTCACTCTCCCTTCGACAAAGGGTTGCCGAAGAGGAACTTCTCAATTGGAAGGGTGAGGAATTCGTCCCGTTCGCCAGTCTTCGCGACCTTCTCCAACCGCAAGTTGTAAAGCATGTCTTTCAAGAATGTGAGATTGAGAAGTATCTCGAAGACGAAGCTATCGGCGCCGTCTTGAAGGGCGGGCATCGAGTCTTTGCAATTCTCAATCGTATCGGCCAAGAGATATCCATCCTGCTCTTCAAAAAGAATGCGGACGCTTTCTTAAGTAAATCCCTCGACTCTGGACTGCCATATGATCAGCACTTTCTTGAATCTGTCCTGCCCGATTTCTTTCAGGAATTTTATCGATATCAATGGAAGTTTGCTTCTCCTGTTTTCCAAAAAAATCTGCATGATCGAGATCTCTCAAAAAACACCATACTCCCCTTCATCAAAGTTGAAGGTATATCCTCCCAAGGCGCCTTCGCAGAAGTGAGTCGTGTGACTCTTCCCGGATCTCATCAACAGATTGAACCGACTTCATTGGGCAACGTGGGTAATATCCGGCCTGAGATGCCTGTCATGTCTTATGTTGACAATACATAGGTCATTCTGGTCCAGAAGAAACTCAATCTTTCAAACAATGTCGAATGGAACTTCAAGCATGAAAAACACGTATTGTCCATGCTCCGCACCTTGAAACATCCAAATATTGTAGAGTTCCATGCGGCCTTCACCTTTCAGGGCAGGCCGACACTACTTTTCGGCGAGGCTGAGTGTGACCTGAAGGAATGGCTTCGGGGAGACAGATCCGTTCGTCTTTCTGAGGTAGGAACATTAGAAGCACTTTACGGGCTGTCTTCCGCTTTGTGTCGGATGCACCAATTTTCTCTAGAGGGACAACAATTCTCGATGATCGGTTGTCACTTCGACCTACATCCGGGTAATGTCATTGTACGAGGGCGATCCTTTATACTCTCCGATTTTGGTCTTTCACGATTGAAGTACGAAACACAAGGCTCCCGCTCGTATTTCAAGGGAGGCATAAGGGACTACTGCGCTCCGGAGTGTCAACGATGGGAAGATGACTTCGACAGAAATAAAATTGGGCGACCAAGCGATATTTGGTCCTTCGGGTGCATCATTGCTGAGATTGCCACCTTCTTGAAAGATGGGGCCACAGGATTGCGTAGATTTGACGAAGCTCGTCGGATCCGTGGATCGGTCCCAATGCTTAAGACCTTCCATGATCGGGGCCGCCCGCACCAAGGCGTTACCGCCTCGATTGAGGAGCTCAAGAGTGATGTATTCAAATATACTATTGTGACAGGTCTAGCGAATCTTGTGAGCAGCATACTGGCCATTGATCCAATGACACGACCAGATGCGCACAGGGTCTCTGCACAACTTTATTCACTTTGTCTCAATATCATTTACTGCGAAACTAGAAAACTGCTTGAATGCTTGATTCCTACTGCGCACTACGGGTGGAAGATCGAGTATGACAGATTGACGCTCTGGGGTAGAGAGCTCGGCCTCGGCAGCCCTTTGCCAGACGAAACGGGTGCTGAGTGGCTTTTGGAACCGTCCTCTACGATTCAATTTGATAACATTCGCTGCCTCTTGTTGCAAATTAAAGACGATTGCGAAGTTCGATCACAGTATTTCTCCAATGATCGTTCCGAAGAACGCAACACCGTGCCAATTCACGTCATACGCGTGTCAATTGATAATCTCTGGCAGACCCAGAAACCTGAAACGATCCGGAAGATGAATACAGCATTAGAAAGCATTATCCTCTCTGTGGATGATACCCATGTATCGCAAATGGCGAATTTCTTACCAAACGGCTCTCGGCCGCAGCTACTTCTTGCGATCAAACAGGCGATGAGAGCGACAAATGACAATATGAATATCAAGGAAAGTTTCCTGGTTGATGAAGATGTGATAAGCAGGCACCAGGACTGGCAACAAAGACTCCTTGGCAAGACCCGCATGAATGACGAGAAGACCGAGTATTTCCTCACGGAATTTTTACAATATGACGATTCTTGGATCGGTCATTCGAAGGAGCTCATCAACCGCATCAACGCCTTAGTTTGTCTCCTGAGCAAACTGCAGATCGGGAACAGCCTCCCCTTGCTCCAATGCAGAAGCTTTTGCCACTGCCCGAAACGCCAGGCCTACGGTATAATGTACGAGATGCCCAAACAGCTAATCGTTGACGACCGCATGCCTCAGCCCCTCAATCTGGCAGAGATGATCTTGAAGACAACTTCCCGACCTAAGCGTCCTGCACTAGGCGAAGTCTTCAACTTAGCATATACCTTGGCTGCATCCATGCTATCTTTTCACAAAGCTGGTTGGCTTCACAAAGGCATTTGCGCATACAACTTAATATTCTTTCCTCGTAATGCAGATTCTCCAGGAGACTCACTATCGACTTTTCGATTGATCGGATTCAACTACAGTCGCGAGAGCGATATAGGGATCACCACAAAGGGTCCTCCTGAGGACAGGCATGTTCGGAATTACCAACATCCAGAATACCGCAAAAACATTGGAAAGATTCGCTTCAGGGAGAGTTTCGACTACTACAGTCTTGGTCTCGTGCTCCTAGAGTTGGGAAGGTGGAAGTCCCTTCGCAGTATGACCAAAGTCAAAGAAATACAGCTGCTCGCTCCACAAGACCTCAAGACTCATCTACTAGAGGAGGAAGTGACCCAGCTGAAGTCATTTATGGGAGTCTATTATCACGATGCCGTTGCAGCATGTTTTGGTGAATTTCACGCAAAGGAAGTCGGCTCATCCAATAAGCAGGTGTGGTATGATTTTGACCAAAAGGTGGTGCAACGGTTAGTGAATTGTCTGGCAATACATGTGGGCAATGGATAGCTAGGCCCAGCGGTCTCCTAGTGTACCGATGATGTGTTCCTGCAAGATATGCGACTAGCCGCACCCGATCACTGTTGGTGGACACAGCAAAAGAAAGTACAATGCGCCAGGCAGATGGCCAGCGTCTTTTCAGATGGTCACGACACTATTTAGAAGCTCATTATATGGATTCGTCGCCCACATCATCTGATCGAAAACCGAAAGCGAGGATGAGATCTAGGAAAGGAGGGAAAACATCTAGCTGCGATAGAAGTCTCGTCGTAAGCTCGAGGGTCGATCGTAATGGGCTCCAGGTATGATTTTGTCGCAGTATCCTGTCGTGGTCAGCACTTAGCCGGATAGCTAGGAGAGGCGCAAATACAGGACAGTGTACTGATTCTGATGTGCAAGCTTCGCACCTTCTTTAGCATGTCCAAGGAGAGGCTTTACATGAGACGCAAACGTACCACGCGCTGTAAAGCTGGAACATTGGTAATCTTCGTGATGTAGATGCTGGATTGTTCCCTTGTCAATTCAACCCAAGCGAGGGTGCGGAAGTGAGATGGCAAACATACTCTTTGGCATCGCTCCTTGCAATGACTTTTATGTATGGTTCCTCCAGCGTAAAAACCCGCTTAGAAGCCTGTACCAGTCTTTGCTGGTAGAACGATCGATCATAGAGATTGCAGCCGGAATTGTCAGGATACTGTACCCAATGCTCCAAAGTCATAGACACCTTTCCAAAGGTCAAGCAGCGTACATGAATAACGCTTCCAGACATAGAATTGAACTATGAGTTACAGAGCCGAGTCATCATCCTTCCCTTCAGGAGTCATCATCCTTCCCTTCAGGAAGTGTCTTCCCACCAGCTTCATCGTTGAGTCTGCTTCTACTTCATCATCTGCACAGCCTGCTAGCAGCTCGCAAACACAGCAAGGCGAAAACGTCCTCATCTTACTTCTAGCTTTTAGTCTCGATGGATGAGAGGCAGTGCAATGGAGGCCTCTGTTAGAACGCAATCACCGCCCTGGCAACAGCGTCTTCCCATGATTTGCCAGCGCACGGAGTCACGTGTCAATACAAAAAAGAGTTGGGTTGGGCGCTAATGTAGGTAAGGCAGCGTATGATTGGGATGTCCTCCAGGGATCCCCAGGTAGATGATCAGTGACTGCAGGCTTGACCCCACTCCACATCTCTTCCAGATTACAACCACCATCGACCCTCAAAGCATTCATAGATCATTCGAACTGAAAAAAGATTAGATTGAGTCTGGCCGTTGGGTGTAACCAAAGGCACGTGAATCTATTTGCTTGATGTCGCACATAGCTGTCTGCTGTGCTGACAACTTTCATTGATCCGATTTGGTTGATTGGTTCGGTAGTATACATGCCGTAACAATTGCCCACAATACCTACAGCATGTCGACATTATCGACAGTAACCCGATCATCGCAGGCAGAGTCCGAAGCCACTGAATTCCGCCAGAGCGCGTCATCAGCCTCTCAATCAGCCGAGAACGCCGATTACGGTTTTATTGCCCTAATTGGTCTTGCTCAACGTCTCAGGGTGGACATCCTCCCACTCACATGGCAAGCCGCCCGCGGTTCTCTGGAGGAGGATGGGAAAGGTGGCAGAGGCGGGCAGGCCAAAATACAACAATCTTACATGAATCCCGGGGCGAGTTTCGTTTTTAAACGGTTTTCCCGCATTTCGTACTATGAAATAGTGAGCGAGCTGTTAGTACTGACACACGAGGTGGTTCGAAGTCATCGCTACATCGTACGTCTCGAGGGACTTTGTTGGGATGTTCGAGATGATGATGATGTACGACCCGTCCTAGTCTTTGAGAAAAGTCATTTGGGAGACCTATGGTATTTTATGAAGGCGGGTGTCGGTAAGGACATGTCGGTGAACGACCGCCTACGGCTTTGTGTTGAAATCGGAGTTGCAATTCGGGACATGCATGCAAATAGTGAGTAGATAGATCAGCGGTCTGGGTAAATTGAACTCAATACTTTGAAGATATCATTCACGGGGACATCAAACCTCGGAACATCATCATCTTCGAAACAAGGCCGTCAAGATACACCGCCAAAGTCGGAGATTTTGGATTTTCCACTCGCTTCACAGGCGAAGATGATCTGATATATATGCCTAGGTCGCGTATCTGGCATGCTCCAGAGTGGCACGATCGAGCATTCCGGCCCGAGGATTCGAAGAGAATGGATATTTTCTCGTTTGGGATGGTTTGCTTCTGGATGCTATTCGGCGTCGATTTACCGCTCGACTCGGCCGGAGAAGATAGACAATTGATCAGCTTTGAAGAGGATTGTGATCCAATGACGAATTTTTTGGAGAGATGTAAGAATGACAATGAGAAGGATGAGCTGACGTTGTGGGCGGTTTCTGTAATACCAGAACGTGTAGGAGCAAAACGTAACGATATCACTTCTTTCCTGAAATTAGTCCTAGCAAAAACTCCACGAGAACGGGAGCTGCGTATGGATGGGTTACTACAGCTTTTGGATCCAGCCCGATATGTACGGGGACGAAGGATAGACTTGATTGGACTGTTGAGCCCCTTGGTTCCAGCTCGGTACGCATGGAGGTGGGGGATGGGGGATAATGCAGAATTGACGTGTGTGATAGGAATCTGCCGAAAGTGAAGACTTTTATCATTGAAACACCTCCAACGGAAGAGATTTTCAAGGTCAAAGCCTCTTATGCAAGTGCACCCCTGGTACTCACAAAATAGCAGATTCCCACTTCGTTTTCCCAATTATTTCTAACGGATTTTCGAGTACCACCCTACATCGTCGCAGAACTCAAATTGGCGACTGCACAACCGCGAACTCTCAATCGGATCTCACCCCAGAAAGCGAGCTTGCAGTTGGCACTCTGTCACGCTACTGGATTCGGAGTTCCTCGAGATGAAGAGGCAGCGTTTCAAGTCATTCTCCAGCACGGGCTTGAATGGACGGATCTTGAAAGCCAGGTTCTGGCAGTCCGGGGACATAAAGATGACGGATTCGAAGGCAGCCTCTTTTCCAGACTCGGTGTAGGTGGATTTACACCGGACATCAACTTCGCCGAATTGTACAAAGAAAGAAAACTCCTAGAAGAAGCGAGAATCGCCTGCGAGAGGGATGTCTCGGCGGTGGAAAAATTGTTCGACTGCCGGCATTACATCTATCTTCGCAAGAAAACCGATCTATCGCGTATTCTTATGAGCCAGGCTCGGTGGAAAGAAGCGGAACAATTCTTGACACAGCTAGTGGAGCTGACAACGAAAGCAATGGGTCCGGAGAATCTCAACACTCTAATGATGAAGGGCAGCCTAGCGCGGGCGTACCGCGAACAGGGCAACTTAATGCTGGCCAAACAATTAGACGTGGAGGTGTACGAGAAGATGATAAGGTTACTGGGTCCAGAAGATCCTCGAACGATGGCAAGCATGGCTAGCTTGATGTCGACGAACTGGAAGAGCCGCAGGATCCCACAAACGATAGAAGCCATGATTCAGATAATGGAAACACGCAAGAGAGTACTAGGCCCGGAGCACCAGAGCACGCTCAGCAGCATGGTTGATCTCGGATCTGCTTACCGGGACCAGGGACAGCTACTAAAGGCGGAGGAGGTGCTTGCGCATGTTGTGCAGACAACGAAAAATGTATTAGGTCAAGATCACCCTGATACGTTGACCAGTATGGACCACCTCGCTTCTACATACCGTAAGCAGGGGAGGCCGAATGAGGCCAGACAGTTAGAAATGCAAGTATTAGAAAAGAAGAAGAAAGTATTAGGGGAAGAAGACAATGCTACGTTAGAAAGCATGACCGGCCTGGCGGTGACTTGTAGAGGTCAGGGTCGATTGAGAGAGGCGGCGAAGCTGTTTGAGCAAGTACTGGAAATCCGTAAGAGATTACTAGGTTTAGAGCGTGAGGATTCGTTGGCCGTTATGGTCCATCTTGCATTGACTTATCGAGATCAGGGCCAAGAGCGATGGACACAAGCGGAAGATTTGCTGGTGCAGGCGATCACAATAAGTAAGCGGATGCTCGGTGAGGAGCATCTCTCCACGCTTGCTATGATGAACAACCTGGCAGGGATATATTGGGAGCAGAAGCGATATGTTGAGGCAGAGAAGCTATACTTGCAAGAGTTGAAGGCTCGCAAGAGCGTTCTGGGTGGAGAGCATGGTGATACTCTGACTTGCATAGAGAACTTGGCGTGGACATACCGAAGACAGGGCCAGCAAGAACAGGCAAAGACATTATTCTTGCAGGTCTTTGAGACGAGATTTAGATTGCTGGGTCCAGAGGATCCCGCTACTCTAAGTAGCAAGAAAGACGTGGAGTCGACATGACGGCGTAGACATGACGGCGTACTCGAGCAAAGGGCGAGATGTTGACTATCCTGAGCCGAAAGGATCGTAGGCATTGGAAGTGAACGGACCGAATCGGTACGCTACTTGTTTGGCATTCATCGCATGAGTGAGTACTTGTCAAGTCTTGCATACATCCACGGCATGCTTTCTCCTCAGAAAGGCGCTTGGAGATCGGTCTTGCAGAATCAAAACCCCCCAACTTCAGGATGTTGAGTCTTTTACTTATACAAAACTAAGTCAGAAGACATATTTAGCATTATAAACCTCAGGACCGAGTGAGTGGAGCGATTGCGCAAGCCAGTGTCTCAAAGCAATGACCTCCGGAATCCTGCAGGTTTGAGCCCAATAGCTGTTTCTTATATGAACAGAGAAGCAAAACCCATCGCTTGACTGTCAAGTAGCGGTGGCTGACGATGCGGAGGGGAAGGATGGACTCACAACGTTGTAACCAGTAAGACATCAAGAACAATGAGGTCTAATGCAAGCTTACCACACACAGTCGCATGTACCGTTATGAGGATGCCATGCGACTGCCATGCGAAGTTACGAAAAACCCTACCTCCCGAACTCTCAAGTCTCACCTAATCATTCCAGATATCATTGTCGGGCCTGCATGATGAGGCTTCCTCCACTTTTCACGTTGCTAGTCAGCCCTTGGCTACTCGTCACCCCAATTCTGATGTTCTTGCCTTCTACATCAAGTTCCGCAACCAGCAACCTCAGAGAACCACCAGCGAGTTACCCCCAATTCTCTTACGATGCGATTTCCGGAACTGCAAGCATCAACAGCCTTGACGCGTACTCAAACGTCGTTAGAAACCTTGCATACCTTTCACGACTTAAGTCTCGTGGCAATGAGCCGGAAAGCAGGTTCAATTTCGCATCCGTGGCGATTCAAATTACTTCTGTAGATCTAGGCGTACAAACTCCAATCGTGCGATATTCTTTGGTGTGGACATTGGTCCGAGGTGTAGATTATTTCCTTCAACATCCGGACTTTCGGGAAATCGAGTTTGTGCTAAAGTCTTACGGAGCGCGGAAGTATACGCTGCAGTTCCTCAATTCTCAGCCTAGGAACATAGGAACGGATAGTGAGGGTGAGAGTGTTCGTCTATTTACAAATGTCACGGCCGATGGCAATGATAATTTGGTAAGTGCAGCCCCCGAGTAAAGATGAGACGATGGACATTTTATCGTTACCTAGTGGGAGAGTGGATGACCCATCCAAAGTAAACAAAAACCTGCTGACAAACGTAGATATGGTCAGAATCGAGACCCGCCTCGTCTACACCGACGCCTTCTCCGTGACTTCTTACCAAAATCTCTTTGCGCTCCTCGCCAATGCCTATAGCATCTATGATACCATTCCGAATGAGAACAGTGCAGCGCAGCGGTGGATTGGCCGACCACGACTGCCTCTTTCAATGAGCATTATTCCCCAGCAGACCATGGGGTCAACGTTCAAGATCATTCATGTAATTGACGGACTAGATCGGATACTAGATCAGACAGTGGCCCTGCAACGGTATGGCTTGTTGGTTTGTAGAGTGATTACGGTGTTGGACTCTGTGAAAACTGTTGATTTAGGCAGGCTGGTCATTAGCGGACGCGGAGACGCCTCGGATCAAACAATTGCCATGGAGTGACGAAGCGATAGAGGTGGGAAGAGAGCGATATGAGCCTGCTGTTTCGTCCGAGGAGTGAGAGAAGGCAGAGGCATCGCGGGTATTGCCAACTTACGGACAAAATTTAGTAGAGGATGCCGGACATGCGTTGTCAAAGAGAAATTTCCAATGCTTGAGAATGAAATTTGCAGGTGCGAAGCCATTTGTTACAGTGCCTGTGGCAATCCGTAAATCCGTGAGTAAATCCTAACGCCCGAAGATGACAAACGGACATAGCTGTGCACAGATTTGTCACGACAACTTATAAAAGATCCCTATTGCCAAAAATCCGTAAACAGCTGATCAGACGTTTCCTGTTCACTCGTCAATAGTCAAGGCTGAGATCAATCTTCCTCGCTAATAACGATCTGTTACTTTCCCATTTGAACAATCCCAACATGGCAGTACACCAAGAATTTGGCGCACAGACGGATGCCTCCACTGTCGCAGAGACCTTCCAATCATCTATCAAAGACAAAGTCTTTCTCATCACCGGAGTCGGTCGCGGAGGCATCGGTGGTACCACTGCCAAATCGCTCGCCGCATTCGAGCCGCGACTCCTCATCCTCGCAGGTCGTTCAGCAGATAAGGTCAAGGCCGTAATCAGCGACATCGCCTCTAGCTATCCCAAAGTACTCTGCCGATTCGTTCAGATCGATCTGTCTTCTCCTACTTCTATCCGTGAAGCAGCCACAACGGTTCTTGCTTATGAGGAACCTCTTCATGTCTTGATCAATAATGCAGGCCTGATGGCTCTATCCTCTCGCACACTTACCCCGCAAGGTATCGAAATGCAATTCCAGACCAACCACCTCGGACCGTTCTTGTTTACGAACCTGCTCCTTCCCAAGCTCCTTTCCGCTGGCCATACATTACCCGCCAACACCGCCCGAGTGGTCAACCTATCCTCCTCAGGGCATGCTCTCTCACCTGTCCGTTTCTCTGACTTGACGTTTGCCAAACCGAATGAGTCTGTTCCACCGGAGGAGCAGTTTCAGGCGAGTACGCTATCGCACCTCGGTCTTTTGACATACGATGAACACTACGTTCCCATGGCCGCTTACGGACAGGCAAAAACAGCTAGCATCCTATTTTCTATCGCTCTCAATACTCGTCTTGCCGCGAAAGGCCATAGTGTTAGCAGCTTCTCACTCCACCCTGGCAGTATAGATACAGAACTGCAACGACATTGGGATCCGAAAGCATTAGAACACGCGAGACAGCAGTCTAGTAGCAATTTTGTGAGAAAAACGTTAGAGCAAGGGGCTAGCACGACTCTAGTCGCAGCGCTGGACCCGGGACTGGAGCTGATGGAGGGCGAGGTGGGATACTTGTCCGATTGCAGATTTGCGGAGCCAGCGGAATGGTGTAGAGGTGAAAAGGGAATAGAGAATGCGGAGAGGTTGTGGAAGATTAGCGAGGAGCTGGTGGGTGAGAAGTTTGATTGGTGAGAACCAGGTCTCTACCTCCAAGCTTATACATGATCTGATAGCGGCGGCTGCACCAGGATATTGGGAGTATCTTGTCGAGACTGCTGTAAATTGACTGAAAATAAAACACAGGAAATTCATAAATCTTAGAACAGACCGTTGGGAGCAGTCTTAAGAAGCTAGGGGGAGAGACCGCATGAATGTTTGATCACGTCTGCGTAAGTTGGGGGCCGATTTTGCAATATGGACCTTCGTGACGCGACGCGTTTGATTTTACTCAGAGAAAGATCCACTCTCCGCAGAGCGATGCCAGCTTGAGACCTGATCTATGGTTGGGCTGAACCCTGGTTGAGCAGCTTCAAGATGGCACCCATGGTACCACAAAAGCGAAAGGCTCCCTCTCGAACAAGAATGCAGCCCACCCAAATAAGAAGAAGCCGATCAAATTATGGAACGCCCGAAAAATATTAGCTGAACCACCAGACAAGGCACTCAATAAAAATGGGGATCTCGATGTTGGCGCGTTCGTCAAAGCCCGAGAGTTCGAGATACAAGCAATTGACAAAAGCATGACGAAAGCCCCTGCTGCACTGAATTCGCGGGCTTTTCAATCGGTACCAAGAGACATGAGGAGAAGGACGGCAAGTCACAATGTCAAGAAAATACCAAAACGGTTGAGATCCAGAGCAGTGAGAGAAGTAAGCTTGGGAATTCACAGGGAAACCTATCATGATAAGGGTGCTGACGAGCTAATATAAGGGTGAAGATGAAGGACGACAAAACAGTCACAGGGGCAGCCCGAGTCAAAAAGCTTACTTCTCATAAACGCTTAAGGTCAGAGAAGGCAAAGAGGCTGATGGCTAAAGGAAGATTAAAGAAGGCGCAACGAGCGGCTGCAAAGAAGACCAAGCCTGGAGAGACAGACCCCGAGAAATTGGTCCAAATCGTGCCTCGATTTCCAAATCCTAAGAAGAATAAGCTTGTAAAGCCTCCAAAACCGCCAGCTAAATTTCGTAGACGGCAGCGAGACAAGTCATGGCTGCCCACGCACATTTGGCATGCTAAAAGAGCCCATATGACAGCACCTAAATACCCCCTATGGCGATTCGCTTTACCGCTGTCTCCAACGAACAAGGTCTTCAGAACAAGTCATAGAGCTTCCGTCTTACGAGGTTGTATCGCTTGGGACATGAGTTACATGGGAACTATCGCAATCGAAGGAGTTGAACCAAGTGTATTGGGTCTTCTCCGAAGTGTCGGAGTCGAAGAACAAGTCTTGACAGGGAAATCCGGGGCCAAATGGCGTAAAGGCGTAAGGAGCTGGGAGGGCTGGATCAAGGAACGCGACAACGACAAAAGGCCGATTGCCCCTGTGCAGCTTGTATGGTGTGCACAAGACGAAACACTTTCGATCAGTGGAGAGAAAAGGAACAAATTTCGGAGACAATTGTTTTTAAGGGTACATCCATCCGCGTATTTGCAAGTCTGGAATGAGGTTTTGAAAATTTCCAAAATGCAACGCCCAATCGTCATGGTAGAAGATTTGCGATTTGAGATCGGCAGCATCGAAATCACCGGACCAGGGAGCACAGAAGCATTATTGGCAGCACTGCATCCAATATCCAATGAAGAAGTGTCGCCAGAATATTCTCCAGACGCAGAGAAAGCTCAAGGGGGAGCTGAGCAGACGCTAGAGAGTGACTGGGAAGACGTCGAAACTCCGCAAAGAATTTGGTCTAGGCTGGCTGGTCTCAGCAATCCTTCTGCACTTCCAGCTAGAGCTCTTTTAGCATTTAATGTGATGGATCCTCGACTACGATCTCCGCCTAGAACAGTCCCCAATCTACGCTTCAGTGAAACAGATCCCAGTTCCTTGAACATTCTTGCAGAATGGCCGCCCGATCAAACTCAGAGTGCAGCAGACATTTTCGATCACAAGAAGCGTTTGACTGCATCCCATCGCTTAGCAAGCCAGAAATCTATCAACAGAAGAAAAGGAGAGGCTTCGCCGGGTGACTACCCAAGCGCTTCACCTACAGATCCTCACATACCCATACTCCTTTTAGCCTCCCGCCCTGCCCCTCAGAACTCCAATCAGGGCTCTTGGATGCTTCTGCTCCCCTGGGATTGCGTTCTGCCCGTGTGGTATACTCTAGTCCATTACCCGCTTTCTACAGGAGGCAACCCTCGATTCGGCGGTCTGCTCGAAAAGGGACAAATCACGTTCGAACAGGGCAGGCTGTGGTTTCCCGGCGCTTTCCCGGGGACCAAAGCTGGATGGGAATGGGAAATTCTTGAGAGAGATAAGGTGGAGATAGAATGGCGACGCAAGCCCAAAGGCCGCCGCACAGAGTTCGACAGTACTGATCTCGGCGAAGGCAGGAGAGGAGAAATTGGAAAAGGTTGGGCTTGTGACTGGGAGCGATTGCTCCTTGGCAAGGACGGCGCTGAAGCGCTCGAGGTGGCGAAAGACGCAGCGCTTCAAGATGCAGCAAAGAAGGACGACGGTCTCGCGTCACAAGCCGGTGATGACCCCAAAGACCGGCGGCGAGCATCAGACCAATTGAAGCCTGAGAATACTCATTCTGAAGGGCCGCCGCACGCCATACACCACGTCTCTGCTCAGCTTATTAACAGACTCTTTCCATCCGTTCCCTTGACAGCCCTCTCGCCAATCCACATACAATTTCTCACAGGCCACGTATCCCGCAACGCTCGCATTTACCGACTTCCCACAGCTGATGATACTCTTTTTGCCCGTTGGCAGGCTCTTTCCACATCCAGTTCTACTAAGGAGTCTAAAACTCGCCACAACAACCAAACACGGACAGCATCGTCCAGACCTCAATCGGCACGCGATCGTGCCAGTCTCCCCCAACACGAGCGAGCAGCAGCTCTCGCTGTATCTCTCCTTCAGCCGCCTATTTCACGCCTCGATGGCGAGATGAAGCCAGGACATCCCAACTACCCGCCTGTCCCCGATGAGAACGACCTTATTGGTTTCGTCGTGTATGCGAATTATCATCTAGGTGAGGGCAAGGTACAGGCCGTGGGCAATGTGCTCGTACATCGGGCGCTAGGACTCGACCTTGAGAAAGCCTTGAGTGCGGAGGAAAGTGCGGGTAAAGGCAAGGGGAAAGACACAGAGGTATCAGGAACAGGGCAGGAGAAGGTGGTGAGGTTTGCAGGAAAGGACGGAGGTGGCAAGGGCAAAGGTAAAGGGAGGAAAGACGGCAACGCTGGGAATGAGGGGAAGAAGGGTGTCTCAAAGGTTCCAAAAGGCGGGATATGCATCGTTCGTGATGCCGGACAGGGCCTTGGACGGCTGGCGAAATGGGAGTGGGCTTCATAGATCTACTGCCAGGATAGCGGCGTAGTTCTCTCTAGTAAAGAAACAATGCCATAGACGTTTCTTAGGTTGGAAAATTGAATCCCATTTCCTCCATCAGCTTGGCTATTAGGCTTTGAGTACACCCACAGTGCACAAGACGGTTTTACTCGCTCAGTAATTGTGCAGGTGGCATTTGTCAACAACGCGTATTCCAAAAAGATTCCCTTTTAAGAGCCTTATGCATTGCAACTGCCTATTATAATCGTATACGAATAGTTCGGACAAACGAATAATAACCTGATTTCACTCCGCCAGACACCTACCGCACGCTTTATAGACAGCATTGTCCATGTACAGTGCTACCTAAAGCTCAACCTTTTCATCGACACTACGATCATCCTGCTCTTCCTGCCTCCTTTCCAGCACCTCGTCTCTCGTTGTCGCCACAGCCAGAAACTCCCCCCAATGCCGCACAGGTGCCCCTCTATGGCGAGTCAGCTCCCCAATCCCCTGCTTTATCATCACCTCCCCATATGCAAGGATCAATTCTTCCGTCATATATCCTAGTATGACAAACGCGAGCAGATTCTTCATATCACGGTCCTCCAACGCCTCATGGACAGTCAAAAGCGTGGCGAAATCTGTCACAATGATCTTTCTGTCGAGCGGAAAAAGCGCATGGTATCTGAGCATGTATCCTTCAATGAGTATGATAGTGTACAAATGTTTGTTGTCAATGCGACTAAACTCGGAGAAGACGGGATCCAAGCGGCTCGTAAAGGTTTGGTTTGGGTCAGTCATGTGCCACTGATGCCACCAATCGCACGTTATTCACGCCTTCTCACGGTCGTTTGATGAAGCAGAACTTACTACATTGGGACTCAAAAGCCCTGTTCGCGTCACGTACCTGTCTAACTTATGGATGTTGCTTGTAGAAGAGACGAAGATCGCGCCTCGCGGAACCGAGTCTGAAGGGAGGCACCACGTCGTGAGACCGGTTTCTAGCTCGGGCGTGATTCGCCCGCCCGGGCGCCCTAAGCTGTAGGGCCGAGAGAAGACGTTGATTGCAATGGTGGCATTGGAAAGCTGACGGGAGGCGTTGTAGTTTGTAGGCGGTATCGCCAGTAATGGGGTGTGAAGGGAGATGTAGCTAGGCGGAGTAGGAGAGTCAGCTAGTGATGAGATGGCGGGTGTAGATACACGGAGCTTCTTCTCCAGGCAGGCTGTAAGGCGCCACCGGGGTTTTGAGGCATCTCTTCCGTGGCGATACATCAAATGTGCTTGAAAATGATAACCCGTCTTGCAGTCGTGTTTCGCTTGTCGTTCAGGGCTTCAGGGGGAGGATGGCTACGTACGAAAATTCGACGCCGCTGGGGAAGCGATCTCCAGGCACTAGTAACTTTGACGAGGAATCAAGATAAGTAAGTATGACAGGGATGAGGCAGAGAAGACAGCCAATGGTGCAGGCAGCCCATCGTCTCGGATCGCGGCGTATGATAGCCCACATAACATCGAAGAATATGATGAGCCCTCTTGGCATGTTGAAGCCCAAGATTGCAGGCATGGTAGATTTGATGCTGATGTTGTTGATGGGAAATGAAATGCTCTTGAGATATAGATGAAACGACAGAGATGCAAGAGAAAAAAATAGAGATGGTGAAATCGTGTTGTAAGTCAGGTGCAGCTACCCATGCGGACCGCTCTTTCCTCTCTTGCGAATGGAGTCTGCTCTACGCTGTTGCTGGGATCCGTTGCTCTAGATACTTCTCTAGATCATCGATTTCTTGAGGATCCGCCGAGTGTTGTAGACCCTTGTAACTCTTGAAATCGACTTTCCAGCCCAGTTGCTTCAATACCTCTGCTGTATCAGCACCCCACTTGTACTGAACCAATGGATCAGCCTCTCCATGGCCCATGAAGATTGGCGTCTCCAGATTCGACGACTCTGAAGTGACATAATCTTTGATTTTATCATGAAGGAGCAAATATGACGAAAGTCCAAAGATCCCGCCCAATTTTGTCGCCGATGTAATTCCTGTGAATAGAGAGATGGCACCACCTTGTGAGAAACCGCCTGTTCTGGATAAGCCCCGTCGGAAAGTCGCCATGTACGATACGCACCGATCACTATTCTTGACGCTGAGATGCCTGCATCGACCTCTGCTTTAATCAAAGAGTTGAAATAATCCCTCGACTTCAATATGCCGGGCTGATCGTGGGCTTGAGCGAGTGAGTCGAAGGTTTTCTTGTTCGAGAGGAGTCAGTCAGAAGCCAAGAAGACTGCAATACACTCTCTCTCAAGGAGATGAGGGTATGAGAGGGACGTCGCAGCATACAATATCGTACCAGCCAGGCCTGTTGGGAATCGAAGTCAGCTTTCATTGTTTCGTGCAGTATAAGGGCTTCAAGGTCGAGCTTTGGAACGTTCGCGCTCGAAGCACATCGGGAGTGGTCGCCCCGCCTCATATCATGTTCCAGGACGTGTGGAAGTTTCGGCAATTTGGCTTACATCCGCATTCCAAAGTTCTGCAATCGTCAGTCAGTCATACTCTATCCACGTTGAAAGGAGGACAACTTTTGACTTCCCAAGAGGAAGAAAATAACAGCAAGCAGGACAAAACGCTGTAATAGGAAGAAGGCGGGTTTTGGATGCTATTCGCACATTTACGCTAAGAAACAGTATGGTACCAGAAGGGTCCCACAAAGAATAACATGAGGGCAAAGGAACATACCACGGTTATCGGTATGTCAGGGGCATTTGGAAAGACGAATTTGCATTCAGGGAAGCGTCTCCGAAGTCGCCAATTCTCCACAACCGGCATCCTGTCTGATGTCAGCAGTGACGCTATCTCACAAGACCGGAGCGTTCACCATCCTGAGCCACTATCACCCAGCCCCTAGGTGAGATCAGAATGGACCGGGAGGTGTGGGACAGTCGATTCGTTACCCAGATATGTACTTACATGAGCCCAAATGACCGTCGAGGTATGTCTCGTCAAAGCAGGCACTACCAATGGCTTTGCCATGACTAGCTTGGGGTAGACTTTGAACGCTCAGTTGGGTATTATTGAATCCCTACGTTAATGTTTACAACACTTCGTAGTCCCGCACGGAGCGGGGTTCACCCGAGTCCCGCGCTAGGCTTCCATCAGAAACGACATGCATACGTCATGCAAGCGCTTCAATGCCTCAATTGCTGACGGCCTCCCATCTTTTGCCTCCCGGCATTCTTTCTGCTCTGCTTTTCTTTGACTTGCATCAATCATGAAGTACTCAACATTGCTGCCGTTCGCGGCTCTTGCCACGGCGTTTGTCATCCCTGATGATGAGGTGATGAGCCAGGTTGCTATTGAATCTGATCGATCTGCAAAGCCGGTACAGGACAGGCTTCCTTCTTCAAGCGATGTTCACAACGTCATCAGCGAAGTCGGAAACACATTCAATGACCTTCTAGACTCATCCAAGAATGCGTTCGATGATGTGCTCGACAATGTCGAAGCTGCCGCTCAGAAGACGCGAAAGTCATGTCATGGTGCCGCTTTCAATGCCAAATCTTGGCTCGATTCGAAGTCCGCCGACGTCGAGCAAAAATTGAAAGATGTGGAAAGCATGAAGCATGGCCATCATCACAAGCCGAATAAGACTGTATATGAGTTGATCTCCGGGAGCAAGTATACAACCAAGTTGGCTGCTTTGATCAATGAATACGAAGATCTCGTCAAGCTTCTAAACGGAACAGCGGCCAATTATACCGTCTTCGCCCCAATCGATAAGGCGTTTGAGAAGATACCAGATGATGCGCCCAAGCCGTCAAAGGAGCAACTCAAGAATGTTCTTCTCTACCACACCAGTGCTGATTTCTACCCAGCTGGTAGAGTACTCGTCACGCACACAATTCCCACTCTTCTGGATGGAGAACATATTGGCGGCAAGCCCCAGAGGCTGAGCACAAACATTGGGATCAAGGGTTTGACTGTGAACTTCTACAGCCGCATTATTGCGATTGACATTGTGAGTCATGTTCAACTGTCGCAGGCTATTTACTAATGGTTAAAAGTTCGGCACGAACGGTGTGATCCATGGAGTGGATTCTCTCCTCATACCACCTCCTAAAGCCGCTGAGGTGATTCAACTTCTGCCTGGAGAGTTCAGCACTCTCGAGCTAGGTCTTGAAAAGACCGGTCTCTTCAAAGCCATCAATGATACTTCGACTCATAATGGTGGTACAATTTTCGCCCCCAGCAATTTTGCATTCCAAAAGCTTGGACCTAAGATCAATGCGTTTCTCTTCAGCAAGTACGGCTTAAAGTACCTAAAGGCCCTGCTAGAGTATCATGTTGTGCAAGATCAAACGCTATATTCAGATGCCTTCTACAAGGCCGAAAGTAAGGGCGTCAAGGATGCTAGCATTCCAAAAGGCTTCTTTCACGTACGTATCGTTCCTTCTTCAATTCATGTCATGTGAATTGTGACTGACGGCTTTGCAGGTCGATCTTCAAACTTTGCTTGAGGACAAGTCGTTGAGTATTGATGTTGCACGGTACGGTCGACTGATCAGTATCAAAATCAACGCATTCTCAACTGTCACCATTGAAGATGGTATCGTCGCCGACGGTGTCATTCAAGTCGTCAGTAATGTGCTCATCCCACCTAAGAAGGTGGAAGGCGTCGAGAAGAAGTGGGAAGGTGAGGATCTTGAAGTAGAGGACCTGATTGAGAGACTTGGGCCTTTTACTGAAACAGAATCGGATACCTACGAGCTCTAAGGTATCGAACCCGTTGACCTCTCCGCCTTCATTTTAAGTGGGTCGAATCATGGCTGGATGTTGAATTGGAATGACCAAATCAATACAATCACAAACCCAAATTGAAATGTACATATGTTATGTATTCATGAATCTAACGTTGCGCAATGCTCTTGAAGCTGTCTGAACACTAACGTAGAAGAGATCACCCCCAGATCCGATTTTTCTAGGCCATCTCAGAGCAGTTTATGCATATTTTGCATCTTGACTGCGCATCTATGAGAAGATCCGATCTGGGAGTTGATCCGATATGGGGTGATGTCTTCTGAGAATATCCTCCCATTTCGGGTGCCTCTCTGCAGAGATCAAATACCATGAGGGCAGTTCGCTGGATGTCTTGGCGTTATCGACGTGTCTCTTTCCTCAGCATACTCCTAATTGCGACACTCCATGAGGAGCCCAAGTACTCTGTCGTCACGATATTTGCGTGGAAGGCTTCCGGGAAGAGCTGAGGTTTGCCACTCCAATTTTGAGTCCATACTACATGACCTCCGTATACCTCCGTAGCTCATATTTGTGCGACATGCTGCACCAATCACTCCCAACTCACGATCGAGATCTTGCTCGAAGTACAGAGCTTAATACGTCTTCAGAGCACGAGGCATTTCTTACGCGTTTATGTAACGCAACGAAGCACATAAAAGCCCGAGCTTGACCGTGGACGCAAGATCAAGCGCACGCTGGAAGACTGGCGGCGTGAAGCATGGCCAATCGATCACGGTATGCAAGCCCGTCGACTAGATCTATCGGCCCGTTGTTCCCTTTCATCCCTTCCGCTCTACATTTTCATTTGCTTTCTTACAGCTCACAAACTTTCAGACGGACCCTACATTAGACCCGCATAATCAACAAGTCATGTGATCAAGCACGGTAACAAAACAAAGCAAACGGCGAACTAATACAAGTCTACGGCTGAGCCCGTTGTACAAGGTACCTGACAATCGAACGTAAAGCAGCAAGGACTTGGGGAGGTGTGGCATCCTGTCACTCTGGACACCCACATGAAAAGACAACGACTGTGTGTCTCAGGCCAGATGTCACACGGTTGAGTGCAGCAACAATGACTCGCATAACAGCTGCAAGTGTCAGGACAGTCATCTGCTCCGGGCGGGCCATGTTCTTGGGACCAGGAGTTATGCGATCCGGGTACGGTTTGTACGGCTCGCTCTCTGTCGTGTTTGACAGGAGGAGTTTCAGAGGATATCGGGGGTCTGCGACCCTGGTGGAGTTACACGAAGGCCTCTTCTTCGGCGCAGATGGTCGATCAAGCTGAAACTTGGCTCGTTGACTTGACGTATTCAGACAGCCCAAAAAGTCACAGGTACCGAGGCAAGTATCTTGCGAGAGTTCTTGCTCATGACAGATCCTTACTTTGCGGCAGTCCCTTGCTCTCCGCTCATGCTATTCTCAATACTAATCTTTCGTTTACGAGTCCCCCACTCCAAAAGTCCATCCTCATAAGCAAGACGTGCCGTCTGCTGCTTACAGACACGGGACGCCTCACGACGGCCACATGGCACAGATAGCTTCTCCCGTGTCGAGCCGTCTTTCTGAAAGTGGGTATCCAACCAGATCACAGACCGACCGCCGTTATTGCCCTACGACGGGACGCCAGAAATTCTTTGCATGATCGAGCGCGATAAGCGACCATAGCAACAATGTGACGACGGCCAAATCTTGTGAACGTACCGTGCTTCCATCGTCCATTGATGTGGGGTCGCACACGGGCACCGATGTTGGACTCACGGACCTTTGTTCGCAATGCAAGGATTTGTCTCAAAGCCGCTTAGAATAGTAGTCCGAGACTAACATACAGTCGCTTGTCCCCATATTGAGGAGCGGTGTGACATAGGTACTTCTGGCCAATTATCACGGGAAGCGCCAGCAACGGTCCATAGTCTTACGGCGGAAATCCACGGCTGCTCAACCCTGAAGTCTGTCAGATGGTCTTCTTCTCAACGCTCAATTATTGTATAGGGATGATTTCACTAAATCAACAGCATTGTTTGACTTTAGTGAGATCGTCGCTCGAAACAATCAGCTTCAGTTTCGGTCTTCGAGGCAAGTCCGTTCGAGCGGGTTGTCCTCAAGGGGACTACATTTACGATTCTACAAGTCAGAACGCTGCGATCACCAGCTGCTTCCCCAGGCAAGTTGCGACAACCGTATGATGGGCTTGCCAACAAAGTTGGGCTTACGCTAAACAAGGCATGTCATGCAGCTGCTTGACAGATCCTCATCCTTGTTACGCTCCGGACGGGTCTTCTTCGGTGCCCAAAGCACCTCAATGATAATGTGCGCCAATGAGTGGCTCCTAATGCTGTGCCCAAGTAACGAAATCTGTACAACCTTTTACAGCTCCAATCGCTGACCAGGACCACACCGAATGACGATTTCCTGGGGCAGTCTGGGACGGATCACCAGGCGCACCTGACCTCCTCCACGAAATGAACCTGCATGAATGGACAAGCTGAGGCTCTGGACTCCCTCAGGCTCTCGTAAGATGTCTTAGATGCTGCCTGCGTCACAGAACCGACCATTTCATTCAATCTAGAATACGCGAGCAGTCAGCCGGGAAATGCCCTTTCCCTAGGGTGGCACCAGTGGTATCTCGCTACCCCGCCCAGAAGCAGCACGATCCTCGGGCGCTGTAAGCCTCCCAACCCTCCTTAACGGCCGAACGTTGACCGGTCGCCTTCGTGCCGAACCGTTCGCTTTTGAATGGAACGTGTCCACTGTCCACTCCCTTGGTGCTGCAATAATAACAAATGCAAGGGTTTGGCCTTGCGCCGCCGCGTCAGCTTGCTCACCCTTGCCCCCTGTCCCGCAAACGCCGTTGGGTTGTTCGTCGCACGGCCCCCATTATTATTATTGCAGTCACATGGCGATTATGGGAGATTGTACGGGGTAGAGATGAATCTGACGGAGAACCCGAATCTGGTCAGAAGTCACCCACGAGCCAGATTGTATTGTGCTCAATTGGGACCAAAGTTGAGACTAAGAGTCGAGGCGCTCAGCCTCTCGACCGCAAATGCGTCTGTGGAGGGTACATTGCAGCAAGTCAAAATGGCCCTTCACCTGAATCTGGGAGCAGCGGCGCGATGATCCTCGCGTGGCAGCGCAGGGTTTACGCATAGGCTAAGTCGTTCTCAGCCATAGATCGTCATACTTTTCGTCATCTAATACGCCTAAGCTCCTCACACCGAAATAAAGTGTGGGCCCCGACATGCACCAGATGAGTTGGGCTCCTTTCTAGCGCCGCCCTTCATCCTTTCTGGATTGCGATCACGATGCGGTGCTCCGCTGGGGCGGCCTGGCTTGGACTAGATATGTGCGTAGACGAGAAGAGGGAAGTCATAATGTTATTCGATGTGATCAGATGAGCAAGTGTAGTACACGGCGTTTGTTCTAGAAGGACCGACCCCAAGGAATCCGAATAGGTAGCTCCACGCCTTGAGTATCCCAAAGAAGCCAGCATCTCAACAACACACACCAGCCAATGACAGCCTTCCCAGTGCGGATATTGCCTTTCTGCATTAGCCAGAGGCTTTAGCGCTGCGCCGAGAACTCACCACCTTGCAGACTTGCTTGCCACACAAGCTGCCACTTTAAGCTTGCATTATGATACGCAAAGATTGCTCTAGGGCGTTAAGCCTAGTGGATTCAGATATGATCTCAAGAAACGATTCCGTCTCAAGCCTGCCTGAGAACGTTCTCGTGATTTCGAGCTTCGAGGAAGTTGGAAAACCCACACAAGGAATGCCGGAGGTGATGACTCCACAAATGCTGACACCCAGCATGTACATGGAATGTGATCAATATATATTACACGCTTTGCACATTGTCCCCTTGGTCTCGAATGGCGTGAACGCAGGGGAAGTGAATGCCAAAATTGCGCCTGGAAAAGGTTCGCGGTAGCGGCGAGAGGCCTCACTGATCGGATGCTCGCATGTCACAGCACGGAAAGTCACAGCTTGTAGCCGCGAAATTGGGGGGGTGAAAGGGCAAAGTCTAAAGACGTTTAATTCGAGCTATGGAAACATAGTGTCCGCCTCGACCAGCCCATCAGCATCTCAGGCAAGCGTAGTCCGCTATCAGAAATAAACGATCTGTTGCGAAGGAAGCGATAGCGCTGGCCGATTTCGGGAGAATGGTCTAGTACGATGTTCCCACGAGGTTTCCCGTGATTGCGGCTTATCAAGCGGAGTTCATACTCAAGGAAATGGCAGGGGAAGGGGAGCAACCGGTTGGAAGAGCGCAAGAATCCTTGTTGAAAGGATGAACAAGAAATGATAGGATGGAGACAAGGAAGCAGGTAGCCAGTGAACGTACAAGGAAAGGGATGATCTGTTAGTGGACGTGCCACTCCCGTCAGGCCTTGGGAGGGAGTGTGCTTTTAGGTCCCAAGGACCGGCATTCCTTCTTTGTCAGAGCTAGCCATGCTTGAGCACAGGATGTCACTACTGGGGGGCTAGAATGTTGGGCTAGAGAGCTCTGCCAACGAAAGGGAGGAAGACAGGAGCTTGTACGGTAACATACCGCAGCTTAAATAGCGTAAATGGACCTTATAACACGGAGGGTGTGGGTAAGGATGGGAAGGGAAAAAAGGCAGCTAAATACCCGAACCCATTCAGCTGGGCCCCAATTCACCTGCTGCAGCACCTAGTACTAGTATCATTATTCTATCATTTTTTCTCTTCTCTTCCTCCCTCCAGCGTTCTTGGGGGTGAGAGGGTCAGGCCTGGCGGTCGCATTATTACAAGTACCATTGTCATCGTTCATCCCTAGCGTTTTCTCCAATTCTTAACTTTTCCTCTCCACAACACACAGTTTCGTTTTCCCACCACATCAGCCAACGCCCAATCGAAAATTTACTAGGCACACCACACAAAAAGCACAACGCATCCTCTGCTTCGCATTCATCTCGTCAACAGTCTCCAAATCACCGTGTTTCCAGCACGCCTGACTGGCTCGCGTCTCAACCGGCTGCTAAATCGATTGCCCTCCGTCTTCTCGCCGTCTGCCGGCTGACTACCTTGACTCATCGAAAAGACCACACAGCTGCAGCAGCTCTTCGCCGAGGCGGCCCTTCCTTCACCGCAACTTTATTTCTCAGCAGGAGCATCTACACCCATCGAGCCGACACAAGACCAATTCGTCATACCTCAGTGTGTATCACCGTGCGTCGCGTCACGAGAACATGAGAGCGGTTGTGATTCGAACATAATAGTAGTACCCCGTCTCACAACTTTGGCCTTGTCGCGCCAACAGCAGTCCTCTATTCCCAATGTCCAACGATCCAAACCGTCCCGGACAGTACCCACCCCCCAGTGGGACCAACCACGACAAGGCGCATATCCGGGTGTTCCTTCTCAGCCCCCTCAAAACTATAGGGTACGTCGCGCGCGGACATTGCCGTCCATCCTACCCGGGTTGCCTTCTGACCTTTAGTGCCTATAAATATCCGACACCGTTCTGGAGCTCTTCTCTTCTCCTTCCCTCTGACGCTTACTTTTAAACCGCAGGCTCCCCCGCCTCAAGGCTACCAAAGCAGTCCTTCCACCCCCGGCGAAATGGTCACCCTCCCTCCTCCGCCCCACCAAGGGCAGCCTCCTCATATGTATCCTCCGCCTCACGACATGTATGGTGCTTATGCCCATCACCCTCCACCACCACCACATATGACGTATCCGAGTCAGCCGGCGCCGAGACAGCGAACGGCCATTGCCTGCCGTTACTGCCGACGTCGAAAGGTAAGATCCTATCGACACAGGACGCTACAAACCATGGGCGAGCAGGACTGATGATATTTAGATCCGCTGCTCAGGATTTGATGCCTCGGAGGATGGTCGCTGCACCAATTGTCAGCGTTTCCAGCAAGAATGTATTTTCACACCGGTATCATCCCAAGCGCAGGCCTTTGTACCCGCTCACACCGCCTATCCACACCTTCGTCAAGCAGGTGCCATGCCACCTCAGCGTGGTGGAAGAGCGATATATCCGCATCAAGGCCAGCCAGCAATCTACGGCGCGCACGGTCAGCCTCTCGGACCACCAATGCACGATCCGAACTATCCGCCACCTCATCCGGCTTATGCAATGCCTCCACAGGCCTATGGAGCACCTCCATACGATGAGAGGGGCCCTCCACCACCGCAAGGGCGTCCACAAGACAATGTGAGTCTTAAGCGTCTCCGCTCGAATGAATTTCATCCTGCCGTTCCGCCACCACCTCCGGAAGGGGAGCCTTCCAATCCCTCATCCGAGGGCCGTCTTCCCGCAGAGCCTCCTGCTGGTGGACAGGCTTCCACTTCAGGAGGTGGCAGAGAAGCCCCCTCCCCAACCTACCAATATCCCGACCCGTCTTCATTAGCTCCAATCTCACCATCCTCTTCTTCGCAGTCTTACCCTCCCGCCGGTTATCCTCCACCGGGCCAACCGTATTATCCTCAGCCTCCTCCGCCCCAGCAGCCGCAGCCGGGGCCACCACAGCAAGGTGCCCCACCTCAGCAGCCTCAACAAGGGCAACCACCACGCCGCGCAACCCCTGAAGCTGGGGGGACACCTTATTACGACGCACGCGGCTCTGGCTCGCCGCATGGTAGCACCTCATCAGTGTCTGCTTACCAGCCTTACCCTCCACAGGGGCTGCACCCACCACAAGTACTCCCCCCAAACAGTGATTCCCGGACACCTCCTCCAGGTCGCAATGGAAGCGATGGGAATGGGAATGGGAATGGAAATGGAAATGGGAGCGGAGCACGAGGAGGCATGGCTGTTAGAGATCTGCTCACTTCGGGTCAAAATCAAGATCAGGGCAGCAGGTCGAGCGCAGACAGCAATATGCTCAATGCGCTTAATAAGAAAATGTAAGAACACAGCTTGCGGGGAAGGCATTGGGAGACGACAGGAAGTGTGCTTGGGAAAAAGTGAAAGCATCCGAAACCTTGCTGGTAAAGAAGTGCGGATCTCTGATCATGGACTCTCACCGCTTTGAACTCTCGGCTACAACCTTTCTCTTCCAATCCGACGCGGTACGACGAGCGTATAAAGTGTGGGCTCCACCCATTTTTCTTTACTGGTTTGCATTTCCTACTCCGCTACTCAAATCGCAATGCACTTCAAATACACACGGGCGGCAAAATCTCGAGGCATTTCAAATTTTCGGATGATCGATCGGGCTGGTCTACGGCGTTTGATTGTCGACCTTCTCGTACAATTTCCCTTTCGGGCACTCGTTTCTGCGTGCAGGGCAACATTTCCACCTTCGACAACAATTCTAAGTACCACAACAATCATCAAGCTTGTACGATCAGCAGAATGTTTCAGTCCCTAATAGGCGAGCATACAATGGACTGTGATGTCGATGTCAGATTACAGGCAGGGCGCAATACACCATTACAGGTGACAGTGTCGTCCGAGTTTGCATGGAAATGGACATGGTGGGCTCTTGAGCAGGTTGTTTAGCGCACATCTACAAGAGGCGCAGGTGGTATTTATCTTCTTGTTATGTTTCACAAACAGGTGAAAGGGTGGTAGACTGTCATTTTCCGGGCATAAAGTTTTCGAGTCTTCTAATTGAAACCTGCATCAAATGATTTGGGCTTGCTTGCTTGCTTGCTTCCTTTACTTTTCTGTCTCTGCGTCTGCCTTCAATACCGTACCTTACTCACGAGCGCCGGGCCTTTCCTTGCGGCCGTGGAACGGATCTTCCCAGCCTTCTCCGCTCGGGCATCGCTATCTATCCGTTACAGGTACGATCTGATCTTAGAATGCGTATGCCTCGAGCTTGGTACTGCCTTCCGAAGGGGCCGATCCGCCCCCCAGCACCGTTCTCGTGGCGGAATTGTTCCGAATTCTTTGCTGATGACTTCCATCCGCATTCCCTTGCGAACCATCCTGACGATAGAACAGTACCATGTTTCGCTTTGTAAGTCTGATTGTCTGCAAACGATGTGTCAGAAGAACTCTGCTAATTGATGACGTGTCCACAGGCATTCAACCAGCATAAAACGCTCGATGTTGTACGTTTGCCCCTCTTGCCAATTCCTTCGTCTGCCTTCCCTATGAGCTTCAACGACATGAATAGGTCATATAAAATGCCATTCCCATTTTCAAGAAGACGATTAAGCTATCCTTGAGCCGAATTCTCCCTCACCATCCTCAACTGCCAGCGATCCCCCTCTTTTCCCCTTACTATATCTCCTCTCTTCGTCTTCCCCTCATTCAGCCCTTTTCAATCAGGCTATGTCTCGCTACACACTCTTCTTCCGACAGTCCCGTCTGCAAATCGCCATATCTACCATCTGCCTCCCATCAGTCTAGCCAATGCTAAGAGGAGCCCGAATAGATCACCCTCTTTCACCGCCCCTCCTTGCCCTCCTCCGTCCGCGCCGCTACGCTATTGAAGCAATTGAGTGCCCAAGCTTCCGAGACAGCCACTGAAGATCAAGCGACCGGGCATGGAGCCCAGAATAAGGTACAAAGAAGCGTAAGTTCCTTTCGTGCTGCAGTACTTCTACTTGGTTTGGGAGGGAGGACAGTGGAAGGGAGGTCATTGCTTTAATTCGTGGCTTTGAGTGAACAATAATGGACATGAATCCGTCAAGAATGTTTTGGTGCACGCTTATGAAGGAGGCTGGCAACACTTATATGACGTGGCGCTAACGGGGGCGTTAAGAAATACCAGAAGCTTGCAATGAGAAAAGCTTGAGGACGAACACTACTGACAAGATCTTACCCGTAGGCATTCGAGCTCGACATTAGAGAGGACAAGCCTACCACCGACCAGGTAAAGACGATATTAGAGTATCTACCTGATGTAAAGGGCTCGGAGTTGGTCGAGGGCGCGAAAACAAAGGATGATGCGATCAGGTTGGCTGGCGAAGATGGTGGTGGAAAGGGTTTTAGAATGCCAGTGGTGCGTGATAAAGATTCCTTGGGCTTGTCAAGGCCCGTGGCTCTGGACTTTTTCTGGAATGTGCGACTGATATAAATTGGGACAGATTGTAGATTGGAACAAAGGACAAGCTGGTGGGTAGCATGTATTCGGACCATTGTACCGAATTCAACGGCTGATCGGATGTAGTGATTGGCGACAACGAGAGCGAAATTCTGAAGATGATAGGGCAATTGCCCAAGGAAACGAAAGTTTAGAGGCGTGAAGTTCTGCCAATTACAAAGATACTAGCAGCAGGCCGACCTGTAAGATTTCTCATTTCCTCCAATTTTCATGCCAGGAGTGCTGATCATAACGAGAGTCTTTATGAATGATGACTCCCCATTCCGCGTGCCAACGAGGCACCAAGGGAGATATGTCGGAATACGCGTTTCGATTAATAAGGACAACAAAGTCGCTTGTCTACGTAAAACAGTTCGTAAGTTTGTATGAGCCATCTAAAGATCGCTCATGCGGCGTTCTATGTCACTACCAAGCTTCTTTGTGGAAGGCCAGAGGCAGCTTCAGGCTTTGATTGCCCTGCAGGATTGCAAACAGGGCACGGCCATGTTCATCCCAAGGACGAAGTCGCACATCACACGGCATGCTCCAGATTCCTTGATTATTGTATCCAGCTACGATACAAACCTAGCAATGATAATGGCGCTGCAGGGAAGTGAAGTATATGTCGTGGCCATTTATGTGTTGAGTGGGCGGTGGCGGCAGATTGCGATCATTTGCTCAAAGATGCCAACACTTTTGCCTCAATTCATCCTTAGACTATCACCATCACCTTTTGGTGTCGTGGGGACTTTGCTTGTACTACGATTGACACTTGTATTGGTGCCCCGCGATCAAATTCTGTCGGGGTAGAGAAGTGTCGAATGAGTGAATGGCACCTTCCCAACTCTGATTTGTTGACAAGCAGCGTCCTTTCCCCCTCACCCTGTACACCACAGACCATTCCACTCCGTTTTCCAGATGTCCACTTATCGAGCTTTGCTCGATGTTGCTGTTTGACGAAGGCCCATCATTGCTTCTTGCGCCTACGCTTGTTATCATATAGGAGCAAACAATGGCAGACGCTGCGAACATGGCTTCAACGACGCCCAAACCCACCGCGACAGTACCACATCGCCAGGAAGCACCACAAGCTCCTATCCCAGAAGAGCTCATGGTCGAGACTTTTCCAGGAAACGGAGCAGTGCTTCCCGACAACCCAGGCCTAGCTCTCTTCTCTACCAATAGTGGACAGCGAGCAAAACGTAAGAATTACCTGGGGCAGCCAAGGCAAATCAGATCCGATCGCCGAGATTCCATCATCAACAAGGCGACGAGCCTGCGAGAACAATATGCTGAGCTGTGTATCAGTATCACCGCAAGTGATCTCAAAGATCCAGGTCTCCTTCAGAAGTACTATGACAATTTTGACATTCATTTTTACAGTCCTAAATTTCTGTTTGATTTGCTCAGCTATATTGTCAAGACCAACGAATTCTGCAGAGACGAGCGAGCGGCCGAGGTTGATCGAATCTCTCGCTGGTGGATCGCACAATACCCAGAAGCCTTTGACCTGTTCGAGTCGGATCACCAATGGTTCGACCTCTTTCCTGGCGATGATTTTATTCAGCAGCACGGGTTTCCGTTCCTTTGGGATACATTCTGGAGGATCGCCAGCATCAAGGAAGCAGAAAGTAAGTTCTCAACATCTTCAATTGCTTAGCTGACATTTGAGAGCAGCAGTTGCTAGGACAATGGGGAACGTGTCTACAGATATTGAGCCAAAGCCAGCAGAAAGGGGCACAAGAGCCAAGCAAGACCGTCTTCAGATTATTATCCCTCCTCCACGCCCTAGACGCTTGTCAGCCCCTCAGCAACCACATTCTGTTGAAGCCATGCGAGCGCCAGTTCGGGTTCCGCCTGTTCCTAATCCGGCTGCATTGTATGGAACACTTCAAACAAGGAACCCCTCAGGTGGTGTCTATCCATCTGACGGAAGCCTTCCATCCAGCATCTCAGGTCAACGCGTCGGGTCACACGGTTCAGGGCCTCATCCTCCTGTCTTCATGGCCAGTCAATCGCCAGTGATCTATCAACCATTCGGCGGACCTCCTACCGGATATATAGGCTCACCTGCAACTCCGGTCAGCGGGCGCTACGAAGGTTCAAGGATTCCGGAACATCCCCCTCCAAAGCGTGGAAGGCACACTCATAGCGATTCTATCCAGGATACCTGGAACTCTGAATACGGTGCATACCCTCGAGTTATTGAACGGTCCAACCCAATTCGTCATAGCAATCCTCCAGGTTCACGTTTTTCGCCAGCAAGCATTCCGCGCGAATTTCCTCCAGGTCCAAGCAAAGGGCAACGAACCAACCAGAAACGGCCGTCTTTTAGTTCGGAGACTTATGAACGCCCCTCTCGATATAGAGGTGACATGAACCGCCCAACAAATGGCATGCAGCTTGACTATCGACCGCCTCAACGACCTGGTCGCACGGCTTCCTTTAGCCAAGGCCACCAACAAAAGGCTTATGATCCTCCTGTCCATGGTTTTGATGGTATTGAGAACGTTCGTAATATGCCGGGCTTAGACGAGGATTGGCCGGCGCCTTCTGCTCTCAACCCTTTTGCTATAGCAGAAGTTCAGGAGGGCAGCTCCACATTTGCACCAGTTATCGGTAATACAATGTCGACAACCCCTACTCGCCAAAAATATCTGCGGCGAGGGGATAGATCTTCTCAAAAATCTCCAACAAAGTCACTTCGTCTGAAGTCATCGCGTGATACATTCATTCACAGCCAATTTCCGAGCTCTCGAGGTAGCCCAGAGAAATCTACCAACCATGACGCGTCAGTAGAACGTAAGTTGTGGATTGGTAAAATTCCTCCGCAGATGCGTCGGGGCGAGCTATTGAGCGTGCTCGCACACATACCCGGTTTTATCGACGTGATGGAGCCTCGTTCGACCAGTACTGGTACACGTCGCTGGACATTCGCAGAGTGAGTCGATCGTCATATTTTTGCCCCCGATGTTATATTTGCTTTGACTGACAGGCTTTCAACCAAGGTTTGCGACTCAGGAAGATCGAGACTTAATTTTTGAACAATCAGACCGAAATAATTTCACCAGCTGCGAGTTTATCATGAATTTGCCTAGGCCACGAGGTTTCGGTAGGTATTCTAGGCCTTACCCTTACTCAGACAAGTCACAACGTGAGATAGAAGAGCAGCCCCATAAGCTTCAAGAGGCTTATGACAATACTGAGAGCATAACAAACAAACAATCTGTAAAGACTCAAAAGCGACCTCAGAATGCACGGTCGTCACAAGATTCTGTCCAGCAGGAAGCGGTGCCGAAAAGCTATGACATTGAGGTGGGGGTCGACACGGCTTCATCTCAGGCCCGACATGTTCACCACAATGCAGGCGTTGGGGAGAGTCTTGCATCGGCCTCGTTGAAAAGCAGTGACGGTCCGCCGCAGTCCACACAAGATAGTCTCGAAGCTACAAAACAAGGTCCTTCGATGCCGGCAGTCAAAGGCAAGAAGTCAAACGAACAACCGACGGCTAAACCATTGAAAGAAGGTAAAACTCGATCCAATGCAGCGACTGAAACCACCGACGCACCCAAAGGAGCTCAAGCTCGTCCACTTGACATTAAAGGCACTTCTACAGATTTTCCCCCTTTGTCCAAACTCATCAAACCAGCTATTCCCCTCGTGCCCATCGCATCCAAACCTGTGCAGAAAAGCAAGTCTTTCGCCCAAATCGTTGGCCCAACGAAGTCCCCAGTCAGTAGCAGCACTCAGAATGCGCCAAAAGCCGACGACAGTGTGAAAGTAAGCGAAATAATCGAGACAAAAGTTGAAGGAGAACCGAGTGTCGCAGAGGACAAGGTTCAAGACGAAGCCAAGAACAACTCCGCACCATTGCAAACTCCAACTGCACTGGTCGAGAAGCCTGAGGGAGCGGAATCCGTACATCATGAGGGTGCCACAAGTCAGTCTGCCGGAGACATCGAATTGGACGACACCAAACGAACGCCTTCAGTTCAACATGCTCCCCTGGCGTCAAGGGATCAACTTCGTGAAGAGATATCATCAGATGTTGCGCAAACGAAGACACCCAAAACGCCCAAACTAAGCGTCAATACACCACATGCGGTCGTTCCTTCAACACCAGACCAGCTTTCTCAAGAGGATTCCCAACCAATGACCCGTGACTTGAGTAGGACGTTGGATACAGGGGGAAGCTTCTCTCCTGGCCAAGGAGTGTCAACCGAAATGACCACATTTGAGCAATCACCTACAGCTGATGACAAGTCGGACAACAACGTAGCATCGAATATCCAGAAGAACGATCAATCTGACGAAGCCCTGAATGCAAACGCTCTTCGGACTCGCTTAGAAGATGCAGCGCGTCGTGAGAAGGCCGTGCAAATGGCGGTCAAAGAAAAGAACACTGAAGCTTCCGTGCAGCCAACTTCTACAAAGCCGCAGGAGAGTTCCACAGAAGTCCCAACGCTGGAGATCCCCAAGTCAAATGCATCCACAATTCAGTCACCCCCGCCCGAAAGCCCTTTGAAAGAAGCTTCACATCTGATAGAGGCGCAAACAGAAAGCTTAATCAAAGCCCAAAAGCCTTTGACCCCTATTGCTGGGCCTGGGCCGACTCATAAGAAGAAACACCGATCTCGGGTCACTACACCCAGCAAAAAGTCTTTGTCATCTAGCAACGTCCCACCACCAGAGTCCAAGACATTAGCATCCGCTTCATCAGCTGAGGCAACCGCAAAGAGCCAATATCCAAGCATGACGGTGAGATCCTAGATGATACATTCTTCCTATTTGGTGTATTCGAGGAAACGCTAACATTCATGCAGAGTGATCGAGTCACCGTTGTGTCCCTTCCTGTCCAAGACAAGCCGAAAGCCTTGCGCGACAACTCATCCCTTGATGATCGCGGACAAGTGACTCCCCGGAGTGACTCGCTGGTTGACCAACTCCATAGCTTTTTCGAGCAGCGCAAACGTAAAGATGATGACCCGCTCCTTTTACAAGGTCAGCGAGAGTCCGGCACCAAGCTGTTCATATGTCAGCAACCCGAACTTCTAACTGCGTATACAGACAATATCTCGCTTGCTCAACGGATCGCTCACAAACCTAGTCCGCCAGCCATCGGAGATGCTAAGCACCAGCCAAGCGGTAAAGGCCTCCCTGTCTCTCGGTGATGATGTCACTGCGACTAATAGGTTATAGGTCCCAGCCAGACCTCTGCCGGCTGTATGAAATATGACGATCAACGATTTCAGAAACATGTCGCTACTACGCTTCGTATGGAGTACATTCTTCGCAAAATGGTTACCTGGACCGAAGTGTATACAGAAGAAGCGAATTGTGCTCGCGGATTACTCGATGAATCTCCACTGCGAAGAATTGACAACCTTCATGCAGAAGCCAGTTTGAGACAATTTGTTCGCTACAATGCAGATCATTCCCAGTGGGTGGAAAACCTACCATCTCGTTGGATCTTTGACCGAGAGATGGCTGAGCGGATCACCCAACATTATAAGTGGCTTAAGGCCGTGCTCTACAATTATCGTACAATCTTTGATGAAGCGCACAAAGCGGGAGTGAATCCTTCCTGGTGTACTTCTGAGGATCTGTGCCGAGAAGCGAATGATCTTCTTGAACAGAAACCGCGCCAGAATTTCTTGCAATACGACGAAACGAAATGGTTGGTAGACTGGAATGTTGACGCGCTAGGATTTGCAAATAGACAGAGTGACGGTGGATTGCGGCCCAATACTGGACCATTACCAGTTCTCTCGCGCCTCGCTGAAATTCTAGCTTTACCTCCGCATAATGATGGCTCTGGACCCCCGAACAAAATGAGTAAAGCCCAGAGCGCCCGCCTCTATCCACTTGAGATAGCCTTTCTTTTCGAAAAAAGCCAGCGAGTTCCAGGTGCAAATAGCGGCGACAATGGGGAAACAAAATCCAGCAAAATTTCCCTGACGTCTAGCAGTGCCCTGGAGATGAGCTTCCAAGAATGGCAACAAGATTTCGAAGCAGATGAGACGCAGCGACTCAAAGAACAGATACTTATGAAACATTCTCACGCAGAGTTTTTATCCAAAGGTATAGAGCTGAACAACAAGCCTGTAGCTGGAGGAAATGACAAGCTTATCCGGGAAACGAATGTTAAGTCAAAGAGAAAGCTCACGGCATCCAAAGTATCCCAGAAATCGGATCCAAATGACTCCTCTCAACTCTCAAATACGACGCCAAATACAGCCGAAGACGCAGCATTACCGCAGCACGGTCACTCGAGCTCTGACGAGACGCTGAGAAACGCATCACCTCCAGAATCTCCTGCAGATCCTAGTGCCCGAGGTTTTCGGCCCCTTTCCCAGCGACCAGGCATCAACATCCAGAAAGAAATAATGAGGGAATATGCCGCGAAGGCTGGCAACATCTGTGCTGACGAAGCAACATTGGAGACAATGATATTGGCTGTCCAACCAATGAGGCAGAAAATGGAGAGAAAACATCCGGAGAAGTTGAAGAATTACGATGACAAAGTGGAAGCCTTCAGGAAAGCATCAACAACAGCAGAGATAGATTATTCCTCGAAAGAGATGGTAGCGGCCTTTCAAGAGGTATCAGGAATGCCAATGCCACCGAGTGAGCCAAGTTTCAAGAAGTGGTCCATGAACTTATTGGATGATGTCGATCATCCGGAGCCGCTGACCCTTGAGGGATGGATTCCTCAACACAATTTGCACACGGGTGATAACGTACTGTATGATTCATTTGCTGAGCCGGAGAAAGCTCGGCTTCGGCAAGCCATGCGAGAGGAATTAGAGGAACGCGGGTGGTGGTTCACCGTCAAGGACGAGTTCTTGTACCGAACCAGTAGCCAGCTATTTTCTAGAACGGACATTGACCAATGGATGTTCAATGAAGCTATTGAGTTACAATTAAAAGGAGCTAAAGAGAATCCTCACGGTCACTTCAACTTGTGGGATGAAGCGTGCATTCCTACCTTATCTCCATGGGGGTTCGTCGACAAATCAAATGCCGCCAAAATGATCAAGGAGAGATTGGCAGTATTAAAAGTGCATGAGGAACAATTCAAAGAGTGGCTACTGCAACTCCAGGAGCAATTTCCACCTCAGGAAAACTTGGTCACTAAGGAATCGAAGGGCAAGGGCAAGGCTCCTCTCACACCCCCAACCGAGGCTGACACTCCGGCTTCTCCTACAGCTATGGCTCTTGGTGGGAATAAAGATGCCTGGGGTGTTCCCACTGGCGAGACGGAATGGGGTATGGGCGGGAAGAAGGGGAAAGGCAAGGGGAAGAAGGCGTGACTTGGGCCTGAAATGGCAACACTTCATGCCGACAACATGGAATCCTTCTTACTGGCTGAGATGTCGCTCTCTTCTGCGAGTGGACGCAGAGTATTCGCCTTCTTCCTCGAACGGCCGCCGCAAAGGAGACCCGCAGCAGTCGTTTAGGAGTAGAGATAGGGAGCATGGTATTGGATGTATGGGGTTGGAGAGATAGGGTGATTGGGAAGGCGGCGCATGTTACATATATCTCCGAGGCTTGTGAGACTGACCGGTGAAGGTGACGGTGTGAGGCCAAGGCGTATCTACTATAAGTCGGGAACTTTGTGCTTGAGAATAAATACGCCAGTACTGTACGTAAGACGCCTGGGATTGTATGTTCTGTGGATGGTTTCGTGTAATTCATTGATTGCATTTCCGAAAGCTAGCTGGCTTGCTTGACATTTTGCCTTTGCTTTTTCCATCTCTCGTATCGTAAACAGACATTGCTGCATTACTCACTCCCTTGCCTACCGCCCATGAAGCCGCATTTATATTCTTGTGAAAGAAGAAAAGGAAAGGAGAAGAAAACCTGCGTCAAGCAGAACGAGCCTTGAAAGCGTAATTGAACAGCACACGGCAAGAATCGGTACCGGAGCAGAGTAAAGCATCCTGAGAAGGTGACTTGTGGGGTGATTGAAAGCAAACTTGTGCCCAAATAGATTAGAAGATTGTTCCAAATGAGGCGTCTGTAGGAACGTTCTTGCGTGGGCTGCCTGGTGCTGCTTTCTGCGTGTTTTGGTTGCGGTGTCTGCTCGCTTTGCATCAGCCTCAGGAACGATATTACGTTGAATGATGAGAAGATTAGGTGCCTGGGGGGAAGGGGGGAGCTATACTTGAAAGTAAACCCCACGAACAGACTCTTGCCCATCTGATCGTCCCGATCTGCCATCTGCTCCAGTGCAGCCTGCTTGTCATGAACCTCCTTATACTTCGCCATATCCGCCTCGTTGCTGAAATCGTCGAAGTAGCCGGCGTCGGTCTCGCCCTCGAGCTCGGGCACGAAGGGTGCGCGCTGTTCCCTTAGATGCTGCCAGTCCACTTCGGCGAAATAGACGTGCTTGTAGATCTCCTGAATGTTCTTGAAGCGGGATTTCTTGGCTGAGATGCACCGCTTGATCAGATCCCATGTGCGCGGGGAGAGGAAGTAGTTGCGGTCTTCAAATTCGGGCTCGCGAAGAACTTGTCCCCAGTTCTTGAGGTTCGTCCAGGTTTCGTCAATTGTGCTGCCGGCGAATGGTGGGTAGCCTGCCAGAGCTTCATAGAGCATGCAGCCCAGTGACCAATAGTCGACTGTGAAGTCGTATTTTTCACCGCGAAGCACCTCCGGGGCCATATAGTCTGGCGAACCCACGATAGACTTCGCGTAATTGACCTCGCGGTCGCGAAGGTGACGGTACCCTTCGCGACGCTCGGCCGCGCTACGTTTTTCCATGCCGAAGGGGACGGACATTTCGCCGACTTTCTCGAGCTTGACGCGCATGGATTCGAACTTTTGGGGGGAGAGCATGCCGGCTGCGAGGCCGAAGTCTGTCAGCTTCACGTGCCCGGTTGCGTCGATGAGGAAATTTTCTGGCTTGAGGTCCCGGTGGATGTAGCCGAGCTGGTGGAGGGCGTCTATGCAGCAGAACATTTCTGCGATGTAGAAACGGGCGTGACGATTGTGGAGAACACCGGTATTGTTGAGCAAAGTGCGAAAGTCACCCCCTGGAACGTACTCCTGGTACACTCGTTAGCATTCTAGATGGAGTAGAAAATAGGGACTTTGTCGTACCATAGCCAGATAGATGCTTTTCTCATCTTGAAATGCATAAAGTAGCTTGACCAGCCATTCACTCTTCGCGGCCGTCAATATGTCTCTCTCAGTCAGGATGTGTCTGACTTCGTCCAGCTTGAATAGCAATTTCTTGCTCATGACTTTTAACGCACAGACTTCTCTGGTGTCTTTCTTTGCTGCTAGATAGACCTGCCCGTATCCACCTTGACCAACTTGAGTGAGAGTTTGGAAATCTCCATGCTTTAGTCTTGTGCGTCGCTTTCGTAGATTTGCTCGCTCTCGCCCTAAATATTTGTTTTTCGCTACCTGGTATTCTTCTTCATTTGTCCCTGGTGGAAGAGGATATTGCTGATGGAACATAGCTTGTCTACCCTGACGGTGATGGACATAATTCAAGAGATCAAAGTAATAGTCGAGGAAATCTGACGCATATCAGCAGTATTCTCTGGACTTTGCAGTGGTAGAACTTACATAGCTGGGTGACGTTCGCGAGCCGCTTGACTTTCGGTTGTTGGCATCGCTCCAACTCTTCTGAAGTCAAGCCACGGGCCGGTTGAGATCTTGTTCGCGAGTCATCTCGGCTCTGGTAAAGTTCCTGCCGAGATATCGCTGCTGGAGTTGGTGTGCCAGGTTTAGGTGACCTGAAGCCTGGCGGCGTATTCTCTTTTCCTGACTTCTTCAATGGACTCCCTGGGGCAAAGCTCGATTCTGGACCATAGCTAATGTCCGCCAGACTCTCGTCAAACGCTTGTCTTCCAGCTTTATTTGGCGAATTTGGTGCAAGTTGCTGTCTAGCTTTGATTGGGCTGGTAGGGCCAAGTTTCATCGCACTATCGAAAGCATTGGGTAGTTCAGTAGCTCCTGGAGGTAGCCGACTCTTGCTTGGGCTGCCCTGTGGTGTTGCATATGGAGACGTGAAGCCTGCACTGGTGGGCGTATGGGGCCCAGTATCGTAGATTTCGTTACCAGAACGAGTATGAAGTAGAGGGGGTGGCATTGGTAGCGAGAAATCGGGCTTGCCCTTCATGGGCGACGTGGAGGGAGTGACGGCAGTCATAGCGACTTTTCAGGATATGTGTAATGACAAGGGACGAGTCAGATATGGAAAGGCGTTGACACACCACGGAACGTAGGTTTGGACTAGTCAGGTCTGTGTTTTTATTCCCTCTCACCAATGAAAGATTTCGAGGTCATTTGCAAAGCTCTTGAAGCAGAATATAATGGGCCTGGCATCATTGAGATGTCATATGCATGTCATGCGGTAGCTTGACGCCAATAGGAAGGATCGAAATGTAAATTTTGGCCGTTGACGGGTGAACCACCGCCAAGCCGCGCTAGTATTCTCCACTCCTTCAAGCCCCTTTTCACTTTCCTAACTTTCTCTATGATCCAGAACGATCGTCCATACAATCACAAAATGTATACTCAAAGCCTGCGTGCCAGGACAATGGAGAGGTCCGATGTTTGGAATTACACCCACAACATTACCGCAAGTCTCCTGCAGTGAAGCCCGTCAGTCGCATCCATCAGCACCGTGCCATGCGTATAGCCCCAGTGAGCCTCTTTTGCTATGTTGAAGTATACGATGCTCCGAATTCGTCTGCATTTCAGCTCATCGGGCATATCCGTTACCATTTGCCATAATAGATGGGCGTGTGAATTCCTATACAATTGACCGTTCGGCTGCAATAGCCTACCTTTGCAATCCTCAAGCCCCTCTTTCTCAATCCAGGTTTCCACCACCACCCTCAGTATGAGGAAGCTGATCCTGCGCCAACTTTTGTTGAGATGCCTGCATTTCTAAATTCCCACCACGATCTCTTGATGGCGGAGACGCTTCCCTAGCGCGTCACGCTATGCATTCAGATTGTATGTCTGCAACACCGTCCTGTTGCTCTCAGACGCGATGGTCCATTCTTAACTTTTCCTCAGCGTCAATTTGAAGATTCAGACTTTGTGATTCCATTGGCAAGTTTCCGTTGTCCTCTGTTGTAGCTGCAGGAAACATGTTTTACAGCCATGAAAGTGAGTGGAAGCCAGCTTTTCACAACCATACGCGTTGACACTGAGATGCAGTCCTTACGTCCCGGAGGAGTGGACTTGCAACGGTTTGGTGGGTGACAACTGGTCTAACAATCGAAGCTTCGCCTTCCTAAGTCAATCCAGGCTTGCTGCCACTATAAGCTCCACCCCTGGCCTCAAGAAACTGAATCGCAAGGCGATATTTGAGGTCAATATACCCAAGACATGCGAAATTGTAATACATCCCGAGGCACCGATGGCTTTAAGACTACAAAGCAACCTATTGTACGTGACAAGCACCAGTAACATTTGCCAAATTGACACGTCTCAGGTACGGCATCTCTCGCATCTACTCACAGCAGGGAACCTACGTGCTTTCAGACGCTCAACTCGCTCAAGCCAACATGCGAGCCTTACTCAAAGCTGTCCGAACATCTGAACTTGACCCAAAGGCCGGCAAAGCACGGTAATGATCTCTTCCGGAAGACGAGCTGTATCTGACGAGGTTAGGCCGGAACAACTCATATTGGAAGATGATCCTGCCTTTTTCGCCGATCTAGTACTACCAGATATTGATCTAGACCTCTCCGTGCTAGACTTCTCGACGGACAGATCACCGCACCCTTCCAGCATTTTGTCAGCACATTCGCATAGATCAAGCCAAACGAGCGGCGAAGGATCCGTGCAAGGTTTGATTTTGCCCTCTTCGGGGTCAGGAGGCGCTGGCGGCTTTCAGCTCCCTAGTGAACATGGCAGCTCTGTGCAACGGAACGAAAGATTGGCCCGGCTTCTAGATGATGATGGCGATGCTTTCAATATTGACCCCGGATTTAGCATTGATGCGGAAGGTAATGTAGTCGAAGAACCTTTTGGTGGAAGTGTGATTGAAACCGGGCCGGTAAGGGCGAGAAGTGATGCGGCCGCTCGAGGGCAAGTGAGGTCACAACGTGGAGATTTTCAACCGCAAGACCAAGCTGGAGTAAGTCTTGTGTTTTCTAGGAAATGGTATATGACTAAACTTTACGCAAGGCGACGCCTATGGATATGGACTTCGACATGCCGTTGTTCGATGATCAGCAAATAATCCTTCCGGATGCTGAACCTTTCCCTTCAATGCGACCAGTAGATCCTGCGATCCCTGGCCAGGGGACTTCTTCTGCTCAGCCACAGGAAGAAGAAGAATATTCTGAGACTGCTGAAGCTCCCATTCGCCAACGTCGAAAAAAGGCACGTCCTTTAGCCCTAGACCAGAGGATGGAACTTCGGAATGCCGATCTAGCCAGCTGGAAGGACGACTATCTGACCAACATGATAGAAGCTACTCGTGCCCGACTTCAGCATCGTGCTGTTTCTCTAGCAAAGAAGAACGCTGCTCAATGGATTACCGGCATAGGTATTGGTGGTGTCGGTGCAGCGATCGGCACATCAAACCTACCGGGTCCTCTCCACATCTTCGCTGGAGATCCATTGATGGACATGCTTCTCGGTCCGATATCAGATAGAGGTGGGCGCAAACGGCGTCTTAGTGAGGTCAGCGAAGCCGACGTCAGCAGCGAAACCCAACGTCGACGTATGCGGGAAGGCGACGCAGAGATCGGTCTTGGAGACGATGGAAATTTTTTCCAAAATGACGATCTAGGCCTCCACTCAAGCGAAGTACGTTTTCCTTCGCCCTGCGGTTCATCCAGTCCGCGCTCGTGCTATACAGCTGACATCGCCGATAACAGGCACCCGAAATTGGCCGCCACGCCCCGACACCATTAGCAGACGACCCAAGCTTTCCCTGGAACACTACTGCCTCAGCCCTTGCATCCCGACATGGTTCCTCCATCGCTCACAGCCACGTCCCCTCCAATATAGGTGGTTTCCCCTCCAGCGCCGGCGGAACTGCCCCACCAACTACTTTACCTCTCCGTCAGGGCAGCCATATCCCGACCGCCAGCCCATTAATCGGACGTGGGAGCCACCGATTCAGTAGCCTCAAGCTACCCTCCGACGATGGCAACGGTGAGCTCGACCTAGGTGCCGGCGGGTTCCCTTCCGATGACGCTATTGGCGGCATGGGGGCCGAGTATGATGATTTCGAACTCCATGGTCCAGCGGCGGGTGTGGGCACGCAGACCCAGATGCAGAGTCAGTGGTTGAGAGACACCTTGGACCGCGAGGCGGCGAATTTTCTGGAGTTTGTAAGGGAGGCGACTACTACCGGCAAAGGCGAGGATGATGACGATGAGCTTACGGCAGAAGAGCCTGGAGAAGGGCAGGGGAGTATTGACTTTGAAAAGCTCTTGCCGCCGGACCAGCATAGTACTGTTGTCGCAGCGCAGGCATTCCATCATGTGCTTGCTCTTGCGACGATGGGGAATCTCGATGTGCAGCAGGCAGCACCGTTTGGGCCGATCAAAATGAAGGTCGCAGAAGTCACAAATCTTGGTAGTGAACAGGCAATGGAGTTCGAGATTGAGGCTTGAGATTCTGTTTTATTCTGCTGGTGGTTCAGTGTCGAAACGCAATATCGTTCGAAGAGAGATGTTGCCATGTTGCTGAAGGACGTTCATTGAAGAGGAGGCCGTGGGTCGGAAGAAGGAGGGATCTTTTGCTATTTGAAGGGACATTTGCTGATCTTACCAACCGCCTTGTTGAGCATCGTGCTGGGACAGGGGAAGAAGGAGACAAAGGATACCATTTGCTTGACATTTGCTGCATTTGAAAGCGGGAAAGATACCCAGAGGATATACCTCGTTGCTATGTACTTTGGCTGTCGATTAGTTACAATAGAAAGATCGACTTGCTATGGACAATCCGTGTATGTTGGTGGTGTGAAGCAACAGGGCCCTTGTCCAAAGCATTTGAAGCCTTCGGAGTGATGCTCCTGCGGATCATGGCTTCATCGCTCTCTGTGCGATCCTTAAGTGGTATGGTCATTGCGCGTTAGCTGATGGCCGATTCGTGGACAGTGCCCGATCCTGTGACTCGTGTTCCTCTCAACTTATGGCAGATGATTGTGGGATGGAGGGCGCAGCAATAGAGATTCTATTGTCGCGTAGACAGCATACTTGAACCTCCAGAGACTTGAAAGGCTTCGGTAGACGTCCGACGGCAAACGGTTCCACGAGCGTCCCTTGTGCTGCTCTTAGAGTATGTCGCGATGACTGGCGCAAGTGAGTCCACCTCGGATCTCCGCGTGTCTCTTTGAATATGGAGGCACAACCTCGAAACCGACTTTCCACTCACAGCTCTCCCACTTCCCTTGATTGCTCATCACCCATCTCAGGCGGCACAAACCCCTCCTCCCCCGCCAACCTCGCCCCCTCGATCTCCTCCTCCGTCACCCCCTCCCACTCCCCCATATCCAACCACCCAATCCTCGCCCTATCTCCAAACCCTCCAAACCAATACACCCCCGTGACCACCACCCTCCCCCACCAACTCTCATGAATATCGCTCCCCGGCGTCCAAATCACCTCCTTATGCCTCTCCAAAAAGCATTCTTGCACCTTATACTGCTCCACCTCCTCCTTCGGTATGTGCTCAATATACCCCTGCAGGGAGAACCGTGGTAAGTTCGCCGGCGAATAGAGATAAGGATCGTTTGTTGGAGGACGATTTGCGGGGGGATCCAGCGCAGGGAGAGAGAGACGTTGGAGCCGCGCAGAGTGTTGAGGTAGGGTGTTGCGATTGAGACGGCTAGGATGGTGGGGTGGTAGGGGTGTGGTGGGCAGGGCGCGTAGTATTCCATCAGCCCGATTGGGGAACCGGAGAGGGCGACGGGGGGAGGGTGTCTGTGCGGGTTGTGGGGTGTGGAGGGTTGGAAGACTGTGGAGAGGGTTGCAAGGGTGGAGAGGTTGAGGATTCGACGTGCGAGAATGGTGGATTCGTGGAGGGTGGGGATTTGGTATTGGGGGAATGGGTGCTGTTGTGGCGAGGGCGGGGTGGTGAGGGCTTGGGTGGAGGGGAGGAGGGAGAGGATGAGGGGTAGGTGGGTAGATGGTAGCATATTCACAAAGCGTAGACGATATGAAGGTGGCTCAGGTGGGATAGTAATGCAGATTCGACGAGGTGAAGAAAAGTTGTGATGCCATTGATACAGAGTGATAAGGCGAGGACGGGAATTCTGACGCTAACAACATCGACCAGGAAGTCGAGCTGGAGATAGAGCAGCAAATGGAATAAACATCCATTGTGATATCCAGAAGCCCATCGTTCAGATCACAAATTCCACAATTGCCACCAGGCACCATTCAAGGCATTTCAGACTGGAGAACAAAAGCCGTCAGACAAGACAAATCGCAGAACTTCGGTCTTGGCATCTTGCTGACTCACCTCCCCAACCAATTCGCTAGCGCAACTCCTCCGCACGATCAGAGGCAAAGTCGTCCATCAAGAAGATCACCATCTCCATCACTACAGCGCACGTCTTTCAGGTAAGTCCTTGACGCTCTCATAACTTTCTGGGTTTCACCCGTATCATCACTATCCCTTGTCGCCGGCTTCAACGCTCGAGCTAACTCTTCGTAACAGCAATATTGAAGTCTGCACGGAGTAACTAGCAATCATGGGAAAAGTCCAGTACGAAGCTCCCTCTCTCGGCCTCTGACCGGCTATCGATGACAAAATATGCTAAGAGGATCACAGCGGCTCTCTCGCACGTGCTGGGAAGGTCAAGGTATAAATTGCCCCTCAAATCTTCTACGCCTACAGACTAATTCCCTTCGCAGTCGCAAACACCAAAGGTTCGTTCATTCGCCCAGTCCTCTCCGTCTACATCCCCCTTATCTACATCACCACAATTGAAGAGTCCATCATATGCATTGGGACTACAAATAGATACGGATGCAGAAACAGCCAACAGGGTGTGCTAACGTGGGAGTGATGCATAGGTTGAGCCTCAAGAGAAGAAGAAGGTACCGTCATGAATACATCGAGCTAAGTCTCGTATGGGGGCTGACGAGGTATTGCAGACCCCCAAGGGCCGCGCAAAGAAGCGTATCACATACACGCGCCGATTCGTGAACGTCACAATGACCGGTGGGAAGAGGAAGGTACGTCAACTGCTTCTTCGTCCCCATGAACCCCCAACATTCTCGCACTCCCTTCGAGTCGTGGCTATGCCATTCTCGCACCCACCCGGGCAAATGAAATTCAGTCTCACATTAGTGTGGTTTATGTGCAATGGACATTTCCTGGGAACAAGGCAACCAGCTCTATGACGAACACGGCTCTTCTCGAACCATTGCTCGATGATGCCTGCATGTGTTGGCATTTCTATATTATGCATACTGACGATACATGTCTCACCAGATGAACCCAAATCCCACCTCCTAGACCGATAACAACCCCCACCCTCCGTCCCTTGGAATCCCAATTACGTTCCATACCATCCACCTGGGAGATAGCGAAGAGTCAACATTTGTCACTTCTTTGACCATTATTTGGTGGCTGGCTGGCCAGGAGATTGGAGCTGAGATGGACTGAGGGGGGGGGGGTTGATGTCGGAGACGGGAAGGGAAGTTTGGGATGCTATTTATATTCCACGGTTTAGTGTGTCTGGTGGGTGGTGGTTAAGGGTGGAGGAGGCGGATGGTGGTGGCACAGCAGTGATTATTGAAACACTTCGTCATTTGCAAGCGAGAGGGGACATCACGGGCAGGTGTACAAACCTTTTTCTCTTTTCAGAAAATCACTTGCATTTTCGTTGACTAAATTGGTAAGCTTGAATCGATCATCAATGCTGACGATGCCGTATGCGTTCACGTTTTGTGCGATGCCAACGTTGATTTTTTTTCATTGAGCTCCATTGGTATATAATTTACATTGAAATCGTGCTTTTAATTGTTTAATGCTGTTTATGTGTAACTTGAACATTCATGCAATGACATCGCTAATCTTCTCCTCTGTAAAACATATACATCGTGCGCCCATCCTAAGTTATACAAGTCTTTTGATACAAGCGTCGCAGACCAAGCGTAATAGATAGTGTACATGAAAAGAACATGAGTATGTAATGAAAGCTAGGAGAGAATTCGGAGTGTGAAATGTGTGAAGCGCGAAGCTGAAGCTGCAGCTAGGAGGAATGCAAAATGGATATGCGAGTGATGATGTTCATGCAGTCGGAGTTGTGTGACTTGCAAGTGCACGTACCACGTCGAGTGCGCTGATCCACAAGTCGAGAGCGAAATGGTCCAGATATTATAGCACGTTTAAATCGAGGTGCTGGTGGTGTGTTTCGAGGTGAGTTGCGATCATCGGCGATTGGTGCGAAGACGCTGCGACCGCATACGGTGAGGAAGATCATCGTGGTAGGTTGTGCATTGTGTAGAAGCTTAAGACAGCTGGAGACCTGGGGATCGGGCTACTTGTTTTGAGGCTCGAGGATTCATTTGCATCTGGCAGCCTCGAATGTTGGACGCATGTTTCAAGGCCTTTGGCAACGACTTGACTGGTCGACAAGGTCAAGACTATCGCAATGTCTCTTCCGCCGGGAGAAACGAATACCGACACGAAGATTGGCTGACGATCACAGGTCGAGTCGATCAGGTCCAAGTTGCACTGGCGGTGTTGAGGTGCTGAAACATATCCAAGAACAACAATCAAGCAGCAGCACAGATCAAACATTGACCGTCATTATGGTAGCGAATTGTCTTCGATAGCATGCGTTGTATCACCATCCCACAGATGCACTTCGGATCGAGCTAACCCTTGTCGTGCGGATGTACCTTGGTACTTCTTCTTATGCGCCAACTTGCGGGTAGAAAGATAGTCAAACGCCCTTGACGCAAGCTAACAACATAGCTGCGTCTCCCTATGTCAAATGCCTTTTGCAGCTCCCGATCCATCAAATCTTGTTTCGCCATGACTCGTGACTATAGTCGATCGGTACGGAGTTCCCTTTTGGCCTATTTCTGGCCATACAAGCTTTCTGTTGGAACAATGCAGGCAAACCCAAGCGGGCCTGCATAGCCCACAGTTTACGCATCCAAATGATTTCGTCGAATCACCATGATCGGGTAATCTGGAGGGTGATAACGAATCTCTTCTGCATGCAGTGCGTCATTGGTGTTCCCCGTCCACGTAGACAATCGCCGGCTGCTCGCCGTAGCGAGGTGGAAGGTCCTCCTCTTGCACTTTTTCCAGGGTCGGCTCAGAATACCAAGTTCCGAAGTCTGTAGGTTTGGTTACTGCACTGTTCGGTAGAGCGCTCCAGTTTGAGGGCACACCCCAATGATCGGGTGGGCTTGAGACTGGTGCCGACATAGGCGTTAAGCTAGATTCCGAAATCGATGTATGCGACGAGTTTGTACTAGTCATTAAAGACGGAGGATGCATGTCCGATGGACGGCGCCGTAGATCCAGAGATAGAGGTTGCGGGTGATATTGACTTCTTTGGTAACCGGAAGGATAATCTTCCACCACTCCCAAAGATGTAGACCTTGCGGGAGCCGACCAAGTTGAATCATTCCTTGGCGGCGCAAACGATGTAAAGCTGTTTCGTGAGTCCATTGGCATAGACGTAGTCGGTACGGACATGTGAGGCGAGTAGGCGGGTGTTAGTGGAGAATCGGTGTGCCTGCCCCAATATGAATGCGACGTATCTCCAGGTGATGAGTGGCCGGCGGACATTGAGCCTGCCTCTGGAAATGGCGAATGCCATTGCGCAGGTTGCTGTGGGGGTTGATTAAAGTCGAAAGAGCCCCTGTGATCTACGGATCCTAACTAGTTGTTAGATACTCTGTGTTTTCTTCAACGAGCAAGATCAGCTCACCTCGTGTCATCGGCGATACGACGCCGCTGCTCCAAGCTGCTGTTGACGGATGATAGCCCGAACTAGCCATGGGAAGACTCTGGAAAGGATTTAAGTGATCATGGTGATCCACCATGTGAGGCCCGGAAAGGGCAGGAGATGAATTTGCTGAATTAGATGATCGCCTGTCTACCTTAGAGTGCGTTCGCTGACGCCTCTCTACAGGCGGCTGCTGGTCAACAGGGAAGAAATTGCATTCTTTCTTCAACCGAATGCAATTCGCACAACGATTGTGCGGGTCGTCTGGCGCAGCCAGACACCTGATCTTTCGCCGGCGGCAGTGGCCTTTGTCAGACTGTCAGTAATGGCCATCAAGCGATGATTTCCTGAACCTACTGCACGCAATCGATGTCCTATGATAGCCCAACTTGTTCCTTCGCTTCTCGGCCATAGATGCAGCATCACTATGCTGACCTCGAAGGTTCGAAGTAGAAGACGAACGCTTCAAGGCAGAAGTGCTCTTCCGTCGCTTACGTTGTGAGAGAATGTCCGAAGTCGTCAGAGGAAGCATGGGTGGTGGTGGTATTGGGAGTGAATGTGAATGAGCATAGGGGCCGTGTTCAATGGAAGTAGCAATCTGATTCATTTCGATGGGTGGCGTCATGATAGACTGAGGATCGAAATAAACGTCGGGAGGTTGTTCAAAGGCAAGGGACATGACGGGAGACTTTATGTTGGCTTCCCTTTCGGTCGGATGCAAATCTTGGCCACTGGTCGAACCTGAGGAGGGCCGAATCCGATATCGTAGTTTCACCCACAAGGCTTTCCCCGCAGCCATAAGAGAGACTGCAGGCTTGGGAGGGTCGTCTTAGCTTTCGCTATTCAGTTCATCTGCTGCAGGTCGGGTTTCACTTGCACTGCCCTATCTTCTAGATCCCGGGAGGTTGTTTCTAAATGGGGCGTCTGTCGGTATCGATAGTGCTGAAGCAACGCCAAACGGGACGTGTTACAGATTTCAAGGTCTAGGACCCGGGAGGCAAAGAAATCGAGGGAGGGAGGGAGAAGATTTTGAGAGAGAGAGAGAGAATAATACTCGGATGATGACAGCTCCAGAATCCAGATGGTATGGAAGCTAAATATTAAGGGTGACTTTTCTTCCCAGCGGCGGAGTCGCTCAACTTTCGCACTTCAGGCGCTCTCTAGATCCTGCGCCAGCGCAGGAACGAGCTGAGAACGTGGACGTAATCTTCCGGTTGGTGGGATAGCGCTGTCTTTGGGGGAGAGTGGTGCGAAGCTGTCTTGCTATCGTTCATGCAGCCTTAGTGGTGGTGATCGTCTAGCGAGAGGCGTCCATTAGGTCAACCAAGGTCAGAACCAAGTCAGTAATAAGTCAGTAGGGTCTATGGATGCCATGTGCGACCAGGCATCCCTCCATGCACGATTCAAGGTAAAACAGAGGACGCTGAAAGCAAGAGCAGAGTTTGAGTCTCACAGTCCGCAAAGGAAAGAGAAGTGTCAATCATTGTTTCAATACGCAGCTACAGCGAAATCGCGTCAAAGGAGAGTAGCTTTGGAGATTTGCAATTGTCTAGCATGCATGCGTAGTCACTTTAGCAAGGTTAGAACCATCAGATGGTGGGAAACCTAGGAGGGCAACCAACGACAGAAGTCGCTGGCTGCCGCCACAGACTAATCAGCAGATAGGACAGCCACAAGTACCAGGGTGAAGATCCTGCGAATGCAACGTTGGCCGCTAATGCTCGCTTGATAGATTTGTTGCTAAACCTCGAAGGGGAAGATGGAAGATTTAGAGCGTGGGTGGAGAAATGTTGCTAAAGAAGTTGGTCCGTATAGCGGTAAGAGTGGTAATCTTTCGGCCGCTAGGGCCATAGGGTTGGTTACGTACGAAGACAAAGTAATTAATCTGGAATTACGTCCCCTATTCCTGTCCGATCTTCCTCCATCTTACTGTAATCAGCAACGACTTCCTTTCGCCAAAATCACGTCTTACGGTGGTCCCCTTGGCCCACGTGGAAGTTCCCAAACTTAGGATCCAACCTTCGGAGAATGCATCCAGATGACACTCTTCCAACTAAGTGCGAAATTAGAGATCGATTCCCATGCGGCGTAGACGACCGGTCCGAGGCACGATTAACAGTATTGGAGCCTCAAAAAGGCTCAAATGGGTCCCCTCAGGAAGGCCCATCTTGGGCGTCTGCTCTAGGGCTGACTGCTGTGCTCGCTCGGTGGACGGGGTCGGAAGGTCGGAGAATTTTGCCATTCGTTCAACGGAGAGCTCATCACAATCCTATCTGACCAGTAAACCTCAGACTCTTGACTGCCTGTCGTAATCATGAGTTCATGTTTGATGACATTGTGTCTGCGGTGCTATATCGCACTACTACGAGCCATTTTCTCCGACTTGTAACGACTAGATTGGCCAGTGATACTCGGTACTGTATCTTACCAAGCGTGAATTTCATAAAGCTTGGCCGATCAGCCATTGCCACGTTCTTGCACGTGAAGTGATCAACAGATCGACGCCATTCAGCAGGCGCCAGAAGTATGGTAGGCTTGGTAAGTTGGTAGGCACTACTTGCAACCCTTTGGTAGGTTTGGAAGCAGATGCGAACGGTGCTGCAAGGCACGCCACTAGATGGACAACCCAGCCACGTTGCTCGCGTGGTAAAGGAACATTTCAACAAACAGGAAACTCCCCTTGACCGTTTGGCAACGACTAGATTGACCAGTCTCCACTTATGCGCTTTTGGTAGGAGGCATGATTGGTGCGCGATTGAAGCTGCAACGAGATAGCAGACCAAAGATCTGGTAAAGTCCCAGGCTACTCCACGGATAAGCTCCGGTGGCTTTGGGACCAGTTCCACACTTCAATTCGTTCCAAAGTGGCCCTGCTTATTCTTATTGAATATTATTGGAGATACCGTAAGTGAAAGGTCTCGAGGGCGTCACTCTGAGCTTTCTGTGGGTGTTTCCATATGACTATGATTAGCCCATCCGAGGGTTTCCTTACCGCTAATACTCCTGGTACGGGGATCTTGCGAAAAAGTGTAATTCATCCCGGTTGACGTGAAGTCGGATCTTCAAGCGGAGCTGCTGATCAGTTGCTGATCTCTATCACCGTGGAACTCTTGTGGAAGGTCCGTAGAACAATTCGGGGGTCCCTTTCGTGAGCTGCGCGCTTATGCAGAGTTGTCACATAATCTCGCACTGCGAGGTTTTTATCCTGACTCGAGATCTCGCTACGTCCGAGAGCTAGGGTCTGTGATCTGCCTGCTAACAGTTCTCAATCAGGAGGCTTTACGATTCAAGTGAGTCCGGTCCCCTGAGCGTAGTGTATTACTACCTTCCTACTCCAAGATATCGTCACGTTGCTTGGATTCCTAGCCAGCGAAGATCAGCAAGTTGTTCATTACCGGTTGCTCGGAGCCGCTACGAACGTCCCCTGTTCCCCCGCTTCCGTTGCCGCCAGGGCAGGCTATTTGCAGCTGACTCAAGATTTGTCCCCTTCAGGAAATACACACGAAGAAATCTATACCGCACAGGTCATACTCCTTGTCTACCTGGGACATCAACTGGGACATCAAGCGACAGAAATATCAAAGCGGGATGTGGTTGAAACGATATATCGATCTAGCCTGCTGAGTCTTCGTCAGTAGGGTCCGGGCGTATCTCGTCACCGGATATCAATACGCACGTTGTATCAAACAGTGGTGCGAAATGCTGGATGCACGAACAAAGGATGAGGTATTTTGATCACCGTTCGCTTGAATGCGGCTACCAAGGTTTACAAAGTGAAAGAAACTGTATTATTGTATCTCAATGCTCTGGAGCCATGTGCTCCACGTGAGAAACAATCCGATGAGTGTGTGGCCGGTGCTCCAGTCGCGATCCGGTCTGATTGGTCGCCGACCAAGCGATTCAAATTTTCGACAGGTCTCGACGGAGCAGATTTCCAGACTTCCATTGCGTACTCCGTCTTGTTGAGTACACCGCTCAAGGATCTGCTCCGGAATTCTGTATCAGGGTAGACACGTGCAGCTTGCATGACCCACTGACCACTCAACTGTTGGGACTTCCGCATCGTGAAACATTCCTGAAGTCATCACCTGGATGGACAATTGTTTCTACCTCATTGAAGCGCGTATAATTGCCCCTCTGGCTAGAGCAGACTTACTGCTTGCTGCCCGCTGCGAAGTCACAAGCCCGTTGCCAGTGTCTGATTATCCTTCGCGGCTGCACCCGCTCGACGTTGCGGTACCGATGCGCAGGTGCAAAACCCCCACAGGAATTCATCGATTGCACTGACCGCACTGCCTTAGCGCTTTGGCTCCAGCGACGCTCAAGACCTCTATTGGCTTGTCTAGAAGCTCGTCTGGGGCCGCCACTGCATGCTCCTCCACGTCGCATGTCGCTTATAGCAAATTCTCCGAAAGACTAGTGTGGACCTTCAGGAACGCTCTAGCCAGATGCTCTAGCCATATATAACTCTGAAACAATCATGTCATGATTGATCAAGTCTGTGGCTCATCATTGGATCCATCCACAGAGGGCAGGAGTGGCCAACAGCTCGCCGCAGTAGCCTCATTCTTCGCTCGATCTAGCGTGCATCCCAGACTGCGTTCTTGTTGACACTGCAGTTCCAGCCTCCGACGATCAACGACCCTCAAATTACATTCTGACAGCCGACAGCATTCTTGCATATGCTCAACATCACTGACATGGATGAGTTCCCAATATGAGTTCAACACGTTTCCAGTTCAGGTTTTCCGCTAGATTCATCCTCCATCGGCGCAGTACGACTGCAGACCTTGCTGCCTGTTCTAAAGTCTCTCGCATGGCTTCGAGTCCTGATCAAGAAGTGTCCAATCAAATGTTGACATGATCGATATGCTTCCGCAGCATCTCAAGGACCCTGCGCGGACGAGCCGTCAATTTAGTTACGACTTCTCCTTCTCCGTCTCATGCACGGTCAAGATTTCCCAAAATGGGTCTGAGTCAACAACATCTTGTCTGTGCGCCTGCGTTATGATTTGTCACTCTGTCACAGCCTTCAATTTGCGGAAATGATTCCTCAAAGTCTACCGTCCTGCGTATATTGCCGTGTTGACGTGACAATTGCCTGCAGCAACCCTGCCTAGCGCTTTTCCTCGACACCATACGTAACAGTCGATCTAAAGTATCCGAAGGTTGCGTATACATTGTTGACTTCATGACTACTGTTGTAGATTCGGACATCAGCACGGGTGTTGCAACACCTTGCCACTGCCACCGCACGAGCATCCGGCCCTCCTCAGAGGTGCTGGTACCTCGTCTTCTGAGTAGTTGGGTTTGACAAATGAATCCAAGATGGTTGCTGACCAAAGTTGCCGAGACCTCGAAGTGTTTAATTCGTCATTTCTCTTTTGCTCAATCTGTGCTCACATGCCGTGAAGGCTTCCGCGAAATTACTGCTTCACATTCTCGTTCACGTATCTAGATATCTCTTGCTAGATCAATCTTATACAGATTGAGTCAGCCGATGTTTCGTCCCAATTGCCAATGAAGTCACTGTTCCGAATCAATCACACAACTCCTCACAATCTACTTGATATTGACATTTCCGGCAAAAGAACGGCACACCAGACGGAACTAAAAGGTAAGAAGAGAGGTTCCTCAGTGATTTATCAGCGCAGATACGAGTCAGCAACATGGTATTGTGTGCGTGCATTGGCTTCAAGACGTTGACGTGCAAACACAATGACTGACTGGCTGAAAAAGACCCTAATGCCGGAGGTTGCTCCTGTTACAGAAGTCGGACCCATTGTGCTTCATCTCGGCTTTACAAGTCTCAAGGCTCTCCGCGTCGTTCAACTAGCCGACTTTGAATCTGCCTTTGCACTTCATCCGTAGGCTGTGCTCAGACATGCGACGCTCGCGACAGGCAAGTTGGATACTGTAACTGAAAGCCTCGTTCTCTGCCTGCTCTGATTTTGTGGCAGATTTCACATTCATTTGCTGGGTGTAACTCATGTCTTTGGTACTCGCAAACAGGAAGGTGCCTTGCCATCAACGTAACGGCGTGTACTCTGAAAATATGAATAACGAACGTCCTCGCGCTCTCTGGTGATTTCAAGTCTTTTTGTCTTTGTTCGTGAGCGAAGAAAATGAGTGTATCAAGACCTCCCCAATGCATGTGTTTCTATTCGATCTCTGTACGTGTGCACTCTAGGAAGAATCCCAAGAAACCTCATCGATCCTCTCTCGAAGATCGAAACCCTCTTGAGATGGGCGCCAATTTTTGCGAACGCCATGAAGACTGCAATTTTGTGCGTTCGCGCGTCCGATTACCTCTCATCCACAGCAGCATTCTTATCGTTCGACGACCTAAACCTAGACTCATTACCCGCCGATGATAGAAGCAGCTTTTGTACGCACCTATATATCATACTTTCGGTATTCTATCTCGTCTATTAAAGTCTGATTGTACGATCAGAGGCTATAAATCAAGAAGCAAAGGAAAACAAATCACTACCGCAAGTCTACCTGCACCCCTCAAGAAGGAATTGCAGTCAATCGGCAAGCTTCACGAAACAACGACACCACATCAGCATACGAGATCATGTTCCACGTATCCCTGCCGATGCCGTCCAGCTAACGCGCAAGACGAGTTGATCAGGCTCACCAACCTCGTGCTCACCTCGCCCACAGCAGCCGCTCACCCGCAGGGTTCTCGTTTCTAGCCTTCTGGCTCAGCGCTACAAGCAAGTCCACATGGTAGTACCTTTCTAGTGACGATGATCTACCACGTCATTGGCACAACAACCACCAGAGAATAACTCTTCTTCACCTTTCCTCACCCATGTCCTGAATTGCTTTCCACCTTCCTCTCCGATAGGAACCGCCGTCCGGCATTACAAGCCTTTTGCAACGAGTTATTCAACATGATCCAGGCAGTCCAACTTCATCACAGCCCTCCTCAGATAGCTGGTCATTGGTCGCCTGTGGCCAAAGCAAGAGGTTGGGAACAGTCAAAAGGCGGCAAAAAACGAACTTAGTGAGCCTCATGGGCAAAATCATCTAAACCAACTGCACCAGTTTCTTCCAGCAACTTGACCCATGATTCATGCCATTAATGCATATGAGCGGTCGACCCCAGCCATCACCTTGCATTACCTCAGACCTACGACCGAGCACGTCGCCCGAATGCCAGGCATTACAGAACTCGTTACATTATGAAAGCTTGCTCTCAGACATATACTAATCTTCTTTCACCAGCATCTCTGCCAATTAGAAGACTCTCTCCATCGTCTATTACCCACATCCTCAATCATCGCGAACAGGAGAAATATTAACAGCCCGAGGGTCGTGGAAATTAGTCTCGCGACACTCCCGCACCAGATTTGCAGGGCCGATGAGGCGAGACTAATTTCCACGACCCTCGGCCTAGATATCGAGCAGTCGAGCAAGAGGGTAATGACTAAGCGAGATAGCCGCCATGATTGGCCCTTCTTCAATATCACTTACAACTCTTCAGCTATCTCTTCTTCGATCTCTGTATCCTACAATGCTCCTGTCTATCTTCTTAATTACTCTGTGTCTGCATTCAAATCTGAATGATCTATCTTCTCTCTTGTTCTTAGCGCAAGAAACCTTTCACACCACTCGCACACTTCAAGAAAGTCGTTGAGAGCTCAGCGTCGACCTTCGATCTTCTTTATCTCAAAAATCAGCTAGGGAGACCCCAAAGTAGCCTTCGCTACGCTGCAAGACACATGGAACTGCTTGAACTCTATCTACCCTCATACATTGAGCAACAGATTCGCCTCCATTTGGCAACGAATCTTGCCAACTCTGCTTTCATTACCTTTCGTTCTATCCTGCCCAGAATCAGTACTTGGATTCTTGGGTCCACTATTGAACCAAATTACTGCATGCATCTGTTGATCTGGTCCTACGCACATATTTCTCACAAGCACTTCAATGGAGTCAACGCCATGCCACACTCATATCCTCACACCTGATTTAATCCTCGTGCTGCAGCTGCAACTCCTTTCGATGGGTTCTTTTAAGGACTTTTTCCAAATTCTTCAATGACTAGGAACACGGCAGGCCGTCAATGAAGCCGTCACTGCATCCTCTTTTTCTTTAGGTTTTACGCTGCAGCGGAGATGCTAATGCTAAAATGGCTGTTCACTAGCATATGAAATCACTATGGTCAGAGAAGACTCGACGCACACCGTGTATTTGAAGCGACCAAAAGTCGTCTAGACATTGAAACGAATGACTGTATTGAATAGTGTTCGGTATTGCATTCTACTGCTTTGTGTGGTTCAGCTACCGACTTGTGAAAATGATGTTCATCTGCGGATATAAACGAATCTATTCGAGAATTTAGTAGAGATAATTCATTATAGGCGCCGAATTAAATGTGGCTCTGATAATACCGAAAGAGATGGCATATGTATCTCAGCAGACAGCCAATAAGCAGACGCTATTGGTGAAAGTCTCAAGAATTTGGCACGCCTTTGAGGGCTATATGGACTCTTTGACAGCACTTGCTGCTAGACAGGGAGATTGGTCTCTGACACCCTGCACTGATCTTACCCGTGAACATGGAGTCTTACCTTACGGCTTCTTCCAAGGACAGCAGGTCTTAGTAGTAATGACATCCCAAGTCATAAGATCAAAATGCCAGGAGAAACCTTCGGTTCAAGTATATTCGCAATTTCTAAACCCTTGCTGGGCTGGTGTCACAAAAGTCGGCTGATCAATGCCGCCGCTAATTGAAGACTTTGACCATGAAAATCGGGTGCTTTTCCTAAATTAAGAAATGTCCTACGATGCTTTGAGGCCTATAGAATCATCCTGCAAGCATCGTCTGCGTTCGGAAGTTCGAACCGCTTCAAATCTAACGCTATTTTCTCAGCATCAGAGCCGGAGCTCTCGACAGGTATGAATTTTCACACTTGGGTAAGCATGGGCGCTCCAAAATAGCTCTCGTTGAACTCTGAATTAGCCGGCATTTGGTCTCTCAGATCTGAGGGGTGTCTGGGCAACGCTTGCGAATGGTGGACTGATTGGTACTCGCCACAAAAGGCAATCTCTTCGGATTCTTGTGAGGGAAATGGTGAATTTGGTGAAGATTACCGTATGAGGGGCCCAGCGTCACACGACTTTGCCCCCAAAATCTGTTTCCTTGAACCCCTCGCGCAGCATCTATCTCATTCCTCATCATCACCAGCACCACTTGTAGCAAGTATATGCGCACATAGTCAAGCCTCAAGCCTACCTTTCACTTATATCTATAAGCAGCATGTCCAAGGCGTACTCAAAATATTACGAAGATGATGACCGTTATGACCGAGATGAAGAGACCTGTCGGAAGGTCCTCGAACGTGCCAAAGCTATCAACATCAAGATCAGGTCGCTGGCAATCGCCAACCACAAGCTCAATCTGATCCTCGCGAAAGAGGACATGCAGAAATCTGGCTTGGAGACGCTCCGCCGATTCGCGAAATGGGCTGTCTCAGAATATCCTGCGCCGGTGGAAGTGGTATTCGGTGTAGCTGAAGATGTGCCTTTCTGGCGGCCAACGATTAGAAGAGAGAAAAGGGTTGACGACCTCACGTACACCCCAGTTCCGAGATCCAGACTATGGTAAAACGCTTGCGGGAGATCCTCCCTCATGATATTGTAGTAACTGAAAGGAAGCAGATGACCACTTCATGATCGGTCTCATCAGTATGTGTTGGAGTAGTACAAGTATGCAGGACAAATACGATGGTTTTTACGGAGTAGGTAGATACAGAATACCAACTACTACCGATGTTAGCGAGACAAGCTCAGTCGAAGACTTATCTGCACCTTCCATTAACTTATTTGCAACAAAGTGAAACGTCACAGAGCTGCATCTGGTATGGGAATTGCAAATTTCATGACGCGGAGTCATCGCCGTAAGAAAGCACTCCCTCGACATAACCACAGTAGTAAGAGGAAGTCATGGAAACACGAGCGAGATGAACGGAATGCAAACACACCTACATGTCCTCATCACTCGCTTCTTCAACATAGGCACTCAAGCCAAGCAAGCCTGCCTTCTCCCGCTTAGGAGGTGTCTCCTTTCCACCGACTCTCACACTCTCCTCTTCACCTCCTCCATCTCCCTCTTCTTCACCTGCATCCTTTCCGCCTTCTCCCTCATTCACAACCCCTCCAGCCTCCTCCATCTCCATCTCCCGCTCAAAAGCTTCTTCCTCATCCTTCAACCTCCTCGCTTCCTCCGCACTCATCTCTCGCTCTCCACCACCCTTCTCCCCCTTCTCCCCCTCTTCCCCCATCTCACCCCCTTTCCTACCCCCAAAATACCCCTTCCCTTCCAACCCAACAAACTCCTCCTCCTCCAACAACCGCCCCGGCGCCCTCACACTCTCAATCTTCCTCCTAACCACAGCAGGTACGAAAGCCCTCGTAGCCTCCGCTCTCAAATCCCTGACCTGGGCTTTACTCTCATACGTCGTCCTGACTGGCATCGCACTGGGTGGTCTAGCCGGTAGACTCGTATCTGGCGCCTCCATCTCAGCAGCGGTCTCGCTATCAAGACCCTTCGACGGCCGTGGGGGCGGTCGCTGGCGCGGTAGAGGTGGCGGCGTATCTCTAGGCCAGGGGATCCTCCTGACCTCCTCGTCCGTCTCCTCGCTATCTTGCCCGCCCCCACCATCTGAGTCCCTCCTTCGCTTGCCGAGCCCATCATAAGCCTCTCTTCCATCTCTAGGCCCCCCTCTACCACCTCTGTCTCCCCTACCTTCTTCCCTCCCCCCTCTGTCACCCCTGCCTTCCTCCCTTCCACCTCTTCCTCTCAGCCCTCCAAACGCCGGCGCCTTCTCCCCCACAGTCTCCCTCGCCTTCTTAATCCTCGCGACATCCTTCTCAAGCTCGTCTAGTTGCCTTGTATCTCTCGCATTGAGGCTGCCGGCTTGAGAAGCGCGGAGGGCGTGAAGGTCGGAGATTTGGGATTCGAGGCGGGAAGGGTTGCGAGTTGCGAGGCGGGAGGTGCGTTGAGCTTGGATTTGGGCTTTGCCTGTGAGAAGGAGATAGGGTTAGAGAGAGTGGGAAGGTAGGTAGGGGTTGGGCGGGGGAGGGGCAAGAGGATGGACTGAGGTGGACGGAACCTTTTTTGACAGCTTTTTGTTTTTCGAGCTTGCGTTGGGCTGCTGCTGGGTTGAGGGCGCGGTCTTTGTCTTTAGCCATCGCTTTGAAATGGGATGGGTATGTGAGGTTGATTGGTTTCAAGTGGTAGACGGTGTGAATGGGGTTTAAAGTGTGAAGTTTACAGGTCTACAGATTTATAAGTGACGGATGACTTCATTGAGCGAAATGACAAACGACAGCAAAATTTGGCGTGGTGATATTCAGTAATCCATTGTTTGCTACATGTAGGGTCTCCTCCTACGTTCAAAGCATGTGGATCACCCAGCTCTGATAGTACCGTTAGGTCCTGCTTTCGAGGATTATCATCCCCTTCTCACCCCCGCACAGCTCCCATTAAGGTCACCCCGATTCGACAATCAACAGTCGTCTGCCATACGCAGGATGATTGCACAGTAGGAAGGGGCTGCGAAGTTGCACGCTGGCAGTCTGAGATCACTTGCTGCCGTCACCTTTGGTGGCATCAGCAGCTTTGTTATAAAGATCTGCGAAGGGATCAGCTTTTGTAGAAGTAGAAATGAGCCATCTCGATAGACATCAAGCGTACCTGTGGCAGTATCCTGGACGGTCTTGATAGCAGTATTGGCATAGTCTTGTGCCGTCTCAACATAACCCTTCTCGCCAGGTTTCAAGTTGCTACCGCTCACGCTGTCCTGAGCTTTCTGTCCGAGTGACTTGTCACCCTCTAATATGGCACATGAATCAGTCAAACGCACCAAACAACCTCGTTCGCCGCGCTGGATTGGGGCACTACCCACCAGGCTGAACAGCGCTCGCAGCCTGATCATATGTTCCCTTTGCTTGTTCGGAGATCTTGTCGGTGTAGGACTTCTCACTATCAGGCACCAGATTCTTCTGAGCCTTGTCGGTGAAACCCTCGCGTCTGCGGCTTGGTCAGCTACACGGCATTAAAGTTGTGGCGACTGAGGCATACCCAGCGTCAGCCATGATGAAAGTTGGATCGTTTGAGCGTGAAAGAACTTTTGGATGTGATGATCGGGATTTTGTTTTGATGGCAAAAAGTGAGGTGGATTGTTGATTGTCTGAGGGTGAAGAATGAAGGAGGAGGGGCAAGGGAGTGTTTATATATCCCAGACTAGTGGAACAGGCAGCGGGGTCAGGCGCAGCTTCCTGATTGCGTCACATCGTACAATTGGCAGTGTCAGTACTACGTAAGTTGCAACACTCCGTCTCGATTATTCTGACAATCTTGTGCATGCTCGTGTCAGCCTGGTGCTCATCCAATCACCTGCCACTGTCGCCCTCTGCAAGTGCTGTTGCTATCGGCCTTTGTTCACCCAACGTCATTTTGACACATTGTCTTGGACCCTGAAGGTGGGGTTCCCCTGGCTTACCCCTGACTCTTCAGCCTCGGTCTGGGTATTGCATATCACACAGCCCACTGCCATTCTGCGCGTCGGTGTAGAGCTTCTCTTGACACGAGTATCAGAGCGCGTTAGAAGCGTTGAGCCTGTTGAGCTGGGTTTGTCATAGTATTGTGCCTGCGCCAGACAGTTACGAGTTGCACAATTACCTGGAGTGAAATAGACTCGTAGGATTCGTCTCAAGAGTATCAAAATGAGTGACGCCTGTATAGCTGAGGCTTGACTGAGATAGATGCCTGCCTTCAGTTCAGATATAGCCGTTGTTGCCCAGTACCGAAGAACTGGGGCCTGTTGCAAAGGTTGTAGCTTCGGCGCTCGTCCAAATATCCCTGCACGCACCAGTGAGCCTTGCGTTGGCGACGATTGTGATGATGGAGAGGCAACTTTCACTTACCGTTCATTGTGTATGAGGATCTTCATTTGAGTGTATGTAAAGCCAAACACCGCTAGCGCTCCTGATGGCGAAGTCTTCACGCACCTGGAGCTTCACGTCGATTAGTTCACGGATTAAGACTGCTGTTGATCTGCGTTCCTTTCCTTACACGCCGATCAGGGAGTTGGTACGTCTTGTATAACAACCAAAAGAAACTTGGTATCTGCAGAAGTCAGCTTCCCTTTTCGAGCAGTATGCACGAGTCTTATTCACCAGGCACGATCACAATCTCATTCTTCTTTGTCCGAGTTCGTAACAGTCTGACCTCGTCTCCATCTTGCATGCCTTGCGCAAAAATGTTCGACGCTTCCACAAACATCATAACGGATTTTGCGATTTCTTCGGCTGTCTTAGTCTTCGGCCGTCCTTCCAATTCGCCGCCCATATCTGAAGGTCCAGCATCGGTCGCGTGCGAAGTTCCATTGCTCAGAGCCTGATCGTTATCCGTAGAGGCCGATGCAGATGCCAGAAGGCCTGTGCTACGTATGATAGATCCGTTCTTCTTTGATAATATCAGCGTGGATTGAACGCCGGGTTTAGAGGCAAGTCTAGAAAGGTTTTCGAGAGTAGCGGTAGTCTATTAAAGTTCCACGTCAGCTTGCATTGCATGTTGAGCTCCCTTCTGCACCTTACGGTAGAGTCTCCCATTCTCACGTCCGCTCAAGGTGTCCTGCGCGCAAGCACAACCTCCACGGCTACCAAAAGGACCCCGTATATGACAAAATTCCAGTATCCGGCTTGCCACAAGTCTATTGTCTCTCGGCAACAATAGTAGCAACCGACCAGGCTTACGACGAAGAGATGATTGCGAACTATGGAGTGTCGCCACGTGTGAGGCTGATGGGGAGGTGGAAAGTCGCGGAGGCTCGTGCTTTCGATCCCAAGCAAGCTGCAAGTCAAGGTGATGTAGATGAGCAGGAGTTGCAGGATTGCTGAAGGGACAATTGGAAATGCTGTGATGGGGCCTGATTCCGCAGGGTGTGCTATCCGCCACGATTGAATAAAGAAATTGGTGAGGTTGAAAGAAGGCCCAATCATGCTTTGGGCATGTTTTCCTTACGGAGAGCGGAACGACTTGAGCTCCTGCTCGTGAAGTCCCGAGAATTGACCAATCACAACCGATCTTCTTCAGGTCATATATTCAGACTTTCTGGGTTGTTCTTGAGGTTATCACGAAAGAAAGATATCGCAGGAAAGAGCATGTGGCAACGCCCGCCATCTCAAAACACAGAGAAGTTTCCGTCTATCATGTCACATCGAACGCAGCGAAGGACTCAATCTACTCCTCATCCTCATGCTTAATTCCAAGCACAACCTTCTAAGACTTCATTTCCAACACCCCTCCGAATGGGTTCCTCCGCCCGCAAGAGAAAGAACAAGAAAGCCGACTTCGTCAAGCCGAAGTTGAAAGTAGGCAAAGCCCGCCCCAAACCCACCAACTTCACAGACACAAGCTTCAAATCAAAATGTCCGTCTTCACTCTCCCCGCAGAACGCATATTGACAGCCTACCTCAGCAATCGCCCTCCCCTCCCAATCTCTCCACACAACTCCTCTCCCTCCCTCCTCTCAATTCTTCACCCATATCTCCCACCTCCATTCCCACAACGCCTCCCAACGCTCCGACCACCTCTCAGCCCTAACCTCCCTCCTCACCCGAAACCTCCCTCTCCCAACCCCCCTCTCCACCCTCCTCGACACGCTAAACCCTCTAATCCACGACCGAGACAACCTCGTCCGTTCCCAGCTCCTCAAGACCTACGCCTCCCTCCCATCCTCAGAAATCACACCCGAGATCGAGAGAATCCTCCCCTGGATACGAGCAGGCATGCTGAATCTAAGCACGGATGTCAGGGGGAGCAGTCTCGATCTCCTCGCGTGGGCACTGCACACGGCGACGGGAGAGGTAGTAGGGTGCGCTGGGGGGTGGATCAAGACGCTGAAGACGCTTTTGCAGATCCTAGGCTGGCCACACGAGCATCCTACCACGGTTGGTGCGGGGGAGAGGAAAGACGGGTGGACGCAGGCTAGGAGCGTCAAGCCAGCGCGCGGAGGAGCGTTTTTGGAAACGAAGGCCCTGAATACCCTGGCGCTGTTTTTACGGTGCGGTTTACTCCCTCCGAAGTCGATGGAGGATCGAGAAGGGGACAGCGTCGGGAAAAGGGAGCGATTGGGGTTTCCTTTGAGAAATGTACGGGCTCATATGCTGCCCATTAAGCCTAACGCGTACGCTTATCTTAATCTGTTCGGCGCGCCGAGGGATGAGGAGGGGGAGATATATGCAGATGTTGACGAGCGAAGGAGGGTTTGGACACGGTTGGGATTTGAGGATGCGGTGAGAAAGGGGGTGGAAGGATTGAGGAGGGAAGGGGGAGAGGTGGGACGGGCTGCTGGGGGATTGGGAAGACTGTTGAGGGATGTGGAGCACTTGGACAATACTTGACCGAATTCTTGATCTCTCGATATGGCGATGACGATGCAATGGAAAGCGTAGGCGTCTCGAGGAATTACGTGAAAGGAGCACAGGTTTTCTCGCACGGGAATACTATAGATTCTTGATATTTGATGACGTGAAATGACAAGCCGAGCAAGTTGCGCCTGTGTTGTTCGTCGTCCAATAACAATCGCACTCGTTGCCCATCTACCTGACTAGCAATCGGTTCAGTATCGTGGTTCGTTCAAGACCTCGGGCTCGATCGTCTAGTTCGCCATGTATGTAGAAGAATCCACGCCACCCTCGGGAAACTCTCTGCCAATTAATTAGCCAGCGTTTCCAAACTCCATGCAAACGGGGCGCTTACGGTAGAGCAACTTCAAACCTCTTCTCAATAGCTTTTAGTACCTCCTGATCCTGATCACTGCTCACGAAACTGATACTCAGCCCCTTTGTACCAAATCTTCCGGCACGTCCAACACGATGGAGATAGCTGTCAGCATCTCCTGGCAGATCATAGTTGATTGCTAGATTGATACGCTCGATATCAATACCGCGTCCAAAGACATCAGTAGCAACACAGATTCGCTTGTTGAATTCTTTGAATTCCTTGTAGCGTTTGATACTGCGAAGGATATCAGGTCGGAAGTTGTGCGTTTGAAGGGTGAATATGCTTACCGTTCCTCTTGACTGACACCTGAGTGGACTGCAATGCTTGGGAAGTTGCACTCACGAAGAAGCTTGTCGAGTTCGGTGGCGCGCAAAGTGCTCTTGACGAAAATGATGACTTGATTGAATTCGAGATTGTCCAGCAGCTCATTTAGCTTCCGGTTCTTTTCGGCCTCACTGAGTTTGACATAAAATTGCTGAAGACCATGGAGCGTGAGCTTGGTCTCGTCATCGACATAGATTTCAAGAGGATTCTGCATAAATTTCTTGCAGATTGGCCGAATCTCTTGAGCAAGTGTAGCGCTGAACATCATGACCTGCTTCTGGGTCGGCGTGGCACGGAAGATATCTTGCACGTCGCGGCGCATGTCTATTTTGGTGTCTCAGCGATATGCCCTTCTTGAATAATTCGGGATAACAAACCAATCTGATCGAGCATTTTATCGCACTCGTCCAAGGTGAAGACTTTGACACTGTTGAGCCGCAATTTCTTTTCGCGGACCAGGGCATTGAGACGGCCAGGTGTGCCGACGATGATATGCGGATGAGTGTCCTTGTTAGATAACGTTTCGATGTCTTTCTGCATTGGGGTTCCACCGTAGAAGACCGCCGTTTTGACGTCTGGAAGGTACTTGCTGAAGCGAGCGTATTCGTTCTTGATCTGAAAAGCAAGCTCTCTGGTATGGCACATGACCAGGACGGCGCATTCTCCAGCGACTGCCTCAATTTGCTGCAGAGTTGCCAACACGAAGACCGCTGTCTTTCCCAGACCAGATTTCGCTTGGCAGAGCACGTCGGTTCCTAGGATAGCCTGAGGGATGCATACTTGCTGGACTATAGTGAGGCGATTCGAGTTAGACTTGATCCCGTAAAAAGCATGGCTGAACGCCAGATCGATTGCACAGTCCGTCCATCTCGACAACAAAAAAAAACGTAGCATAAGCCGCCTACTCTGAAGACCCTGAAACAATTTTCTCCTCTTTTCAGCATGCTGCGTCATGCATGCCACGGGCGGCGTTGGAAGTCTTTCAGTGGCGCCTTTGCTCAGCTCCCATGAATAGATGCACATCAAAGATGTATTCATCAATGTGGCTTTGTAAGAGCGTTTCTAATCCGTCATCGCTATCCGCAGCTGCAATACAGTATAGCTTGTTTCGAAGACTTATGGTTCCAGCCGCCCGTAGAGTATCATTGAACCAGAAATGTAGGAGCTCTTTACCTTCCCCCAGAGATGGACGGACTTGTGCGCGCTGCAGATTCTTGATTCAGGGCTGGGAAATGATATGACTAACCCTCCGATGGATGTTCGAAACCGCAATCGGTGATGGCCCGTAGAAGCTCTGGCTTAAGAAGAAAGTCGCGAAAGCCTGTTGAGTGTATCCCGACATAGCTGCCTTTCTTGTCTGCATTGCCTCCAGAGACGGTCAGGTCGCCTTTCTTGGCTGCTCCGTTTGTTGTTGCTGTGGTAGATGCTCCTGCATCATTTGTCTGAAGCTCTTCGTCAGAGTAATCGATGAGATCTTCTTCGGCAGACATTTTGATGAGCTGATGGTGAGAGGTAGAGTACGAAGTGGATGAATTAGGTCTGCGCAAGAGGGTGAGTTGTTGGCGAAGCCGAGAGCGTTCCTAAAACTTCCTGTGCGAAACAAATACCGTGATTCAAACCCGTGTTCAGTCTGAGTCGCAGCACAAGGTTAAGGTGTGAGAACAAAGGATGGGGATGTTGATGGTCGTGAAGTCGAAAGAAGAAAGGAAAACGAAAAGTGACTGAGAGTTGTAAGCGCCAAAAAGTCTTAACATGCGCTAGTTCTAGAACCAGGCTAGCCTCAGGAGGCTCAGCCTTACGGCTTTCATTCTCCACTGACAGTAAAGACAGTGCTAGCAGTGAGACAAAGTCCTCTACTCGTTATCCGGCTTCACACCTTTGATGCATGCGTTGGGCTAGGAGTCTAATTGCAGGTTTCCACGCCCTTTTACGACTACCGTTGTGCAATGCCTCCAGAACAGTCATATGTACATACGTGAAAATTGTTACATTCACTATCTCAAATATTTTATGACCATCGATCGCACTTTGTCTAGAGATACCCCGTTTATTAGGCTGCTCGCGACCCGCAGACTGCTGTGTTGGGGCTGGTGAGCACAAAATCGGCAATAGCCAGATCGTTTGCTTTGTCGTTGTCTATAAATCTGTATGCAGTGATGTCTTCGCGCAAATTACGTATGACTTGTCATTGAAATTTTTCATTAGCCTAGGATCAGCTACGACGACTCGCAGACTCAAAAGACCATCGATATTCCTGACTTTCACACCACAGCCGATGCTATACAGATTGACATATCCTAGCAAGCTTTCGAAGCCTTGAATGCCTAATACGAAGAGAACATTTACGACGCTCTGTACTGTTGCTGTTGGGGTATACGCAGGCGCAAAGGACGCAGATGATGGGCACACCCATGAAATACAGCGATGATACAGGCGTCCAGGGCCAATGCATGTCAGTCAGAAGCCGCGCTTTCATCATTTCGAAATCAGCGTCTTTTATGCCTTAATGCTAGGAGAGGTAACAACCGAGCGGTATGAGATGTTCTCTATGTAACTTGCCATAGATGGGTGATCAATCCCTGTATTTGATTTGTAGTACTTGGAGTATAAGGTCTAACAAGAAGGTAGAAACAGTGGCCTGAAAATCTAAGAAGCGGGTGATGACTAATCTTATTAGGGCTCCCGGCTGGCTTGAAGCATCTCTCCCTCCAATGTTCGCATTCTCATCATACGACATCTGAGCAAAGGGCGTCGTCCTCTTTTTTTCAGAAATGAGGGACAGGGCAAAGGGGCTAGCACAGAAGCACGTGCACTCCCGAATCTCGTTCCTTCACCAAGCAGCTTCTTATCTAGCTACCATTTCAAATGATTCGAATGTAAAACCAAAGGTTGAGGAAGTGCAGAGCGAGCACGTCCTTGAGAAATCTGGCGTGGTCGTGCAGGCGAAGCCTCTGATCAAATCGGTTATCAAATTCCAGGTCACATCTCACGAGCATCTGGCAGACCTTAAGACCACGGCTGGCCTTGCCCAATGTTATGTGTCCCAACTCAGAAGCCTCTCTCGGAAGACTCTCATTCGACTCACACCCGAGATGAAGCACTCAATTTGTAAGGGATGCGAAGTCCTACTGGAACCAGGCGTTACGTCTACTACATCCCTAGAGAACAAAAGTCGAGGTGGCCGCAAGCCCTGGGCTGATGTACTTGTGATAAAGTGCAAGGCTTGTGGGGAGACGAAGCGCTTTCCAGTCGGTGCAAAGCGCCAAAAGTCTCTAAAAGACAGGCAAGGCTCAAGGAGAGCAGTCTCACGGGAGGTACCTGAAGCAGCGCCAGAATGACTTATTGACGTAGGTAGCTGCTGTCTGTTCCTCGGGTCATCTTGAAATTCACACTCGCCTGAGGAAGTTGTGAAATCGACGTCCACAAGCGTTCTACAGGCTGAATGCAAGCCCCTCAGCATCATCATGACGATTCGTTGAGAGATTTGCGGTTGCTGTAAGACACGTCTCGGAGCAGGATCAGTATCCTATAGCCGTCCAGGCCTGAGAGTCTGCCAAGATAGCCATCCACGGTGGTCAGTTAGATTTCCATTCTGACCCCATGTGAGTACGTACGCAAATGCAACAATCGGAGGGTCGTGTCTAACGTCGAAAGCAGCGCTCTATTACGGCACTCGCTTCAGATTGTTGAGCTTTACAAGGGTTCCAAAAATTGTGACTGATCTGGTTTGCAGAGCTGCTATCAGTCAAAGCCCAATTAGGCAATCTGTGTTTGTTTTGGATCGGCTAGCCAAGGAATACTGTTTGCTTTTGATCACTCGGGTCCAATCAAATGGTATTCTGGTCGAACTGCCCCTTTGGCGCAATAGCTCCCGCTGCTTATGCTGCAGGCCTGTTGATGCTGTGGTGCGATACGTCGGGAAAAGGAAGTGCTACTGCAAACCACTGCAAACCACTGCAAACCCCACAGTAGAGCCTAATAATGAGTGCTGGACATGCGACATGTCAGCCTGGTCTGGACCAGACAAGGCTGAGGTGGTATTCAACTATCTCTAAGATCATCTTTCCTGCCTGCTGTCTGCCTTGTCATCCTGGGGGATTAGCAGCTTGTCATGATTTGATCAATTGATAGTTGATAGATCAGATTTCCGATTTCCCCGGACAGAAAGATCTCGCGCCGACCGTGACCCAATTGCGGGAACGAAATCTTATTTGTAAGGGCGTAAGGGCCCATCAGGGCGAACGAACTCCCAAGAAACGCTGCAAACCCCCCCTGTTCCCCTGCTTTTCTCCCACCCGCGCTGCCCAAAGCTACTCACCACAAAAAACGCCAAAGCCACCAGAAGCCCAATCGTGACTCCCAAAGCGCTGCTAAAGAGAAGCTCCAGAGCTTCTCCAATCACTTCAATCACTACTACAACCCCTCACATGCTCTCATCCCCCACAAAGCCCATTTTCAAACCGCCGGAACCAGCAAGCATGCGACGAGCGCCCTCAAGTTTATCAGAACGCGGAATCCATTGACACGAACAAGCCCTCAAGTAAGCTTCCAATGTGAGATCGAGTACATATCAGAGCAGCGACCTTCATCGACCCTTCAATCTACCCCCCACCGAGCTCGCAAATGCCCTCCCTCCCCACCGCTATCCCCGACACTGCGCTCGGCCTCTCCCAATCCGAGCTACACATTCTCCGCCAACACCAGCAGATCGCTCTGTCCGCCCAACCTACGCCTACGCATTCACATAACCCCTCCCTAGCTTCCACTCGTGGTCGAGGGACCGCTCGAGTAAGCAATAGTAGCTCTAGAGCGGCGAGCAATGCCTCTAGCCATGTGGGCGGAGGTGGGAGAATGATGCTGGATGCAGGCTCATTACAAGCTTTGGGCGCTCATTTTGAGAGGTTGATGAGCGCTATCCAGCGGAAGGTTGATAGTGTAAGCCCCCCTCCTGAGAAATCAACACTACGTATTCCGAATACATCCCATCCGTGAAAGGAAAGTGCTGCAAGAGCACTTTGAATAGGTCTAAAAGTACCATCTGCTGACGACGAGGGACAGCTGAACGCGCAAACTTCTGCCTCCATCTCTGCTCAGACCTCAAGGACAGCTACATCTATCGCACAAGCAGACAAAGAGATCGCGCGTATGAAAGACATCATTCGCATGATCGACGACCTCGAGAACGAATACGACAAGGTCAGGCATATACGGGACATCGTCAAATCGTTCCGAGGCAGGGTAGCCGGGCTAGAGAGAAGACTAGATGGGGGTGGTAGAGGGAGGGGACGATAGCAAAGACGTCACGACTCCCTCCCCTTCTGCGCCACCACCGGACATGACGAAGATTCACTCCCTCAATATTTGCGCAGAGGGCTACATAAGATCACATATCGCGAGAAACAGCCTCCATGACGCCAAGACCGGCCGAGTCCCAGAGACAAACGGCCCGCAAAAGCAGGTCTCACGACCACGCACATCCACCACCCAATACCATACACAGACCCAGGAAAGGATCGAATGACAGGACTATTTTAGAGAGCTAACAAGGGCAACCTTGGACCACGCAGTACGATGATGGAAACGAACAGTGCACACATGCGACATATTCACCACCTACCTACCTTCTATCTATTCTCAACACCACATATTTTATGATTCATCTCTTCTATTCTTCTTGATTTCGTTCAGCCAGCCAGTACGAGTACGATATGCCCGCCCATCTTCACCTTCGCTTCTCCATGTACGAGTTCATATCATAGAAAGTTTCACCTTTATCAAGCGCAAGCCCTGTGGGAGACGAGACGCCGGGAGGGAATTGTTCTAATTTACATTTTTGTTGGTATCGGAGGCTTTTTCTAGGTGGGAGGGCGGGAAAGGGGAGGGTAGAGGAAAAAGGTGCAAAGGGGGAAATGTGTATGACAGAGGGATATTTCTCGATTGTGTTCATCTAAGTAACTTCGAATCTATGCTTTCTGCCACTTTTCGTTTTGCTTTCGTGATCCTTTGAGCTTGAGGGAGGGAAGGGGGAAGGTCAGAGCGCACGATTGGTGTGAGGATGTGTGCTGGGTATAATGTAATGAAGGCTGAAGGTCGTCTGCCTGTTCCGGATGCAAGGGGAACATGTACTGAGTAGGTCTAGGGAGCTTCTGTTTAATGTATTCATTCATCGCTGTCATATCCGGTCTGTTCCTCGTTCATTTGAATGAATTTTAGGTCACGCACTTGTTCTGTTGAAGCTGAGGTATTGGGAATTGCATGGACAAAAGCATATGACAAAGCGCACGAAAGGCCGAGGAAAATCTCGCTGACGTAGAACGGTGATGATGTTATGTAAATTGAAAGAATCTGCGACAGAATCTAAGTATGTTCTGCCTGATCACCAAAGGTTTCAATACTATCAAGGACAATTACCTGCCAGAATTAAGTAGCGAAATCATAATGTGATGGTGTGGTGGTAGAGCCCTTTGTTCGATGCATTCAATCATTCCGAGATTATGACCATTCTATTTCTGCTTTCAGGACTAGGAAACCAATGATTCTTTCTATTCTCAATGAGGCTAGAAAGCTGAGTGAACTGGTAAATTCCATAGAAGCCTTTGGGAGTGTCTCAACCTTTTGAGCCAGAGCCGGGGGCAATTGAGGATGCTCAGCCGAAGGGGAGTGGTCGCAAACGATCCTCAAGCGTTCCTGCCCACTCGTACATCTTCCCCTGTTGGGAGGGCTGCGTTTGAAGTCAGCTTCCTGCAAAGCCCTTATGCAATGCTCGCAAGACGTGATCATCAACTGCCAGCGGACACGATCAACGGCCCGTTCGTAGCTGATGATTAGACGTTTGGACCACAAGGCTGGGCTGTATCAAAGATCAACCGTGGAGGTTGTCAGCCAGCTTGGGTATGGCTTGGTACAAACGGTGCATGGACCGTGGGGTCTTTTAGACGAATGTCTGAGCGTTGTCCGAAAGTGGCTTGCTGCAGGGGCAGCTGAGCTTTGTAAGGCTTGTATCACCTTTCCTGGATATGTTCAAGGCACCTCTCTCTTCGCTGGACTGTGATAGGATGTATGTGCACGACCACCATACTTTGCGCAACGATTGAGAAGAGCATGAGGCATTTAAGCCTTCTCTGAAGAAAGAGGGTCAAAACTCATACATTTTGTTGGATCATAGATACCACCAAGGGCTGTTCCCTTGATTAAAGCAGTAGAGACATCGTTCTCCCCCTTCCCAATGAAGGTGCAGCCTTATTTCTCTTGTCGTCAAACATGCTCAGTCGCATATGCAAGTCATTAGGGCGCCTTTTCGACTGCGTCAATGCGCAAACTCTAGCGGAATTTCCGGACTCGGCACTTCCCATACCTGTGGGCGGTCATTCAATGGGTATACTGTGTTGATTTTCAAACCCCTCATTAAGTTTCCTGACTCAAGAAGCATCAATGAATCGTAACGTGGCGAGATGATCGAGGCCAGATCACTCGAACCTCCCATAGTGTTATAAATTTTCCTGGACGGTGCTGCCATGACACCCTCGTTCGTGTCTTTTCATATTACTTCTCACACTGAATGCTTTCCCACAGCCCTTATGTGGGCAGATGAAGGGTTTCTCCCCGGTGTGGGAATGACTATGAATCCTTAAACTGGAGGGCCGTGAAAAAGCTTTGTTGCAGACGTGGCAAACATAGCGATCAGAAGTTTGACCGGGAAATGAAGCGGAAGCAGAAGGGGCAATATAGTGATGATGCTGATGTTGATGTTGCCATTGGCCGTTGACTTCCACTGGCGATGTTTCATCAGATTTTGGTGTTGCTGGATTGGCGTTGACTGGAGCAGCTGGTGGAAAAGTGTTCGGAAGAGGTCTTTGTTGGTACATCGACTGGTTTTCGGATGTGCTAACTTGGGAATACGTATAATTAGTGTTAGAAGTTGGTGCATCTGGATAGGTAGCGCCTTGAAAGGCTGCTTGTGGCGATTGAGGCCGTATGCTATTGCCATTAGAAATCGATGGCGGTGACCGTTGCCGATTCACCGCTGGATCTAGACTCTGATAGGTGCCACCAGAATAATGTGACGCAGTCGCTGAGGACTTTTGTGAGCTTGCAGGTGAGTGAAGTGGCCCGTCCAAACCAAGCTGTGGGTCGATAGGGGGTGACGGCGGCCTTATATCGGATTTGCTCATGATCGGTTGGCTATAACTCTGGGGTCTTCGGGCGCTTTTAGTGGTGGCTAATGGTGGCGAACTTCGTAGGTGTGATACAGAATCACGCTCACCTGGGGGCTTTGTTAGAAACACAATAGAAATCATCGTAAAAGGTTCCCTCTAGATGTGCTAACCATCAACCACTGAGCCCGGCCTGGAATTATCCATGTTAATAAGGCTTTGTATCGACGGTAAAGTACGTAGATGGGGGATATCGTCGAGGGGAGGCGACGGCGGGTACGGTCGTCGGTAAACTGGTGACGGACTTCGGTAAGGGCGAGCAGTCAGCGCCGTTGCCATTTCCTCATGCTTGTAATCACGAAGGCGGCGAGGATACGGATCAGAATGACGATGGGCTGATCGCGGAGCAAAGTCTTCCTGCGACCTGTGGTGATTCGAATTGATAATGTGAGATAGGTTCATGTCTGGGAGGTGGTGAATATCAGCCACAAGAAGTAGGAGAAGAGGATGCTGAGAGAAAAGGAAACAAATCGGGTCTGATGCATGTGTGAAGAATCATTTGAGGGCCAGTGCGCAAGCATGCTTGAATGAAAAGTCAATCAATGTGAAGGTAGTTTTTGAGGATGCCGTCACGAGCAGACATGGATGCAGACATTAGGACCTCGTGCTTACAAGGATCAGAAACGGCCCATGTTCATCATAGTCTTTAGCCTCACGTGGTTCTAGTATTTGGCCTTAATCGACCTTTCTTGTTAATTTGCTCTACAACTTTGGGGAGTGCCACAATAGTGATGTACAAGGCCGAATCTCAGACAGCGTGCAAGCGTGACACCAGGCCAGGGACCAGTTGCCGGAGGGCTCTAGACGCCGGCGTGATCCTGTTCTCCGCGTTGATCGTTTTGGCGGGGCTTCCAGTGGGATGGTATGACAGGGGCTAATAGTGTGACGGCCGGTTCACTGTTTTCACACTATCAACTATCAAGAGATTATTGTCCCGAGGTGGCGGCAAAGGAAGCTTTGGGCTGTCAAAATAAGCTGTATCCGACGTGCAGTTCTGTGTCCAGCGGCAATCCCACAAGTTCTGCTTCGCTTGTATGGGAGGAGGAGCGATAGTGCTGACGGGTAACGATCTGAGCGAGGAGTTGCTGGAGGTCGAGTGGTGTTATGATCATTACACAGAACGAGAAGTCACGAAGGTCCCAAATCGCGCCCACGAGCTCCAAGTGTATGGCGAAGCTTCGGATGCAGGAGCTCTGCAAGATCCTAGAGGATGATCCTTGGAAAAAGCCGTGTGATATCGTTCAGGGTTTAGGTTTTTCCTACAACATTGCGGATCACTAGAATTGACCTCAGACTAGGCGTGTGCCAACCGGTCGATCACTGCACCGTGCTTTCGACGGGCTACCAGTATCTTGGAGGTGCGAGCAATGACATGTTGTGCCCAAGGGTTAATAGCACCGTATTGGGGCGTCGTTGGTTTCCTTTCTTTGCTGGCAGCAACCAAACTTCGGAGTTGCCTCATACGGATGCCAAGACCACGACCTTTTCGCCGTCTACCCTCCTGGATCTGAGGACTTGACCCCTTATCATGCACAACATAGCCATACCAGCCTGTGAGCCCGCCTTCCCCGTCCGAGCCCCCGTGCTTGTTCTGCTGGTCGGGTCCGCCTTTAGCTCCCATCCAAGATCTTAGCCGTTGGACATGGGTACCTTCCATGCTATTGGGCACCACCACGCCCTTGGTACCGGCTGATCGACTTGATCGACAAGCACATTTGTCCCTCGACGATCATACGCGGTCCACCTCAAGACCTAAGGATGCGTGGTTTCCCGCCCCCTCCTCTCATTATGGCTTGCACAAAGATCAGATCATTGGCTTAACGGCTTGACCTTTGGACGAAATCCCCCTTTTCTCCGGCACAATCATTCCGTTGACCATGTGAACGTGAAACAACTACTGAGTGCTGCCTCGGTATTCTCCGAGATTGGGACATTCGCTTGGGTCATGCTTGAGATGGATCTGGAAGTCTACAGAAGCAGGACGCAAACAGCAAGTAGTGGAGTGGGTTGATGGAATCTGCACGGTAGTCGAAGCGCAAGCGACCGCCATTCGATAGGGCTCCCGGAAGACTACTGCTGGAGGCTGCTGCAAATGAAAGCCACATTTCTCCACGGCAGTTCGCACCAGACGGCCAAGCCCAATGGAACTCTGCCGCCAACCCGAGGGATGGGTGCTTCGAACCAAGGACATCTCAAAGCACAGGTCAGAAGCTGCTCAGAATCTTCCGAACCCCGCTTGGACGCTCACCATCTTATTGACTCCGCTGCGGACGGATCCCCAGCAGCTCACAAGCCCTCAACCACGAGAATAGAAGCAACTGTTTTTGGGAACCCCTTCGACAGCCTCTCCCCGAGAACAAAATACTCCTCTTCCCGCTTCCGCATCCCCGTCCCAGAGCCTGGGCTTGCAGATGGGACGGTCCGACTTCGATCTCGCTGAACAGCCAGCCCATATGCAAGTCGCCGATCGTGCTCTAAACTCGTAAACTTGGGGACACTTTCCTGTTTGTTGATAGTACCGATATGCTCCCGGGGCAGTTGACGGAGATTTATTTCAACGTCTTTCATGGAACCTATCACTGGTGCGCCTGAACGCCGCGGGCTGCGTATTAGCGAGACTGCTAGGGCATTGTTAAGTCCTATCGAAGTATGTTAGTACTCAAAATGGTCTTACTGCTATTGGCCGCAGAACATACTTTGTGCTCATCACAGGCAGCTTGCGCTGGTTGACAGCTGTCTTGTGAAGCCATCGAACTCATAAATCAGCCTCAACGTCCATACGACAGGGGTCTGTTCGTAACGCTGTAGGGACGGGGGTGGGTCTAGAGCAAGGACGACCTTAAATAGGACGCTGGGTTCTCTCTCACTAAGATTGCAACGCTACCTAGCCAGGCAAGACCTCGCAACCTGACTGAAAACCATGCACAGGTAAGGGGACAGTAATTGAGCTCCGATGCTTTGCTTGAGCCTGACGTACTTGCCCTCTACTGCTCCTCTTTCGTTTCCTTATTTGCAAAATGACACATCAAATTCAGAAGCTGCTGTATGGTTTTGGCGCTTGTGAAGTGCAAGTGCATTTTCAGACGCTTTGATCATGAGAGTGCTCTGCAGGACCTGGTTTTGGATGTAGTGCCAACGGGCAAATATTTCTATTGAACGTTTGATATTGACCCTCGCGATTCTTACAACGTATCCACGCCAGCCCCGCGTCAGTGCTGTGCATCTTTGTGTGCACTGGTAACAAAGGAAGCCCACCGGCTACTGCACGTCACTTTGGACTACAAGCCCAGAGACTTGGGTTCATTCAGGATTTCGGCTACAATCCTCACAATCTTTCATATCAATACGAACATCCGGGTCAAGGTCCCATCAATCCATCAACAGAGTTCGATTGCTCGTCTTCCAGGGTCTTAAGTATCGACTGACCGACGTTCCTATTGCCGCAAAACAACAAGGTATTGCAACCGCATCGGAACAAAAAAAAACGATCTGCCTGGTATGTCCACCTTGCATTAGTGCCTCATATGACTGCCTCATAGCCTTGTAGATGTTGTGATACAGTGCTCCCAGGCAGCTATCGCCCCCCAGGATATCTTCCACGTATTTTACAACGGCGAGTCTTGCAGTTGCAAATCTATTCCTCTTGCTTGTGTTGGACCCCAGCAGCCGCCAGGTGCTGAAGTGTTGTGATTCAACATTGTCGAACAGGAAAGCATAGGCGATTTCAATGCAGTCTCTCCGAGCAATCTGACGCGTAAAGTCGTAACGGCAATTTTAGTTCGATTGAGCCTTAAAACTTTTGTTCCATACACCTTGCCTCCCTGGCGAGTCAAGTCGTAACGGCATCTACACTTTGACTGACGTTCCACCTCAATCACTTTACATACTCTCACTCGCGCCGCTCAACCCCACCTCAACGCAACATCCCTGAGAGATGATTCGCAAAACAAGCGATGAGCGACTAGTATGAGTCAATGATACGAGCAGACCGAAAGTCGAACCCCCACCCCTTCTCTTCAGGCTGTGGCGAAGATCATGCAACTTCAGGGAGCAAAAGCGGTTGCCGAGTGGCCGCGGCTGGTGGTCACAAAGTCTACGCGAGAGAGCTCCAACTTCTTTCAGGCAATGCAAAAATGAATGCCACAGGTTACCCCGCCTCGATAGGTGATGGCAGATCCCAATGATTCCCCAAAATTTAAATTGGAAGGTCAGTTGTAGTGCTTTCAAGCACTGTGTAAAAAGAGAACGTATCAGAATGCTGAGTATGCCTGGGTCAGCCATTTTCAGCGCCGTAGACACTCAGTGAAGCCTTTCCTACCTACTATGCATGATGTGTATACTCTTACCTTTTGATCGGACTCAATAAACGAATATCAAGCTCTGAACAAATGAACAAAATTTTCTTAAGTAGGTATGAATCCAACAAATACACGTAAAACCAAGACCTCAATCGTCTTATTCATCCTGTTGAAGGTTTGACCACTTTCATTATGCCACGAACTCCATCATCGAGGGTTTTCCCCAAGAATTCGGATCCCCATCAGTGCGTCATACCCTGTTTCTTGCTAACCAAGTACACCGCTGTTCACTACATATGTGCAACTTACATGCCTAATACACCAAGCTACCTTCCATAATCCCACTGAACCGGGCTGGCAGAGTGAGATGTATCTTGTGTGATGAATGCTGTCGGTATGGACGGCAGAGATGGAGGGCGTGAATTGCTTTGTTCGAGGCCCTCAAGGGATTAAATCGAAGGGTTACCTAGATGAGGATCCATGGCTGTATACGGAGCTCAAAATTGCTGACGAAGTCTTCATTTGCAGGATGAGGTAAAACAAATACTGTTGCAAACGTATGGCAACAAAGATTGTAGAATACAGCAATGAGGATATATCCTTCTATCATTTGCCATATCTCCTATACCTGTAAAGACCGATAAACAAGGCGATGCATCAGAAGGTAAACCATGAAGTAGCGAGATCAATGCTTGCATGATATTATGCTTCTAAAAATATCTAGCACGAATATTTGATCGAGCAATGAACCCCGGGGATACATGCATGGTCATCAGCCTTTTCCACCCTCCGAACTGAAATGCATGCAATTCTGATTCCCCGCCCCAACTCCCTGCAAAGCAATTGCAAAGTCGGGCGTTCTTGACCTACTAATGCATGATCCAATGAAGCGCCGGCGCCATCCTCCCTTCCTTGTAGTCTATGTATGAGCGGTAGGTCAGTTGACCGTCTATGTGATACCGTAAATTATGTAAATCATCAAGTCGTCATGGTGCATGCTGATTATGAATTCGGCCGTTGCTGCTCCTCGATTTGATCCTCATCCTCTTCGCTCTGCCTTTCACTGACTCTAGACGTTCGAAATGCGTGGTGACCACCAGCGCTGTTTGGTCTGGACTTTCTCACGTCGAGGCTGGAGTATTCACCCAGTGGGGCTCGAGAGACTGGGTGCTGAGACTGTCCTCTCATGCTACCGTCACTCCGCATATGCGGAATGCCGTAGGTGGAGGTGTGCCGTGAATTACTTTGTGACGCGGCAGCGCTATTGCGGTAGGAGTTGCGGACATCCTCAAGACCTCCGAAATTCTCCATGTCTCGTGTGGACCAGCTGGCGCGATGAACGTTCCTAGCTCCAAATGGAAGATTACTTGCTGAGACATCCCTCAAGGCAATGCTGTTTGCTCGGCTCGTGCGGGCTGTGGTGGGTGCCACGAGTGAAACTCGAGACGCAGCCGGGTCGAGAATGCTGCTAGCGTCCTCATCATTCTCTTCGTGAATTTTTGTCTGCCGACGAACATTTTTGACATCAAACCCGGACTTTTTGGTTTCGTGAGTTACAGTGCTTGGAGCAGGCGCCGTAGGTGGGAGATCTTTGGCTGCCATCTCGATGTGAGCAAAGTATCGCTCGCGATAACCAGCCCAGCTACGAGGCTTAAAATCTTCGTGATTGCGGGTGAGAGACATGTAGCTGGATATCGCGCCGACAATGATGGCAATCAATAAGACTATCGTCAATACACCCTGTATCACGATAATCACAATGCCGATTACTGTAGTCGTGATTCGAGGTAGGTTGAAGCGAGGGTCGAAGGCAGCCGCAAGAGCAACTGTTGCGACCTTACTGAAGCCCAGCAGATAGACGACCAAGGCATTCAAACGAGCACCTTCAAACGGTTTCGCGGCGATGATAGCGAATAGAGCAAGACATTCTACCACAAGAAGCCCGAAGACTTGAGTCATGGGATGACCAGCAGCTCCACCGTAGAAGCATGCTCTGATGAATTCGTAGAAAAGCCACGCGGCGAAAAACCACCATCGTGTTCTTCGGAAACGTGCCGTCAGCCAACCTTTCTGTAAGATGAACTGCTCATCTTGATGCACTTCCACTTGCTGTGTATCGCCACGAACATAATGCACTGATTTGATAGGTAGAGACCCCAAAGAAGGCTTTGAAGTCGACTTCTCCAACCTTCCACTCTCCAATCCTAAACCAATCACTGGTACAACTCCTAGCATTCGCCGTCTCTCGAAATGCAGCCTGTTTTGTCTGACCTCGTAGTGACCGTAACGAAGGCGTTCATAACATGTTGTGCCTGCCAGATAGGACATTGCAGCAAAGAACACGATGAAAACAAGGGCAGCGATTGCTGTAGCGCCGCCGTATCCGTGGAAGGTAAAGTGGAAAAGCGTGAGGAACATCATCATGAAGAACCCGATGAACATTATCCGTGTAGTCGTTTGGACCGCGTAGGATATCCAATGGACTCGAAAGTAGCCTAGTCGATCAGTCTTCACTATATTTTTCTTACTGAGACCTTCTAAGATCCATTTTAATGCCACAACCGCGAAGACCATCAAGACAACAAGGATTAAAAACCACAGAAAGCCAGTCATGAAAGCGTTCGAAGCCGGTATATTCTCCTGTGAGAGTGTACCTGCGAAGCCAGAATAGTTCCCGGGGATTGGCAATCCGGGTTTGACGGGCGTCCCGTACCACGGCGATGCAACGCTGTTGCTCGATTGGTCTCTTTTAGCGATAGCATGTTCTATGCTTCGTTGCATTAGAATCTTCCTAGAGTCTTCGGGAGAATCGGTCCATCGCTTGTAAATATCAACTGCCGTTCGCTTGTAAATCTTAGACAATTGATACCCTCCACCAATGCTGTCTGACGATGGTCCAGAGCCTGCGGCGCCGACCATGCTGATGTTTCCCTTATTTGAGCCAATCAGTTGATTGATGCTGTTCTGCATCGATTCGCTGTAGATCATGCCACCAGCCCATGCAAAATTGCTCCACCATGCAACAACAACGCTTGGCCAATTGACGGAGAGGGCTCCGGTATAATATATATGATGGAAGACGGCAAAAACGACGAAGATCGATAGTGAATGTGCGTAATGTGTACGCACTGTGGGGATATGGCTGCCATAAGCTATTGTTGCAAAAGAGGCAACCACAGCGACGAGTGTGAACAAGCCCAGCACGGTGCCGACCGCTACTGGTTGTGAGAAAGTTGCTCCGTTGGTAATGATTGCCGAGTAGCAGCCGATCTCTGATCTTGTTGAATTGGCAAATACGCGTAGGATAGCTTGGCCCTCTAAGTCTGGTACAGACAAAGCTATCGGAATGACACCAGCTACGTCACTCTGGGACACAGGGATGATCCCATTGGCGGTGATGGGTACGCTGCGATTCATAGGGCAAAGACTTGAAGGTGTCAGTATTTAACGAATATACCTCATCGAGAGCTGGATTACTTGCCTGTATATTTGGGCATTGCACGGATTGAAGGTGAGATCAAATCGAGCCTCGCCATACGCATATACCCCGATGTACACTAGCTTCTCATCAGCCTATTCATCATGCGTATATACATCTCACATTCGTACTCATCAAACTCTCATTGGCGACGTTTGTGTTTCCCTCCAAATGGAATAGCACAGTCATGTTGTCTTGGTAGTACGCAGCGTCAAAGCGAGTGACATTGATCAGTGAGCTGCCTAAGCAGTCCCCGAAATTTTGAGTGTAGATGGAGGGTTTTCGATCATCAGGGACGAAGACATTCTCGCCATCATCTGTCGTTATCGGTACATATTTTGGCGCCGAGGAAGCTTTGGTCAGAGTCGAGAGAAAAGAGAGGAAGACCGCAAGCAGGACTAGCGATTGCTGCAAGGGTCGAGCCATTGTAGAAATGACAAGATATTGAACGAAGGTGAGGCCGTCCGAGATATCCGCGACCTTCTAACGAGTGGAGGTGTGCGTGTACAACGTACGCCAAGGTGAGATACTTGGAGGTCCAGATAACGGTCCGCCTAAATCACAAGCTCGTTGTATGCGGAATCCGGGGGCGGAGGTCCATTCTGAGATCACTGCTAGGTACACCAGCGAGGAGGGCGCTGGAATGACCGACAGTGAGCAAAGGGGGGGAGGTGGAAAGCGCAATTGGGAGCTCGTATAGTTCTATGGGGATAAAACGTGTGACAGGGAAGCTGCGGCAAAAGTGGAAATTCACATGTGGCTGGCTAGCGCGCACGGCACTTTGCGTTGCACCATCAATGCTCCCTGCAATCTTCAATGGCTATGACTTCTTCTGCATTTACTTTGCCATCTTCCAGTAACACGCAATAAAGCCCATATGGCGGGTACATTCAAAGCCATGGGATTTTCACATTTCAATAATTATGGCGATCTCTTTCTGAGAGGAGCTCGGTCGATCCCTCACTGGCCGCGTAGCTCCCCCGCCGTTCCTCTCTAAGGGCCCGCAGAGCCCAAAGGATCAGGGACCTGCCGGCGCTTGGATCTGACATCTCTGGGCGGCGCAGGGGTAGCCGGGCCCCGTAGATTGATGCATTCGAGTCAGCAGCCGTCTACATAGGATGTGTGGTATCTCTAAAGGAGAGAAGTGAAGAGAAGTGAAGAAAGTAAAGGGAAAGCAGAAGGTTGATCTGTAGTGGGAGCTTCTATTCATCTCGCTATCACGCGTCTAACTTCAATTTATCTAACAAGTCATCGATCTTCTCCAATAGGATCTGATAATTTCTTGCCTCCCCAGCTAGCTCGTCATCAACCTCCTCGCCGTCCAAGGTTCTGATCCTTCCAGTCTCCATGGATCCGGGCAGAGCAATGCTCTGCTGCAGTGGTAATCCCACATCGACGCCCTCATCTAAAGGGTTCGACCAAGGCTTGTCAACTCCGTGCTGTTGTTGTTCCTCTTCCAAGGCCTTCTGCTGTGCAGCTTCAATATCCTCCTCCAACATCTCCTCGATGCCGGAGTCTTCAAATCGAAGCCTGAAGCGCTCGGAGAGATAATATCGTATGTCATCCAGCAATTCAATTGTATCGGTTTCTTGTCGAGCCTGGATTCTCCCAGCACTTTCCTTGACAATCACTTCGAACTCGGGCTCATCAACAAAGGACTCGAACCGCATGGCGATGTAGCGAGCTGCAAACTCTTCTAATCGGGGAACATGAAGCTGCCAAGCTGCGCGAATGACTTCGTAAATATCGAGTACATCCTGTGCTTGCCCGGTAGTCGATGGAACTGAGGCGTCCATTGCATCTAGCCGAGTTGGGATCTGTGACATAGTGCCGCTTCCCAAAGTACTGATTACGACTGCCGCCCTCATCTTCAATTTATCAATAAACAAAGAGTCTGCAGTGTAGAGTGCGTCGAGAGCAAGTTCCAGAGGGATGTCCGTCTTCTCCGTGTAAAGAAAGGTAAGCACAATTTCCAGTACCTCTGGCGTACAATCAACATATATGATATGAAGATGGCCAGGAGACTGAGCTTCGCGGAAGGAAGATGAAAACATTGCGGCAAAGTATTCAGAGCGCATGAGCATGGCACGGTGCGCGGGAAATAGTACGGACTTGCGGGATTCTCTCAACGGCGAAGACGAACGCGACTGCCCGGAGAGAGGTCCAAGTGGGATTCCATTCAGTGAGCCAGCGGTATGCCGAAACATCTGCTCCAGGTGAAATGACTGGGATTCTTCGGCATCTGCAATTTCGTCTGCCCTTAATAAAACATCTGCAAATATGCTGTTATTCCTGTCCCATCGCACTTCACTAGCGGTGTCCACCGTGGTGGTCACTTTATGTCTCAGGACGCTCTCAGTAAACCAAGACTCAAGCTGGTCTCTGCCTTTCTCGACTTCAGCAGTCCGCTTTTGTCTCGCAATTCGGCGGTCACTGTTTTGCAGGATCGCATCCCACAGATCACGAATTTCCAAATGTTTACTAATCTTGTCAAGTGCTTCTAGAATCTCATCTTCCGTAAACCCAGTGCCTGGTCCTCCACCGACTTCATTTGGCAACTCGCCCAGATATAGATACCTGATAGCAATGCTGAAAGCTTGAGGTGGTAAAATGGATGGCAATTTCCAAGATGTTGCATCGGAGGCGGCGGCCAACTTCTTTGAAAAGTAGGGCGACCTGGAGGAGAGGATAAACTTATGGAGACGGAAAGACTCTTGATCCGCAGTGACTAGAATGTCAGATGTCTGAGGATGCTCTCTGCTCAATAAAGAGGTGATATACGAAGCGAAAGGCTGCAACGGATCTGTGGACTTTGAGTAGTCATATTCTAGGAGAAGTCTTCGGATTTTGTCATTTAATGCATTGTAGAGACACCTCTCGCCCTGAAAAGTATCTCGTTCACACAGCGCACCGGACTCAAGCAACAGCTGCACAACCTCATAATGGCCGCAAAGACTTGCCTGAAAATTGCATGTTAGTACGCCCCTTCTTGGCTTCTTCTATTGCTTACTATCGTACCAAGATCAACGGCGTGTAGTCGAATCGATCTCGAGCATTGAGGTTCGCGCCTTCGGTCAAAGCCTCTTGACTGCCCTTCAGATCTCCGCGACGGCAGGCATCACAAAGTTTCAGGAATACATCGCTTGTGTCAAGTGGATTATCTTCCCTCAGCGTACCGTCTTTGATGAGTTTCTGCTCTTCTTGAAGACTGGCTTCTATCTCGACCTTTTTCAGAACCATCCTAAGAGAAGATCGGATGCGACACTGACCAGCAGCTGTCTGGAAAAGAAGAAATTGGAGTCGCCATACGTCATTAGAGAGCTCTCTCTTTGGTGCTAACCCCTTTAGTGCCCGGCGTTCGTTGCTCGGACAACACCCGAATAGTAAATGTTAGCCAAGCCCTCAGCCTGGCACAGCGCAATAGGCTTGTGGTAATGAAGTGTGCTTTCATCTAGCATCGGCATTTGATACTTGAAGGTACTACTTTTGCTTCGAGCTGCTGGCAGGTCATCGCTTCCGTTATGGCAGACTCGGAGAAATACGAGGTCTTGCAAACCATTGGTATGTATTGAACTACGTGGTTCTTTAGAGTAGGCGCATGCTCAATCTTCGCAGGTCATGGTTCTTTTGGAGTCATACGGAAGGTTCGCCGCAGATCGGATGGTCTCGTAAGCTTCGAATGCCCAAAATGAAAGCGTTCATAGCCTTATAGCCATCCAGGTTCTTTGCCGCAAGGAAATCTCGTATATCAAGATGTCACAGAAAGAGCGAGAACAGCTACACGCCGAATTTTCCATCCTCAACTCACTCAAACACGCGAATATAGTCGGCTACTATCATCGTGAACATTTGAAGGCCACCCAGGAGCTGTACCTGTATATGGAGTATTGCGGCGGTGGTGACTTAGGAAAAGAGATTCAGAAGCTGAAGACTAAGAACCAATATGCGGATGAGGAATATGTGTGGAGTGTGTTCTCCCAAATCGTTGCTGCTCTCTATAGATGTCATTATGGCACCGATCCTCCAGAAGTTGGGAAAGCAGTCGGTCCTGGGGAAGAGGTTAGGACTAAATTGAAGACTAAGGACACGGTCATGATCCTGCATCGAGATCTGAAACCTGAGAATGGTGAGTAGTGTCTATCAAAATTGCGTACGAGCTCACAAAGGTAGTCTTCCTCGGCGCAGATAGTTCGGTCAAACTTGGAGACTTCGGCCTCTCCAAGCTTATGCAGTCTCACGATTTCGCTTCGACATACGTTGGCACCCCATTCTATATGTCGCCCGAGATATGTGCTGCAGAGAAGTACACACTTCATTCCGACATTTGGTCACTGGGCTGCATCATGTACGAGCTTTGTGCAAGGACGCAACCCTTCAACGCCAAAACTCATTTCCACCTTATCCAGAAAATCAAGGAAGGCAAAGTTGATCCACTTCCAAGCGTGTACTCGCAGGAGCTTCAGAGCGTCATAAGAAGCTGCTTGCAGACCAACCCACTGAAAAGACCAGATACGGCAACGTTGCTGAATTTGCCTGCCATGCGGATAATGAGGAAGGAGAGAGAAATGGTTGAGCTCGGGCGCGTGCTCAAGGATAAGGAGGAGCACGCCACGCTTAAGGCTCGCGAAGCCGACGCCAAGGTCATCAACATGGATAGCGAACGAGAGAAATTGAGAGCTGAGATCGAAGCAACACTGCGAAGAGAATGGGAAGTGAAAGCGGGGCTTGAGATCTCAAGGCAGGTACAGCTTGAGAAGGAACGGCTGAACAGGATATTCGAGAGTGAATTACAGTTGAGGACTAAAACAGAGGTCGAGAGACAGCTTCGCTCGAGGTCGTCATCGAAAACGTCACAGACATCACAAAACTCTGAGCCATCGAATTCTTCAGCATCTTCGAGAAGTTCACTTACCTCAGAAACACTATGCGTCAGCTCAAACAAGGATAGTGGCACCTCGCCCGAGTGCGAAACTCATTTATCTTCGATTAGCACCGCAGCAGACACCGATTTTCCTTCATTTACAGACTTGAGCAGCCTCTCACTAGACTCACCGGCAGCAGGGCCGATTTCAAAGCCCGATGAAATCAAGTCAAGGACTCCGCCCCAAAAGAGGCCACGCGGTCCTCTTGCTAGGGCGAGAACACAATTTGACTCGCCAATGGACATCCAGATGGTCGACCCGTCGCCAATGTCAATTGCTTGCTTATCGCTTTCACCACGACGAAATGAAGCCGCACAGACGACAAACATTCCTATTAGGGGAAACATCTTCGCAACCGCAGCCAGCAAGCGGCTGGCTCCAAAATTTCGATCACCTCGCGCCTCGTTCATCGCCGAGGAAGATGAAGATGAGGATAACATACCAGACTTACCCTCACCAACTCGGCCTCCACTAAAGATGCCGGATCCCTTCAAAGCACCAACACGACCTGGCATGCTTAGGCAAAAAACCGCACCTATGAATCGTCTGAATCCTCAAGCACCTAGGCTATTTACGCCAACAGCCGTAGAGCGACCCTCTCGCGTACCATCACCTCCAAGTAATAAACAGACAGGGGGCTTCTCACCGGCCAGGAAAGCCCCCCAAAACCGCCGTCAAGCAGTACGGAGAACGACATGCTCAAGGCTGTCGTAAATAGGAATTTACAGAACGCCGGGGGAGAACACTAGTGGAACTCGCGCAAGCTAGGGCAGGGATGCCGAGCCAGGCGCAGAAGATTGAGAAGATCGCTCTGTTTGGGGACGGAGGTAGTAGGAAGGAAAACGTGCCAATCTGGGATCCGGAGAAGGATGAGATGCCGAGCCCTTTCTTGGTGAGGGGAGGCAAAGGTACGAGGAGGTTGTGATGTATATTGGAGATATGGATGAGATGCTGAGTGTTGTGTAAAGGCTTGCGAGTCGTGTTGGATGATGGCCTATGGCGTTAAGAGCGAGCGAAGAGACTATGCAGATCGATTTCAATACCAAACCCTTGGTTCGAAGTCGGATCGAAAGGGAAAAGAATCCAAAAACGAGTACGCCTGATTTTGGTGGTCAATTGCGCCTTGCTCTCATCCTACGCCTTCAGTCACTTCGCTGCTTAGTACCAAAATGATAGCTCTGGTGGAAAGTCTTAGCTGTGTGCTAGTTTATTGGCTTCGAAGCGTATGATACCTCCGAAAGACGTACTGGAACCTAGTACGGAAGAAGCCGCAGGTGCACACCTTCACAACGAAATTGCACTTAAGGTGGTATAAAGCCTGAGTCGGGTCATCCTCATTATGTAAGACTTCAAACGCTCAGGTGAGATTGTATTCACATTCCTGGCCGTCAACTTCTGATGTAGAACGACTCGCGCAGGCTTAGAGGTGCGGTGAGACAAAGGAACATCATAGAGTTAGGCAAGCTGCCGGTGTATGGAGAGATGGGCAAATTTAGAAGAGTATCAACTTAAAGCCTTGATCTGATAGATGATTCCTCAACAATATATTTGAAACAGAAGGCCACGGTAAACACAGTGCTCGAAAAGGTATACTGTGCGAACATTGACGCAGCTTCCGAGCAGATTCATCTCAACGTAATATGACCAATTGCGACGCACAGTCACTGAACTGTTTTCAGGTATTTTTGATATGCAAGATGGAAGCGACTTTGTACAACTTTTTGATTTGTCGACGAGTCGAAATGGCGAACTTACCTAGAACATTACCTGGCTCTCAGTATGTCACCGATTTCGTTGCGTTCAGCAGTGCATGAGATCGGCTTTGTAATGAAGCCGCTGCCGCACATGACTCCAATTTCCCATGTAAGAAATCGGTGCCAGTACATTGAACTCGCATCATTCATGGACGTCTTTTTCGAAGGACCGAGCAGCAACTTAGAAGGTCGAGCCAGGCCGAGCCAGCTCATAAAAGTGTCGAGCTTCTGTCTTGTCAAGTCTATAGACGCGAGGATCTGTCATTGAAGCAGAGTAAATTGATTGCACGATGTCTCCATGTTTTCATATGAGAAGGCTCCTTGCTACCGTCACAGAAGGCGGGTAATTAGGCCCCCGTTGCGCACAAGATACTTCTGTGGCAGGTTCTTAAGAAGCTGATGGACCGTTCGGGTTTCCGACGACCTCGGCCAAATACATTGAGATTGGAGATTTGTTGGCCAAAGAAGACCAATCGTGGATCAAGAGGAACCAGTAAGGATTTGATAGCAGCGTCTTGCGGAATAGCCTGCCAAAGGGGCCAGCTGCTCTTTAATCAACAGAGGGCAGCCAACATGCGCCTAACAGCAATTAAGATCTTCAGAATCGAACGATTTGGCTTGTGAGGACGACTACGCCATGAAGCAATCAACTCAATCGTTTCAAGACTGCAGAGCCGCCACCAGAGGTCTGGGCTCCCAAGACCTTGTGGCTTGCCTAAATGTTGAAGGCTTGATAGTAAAGTGCTGGCAACGGTTTCGGCGCTTTCGAACTTTCGAAGATGACATCGACCGTTTTGGGACGCGGGAGTCCTAGCTTCATTTAAGCTTGTCAAACTTACGATGATCTTCGCCACTCAGCGGCCAAAGAAGGAGCCAAGATCTTTGACATCTGCCCTGCAGGGCAGCGCCAGATCACTCACGCGTCTCAAATAGGCAACCGAAGCTATTCAGAGCTTCAACTATACCCTAGCTCATCTTATACGAATGCCACTTGTTTGGCGAGCGTCCGCACCCACGTGAGTTCGATCTTTATTAGTCAGGGGTATCTGGCATGGTGGGGTCTGTGCCTATACGGCGATGTACATCCTGATTTCCTTTGCGGGCTTTGTATTTCAAAAGATTTTGCGTCTTTGAGTTGCGCCGGAGGAGCAGCTTCCGGCGGGACGTTTCTTATGATCTTCAACCAAAAGCTCTAAAAATAGGCAACTAAGCTGTAGGGCCGGGGTCAATGGTAGGCCATTCCCGCACGGGAGGCTCTTCAGAATGTGTATACGAGGGATTGTCATGGACCGAACAGAGGCGATGGTATCGAGAATCGATGATGGCGATCAGAAGTGGCCTCCCGGAAGTCTACGAGTGTGGGGATAGCAAACATGTTCTGGGCGTCTGATGATGATGCAAAGTCGCAGTGCGGAGGGATGGCGGAAGCGCCGGAGGCCAGCAAGATTGGAGCTTTTGGGAGATTGGAATACGAGCTGTCATGCAGGTCGAGCTCTGGCCAGGTCAGCACTCGGTGCCCCTGGAAAGCATAACCGATGTCAGATTGAACAATCTGCTGTCTGTGTGTGTCTCTGCTGACCCAACGAACGACCGTGCTACAGCTGTCGGCACGCACACATGTAGGGTACAGGTGCAATCTCTTTCGCTGGTGGGGGAGTCCAGGGAGTACTCGTAGCGAGCCAAGCAACATCGCGTCTCAGGATGATTGCTGCAGCTTATGCATGTCCCCTCGGTCGGTCTCAAAGGAAGAAGCCGTTGCGGCGCGCCAGACCCTTGCCTGATGCTGCGTCACTACGACTACTAGGTAGCAAAAGCTTTGAGGGTTTGGAGATGGCCTGAAAGCAACGCTAGAAGCAACTAAAGGGCAGATAGCTTAGATAGGTGCGACCGCTGACCAGGGAGCCTCTGCGTGTATCTTGCGTGTCTTTTCGTTGAGAAGTGCCCTGTAATCTACCGCGCTTCGCCTCAGACTGGTGAAAGAATCTCAAACGCCTAAAACGAGTGATTGCCGTCGAACTTGCTAGGGTTCGTCGTCTGCCTATCCTCCCCAACCTTGGCCCGACCATGGATATACGAACGGCCATCTGATCAGCATCACATTGTCTCGATAGAACCGCAGGGCAAAGACAAAATCGCTGTGACTGGGGGAACAGATAGGGACAGAGCGACCCAACTAGAATTAGCGTCAATCTCCGGGGCGCCTTTTGGGCTAGTACCGAAATTCTCACTTCCCTCAAAGCTGCGTTCACAACCTCTCACCAACCACCATTACCACCAGCCATCCACCTCACCGTCTCTCGTTTTCCCTCGTTCGTTTCTCAACAGTCCATTGCGACATCACGATCGTTACTCCAGTCCAACAGCTATCCTGTGGCCCCCGCTTGGATCTAACATTCACATTGCCTTCGATGCTACTTTTTTCCGCCCGAGAAGCTGGTTACGACGGATAAAGGAATTCCCTGCCATCATCGCGGCTTTGAGGCAGCCAGGGCACTTGAGTAAAAAGATACTACGTTCGTTGTCTTTTGGGGGCTTCCAGCGCACCCACAATGGCTCCCCAACCACCTCGTCTCAAAGTTCTCTCGGGTACGTTCGAATTCGATGGGACGCGTGCATAAAATATTCTTGACCTTCACTTGCTGACAACTGTCCATCGAACAGTTGGTGGTAATGCTACAAGTGCATTCATGTCATGGCGCCTACAGGCAACCAATGCTTGCGATGTGACACTGGTCTGGAAGAATGGCTACGATGCTGTTTCACAATATGGCATTTCATTCAAGTAAGCTCGCTCTACATTCAAGCGCCCTTTCCACGTCTTCTTATTGACCGATTTAGGTCCAAATTGTTCGGAAATGAGCGATTCAAACCTCGTCATGGTAAGTTTTCGTAATTGGGATTTTTTTCTGGCTCTGCAAAGCTGACGGTTTGCAGTGGTGAGGAGCCCTGATGACGCTTCGGGTCGAAAAGGCGCCTTCGATTATGTTCTACTTTGCGTGAAAGCCCTACCCGACGTCTATGATCTCGCTTCGGTCATAGAGTCCGTGGTCACACCTCAACACACCTGCATCCTCGTCAATACTTCACACACTTTGGGAATCGAATCTCATATAGAGCAAAGATTTCCAACCAATGTTGTCTTGTCCTTGGTGTCTGGAGCCGAGATCGTGCAATTAGGAGCTAGTGAATTCGAACACATGGGCGCCACGGATGTCTGGGTTGGGCCTGCAAACAAGAATGAGACTATTCCACCCGTGATCCAGAAGGATATGGCCGACGCTTTGGCAATGACTTTGAACACTGGGCAAGTTGATTGCCAAGTTTCCGAAAACATCAGACAGCAGCAATTCGAACGAGTCATTGGGTAGGTTTAGGGCAGAGGCTCTCACGTTTTGCACTTACGCTGACCTTATCTAGTCCTATCGCCTTTCATCCAGCCAGCGTGTTGTTCGAAACACCGACGCATTCTGAACTCATCGAGAAAGTAGGGGTGCGTAGCATGGTGACAGGTATCATAGATGAGCTGCTGGAACTAGCAACCTCGCAAGGCTGCATATTTGGCCGAGATTTTAAGCAGTCCACAATCCATAAGATGACTCAACCACAGGACAGTACTAGCATCATGTATCAGGACTTCGCCGCAAAGCGCCCGATGGAGGTCGAGACGTATCTTGGGTCTCCAATCCAGTTGGCTCAGGATACAAACATATGCTGCCCGAGAATCGAAACCCTCTACGCCTTGATGCACCATTGTAACATCGTCAACCAGCAAAAGCCGCTACCCACACCGGCACCAAATGCGGGGGCTGGTCCTGTTCCGCCTCCTGCACGAACGTCGTCTAACGGCCCACCACCACCTCGCCCACCGATGAACGGTGGTCCAAACGGCATGAATGGCAATGGTGCTCGAGGTGGCCGAACGCCTTCCATGGGTGGTCCCCCAATGCGTCGCGGGGGAGGGCCGCCTATGAACGGGTACCCTCCAAGACATGCTAACGGTTACCCTCCGCGGGGTCCATCCAGCCAACTGTCAAGACGCCCATCCTTCGAGGGTGAGGATCTAGGGGAGTTTAGTCACGTTGTGCTTTATGGTGATATTCCTGAAGGTGGCGTAGCTCCGACCTATGGTGATATGAGCAATGGCGCCCCCAATCCCTCGGACCTCGCTTTGCGTGAGCGAGAATTGTCGCTTCGCCAACGAGAGCTGCAGTTAAGAGAGCAGGAATACAGAATGCGTCGTGGAGGTGGAAGAAGGCCAACCCCTTCAAGAGGGGGCTTCGATGATGACGATGATGACGACGACTTCTTTGATCCAGCGGCCAACGGACCACCAATGCAAAATGTTGACCCTGAACAGATTGACATGATGAGCGTCACCTCTCGCCGCAACCGGAGGATGCCTAGCCATAGCCAAATACGACAAAACCCGGAAGGTATGATGGGTCGACCTGGTGGCATGCGTCAAAGCTACGGCAGAGGAGGTTTCAACGGGCGGAATCGATCGTCGGCACAGCTAGTTGACAGCAGCATGCCCAGCTTGCATGAAAACCTTCTTGAGAATCCAATGATGGGCTATTCTTCCAATAGATATGGCAATGTTGATAGGAGAGAGATGGCTACCGAATCTCGGACAAACTCATTGACGGCAGCGCGGCTAAGTGAGCTGCAGGGAGCAGGTAACAACGCTGGCATGAATGGGGCATACCCAAGTCCTTCGGTAGCACGGAGAACTAGCCAATCTCCCGGCAACCCTTTCGCGGGGAGTAACATGCGGAGATCATCACCACCAGAAGCGGGTTATATGGGTCCGGGTCCGATGCAGCGCAATGGAGGCCCGTCGCCTCCAAACATGCGCCAGCCTGTCCCACGCCATCCGCCGGGGCAAGGAAATTCAGTCGCACCTCACCAGGTTGAACAATACGCAGGGGTGAGCAACTTGTACCCCCCAAGGGCCCTGTCCAAAAGACCGTACGTAGTCTGACTGGTAGTGCGAGCGCCAGCGCGGGGAGTGGCGATAGTGCTCCTGCCGATTCCGATCCTTCCGCCCACAGCAGCCAAAGCAGCCTTGCACCCCGCCTCAACAACGCCCGCTATCCTGTTGGACAGCATGTCGGCGCCCATTAGGAGGCCGATCGCAACGAATCAGCCTTCACACCTATCCCTCATCACGTTTGAGAGCTAGCAAATCTGTCAAATGTACTCGACTTACTTTTTTGGACCAAGACGTTTGATTGCGGCGTCCAGAATTGCATTAACTTCGATTCTGCGCACATCGATCCTTTACCTTCTCCTAATTCGCCATCAGTCCAGAAGAGTATGTTTTGGCAACTAGAGCGAAGTTTAATGGCATCGAGAGTGGGAGGCTATGAGCAAGCCTCTAACACGAAAATAACAGTACACGACACAAAAAGATTCGATTCTCGTCTAATCGTACATACGCACATACAAGTTCGCGGGCAAGCAAAATGCATTTTCAAAAATTAATAAACGTTATAATCTGGCATCTCAACATTTTCATGGCGTCCTCGTCCGCTATCGTTCTCTGGGGGTTTCCGGCTTTGAATGTGGGATGGGTTGTGGATAGACATGGGGAAGCCTAGCATATATAGGTGTGGGTCTGCATGAAATGACACATGGTGGAGCGCAAGCGAGGTACAAAAGGAGAAGTGAAAGCGCGTCAGTGGGGCCTCAATGACGAGCAGCTGACTTTGCTGGTACGGTGACTGCGTGTTAGCTAGAAGATCATGGCATCTAGGAATGAAAATGAACCAGACATATGTTTTCGTCCCTTGACCCCACAACTTCAAAGCAATGTGTTTTCTTTCCTGTACGAAGTGTTGAGTCGGTGTAGAAAAGAGTGATTACCTGGTGAGAAACACAATCCCGCCAACCTCTATGACTTACTCCACCACACTCTCCCCAATAACTCACTCAGCACAAGGACCATGTCCAACCACGCCCGCCCCTCAACCATGCACATCAACTCTCACCAAACACCTGGCGCCCCTCATAACGCGACCGCTTCCCACAACGCGTCCACAGCCTCTGCTCACACTCCCTCTAGCAGCACAATCAGCAGCAATGTAAACAGAAACAGACAGTACACGCATCTCCACGCGCAACTCGCCCAACTGAATGCCCAAATGGCTGATATGGAGAATCTGCTTGGTATGACCGCCGTGCAGGCGGAGTATATGCGGGGATTGGGGGGTTGGTGGGGTGGCGCGTGAGTCTTACTCATCCATTACATCTGACAGAGGAGAGGGTGGGAGGGAGTGCTCATTAGGATTTTCGTGCTGAGGAGGTATTTTGACTGATGCTTGTCTTTTCCCTACAGGTTTATGGCTGCCTCAAAGATTCTGGGAGAAGAGACGGCGAGTGCGGCGGCGGGCTCTGTGGCTTCGAAGGGGGAGAAGTGAGGGATCGAAGAATCAATGGCTCTTACATGCAGTGGTGCGATGCATGGGAGTGAGATTGGATGTCATGGGAAGTATAGACCGAAGGAGCATGGGTCAAGAGACAAGAGTCAAGTGGCGACAAGAGTGATATTGTACGTGATGAAGGGGTTGGGGACTCGAGGCTGTCTCAACGCTCTACATGATATGGAATGACTTGACGACTGCGTGTCACATGGATTGAAGACTGAGAGCGTATGCTCTATAGGGACATTTTAGAGACCATGCTTCGAGCCTGATGGGTTGGGAAGGATAAGACTATTTGAGAAGAAGTGATCACTGAGCACTCAATCTTTCTGTTTGAATGTGTACTCGCATGTCTCTATAAACCATCGCCGTCTATCCACCAGTCCACGCGCCTGCGTCGTTGCCCTTGTTCTCCCGAAACTATGTACACAACATATAGTGCAAACCCTATCTTTATTCCATGCATGGCTCGTCACTATCATCGCTGTGTTCCCCAACGGACCCTAGGATAGTTCGTTCCCAACAACCAACACCTCGGAACTCCTGCCTAGATGATTACTCGTAGAAAGACTCCTTCACATAAGACAGATAATCAGAAAACCCATAAATCAAATTACATTGCGCACTTCTGACACTAGGGTCAGACGCGGTGATATCACTTTGCGAGTCATTCCAAAAAGAAAAAATTCCACAAAATGTAGACCAGCCTTGTAAGATAGAGTAGAAAGATCAGAAGATATTGCTGGCGTAAGAGTGTTCGTGTGTGGTGAGAAGCTTTCCGCAGCTTTGCAAGGAATGCCGATCTTGGAGATTCAGTGCGTGTTTCCATTAAAAGGGCAGGCTCGGGCGAAATTGCTTCTTAGGCAACCATCATAGCCAAGTTCGACGGGACGCTGGGTGATGTTCCTCAATCGTGTTTGAAAGAATCTGGAGAGAATGTGAAACGATTCAACTTCACAAGCTCATGGTGAGCCACTCCCATTCTTGACTCCCATTACCAGGCCCACCAGCCATTGCGGTTGGCTGAGCACCACCCATGATGCTGGACATGCCACTCATACCACCGTGCATAGCTGAGTGATTGGCGATATCTTTATTTCGAGCAGCTGTAGATGAAGCCTTCCCACTGATATCGTCTGCGTCAGCCATTTCAGCTTCTTGTAAACCATCTCCACTCTTATTTGTATTTGCCTTTGAGTGCCTACGCTGACGTTTAGGGACAACGGTAGTGGATGGCCTACTTTGAGTGGACACTGATGAGGGTTTGGGGGGCGCAGCCGCGATGGCAACAACGCCGCTCTTACCAGAAGATGTCCCTGGTCCATAGCTTGTAGGCGTACTGCCAGCAGTTGATCCTGAACCATAGGTAGAAGGGGGCGATGCCGAATCGTTCTGCCCACCTCTTGTAGGAGTAGGAGTAGCAGCAGCCGCCTGGTTGACAGAGTTCTTCCGCGAGTTCTTCTTTGAGGACCTTGTTGAGGCGGCACCGACTGGCAGCTGGTGGCCACTTCCCCTGTTCCGCTTCTTGATGACGTCTGTCTTCAAGGAAAGAGGTCGAACCACACCATGCAATTTCAAAAAGAGGCCACAAGCGTTGCACAATGGATGCCCTTCGGGATTTCGGCGCCATAGTGGTGTGGTCTGCGTAAAGCAATTAGTGCAGGTTGTTGGAACCCCATTGTTGTCTCCGGATTTGGACCCGTCCGGGCTGGATGGACGAGAGGGCACAGTACTACTGAAGCCAGAGATCGGAGGAGAACTGGGAGAAGATTGTGGACGGCCATTCATGGATATTTGTTGGCCAAAATTCAGGACATTAGGAGTCGAGCTTGTGCGCGGAATCTTTTGCTGCCGTGGATCGTTACTCCTCTTTCGAACGTCACTGACGGAAGCCGATGGTCCGCGACTGTGATTTACGGGGCCGTCGGGAGACCAATCCTGGGGTGAGGAAACCATTTCGGTTCCACCTATGGTTACTTGCTTCTTCGGACCACCACCAGCGAGCCGCGAGGCCATGTTGTGCATCTGCCCCCCATCCCAAGACATACTGTGCCGTACATCAAGTGGAGGATCCTCTACCGGCGAGTAGTCAGTCTGCATCATCATCGTTCCCTCTGGAAAAGACGATCGTTCGTCTTCTTCGTTGTCTGAGTCGTCGCCGAAAGTAAAGATATTCTCATTGCGTGCAGACATTGTGCCTTGCATTTGACTATCCGGATGCTCTGGGCGTAGAACATGAGAAGGATTGACATGTTGTTGCATGGAATAAGCAGGCGTTGGGAAGCTTGACAGACCTCCTGTGCTGCTTGCAGAGTTCAGCATTGTGTCATGGCCCATATTGAACATGTAGTGCTGCTGCATATCATTGTTGAAATGTGGTGCCCGATGAATCGGTATGTTCTGTGCTCGTCCACGGTGCACTTCCATGTTTTCGTACAGTGGCTGTGGTGTCGATCCACTGGATGGACGGGTTGAATCTGGAGGCGATCTGAAGTCACCAGCACTCAAGGGATATCCATCCATACCCTTGCCGTAGTGATTGGGGATACCAGCACTATTGATTGGGGAAATGTTTGGAGAGAAGCCAAAGTTCGAATTGACCCCAGCAGAGTTCAGAATTGGATCATCCATATTATAGTCATTCATATTGAAAGATAGCTGTTGTGGAAAGGAGTTGGCATGAACAAGAAATCCGGGATGATGGGACTGATCCAGTGAATAGTCAACCAGACCATGGTCCGGATCCGCATCGCTGGGAATCATGATGCTAGGAGCGGCAGTTGCTTGGACTTGAGGGGAGAACTCAGCAGGACGTTTTCGACCCTGGAACCAAATCAGCATATGCACCACCAGCTGTCAAGACATCATACTTTGGTCTCGTCAATACTTGTCTTTCGAACTCGCCTTTGGACATAATCAAATTCTCTGCTCCGGGCCCGCTCTTGCGAAGGGGCGGACGGTGGGAAATGTGAAAAAGCACCATGCTGCTGTTGGGGTTCTTTTCGTTGCTTAATGGGAATGGCTGCTACTACCGTATTCGGTGGTGGAGTTGGAGGAGAAGGGGTGAGATTGGCAGGAGACGCAGTTGAGTTGGGAAGTATGAAATCGTCAATGTTCATGTCATCTGCGTTGATGTTCGATTCAGGTACAGAGAGTCCATTTCGAAGCTGCGCAATTCCAGAAGGCTGCCGTGTTCTGGTGCGCTGCTGCAATTCATTGAATCTACAGAACGGATGTGCTCATTAGCAGTCATTCAGCTTAGACGCAGGATTCACGGCGGTTTAAAGCGCAGGTACGACCCACCTCGCCTGCTCCCGTTCCTTGCGTTTGAGGTTCATCGCCATCATCCGCCAGGTCAGGTTATCCATGCGCTCTTGGTTTGGCAGCTGGTGCTTGGTCCTGCTCCAGAGCTTCCACATCTGGATCCCCAGTGGGTCCTCTTTCGCCATTTCGTCCGGGTGGCTAGAGTCCGGGCCTCCTGCGTCGTCTTTGTAGGAAGGGAATATGGCATCTTGGAGGACCTCTTTGCGCGCCTTCTGTCTCTCGGGTGAGGAATCCAGCGTGTTCTGGGAACGAAGCGGGGGAGCATGCAGGTCGGCTTGTTGGCGGTTAGCTGCCGTCACAGAGGGTCGCATAGCTTGCGGTAGCGGAGGGGCACTGCTAGAATGGTAGGAGAAGGCGTCATGAGTGTTGAGCCTTGGTCGTCGGAGTGGTAGAAAGCGAGTCGAACAGGATGGTGAAGGCTGGAGGTGTGTGTATAGGGTAGAAGGAGAGTGAAAAATGTTCGATGCGGCCAAATGCGCTAAAGAGAATCCAATGGTGAATTTGGGTGATGGCTTGCACGAGTCGAGATTGGATGCACTCCCGCACTTTGCAGTTGATGAGCGTGGGGTCAACCGCTACCTCTCACTAGTTCTAGAGCACTTTTTTACGCCTCCGCGTGTTGGAAGCTAAATACCTTAACCAAATACAGATGGCCAACGACCAACCAGACGGGCAGCCTGGGCTATGCAACCTTGCTCGTCTAGACTGAAGATGCGAAAGGTTTCGGCTCAACGATCTTGCTATGTCGAAAGCTCTGCCGGATGTAGGGTCAACAGCTTGCCGCTTCTTGGAAAGATCAAGTCGTCGCGACTCGACGGAGCACACAGCGAACGCACATGATCGCGAGGAGAAGGGGAGGATGGACTGAGGGATGGGCGAGGGGAGCAGGAAGATCTGCAGTTGACCTTCAGGGTCAAACGCAAATGGACCAATACCTGCTAGTCTACAATAGCCGGAGGGAGGGATACTAGGGCCCAGTGGCCCACAAAGGGAAGCCAGGAAGGGCTCGAGGGATCGTCTGCACCGTGTGTCAGGATGAACGGCCTGTCAAACAATGCCCTATGCAGTGAGATGAGATGATTACAAGAAGAACGGTATGAGCCATGGCAAAGATCACGCTCACGACTCATGCTTGTTGTTATGCACTCGAACCCGCGAAAATATGTTGGTGAAGAAGTTGATACCGTAATTCCATTTGGTTTGCCTGGAAATCGCCTGGAACTTGCCACAGGCCCACACAAGCTGCCTACCTTAGAATCCTATTTCGGGCCCCGCGACATTGCGCACTCTAGTGCGAACGTCCAAGGCGGAAACGGGATTTCGTTCGAATGTGGGGTGGACGATCCTTGGCCACCGAGGCTCACCCCCAGTTTTATTGCGTACCTCACGCCCAACCACATCCACGCAGTTTATGAGCAGTCAGCAATCCAGACTCAAGGATGCCACAGGCAGAATAGGGGAGGACGAACGTCCATGTCGTATCGTTCTCACATCAAGAGAACTCCTCTGTTAGAGAGAAATCAGTTCTCTGCTTCTGCCAATTTGCCCAGCTGTGGAACATGCTGCATGCTCCGTATACTGTTCCCAAACATTGCTTTCTGCAGCACCATGTCATTCGCAACGACTAGTATTGGAGCATGCAAGCTAGCTTCTTCTTACTGCTCATCTCACCCGGTTTTGTCCGAAGCATTTTTCACATGTGTGTCCATTACAAAGGACGGGATGTGAGATATATTCCAAGGAATATTTGATGATATGTAACATATCGGAGAGACAGACGGGACCACTTCGATCCTTTTTGAGAGACCGTCAATGACTCACTTTCCGCCAGTGAAAGTTGCAAGCCCAATCTGCCGTTTTCCGTCGATAGCTGGATGTGGATTCTGGCACGCAGCATCTAACCTTGCTAGATATCCTAGAGTCTTTCAAATCTCGTCGTCCTTTCCGTAGAGACACAGAGAATGCTGTTCTTTGCAGTGCCCAACAACCAGAACTTGGACCACAAGATCAGCAATGTAAGCATCTGCGTGACTCCATATATGTCAAGAGCGCACGCCGTCGGATTCAAATAATCCCCAAAAGCCTCAGTTTGATGTTGGATATTCGAGGCGATTCGGCCCGACTGGGGGCCCGCATATACCGGATTGCTTTCGGCGCTGACACCTGCCAAATGACATGTCGAGCATCTTCGATGACCACATCCTATATGCAGCTTGTTCTGTGTATGCGTGGCGGGTCCCCAAAAAGCTCGGCAAGTTGAGACGACTTCCCCAAAGACATACATGGGTGTCCCCCGCACAGACCACGCGTCTCGATCCTGTCCAACCCACCAACTTTTAGCTCGCTTGAAGGCGTGGGGGTTGTCTTTCCAAAGATCGATTTTTGAGTGTCCGAGACTTCGGCTGAAAGCTTGCAGAAAAAGGAACTGAGTCGGCGTACTTTGGGACCTGGGAAAACGAGCTGAATGTCTTTAGACGCAATCCAAGTTCAGCCAGGGAATCTACTGATTTTCAAGGATATTCATGAAGCGGACTCAACTTCCTTTTCCTTGAAGTGTTACCTCAAAAGGAGTGCGAAGCGCAGCGGACAGCAGGTGGCAACAATATCCGCTTCGAAGGGATGGCCTGATCACTGATCATGTTCAAGACTGGATGATGAGAAAGTGAACTTCACAGGAAGTATCGCAAAACAATGATCATTTTGAGTGTCATAGAGGATTTTGTACGTCATCCACGAGGATGAAGGCAGCGCCTCGCTCTCTCCATCGTGTGTAACGAGACTGTGCCAATAGTCCAGACGGGGCGTGTGCCGTGCGGTTCACGTGGAAAGAACTGCTCAGGGTAGGTCGAGAAGAGTTGCAAAGCTGCCAGTGGGCGATGGGCAATCCTTATAGTAAATTATAGCACTTATCAGGCCATGACCAAAGATAAGCACGTATCACATTCACCGCCTCTCCATACAAGCAGATCGTTTCAGGATAAAGGTTGATTGATATCCGGAGATTTTATGCTTGCAACCACTACGATGCGTTCACACAGGCCAGACGTTGCCAAGTCCTGCACACTAGTCAACAACCGAATGGTCTTTCACGTACCATCGCTATCATATACACTACTGATCGTGTTGTCACTACCTGGGACCTCGACCGCCTCCCCCTCCACTCCCTCTGCCCCGCCCACCTCTTCCACCTCTACCACCCCGGCCGCCCCTACCGCCGCCTCCCCCGTTCTTCGAAGGGCGGAACTCTATTCTCTTTAGAGGCTCCTCAACCAGCTCGTTGCCTAGAAGTCCAAGTTCCTTCTTCGTCTCCTCGTTCATTTTCCATGGCTGAAACAGGAGCTGTGGATCGTCGAGTTGCCGTAATTCCTCCACCCACATTTTTACGTACTGACCTTTTGGATCATAATCGAAACCTTGTTTCACTGGGTTGAAAGTCCTGGACTCTCTTGGGTCGTTACCAACTCCTGCGTTATATTGCCAGTTCTGATTCAGTGTAAGCAAATCTGTGCGTAAGATTGGGCTTATCGAGATCATTGTATTCTTACCCCCAATTGCTGCTAAGATCATAGTCCACGAGCAAAGACTCATACCACTCTGCGCCGATGCGCCAGTCGACGCCCATATGCTTCGCGAGGAAAGATGCTACGTTCTGCCGCAATCGATTTGAAGTATAACCAGTGAGGAACAATTCCCTCATAGAAGCATCGATGAAACCATTGCCGGTTCTTCCTTCTAAGAACCTAGCTACTCTCCACTGCGCATCCGGGTTCTTCTGTGGATACTGCCATGGTATACTTCGGTCGTCCTTGAACCCGCCGATTCGAAACAGCCTAGGTCCGAATTTCCTCGTTGCCAGTCGAAAATAGTCGCGCCACAGCAATTCAAATCGCACCGCTGCCGTGCCTTTATTTTCCCCCTTGCCATAACCATGAACACCTTTGCCTAGCTCAGTCTTGCCTTCTTCGAAATCGACCAGATACCAGTGTACCTGCCTTGCCGTTATGCAACCTAACGCTAACCAGGCAGAAAGTTTCGTGCTAAAGTTAGCTCCTATCATTCCATTGCGAGTATCTTTGTATGTTGTCATACTACCGGTTGTGATTAAATGGCTGACGCGTTCGTGGACAGCATTCTCACCTCCCTGGAATGGATGGGCATTATGGGCCTTACTGAGCAATTTCGGTGGGTTTTCCAGGCCAAGATTAGGCACGAGAGGTTTGTGAAGAGCAGCTATGAGTGTGTCGAGAGATGTCGGTATAGAGAACGGACCCTGTTGTGATGGTATACTGGAAGGAAGGTCCGGTAACTTCGGCGGAGCCGGAAGGACTCGGCGAGGTGTATCCCGAAGTGGCTCAACTTGCTTCCTGTAAGAAGTGAAGATATCAGGAAGCTCGCGAGGATTTTGAAAGGGGATGTCACGACTTTGAAGTTGTCAGCTTAGCATAAGTATTGAAAGGTCAGACTGACTCGTCCACGTAGTATTTCTCGTCGGTCCACAGCTTGAATTCTTTTCCTGCTTTCTCGGTCATGCTACGTACGTCTCGCTCTTCCCTTTTTTCTTCTACGCCTTCCTCCTCCGTCATCCACACCCCCACTACTTCCGTAGTATCTTTGAAGCCATCCAACAATGCATTCACTACATGCCCTAGCATGCCTACTCGAATCACCAGGCCGCTACCTGCGGCTTCTAAGTTCTTTTGCAAATCCCACACACTCTCCGCCAGGAACTTTGCACGGTGAGGTCCACATCTCCAGAAGCCTCCGGCATCTGAACGAGCCTCTGGGTACGGTGAGCGTTGTTCATTGGAGGACAAGAAGCCCGAGACCTCAATCTGTTGGGCTGCAAAAACATATACAGGCAGAAAGTGAGTGTACGGGTGACGAGACTGCTGGAATGTTTTGGAGACGTCATTAAGTATAGGATTGTCCGCAAATCGTAGATCGCGACGAAGGAGATATATCAGCACACGTGAAGACGACATCGCAAAGAAGGTTTTTGTCTATTATATCAACAATGATGGTTTAATGAAGACCAGAAGCTAAGGCCGTAGAGACAGCAATACAGGGACAATGACAACTTTGTATTAGACGGAGGGTACAGGACGCCTTCAGGGTACGTCATGACTTGCTTCGATCGGCCACCAGCGTCAAAGCCTGCCACAATCTCACCAAAATTCTTTTCATTGACTGAAGGGTATAATCGGACAGTACATTGAGGATATCGAATTTGAGGATCTGTGAGCTCCTGCACTGGTGGTGCACGTGCCTTTCCGGCGCAAGATCGATTCATCCGATCCGACCAAGATGCCAGATCCGGCCGCTAGCCGCAGAGATGCGAAGCCTTTTTCATTTTCGTTACTTCCAATTTGAACATCAAAGTGAAGACTGATGAATGAATACGTTGGCATTGTCGGCAAGGATCTCATTTCGAAAGTGACACCTCTACCGGCGCCAAAGTTTGCTTCATCAAGAGTGACACCCTGTAATTTCAGGGGTTTCAACAAGCTCTTTGACACGATATGCCTATTCAGAGGTTACATAGACTTGAGAGACATCACATCAAAAGCACGACTTCAATGGTAATTTATCTAGCTTAGTGATTGCAAGAATGCCAGTAGATACTTGAAATAATGATCTTGCGCATCATAGAAGCACATATGACTTCCTCCAGGACACACAACCACTTCTCCATTAGGTATGATCTGTGCCATCTTTTTGCAATCTTCAGGATCCATCTCATCATACTCTGCTCCAATGATCAATGACTTGAGTCTAATGTTCGGCAACGAATCCCATACATCCCATCCCTTCATATTTCCTGTGACTACGAATTCACTATGACCTTGCATTTGCACGTATATGTCCTGGTTAACAAGGCGAAACGAGCGAGTCACGGGCTCAGGCCAGGGTGTATTTCGGCAGATTACGGTTGGATATATTTCGTCCATCATGATTCTTTCGTACTCAGGATTTTCCCAATCGCCCGCCGCTTCGATTTGATTCACTTTCTGCAACAGGTCTGGAGGCAAAGTGTCCTTCCACTCATTTACCCGTCGTAGGAATGACTCAATACTTGCAACCATATTCGACACCACGATTGCTTTCAGGTGTCCATCGTTCTGATGTTTCAAAGCGTACTCCATGGTCAAGATTCCGCCCCAGCTGTGACCTAATAGGATGAAGTCTGTCAATCCGAGGCCTTTTCTCACTTCCTCAACTTCTTCGAGATATCGCTCGAGGTTCCAAAGTGAAGAATCTTCTGGTTTGTCAGAATTGCCACAGCCCAATTGGTCGTAGTAGTACATCTCGATCCCGGCTTCGGGAAGGAAGGATTCAAAGCATTCCAGATAGTCGTGAGGAAAGCCAGGGCCGCCATGAAGTAGAAGTACTTTGAGGCTTCCAGAGCCCATCTTCTTCGTCCAAACTTTGTATTTGGCCCCGGCGACGGAAATCCACTTGATACCTGCAATTCGGATACCGCAGGGGTTGAGGCTGTCCACATCACCGGTCACCGTAGTGCGTGTCGACTCCGTCATTCTGCTATGGATCTGGCTGGCCTTCAAATGGGATCTTTCTCTTCTTCTATACACCAACCAAGCCGATTGATCTAGTGTCAAAATAAAATTTTGCCGGATTGTGCAAGATAAGGCAAATTCCAAGAGCGCATGCAAACGTGAAAATTATAACGAAGATGTTACCGTGCCACCATGCGTGAAGCTGACACGCCTTCCTAAACGGGCAGCTTCCTTGTTGAATGGCTGAAAAGCCATACCATGACCGCGATTGACGAGCTCCTTATCTGTCCTACCCTCTGAGCAATAGGGTAGACGCGAACAATCCGTGAGCATTGAGACAAAAACCCGGACACTTCGAGCAGACGTGCATTGTAGATGACGGGAAGTCATGAAGCTTGCAACACAATTCTCAATTGACCTTTCGAGGGAGAGTCAGCCGAGCGAACCCTCGAACAGCAGAACTTTAAGCCACTCGCGTATCCGTATCGACCTTGGCGATCGCCGTAGGGGGTCGAAAGCTATTCACAACGTATTCATCCGTAGCCGTGCTGCGTGCGAGCTCTATCCAGGTCAACCGCAAACTACAGAGTGTTGGATATATATATCGGCCTTCGCTATGTACCATTCAAGCTCGAACTCTCCACGCACCAGCCTCCATAGACACTACTGGTTGCTCAGCAAAGCTATCCATTCCTCCTTCAATTACCTCAATTGCCTGGCTTCTCATACAGCTTGTTCATAAATTTGCGTTCCATATCGCACGCGATTATGGGACTGTTTGGCGGCAAAAGCTTCGATCCTGCTACAGAAATACTTAGCTTGAAAGGGAAGGTCTTCTTTGTGACTGGAGGTCAGTGTTCTTTCATATGTGTCGACTTCTGAAATGAGCTGATGGTTATGCTCAGGTAACACCGGGCTTGGTCTTGAAGCAATCAAGCAGCTACTTGAGCATGAGCCAGAACAAGTCTTTCTAGCTGCTCGTACACCCAGCAAAGGTGAAGCCGCCGTCGCAGAATTGAAGAAGAACCAGCCCAATGCCAATATTGCATTCATACCCCTCGACCTCTCCTCATTCGACTCCATCTCCTCTGCCGCCCAAGAATTTGCCTCCAAACAAACGCGATTAGACGTTCTTATGAATAATGCGGGCATTATGGCAGTCCCTTCAACCGAGACTAAGGACGGCTATGAGATCCAGTTCGGCACCAATCACATGGGTCACGCACTCCTCACGAAGCTCCTGATGCCTACTCTTGAAGCCACCGCACAGCAACCAGGCGCAGATGTCAGAATTATCAACCTCACTAGTGAAGGACACAATTTTGCTCGCACAGCCTCGGTCCTCACAGATCAAATTGCGCTCAAGAAGCTCAATCCTTGGACAGTCTACGGCTACAGCAAGCTGGCCAATATCCTCTTCGCACAGCAATTAGCTGCTCACCACCCCAACATTACCAGCGTAGCCGTTCACCCAGGAGTCATCAAAACTGACCTGTACGCGCCAAATAGTACTTCCAATCCAATTCTTAGGTGGGGTCTCATGGTCGGAGGGTGGTTGAGAGGTACCGTCCAGCAGGGTGCATTGAATCAATTGTGGGCTGCAACAGCGCCGAAAGAGGAGATTCGGAACGGTGCTTACTACAAGCCTGTCGCCAGTCTAGCCGCTGGGAGCCCACTTGCACAGAAAAAGGGGCTGGCCTCGGATTTGTGGGAGTACACAGAGAAGGAGCTTGCAGCGAAGGGCTTCTAGGAAATGCACAGCATGAAGGGGATGTTTTGGCTATACCTGTGATTGCAAAACTAGACGGGGCCACCGATTTAGCACATGGCTTTTTGACTGTAATTGTATCAAGTCTACAAAGACACCTCAATAGTACCTTGAGCATACCCCACAAATGTGTTCAGTGAGAGCCGAGCATCCGTCTATCAATTTGGGATCTCAATCTTCTCCTCTCTTCAACTATTCACATTTCCCAAACCCCTCACAATTCCCCTACCAACATGCTTCTCCCCATCATTTTCCACTCTGGTCCATTCCAGACGCCTTTATTCGACTTTGCTCTCGAAGTTCTCTCCCTCGACCAAATCTGGTATGTCGTCATCATCGTCATCATCCCCTCCCTCGCCCTTCCCTCCATCCTTCTTCTGCATGCTCTGATAGCTCTCCGCCAGTTTCCTAAGACTAGCCAGACTGTCCGGTCCCAGCTGATTTAGGATCCCAGGGACCAATTCTGTCAACTCTTTGTCTTCGCCGGAGCCGTAGACTGCGAATGTGTTTGAGGGGACGGATGCGTGGACTGTTGGTTTGGTACATTAGCGTCGCTTTCTTGATGTGGTGTGCACAAGGGTAAAAAAGGAAAATCTCCGGTTAGGAGCTTAGCAGCCACTGCGCCAGAAGTATGCAAATGTAGCGCTTGAGAGAAGAGCAGTGGATAGATGGGAGAGAATCAACCTTTTGGCGCAGCAAAATGAATGACATTACCATCCTCCTTGAACATGTTGACTTCTTCGATCGCATTGATCGGTTGTACATTGAGTTTCTTAAGGGACGTTTGCAATTTCTTGTCGTCTGTGCCAGCCGTCTTGTGGACTTTCTTGACTTTTCTTCGAGGGGTACCTTTGCCACTATAAGATAGATCATTAGCTAGGGATATACTATTTGTGCTTTTGGGGGGAACTGTGGGCAATGAAGACGAAAATGCGAAGGAACGTTGAGGAGAGCTTCACCCTAGAAGGAAGAGTGTTAGCAGAGTGGCTAATTGAATTTTTAAGGGAGCAGTCTGCTCACCTATTCGAACTGACTGCTGCATCTTCTGTAGCTTTGCTTGGTCCATGATGAAGATCTGGGTTGCCGGCGCTCAAAAGGTATGATTAAAGATGCCAATCCGAGTCAATAGCCGTCAATGCTCCAGGAAGCTTGTAAGCAAGAGCAAGATGTCTTGCACAGGGCTGTTTGCTTTGTGGTAAAAGTTTCTCACAATGGATGGTGCGGTTGGACGCTTGACGCCAAGACCAAGACGACGTCTTAGAGTACGTGGATGCGAGGAATCTCTCTACAACTGACGAATTTCAAGCGCTCAAGGCGGGCAAAGGCCGTAAAAAAGACACCTCCTACCCCATCGTCAGACTATTCAGACAATGAAATGCATCGCGAGCGAAAGGACTTGTCAAGATTACACATGCAAACTGTGGCCGGGTACAGCTACTCAGATTTCAGAAAGGGCATGAGTGAGCAAGAGCGCTACACAAATCGGACTATTCATAGTACACCAACAAGCTTTCTCATGTATGTTTAATACTGAAAGCCTTCCGCCCAGAAATAGATTCCTTGAGCACCAGTACCCTTATGTACCGCGCGCTCATCACTCAGGGCTACGACAGCGTTGCGTACATCATCGTTCAATCCTTGTGGTCCGCAAACGACCACTGCACTCTCACCCCGAGCTTTCTCTAACATTGTCCGAACAAGAATCTTGGGGTAAGGTCGTCCGGTGAGCACCGCTACTGAGGAGTGAAACCCCGTCATGGGACTGTCTGATTCCACTGTCAATGTTTCCTCACCTGAAAGACGGCTTTCCTGTAACAATTTCTCATCATGTTTCTGATTCGTTGAGATGTTTGCTTGTTGTTTTGCGGTGCAGCAGCAACAGACCTGTCGATCAGCTGCATGCCTTATTGCATCCTCGTCTTCAATTGTAGTCGCGCAGCAGCATGTTCCGTTCGGGCCACAAGCTTTCTTGGTTCGAGTCCGCTCAGTAGTTGGCTCAGACCTGTCAGAAGACGTTGAGCTGCTGTATGTAGCTTTTTCCATTTCAACAACGAAAGTTTTCTCGATGTTCTTTCTTTGAGCAACTTTCGGGCCAATCATGACGCCACCTGAAAACTTCCGTTGCGAGATAATGTCAATGTCAAGATTCACATCGCAGGTCATGTAGATACTCATGTCAAGCTCAATAAGATGACCTTCACTTCGCAACAGCTGCACGTCGTCAAAGACCCTGTTGATCTTTTCGCTTGCCCATTGGTATTGGCCCTTGGACTTCATGACCCATATGAAGCGTATGTATCGTGTGACAACAGCTTCGGGGATACTAGATCCTTTCGGACCGTTTGCTGGTGGTGTCAATTGCCGTTTACGACGAGCAACAATTTCCCTCATGAGTGGAACGGTGAAGCTGCCTCCATTAGCTCCAGCAATCAGAAACACACTATCAAATTGACACAAAGGCCTTATGGTCCCATAAGGGCCATCGATGATTATTGGGAAGAGGTATTGAGAGCTGAGGTCTGTGCTCGACGTTGGAAGGCCTTGATGCTTCCTCGCCGCCTCAAAGAAATGTTTCGTCGCACCGGATTTGGACTTTATGATGAATTCTAATTGTTTATCTTCCATTAGGGTAGCGATCGTGAAAGGGTGTGCCTGTAGCGGTGCAATCCCATGACACGAAAGGAACACGTGTTGGCCTGGTTGCCATCTGAAGGATGGGTCAATGATCACGATCTTTGAGGCTCCATTACTCAGTGGCTCCAATCTGCCCTTGTGGACCAAAATGCTATTTCCACTTCGACGTGGATGAAAGATAGACAAGTTGTTGAAAAGTATAAATACCGTTCGTACTACGCGATCGCAAGCATACAATGCGATCGGTAACCAAACGTAGCCTTTGACCTCGGCAGGTAAGTGCAGAAATACCGCAGCCAGAAAACCGATAAATGTCACAATGTGCTGCACGATGAAAAATTCATAGTTCCATCTTCGGATTGGGGCAAATGAAGTCAGGAAAATCCACAGCAGAATGCACCAAGCGGCAAACCCACGTTGAACAATGGGATCTGTTTCGAGCTTGATAGTGATATAGTCATATCTAGCCCAGCTTCGAAACCAAAAACCCATGTGTATTGATACCGTCAAGAAAAGGATTCGAGATACCCATCGATGTAGCCAGTTCAACCGTTCGTAACTGCAGCCGACGAGGAATCCAATGATATTTCTCTTGCCGGCGAGAAGAACGACGAGAGGCAATTGTGTTGCGGCGATGAAGCCAGTGCGGTACCCGACATCTTCATATTGCCATTGATCGCCTGGGTTGAGCCCGTAGAAGCAGAGCACAATGACTAGGACGGCATCCGCCAGGACTAGCGAGAAACATCCCAACAGAGGAGACAAGCATTGCCATGTCTGTGGCAGTGGCAACGAAATGCTTGAACTGGAGATTTCCCGACCAATGGCTGTCGCCGTTGCATATGACCTGAAGAGTAGATTCTTAGGTTTCGCAGGTGCATCTTTGCCGTGATCAGTCATTCGTTGCCAGTACAAAGCTTTGTTGGTAATGTTGATCAGAGCTGCGACGCCTATTGCGCTCCCTACGACGGCCCAGTACATGTGCTGCAGGAAGAAAAGGTTCGGAACGCCGTCTCCAGACGTGCTTCCCATCGAGCCATGGGTATGGCCCATCTCCATGTCGTCCATGTTCAGCCACGAAAAGAAAGCACCATCTATTAAATTGGTTTCATTTTGCGGCCGCGATAGGCGGCTTCGATCAGTGGGTAGAACATATTGTTCACTATTTCCTGTATGAAAATGGGTGCAAAATTGGTGGAGCAACAAATGTCGAGTCGAGAGTCGGGCCAGAAGCTGTACGCTTACCGAAAGTACAAAATCGCCCCTCGCTGGCATAAGCCACGGCTTAGTAGATGCATCAAGTAATCAGAAGCGATGTTGTGAAGAACAAAGTGGCGCTAGTGACAAGCATTGAGAAGGTTTTGTTTTCGAGTCTCGGCTTCTTACCCAAAGCAAGCAAAACTTTCTTTCATTGGACCCTCTTTTTTCATGATAGCACTGAGCCGGTTCAGTGCTGTTGTGGGATGTAAGGTCATTTGAACACTCTCCGTTCAGCTCACTTTCCAACTTCTCCAACATCATACGCACAGCGAAAACAATGGTACAATAGGAAAATTGCAATTGATGCGTGGTAATCAGCAGCAAAAATATCACGCTCCCGCACAGAGGTGAGACGGGAAAATGGATCACAGCTCGCACTCACATTCTGCCACCACCTCGTCTTCGTCCTCCTCTTCTTCGCAGGCCTCCCCCGTGACGATGCCCTGGTCATCAATGTCAATGGTCTTTTACACATCTACTACCACGCCGCTCTATTCCTTAGCCTGGCAGCCCACTAGCACAGCATCCTACGCCGGTACCTGCATCTTTTTGATCATTTTCACCGTCATCTTCCGCCTTCTTCTGGCCGGCAAAACGATTCTGGAGCGGCGCTGGCTGGACAAAGCGCTCGAGCGTCGTTACATCAGCGTTGCAGGGGCGCTATCAGAAGCCGATAAGATCGAAGGAAGCAGCGATCATGAATATGGAACGCTTCTTTCACCAAATGGGCTAGAGCAAAGGGTCAAAGTCGTAACTAATGGCGCCAGGCCAATCTTGCCATGGAGATTGAGTGTGGATCTGCCGAGAGCCGCATATGTGACTGTTACCGCAGGGGTGGGCTATCTCATGTTGGTCTCCTATTATGCAGTCGAAAGACGTGGGCTAATACTGCCGCAGAATGCTGGCCATCATGACCGAGAATGTCGGCTATTTCATGTCTGTTCTTGGAGGTGTCTTCCTTGGGGAATTGGTAGTGGGCAGGTACGCCCAGCTGGGAGAGCACTGAAGGTCAAAGGCGTCTTGCAAAACCCAGATTACACCTAGAAGACTATTGTTCGACGAGCAAAATATTTACGTTGAGTTGGCGTAGCTGCTGCGCCTTTGTCTCATCTTGGCGAGACTTTTGGAATTCTTGGTAGTGAACATGTTACCCTATCTAAGCTGTCTTGAGGCTCACGTAGCCTTTGGCGAGAAAGTCGCTCACACAAATGACGATCAACGACGACGGCGGACGTCGGTATCGCAATAGTCTCCCGTTGGTACAGGCTCGTGAGGCTACTCATGCCCAATCTTGGGAAAAGTAGACATGTGAGAGGGCGTTTCTGAAGTGCAGCATGGGATGGGAGTACCGCTGCTCATTGTAAGTAAAGAGCACCATGCTACCACATGAAGGATCATTTCTCTACAAATGCGACGGTAGAGCGCAAAGTGCTGGGGGGCTTGCAGAGGAATTTCCACGCTAACAGTATCACTAATGGTGCCATTATACTGAAGAATCTTACATTATTAGCGGCCTCGCCTAAGGCACCTTTCAAGTGCAGTACCTGCTCCTGTTTGCGTCCGCCCGATCTCACATCACCTGAGTCGGAAAATAGTATCGCCAAGCTGACGTGAATAAGGAAACCCCCTTTGCAAATTGAGAAGGTTTCTGCAGCATCGACACTCTAGATGCCTTTTTCCCGCACCCATGCCGTACCACATGCTCCTCTGCTGAATGTCACGCTTTCCGTTACAATCCTGCCTTTCTACCCAATTGTCACCCACCAAGCTCTTCTTCAATGGTATAAAGACCCAAGCAACTGATTTCTCTCCGAACTTGTGATCATACAACCAGTTCAGTCATGAATTTCTGTTTTCTCGCCCTTCTCCTCTCCCTCCTCCCCCTGATCCATGCACACTTCCAAATCCTCTCTCCAAATCCGCGCGGTTTCGATGAGGATCAATTAGCAACGTATCCGTGCGGTGGACAAAATGCCATCAGCAATGAACGCACTTCGTTTCCAGTGTCTGGTGGTCCAATCCAGTTGAAGATGGGCCACGATCATTCAGAAGTGCAGGTCAACCTTGCTGTTGGGAATGACGCTATCGATGGCAACGCTTTCAACGTCAATGTTGTGCCAATTTTTCAGGAGGAGGGATTGGGAAACTTTTGTCTTGGTGGGCTGGTCAGTCGAAAGTAGCTGTCCAACTAACAAGTCTGGTGGTTGACAAACGTAGACCATCCCCAGCAACCTCAATCTCAAAGACGGCGACAATGCAACAATTCAAGTGATCACAAACGGCGATCCCCAAGGCGGCCTGTACAACGTGAGTTTGCCCTTTCTCCTCCTCCTCCTCCTCCTCCTCCTCCTCCCCTTTCTTCTTTCCCCTTCCCCTTTTACCACCGTCTCATACACTTTTCTTTTGCACTTTTCTCTCCCTAGTCGCCGTTTCGTAGCCCGCTGACTAACACTACCCTTTTCCACCAAAAGTGCGCAGACATAACCATCTCCAGCTCCGCTCCAGCAGGGCAATGCAACAATGGGACAGGGGTCAAATCTGTCCAGTTCACTGGCACGAATAAGAACGCGAATGGTAGTGATGCTTCGAGTGCGACGCAGAGTGGTGCCAGTGCTACACCGACTGGTGGGGCTGTGAGGAATGGCGCGCTGAGCGCAGCTTTGGCTGGAGGTCTAGTATCTGGATTGATGGGATTATTGCTCTGAGCGGCTTCGAGCCTAGAGGCAGTAGAAATACTTGATTTGGTGCTCAGACACAGGCTGACTCCGTGGCTGCTGGAGAGTCGAGAGATTGCCTGGAAAACGGACAGGGTAAAGCAATATCCGCCGCTCGGTACCAAGATTGCCGGCAATAGACAATCCATAAGCTCTTGAAATTGATATTGAATTGCTTTGCTGGTTCAAGATTGTCGTTCATATCTGGATGCTACTTTCATGGCCATTTCTCTGCATGCGATCCAACACCGCTAATGAATCCAGAAGTCGCCATGTTGAAGAGCCGATGTCGATGCATTCATGCTCTGCACTTCCTTCACCAGTATGTGCCATCGCTAGTGCTGAGACTGTATAATTGTATGCTGCAAAGTAACCAAGATGCAAAACTGACCGCAATGCACACTTCACGTTCGGGGTATCATCCCCTGATACTCCAACTGATATGGTGGACATTATGTCTTTGATCTGCCAGATGCACCTCAAAAGCCATAGACTTTTGTTGTATGATTGGGTCCAAGGTGTGATGTGAATGATGCCGAGAAGATACCTGCCCATCGATTGCTTGTCTGGTATCCGATTTGTACATGCCGTTGAGCGAGCCCAGACTTCGCTGATTGCCTGCAACAAGTGATCCATTTCAATGCGGGGGCATGTTCATCATGTGAACAGCCTTCAACGTAAAGTGGTAAACGGAGGCATGTTCTTGATAAAACAGCCTACAACGCCTAACCCATAGGAGCAAATTCGCTATATCAAAGCAGGAAGCGGAGGCATGTCCTTGATGAGACAGCCTACAACGCCTAACCCATAGGAGCAAATTCGCTATATCAAAGCAGGAAGCGGAGGCATGTCCTTGATGAGACAGCCTACAACGCTCAATCCCCAGGAGCAAATTCGCTATATTAAAGCAGGAAGCGGAGGCGCATTCTTGGTGGGACAACCGGCAACGCCTTTGGTTTCGCATACGAAATTATTGCAGATCTCGTTCGATGTTGAGTCCAAAGTCGATGACTCGCTGATAAAGGCTTCGTTTGGCACGTTCTTCTAATGCCGATTCTAATTGCCGTTTCAGGAAATGGAACATGTCCAGGAGACAGCTTTCAACGAATTTGAGTCCAACGCCAGATTTCACGATCGCTTGAAAAGTGAGGCTTGGTTGATAGTGACGCCCATCGACGCTAGCACCGTAGGACAGCCAGGCTTGAGAGCTTTAGAAGTCAGATGGCAAGATCCTCGGAGCCAAGGAATATTTGAAATTGCGTGAAGACTTTTGTAGACCTTGCTCAAGTCTAGCAGAACTATGTCTGTTTCTTAAGGAAGTAGAAGATCACTTCTGCACTTTGCAAACGTAAATATTGTTGCATGAGAAAATCGGTCGTTTTTTGGGTGTTCTTCTAGACTGTTGCCAGCAACAGATAGACGAGGTCGCATCAAGATTTAGTGGTGATCCTCGCACGTAAGGTTTTTCCGGATGCAGATTTCATTGTACGCATGATTGCTCAGTATGATTGGGAATGTTCAGGGTCATTCCTCGTCTCTCAGGCCACAATAATCTGTGCCAAATTTGGTATCAATGAAATAGAAGAACCTCCAGTAGAAGCTTGCTTGCGACATGTCCGGCTTGCCGTCCTCTGTCATTGGAATGCCGTTACCGATAACCTCTTGCGGTAGTAGCCCTGATGCTCTAAGCCACTGTAATTGCCGTTCCCACCAGGTCGGTTGTGGTAGTAAAGCCTCAGATGCGGGTCTCAAAATGGTCCGGGGCATATCGGGGAAGTGTTTCATCATCTGTGGGTTTAGTGGCTGTTGTTGGCCAGTCAAACCGGTCGAATTGAACGAGGGTGCTATGTTGCGGTGATGGAGGTCAGGATACTGAATGCCTGTCGCTGTTCCCGAGGTTTCAGTCGATGATGATGGTGATGATTCCTGCGATTCTATCGGTGCTGAAGGTGCGAAGGATCTTGGCAGTGTAATTCCGGCATTCGATTGGGAATCGGTGCGCGATGCATGAGTGGCACCCATAGTTTGTGGCCTTTGTCTCGGTCGCCGTGGGCTATCTCCTTCTTGTAGTGGAATTGGCTCATCTCTCTCTGGGCCTTTGCCATGATAGTACTGCGCATAGACCCAGCAGCCGTAACTGAGCATCGGGGAACATTCGATTGCTCGTTCAGCTGCTTCAGCCGAATCGAAAGTCACCTTCACCCAGTGCTCACCACCATCGTATCTCATTGACATTGTCTTCTCTGCTGGTGTCAACGAGCGTTTAGCACGAGACGAGCTGAAAGTTGAAGGATATCGCTTTGCGCTCAGTGGAGGGTCTCTTGCGTAATCTTCACAGACCATTCCATGCGATGCTTTCTCGTACTTGTCTAATGCGTCCCATTGTGAATCAGTGGCATAACCAAAGATATAGACCTGCGTTGGTTGCTTGTTGGCAGAGATAGCGCGTTGGGAAGCAAGGTTGCCTTCGCTTTGGATGCGTGATCCTTGTGTGTCCAGCTGAGCATTCGGGTTTTGACTCTTGGTATATTGCATGGCTTTCTCGAAGCCATCAATTGCAGGATTCTCTTTCTTTGCTGGAGTTGCAGTGCGTGTTCGTGAGGAACCTTTTCTACGGTTGGATTTACCGAACGGTCCTTTCTCTTCCACATGACGTTTTTGTCCGCGAGCGTTAGGATGGTCACTGGAAATAATGTCAGGATTCGAGCGATGAGTAATGATAGCAGGTCACTCACGGATGCCACTCAAGTCCCCATGGGAGCCGGTTTCCCTTACTGTCAAAAGCTCGCTCTTCAAGCGGGACTCCGTGGACTTGGGTTGGTCTGCCAAAGGAGGCGTCCATTCTCGGGCGTTTACTAGGAGACTCTTCTGCAGGCTCTGTGGGCTCCTGGAATTCTACTAGGTCGCGTTTCCGATATTGCCAGGTTACTTGCCCGTCGTTGGAAACTATTTTGCGAGCTGGTAAGGGAAAAGAAAAGTTAGCGGGCTCTATTTACGTGTGTCGTAAGGTTTAAGCTAGCTCTCGGGTAAACTTGCCTCCACATTTGTGGTCCTCCATGCAGGCATCGTAGAACCGTGGCGATTCCTCGCGTGCCTGCTCAAGTATCGAGCGTTTCTCGTCGCTCTCGGGTAGCTTCAGAAGGTTATGCATTGTCTCGTACTCCTTTGAGAGCCACATATTCTCCTGCGTCCAACCAGCTGCTTGCAAAACAGCGCTCACAGCTGCATCATTCCTTGCATTAGACGCCCACTGTCTTAACGCCTCTTCGAACGAGTCGCGGGAAGCATCTCTATTCACTGCGACGTCATTGATGATCGCTTGAGCTTCTCTGTCGTTGGCGTCCACTTTGCACTCCATATGAGCTGTTGGATCTTTCTCTCGTAGATCCAACTGCCGGTAGTTGCGGCTCCATGATTGCCCTAATTTTCGATATCGGGCGATCTCTCCTGGCGTCCTTGCTCTTGTAGCCACGGATTGGGGTGGGTCATCAGAGTTTTGAAAGTAGAGCACGGCAAGCGTGAGGAAAGAGTCGGGCTTCCTGATGTAAAAGTCCAAAAGCTGGATCAAGCAAGGCTCATAGCCCTGAAGGGTTGGTGCTTGCACATCTTGCCGAGCGTCTACAAGTGTGCTCGGCGGTGGCAAAATCTGAGGGCGGTTCGTTCCCTCCGTTGCTGAGGCCAACACAGGTTGAGGATGGGCGGCAACCAAGGGTTGCTGCCAAATTGGCGCTATTAGAGACTGGTTCGATGGCACTCTCAACGAGGCCATCAGATCCCGATGTTGCGGAGCATACGTGGGCTCCTGTTGCGCTTTGGGGATCACGCTTGCAAAGCTGAGTGGAGGTGGGGGAGAACGTTGAACATGGCCGACGCATTAGGTCGTTTCTTACCCTGGCGGGCAGGGGCAGCCGGGGTGCTGTTCGATGCGGACGCAGCTGCAGGTGTAGCTGCACTTGTCGTGGTTGTCGCCGCCGCTGCTGCTGATTGTGGTCCCCATGGCTGTAAGCCCATAGGTACTGCCTGCCGTGCCCCCGCCGGTGGTTGGAGCGCCCTGCTGGCGCCGGTGCTGGATCCAACCTGTGGATCATTTGGTGCGGACATTTGCGAGAGCGGGGAAGGATTTGGGGGTTTTGGAGCCGTCAACGTCAGTTTGACCATGTTGCAAGAGGTGTTGAGGGGTTCTGTTAATCAAGGCCCAAATTGAATGGTAATTCTCGAAGGAGTCAGAATGGAAGTCAATACTTTCGAGTAGATTGTGGGGGATCACAGTTTTGTGTGCAAGATTTTGAAACAGAGAGTTGAAGACTAAGGGTAGGAGAAATACAACACTTGATTTTGTCTGCCCAGCCTCCTCGCGTCTCAAGTGTCGTTCTGTGGAAGATATAACACTTTCACCGCGGGGTGGTGGCGAATGTGTTAATACGACAAGCTCCACGGGGCAAATGTTCATCAGACGCAGAACAGTCGGGCAGTATTTGGAAACCAGAGGAAGCGAAGTCAGACAACAAAAGGATAGAAACAAGAGAATTGGTCGTTCAATCATGGCTTCATTTTCAAAGAGCCTTCTTTGTCGCCCCTTCAGGATCCTTCGCAATACTCTCTGCTGTATTTTTCGTATCTGCTGCGGCGTCTTCAACTAGCTGACCCGCAGAAGCATTCTTTTGCGATCGCTCATGCATAGCGATCCTCGTCAATTGTGTCACACCCACGCAAGCAAGGAAAAAGTTGACTGCCGCCAGACTGCGGAGGAGACTTAGCTATTGCCTAATCGTAAACATTTCATCGTGGGATTTTAACCTACAATACATTCCGTGGCTTGATGATGAGACACCATCTTGTCCATATCACGCCAGTTGCTGTAAGAGCCATATTTTGTGTGGCTGAAAGAGATTCAGCCGGTCGAGCAAAGTCGCTGACACCTGCAAGAACGAGGCACCACTACAGCAATGTAAGTACGCCTGATTCTCTCAGTAATTGGTACGTAGTTTAGACCTTCATGACCGGCGCCCTACGGTGAGTTAGCATTGCGATCATGGATGCCAGAATGGAGGCAAACCAGAAATGTACAGTCTTGACTCCCACAGGACTCCTCCATAACTTTTGGAATACATTCTCTTGTGGTAAGGGTTGTGCAGCAGCGGCATCGGTAGTCTGATACCGTCGCCCAATGGGTCTCCGGAATGCGACTCGGCTGAATCTTGCGGCTTGGAAAAGCCTTAAGCCGGCTCTTGAAGACATGATATCCAAATGCTAGCTATGAGGAAATGACGATGGCGTGGTAGGTGGAAAGCGAGAGTGGAGAGAGGGTGGAGAGAGGTGATGGACGTCGGACAATTAACGCTGGAAGCGCTGACTTGACTCCCGCCCGAAGTTTGCAGTTTCCCGAGCTTGAGTGCCCCTCGGTCATTTGGGTTGCTAAACAACAGCGGGCAACGAGATGTCAGGTAAATACGCCTTTACAAAGGGCCTCAGAGAGGTTCGTTTCCTTTTCTGTCAGAACTCGGATCACAGCGCTGCAACGAGGTACGCAGCAACCTCGCTAGACGCCCGTGTCGTGCTGCTGAATATAGGGCAGATCCTTCCTCACTAGAGCTTACCCCACGATGAAGAAAAACAATCCACACGTACCGATCATGATCAGAGAAGCTTTAGATACAGAGCCCAGGGTATTCACAAGATATGGTAAGCTTTGCAGATTAGCGGCAGACACAGAGATTAACATCCTTTCAGAGTACGGCGTGGAGAAACAGGAGTCATTACAAGGTAAGTAGACTTCTTCTTAAGCTTTAGGGGATTAATAGCAGTCTGACGTGCGCTCTTTCTAGGACTTAGCGACAAGGATATTGAGGACAGGGTGACTGCTCTTGTGAAGACCGCGCCATAGGGTTCCCTTGTACGAACAACAAAAGGAATCCCTTTCAACATCTAAGCTTTTGCCCTCCCTTCATCAATCTGGCCCAAGAATGTGGGGACGGCCCCAAATCTATACATTGCCCAACTCGTACTTCCTTCCGGCAACGTCCACAATCTCATTCCCCTCTCTGTACTCGCGGCGCCAGCGCCTACAAAGATAGGCAGTAGATGCTCAAGAGTCGGATGAGCCTGACTTGCATCACTTCTCCCCAAAAGGGATATCATTCTCTCTTCTCTTTCTACGCTATCGCTCTCCACGGCTTCTCTTAGCGCCTCATCAAAGCTACTTGCGTAAGGCAAAGGGGCTGGGTTACCCATCGTTTTTCGCAGGTCGCGCAAGTTGTGCACTGCCATACCTGTCGCAATGACCACGTTACCCTCAGAGCGAAGACTCGAAAGGGCGCGGCCGAGAGCGTAGTGCTGACGGGGATGGTCAGAGGAGAAAAGAGATACCTGTACGATTGGCACGTGGAGAGGGTTGGTATCTGGATTGAAGGCAACTTTGAAGCTGACCCAAACACCATGATCCAGCCCTCGGGCGACGGGTCTAGTGTTGATACCATTTGCAGAGAGTACGGTCATAAAGTGATCTGCAAGAGGCTGACTACCCCTGTTCGGGTATTTCTCTGCAATGATTCGTCATGCCCCGCGGTCTCGAAGTGAGCACGCGATACTACTCACCTCTATAATAGTGGCTAGGAAATCCATAGAAGCTAACCAAACGAACAGTCATCAGCTCGATACTGGGGCTTAATGGATCCGAATTCGAGATTCATACTCATAGATCAAGTCCATTGTATTGCTGGTGTTGATCTCAATGGTGTCCCTCGCTGTAGCTTGCCAATGCGCGGACAAGACGATGACAGCCTTTGGTTTGACCACCGTAGTGATTTCTCGCCCAATCTGTTCTAACTTCTTATACGCCGGGTGGTGGATATCATGCATTAACGTGGGCTATCTCAATCTGATGAGCGAGGTGTTTCTGGTGAGACTGGCTATGGGACTTACTCCGCCATGTGATAAACTTTGTAGTTCGATAGGTAAGTAGTCGAAAAGGAAGCATTATTCTCGACTATGCAGAACTTACAAATACACTGGTGTCAAAGACATGATGGCCGACGAGGTCGCGTGCAAGATGAAACCCCTTTTTGGTCTACCTGTACCAACGCCAAAATACTCAGGAGAAGCGGCCAATCTTGAAGGGCATACGAGAATTTCGAAAGAAGAGCAGAAGAATGCAGGGTGTGAGGATATGAAAAGAGATGTCGTGCTATGCATTCATTCGGGGAAGCCTTTGAGATCGTGTGAGCATCGCATAGAATTAGTCCACCATGACTAAGGCCTTCGAAATCGCATCTACGATTCTAAGGATCTTACAAATGCCCTCGGGAGTCGGCCTTTGTCGCGGGCCGTTGGGAATCGCGCGAAAGAATGCCGTGTGGCGATCATCAGTGCAACATTTAATCATACAAGAAACGGCTTGAGCTCTACCTTTTCCAAATGCGCCATGCCAATCAATCCCGTGACAGTTCCCTGAATACCCAAATCGACTGTGCTCCTCCGATGAACAGGCTATTGTCATCGCCAATGATAACACCAAAAGAATTTGATCGCGTTCTCTCACGTTACATGACGGTACACTCACCGTCTGATTGCTTGCGCATGTTGGAGCGCGATACTCTCGCTTTCTGTTTCGGACCACCACCCTTCCTGAGATCTTCTAGACGATCCCTAGCCTTAGGGAAGTTTTGTGCTGAAATATTTAGTCAGTTGTCCACAGGAGGGAAACTTGACAGACATCGAAAGAAACTCACAGGCAGATTTCCAATACCATCGTTTAGCGTCCTCTAAATTCGCGGGGGCTCCAATACCGACCTCAGTGAAGTATCCCATTGCGTACTCTGCCTTTGCCAAGCCAGCTTGAGCAGCCTTTCGTGCCCACAAGTAAGCCTCAGTGTCGCTTTGCTGCAAGATGCCGTCCGATCCTGTGAGATACCAGCCACTCAGAGCAAGTTCACTTTGGTGTTCCTCCTGGACTGCGGCTTTGCTGTACCATGCGATGCTCTGGCGAGGATCTACGGGACAGCTCAAAGCACCATATTCGTAGGCGCAGCCAAGACGGAACTGGGAGAATTTGTAGCCGAGATTGGCTGCTTGAGTGAACAATTGGCGAGAATATGCTTCGTCTTGTCTGATGCTGTCAGTGCCTGTCGACTTTTCGTGCAGTAATGCCTATCCTCAGTCAGCCCCTTACTCATGTCAAGACTCTACCAGTCAACTCACTAGCTCGTGGAGAGCGTGCGGATTCTCTTTGTCTGCTCGGTCAGCAGCTTGTTTCAGAAAAGAAATGCCTTCCGAGGGGTTTCTTGGTTGACCCAAGAGTCCTTTTAATAATATCACTCCCAACTTGTACATTGCGGCCACGTCACCCAGAGCTGCTGCTCGCCGGTACCATTGCATGGCTTTGACAGCATCACGTTTTGTGCCTCCACCCTCTTCTTGTCCGAGCTCGCAGCAAACAGCAACCCTGTAGGCTGCTTGTGCGTGATTCGCCTTAGCAGCCTTCTGATACAGCACGAAAGCTTCCCTGATATCGGGTTGCAGGCCGAGGGCGCCCCGGCTGTAGCAATCACCGTAGTAGAAGTCTGCATCCGCATAGCTAACGGCAGAGAGCTTCTTAACAATTCTCAGAGCGTCCGATTGATATCGGTCTCGGTTTCGTTTCTTTGTATTGAGATCCGCGCGGTCGTCCACGAGCACCTCAGCAGCTTCCACAAGCTTCTGAGCCAGAACCAATTGCATGGCAGAGTCATTTGGGTTTCTATGCGTCTTTTGCCTCAAATCCTCAAGCTCGTGCAGCGTTACCTTGCCGGATCCTTTCTTCTCATTTAGCCCGGCAGATTGCTGAATTGGATCAGCAGGAGCTGAATCGTATTGTCTCACTGGAACAGGTCTAGCTAAATGGCCGGACAACTGTCCGCCATCTAGGCCAGATTTCACAGGTCCAGGATGATGAGGCAATGCGTCAGGGTTGCTGGGTAAGGGTTTGTCGAGCGAAGGATGTCGCTGTCTTGCCGTCACTGGCACTGATTCACTACTCGTTCGGTGACCACTGACACCTGGATTCCTTTCATCTTTTATTGGTGAGCGCCGTCGGTCTGGCTGTCGCAGATTTTGTTTGTATCGTCGAGCATCTGAGCCCCTTATCTGGTCACGTGCTGCAAAGTCTGCAGACATGTCTCCTCGATTTGGCACAGATGGAGGATTATGTCGATCAGGCTGCGACGCACCATAATTTGGACGCTGCGGCTCTAAAGCCTTTAGCGGTGGACGTCGATCATAGCCAAATGCTGGGCCTGTTGCGGGGCCTGGTGCTGGTGCAAATGTCCCTGGCGATCCACGGCCCGAATGACCTGGGGGAGGACGAAAATCTCCTGCAAGCTCATTTCGTGATGAGGCGCTTGTTGCAGGTCTTCTGTCGGGCTGCCCTTCCAACGGAGAGTTCAAATCACGATTTCGCCTTCCTAATGGCGGTCCTTCCATAAAATCGGGTTGAGATCTGCTACGAGAAGGATACTGTTCTTGCTGGAAGCCACCTTGTTTATAAGGACGGTGCGAAATCTCATGAGCTGACATAAAAGGTGGCTGTTCTAGTCTTCTCGATGAGTGAAAGTGCTCGTCAGGATTGACTGTTGGCTGCTGAACTCCTCTTTCTGACACGGCTTCAAAGTTAGGTAGATCTTCGTCAATGGGAGAGGGTCTCGGTCGATGTTGATTCTGCTGATAAGGTACGTGTGCCTTTGGTAGTTCATCTTGATAGGTGTCTTGGATTACGCCCTGACTGGCCTGAGGAATGCGATCCTGGTTTGGACTGTGGGTCTCCACGCGCCTGACCCTGTTCATATTTCCATTGTACAGACCATCAGATTGGGATCTGGAAGGTGCGCGTGGCCTTGCAACATTGGGAACGGTTCTATCCGGTAGATTGTGGTGATCCTGGGGACCGTAATAGCCAGAAACAGCGCCAGGTTCTTGCCATGTTGTAGAGTCATCGGCAAGTATCAAACCAGACTCTGGGACGGCCTCTGACAAAGCTGACGGCATGGCTCTACTCCGCTCGTAGCTATTGGGTGGTGACATGTTTGCGCCTGGCGATGGTCTCAATCCATCTTGATTTCTATTCATCGCGCTCTGATCTTCTGAACCGGCGTTTCTTGCAAGCGAGCGCCCGTTGCTGAGCTCGCCTTGATTAGTCGATGATTTACTAGGAAAATTAGGGAAAGGATTATCCCAAGAAAGGGTCTCTGGCGATTTCTTGTCTTCTGGCATTCGGCTCGCATCTCGTCGTGCTATTTGGGCATCAGTAATATTTCACACCATACGAGTATTTTGCAACAAAGTAACCTACGAAAGCTGGCGCCGCGGTCGTTAGATCTTGTCTGTAGACCTCTTTGTCGTGTAGCTGACGATTTTACATGACTGTCAACATCATGATGACGCCCGTCATACAGATCATCATGTCCTTCGTTGTGAGAATGGTTCGAGCCCCCATTCAAGTACCTAGGGAGGGTGTCTGCTTCCACATTCAAGTGCATGTTCTGAGCCTGTGCCTGGCTTTGCGTGTCGTGAGTGACATGCCCGGGTCTTACGCGATTCTGATATTCCTCGTAGCCACCATCAGGTTGTCGAACTTGCGGTACTTTTGGGAAACCTTGGACTTTTCCACCTCTGCTCTCCGGCGCAGAACTTTGAGAATATTGAAAGGATTGATTGTAAAAGCCATCCTGTTGAGAAACAACGTTTATAGAGGCTGTAGGTCTTATTTCCGGTTGTCTCCACCCATTCGTAGTCTGCGTCCTTTCCTCATGTGACCAAATTGGTTTCTGGCGAGACTGGGCAGGATATTCCACCTCGTCTTGGCTTCTCCAGCGGCCGTCATCATGCGCTTCGTAATTCCCACCAGAGGAATTTGCATCATCGTACCATGGATTCTGATCGTACCCGGCATACTCATTCTGAGGTCCGTATGTATCACTATACTGCGCACTATACTGTGGTGGTTTGCCTGTGCCTTCGCGCGGATGACCTCGGCCATAACCTCTCTGATCATACCTGTGTCCTGAGCCTCTCGAGGCGCTATACGGATGAAACCCTTCGTTGTATCCAGGAGCCCAGTTGCCCCTGTGATGATTGTTTGAGTATGCCATCTCTCCCACTTATGGCACACGCACAACGACCCTCAGATGCAACATTCACTTGGACGTTAACGCAGGATCTTGGTAGGAGCTTATGACTGATAAGTGACAAGGTCCAGGATAGATGTCATTTGGAGGAGCAATGCCTTTGGTATGGATTTAGCGGCCACTTATGAGCCAAGAAGGGTCCTACATCTGAGGGCCAACGTTGTGATGGTTGCGGGTTCACTTTGCGCCCTGGGGACTGTAACGAGGGTCACTTCCAAACAGAGGCAACGTTTGGGGGCTGAAGCCAGCTTCTGACCCTGGGGAAGCGGTCGCGAACCATGTAGGAAGTTGCGCAATGCAATGTCACTAAAGCCTGGCCGTTCCTGGACGGCTGAGGCACCCGCAGGTCTTGGCAGCATTCGGAAGGGGCGCGCGAGCGGCGGGATGGGCACATGCGCTCACTACATACTATTCGAAGAAGTCAAGAATGAGACAAACTCAAGGACGCTTTTCCAATATTCACTGGATACCGTATCTACTGTTTACCTCCTTGATGTCCATTCCTAGTCACCTCTACAAGAACTATACCTAGAGGCAGGATATCATGTCCCGAGCCGGATTATGGATTAAGATGCTGCTTGCGTCTGTGTTTCTTACGCACAACGCCAACGTCGTCTATCAGCGCTAATACTACGTAGGGGCGGTGTTATGTGCATTGGTGGACCAGCATTAATATATTATGTGACACCTACCGAGGAAGAACTTTTCAAGGCATGCAATTCCCTATCAAAGGCCAATCCCAAAGCGAAAACTAATGGGGACGTCAGAAATACAATCCGGAGCTTCAAAAGCGATCGCTAGAAAATAGACAAGGCAAACAGCAAGATTTCGACAATTTTGTGGGCAAGTTGAAGGAGTATTCGAGATCTAGCAAGCCCATATGGGAAGTCGCCGCTGACGATGAGGCAAAAACCAAGGCGAATGCTGCGGAGGAGCAGAGACGGGTTGCGGCAGGAATACAAAAAAGAAGAGAGGAGATCAAGAGACATAGTATGAGAGATCGGTGAACGCCTTCACCCAAGGCGAGGGAGACCGGTGATTGATGTGCAACTACATTCAGAAATGACTTACAATCTCTCAAGACCTAATAGACGGAACAAGATAAAATTGAGTCGGCGCGGCCTTCAAGCTATTTACAGCTCTAAACAAGAATTACCCACATATGACGCTCAACAAGTCTTCAGCCCTCTGCCGGAATTCAGAGCTTGGCACCCGGTCCAACCGACGTTATCTCGTTGTACAGCAGACTTGTCAGGAAGTCTGCATAATCTCTGCAGAGGTCATCAGCATCGTCTGAGTAGTAAGCAGCGGCTTAGTACTCACTCGCCAGTCACTTGGCCAGCGAAATATTGCGCTGCAAGTAGGAACTTGTTGCCTCTAGGCGCCTTCGATGCCAGCTCATCCGCTTGCTCCTTAAGCAGTCTTTGTGCGAAGAATTTATCAACTTTTGTTCCCTCGGCAGTAGAAATGCCATGCTTGCACCATTGCCAGAGCTGGCTCCGGCTAACCTCAGCCGTTGCTGCATCCTCCTGGTCGGATATGAGTCACAATCATCAAGAGGATAGAATGCAGACGTTACCATGAGATAATTAATAGGCACACATCCCACACCTCTCAGCCAACCCTCCATATAGCCTAGACCGATGTTGAGGTTTTTGCGGATACCGTCTTCCGTTACTTTACCCGGAACATTCATGTTTAGCAAATCATTGCCGATAATATGGACGTCCTCTCGCCGTTTGAAAAGCTGATTCGGAGTTGGCATATGCTTATTGAAGACCTCAGTCGCGATAGCTGCTAAAGCAGGATGAGCTACCCAGGTACCGTCATGACCTGCACGGACCTCGCGAAGCTTGTCAGCATATACATTGGCCATTGCCTTGTCATTAGCCGCCTTGTCATCCTTGATCGGTATCTGAGCTGCCATACCACCCTATCGCTAGTCTTAGCAGTTTGATTCCGAGGAATGGTAATTGATCTTCACGCACCATCGCATGCACACCACGCTTGTGGCAGGTTCTGATGAGCAACTGAACATAAGCATCCATAAACGGTACTGTCATCGTCACAGACGATCGATCTGGTAAAACAAAATTCGAGTTCTGGCGAAATTTCTTGATCACGCTGAAGATATAATCCCAACGACCACAGTTCAAGCCAGCACTGTGATCTCGAAGCTCGTAAATGATCTTACTACGTCAGCTTGGTCTTGCTTCTTCATAAAGCACACCCTACCTCTTCCATCTCGAATGCCGCAAGGATTGTCTCGATCAGGACAGTTCCACGAATGGTACCCCGAGGCATTCCGATCGAATCTTGGGCAAGATTGAATACGTCGTTCCACAAGCGTGCTTCTAGATACGACTCCATCTTCGGAAGATAGAAATATGGACCGGTCCCTGTCTTGACTAGCTCATGGGCATTGTGGAAGAAATAAAGACCGAAATCGAAAAGACTGCCGGAAATTGCGTCGCCATCGACGGTAAGATGCTTCTCTTCCAGATGCCAGCCTCTAGCGCGAGCAATGAGAGTAGGAAGCGTCCGGTCGGTTCTCAATTTATATGCCTTCTCGCCTTGCTGGAAGTCGACTTGCTTGCGGATCGCATCGTACAAATTCACTTGACCGTTGATCATGTTATCCCACGTTGGGGCGCTAGAGTCTTGGGTCGTTGTCAGTCTGTCTTTGCTCTATGAAAAAGCTCGGGCACGGCCTACCTTCGAAGTCTGCCATGTACGTCCACACGTTTGAGTTTAGTGCATTGACAACCATCTTTCGGTCTGTGGGCCCTGTGATTTCAACTCTCCTGTCTATGAGACCCGGGGCAGGCGAAGCTCCTTTCCATGCATCGTTTTCACGAATATGCTTCGTCTCGGGCAGGAAATCAGGGACAATTCCCTTGTCTAATTCTGTTTGTCGAAGATCTCTTCGCCGCAACAAATCCTTGCGCGTGCCATTGAAAGATCTATGGAGAAGGGCAAGAAATGCAGTGGCTTCCTTGGTTAGGATCTTCCTCGTCTGGTTGTTCAAAGGACCTAGGATGGTCACCCCTTGGTTGACTGCATCGACGCTCGACATGGTCGCAGAATACTGGATCATTCAGAAAACGCCGCGGTCCTGACCCTAAACGCCGTCTTTGTATTCTAGCAGCCGAATTCAAAAGCAGGGAGCAATAAGCTATAGGAGCCCGGTATATGTTAAATGTATGCGGATAGAGGCTTTGCGATTGCCGAGTTCTTTTTGATTGCCAGCGGACTGCGGTGTCCACACTTCAAATTACTACAGTATACTTTCATGCATTTTATGGTACTCTCCATGAATAAGGATCAATCGCCATTTCTCGGACAAACGGACGCTGCATCCACCGTGTTCATTGCGTCAAGCTCGAGGCCTGCGGGGCGGCCTTCCGCAAATAGCCGAGGCCCCTAGGCGATAAGATAAATGGCTGGATACTAGGGAGGTGAGGTTTAGTGGCAACTTCACCGACCCTTTAGCGTGTGCAGGATATAATTAAAACCTTAGCATAAAAAATCTTCTACACGCACTTGAAAAACAATATATAAATAGCTTCAAACTAATAATCTAAATATTCTAAATTAAGTTAAGCTATATAATTAATATAAAATTTATATAATAAATATTAAAAATATTATTAAAGGTTTAAAATTAATAAAAAAAAGACAAGTTTTAAAACTATTAAATTAAGTAACTAATATAATTAATAAAGTAAATTATTAGCAATTTTTAAGTATTTTAAAAACTATTTTAATCTTATAATATTAAGACTTAAAGTACTAGATTCTAAAATAATAAACTACTTTTATATTAATTATATAGCTTAAATTAGCTTGGAATATTTAAAATATTAGTTTAAAGCTATTTGTATACTGTTTTTCAAGTGCGTGTAGAAGATTTTTTATGCCAAGGTTTTAATTATATCTTGCACACGCTAACTACCTCTGTCGTCTACGGCAGCTGTTCCAGTCAAACGGCCTCTTGTCTTCGTTGTACCACAACATTCCTCAGATAATAATCCTGTCAACGTAGATCTTCATAATCATCATAAAATTAATTTCGTTTCAAACTCCAATTTCCGTATCAATAAGGTTCCTACAACAGGTTTTGACTGGGAGTCAAGTAAAACCCGAGTCATTATCCAACGGTAAGCAGTCGCACTACAGGTAGCAAGCATGAAGGGTCAATGCCAATGTGGCGCTATAAAATTCGAAACGCCGCTCACAGCCCCTGTCGAAGTCTACGTCTGCCACTGTACAGAGTGCCAGCATCAGTCTTCTTCGGCCTTTGGCATCAGCGCCAAGTTCCCGCGTTTCGATGTCAGCGGACATGAAGTAGGTGATATAAGCAAGTATACGCGTGAAACACTGTCGGGGCGCAAGCTTGATTGCCTCTTTTGTGCCAAATGCGGAAGTCGATTGATCCACCAAGTAGAGGGCGAAGATGCGGTGATGGTGAAAGGAGGCTGCCTGGCGAACTTAAGAGTCGATGATGCGATACACATTTGGTGCAAGGAAGCGATCATCAAGATACCTGATGGTGTGAAGGCTTTTGCAGAAGAACCTGATTCATCCTAAGAGGTCGCCTCTGTTGTCGGGCTACAACAGCGAACTTGCTGGCTTGAACGATTGAAAAAAATGCTCGGCGCTGCGCTGACCGTTCTTGATCCATCAGTGGTTTCTTGAGCTAAATGCAATCTTTCCACCTTTCAGACGACCTTCACTAAAAGCTGTATCGCATCTCCAAAGGCTTCATTTCGTCCAACCCAATGTGCTCATTCTGCAACATTTTTTGATAAAGTCAAGCAATGCATTCTCAAGACTTTGGAGAGGAGAAGTCCAAGATCAGCCTAGATGGTACGCAGTGGCACCTACTACATCGAGAACTACTATACTTTGCTTAATATTAAGTGAAGTAAACCTTTCTTTCTATAAGAAACCTAAGTAATAACTTATTAGTTACTATCTTAGATACTTCTATCTTAGAAGACTTTTTATTAATATTTAAATAAAAGAAATTAAAAATTAATTAGTAACTAAAAACTAAAAAATATTTTATATAAATTTTAATTTAAAAGTTTTAATTTAATAATTTTAATTTAATAATTTTAATTTAATAATTTTAATTTAATAGTTTTAATTTAATTTAATAGTTTTAATTTAATAGTTTTAATTTAATAGTTTTAATTTAATAGTTTTAATTTAATAGTTTTAATTTAATAATTTTAATTTAATTTATAATAAATTTAAAATAATTTCTTATTTTTTTTATTACTTTAGAAAATCTATATAAAAATAAAAAATATACTTTAGTAAATCTTTATAAAAAGTTTAATTTAATATATATTTAAATTACTTTTAAGAAATAATATAGTTTAAAATTTATTTTAAATTAATATATTTTAAAGTTTATTTTTAAAAGAAATTTATTTTTATAAAAAAAAAATACTTTAGAAAATTTTATTTATAATTTTAATTTAAGAGTATTTAGAGATTATCTTAAGCTTATCTTAAGCCTAAATTTTATTTAAAAAAAGTATTTAAGATTTTTTTAAAATTAAAACTTTAAAAAATTATATTAAAAATTAAAGTTTTAAAGTAATTTAGCTATACTTATATAATATAAATCTTAAAATTATATAATTTAGTAAAATATATATAAAGATATAGCTCTTCCGCTAGTTTACTTAAAGTATTAAAGTTTATATAATAAGAAATCTTTATAAAAAAATAATTTTTTAAAGTTTTTTAAAAAACTATTAAAATAAAACTTAAGTTTAGTTTAAGATTATCTTAAGATTAGCTTACTATAATAATTTAAATAATAAAGGACTAGAAAAGAACTTTTATAATTATAATATAATTACTTATAGAATCTAAAGCTATAGAAGTTGTTAAGAGTAATATTATTAAAGTAATACTTAATAGAAATAAAACTTTACTTTATATATATAGGATAGTGCCTTATATCTAAGCCACTATATATATATAGGAATCTTTATTATTACTAATATAATTATATTCTAACCTCTTTACTTTACTAGCTTAATAGCTAGTAATAATATTTACTTAATATTAGAAACGCTTATTTATAGTATTTTAATATATTAAGACATTCTCTAAAAAGTATTATATAATCTTTATAGTCTAGCCTATTAAATTAGCTTAGCTTAGAGATTCCTAGTAGTTTTTTCTTTTCTAGTTAAAACCCCTTTAAAAAACTTTTACTTATTATAATCTATTATTATATTAGTTAACCTTATTAGTTACCTATATTAATCAACTATAGTACTAGCCTTGCTATTAGAGACTGCTTACTTTACTTTTAGCTAGTCTTCCTTATTATTAAATTAGGAAGGAGCGTTTTTACTATAGTAATAAAAAATACTTATAACTAGGAGTACCTTAATAACTTTCTTCCTAGAAGAAACAAAGTTAATATTAATTATTATTAAAATTAATTCCTTTAAATTTAACTATTAATTTAAATTATTACACCAGCTTTTATAGTTAAGTAATTAATCTTTATCCTAGTATTCTAGCTCTTAGAGTTTTAATTAATTAAATACTAATATATAAAATTTATAGATAATAATATTTTAAACCTTTTATTAGTTATTACTAAGGACTAGTTTTAACCTATATTAATAATTGTTCTATAAACTTTATTATACTATTCTTTAGCTTTTAATAATTATTATCCTTTTAACTAGAGTACTAACTATTTTAATATTTAATAAATAATTAAAAGGTTTTTAAATAAAACTTCTAGGATTAAAAAATTCCTTAATCTACTATTTACTAGTACTACTTTTCTACTAAGAGTATATATTCTATTAAATAAAATTAATTATAGACTATTTACTATAATAGTATTAAGTTTAACCTATTTATTCTTTAATATAGCTACTAAAACTTTAAAAATAAATATTAAAAAAACTATTTATATTAACTTTATTAATTTAAATTATAATTAAAGAATTTAGCTTATAATAGTAATAACTTTAAAAGTAATAACTTAGCTAGTAATATAGCTTTTAATAGAAAACATTTATATTAATAATTAATCTTTTAATTAGAATAGCTTTAACTTTAATATTAGATTTTCTTAAGTAGGCTTTAGTATTTTAAAAGCTAAAGATATTAGTTTTTTTAACTTTTCTATAAAAGGGGAAAAACTAATTATAACTTTAGGCTATTATTCTTTCTATTATAATATTTTTATATTTATTAATTAATTAAATAATCTAGCTTATTATTACTTATTTAAAAAGATTTAAAAAATTTTATTAATTTATTTCTAAGGTAAAGCGCTAGAATAATATTTAGTAAAATTAACTAAAAATAAAAAAAACTTATTTATAGATATTAAGCTAAAGAAATAGATTAAATAACTAATAAAATATTTTAAAATTTATATTTCTATAACTACTAATAGTTTCTAGTAGGAGAAATATAAATACTAAAAGGTTAAAGCTAGAAAATTTATTTATACTTATATTTAAAATATTCTTTAATATATATAAGTAGTAAAAATAGTCTTAGTTTTTAATTAATTTAATATAATCTAAAATAATCTTTTTTTTAACTTTAAGAGGGATATTTTAGAATTAATAATAATAATAACTTTAAGATAATTCTTAAAGTAAATTAATATTAAGTTAAGTATTTAACTTAAAGTAATATATTATTAATAGTTTTATTAAAAAGGTAAAAAAACTATATTAAAATTAGCTAAACTTTAAAAGTTAAGTTAGTATTAACTTTTATATTAATTATAATACCTATTTAATTTTTTCTAGTTTTATAACCTTTATTTTTAACTTTAGATAAAAAGTAGCTATAGCTATAGCTATTTATTTTTATTAAAGCTTTTATTTTTTAATAATTAGAGAAATTATATTAATAAGTAGAATATTCTATAGTTAAATCTATTTATATAGTAAATTTCTTTTTAATATCTACTACTATAAATAATAATAAGAAATATAAGTATATCTAGTTTAATAAACTATTTATTAAGCTAAATCCTTTACTTTTTAAGAAAGTTTTAAAATAATTAAA